ACGTCCAGCGAGAGCCGTCCCGGCTGGTAATATTTTTGCTGGGGGTGCGTCTGTGTGTATGTGACAGTGTGATAGGGCAAGTACGCACAGCAGCGGGATCAGGACCAGCGGATGCCCTACGTACTGGTACAGGCCTCACGGAGACCCACTATCTCCCGAGCCCAATCTTAGTACCATTAGTGGGAGTTGTTGGAAATTCTAATCTGGAACCTGTGACCCTGATGCAGGGCTTATGAAGAATTTCTCGTGCCTTCCTGCCAAGCCCCCCTTCCCCCCCTCTCTGAGGAAGGAGAGACATGAAAAAGAGGAAGGAACATGGAAGATGGTGAGAAGAAAAGAAAAGAAAAGGTTGGTGGAACACGGAAAGAGCGCCAGAAAAGAAAGAAGAAATAATCAACAAAGGAAAAGAAAAGTCTGAGCAAAAGCAAGGCACCTTGGTTGACAACCACCCTCCTTCACCACACCAACTGGTATCATCATCAAAATCAATAATGTCGACCTTAACCGAGCCACATCACCTCAGCCAGGGGCGCTATCACGACCTGCCGATACTGACGATAGATCGACTCTCTCAGCTGTGCGCAATACTTACGACTGCAGCGCATTGGTACCTACAGAGCCATATCCTGTCGAATGTGCTACGGCACCCCCATGGCAATGCAGCCGGTGCGACAACAACACGATCACTCACTTCTCGCCGGCAGCGGCAGCCGAAATCTTGCGCCCAACATGGACATGATGAACCCCCTCTGTGGGTTGAGGGGAGGGGTAGGTGGTGGGGGGGGGGTGGGAGGTGACCCGTCCCTCTGGTCCTCCTGGGCCTGGTCCCCTGATGGTACCTAGCTAGGTATCCCATACTGTGTGCACCTAGAGCACCCTCACAATTCAGTCCGTGCAGCCTGTCAGCGCACTAGTACCACGGTTCCAAGCATGAATCACAGGTATCCACCCAGTCGCCGGCCCAGGGTCTCATCACTACTCTAATCCGGCATAGTTTCCCCACCAAATCACCCTTGTTGTCGACAGGGCACCATTGACATCCTAAACATTTCGAATGCCATTTTTTTTGCCAACGTCCAACATTGTCGCACGCGGAGCACCACGAGCTCTGAGATTTCGCGCCTGGGAAGGCGGACAGTGCTGGTATTAGGTGCTCTGGAGTCTCGACCAACCATGAGCGCTACGCAACCCCCGTCCCTCACCCCGTCCATCCCTCCCAGGCGGACGACGTCGCTGTTTCTTCGACCAAAGGAGGGATGTTGATTAGCACGTTGCCGAGCGAGACTGAGTTCGTCTTCGAATGCGACCTGACCACATACAAAGGCGGTCAACGGCAATGTCAAGCTCAGGATATGTTGGTCATATCGCATCGCATCGAGAGCCTAGGTTCGATATGCGACGTCGACCTCAATTTCCTGCTCCTTGTTAGTCTCACGCATAAACACTACATTCACTCTTGAGCTGCCGCACTGGAGGCTCGACTCGACGGGTCGATTACTCACACAGATACTTCGGTACTTTGGTACCGTGATATGACTCCGGCTATGAGATCAAGGGTGTTGGGGGGGGGGGCTGCTGTCATCGCCTGTGGTGACAAGCAAGCAACCCCCGTCTCTCTCTCTCTCTCTCTCTCTCAATGTACTGTGGTACTATGGTAATACATACTACTACGTACTATCCGTATACACCATGCAACATTTCGCAACTCCCGCGGACGGGTCCATTCGTTTCGGTACCAGCAGCAAGATGTACTATGGTACAACCCACGTTTCCTCATCGACCTTTCCGTCCACTTACAAGGCGCATGACTGTGACCCAGCTGCAGATTGCAAGCTGCTTGGTAACACTATCTGGTTGGTCCATCACAGGACAAGCTATGAGGAGAGGTCCGGTGCAAGGTCATCACGCTCATCTCCCGTTCTTTACGTCGATCTTTGGGATGTGTCTAGCCTTCCAGCTCATGGTACCATAGTACACTGGACTTAAGATCGTACTGTGTCCCCCCCCCCCCTCCTTCCAGCCCTTGTTCAGAACAACCCCCCTCCCTCCGAGTGGATGGGTGGAGAGAGAGGGAGAAGCAAGAGGCAGAGACATGCACATGAATCACGCTAAAGGTACGAGACGCCCTCATTTTCCCTTTCCTTTTTCCCTTTTTTTCTTTTTTCTTTCTGTCCTTCTCTTTCTTCCTTTTTCTGTTTTGTCCAGAGCTCCTCGTCATTGCTTTCCCCTCCCCACTCACGGTGCGACTCGCGGCCTACCATGCGGCCTGGGATACGCGCGAGATACCTGCAAGCAAAGCTCTACTTCTACTGTACTGTCTACAGGCCAATACGTGGCGGCGCCTTCGTCCAGCTCCCGTCGTCCCCACATCTATACTATAGTAGTATTCTCGACATACCGTTGGTGCTATGGTACATCTTCGACCGCCTCCACCCCGGTTCTCAAGATAGCGTCGCAAGCTGGCGCTAGCTTAGTTGGGCAATATCTCAAGCACGGTGCGGTTGACCTTTGGGATTGGGTTGTCCTGTGGCCTGCCAGTGCATCTGCTCCCTCAGCTCGCCTAGAAACAGCCATCAGTTCTCGTTAGTCTCATCGGTACATCTCTTCTTTTGCAACATGCATACAAGATAGAACATACAGCCCCGTCTCTCTCTCTGTCTGTCTGTCGCTGCCATTGCCAGCGCTCGACTGATCGATTCCTTCTTGTTGCTTATCAAAACCCTGCAGATCTGCACCTCTGACTCCCATTCCTTCTGTATTCGCCTACCTCGCAAGTCTTCCGCACCACCATAGTACGGGGGGCGCGCGCACTGGGCTCTGTGTGTGTCTCTCTCTGTCTGTCTCCACTGCTCTGCATAAGACTTTAAGAGCAGCAAGGGTGGCCCGCAGCCCTCTGTGTGCGCCGCCTAGGGTCCTCTTCCACTAACACGGACACGGGAGCATCTGTACAGACAGACGGGTCTATTTCACACATCCCCCTTACATACATACATTAGATGTTTCCTCGCGCAGCCGAGTTCAGGTTTCCTATTCACGATCTTCATACCTCATATTCTTTTTCCTCGCCGCAGCTCAATTCTTCGTGGTCTTGCTCTTAGTTAGGCCTGAGTTCGGGCTTCGTCGCATCTCGCCAAGGTGGTTTTCGCCTGCAGCACAGCTGTCAAATCACACCTCGTTGCCGCCAGAGTTCCTTGGCTGCAGGAGACTGTCCCTCCTCTTTTACCTGCAGTCTGCTTTCCCCTCTTCCGCCCAAAGTCGCCGCGTCCACGACCAGCGACCACCAGTGGCGACTTCACAAAACCACCAGAACCTGTCGTCTCGCATAAGATCGGTCTCGGGTTCGATCTTCATATTACCCTCAATCTCTGCCTCACGCGTCGGTCCTGTTTTCTGCGCCTATCGCGCCTGCTGAACGCTTCTGGTAGGAGGACTGCTTGGACGTCCAATTCGAAGACGGAGTGACATTTGGCAATTGTGCGAACCCTCCTTTCCTGGAAGAGCCTCGCACGGGATATCGTGGCCCCAAGTCCACAAAGCTCTGTTCATCACACTCGACACCATTTACTGTCTTCACTTTCGCCACTGCGACTCTTTTACTCATACACACACACACACACACACACACACACCGTATACGGAAACAGCCAAAACCCTTACTGGCGAGGAGCCCACGTTGATTGACCGACTTTCCCCCTCGGCGTCTGCCAGCGTATACACCTCGAGCATCTTTGGCTGTCCATCGTTGTCCAAACTGTTGACAGTCTCTCATCCTTCTGCGCTGCTCTCATTCACCACCTCTCGGTTGGTAGTGCCGGTCTTCCTGTGGCGGTCCCGCCCGTCCTCTGCTGGTGGGGATCCTGGTGTGGAACAGCCTTCTTGAGCAACAGGGCAGCTGCTCTCCGATGTTTCACAGCCGCACAGCAGACAAAGCAATCCGTGACGTCCGACCCCCAGGGTACTGATCACGAAGGGCTGGTTGGTCTGTGGAGCGGGGGCTATCCACCCAGTCTTTGGGCGCGGATCTAGGTCTGTTCGCAGACGCAAATCATCAATCTACCTGTCGTTGGTCATGTACGCCACCGCATTCACCTGACCATATTCAATCAGAAAAGACATTTCCAGGAAGGGGGAGCACTTCGTCTTGAACCGCCTTGAGCTCTACCAGGGTCAGTGTTTAGTGTCCGCCCTCCCGTCCGACTCGGCAGCAAGCTCCCGTACGAACAGACAGGCCAGATCCGTGCCTGTGGCCCATGGTCTTGAACTCGAACAGGCTGGTGCGTAAGGACTTGCCTTCTGTCGAAGGAGCAACCAAATCACTCGGCAGTTCTCTTCAGGTGCGGCTATCCATTTCTGTCTTGCACATATATAGAGACTCTGTCCCCCGCCACCACAACCTGGCAACAACTTGACAAGGAGAGCCGTCACAGCCTCTCTACCCCCCCCCCCCTCCTCTCTATCTTCTGCATCTACTTTGTCGTGTCTCACCCGTATTCCTGGCGGCACTACGGTAAGCCAGGCCCACTCGCTCTGGTGAGAGGCCCGTCCGACATCTAGTCAAAGACTGTTTTTTCTCTTTCTCTCCACAAACCCATGCCTGTTTTGCCTCACCTTCAGCCTCACCGAAACTAGTCCCTGGAGCTAATCAAATTCTCTATATACCCAGAGTATCGGCGGCGCTGTCATTTCTCATCCTCTCATCCCCTTTCACCGCCCAATGTATTGGGATTAAAAAGGAAGCCCGCCAGTCTCGCCAAAAAGACGAGCTTAACAACCCGTTCTGATCTCTCAAGGCCAAATTTCGTCCCATATCCTACCCTTCGACAAGATGGTTCTGCCACAACACCCTTCTCGTCAGTGGACGGCGGAGAGGCTCTCGGCAGCTCGCCCTCCAGTCGCCGATCCCATAAACCAACGCAGATACCCAATGGTAAACAAGCCTCACTTATAGTGTGTCATTCTTTTCATCGGCCAGATCTGACGTAAAATAGGACATCTGTACAATGCTTCAGCAACACTGCAATATCTCGCTATCCCATTTCATCATGGCAGGCATCACTAAGCAGGGCGAACTGATCACCTTCAGCGGTCCCAGAGAGGCTGGAAACCCCATGGTCTACAAACAATACATCAATCTCGATGGATATCTCAACTGGTATAACAACGAGAGCATGCTCCCAAGTACGAACAAACTGGATACACCCTCACAGGCTGCAACGATAGCTGACTGGAAATTCCTTTCAGCACCGAGCCCATCCTCATACGAGGACAATTACTTTGGCCACGGAGACTCCGAACGCCATCCCACCTACGGCGGTCGTCGACATTATGACCGCCGTCGAATTCAATCGGCTTTTGAGTATGACGACGACGCTCTCAGAACTCGCAAGCGGCCAAGAGGAGCAGTGAACAGGAGAGACCCGGCTCAGGATGCTGGACCAGCAGTCAGTGTCGTGGTCCCGAAGAGAGCTCTCAAGATTAGCAACAGGGAGGAGGTCTGGAAGTTCTACGAGCAGCGTTTCAAGAATATCCAACAGTCGGCCTGTAAGATGATTGCAAAGGCCTGGATCAAGTTGATCGCCCCAAAGAAGCAGTCCAACCATCCCTATACAGGGCAGGAGGCGAAGGCGCCAGACTGGTGGCCGAAACCGACGGGACCCACGAGAGATGACAGAGTCAGACACAAGGAACCTGACCATCTGTACAAACCCGGTACGTCCCAAAGCCCTTGCCTCACACAGTACTTGTTAAGCTAATGCATGCCCAGAGCGTGTGTGGCTCCTCTGCCATATCCTGAGCATGGTCGTCGAGCCCAATCGCCTGCAACACAAGGACATACAGAAGTTGAATGTCACGGTTGGAAAGCTTGAGGAAGCGACCTTCGAAGCACTCTCAAGCTTCTTTGGAGACGTCGAGAACCCGAACAATGCCAAAAAGAAGCCTTACCTGAAGGAGATTTTCAGAGTGGCCAGATACGAAGAGCGGTTCAAGAATGGCGAGATTGGTTCGTAAACTTATCAACATATTGTGCAGGCTCGTTTCGACTGACACGAAACCTTCCATACAGATGCCAATGCCGAGGTTCAAGTCACAGCTGATGACAAGGTGCCGGATGATTGGCATGAAGAGGAAGAAGAGGCGCCACGGGACGACGATGACAATCAGCCTACGCCTACTTCCCCCAAACAGGAGCACGGCCTGCCTGCGCTCGCCCCTCCTCCCGCTCAACAGAGCTCGGTTGGGAGCTTGCAGGGCAGCTCGTCGTTTAACATGGGCGAACTGCCCGTCCGCGGTCCTCCATACCCCCAGCCGTCGATGATGCAGTCGGATCTCAACGCTGGCCCGCCCAATTTTGTAGAAAATAGCTCTCTCGGGGTCAGCAGCCAGCCGCCGCCCATCTCTCAGGCGCACACAATGCCTCTGTCAGAGGGCTATTCAGACCCACACGCAAACAGCCGGCGCTCGTCACTGTATACTTCGAACCCTGAATATGCCACTTCTTCCACCTCCACCTTGTACTCTACCTGGCAGCACAGCAACCAACCGACCACATCGCCTGTGTACTCATTCAATCAGTCACAGCAGCAGCAGTCGCACCCGCATGGGTCCTACGTCGAGCAGCAGCAGCAGCCATCCGTACCTCTGCCACAGACTCCACAGTACCTCGAAGCGCCCACTTACGACCCCATGCACAACAACCCTTTTCGCCCGGCGAATGTGACCCAGGGATCTTTGCATCCTCACACTCCCCATTCGTTCTCCAACTATCTCTCGTCTTCCGGGTCAGGCTTGAAGGGAGACCCTCTTAGGCCTGCACACCCGCACGAGGACAGTGAGCACAAACGCTGGAACTAGTAATCGTCAGGGATATCATACGGAGTGGAGGATGAGATACCACTTCAAAGAAACAACTCTTCTCTTGGGCCGGCTGAATTGCTTTGCCTATACAACACCAACGGGTTTCGCAGCCCTTTCATCCCCGCATTCCCTTGTCTGTCATGATGATCCAGAAAGGTCTACGTCGGTTCTTATTATGATTATCATTTATTATCCCTTTTTCCCCTTTCCCCTTTCTCCTTCTGCCTCTTTTTCTTCTGTTCTTCAGAGTTTCATCCAACCTTTGTTCAATCATGGATAGACAATATGGTGGCAGGGTGGCAAGTGGCTGGTTCTGCGACGAACCAGTCACTCTTTGCTAATTTTATTTTGGACTTTTTCCTTCTTTTTTTCCTCCTTTTTTTCCTTCCGGTTTTGCATACCCTTCCTTCACCTTTCAGTGCGCAAACGATACATCACCCCAATTATCTCTAATTTTTTTGATACACAACATCGCCAGGCGTCTGGGGTGGGCTCGACGGTCAACGAGAATCGCATAATAAGTGTGTTCTTTCAGTGCCGTTTTCGTTGTGGTCCTAAAAACGCCCCCAAATAAGCCCTCGCAGATTGACCGAGGAGAAGGCAGCCATGGTAATTTCGATATTGAGCAATGACCGGCTCAGCGATGACGCTCATCGCAGCCAGCTTACACGAGGGGTGGGGGGGGGGGGGGAGACAGAGAAAAGGGCGTGAGGTGTTAGTCGGATATACTAAACAAGCGAGGAGCATCGGTTGGATGGAAGAATGGGATGACGAAAGACGAGGGAAAAATCTGGAGCCAGGGCCATATGGACGTCAGAATGAAACAAGGTGCTTGTTATGTTTGTGGTTCTTTCTCTCTTCTTTTTGCATGCTTTAATTTTCTCTATCAGGTCAATCAAGGTTGTTTTGCTGGGTTTATGGGTGGCTTTTGTCTGGTATCATTTCTTGGAAACATGAATCTCGAGTCTGCTTTACTTCACGGGACCCAATTTGGGGGCCAGCACAGCACAGGGGCCGGGAGCAACACCGGCATTGTGTGGAAAGACTGGCAGGTCGATGTTCTGGCTCAGTTTCCGGGTGTTCGGGTCTGAAAAGGCAGAGGAGGGTTTGGGCGGCCGTCTGTCAGTCTATTGTCCCGCAGTAATATCTCTGCCGTTTGTTACGACTTATGAAGAGTGACACCTTCTCTCTACACGTCAGCGTCATCGTGCTTCTCTGCTTTCCATTGTTGCACTTGTTTTATTTACAGGTGCCGATATGATGATCCTGAACAGTGAAAGAATGAAGCAGGAGGTCTAGGGCGGGGAGAACCGAGGGTATTTTTGCATGCTAGCCCCCCCCCCCCCCAAAACCAGTTCTGTGGAAGAAAAGGATCCAATGGAAGACGCAGAGTAATATTGGACAACCGCCGCGACCGCTACCACCATCACACCAACACAGCAATACACAGGCAGGGAGAGGAGGGGAGAGGGGAGAAGAGAGGGAGGAAGGCCGCATCAGACGTTTGTGGCTCCAAGCGACTAGCCACTGGTAACAAGTAGGGGAGTTGGAGTGGATCAGACCTCCCTTCCTGCGCCTGAGAAGTGACGAGACGGGCGTCTGAGGCCAGCTGAGATGAGCTCGGTTAACAGACCCGGGAGGTGCGGTGTCCGACCGCTGTCGTCATGGGGGAGGGAGAGGGGAAGAAACGATGCCAAAGTGGTCTCAGCTAGGCTGATCGGGTACTCCTGACCAGCTGAGGTTCTTTGTCCTCTGTATCGAGGGGGGGCCGGGGTGTTGAAAATCGGCCCAACAAGTATTGGGGCAGAGGAGCGGAAGGAGAAGGCTTACCATTCTAGTTCCTGCTTCGGCCCTCCCCAGGTTCAGACCCCTTCGACGCAGACCCTGGAGCAGACAGTCTCTCTAGGGAAAGTACTGCTGCTGCTGCTGCTGCTGCTGCCTGCAGCTTACTCATGACAGCAAGCTGGATCGCATCTGCGCGTCTGGCCTAGATGCGTCTGTCTACACGCCACTTGACGCCAACCTCGTTCCGTTCAGAGTGCACAGGTGCCAGTCAGTAGAGGGAACACGGGACGATGGACAAGAAACAAACAGACACACACGCACACACAAATCCAAAATACACCATATACATACACGAACAGGCCAACCACTTTTTTTTATCTCAATAGTAATAAAAACTTTTCTAGGCAGAGCAAAGGGACAGCAAAAAAGAGAGGGCGGGCGTCCCCGAATATTTTCCGAGTCCTTGTGTCTGCGACAAATCAGCCGTTGGCTTCCGCTGCCAGATCATGCGGCGGCGCGGGCAAAACGGCAAAGCAATTTACCTGCCTCCTTGGGCCATTTTCTCCTGCAAGTGTCACCTGCACACATATCCAGCTCTTTGGGCGCTCTTGATACACGCACACACGCTCACACGCACACACACAGAGAGAAAGAGAGACGGAAAGAGCCCAACAGTAAGATGCGGCTGGTGCCCAATGGTGACATCCGATCCCTTGGGCTCCTCCACATCTCGGTTAGAAGAGAGTGGTCGCCCAAAGAGGAAAATAAAAAAGGGTCCAGCCTTGTGTCCGGCTAAGCTGACAAGATAGACAGGCAGACAGAAACTTGGACACTAGTACAGTAATACTCCGCAGATCCTCTTTGGTTGGTTTCTTGTTTTTCTTCTTCTTCTTTTCTCTTTTCATTTTCAGCTCATCCTTCAAAGACAAACCCCTCGGCTACAACCAGTTCCGACGATCTGAACGGCAGTTGTTGTGCCAGTCCAAGGCCTGGAAGTCACAGTTCCATTCGCAGGCCCCTCAGGATCAGCTAGCGTGTGAGCAAGGTGCAGGTGGCAAATAAGAAAGATGACATGGCGTTGAAGAGAAAGAAAAAAAAAGAGTGAATGAACTGCTACCCCCCAACTGCTGCCCAAGATTACTTAAGTACCTACTTATGTTTTCTGCAGACTACTACTATGCAGCAGCCCGAGCATGTTTTGGAGCTGGCTGGCCGGGAGTGGGGCAATTCTCTGTCGGGCGAGTCTGGTCCTTTGTTATGCGCGTGACACTATTTGTCTGGCCGGAATATGATATCAGATGAGGAAGGAAAATAAGATCCTTCATTATAAAAAATAAGAATAAAATTGGAATTCAACAAAGGCCCGAATCGTTTCGATGCCCAATCTACTTTCCCTTTGGCCGGGGGGGGGGGGGGGGTTTGCTGCACAAGTGCAGTAGACAAGTCTCGACTTCTCTTGCTGACTGACAGGTTACATGATGAATTCTGCTGTATACAAAATAATGACAACAATCGATTACACACACAGTCAAGAGAAACACACTATTTATTTCATCTATCACATTATCTAGACAAGAAAATAAAAGGACCAGCCAGCCAGCCCCTCCCTTGTCCCCCGCTCCCCATACCAGTGTCACCTCCCCTAATTGACCAAGAAAAAAGAGGCCAGATTCACGGCCAGCCGCACCTAGACTTGCGTGTGGGGGGGGGGGGGAGGATGGAAGGGCAATGGAAGTCAACCATGTCTAGAATCCAAGCTCTTGAAAAAGGGAGATGGAAAAGAATGAAAATAGACCCCCCCCCCCCGCTCCCATCTTTCCACCCTCGTGGAAAGGTGGCTTGTACTCATAAAGTATTTCACACAGTGCTTATCAACTTTCATATTTTTTTCTTTCATTATAGTTTCATCCTCTTCTTCTAGTTTACAAGCGAGCCTATCATGTTCCAGTACTAGAGGAGGGGGGAGAAGTGCAGATATGGGATGGGGTCTGGGCGTGTGTAATGTCTCGGAAGATGGACATTGGGGTAGAGAAAGAGAGAATAGGGAGAGAGAGGGCTGGCTGGCGGCAGCAGATGATGGGTGACGATGTTTCGTGTGATGGAATGGACAATACGAGGGCTGGGCGTCTTGAGTGGGGGCAGGCAGTTCGGTTGTTGAGGGTTTGCGACGGCTCATGCGTTATTTTTTTTCTTCTCTTTTGGTTTCTTTTTGTTATTGCTGTGGTTGTTGTTGTATACGAGGACGGGACTTGTGTCACCATTGGACTTGCATGTGTGTGTGTGTATGTGTGCGCGTCTATGTGCGTCCGTGTACCATGTAGTTTGGCACAAGTTCCACTGCAGGAGGCACTTAACTTGTATTTTGTTCTTCTAGTCTAGTGATAATATCTCCATACACCCTGCCTTGACCGGTTTTGAGGGGGTGGAAAAATGTGAGACAGTTGACGTGGAACGATGATCCCATGGGTAGCCGGCTGCGCTCGGCTGTCAATTATCTTCTTTGCTTGGAAACCTGCAGAGAGTCAAATCATATGCCGTCGGCAGATGTTTCTCGCCTTCTCACCTTTGTGGTCAGTTATTGTCGGCATAGATGGATGATGTTACGATGGCTGAGTCAAAAGATGATGGTATCTACTTCCATGATGCCTGGAAAGTGGCCAGACGGCGTGCGAGTGAGTGTAGGAGAGAGGGTGCAAGCTGATTTTCGTATGTCTGAATCTAATGTTCTGAGCCTCCCAGATGTAGAATCCAATTTGGGCACTTTACTTCTCTCTTCGCTGTCTGTACTCACACTGAAGCCTGATCTGGTGAAGTTTGTGTCGGCGGTGTGAATGTCATAGCGGAAGACGACCGAAGATACGCCCCTGGGCACGCTGGGAAATGCTCCCCTGATCTGGATCGCTTGTTCAATTGTATTGTTGGATTCTTGAAACAGTGTTATACAAATGTGTCCAAGCTTGACATTATTACTCTCTTGGTTGTATTCTACTCTGAGTACATTTAATCATTGCATGGTGATTCCTGCGCAACGCTTCAGCCTAATCAGAACCTCGGCGTCTATCATGCTTTGTTCTTTCTCTTCTCACAGTTGTTTGGATTCAAAATATTGGCCATCCTCCCCTCTCCTTCTTTACTTACCCTTTACTTTTACCTGCATTCATTACCTGACTTACTCGTTGGCTGAATTGATACTCCCGAGGAGAATAAAGACTTTGACGGGTGCGAGTAGGTATGGAGAGCAGCTGGATCTGGGGAAAGGAGCTGACGGCGAAAGGTTGGAACAATTCTGCACAAACTTAGACTGAAGAAGTTTGAACAGAATTTTGAATCAGCCACGAGCGACGGTTCTTTGACATCTTCAAGTCCATGTCAAGTCGTCGGCCATATGATATGTCATTGGTGACTCGTTCTTGACAGGCAACGTGAATGATGATGATGACCTAAGTAGCCCGTCGTACATTGGTGGCTATACCATTATTGTGTGTATGACTTTCATGTCAAGTGTTTCTTCCCAGATATGCTTCTCCAACCTGTTTCATTCGGTAGTCAGGACATGCTCTGTTATTTTGCCAGACGCAGATTGCTTGACTGGGCTTCGACCCCCAATTGAGCTCGTACTGCTGTACAGACTGTCTTTTACATAGACTTGAGTATAGAAATCAAATCCAGAAAAGGATATAATCAGGTGTGGTTGAAAAGGACCTGAACTACCTTCTTTGTCAAATTCAGAAATGTAGTGGATGTGTGCGGCCTTTCTTTCAGTGTGGCCCCATGGTGTTGAATTGAAATGTATCATGACCATAGCCTTGGAGCTGGGAAAAGGCATCTCAGGGTCGACCATGAGTAAAACGGAAATCTGGAACGAAGAAAGCTGCCAGAGTTTTCTGTTTTGGCTTCACATCATCAAGCGACGAACTCTAATTCATGAGAGAGAAATGGGTATATAGAAGCAGAATACGAGGAGAAAGAGGAAGGAAAGGCAGGACTCTCTATTCGCTGGTAGAGTAAGGTGTGCTGGAATTCTGGAGGACATGCATAATTGTAATACTTATCTCAGGCTCAAAAGAAAAACATTAGACTCAAGAAAATGATTTTTGGTTTACGGAAGTGGCATATCCTTTCGACAGGCTTAGTAGACGAAGCCCCAACACTTTCAGAGCCAACTGCACCACATCATTATCATATTTCCGAGAGATCGTTGCTTTGACAGACAGAGAGAGAAGGAGGGGGGAAGGCAGGTAAGAAAGATGAAATCTAGATAACACATCACCATTCGTCATTGTGTGCTTGAGTAGACCTCCTCAGAGTGTTTGGGGCCTTTGAAACATGCTTCTTAATGTTCTGCGGTGAGAATACGGTGAGAATTCAGTATGGATTCAGTTATTTATGTCGTTTTAATCGGAAGGAACGTGCGCTTTGAGAGAAAGACCGTGCTAATTCCATTTCCAAGTGTATCCTCCAGAACATTAATGGTGATGCATACGAACTGGCTGTCTTGGGAGCACAAGCAGGATTGAAGAAATACTTCTATACGATTTGATTGCATAGTGGTACAAGTAATAATCTAGTAGAGCAGAGGTGGCAACTCTCCCCCCCTCGTTTGCATCTGAAACCCAATCACCTGCACAGAAAACGGCGAAGAGCATCAATGATCCAGAGCGAGTCTTGGGAATGGCTTGTGCATAAACCCAAGTATCATTGAGTGATTACTGATCACCATCCACCCAGCCAATTCCCCTTTATGGCACACTGCCTATGCCCGCCGTTGACCTTAATTTCCTGGAACTCGCCTTATGATGGTCTTGGTCTTCTGAGAATGATCACATCCTCGCAGTCTCTATACGACCACCCTTGGTGTCCTTCCAGGCAACGAAGCTGCTCAGAAAATATGGCTGGTATTTTAGGTACCTCCACTAGCAAATTCTCGGTGCTTCACTGTTCATGCTCAGCATCGCTTTACGTGTTTTTGCTCTCCAAGGCTTGCTTTGGTCCTAGAGATAAACTCGTTTCCAGCCGTGTATCCAGACCGAAACGCCGGTTGAGGTATCAAGAAAATCTGCTTCTTTGCCGTATGAAGAATGAAGCCGTCCATGAGGCAGAAGAGCCTTCCCAGTCGCAACTGACTGATTATAGATACGCAATGAGAGATATATGGCTGCATAATGTGACAAGATAGGTATCTTACTTCAATCCGAATCGTCGTCATCATCATCAGCTTCACCACGCTTCCGTTTTTTTGAAGAAGACTGCACCGGCTTGGGCGTTTCGTCCCTCCTCACAAAGACATAACTTCTCGCCGGGCGCTCCTCCCCCTTCCACCCGCCGCCCACCTCGCCCTGCTTGTTCCGCACGACACCCAGCGTCCGTGCGTGGTGGTACCCGGGATACGCCGAGGCCTGGAAGCGGAAGCTCCGCTCGACCTGCAGGCCCGAGTGGCGGCCCAGGTCTCGGATGTTCCAGAGGGTATAGGGCTCGCCCTCGAAAAGCGTGACGATGACCGTCCCTCCTGGTGCGAGGGAGAGCAGGGCGCGCTTGAAGAACTCGACGAGGAGCTCCTGGTTGTAGCGCACCTGGCGGTTGACGTCTGTGGACTTTCCCCCTGTGTGGGGAAAGTTGAATACTTTGACGAGAAGAAAAAAAAAAAGGTTAAGTAAAATCAAGATATTGGCGAAAGAGATGCAACTGGGTTGGTTGAATATTTCATGGGCAGAGGAGGAGAAGAAGAAGGAGGAGGAGGAGGAGGGGGCAATGTGATGGCATGGCATACTTACTTATCCTGTCAAAAATCCCCACCGACTCCTTTCCTGACTTCTTGGCCCAGGGGCCCATCTTCTTCGCGTCTACGCCGTAGATGACCTTGCCGCCTTCGCCCTCAATGATTTCTACATTTTCCTTCACATGGGAGTACTTCTCGACGAGCTCGTCCAGGTTCCGGTCCAGCACGGTGGCGGTGACGTGCTCGCAGTAGTGATGCTCGACCAGCGCCCGCGAGAAGCTGAGGTCGCCCTCGCCGACCAGAAGGATGGTCTCGTCTGCAGCGAAGGGAATGGTAGGTGTCTGGTCGCGCGTGGGCTTGGGATCTTGCGTGCTAGACTTTTTGGCGTGTGACTTGCTGGTGGTGGTGGACTTGGGAATGCTGGCCTGATGAGGACTGGGTCTGCTGCTGGGCTTTTGCTTGTGTTGCTGGATCTTGCGCTTCTTGGCCATTTTTAAATCCCAGAAAATAGGTAATTTTTTTAAATAAAAATATACTGGCTTCTTCGAATACTTCTGCAATTGTTTTATTCTGACGTCAGGAGGTGGAGGATGAGGTGGTGGTGGAGGCGCGTGTTGGTCTCTGCTTAGAGAGAGAATTTACTGTACTCAGGAGGCGAGGTCCTCCTACTCAATTCTTGGACTGTCGTCTCCCCCGTTGGCGGGCTGAATTTGGAGGAGTGGAAGTCGGTACGTACCGCCACCATAACAAGACTGGGGGGGGGGGGGGAAGAGGCAAAATTAGCATCCAGGAGTCTTACCATAAGTATATTGAGCCAATCGAAGCCGCTGTGATTAAAGTCTGCTCACCCCTGTCCAAGTGTTCGAAATAGGCCTGGCTCGACGATTTGGCACGTTTTTTCTCTCTTCTTGTCAGGGTTAGGAGCAGCGTTTGCCATGGATGGAAATTTCATTTAATTTTTCTCTATTTGAGGGAAATCTCAGAATTAATGCATGAATCATGGTCACGGCCTACAGCTCCTAGTACAGACCTTTCTTTTGTCTGTCTCTGTCTTGGTGCAAATACTACAGTAGTAGTACCCCAAGTACAAGTGGGGAGGAATTATGTGTGCGTTTGGAGCAGTGGGGCGCGGCTCAGGAGGTTTCGTTGGCTACGGAGTAAGCTGCACATTCTGAGGCGGGATCAGATCCAGGCAATAGTATCAGGGGACAGCAAACGCTGCGATGCAGGATGAGAATGGTTCTGAGCGGAGCCATTCCCCAGAAACCTGTACTTGTCATCGATGCATCTCTAGCTTTAAGGCCTGCCTGCTGCTGGGTTGGTTTGGGCCCTCAGCAGTAGTACAGTATGAACAGGGACCGCCTGAACGAAACCACCAAGCCATGGGTGTTCGTTTTGTACACCTCGGTAGTTATTGACACCCCTCCCCCCTCCAACCTCCCTCGTCGATCGCATCTGGAAAAGCACGAGGTTCCCTCCGCCTGCGAATGTTGCCATATCACTGGCGTCGTGAGAAGGAGAAGGAGAATAGCATAAAGGTCCAGAAAATGAGTTCACCTAGGAGAGATTGAGCAACGTAGATAGGACTCACCGCCCTTGTCGCTCCTAGGCCAGCGTAATTTGAGAGAGAATAGAGTTATACACACTACTTGGTTTCTCTCAAGCACATGATAATGATGGAGTGCAGATCTGGCTCGAGGTGGACAGAAAAAGAGGCGAGACAGCGTGGCCGTAGGTGTTTTGAATAGGTAAAAACCAAAGTACGTCCCTACCTCTCTCATCTTGCTACTGCTGCTGGTGTGGTGATGGAGGAGGCTCGAGTGCTGTAGAAAAATCCGTTCCGGGATGGCCGCCAAGAAGCAGGGCTGATAGCGGCACCCCCGGGGGTTCGTATTCTGGTGGTGGTTGTCTCTTACTGCAGGCTTGGAACCGACGACACTCAGCTTTCTCAGCACAGAATTGCATCAAACGCAGTCAACAACCAACTCGCTGAATGGGCTCGCGTACCTATTGTCTTTCACATTCTTTGGCCCTCATTGATCTTCCAAGCCTCAATTTATTTTACTCTTCTATCTGCAGCCTGCGACACCTTGCAGAAAGCTGGCCTCGACTCGACCTCTTACTGCGCGGCTCATACCTGTCTCCATCTTTCTCTCTCTTTCTCTCGCCTGCACCCCAGAAACCAAATCTAGCAGCGCCCAAAAGCCCGCCAGCCATCACATCACTTTTCCTTTTCCAACAGGCAACACATAACAAACACGCACACGTCCTCTCTTGCAGCTGAGAAAAAAACAACAAAGATAAACTGTTGATATTGTCAATCAGCAATCTTTTTTTTTTCCTTCATCAAGGCGATAACCCCCCTTCTGCCTTACCCTGCACGAACTCTTTCGTGTCCCTTTCAAAACCTCTCTCCCCTGTTACCCGATCTCACCTTTTTGTAACCCCGTTACCAACAACCCTTTTTTCTTTCTTTTCTTTTCTCCTCACCCTGCTCCAACTACCACCACCAATTCTATCTTGCCTCTCTGCATTTTCAGGTGAATGGCATCTACACACCATGAGTGACGCTGCTGTTCAACGCCCCAGCCCGTCCAAGCGAGGTCGCGGCAGAGGCAGGGGAGGCGGTGGCAGGGGAGCTGCGTCTGCCCGCGCCAGAGGAAAACCTGCCGCTGGCCGTCGTGGGCGCGCCAAAGTCTACGATACCACTCGTGCTCAGGCTGCCCATGAACGTCAGCGCGATCTCAGAAATGCCTACTCCTCTCTGGCGTCTGCAATGAAGCCCGCCCTCGAGGAGCTGGCTGACCGAAACTTGGACCGCCTCAAGTCCGATTTCAACGCTCACCAGGAGGTCGACCAATACAACCAGATCACCACCTTCCTCAAGGAGCGACACAGAGATCGCGTCGACGAGGTCGAAACCAAATACAACTACAGCATCGCCTGTCAGAACCACCAGATAAATGCACAAAAAGAATACACCCTGTACTCCTACCGAGTATGTCCAAATGCCCCCCCCCCCCAATCTTTTCATCTGACTGCGGGTTTTCCCCCAAAGGTTTCCCTCCCGCTTCTCGGCTGGCCTGCTAACGACCCCTGCCTTACCCACCCTCGTGCAGAATCGCTTCAGCGAAAAGGTCGAGGAATATTACGACACCTTGCTCAGACGCCTTGACATCCTTCAGCAGCTGTCCCAGAATGGAGAACCAGTTGATGTAAGCCACTTACAAGAATCCACTTCAGGCCTCTCTCTTTCTCTCTCTCTCTCTCTCTCTCTCACTCACACACACGCACACTCATTCATACTTACCAACTCCATATAGAAACCTGATGAGTCGTGGAACTACAAGTCCATCACCACCGAGGAGGCTGCCCAGCAGGGCATCTACTGCAAGATTCACAAGGGCGTCGAGGTTCCTTACCCACGCCTACACCCTGAGCTGTGTCGAGAGGAGGAGGCGGGCAAGTCCAAGACCCTTCGCACCCCCAGCAAGCGCAAGGCCGCCAACCAGCTCGAGGACGCCAACCATCCCAAAAGACCAGTGAGTGCTCTCGACGGCCAGGCTGCTGCTGCCATCCCACGTCACATTGGCGGTCTCCTCTCCGCCGTCGCCCCCGATGAGCCTGTCAGCCAGCCCCCTTCCCCCTCTCCCGTCGACGACAATGGCGACGCCGCCTCCCCCCAGGCCAATGAGCCCACCGCAGCCGCTCGCGGCAGAAAGCGGAAGCGGCTGCTGGAAGCCTCACCAGTGCCTATGGCAGCGTCTATGGCAATGGGAGACGGCGCCGAGGAGTCGGAAGCCGAAGAGGACGAGGCCATGCCGCCCCTGCCCAATGGTGCAGGTGAACCAGACGAGTACGGTGTTCGCCTCATCAACAAGAGAGCGCGGATCAACGACATGCCCAACAACCGCATCATGACCCCTCCCCTTTATGAGTATGAGAGCCATGAGATTGGTTTCCGCGACTCGACCAATGACAAGAGCCGTGGTGCCACCAAGGCGAAGCGCAGGAAGTTCCTCAACCAGCCCAATGCCGGCGCCATGTTCTTCGATCGCAACAACTCCAGCTACGATGCCACCCGCTACGCCGACGGTGACCTGGACCAGGACACCATCGCCAAGCACAACATACATCCCAAGTACGGCCTGTTCATGGAGGGCTCCGTCAATGACTCGGAACCCGCCAGGCCTTACCAGTCTGGTTGGATGCCCACCGTTTTCGTCTCCGACGACGGCAAGGTCCAACACACCTCGCGATCCATCCGCGCAGCCAAGGCGGAGGAGGCTTATGTCAAGCTCACCATGCAAAACATGATGAGGCGACACATGGAGCAGGAGGATATCAGCGAGGATGACCTGATGGACCGGGAGACGAGGCAGCTCATGAAGGAGCGCGACGAGAAGAGGCGAGAGCTGGAGCGACAGGAGGATGAGGCCCAAGATGTCCACGACCAGCAAGTCGCCGCTCACAATGTGGCCCTCCTCCTCGATGCCGCTGCGGCGTCCGAAGCCCAAGAGCTGCAAAAGACCAAGACGCAGAGTGTGTCGCCGGCCTTGTCACGCCCCTCGACCATGTCTCGACCATACGATGCGATCCGAGATGTCTTTGCTGGCTCCGACCTGCCCCCTGCCGCCGCATCCACCATTAATGCGCCTCGCTTCGAAGACGCAACAAAACTGATGGCCTTGGCAGATCTCGCGGCCCTTGAACCACGGACGGAGGCCCTGCCTATGCAAATTCCTGCTGATGCTGCTGCCCAGGAGCCTCGGCAACGAATCCCAATCCAGATGCCGGAGCCAGTCCGCCCCAAGCAACTGCGGGATCCCTCAGACCTCGAGCAGCGTGAACAACAACACGTGGTAGATTACCCTGATCCAGACAACGAGTTTGTCCCCAGGCAGATTGCCTTTTCCACCAACTTTGTCGGCCGCCAGCCAGGATATCCCATGCAGCCGCCGCCTCATGCATACCAAGAACGAGCAGTTTCCCAGAGCCCCCTGGCGCGTCCTGAGAGTTATGCATATCGCGGAGAGCTAAGTGGGCGGTACGAGCAGCAGCAGCAGCAGCAGCAGCAGCAGCAGCCGCCTAGACAGCCAATGCAGCCGCCGCAGGGCTACCTTGGGCAGCATGATGCTCAGTCCTCTGGTGCACCTCATGACAGCTATGCCTACGGAGAGCCAGAGACGTCCTACGAACAGCAGCAGCAGCCGCTTCTGAGACGGCCATCACAATTATCACAGCGATCCGAGGAGCAGTTTGCCCCTGTACGCCCTAATACTACAGATGTTGCCTTGCTGGATCCGATGCTGTTCGAGGGAGGCCAGCGCCCTGGAACCTCCCAGCTCCAAGCACCACAGCCCGAGCAGCAGCAGCCGCCCAAGTCTCAGGCCACGCACTCTGGAGGCGTGCTTCAACAGCCACAGAACAGCTTCTTTCAGACCGCGCTGAACGCACCAGGCACACCCACCTCACAGGATCTACCACAGGTATCAGAATATGGCGAGCCTTCTTCTGCCTCCCAGGCGCATTTCCCACCTGGCCCACCACCGCTGGCTTCTTCTGCTGCACCTCATCAATTTCCTGGTGGTCACGAAGGCTCTCCCGGTCGCACGCCTTTCAGCAACCCAATTGGCACCGAGAACATGCCGGTGCCCACGCTTCGGCCATTACATCGTGGTTCTGGCCCTCTTGTGGCTCCTACAGCATCTGGAGCGCAGGTTCCTCAGCACGTTATGATGACGCCAGGTGAGCCAGCAGACCCATATGCGGCCGCACCTCCGCTGCCTCCTGGCTCTGCATACCTCGACCAAGCCTACGCCCTTGACGGCTTTGGTGGCCCAGATCAACCCATCATGTCGACGGAACAGGGTCCACGGCATGGCTATATGGCCCAGCCCATGATGCACCCTTCGCAGCAGCAGCAGCAGCAGCAGCAGGCGGGCCAGGGTGGTGCATACCCTCCTCCGCATCAATCCTACCCGCCGCCAGGATCAACGGGTCCTCAGCACCCATCGCACAATGATTATTCCCCATCAGGCCCTTCTGGCCAGCCGTTCCAGAGCCCTCCTCCCTATGGTAGCAGCGGCCCAGGCGTGTCTCCGTCCCCGTCTCGGCGCAGCAACAGCATCTCGTCCAGCTCTCGAAATAACAAGCAGTACCGCGAGATCAAGCCTGCGCCTCGCCAGGCTGAGACATGGGAGCCTCCCAGCGCCGAGCTGCGCACCTTCATGTTCAATCCGTACGAGGGCATACGCGACTACCCCGCGACCGCGCCGCCGCCGACACACGGGCCCACCATGATCCGCGGCTGGACACACACCACGGGAACTAGGAAATCCCGCGGGAAGAACTCCACCGACTCACATATCGATCCTTCTCTGGGGCGAGAGGAGAAGAAGTAGGGCTCTTCTTCCCGTGTCAAGAAGGCAGTCGCGAAAGAGGGGGTGTCTGTTCAGAAGAAGACTACTTGGGCAAATGCTATAGAGAAGATGCTCGAAGACCTGAGTGATTCTGAGGACACGCCTGCAGAGGATGAGGATACGCCTATGCCGGACGCGCCTGAAGAGCACGCGCCTGTGGAGGATACGCCTGTAGAGGACATGCCTGCAGAGGACAAACCCGTGGAGGACACGCCTCTGGAGGACACGCCTCTGCAGGACACGCCTCAGCAGGACACATCTCCCTGGGACACGCGTCGAGAGGACTCACCTATGGAGGAACTGCAGTTCGAGGACATATACCAGGAAGACAGGTATCCTGAGGACGCGCTTACGGAAGAAGATTATAGCGACGAGGAACCGACACTCGAGACCCTTGAGGGCCCTGCTCAGGGAAGAAGAAACATGCTCGACATACTCTCAGGCTTTGGGGAGGCACCTCGTGCCATCAGTCCAGAGCCGACTGCCGGTACCAGCACCGGCACCAACGCAAGGCAGACATCTCCGATGACTTCGGTCTCTTCGGATGGTCGACAAGATGCGTGGGATATTACGCCTCCCGGCTCACAGGGACCGAGACCTCTGCCTCGAAGAGTTCTTGAGCTGCGACACGGGGTCAAGAAGAAGAGAAGAAGAGGGAGGAGGAGGAGCTCTCGCCGATCCCGTGATAGGGAGAGGAATAGAAATATTCCCAGGAGTCCACTTGGCCCCCAGCCCGGAAGCGGCCGTATGCCACCACCCCGGTGAGCGGATAACGAAAACATCCAAGAGATGCAACGCGACAACAGCCTGCGTCGCATCACCCTTACACAAATCGAAGGGGGAAAAACTTGATGCCTTCATCTTGGGCTTCATTGGGGGGCATCGACATCACTGTGCGAGCCATCTCAATCACCAGAGGACATAGACACTGGAGGACAGACCAGGCAGCATCAGCTGCCCACTAGATTGTTCGCCAGAGCTTGATCAGGAAGGCCCAATCCACAACAGCATCGTGGAGCTCAAGGACATGCAAGAAAAGAAAAGCGACAAAAACAAAAAAAGGAAGAGAGAAAGGGTGTGTGGGGGAATGCAAGGGACAGACACCAGAAAGGAAGGGACGATACCCCCTCAATGGCGGCTTATTTGTTGTTGGGTTTTGTTTGTATTTGACATATCACGAAGGATGATCGAACCTGCTTCGACCCCTTCTAATCTCGTTTATTTTTTTTTTCTCCCGTCCCTCTCCAGGTCTCATGGTTTGTCTTGTTTTTCCCTGGATAGGGGGGGGTTCGGGTGGCAGGTTATCATCGTGTTTGTAGGCATTTACAAGGGAATTGAAGGGAACGGGCATTATGGAAATCGGGGCCTAGGAGCCCAGCCTGACTTGATATTGAATCAAAAGATCTGCATGATCATCATCAATGTCTTGCGCGAAGTCTTTTCCCCCGTCAAATGCCGTGATACTCGGGGCTGTACAGGGGCGGGCTCCGTAATCGAGATCACAAGGCAATTCAGTAATGGCCGCCGACTTTAAGCAGCAATGGCAGCAGTCGAGACAGTAGCTGTCTTGTTCCTCTCCGCCTCCTCCAACCTCTTCAGCTCCTCCTGCTTCATCTTCTCCTGAATCTTGAGCCTCTCTGGAATCACGCCCTCACGCTCATGCGTAATCTTCCATCCTTCCAAACCATCCTCCTGCCCCAGCATCCGCAGCGTAGCCCTCTCCACCAGACTATACTGACCCTCCTCCTCCTCGCCGCTCCTGTCCAGTCTGAAGGGCTCGCGTAAGCTCACAGGCGGGTTCGTGATGATCCGCACGTTCCGCAAGCTGTTGTTGGTGCTACTATGCAGCATGAGCGGGTGCAAAAGATACACATCCCCGACGTCACCAGAGGCCTCGACATAGTCCTCATCAGCCCCCTGGCCAGAGATGCCGTTGAACCAGTCGAGGTTGCGGTAGCCCTCGGTAAAACCTGGTTCGCCGCGTGGAACCATGCGCGGGCTGACACCCTCTGGGTGGGCGTGCAGGTGGGCTGCGACTGCGCGCATGCCGGCTGGGTAGAGGGCGGTGCCGCCGCCCTGGGGGGGAATGTCGGTGAAGAGGGGCACGACTAGGAGGGCTTGCTCGGGAGAGTCTAGGTAGTGGACGAAGAAGTCACCGTCGACATGCCAACCTGTGAGGGCCTGGGGTGGGTCGGGCTGGTTCTCGTACGTGGGAGAGCCTAAGTTTACTATGAGGGAGTCGCGCCATTCCCTCGAGGTTGGGCTGATACGTTCCTGAGGTAGGTAGGGTGGTCAGGCTCAGTCTCTCTGCATGTGAAAGGAGGAGGAGGAGTGGAGACAAAACGAACCTCACCCCCGCAGAGCTCGCATATGGCAGCCCACGCACGAGGGGCAAAGTGAGCGGCATCAAAGGTCTGGTGACTTGGCATGTTGGTGCGGATGGTGTGCCAGGTAGACTTGTCGTGAGGTTCCATGCCCAGCCTGGTCCAGACGTTCTTGGTCATTTGGGCGGCTTGCTCTTTTGTAAACGCCTTGGGGATTCTGAATGCATGGTCCCTCTGTTAGTGAAATTGCTTGTACTGTGGTGTTGCGTGGGAGAAGGCTTAGGCTTCAGCAATAAGAACCTACTTGATCCAGCCGTGGTTGAGAAAGTGCTCCCTCTGCTCAGGAGTGAGAACCGGCTTAGCAGTCATCTTGATGTTGATATGTTCGTTTTCCAAGTTTCGGGAAAGAATCAAGAGAGTGTAAAAAGGTAGAAGTCCAGTCGCGGTTCACTATACAAAGGGGAGTCTTAACAAAACGGAGAGTAGATCAAGACGGAGGAGGGCCTTCTGATTTATGATGTATGATATAGTCCATTACTCCACCACCAGGGCGGCTGATGTCTCCTCTCGACGCTGTACTTGTGCGACCCCCTTCTCGGCTCAGTGCAATGATGTACAGGATCATCCTCGCCAGTATTGGACGGTGAGGGATGTAGCATGCGGGGGAAACATGCGCCACGAATTTATCCAGCCCTGTAGCGGGCATTGGATAAAGTCGCTGGCTAACTGCCTCACTGCCACTGGCTGCTGCTGGTGGTTCTAAAGGGGAAAAGTAATGATAAGAAACAACCATGTCGGTTTGACGGAGAAAAGAAAACCACAACGGTGATGATGCTGATGTTTTTGTTGCTGCCTGTATATTTTGTCCTGGGAAGGTGCCTTTGAGTATTTCTCTCCTCGCCTCTCTGGTTACTTGCTTTCCAGGTACTGTGACATGTACTGGATGTATAAGCTGTCACCGTATCATCACCTTGTCCAATTTATTGCACCAACTCTCATTCTCACCTCAAAAGAAGTACTCTTCTATTCACATATGCATCAAGAACATGTATATGGTCCTTCTTTCTCTCTTCCCTTTTTTCCTTCCTTTGCCTTACAAAAGAGGGAATAGTGACCCAAGGGCTAAGGTCCATTGATTTGCTTGAACGTACTACTGGTAGTCCGTACATTACCCGAAGTGGGCCTGAGGACATACAATAAAGTACAGTAGCGCACATACATGTAATCACATCCTGGTCCCTGCCCTCTTCCTGATTGGGACATCCAAGAGTACATTTAACAAGGTTACCCCACTATTTTCAAGCTATAGTACATAGCACGCACTGCGGTAGCAGCCGCTGCAAAGCTCCAGGCCCATGAGCTCCTCCTAGCTCTGATACTGCTGCTGTACTCGTCTCTGCTTCGACTTCCCTGATGTCGATCAACGTGACCAACAACACAGCATCTCTGCCCCTCAAGCCAGTGACTCTCTGCAACGACTTTACAAGACAGCTTTGACAGCTTTGAGGACTTACACAGCTACCGCTACAGCTACAACGACTATCTAGATCCTTTTTAGGCAACCCTCGAGGACGACAGGGCACTCAAGTAACGTACACCAAGGAGGGGTACTCTCCCGCAGTCTCAGCCCTCCTTCGATCTCAGCCCTCAACCCGCAGCCCTCAGCTCTCTGAGCTTTGCTGCAATCGGAGCAGTTCATGATCACTAGGGCTCTTCAGCTCCTACCGGTGGTCTGATTGCTGCCCACCCCTCCCGATCTCTCCTCCCAGAGTCTGCCTGCTCTTCCTTGCTCGACTGTTTGGTCTCGTACATAATCCAGCGCTCCACGCGAGAGGGCGCACGCTTCGCATCTTCCTGCCCCCTCGAGCTGCTTCACGAGTCATCCGCTTCACGTCTTCCTCTAGCAAGATTGCAGCTCACATAATATTCCCTCAAGATGTCGACAATCGCGCCTAATGCGTTGCAATCATCCAAGCCGCCGGCCGTCCCCCTCTCCTTCGAGGCCAGCCAACCCGAGACCATTCGTCTGTTCCCGCTGTCCAACTACACATTCGGCGTTAAGGAGACCCAGCCTGAGGAGGACCCCAGCGTGATGGCGCGGCTGAAGCGGCTCGAGGAGCACTATACACAACACGGCATGCGGCGTACCTGCGAGGGCATCCTCGTCTGCCACGAGCACAACCACCCGCACATCCTGATGCTGCAGATCGCAAATGCTTTCTTCAAGCTCCCTGGCGACTACCTCAAGCCCGAGGACGACGAGATCGAGGGCTTCAAGAAGCGCCTGGACGAGCGCCTCGCCCCCGTCGGCAGCCTCAGCGACGGCCAGACCGACGGCGACTGGGACGTCGGCGACTGTCTTGCCCAGTGGTGGCGGCCCAACTTCGAGACCTTCATGTACCCCTTTGTCCCCGCTCACGTCACACGTCCCAAGGAGTGCAAGAAGCTGTACATTATCCGTCTGCCCGAGTCCAGTAAGTTTCGCAAGAAGCCCCCTCCCATTGTCCTGCCGCCAGCCGCCAGGGTCTGGTCATGTAGACAAGCTGATTTTGAGCTTGCGCTCCCTGTAGAGGTCCTCAGCGTCCCCAAGAACATGAAGCTCCTAGCAGTGCCCCTCTTCGAACTCTACGACAACTCCCAGCGCTACGGGCCTCAGCTGTCCGCCATCCCCCACCTGCTCAGCCGCTACAATTTCGAGTTTGTCGACGAGAGCGGCAATGTCGTCGCACAGACTCCCTGTGGCAGAAATGCAGAGATGCCCAAGGCTAAGGTCGTGGCAGGAGACGACGTCAACATGCAGGAGGAGGGCGCTGAGTAGGTCCAGCTCTTTCTTGACGATTTAAGATGTCAAGGGGAAGAGAGCGAGGTAGAGACAGAAGTGTATAACCGTTAAGCGTGTTCACAATGTCGGGACCGTTGCCGAGGGCATTCGATGTTGCTGCTGTTATTGGCGACTAGGTCAGGTGGATGAACAAAGGGAGGCTCGAGTGATGTGAATGCATCGATATTGCAATTGGGCCTAAGGCGAGCATGGAAGCGCCGTATGTTCTAGAGCGAAGTACGAGGATCATAGGATTGAAAACAAGTTGCGGCAAGACATTTGCTGCAGAAGCTTGCTGTGCTACAGGCAAGATATGCTGATCGGCTGCTTACTCAGGGAAGGGCAGGCAGGATCGCGAAATACGCGCAACACCTTGCTTTAAAGAAGCACAACGAAGTTCGAATTTCAGCGCCATTTCTTCTATGCCTTCTCTCCTTGGATGGTTGCGACAACACGCCGTTGATGCTTCATCGCCCGAAACTCCAAGTACCATATTCCCTGCCAAGTGCCTATAGGTTTTATGTTTAGTGGGCCTTAGATCTGGTCCTCTGTGATTTGAGATATCAGAGGGGAGTGAAGGCAGGATCCGACATACCTGTTGCAAGTTTGCCGTCCCGGATCGGTATCGTGACACTCGCGCCGATAAGTGCAGACTTGATATGAGCTGGCATGTCGTCCGGTCCCTCTACCAAAGGCAGCCCGCCTTATGTCAGCAAACAACAACGATAATACAAAAAATGAGGCACTCTGAGCGATTATCTGGCGAGGCCACGTACCAGCAGAGTGTCGATATAGCTCCTCCCCCTTGGCACCGGCCTCTGGGGCTATGCGGTCCAGCGCATCGCTCATGTCGGCGCGCACATCGTCGTCCCAGTTCTCGTTCAGCGAGAGCGCGCAGCTCGTGTGCTGGATGAAGAGGTTCAGCAGCCCGACCTTGTAATTCTTGATCTCGGGCAGCGAGCTGACGACGTGGTCGGTGATGAGGTAGGACCCGCGGCTCTTGCTGGGGAGGGTGAACTGCTTCTGGTACCAGGAGCCCATGGCGAGACTTGGTTCGCAGGACAGACAGTCGGGCGACGGTGCTTCGGTCGTTGTGGGATTGGAAGAGAGCGGCGAAGAGGGCAAAAGGCTTAGTGGAAGGGTCCAGAGGTAGTGGAAGAGTCCAGGGAAGAAAGCGATCAGGATGAGTAGAAAAAAGATAAGTGTTGTTGTGTGTGAGGCTTGTGGTGAGGCTCTGTTTGTCGTAGGCATGGTGCAGTGGGTATAATTACTCGTAGCAAGTAGCTTTGATGGGGGGGGGGGGGGTTGAGATGCAGTGGACGTCATTCGTGGGGCTTGCACGCCACCTACACCAGCGAAGTGCGGGGAGCCACTGTTATGCTATAGTACTATTATCGTAGTAGGGGTCGAAATTTACAGGGGCCGGGGGTGGCCCTGGAGACTTGTCGTTGGGCTGGCGGCTGAAGTAGCATTCACCGATGACATCTTAATTCTCAACGCCCAAAAGTTTAAGACTGTCCTACCTCTTTCCTTTTTCCCTTTTTACTCCTCATCCTGCTCTTTTTATCACCAGCCACATACGTCAACTCTCGCAGCTTTGAGAATCATCGCCCACTCGGCCAAGATGAGCGACAATGAAGAGTTCGAGATCGAGCAACCCGAGTTGGCGGAAGATGACCCGATGCGAGCATTTCTGCCGGCGTCCTTTGGCAAGAGGTCAAAAGAAGCAGACATCGCCGCACAGATAGACCGCAGCCGGCGGGGAGCAGAAAAGCCCAAAGCTGCACAGACACAACAGGTGAAAGACGAACCATCGAGAGGAGGAGACTCCAACGCAGATTCTGATGGCGGCGACAGCGACGACGACGACGATGATGACGATGACGACTCCTCGGACGATGACGAAGACGAGTACCCCGTGTCACACGAGCTGGTGCTCAAGACCCACGAGCGGACGGTCACCAGCGTGTCGCTGGACCCCGCCGGGTCGAGGCTGGCCACGGGGTCGCTGGACGGCACGGTGAAACTGCACGACTTCGCCTCCATGACACCGACGACCCTTCGCGCCTTCCGCAGCGTCGACCTGTGGAAGACAAAGAGCTCCGCCGCGGCCGAGTCGTACCCGGTCAACCTCGTGCAATTCAACCCGCTGTCTGGCGGCACGTTCCTATGCGTCTCGGCACACCCACAGGCCAAGATCGTGTCGAGGGATGGTGACATTCTTACAGAGTTTGTCAAGGGAGACATGTACCTGCGGGATATGCATAACACCAAAGGGCACGTCTCCGAGGTCACCACGGGCACCTGGCATCCTACGGACAGGAACCTGTGTGTCACAGCAGGCACGGACAGCACGCTGCGGATATGGGACGTCAATAACAAGAGGAGTCAGAAAGATGTCATCGTCTTCAAGTCAAAAGCCGCCGGGGCAGCAGGGAGGACAAGGATGACTGCGGTGGCGTGGGGGGCGCCGGCCTCTGGGGGCAGCAACGTGCTGGTCGCGGCTGCGCTGGACGGGTCACTGGTCTTGTACGGCGGAGATGGACCATTTACTAGACCGACAGGAGAGATCAGCGCTGCGCACAAGGCTGATACCTGGACCGGAGGTGTGGACATCAGCTCAGACGGTCGCATGGTCGTTACTAGGGGCGGAGACAACACCATCAAGTTGTGGGACACGCGCAAGTTTAAGCAGCCGCTGGTGTCGGTTGACCACCCATCGACGTCCGATAAGTTCGCCATGACGAACATCAAGTACGCGCCGAACTCGACAAGCATTATCACTGGCTCGGCATCCGGACACCTACACATCCTCAACCCAGGCAATCTAAAGCCAGAACATGTCACACCGATCACGCCCGGCGCGCCACTCATCGTGGTCGATTGGCACGCAAAGCTTAATCAGATTGTCACGGGCTCCGCGAACGGCGAGACTCATGTCCTCTACAATCCCACCATCTCGCAGCGCGGTGCGGTGGACGTGATGAGCAAGGCTCCCAAGAAGCGCCATATCGACGACAACCCGTCCATGACCATGGACCAGACCCTAGGTCTCTCTGGCGATAGCATTGTCAGCCCTGCTGCCCTTTCAGCACAACAACGGAGGAGCGCCAAGGCTGGGGTTACAGCCACGGGCAGGTCGCTGGATCCTCGGAGACCACAGGTGCAGCAGATCACACCATTCATGCGAAGCCAGCCCGATGAGAAGCATATCGAGGAGAACATTCCGCTGTCAAAGATGCTGCACGAGGACCCGAGAGAGGCACTGCTTAAGTATGCAGATGTCGCGAAGAAGGACCCGCTCTTCACAAATGCGTGGAAGGAAACGCAGCCCGTGACGCAGTATGCAGAGTTGAGTGACGAGGAGCAGGAGGAGGGGCCAGATAAGAAGAGGGTGAAGAGATAGATAGAGCTCTCCCCCCCCCTTCTCCTGGCAAAACGTGGGGCTATTGGAATGTTTCAAAGGGTCAAAAGCCACTATCAAAGGTGGCCGTTGCCGCATGGTTTGGTAATTCTGGTAGTGCTGATGGTTCTGAGACCCTAGTGTGGTACCGCCCTCCTTACGCCGCCTCCTTACTACTGATACTTGTATGGTAGTAGCTGTCCAGTGCTGTCTTAGTTATCCGACCCCCCTGAGCTGATGCTTGCGGCGCAGAGGCCTCTTTCGGTGGAGACTCCGAGAGTTTAGTAAGCAGATACAGCCTTTGATTGGTGGGTGTGGCCCACTTAGTGGCTGGTCCGTGTCATCCGTGCATAATTGTTAGTGCCTCAGGAATCAAGTTTTTGACCAGGCCTGCCATTGCCGCCCGCGCGCGAGTTGTGGTCAATCCATTCTCAATCACCACAGCGGACGGTGACTCCATCGAAAGCGAAGCCTGCGCATCGCCAAAACAGCTTGGATTCATCGATAAACCATCTCAAGCTGCCCTGCAAACTTCACGGCACGCGATTTTTTCGCGCCATTCCTGCAGGCACTGGCCTTACCGCCCCCCTTTTAGGCCTGTTTTTTTCACATTTCCTTCCGTTCACTCGCCTGTTCCCTCCACCCCCAAGCAGCCACTGCCTACCTACCTTTCACCACCCACGCACGCAGCCTGCGCCCAAAAACCCCCCACTGCAGCCAACCAGCAGCACCCGCCTTGTCGCATCGCATCGCATCGCATCGGACCTCGAGGCTTGCCCCAGGGTGCAACTGTGACTTTTAGCTTCCAACGATTCACCCTCCCCCTCCCCCCTCGACGCGATAATTTCGTTATCGCATCCCATCGCTCAACGACTTTTGACGGTCACCGCGTTTTTTTCACCTGGCTCGGTCAAGGAGTCCCCCCACTCCCTGACACGTCTGCTCATCAACCAGCGACGCGCCCACAGTGACACTCGACATCTTCGCGTCGCCTCTTTCGGACCTGATCTTGACCACATCACGCTTTGTATCAATTGTCTCTCTACCAACTGAGCGCGTTGCTTGATGGATCTGCGACCAGAATAATATTTGGCCCTTGGTGTCACCCAGAAATTCCTACTCTTGAAGTGTCCGACTCCGTGCCGAACCAAATCATGGCTTCAGTTCAGCCTGCGGGCCCGGTACATATGCCGGGCGCTGGTCTCCCCAGCTTGCCCTCCAATCTGACCCAGCAGCAGGTCAAAGATGTCTACCAGGTATGCTCGCCAATGCGGCTCCCCTGCGCGTTCGCCCTCTGAAGTCTGGCTCGGCATGCTGACACACTGTAGAAATTCCAAGAGATGAAAAAGAACAACACGCCTACGACCGATCCCGAGTTCATCAAAACATCAAATTTCCTGGCGAGCTTTCAGCAACATCAGCGCATGCGGGCGAAACAGCTTGAGTACCAGAAGATGCAGCAGTCCCAGCAGCAGCAGCATCAGCAACAACAGCAGCATCAGCAACAGCAGCAGCAGCAGCAGCAGCAGCAGCAGCAGCAGCAACAACACCAACAGCAACAGCAGCAGCAGGGCGCCGTTGCTAACGGTGCTATAACAGATGGTCAAATAGGTGCCAACGGCGTGCAGCCGGGTCCACAGGCCTCGCCGTCTTCAACCTCCCTTGGGGCTTCAGCTCTTCCCGCCGCGTCTGGAGACGCTTCAAATGCGGCTGCCTCGTCAACTTCAAGTGCTGGCACGGGCCAGTTCACGCAGGCACACCTTACTCTACTTAGGCAGCAGATCGCGGCCTTCAAGTACCTGAGCAGAAACTTTGGAGTACCCGCACAGATGCAAAATGCCCTTTTTGCACACCGACAGCGGCGCCAGGCTTTGGTCGCGCAGCAAATATCTCAACCGTCGTCGACCCCGACCACACAACAAACGCCAGGCAAGGCTGGTCCGAGTGGATCGGAGCCGCCAAAGCCCGAAGAAGCCGCTCAGAAGCCTCCTGCGCATGAGTTCAAGACGCTGAAACGGCCTGATACGATGCTGGCGGATACCGTCAGCTTCTTCAAGCATGCACGGCGGGACCAGCGGCTGTTCATTCCTGGCCTCTTCCCGCCGGGTGTTGATTTTGACCAGCTGAGGGCGGACCGGGAGAAGATCATGTTCAGCAGGATGAGTGCCCGGTTCCACGAGTTGAAAAATCAACCAAGCAACCTGGCACACTGGGACACCTCCGAGGATAGCCTCGAGGTTGATGACAGCCTCAGGCGGAAGGCCATCATCGAGATGAAATCAATCGCGTTGTACTCCAAGCAGAGGAGACTGCGTGAGCTGATTGGGCGGCAGATGATGCAGTACGACAACCTCGCGACCACGACAAACCGCAGCCAGTACCGCAGGCTCAAGAAGCAGAGTGTGCGTGAGGCTCGCATCACCGAGAAGCTGGAGAAGCAGCAGCGTGACGCAAGGGAGAACCGTGAGAAGAAGAAGCACTCTGACTTCCTGCACGCCGTGTTCAACCACAGGCATGAGATCCTGTCGACCGGCGCCAGCCAGCAGAATAAGATGGGCAAAATGGGCAAGCTCATGTACAACCACCACTTCAACATCGAGAAGGAAGAGCAGAAACGTATTGAGCGGAATGCCAAGCAGCGTCTGCAGGCTCTCAAGGCCAACGACGAGGAGGCATATCTCAAGCTGCTCGACCAGGCCAAGGATACGCGTATCACTCACCTGCTCAAGCAGACAGACGGCTTCTTGGGGCAGCTCGCCTCGTCCGTCAAGGCCCAGCAACGGTCTGCCGCAGAGCGTTACGGCGACGAGTCCGGCGAATTCCTCAACGAGGAGGAGAGCGAAGACGAGGAAGAGGAAGAGGAGAACAGAGGCAAGATCGATTACTATGCTGTTGCTCATCGCATCAAGGAAGAAGTGACCGAACAGGCTAGCATCCTGGTGGGTGGTCGGCTCAAGGAGTACCAGGTCAAGGGTCTGCAGTGGATGATATCACTGTACAACAACAACCTGAACGGTATTCTTGCAGACGAAATGGGTCTCGGCAAGACGATCCAGACCATCAGCTTGGTCACCTACCTGATCGAAAAGAAGCAGCAGCTCGGTCCTTACCTCGTTATCGTCCCGCTCAGTACGTTGACGAACTGGAATCTCGAGTTCGACAAGTGGGCTCCGACGGTCAGTAAGGTGGTGTACAAGGGGCCGCCCAATACTCGAAAGTTGCAGCAGGATAAGATCCGCCAGGGGAGATTTCAGGTTCTGCTCACCACCTACGAATACATCATCAAGGATCGCAACATTCTTAGCAAGATCAAGTGGTTCCACATGATTATCGACGAAGGTCACCGCATGAAGAACGCCAACTCGAAGCTCAGCGCAACCATCCAGCAATACTACTCGACCCGTTTCCGTCTCATCCTCACGGGAACTCCTCTCCAGAACAACTTGGCAGAACTCTGGGCCATGCTCAACTTCACACTACCAAACATCTTTAAGTCAGCCAAGACTTTCGACGAGTGGTTCAACACTCCCTTTGCCAACACTGGAAGCCAAGACAAGATGGAGCTGACAGAAGAAGAGCAAATCCTTGTCATTCGACGTCTGCACAAGGTTCTGCGCCCCTTCCTGCTCCGTCGTCTGAAGAAGGACGTGGAGAAGGACCTGCCTGACAAGACCGAGAAGGTCGTCAAGTGCAAGTTCTCTGCCCTGCAAGCTCGCTTGTACAAGCAGATGTTCTTCCACAACAAGTTCGCTGTCAGCGATGGTAAGGGTGGCAAGACGACAGCAAAGGGTCTGAGCAACATGATGATGCAGCTCCGGAAGCTCTGCAACCACCCGTTCGTCTTTGATGAGGTCGAGAACCAGATGAATCCGGCCAATACATCCAACGATCTGCTGTGGAGGACTTGCGGCAAGTTCGAGCTGCTTGATCGTATCCTGCCAAAGTACCAAGCCACAGGCCATCGTGTTCTCATGTTCTTCCAGATGACGGCCATCATGGATATCATGGAGGATTTCCTTCGGCTGCGAAACATTCAGTTCCTCCGCCTCGACGGTACGACCAAGTCGGACGAGCGTAGTGATCTGCTTTATGAGTTCAACCGGCCCGACTCGCCATACTTCATGTTCCTGCTCTCGACTCGTGCCGGTGGTCTTGGTCTCAACCTCCAGACTGCTGATACTGTCATTATCTATGATTCCGATTGGAACCCTCATCAGGATTTGCAGGCTCAGGATCGTGCGCATCGTATTGGGCAAAAGAACGAGGTCCGCATCCTGCGTCTGATCAGCTCGAACTCTGTTGAGGAGAAGATCCTGGAGCGAGCTAGGTACAAACTCGACATGGACGGCAAGGTTATCCAGGCAGGTCGTTTCGATCACAAGTCTTCCGAGACTGAACGTGATGCCATGCTCCGGACGTTGCTTGAATCTGCAGACCTCGCCGAGGCTGGCGAGCAGGAGGAGATGGACGACGAGGAGCTGAACATGATCCTCGCGCGTAATGATGACGAGCTCGTGACCTTCCAGAAGCTTGACGAGGAAAGATCAAAGGACCTCACCTACGGAAATGTGCCGGGGTCCAAGAAAGTTCCCCGCCTTATGACGGAAGACGAACTGCCGGACATTTACCTCAACGAGGACAATCCAGAGCAGCCGGAAGAGACGGACACAATCCTCGGACGCGGTGCCCGTGAAAGGACGAAGGTGCGGTATGATGATGGCCTGACTGAAGAGCAATGGCTTATGGCTGTCGATGATGATGATGACTCGCCCGAGGCAGCGGCTGCTAGGAAACAAGCCCGCAAGGACAAACGGGAGCAGAACAGGATGAAGAAGATCGGTGTGCTGAACGGTTCCGAAGGTTCTCCTGCGGCCAGCAGAGCTAGCAGCGAAGAGCCTCCAGAGACACCCGCTAAGAAACGTGGCCGCAAGTCCGGCGGCAAGAATGAGAAGAGGAAGGCGGAGGAAGGCGACGATGAGCCTCCGCCAAAGAAGCGCCGGGGTCCGCAAGGTCGAGTCAAGGCCGTTGCTGCGGCCAGCGGGGAGCAGAAGATGAGCCTTGAACAGCGTGCGCTGCTGCAAAGAAGCCTGCGCTCTCTCTTTGACAAATTGATGAACCTGGAGGTAGACGACCCTGACCCGGAGCCGGAGGAGGACGATAAGGACGACGACGACGAGCCTCCGAAGCGTCTGATCATTGGGCCGTTTATCAAACTGCCTCCTAAGAGAGACTATGCCGACTACTACGTCGTCATCCAGAGTCCTATCTGCATGAACCACATTGAGAAGAAGATCAAGAAGGAGGAATACAACAGCCTCAGCGACATGCGCAAGGACATCGAGCTCATGTGTAACAACTGCAGAACCTACAACGATGACAGTGCACTGATCCACATGGACGCCACAACCATTCAGGTGAGTTTTGAGCATGAAGCCATGGGGCGCCTTGGACGAACTGGGCTTGACTAACGCTCTCGATAGAACTTCTTCACGAAAGAGTATGAGCAGCTGCTACAGGACAACCAGGATTTGAATGAGCTGGAGGATTCGTCGTCGCAGAAGGAGACATCTGCACCGCCCACGACGAGTGCGGGCACTCCACAGCCCCGCATCAGGCTGATCAACAACTCAGCCAACAACACCAATGGCGCGGCAAGCAGCGCTGCTCGTAGCGAGGACGGCGATGACTAGCAGGACGACGTGATTGTTGACTTCTCCAAGTATGATTGCATCTGCGTTCGCGTGGAGGGGCAGGAGTTAGACTGGGCGGGCGGGACGGACTTGTCTGCGGCACCATTGCATTTTGGTTCATGAGGCGTCTTTGGCAGGGTGCGGTTTGAAAGGGAAATACCATGAAGGTTAGGGCCGGTTTGATTAGGAAGCGTGAGGGCTTGCCTTGTACATAGAAACTGCACTGCACTACATTACACTATACTACAACTACACTACACTACACTTACTCGCTCATCCATCCAACCACCACCCAGTTTGTCGAGGAGAGCTTTACTTGCAGCTGCTGCCTGCCTGCCCCGGCCGGGCCATGGCGGAGGCGGCAGCGGCGCTGCTTGTAATTGTGGCTCCTGGGGTAATGCTATAGTGGGAGGAGAGGAGGAGGGGCCACAGCATCGTTCCCCCTTTTATGGTGTGGATCAGGAGAGTGCCTCATTCTTCTTTCGCAGGTTGTTCCAGACCATAATATATTCATAATCGTTGTACATAAAAAAGGTTCGGTGGTGGATGGTGTATGATGAAGGTACAATTGGGTGAGACTAGAACACGATCATGGAGCAGGAGATTCCCAGCGTAGGTTATGTATGCTTGCAAGCTGGACTGAACTAATTAAGTACTTGTAGATAGCTTGCGTAGAGGAAGGTTGGATGTACGTGGTGGGGGGGAGGGGGTTTAGTGGGATACAGTAGAGAAGAGGGTCCAGCCGCGCCGTGGTCAGGCAAGGTCCTTTAAATTGACGTCCCGCTGCAGCCAAGCTACCCTGAACCTAGCCTGGCCACCTGCACCTATTCCGTAACTGACACTGCCCCTTTACCTTCTCTTGTGTCTTACTACCTCAACACTTGTTTCTTTTCACTTTACCTCACCTACTACTACCTACCTTCGCTCTGGTCTGCTGTGTCTTGCTGGCTGTTGCTGACAGCAGCATTCGATTATTGTCTTATCTCTTTCTTTCTTCTTTCAGTACAAGCTCTTCCCCACCAAGGAGTTTATTGCGACAATGGCTGGCCGGTTCGTGCGCGCGTCCAAGTATCGTAAGTCTCCACCTGCATCTATGACCGTGGCCGCCCCTCGAGGCACGCGAGCAGGCAGCAGGCGCCCAAGCAGACGGACCTCGAGGGAGATGCTTGGTCGCTTTGCCATACGGGAATCGGAACTGGCTGGCTGACAACGACTGGGCGCCATTGGTATGATACAGGACACGTCTTCGGAAAGCCGACCAGGAAGGAGTTCTGCTACGATAACCTCCATATCAGTAGGAATGCCTGGGACACGAACCTCATAAAGTACGAAACCTGCAGCCTCACTCCCTCCCCATACGCGCATTGTTTGGCCTCTTTTGACGGGTAGCTGACGTTCTTTGTTCCTTTTGTCTTTTTCTAGGGCGAATCCCGAGTACCTCTCCGTCAATTGGGAGTCTGGCGGCGGCGGCGCGTTCGCGGTCATTCCTCTCAACGAGCGCGGAAAGCTGCCTGATCAGATACCGCTGTTTCGCGGCCACACTGCCGTGGTGCTGGATACGGACTGGTAAGAGAGAGAGAGAGAGAGAGAGAGAGAGAGAGAGAGAGAAAGAGAAGGGCTCCCTTGCAATTTGGCTGGCAGCACGTGCCGTGTCATGTCCTGCTCTTCTTCTTTGTGCTGACTTGGGTGGCCTTCCTCGTTTTGCAGGCACCCCTTCAACGACCACATTATCGCATCCGGTTCCGACGATGGCAAGATCTTCATATGGCAGGTCCCGCAGAACTTCACCCTCTTCACTGACGCCGAGGAGCCTGCTGATGTTGCGCCCGTGAGCAAGCTGACTGGCCATACGAGGTATGAGCGCCCACACAGTAGAGCCGCCGACAAGAGGAGGGGCAGACATGCCTACAAGGCCCATACATGCGTGTAGATGATGATGACAAGAGCTCTGACAAGCATGCAGAAAGGTCGGTCAAGTCCTCTTCAATCCCGCCGCCGAGAACATCCTCGCCTCTGCCTCTGGCGACTACACCATCAAGCTGTGGGACATTGGCACCGGCCAAGCCCCACTGAAGCTCCAGCACAACGACATCGTCCAGTCCCTTTCGTGGAACGCGAGCGGTAACCTGCTCGTAACGACCTCGAGGGACAAGAAGCTGCGCGTGTGGGATGTCCGCCAGGAGAAGCCCGCGCACGTGGGACCAGGCCACGAGGGCGCAAAGAACAGCCGCGCTGTGTGGATGGGCGAGCACAACCGTATTGCGACCACGGGCTTCTCGCGCATGAGTGATCGCCAGATCGCACTGTGGGAGCCCGGTCAGGACAAGCCCATCGGTGGGTTCACGAACCTGGACTCGATCTCAGGCGTGTGTATGCCGTTCTGGGATGACGGCACCAACTGCCTTTACCTTGCCGGCAAGGGGTGAGTGGAACAATGCAAATGAACCCCTTCATCAAGAAGAAAGAAGAAACCCCCAAACAGAAAGTAGACATGTGCTGACAACATTCATCCGCGCGCAGTGATGGCAATATCCGCTACTTCGAGTACGAAAACGACAAGTTCGAGTTCCTGTCCGAGTACAAGTCTGGAGACCCACAAAGAGGCGTTGCTTTCCTCCCTAAGCGCGGTGTGAACGTGAGTAATTGGCTCCTGGCTGTCTATACTTCAGCACGTTGCTGATAGAAAAAAAAATATGCTGATCCTGGGATGTAGCTGCACGAGAACGAGGTCATGCGCGGGTTCAAGACCGTCAACGACCTTTACATTGAACCTATCTCGTTCACCGTTCCTCGCCGGGCCGAGACCTTCCAGTCCGACATCTACCCACCATGCACAGGTCTCAAGCCTGCCATGTCCGCGCAAGACTGGCTCTCGGGAAAGACGGGCCTGCCTGCCAAGATCGACCTCGAGAGCGTGTACGAGGGCAATGCTCCCAAAGAGGTCGCTGCCGACTACAAGCCTCCTTCAGCGGCACCGGCGTCCGCTCCTAGCCCTGCTGCTAAGCCTGCGCCCAAGGAACCCGAGCCGTCGCCCGTCGCTGCCCGCGCACCTCCGCCGTCCATGGCGCAGCAGAAGGGCTCCATGGCTGCGGCAGCGTCCAGGTTCGCTGACAAGGACGACGAGGAGGACGACGAGGCCGAGACCTCGAGCTTTGAGGAGGTGCAGAAGCCCACACCGAGAGCCTCCCTGCCCATCCGCTCAGAACCCGCAAAGCCAGCGTCTCCCCTCAAGAGCAGCGCGCCGGCCGCCTCCATATCACAAGGCCAGCCTCCTTCGCCGGTCAAGGCCACACCACCAGCAGCGTCGGTGCCTCAGGCCTCCTCCTCATCCTCTGGACTGCACACGCCCTCGGTCGAGACGTCGCTGGAGCAGATCAAGCAGCTCATCGAGGCCCAGACCAAGATCATCACGGCGCAGGGCGACAAGCTGAACAAGCAGAGCGAGGCGATCAGCCAGCTCACGGGCGAGGTCGAGACGCTCAAGAAGAGAGTGGTTTCGGCAGGGAGCAGCCAGGACCAGGTCGAGAGGATCCGTCAGCTGGAGCTAGAGCTGGAAGAGGCGAGGTCTTGAAAGGAATTCCCGCCGGGAGGAGGTTAGGAAAAGAGGGGGAGGGGGGCACGACCGTTCTTGCAACTTTGCAACGTTGAGCATGCTGTCGAGTGTGTTTTCTGTGTGTGATTGGCACTCCCAAAGGCCGAGAGAAAAGAAGAAAGGGACAAATCGTACCGCCAGAAGAGGGAGAAAGAGAGGTCTTGCCTTTTTTGTACTTATACTCGGTGCGTGAAAGAGAGGGGGAGAGTGAGTCAGTGACAATAAAATCCCAGAAGCCAGGGCGGAGTTAGCATGGTCCAAATACGTGCATTTGATCCGTTCGCCTGACGTATCGTGTTGTAGCAGTAGTTATGCATTCCAAAGAAGAAAGAAAGAAAAAGAGGGGAAGAAGTGAGCAGAAGGGAAGGAAGAGACCCCCCCCCCCCTAAAAAAAAAAACCCCCCACAAAAAAACCAGAAATATAAATGTAGAAGCAGAAGCCACTCGCGTCAATACATTAATACCCATACCTATGTTCCTTCGACATGCTCGTAGACGCGTTATATGGCTCGACCTCCAAATCCGCTGAAGAAATGCTTGACGGTTATAGCAATTCTACTGCGGTGTACATTGCCCCACACAACGCCCTTGTCCGTCACCATACTGCCCATTCTCCATTTACCATTTTGAAGGATTAATTTGGGTTACTTGAGTACTTATGTTTTAATTCAGCATGCTCTCCCTTGGACCATGTTGTCAGCACTCGCCTTCTTTTTCCCCCTCTCCCGTCAGGTTTCCCAACTGGGTCAACCGAGGAAGGCGCTTCCAGGTCAGGGCCGCTCCTGTCACAGCCACGGAACGGCTAGAGAGCCGCTGCGAGGATAATCCTGGCCAGCTGCAGTTGACGTTCAGGCTCTTGCTTATATCAACAACAACTAAAAATGGGAAAAGGGGGGGGCGCTTTCCCCCTTCGTTGTTGATTCTCCGACCTAACCTAGTTTACCTTTCTGCATCCTTCTCTCCATTCAACGACCAACGTTCGACTTATTTCTTTTTCTCCACAAGCAGAGACTTATCAGAGAGAATATGGAGACTCCTCTCGCGCCGGAACGGAACGGGACCCGCGACCAGTCGATGTGTGATGGGCTTGCGGGGGAGGATCAGCGGGCCGATGCGATTCGCGACTGCGAAACAGGGCTTACAGTCCCCCCTCCTCCTCCACATTTGTGCCTTGGCGGTGGTCTTGAGGATGAAAAGCAAAGAAGAGCAAAGAATATCGTGCTCATTACCCTTGCTGGCAAGGCCAGATCTAATGGGTCTTCTTGTACTATGGTACCAGAAAGCGGTTTCTGGATGATGAATATCCACTGGGCGAGTTGCCTGCCTGGCTGGCATGCGTTCGGAAAGAGCAGCGACGAAAGCAAAGTTGTTTCGTTGCCTGCGCCAGCTGCGTCAAGAGCCTACATTAGGTCTTCCTTGATCTGTTATTTGTTTCTCCTTTCATTCTGCCTGCTCTTTTCGCACTGCTATGGCTTGCCACACCATCTCGAGAGTACCCCAGAAGGCCTGACCAGGACGAGAAGTACTCGTTCCGGGTCCTGTCATCTTTACACTCCTTCTGAACGGGCCTGTCTTTGCGTCCCTGTCTGTACTGGAAGCCACTGTGGCAAACGTAAAAGTACCATGCATGGTTTTGTGGCACATGCAATTCAGATGAGAAAAGGTGGGCCTCTTGGGGGGGAGGCATTAACAGATGCCCACCAGAACGGTGCGACACGGTCAAACGGATCATCAGACCATAATACCAGCGGTGTGTGCTCTTGGAGGTAGACTGGGTATAATTATGGTAGCAGGCCCCAGTCACTGCTGCTGCAGCACCCCAAGCGGGCCTTCATCCCTCGGCATACATACCCCGTTCACGTACGTTACAAAAAGATGCAGGAAGCGGGGCTTGAGACCTTCATAATGTAGTGTTCTGGTGGGGTCTACCAGTGTTGACCTTGAAATGCTCATGGGCAATTAAGATACTTGGTACGGAGGTTGTCCTTGGGTCTTAGGAAGGAAACCCCAGCCAGAAGCGCAGATCACCGAGCCCTCCAAAGAGGGCAGCACATCAATGAGAGAGCTCGCCTCTTTGTGCTGATCACCAGAGGGTGTACTGTTTCCACCTATTCCACCCATCCAAAACCACCTCAGGGGGGAGGGTTGATCCAATGATCATCTTTCAGCATGTCCAGCCACCATCGACTGAGAGGTTCTCTCCCGAGATGAAGGAGGACCAATCGCTCAGCATGAAGAGGACGGGCTGTGCCTGCTCGTGTGCGTGCGAGACACGCTTCTGGATAGTATGAGCTGTCACGTCGACCATCTCACGGCCGCTCGCCTTGAGTCGGTTTGTTGCATTTTCCAGCATGGCTGTCCAGGTATGGCCGGGGCTCGTGGCATTGATTCTTATCCCTTTGGGTCCATACTCCTTAGCCACGGCCCTGGTGAGTCCCAACACACCGTGCTTGGAGGCTGTATAGGGGGCGTTGGCCTCTGTTACAAGGTCAGCCCGGTGGGTATTGATAGTATTTTGCAGACCACTCGACAGGGGGGACAGGACAGGAAGGGCAGATAGAGATGCAGAGAGGAGGGTGGGGGAGCGAAGGCACGTGTGTGACAATACGTACCAAGACCGACTTTACTCAGGATGCTGGCGACGTTGACGATAACAGCACCCCGCTCCATCCTCTTCAGCTCGGAACGCATACAGTTGAACACACCGGTCAGGTTGGCGTTGATCACGGTGTGCCATGTCGACGTCTTCATTTCTGTGATGGGCACAGCCTCAGGGGCCTCGAGGGCTGCGGCGTTGACTGAAGGAAGTGGGGGAGGGAGGCAAATAAGTCAGTCGCCTCTTCTTAACCCTGCTTGTTTCGAATCACCTGTTTTTTTTTGACTAACCAGCGCCGTCCAGCTTCCCAAACTTGTCCACAGTGGCCTGGATCCAGGCGTCCACCGCATCCTCATCTACCAGGTCCAGGCTGTACGACAGTACACCGTCCCTGCCGTAATGAGACAACGAGGCGACCTCAGCTTCGTTCTTGGCCAAACGCTCCTTATTGCGTCCACAGAAAGACACGTATGCGCCGAAGGAGGCCAGTGCGAGGGCAACCGAGAATCCCATGCCAGAGGAGCCCCCCGTAATAGCATAAACTTTACCTCGAAAGCTCGACTCAAGAGTGACCTGCTCCGGCCGCAGGCCGACGGCACTTGATCCGTTGGTACCGTTGGTATCAGTCATTGTTGGTTGTTTGCGCTGGTATCTTCTTTTTGCTAGAGTTGCAAAGCCTGTGTATGGTCCGTGTAGCCGTTTCTTTGCAGCACTGTTTTGTGCATCAAAGAGTTGGGTCTGATTGAAAAGGTTATTAATTCACCCTTCGCGATGCGAACTCCTTTGGACCTCCTTTATTTCCTTTGGGGGGGGAGGGGGGAGCAGACGAGCAGTCCGCCCAACACACATATGGATTGTGGTGACACAGTGGAGTCACGCCCATGAAAGGGCCGAAAGATATCCAGTCCTCCCAGGCTTTTCCTTTCCAGAACGATCACCACTGGATGCTAGAACCTGAGATGGTAAACCCGTGTCTTGTCCGGGCTGCGGTGGATCTCCGGCTCCTACTCCGTTGAGTTCCTGGAGAGCAGTGTGGAGTCAGGGGAGTTCAAGACGTTGCGCAGCTGCTGCAACGTCGATGGGTCGGTCCGCCGGCAATCATCAGGGAAACGCATCCTTATTACCATAGCGAGTACCAGCTGCCGGCACCCCACTCCAGTTAGTCATCGTCATCGTGGTTCGATGTCTGTTTCCTGCTAACCATATTCTTCATCATAGGGTGCTCATCTCAATGGAGGTGACGAAGGGTTGGTACGCCCTGAATTGGCATTGTTGAGGTGGAGAAGGAAACATTCGAGCACACCAGTGACAAGTTATGAATTAGAAGGAATACCTTGTAGGCCCACACCACGGCATTTTCCCCCCCTTCTTCCCAACTTGACCTATCGGATTCGGCTCCCATGAAGTCGCGAATTATCCCTAGTCGTCCAGGGTCACTTTCACATTGTTATAATCTCAATCACGCCGAGATGTTGAGTGGTTGGATCTGCGAGGACCCTCTGCGTCGCCTCGATCGCACTCCGGGCTCTCCCTCTCTATCAACTTCTTCGTTAATCTTGAGGCTTCTTTACGACATACACAACAATACAGATCACGAGGCGATGGGGGGAGGGATGGGTGATCTCGATCCTCCATACGAACTTGACATCAATTGTGCTCCCTCGAAATATTGACGGAACATTGTACGCTTCACGTCTGTCCATCAGGGGCCTTTCCTCCTCCCCTCTCGGCGGAGACGAAGTTGCTGTCGGTGTTACATGAACATTCTGCAACTATACACCAACACCAACACCACCAACACCACCACTACCACCACCTCCTCCTCCTCTTCCTCTTCCCAGCCCAAGGTCTAATCAGTCAGACACACTGAACTTCTCATATCGTGGCCATGGAGACTTTCGCCCCGGTGGCGGCTATAGTGGCGGCAGAAGCCGCAAATATCACGCCTGGCATACCTCCTCCAGCCGGCGTGGTTTCCAACTTCGTCGACCCAGAGGACATTTCAGGACCAGTGTACAGAGCAGGATACGCAACCACCAGTATAGCATTGTATGTTTTGCATGTCAGGAATGGTTCAATCCCCTCCTTCACACAGGCTTCCTGGGGGAGCCAATGCCCTTTGCCCTGGACGCTCCAGCTTTCTCTGCCCTGAGAGGCTCGAGGCAGTGGCACCTGTCCTCCCTCACGCTTCGTCCCAGATCATATGGGAGTACATTTTACTGACACAGAGAGGGGTGTGAATTAGCTTTGTGTTATGTCTGCGTCTCTATACCCGTCTTCACATCGTCCGAAAGGGCCTGGGGGCGGATGATCTTATGATTTGTGTGGCGATGGCATTGTCTCTGGTTTTCATTGGTGTCAGCTTCAAGGTTGGCCAATATGGACTTGGTATACACCTATGGAACGTGCCTGCGAGCGAGTGGTCCCCTCACTTCTTGTTAGTGAGTCTTGGTCCCCTAAATCACACGCATACCTCCTTTTCCCTCTCCCTCTTTCTCCAAGTCAACTTTGCTGACCCACGAGTATCCACCTCTTCAGTGGGAGATCATCTCCTCTGCGGTCTGGGCCGTCGCCGTGACCTCGAGCAAGATCTCCATCCTCCTCCTGTACCTGCGACTGTCCGTCGAGCAAAACATGCGCCACATCATCTACGGGCTGTTCTTCATGGTCGTGGCCTACTCGCTGACCTCGGTCTTCACCCTCATGGTCGGCTGCATCCCGCCAGCTGCCAGCTGGGACGTCTCCATCACGGACGCGACCTGTATCGACCGCGACGCCGCCATCTACGCGACCAGCATCATGAACATCTGTACCGACTTTGTCATCTTGATTCTTCCCATCAAGATGTTCCTCGGCCTGCGTGAGTCGTCATCCCTCTGTGTGGTCTGTTTGGACCGCTTGCTGTGGCTGATGGAGCGGCAAACATGCGGCCATTATGCTTGCCTTTTCCCCCACAAGAATCATTCGATAGAAAAGTGAGAAGGAGCTTGCTAACACAGAGGGAATCTGATCAGAAATGGCAAAACGGCAGAAGATTGCACTCATTGGACTGTTCATAACGGGTGGTTTGTACGTAAATCACCTAGAGAAACCGACTCTTGGCGAGAGGCACTTGAACAATTTCAAATCAGCTGACATTTCTCTCGTAAACTTGAACAGTGTGTGCGTGACAGCAGTCGTCCGCACGGTACTTCTCGCTCCGCTCTTCGACAGCGCAGACTACACCTGGAATGTGGTTGACCAATATGTTTGGTGGTGAGTCTTGCTTTTCTCAATCTACCAAGTTTGAACGCCCCCCCCCCCCCTTTTTCCCATTGCAAGCCCACCCAAAAGTCCGAGCCAACCGCTTGGAACTAACACTTCGAACCATGACAGCTTCATCGAGATCAACACCGGCATAGTCTGCGCCTGCATCTCAACCCTGAAGCCCTTCTTCAGCCGCCACATGTCCTTCCTCCTCGGAGGCTCACAGAGCGCCTCCGCCGGCAAATCCTCACCGCACTCCTCGTCGCTCCGCTTCCCCAGCCTCATCACCTTTGGCGGCAGCGGCGCCAACAAGAAGAACAACAAGCCCCGCCGCGGCCGCGGAGCGCCGGGCTACGAGCTCAACAGCATGGCCGACATGGCCGACGACGGCGACGACATCCTCACCACCGTCGTCGTGGACGGCAAACGCTCCAGGAACCGCGACTACGGCGACACGAGCAGCACCGAGGAGATCTTTGCCGGGCCCGACTCGGCGCGGACGAGGTCCGAGTCGGCGGCTGTGTTTAGTCGGGAGGGGATACAACCGGATCACGCCGGGGGCGGGCTGGCTGCGCCGTCTATGGGTATTACCAAGACGACGGTTGTGTCTGTGTCGAGATCGTGAGCGGGAATGATGGGAGGGGAGAAAGGTATGGGTTTTTACTTTGTAGAGACGATGAACTATGACTCTTTTTTCCCTCTCGGTATTACTTGCTGCTGCTATTGTTAGTTGTGCTATTTGAGGGAGGCATGTGTGATATGGTGGCAACCTATCTTATTTCCTCCTCTTTCTCTAATTTAGTTTATACATACGTAGAGACAACATGAGGTGTTTGCTGAGTTATGAGCCGATTCAGTCAACTCATGTAGTCTTCTCATCTGGCTGCCTGGGTGACCCACCAGCAGCAGCAGCAGCAGCAGCGAAGAGGTGATGTGAGGGTATGGCATCGATAACCACTGTATGGCACCTTTGATTGGACGCGAAGCACTAGGTCTACTTAGAAATTGATGTATACATACCTGTATACATACTCGAGGTTTTATTTACAGAGACACGCACTGATATCTTCCTCGCCCCCCATCGTAGCCCAATGGCCTACCTGCCTATTCGTCATGACAAGCAGTACATCCAGTGCTCGGAATGCCTCGATTTGAGGATGGTATAATTCGTCTTCTACTACCGACTATATCTTCCATCCACAACCGAATCCCAAGAACCAAACCGCCCTTGAGTCCCCATCCATCCTGTCATCGCCCCCTTCTTCTCCGCGACACCAATCATCCCGTCCTTACAAGGGACGTTGTTGATTTGCTTTTTGTTATTTTCTGTGGTTTTTGTTTGTTGTGTTTCTTCTTGTTTTCCCTTCTTCAATATGTACAATCTCGAAGAACGCCTTCCAGACGAGATCAACTCATTTTTGGTCCGCTCTTTTCCCCCCCTCTCCACACGCGCTCGCTCGCTCAGCTTCTAGCAAAAAGAAAAGGCAATGCTGGTGCTTAGTTTGCTTTTTGCTAACAATGCTTGTCGGTCATGAGCATTTTCAATCTCAACTTTGTGTAGACCAGACGCCTGCTCAACGTGAAACACCTTTGGCTGATGATCGCATGCGGAAAGTGGAGAAAGAAGGTAATGATATGGAAGAAGCGAAAGAGAAGGGGAAAAGAAAAAACAAAGTAAAAAGAAAGAAAAAGAAAAGAAAATTGGGAAGACAAAAGAGGGAAAGAAAAGGGCAAAGAGTCCCGCAGGGGTATGTGGTGGTATCAAGACGTAATAACTAGGGCTCGGCCGTGCGAAGCAACAAACAGATCCAAATTTTTCTTCTGTTTTTTTTTTTCTTCTTTCTCTTTCTTTCCAGTCTGGGAGAACGATTGAACTAGTTGGGGGAGGAGGACAAATGAGAGTAGAAGACATAGAAAGATGGTATGAGAAAAGGTTTGGAAAGTCTCAAATCAACTGCAGATGGCCCTTCTGGGGAAAGAAATTTCAGTGCTCGCTGTTTTGAGGAAGAGAAGAGAAAGAAAAGAAGAAGAGAAAAGAAAAGGGAAGAAATTGCCAGCATCATATGAAGAAACCCAAGTGATGGCTGGTTGGCGCAAGCCGCAAAGTAGATTAGAAGATACTGTAGGGGTCGTGACTTTTTGTTTCCGGTAGTTCGTTCGAGTCGGAGGACATAGGGAAGCTCTCGATAGAGGTGAGGCGTTGAAGCACAAGCCATCCTCTTTGGCGAGAGATGCTCGTCGTAATTCAATGGAATTAAGTAATGATAGGGCCACCAACGAGTTTGGTTCTTTATTGACCAAATGAGGTGTGCTTTTCATGCGCGTCTTGGAGGACTGTTTAAGACCCGTCAATATTTTTTGCCCTCTCTCGTCACAGAACATACACAAAAGGACTTGGACTTACCCTGCAGCCCATTGAGCTGCCCAGCGCGGTCCTGGAAGGCAACCTGCAGACCGGAGCCACTCTTCAGATCCAAGCACACGCTGTTCGGAAGTTCCTGGAACTCAATCTCGGGCGTATAAGGCGGCTTGAACTCGCTCATGTGGAAACGCTTGAGCTGCTTCTCGCGAGCAGACACTGCCCCCTGCGCAGGGGTAAGGTGGAGGAAGCCGGACGCGTCCATAGACATGGTCCTTCTCTTCCACAAGAGGTTCTCGGGGAACTGCACATTGACATCGCCCATAAAGGCAACCATGTTCGACAGCCCGGGGGTAGCAGGTGCCGTCACGGTCTGCGCTGGCAGGGCCTTCTCGGCGTCCAGCTCCTCAGCCAAAGTCGGCGAGGTCATTGTGGGCGTGCTCTGCTTGCGGCCAGGGCTGAAGGTGCTGGAGAGGCGACGCATCAGACGGCTGGCCCGGTTTCCCTCCTTACCCCTGTTCTCATCTCCTGACTCGCTCTTCTCCGTCGCCGTGGGAGACAGAAGCGTCGGGTCCTGGCTGATGGACTTGCGCCTCGTGTTGATGCTCAGGCGGCTCAGGAGAGAGCCAGATTGGTGGACCGACGGCGGCCGAGCCTGGTTTGGGCTGTCCTTGCCCGCCATCGAATCACGGATGAAGTCCCGGGCCATGGTCAGCGAGGTCCGCTGACCCGGTCGATGGAGGCCATCCCGACTGTCTTCAGGCGAGACGTTCTTAGAGTCTCTGGACAGCCTCCGCTCATGGAGTGACTTTCGCGGCTCTCCTGCGTGGACCAAGGGAGTCGGAACCGGCGGTGCATCGGCTGCAGGTGTCACCAGCTCCGAGACGTCCACGCTTTTCCGGTGATCGACGATCAGTGGCGACTGCTTGAGATCCAAGGAACTGTATTCAGCAGCATCGGCCTGAGATCCCGGGGCCCTGGGGTAGTTTTGGCCAGGGTCGCGAACGATCTTGGCTGTCACCTGGACCGTTTCTGGTTTCCCCCTGGGGGCACTGCCGCCCTCAAATACAGACAGGCGACTGGCTACCGAGCCCGACCGTTCACGCGATGGCTTGATGATAGATTCTGGAGAGCCATCGAGAGACTCGGCTGGCGTGGTAGGCGTCCTTCCTCGATAAATGGAGTTTGTTCTCTCCAGCACCGAGGGGGATCTGGCTCCATCCCTGACGCTGTTCTGCCGAATGGAGAAGAAAGCAGAAGATGGTCGCCCTGTCGCGCCGGTGTTGACAGGGACAGCTGTTGGGCTCTTGGTCGCGAGCTGCTCAAAGGCCTTGATCCGTGAGGAGATGCCGCCGCTCAGCTTGCCAGGCGCTCCTCTCGGGGTGAGGTGAGCGGCTGGTGGCTGCTGCTGCTGCTGGCTCGTTCTCTGCTGGAATGCTAGCGAGCCGGACGAGATCGACCTCGCAGAGTGAGGTGGGGCATCCCCCGCGGCGGAGTAAGGGCTGTGAACAGGACTCGACACAGTCCGCAGGATGCGAGGCGTGGGTGGCTCGCTGGGCTGCGGTGGGGTTTCGGTCACTGGAGAGTGAATCATTGTTGGATCCTCACTTTCATGCGTGGCGGGTTGTGGTTCGACGGCAACAGTCTCAGTCTCCTGCGGTGGTGCTTCTTTGGCAGGCGGGACTGCTGAGTCCATCAGGAGGGGCTCAGGTGGTCCAGACCGCTTGTTCTCGTCAGTGGCGCCGTCGTCAACCATCTTGTCAGGCTCATCTGCAGGCCTGACCTGGCCGCTGCTGGAGGAGGACTCGACAGGAGAGGTGTCAATGACTGGAATGGGTGAGGGAGCGAGGCACTTGGTGGAATCAATCGTCGAGTACTTTGAAATAGGGAGGTTCCATTTTGTTGATGCTGTTGCGGCTGGCCCATCTTCTGTCCTCTCCAGGGGCTCCACATGGCTAGGGTCCGCTTCATCAATCCTCCCAGGTTCTGATGTAACATTGAGTGGGGCCTGACCCCTGGAATCCAAGGGGTCCATGGCGGCCTGACCGGACGGCAGCTTCGCAGCGAATTTGGACGTGGGGACAAAATTGTTCTCTGCATCAGACATTTGCTGAGCGGGTCTCGCGTCGCTGTGTTTCTCTTCATCTCTTGCAAACTCCTTTAGCTGCTGCTCCTCCATCTGAGTCGCGAGGGATGCTGTGGTGGCAGTCGCCTCGTCACTTGTCTTGTGCTGCTGCTGCTGCTGCTGCTGCTGCATCTCAGCCCCCTCGCCCTCTTCCTCCCCGTACTCGGCCTTCTCGCCCTGAGGATGCACGGTCTCGTCTGTGGATTCAGAGACAGAGGAAGCCTGTGTCGAGTCCCCCACCTCGGAGGATGCGCCGTTGGGTGTGGGCGGGCGCGAATCAGTCTGGGTGTGCTCAGAGGTATGGTCTGTCGGGGCGGTAGAAGCCACATCGATGGCAGAGTCCGCTTTCGAGACGGACATCTGGTCGGCAGCGGGCTTGTCCTCGCTGCTGCTGCTGCTGCCGCCGCCTGTAGAGTCCTGCATGCTGTGCTGACGGGCTTCAGTGTCGTCGAGCACCGCCGCGTTCTGGTTGTTGTTGTTGTTGTTGTTGCTTTTGAGCTCTTCCTCCTCCTGCTGCTGCTTGTCAGGTTGTTCCCCAGCGCCCGAAGGTGTGATCTCGACAGAGGGTACTGTCGTCTCTGGTACCGCGCTCGCCCTTCTTTTCTTCTCCCTTAACTGCAGTGCCTTCATGAGTCGGAGCTTCTCAGGGGTCATAGACTGCTTGACAGGCTGCGAGATGGCTGACAGTGACTTGACGGAGATGCCAGAGCTGGTGGTAGGTCGGGCGCCCTCGCTGGTACGAGGTCGGAGGGATAAAGCTGAATTTTCTGGAATGGAGGCGATCGGGGCTAGGAGGTTGTGGTCGGGCGGGTCTTGACTGGTAATAGAGGAAGAATCGTCGTGTGTCTTGGTTCTCTTGCCTCCCTTGAGTCCGAGTCTGAAACCTGCGGGCATGGCCGCCACGGGTCGTACCGTGTCACCACCACCACCACCAGCTGAGGACCGCGGCCGGCCGGCCGGTTCGTTGAAAGGTCTCGGCCCAAGCCTCACCCGGGGCTTGCTGTAGAGGTACGACGAGTTGCTGTAGTAGTCGTGTCGCGAGGACTGCGTCGACATGCGTCGCTGGAGGTCGTTGTCGAAGGACTTGGCGGGAGAGGCTGGCCGGGGCAGGCCGCTAAATGAGGGAGGCTCTGCAGTGTTTGCAAATGTTGAGTCTTTGGGCGACGTCGCGAGGGTCGGGTCGAGTGTCACAGGTGGGCCCGTGATCGGTGACCGCGGCCGTGCCGGGACATTTTCAATCTCGCCTGGCTGATCCTGTCCCTCGACCACGGACTGCCGTTTGGTCTCTCTCTGGTCCTCCTCTTCGCCCTCCTCCGCGATCTCCACCAGCCTCCTCCGCCGCAGCGAGCTATGCGAGGATGACGTAGACGCCGAGGCTGTGTGTAGGGAGCAGGCGTTGGACAGCTTGACCTCGCTGAGGTCCTTGCCGTCGGTGATATCGATGGTCGTCTCGCAGGGGCCGAAGCGTTCGCAGACAGCGTTGAAATGAACCGTGCTCCGTGCTGTGTAGAGAGAGAGAGAGAGTCAGATGGCAATTACGGTTAGTCGGATCAATCTTGAGTGAAGCGCAACGATAGTCAGGGGTTGTAATAAGAACGGCTCTTTGCCGTGATGCGACCGGGATGATAGGTAATTGTGTTCTGGAAGAGGGGGAGGGGGCAGATGGGGGCGAACGAGAAAAAGGATTCACACAAAGGAAAGAACCAAATGAGGTCACACCCACCTTGAATTAATCGAGAGCAGCCCTCAGGCATGTACTTGAGCAGAACATTCCTCCTCCTGTACCTCAGGAACCCAAACAGCGGCGACTCCTCCTCGTACTGCTCGATGTTGGCCCGCATCTCGGCCACACCACCGCTCCCCTTGGCCAGGATCTCGACCTCATCGCGACTGGCATACTTGAGCAGGAACCTATGAAAGGAGGCATCCACTAGATTAGCGATTGATCTGTGCGTGCGACCGCACGAAGGACCGAGATTGGCAATAAGAAAAGGGTGCCATGGGACAATATCGGGAAGAAGAGGGGGGGGGGGGAGAACGGTGCGCATCCCGCCCAGGCCCCCGACCGTAAACTCTCAGACGTACCATCCTCCCGCCTCGGCAACCACAGCCTCGTGGGCCTCCTTGACCTTGACGTCGTCCAGGCCATTCAGCGACATGTCCACCTCCCAGCCTGAGGATCAAATTCGTGTTTCCCAGAACCAGAAACAGAAAGATAGGGATCAGGCTGGCTTGGCTGGCTCAGCGGGCGCGCCGCTGCACTGCGCTCTTCCTCCTCTTCGTTTTGCTCTCTCCGTCTCTCACACACTCTTCCTTTCCCCCTTCTGCTTATCGTCGTCGTCGTCGTCGTCGCCTGCTTATCGTGAGGGGGCCCGTTTGCGCAGGGTGGTGGCGGCGGCGGCGGCTCGTGCGGGTTTTCCGTGACAAAGCAGACCCTCAGGGGTTTGGCACGACTACGTGGTATTGCAGTCGTCGTGAGGGTAGCAGTGACGAGCCGAGGCGTTTGCAGGGCGCAGCAGTCGAATCGAACCGGTCGAAACCATGTGGGAAAACATTCGTTTGGGTAAACTTGTCGTGGAGGGAGGAGTGACGTGAAGGGCGTGCGATGTTTCGGGTTGTCGGGCGCAGAATGTGTGTGTGTGTGTGTGGTTGCGAAGCAGTTTGGTTGGGTAGGAAGGAAAATGGATGTCCTCCTTCTCTCCTCCTCTTTGAAGCTTTAGAGAAAGTGACCAGTATGAAAAGAGGAAGTGGAAGATGCAGGGGTAAATTAGTGTGGGAAAAGAGTGAACATGCAAGCCGTCTGGGGTAGGGAACGGAGCTGTCTGGTACTGTAGAAAATATCCCCGTCCCCACTGCGACGGTGTCTCTGCCCTGGCCAGCACAACGATAAAAAGAAGGGGAAAAAAGACGTGCTCAGATAGAGGAGGCAAAGGCTTACGTCGTGAAACCTCAGATGCGAGAGAAAAGCATTGATACTATGCTGGCAATTTGAGGTTTCTGCCAATACAAAGCCAATGCTGCCCCGGCACTAAGAAAGCAAGACCTCAAGCCGCCCAGGGGTTCCCTTGACTCGCTCCTCACAACGGCCAGCCCAGGCACGGAGAATTATGGTCGACCGACAGGACAATGCCAGTCTGCTTGTTGATGTTGTAACTGCTATAGTCGAGTTAGAGCAGAACTGTACCATTATGGGAATGTGTAGTCAGCCCTGCGCAGATGAGGGCGAGCAAGTAGTAGGTGGGCCGCTAAACTCTTGTGTTTCCCAGTTCGGTATGCAGGATGCATTGACCCACGAAGCCAGATATGATTACTATGATTGCGACACCTGACCGGACCTGTGCGGTGCTGGGCATCGGTGCTGGGCAAGTTAGAACCCGAGTACTTCTGTAGAGAGGGCGGGTACATCTATTGCAGCGTGTTCCGCCCCTTGGCAGCCGGTCATCACTTTGTCTTCCTAACGTCTTTGTCGTTGAGGTGGCAGGCGCGCTCAAACATCCGGTGCCCGTGTGCCTGCATGCCCTGTGTGGTGCACGACCGAGCGAAGGAGAGGAGCCTGTCCCACTTCCTTATGCCTGTAATCGCTTCTGGGCAGGGCCTTGCCAGGGGATGGAGGGGGCCCCATGTCAGGGACAGCCCCTGCCCGTGGGCTCCATGTTCCTGCGTCGATTGTCACCAAAGCTTCTTGAAATCATCTACTACCGTGTGTACTACTGTAGTGGGACCATACGAGGTACAGTACTTGCATACCACTGTAATCAGTAATTTACAAGCATGCCACGTACTGTGTGGCCATTCTCCTGTCACCTTTACGACAACAGCATCCATATCTAACCCTAGCCTCCAAAACGCGCACACAAAAACAGATACACAGCCCTCATTGGCTACCTTTTGTCGCATGAAAGTATCGCGACCAGCATGCAGTCTCAGAACGGAGCGACAGAGAGTCTACCACGTTGCGTGTGGAGTATATGATCCCGTAGTTACTATGGTACATACATGCTGTGTGGCCCCCACCACCACATGCGACTTACTGAACCCACAAGGACCTCCCTCCAGAGATACCACAACCACCTGCCATCCACCCCCCAGGCCCATTAACTGACTCACTCACATTCGGCATTTGCGGTCTTGAGAGAAAGACTACATTGAGAAAAGGGCCTGACCCGTCCCGGACCGCCTTTAATGCCCGAGTTGGTGACACGAGGGGAAGAGGAGAAAAGACACCAAAAAAGAGGCCTAAGAATAACTACTTAAAACTAAACCATCCCTCCCCAGGCGAACGGCCTCTTTGTCTTCCGGTCCGGGCATCCATAAACAACTGGGGATCACCCCCGTTATCCAAAAAGAATTCTCGAGTGATCGGCCTCCCCCTTCTCCCTGCCTCTCTCGTTCGGACTCGCCTTGTTCCCCAACACACACACTCTCCTTCTCCCTCTCAGACACACACGCCACAGAGAAGGGGAATGAGTGGAGGGAGGGGGGACCCAGAGGAGACCGTTCCCCAGTCCGAATTGGGTGGACATCATGAAGATCGCCCGGAAGAACCAAGGGCGCCCGGGGCCTACTACGGAGCCCGGACTCTCCTTTGCCTTTCCTTTGGCCTTTCTCCCGCCCTTTCCCTCCTCTCTCGAGACAGGATTGTCACGAGCGTTGCTGTAAAGAGACCCCCTCTCCGACCTGATCATGTATCTGATACTCATCACGTCCATAGCATAGCACTTAGTCCTACAGCAAATACATCAATTACCGGCTGCCCGCTCTCACTGCGGGCGGGCCCTGTTTCGTTATGCATATGCTATGACACTACCAAACTGACAGAGCAGCAGCACATACATACCATAGTACTATCACATACTACAGTACATGGCGCCTCACAGTGTCCAATCTCAAATCCAATCTCGAACAGGCCGCAATTTCGGCAGCCCCCCCCCCCCTTCTTCTTCTTCTTCCCTCCCTGGCCGCACAGTTCATGTCAATGACTAGCAGTTGGTCCGTGCTAAAAGAATCGCCGAACTGATCCCCTTCCAGATCCATCTTAACCTTGAGTGACATTTCCCATGCTCAAGCAAACAAAAAAAAAAAAAAAAAAAAAAAAAAGTCTCTCCTCCCCACACACACTTTAACACTGATGTCGGCAGTCAAAAAATGGAATTGCATTACTTAAAAGGGGAAAAAGAAAAACAAAAAAATATGAGGAGGGTTGGACAGAACCACCCTGGCAAAAGCTTAAAAGTATAAGCGTCGGTCCGGACGTAGCAGTGCAGTCCTGTTACTGTAAAAGGGGGTGCGTGTAAGTGTGGGATACGTGAAGCCAGACCAAATCGAGCCAGACCAGCGGGCTACAAACTGCGTTGTGCACACAAACAACTCCGTCTACGTATGTGTTGCATGGAAAGAATATCGCAATGCAGTGACGAGGTTACTCTGACTTCCTGTGCTCAATTTCCCTCTGGAGAACCACAATGCAGAGCTTGCGTCCCGTTCGATGTGAATAGAATGACCAGCCCGGAAAGCACTCCCAACCTTGCTGGTGAATAACATTGAAGCGTGCTTTCTTATCATATTTCCATCCTGCCTCTTCTACCTCATAATTTCGTGCGTATTCCGATTGTCATGAAGACGCCGCCGAGTTTCCTGCACGCAATGAAACCGGCAGCTCATGACAACAAGAGGGGAGAACAAGGTCGGGACACACAACGAACTGGCCCACCACTCCTTAAGACTCTTTAGCCAACTCCTGGTTGGGAGGATCAGGCTCGGTAGCAGGCTTGTCTGGCGTGCTTTCTATCTCGCCGTCCATCTCCAAGGGCTCCTCCTCCAGAGATCCCTGGAGGGTCGTAGGCGTAAAAGAAGCGCTGTCATTGTCGGGTCGTATAGGGTCATGTCCCTTGCCGCTGTTGCTCGCCGAAACCCCGATGGCAGTCCCGCCCTCTTCGATTTGCTTCTTCACGTCGCCCACGATTTTTTCGACCTCACTGATCTTACCGGTCGTCGACGTCGGGTCGACCTCCACACCGATATCCTTCCTATTCTGACTCTCGACCAGGGCCTCCTTGTCGAAGCGAACGATCATGCATGACAGGTTGTCGGTACTGAAGCGGGCAAGCGCGTGGTCTACCAGGAGCTTGGAGGCTGAGCTGGGGTCTTGGACATTGCGGACCAGGTCAACCGCTTCCTGGTCTGTGCAAACATCCCATAGCTATCGATCCGGTCTGTCAGTTTCTTTTCGCAGGATGAGGATGAAAACGCAAAAGGAAGAACAAGAGAGAAAAGAACAAGAATAGAGGCAATGAGTACTTACACCATCGCATGCAATGATAATAAACTCGTCCATGTCCGGCTGGATGACAGTCTCCGTGGTGTACGGGTGACCGGTGACAAGGTCCTTCATATAGGAGTCGCCAAGTGCCCGGGTGACTGCGAGCACACCGTTAACGCGATTGTTAAGGATCAATCCGCCCGCATTCGTGATGCGCTTTCCCTCGTTCTCGTCGCTGCCCTTGTGGTCATACGACAGGCGCAGGGCCTTGCCAAAGCGACACAAGACGATCCGAGCATCTCCGACGTTGGCCGTGTACAGAACCCGCTGTCTCGATGCAGTGCCCTTGAGCTTGGCGCGCTCGGCCTCTGGATTCTGCTTGGACTCCGTATTCGCCTCGGTGCTGTCCGATGTCTTTTCGGGCACCTTTTCCGTGGCCTTGGCCAGCGCGGGCGCGATAGACTGAGAGCCGGTCTGGGAAACATTGCTGGGAACCCGGTCTTCCCAACGCAACACGGCGATGGCCGCGGTGCAGCCGCTGTTCTTGAGAGGTAGCTTCTCGAGCTGGGTGTCGACAGTAGTAAACGTCTGGTCCAGGAGCTCCGGTATGGCGGCATTCGGGTTCTTCTTGATGATGTCCTCAAGGATGATGTGCAGCTTCTTCCCACACCAGTCTGCTGCGAAGGTACCGGCATGACCATCAAAGATAGCAAAGTAGCCATTGTCCGTCTCCAACATATCCTGCGCAGCCGACGCACAGCTGTCACCCGAGGCTTTCGACGATTTCGCGCCGCCCGCTTCCGAGGGCAAGGCCGGGGCAGGGGTATGCAGGAAGTTGTATAGGAAAGCATGGGTGTCCTCCATCGTCCGCCTACACTTCTTGTTCCTATCCTCCCACACACCGACGCGAAAAGTAGACTTTGGGCCGGGAAGGGATTCGCCGGCAGCGTTGTTATGCTGGCCCTGGGGCACTGCAAGGGAAGGATCCTGCTTGCCCAACTTCTGAAGGGGCGTCTGCTGCGCGGGAGAGCCTAGATCACTATTGCTCCTACCCCCAACCTGGGCAAAATTGAGGGTGTTCTTCGCACTCGCGATAAGACTGCTAGCCTTGCTGCTAACACCGCTACTCCGTCTCTTGGCCGCAGCGGCGCCGGTGCTGGGAGGACTGCCATTGCCGCTGCGCTTCTCGCCGCTTGCAACCTGATCCGTAGTCCTGATGGGCTTGGGCGGGGAGTCGCTGGAAGGCGAACCGGGAGCAGCGTTGGGACTGGTAGGGTCGTCCTCGGGCGAAGGCGACTTGCTGCTGGGCTTGGCAGTTGACTCGGGAGGAGAATTGCTGTCTGCCTTCTGCGCAGAGCCAGATGAGCCGCCGAACATCTTACTGAACAGCAGACCTCCTTGAGCGGAGAGACTGCGACGCTTGGATCCTGCCAGATTGTCTTGGGGAGGGGGGGAAGAGAGAGGAGAAATCAAGGGAGGTATGGGAGGTTTCGTGGGGCTGGGCACTTGGGCTCAGAGATGTGTGAGGCGAATGACGTTGTGGCTAACGTCAAAGCTGGTTTAACCGTCGTGTGCGCGCTGGCGTGAATTCGCGGGGTTGACAGCTTGACTGTGGATAGCGGCTGTCAGGGTAGGTCCTGTAATCGAGAGGCTCAGGTCTGCGGTCAGCAATGGCCTTTCAGTATCTGGAGTCAGAGAGAAGAGAGACAGAGGACGTGGTCGATGATGAACGTCTTGTAGTAGGATGGCTATGGCGTAAGAAAGCAAGCCCAGTCCAGTAGTGCTGGGAAGGTGTGAGGGTCGAGGTCCCAAAAGGTGTCTGTCTGTCCCCCGCGGTTGCGACGGAACGGGGCGAGTCCACTGTAGGTATGGACTAGTGAGCTGCTAGCCCAGATCGGATGCATAGGGCAAATTCGCAAGACGCGAGCAGAATCACTGGAGGTTGATAAATAAATCATGCAAGAGCGAGACACATAAGTGTACGATACTGGCGAGAGCGTCAAGTTTCCTTCCAAGGGCCAAGCCAGCAGGAAACAAAGTGTGTTTTCCCGTCACTGCTCAGTGCTTGCCTGACTTCGTGTTGGGCAGACTTGCCAGAGCGTTTGTTACCTTTGTCTTAGGTACAGGGCGTTGTGGTGTTGGTTGGTGCAGACTGGGCAGCGGTACGTCATTGATAGCCTAGCCACAACGGGTCAAAGTTGCAACTTGTAGGTGCAGGCCTACTACCCAAGCACGGCAAGCTATGGTAGGCGTACTGCACAGGTACAAGGCTCACAACCCAAGTGCACAGGCACTTGCTTTTCTCAGATTTCGCGCTCGCTCGAGGGGCGCAAACGACGTGGGGTCTCGTGTGAGAAAATGATGTAATAAAGGTGTGGCAAGCATTGGGATACGGAGCAGCCAAGGTCTGATGACAACATCAGACAAAAGAACAATGCACCTGCTTGCAAATGGAAGCACAGGCAGGAATTGTCCAATGCACCAATGACGGACTCACTTTCTCACACAACTTTAACTTTCAAGCAGTTTCAAGCACAAGCACAAGCAACGCATATCTCTCAGCGTTTTCCGCAGCAAGGCGTAGGTAGAAGTGATGGAGCTGATTTCAGGCTTCCCGCAAACCAGGATCAATCAATCAATGCTTGCATTGCGGTCCTTGACAAGCTCCAATCATACAAATGAATGCTCAACATTTCCAATGAGTTGTCCAATTCTCAAGTTGACACATGCCCTATGCTGGCAATATAATTCTTTTTGTAAAGGTATCAGCTGCGAGAAGCCGCTGCTGCTTCTTGGCGCGTATAGTAGGCGACCGGAACTCCACAGCATGTGCAAGAAGACCGTCCGGCATTTGGCTACAGAACACGAATTCCCATATTCAAGAACCGACCGTCCAACCGCTGTCATCTTCTCAGGCTGTCCAGTCGAGCTTGGAGGTCATCGTCGCCGGGGTCAAGCCCACCACCGCTTGGGACCGCTTGAGCAACCCGGCCCTCCGCCACGGCGGTTGTCTGGAGGCCGGATGGTGTCTCGCCCATCTGATAGAACACCACGTTAGTCCCATGCTCAAGGGCTGCTTCTTGATATTGTCACTCACCGATTGACTCAGATCGACCCCGATCTCCTCGAGGACTTGTTCCACGACCTCGTCCCCTTCTTCTTCGACACCGGTGTCCATCGCGTCATCAATCGCGATGTCCACCATCTCTTGCCGCTGGTCCATAATGTCGTTCTCTCTCTCGAACTCCATGGCTATCCTCTGTAGTTGTGGGAGGTTCATGCTCTTGTTCATGCTGCCGAGGGCGACAGTAGCGCCTTTCATAGCTTGCATCATCTGCTCGTTCGTCCGATAGGTCTGGGGGGAACTAAGTCAGCGAGGTGACCTGCTGCTCAGGGTGAGTTGGCCGGTATCGTACCTGTAGGCGCAGAGAGATCTTCTGCAGCTGGCTCCGCATGCCGTAAAACTTCTCGATATACCTGGGGGCCATCATCAACCTATGGTCAAGATTATCGGTGTTGCCCAGCAGTCGTACCTCCTCGTCCGCACGAGATCCTTCGCCTGGATCTTGGCCGCGCCCATCTGATTCTTCTGTGCGTTCTGCTTGATCTGTGTGACCAGCGTCTTCTCCTGTTTCTCCAGCTTCACTCGGACCTGGTCAAGCTCGCGGATGGCCTTGTCGAGCATTCGCTGGTTCTTGCGTAGACGCTCGGCGGGCGTCATGCGCTTTCCGAAGGCCCATTCTAGGATCTGCCCGTTACATGTGGTGATCAGAGCAAGTCAACTTCCTAGATCTCTCGAGTAGCTCGTAACTCACGTTCATGATATCTACAACAACGGCGGTCCCGCTGATAAAGATCAACTGATAACGTGCTCGAGCTCGTCAGAGCAAGTGCCTCGGGAGGTGAGCGCGGAGAGACAACCGATGTCGTATCGATCTCGAGATAGCCCGTAGAAAGCGAATTACACTCTCCGCAATATGTTGTCTGGATCTTTAGTGGCGGTGATACGTAAGAAGTGAATCTTGGAGGGGATGGGCAGGTGTCATTTGACGACATGCAGCCTGCTGTTGAATCAAGGTGCCCAAGCCATGTTCGACTTGGCGCTGTCAGGACAAGCCCCTACCCTGCACCAACAGCGCTAAGCGGGCAGGCAAGCCACCTAGCAGTGAAAGTCCAGTGCTAGAATTCTACTACGTTGGGTGGTTAGGTAATCGATTTCTCGAAGTCTGGGGATGGGGACAGGCCTGGGCAGGGCCTGGATGTAACGGAAGGCGGAGGCGAATTGACTGGCTGTTGGAAGCCAAAACTGGGTGGCCCTGGAGGAGCAACTTTACTTTTTTACAGGGCATGCATCGCGCGCATGTGAGTGCATGAATTTGTGGAACGGATCCTCGTCCTGGCCCAACTCCATCCGCCGACCAAAAAATAGAGTCACCAGTTTTCATCTTTGCCCCCCCCCCCTTCATTCTTTCCTTCTTCCCTCCACATCATTCCCTTCTCTTCCTCAATTCATCACATCAGATGGACGTGCACGATCCAAAATGAGTCAAGACTATTTCAGCGACAAGGGCAAGTCGCCGGCGCGGCAAGTCGACGACGAGACGACTTCATCCTCCAATTCCGATGACGTCGCGAACCATAGCCGCTCACCAACCATCAACACCAACAACAACAACGGTGGCCTGCTCCCGGCCTTCGCGACCATCGGCTCTGGGTCAACGTCCAAGTACGGCGCGCAGCTCCAGGAGATGATCGAGAGGGACTCTGGCTATGGTGGGTCTATCGCCAGCGGACCCGTGGGCAACGCGCTGATGCCGGACACGCCAGCCTGGGAAAATGCGACACACGCCGACACGCCACCCCGCTCGGCGGTTGCTGACCGGCGGCTTCAGACCAGCGCCGTGCATCAGCTGTGGTACAATCAGCAACGAGGGGTTCTCAATCGGGCTATCAACAAGGTCATTGACCTCCTCACCGAGCTGCAGGATGAGAACGCGAAATGGCCTGCCCACTACCCATCGGTCCAGCGAAATGAGATCGACTCCACTTCCTCTTCCCCGACGAGACCTGAGTTCCGACACCATTTCTCGAATCTCGATGACTTTGCTGCCTCAGCCCACAGATCACCCCCGCCACCGATCAGGCGTGCGATGACGTCCCTGGAGGATCATGCTGAGTCAAGCAAGGTAGCCGAGAAGAGACTCGGGGCAGAGCCACGGCTTGTTACGCCTCAGATTGCTCAAGAGTTTTCTATATTGAAACTGGATCTGAAATTGGGGTCTCTGCACCAGACGCAGCTGGTCCACTCGCTGGAGAAGGGATCGATCGCGTCCCTGCTCGACGGCAAGATCAGCTCCAGCATCGCACACCTCCTTAAACTACGGGAACGGATAGAAGATACCGCGAGCAAAGTCCTCATCACGGGAGACCTCAACGCTGGGAAGTCGACCTTCTGCAATGCCCTGCTGAGGAGGAAGGTTCTACCGGAAGACCAGCAGCCTTGCACGAGCATCTTCTGCGAGGTCTTGGACTACAAGGAGAACAGCAACGTCGAGGAGGTCCACGCGGTCCACAAGGATGCCATCTACGATCGGAACGACGAGACAACCTACGACGTTTACACCTTGGCTCAGCTCGAGGACATCGTCATCGATAACGATGCCTATCTGATGTGCAAGGTCTACGTGAGGGAGGTGCGGTCCCTCGACGAGTCCTTGCTGAATAATGGCGTGGTGGATATAGCACTTATCGATGCGCCTGGTCTCAACTCAGACACAACCAAGACCACCGCCGTCTTTGCCCGGCAGGAGGAGATTGACGTTGTTGTCTTCGTGGTCTCTGCCGCCAATCACTTCACACAGTCGGCGAAGGAATTCCTGTGGGCCGCAGCAGCAGAGAAGGCTTATCTCTTTATCGTGGTCAACGGCTTTGACATGATCAGAGATCAACGGCGATGTCAGAAGATGATCCTCGACCAAGTTTCTGGCATAAGCCCGAGGACGCACAAGGAGTCAGCCGAGCTTGTCCACTTTGTATCAAGCAACGCGATACCAATGATGCCTACACCACCAGGTGGACCAGGTGGCGATGGGAGCGGCAGCTCAAGTGGAGGAGGCGGCGGTGATGACCCTAGCGATCCGAAGGGTAAAGGCAAGGACAAAGAGAAGATGCGGGACTTCCAGAACCTGGAGCAGTCCCTGCGGAGGTTCGTCCTGGAGAAACGAGCACGTTCGAAGCTTGCTCCGGCCAAGCATTATTTGCTCAATATTCTGGCCGACGTCAACTCCTTGGCGACGGTAAATGCTGAGGTCGCCCAGTCCGAGGTGGACCGTGTGGGCAAAGAGTTACGGGAGATCGAACCCCAGCTCGAGGCCAGCAAGAAGGCTCAGAGCAAGATCACGGACGAGGTCAACCAGACCATTGACGAGACATGCGACGACGTCTACCAGCACACCCGCGGCAGTCTTAACGAGGCCATTGCGCATGCGGACGAGAACATCAACGTTCCTTATCCTGGACTGTTCCAGGCCTTTGACTACGCTGAAGAGCTGAAGGAGGCTATGTTGCAAGGCATCCAGGCTTGTGTGAGCAATTGCGAGGAATACGCACGCGGACAGGCTGTTGGTGGTGTCAACGCCATCAAGCAGCTCGGTATCTTGCATCTGGGCAATGAGTATGCCGGACTCAACTTCCATCCAGACGTCATGTTCCGGCGCAGACGTGACGTTCTGGCTAAGCAGATTGACGTGCCGACCGAGCTCTTTGATTTTGTTGACTGGTCAACCATCATGCAACGACAAGAGAAGGTGGCCGGCACGGGTATGGCACTCACTGTGGCTACGACCGTCGGCATGCAGGTTGTCGGTGGATACAGCTGGATGGACCATGCCTTCAGCGCTGCTCGAATCGTTGGCAACGATAATCTGCGCCGGATAATTGTCCCTGGCTTGGTTCTTGCAGGTATGTACTTCCAGCTCACCACTTAACTTCATAAATCTGTACTGACAACTGTCCATAGCCGCCGCAGCCGCAGTTTATGTCCTCAACCAGATCCCCCAATCTCTGCCCCACCGCCTTTCCAACAAGATCTCAGCACAGCTGACCGCTATGGAGTATGTGCACAACAACGCACAACGCATCTCAGGCTCCGTCCGCAAGGTCCTACACACGCCCAAGGACCATGTCGTCTTCAACCTAAATCGCTCGGTGGAGCAACTGGGCCAGCGTCGCGAGGAGACGCTCAAGGTCAAGAAGGAGAGCCACGACGCACTGCGGTACTTCACGAACCTGGTCCGCAACAGTGCAGACCAGAAAGCGCAGGTCGAAGGTGTGGACCTCGAAGGCGTTCCCGCCGCGGCGGCGATGTAGCCAGCTCTTTGGGACGTGACTCTTAGCTAGGTGGCATGATGGTTGTCACGCAAGTCCTCATCAGAGCTCTGACATGACGGCTTGGGGTGGGCTGAGAAAGAAAAATGAAGAAAAGAAAAACAAAATGAGAAAAGGAAAAACGTTCAATACCCCTCTCTACACAAGTCGGATCGACTACTGGTAGCCTTTTATAACTTTGATAGCAACATCCCACGGCGTTCTAGAGCATATGAAAACCGCATGAATTGATTACATCCTTAGGCACGATGTGTGTGCTCTGATCTTCTGAGGCTGGCATGTGCGTAGACTTTTGAAGATGTTGTGTTGATAGACATGAGGTTTCAAGAATGTACAACGCCAGCTAGAATGCGTGATGATCAAGCAGACTCCACTTCGAGTCGTGTTGATACCACAAAACATCTAGTATGGAACACACTGGGCCGACAAGCGGTTCCCACGGACAGATCAACACAAGCACAGACGAACAGTCTTCATGTGGACGAGCTTCAAGAGCTCCGAGGTTCGAAAAAGTCAAAACTCCATTTCCATATTGACCGATTGCCTCTGGCCGTTCCGAGCCGAGGTCTTATGCAAGTATACACGAGGGCCTCTCATTTCAGCCCTTTCATAGACAAGAGAAAGATAGAGAAGAGTTCCTTTTCCCCAGACATCCAGTCCCCCATATGCGGAATGTGTGATGGCTTAGATGTTACCAATACAGAACATCGACACAATCAGAAGGGAAGAGAGAGAAGAACGAAGAAAGAATTCCACCTCCCTTCTCAACCGTTGCATCACATCATCATCAAACTACTAAATAAAGAGCCCCTACATCTAAGATTCTCCTTCACAGCGCAGGCCTCGCCTGCACACCGCCCTCCTTGCCGAGGGCGTCTCCAATCCTGTCTGCAGTGCTGCCGTCCGCGCCGCCGGCGGTGAGAAGATCTTGACCCTGCTCGCGCTGGCGCATCTCCTGCTCCATGGCGATCATCTGCTGCTCCTCTGCCCAGCACAGGGCGAAGGGGACACCGATCAGCAGGGCGGAGACGGAGATGGACCACATGGAGCGACCGGCGAAGAAAAGGACGCCGGTAATGACGCGGCGGGTAGTCTGGTACTTTCCGTAGAACCAGGAGCGGGTGGTTGGGGGGATGATGTCGCGGAGGGCTAAGAGGCGGTCCGCGAGGGTCTCGGCGGTAGGGTCGAAGTCTGAGTCGTTGGAGATCTCGGAGTCTGTGAGGAGAAGGGAGGGAGAATCGTTAGCAAATTGGTGGCTAGACCAAATGATTGAGACAGAGAGCTGGCAGCGTGGTGGTAAGACCAAGGGTGAAGGTGAGGGTGAAGCTGCGACTGATGCTGAAGGGTGCATCTCGAAATTTTGCAATTGCGTCACTACGACGCAGGTGAAACTGCAGAAGAACAGCCGCGGGAGTGCTCACCAGTGTCGGTGTAATCGCCATCCTCCTCCTCAGGGCCAGGCTGGCGCTTCTGGAACTCCTCATCCTCAACCTCGACAAGCTGGACCATCTTGAAGGCCTGTACTTTTGCTTCGGCACGTAGATACTGTTGTTGTAAGTCGTGCAGAACTCGGAATGCTCTTGACAATGCCTCGAGATAGCTGGGCGGCGCAGAGGCGTTGTCTCGTTGTCGCGACTGGAAGAGACCTGCGTCGACTTCGCACTGGAAGGGAACTGGGCTCGCGAGGCGTCTGGCGAGGGGAGAGAGCTGGTCGTAGGATGTGGGAAGGTGACCAAAGGGAAACGTCCGCTTGAGTTGACGTAGGGCAAATACTTTGAGCACTTGCTGCTCAAAAGGCGTCAAATTCTTGAGCAGGGGGCGCTGATCCATGTTGCGCACGGACCTCATCATGGTAGGTGCAAAGTTGGTGTAAAATGATTGGCAGATTCAGAGGTGGTCTGTGCGGTCCAGACTTGGTGACGACTTCCAATTAATGAGAAGAGGCACATGGAAGGAGCAGATGATGGCTACATTCTTGTGTTAGATACTCTACAAGTTAAGTTGAGGTATTCAATCGGGATCATAATATATCTCCTTGTGGTTCGGTTTGTTTATTCCTCTAAGGTCAATCACTGGATCCCAAAAAAGAGTCCACCAAGGCAAGGTCTGCACCAGCCTCAGATGAGCTGGCTGCCCTCGAATGATGCTTGTACTTCTGGTCACTGCTGATCAACATGACACTACTCTCTCAGGGTGCATATAACTATGACTATGATAGAAAAACACAATCAAACCTCAGTAGGTGTTTCCCTAGAACATCTGCTTGAGGAACTTGGCGGCTGGCTATATAGAGAACAATTTCCTCACAGCGAAACAACCATCTCAAAACAATCATTATTCAGCAACAAACCTTCATGCCCACCTCAAGAGGGCATGTTCTCCAGCTTTGAAAGACTCCTTTTGTGATCCTTTATACCTCACAATAATGGGGTATACTCGAGTCTTTTTTTCACGATTACACAGTTCCATGTTCTCATCGAGATCGGTGGATTCTTCAAGACATATCAAACGTTATCATAACTTGAATCTAGCTTGCGTCCGTCTTCCTTCGAAGCTCACTCTAGACACGCAACAGTCATTTTCCTAGCGTCATCCAAAGTACCAAACATTGATCGGTCTGGATGTGTGTTAAGTAACGATCCGAAACTCAGCCTTGCAAGGAGAGTTCAGAGCTGCTATGCTTAATTCACAGCTGGGACAGACAGCCATGAGATGAACTCTCAAATCCAGGCAAACTGACCTCAAGAAACCTGATGCAAATTCCCGAACCTCGGACTTCTGGGAGACACACGAAATTCGAAGGAGGGTTTAATTTTTCCAGAGTTGCTTTTAGCTTCTCTCGTATTACGTTGATCACACTTGCTCAAGCCACACTATCGATCTCATGCGCACGTACTTTGTATAAATTTGCAGACTATTCATTGACATGTTCCCCCCGCGCATCTTATCTGATGTAATGTGCATCTGTAGCACCTGACATATCGGCCATACTATTTCGAGACTGCCACACCTCGATACAAGGAATCTCTTAGTTGCCCTTGTTCTTCTTGCCCTGGTGGTGGGGCTCACGAGCCTCAATTTCCTCGACGTCACGACCATTGTTCTTCTTGCCCTTGCCCTGGTGATGGGGCTCACGGGCCTCGAGATCCTCGACATCACGGCCGTTGTTCTTCTTGCCCTTGCCCTGGTGGTGAGGCTCGCGGGCCTCGAGGTCCTCAACGTCACGACCATTGTTCTTCTTTCCCTTGCCCTGGTGGTGGGGCTCACGAGCCTCAATTTCCTCGACGTCACGACCATTGTTCTTCTTGCCCTTGCCCTGGTGGTGAGGCTCGCGGGCCTCGAGATCCTCGACATCACGGCCGTTGTTCTTCTTGCCCTTTCCTTGGTGATGGGGCTCGCGGGCCTCGAGGTCCTCAACGTCACGACCATTGTTCTTCTTTCCCTTGCCCTGGTGATGGGGCTCACGAGCCTCAAGCTCCTCGATATCGCGGCCGTTGTTCTTCTTGCCCTTTCCTTGGTGGTGGGGCTCACGAGCCTCAACATCACGATCCTCAAGGTCAACCTCCTCTTCCTCCTCGTCATCAACATCGCGACCATTGTTCTTCTTGCCCTTGCCTTGGTGGTGGGGCTCCCGAGCCTCGATCTCCTCAACATCACGGCCGTTGTTCTTCTTGCCCTTGCCCTGATGGTGGGGCTCACGAGCCTCAACATCACGGTCCTCAAGGTCAACCTCCTCTTCCTCCTCGTCATCAACATCGCGACCATTGTTCTTCTTGCCCTTGCCTTGGTGGTGGGGCTCCCGAGCCTCGATCTCCTCAACATCACGGCCGTTGTTCTTCTTGCCCTTGCCCTGATGGTGGGGCTCACGAGCCTCGACATCACGGTCCTCAAGGTCAACTTCCTCCTCCTCTTCATCGACGTCACGGCCGTTGTTCTTCTTGCCCTTGCCCTGGTGGTGAGGCTCGCGGGCCTCGAGGTCCTCGATATCACGACCGTTATTCTTCTTGCCCTTTCCTTGGTGATGGGGCTCGCGGACATCCACATTGACGGGCACAGCCAGCGCGGGACCGGCCAGAGCAGCCATCAGGGCGACGCTGCGGCGCGACAGGGCCACGGAGGTGCTGGGAGCGCTGAGCTCAAAACCAGCGGCGGTCGAGGCCGCAAGGCCCGAGACGAGCAGGCTGAGGACTGAAGGAGCGTGCATCTTGTCGGTTGTGTGTATAAGTAGCGATTGGATGCGCTAAGTTGAAATAGGTATGAAAAAATCACTGGCCGGCCAGGTGAAAGGTGAATGAGTGGATTAGGTGGAGACGAAAGGGGACAACCCAGGCTAAGATGAGAAGAGAAGAGAAAGGGAGAAGGAAAAAAAAAGTGCTCAGCTGATTAGGGATGGAATGTGGCGTGAGCATGTTTGGGAGATGAGAGCGTTTTTGCCTTTATATACGATACTTGCCTCCTTACACGTACGAGATGTTCTTCAGTCATTCGCCCGGGTGAAGACGACGGCCCCTCCGGGGAGAAGGGGGTTCGCAAGCTGCGAACAGCCACGTCTAGCCATGGTCATGCGAGACGGGACGATGACGAGACCAAGTTCGTGGAAACTGTGTTGCGACTTGGGCATAATTTGGGACGATAGAGGGAAGACCAGGCCCTGCTCGCACAAGTGGATTCCGTCTGAGAATCGGTCTCATCGTTCATCCTGGGGCAAATCTGGTTCACCGTGTGCGGCCTCTGAGCCCAAAGATCCATGGGTTGGCATTGCTTTGGCAGTGATGGGACAAGGCTGAGACTGAGCTTAAGAGAGGCGGGACGAGACGTTCTGGGTGTGAGATGAGAGTTTGGTATGGTCTCGAAGAGAGCCAGGGACTACCTGCCCTCACAAGGCTGGTGGCTAATAAGACACAGATCTTGCGAATCTGAGGGCGAAGGACGAACAGATGTTCCCCAGACACTCTGAACAAGCCCTAGAGGCGGGTCCCCGGCGATTTATCCCCGTACATATGCCGTTTTTTCCGATTATACTTCCGATACTGACCTGAAAGTTTCGATTAGCAGCGTGACTCTGTACGTACTCAAAGCTGAGAGGAGATGAATAGATGAGGCCTCAGCTGGTGCAGCTGAGGGTGGTCTTGAAAATCAGAGCGTGATGTCAAGGAAGGTGACAAAGTGGCCCACTCAGATGCTGTGTCTCTCATTCTCTGGTTGATAGCCGAATATATCCATTAAGCATACTTAATGGGATCAACTTTGGATGCAAAATGGCATGGCATCGCGTAAATCATAATCGCCGATCCTTAACACATAAGCCAGGCCTGCAAGGTTGAGGATAGAATACACATGACTATGGATGTCGCTGCGCCAGGATGAGGCTCAAAAGGCGTTGAAACTCGACGCGATTTGTCGTCGCAATGTTCATTTTTCCGAGACAAGTCGTTGTCGAGGCTAAAAGTGCTCTCGTTTGGCTGGTCATTGCCATGACAAGGGAAAAAATTGGAGCAGTTTGAACCCTGTAAATATTCTCCAGTATAGGCAGTAGCAACCATGCTCGTTGTGAAGCGTTTAGCCGGGCGCTATTCCTGGTTCGCCAAGATGAAACGCTCATACCTTCCCCAAGCTCGTGACGGACAACAACCGACCAAGACTCTGAGATGCGACAGCAATGGCTCACAGAATGATACTGGAATTTTTATTATATAATCAGGCTGAGGGGCCAATTGACACACCAATTCTATGTTTTGATACGGCAAAAAATGGCGAGTCATAATCGTAACAGAAATATTCATCGAAGCCCACGAGAGAGACAGGAACGGCCCGGCTGATCGTGGACGAATTACTACTCTGGTTCACTCGAAACACCGTCGACGCCAAGCGACACGCCTCAGAAGAGCAACTCCTGAATCCGCTTCTCCCCACCGCGTCTCTTCAAACACACCCTAGCCTGCGAGGTGTCTCATGAGTCGCTCTGCTTGCATCATCAGACGTCTCGTACCGAATAGCCACTTGTCTCACACAGGTTTGTGTAAACAGTTTGCTTCTCTTCTGCTTCTCTCTCTCTCTTTCATCCTAATTCGCCTCACTTTCCTTCTCTTTCTCTCCCTTTACTCTATTTCGCAAGGGCTGGTTCCTGGTAAAACGTTGATCACACTGCACCAAGCTCTGGTTATTCCTGCTTCCACGATCTTCTGGGAATCATTTCAGATCACAAAGGCTTGGCTCAGTTGATCTGGCTTTGAGACGATCACGAGGCAACTCTATTCACGGAACGACAGTTCCGGCTACGAAGACTACTCAGTCGTCTGTGTTGCTCTATTCACCTCCAGTCTCCGGCTGCTTTGTCTTCCTTCTTCCATCTAGCTCACTTTCATTCTTCTCACTACACCTGGCGTGTGTTTCTTTTCAAATCATACAGTCTGTGACTGCAACCAAACCCCTTTTGGATACCATATTCCAATTCATCATCATGCCTAGGAAAGCCTACCGTCCCCTCGCCGCCGACGAGGAACAGAGCCGGAGCAGCTCAGACACGTTCTGCGAGAAGGAGCCGCTACGAGTGAGGTTCGAAGATGACAAGTTCGAGCGAGATGTCAGGACGAGGATGCTCGACTTTCTCTTCAGGAACTGGGCTTGGATCGCACATACCATACTGTTGTCGATATCATTGATCCTTTTCACCATTTCTTTTTGCCAGAGGACGGCGAGGATATCGGATCTGGCAGTCACACAACAATACGCGTCATACTGTACGTCATTTCCGATCTCATCCCGTGTGCGGACAAGAGAGAAGCAGAGAGTTTGCATCTGACAACGAGTACAGCACCGGTGGCGCCCATCGTCAAGTATGAGACCGTACGGTACAATCTCACACCGCTGGTGGAGGGACCCTTTGTCGGCTTTGGACCCAAAGTGGACGAGGCATGGGATTCTATTGCCAACGACAGTATGTTTTGCTTGTTCTTTTCCCATTGAGCGTGGTGTACGGCCTGCAGGCGAAGTTACACACAGCAAGTACTGACGAGGTGGTTACTGTATAGTGGGCGATCAGATGATCTCCGAAGAAGAGCTGAACAGGCTTGGCCTCCCAAAGAACTCGCTGAAGGTCAAGGACCCGGCGACGGGCGTGGTCGGCTACCGCGCCGCAGTCGAGGTGTTCCACCAGCTGCACTGCCTGAACCTCCTACGGCAGTACATCTACAAGGACTATTATATCAACATTTACAGCGATATCCAGGAGGAGGAGGAGGGTTTGAAGGGCCACGTCGGTATGTTTAACACGAGGGGTATTCCCCATATAGAACATAAACACACATCCAAACTGCATCCTTTCTCAGATGGTATTATCTCAGACCAACTTCGCTGACACATATTCATCAAGACCACTGCCTGGAGGCGATTCGGATCAACCTCATGTGCACAGCCGACATTGGCATCTTCACGTTCAGGGAGTATCCGGAGTACGGGTACGAGAAGGACGATTTCTGGCCGGACTTTAGTACGCTGCACACATGCAGAAACTTCGATACCATTCACCAGTGGGCCATCGACCACACCGTCTCGTGGACTCACGATGTGTGAGAGGATCCCCATCTCACGTATTGATCCACGACACATTAGCGTTTGCGGCGACGAATGCATCATCATTCTTTCTTTTTGGCATTACAATACATTAATTTCAACCCGTGACTTATTGCTGGCCTCGAAGCAGTTGTCCCAGTGCATTGTGGCTGCACAATACTTGAATTGATATGGGTATCTCATGTTGGAGCTCGCTCGTGATGGTCCTCTCTTTTGACGAGCAATAGAAGTCCTATGGGACACCCTCACTCTCTATACATTCTGACCTGGGGACAAACGACGCCAAGTTGATGGCCCAGCATTTAGAAGATACCCTCTTCAAAACTCGTTCTCGATGTACTTGTACTTCTGCCGATACAATCTGATAGCTCATTCGACTATAGCTTAAAGACGTCTCGCGATCCAGTCTGCTCTCGTAGTAGTCTGGTCAGCGATGACTAATTAACGAGTTCCGGCTGTTGTATGTTCTGCTGCTTGAGCATCTGGTGGGGTGTTCCTTATACTTGTGGCGATTATTTCTCGAGAAAAGGGCAATGAGGGGCGAGTATACGTATAGTCAGAGTGACTGATGACTCTCACACTTGCTGCGAAACCGTTATTCATGCCAAAATGAAGAGCACATACCAGCGTCGTCCCGGAAGCCTGGGCATCCGGATCATTTGCACTCCGGCTCGGACTGTGGAGCTCGTTGGTCCTTGCTTGCCCCTGAGTGAGCCCAGCGGCGATGTCGGAGTTCCCATTCCCCAGAAATGATATGCATGGACAATGTGTCGTCATGTCATATTAATTGGGTTCCCATCTTTCCGGACATAACCTCCTACGATCCATCACCCTGAAGTTGTCGTCTTCGCTGTTACTGCTGTAGGTTGAGATGAAGCGCCTTTGACTGGGGTTCAACTGTTCTGTAGGTAGGTGTTTTCATTTGTTCTTTCATTTTCTTTTCAAAGTATCAAGTCGGGCTTTATTTTGCGTGCTGGTGACTGTATTGCAACCGTAGCAGTGAAGCACACACAGTAATACCGTGTAGTATTGCACTAATATGACAGAGCAGCAGCATGGGGCCCAGCAGATCGGATTCTAGCGAGTTAGGCTCGGAACCACAATTTCTTAATCATGAATTGTTTATCAGATCGAGGGCAGCACTCTGATTTGATCAGCCTTGAAAATGGCTGTTTTTGGTCACTGCAACGACCAAAGAATGCATGTGCACAGGCTAAAAGCCACCTGCAAGAGGATGGAGGTCAGACTACCCAACGGACTCATACTACAATCCGTACCGTGGCGCTTCTTTCCCTTGCTATTACACCTGCATGGTCTATCCTGTACAGATTTGGAGAGGCGGTGACGATGGGCCGTACATTAGCTCGCTGGCTCAGGACGGATCCGAATGTCAAATTCTCAGGCCACTTTGAGAAATCTCCAATTCCACCCCCAATCGCCCATCCCATCACCCACCACCCCTGTCGTGCATGGCGCCGCTTAGCCCAGCTTCCGGCGCGGCGTTTGGTTTGCCCAAGGTTTTGTTAACCTTTCAGAAGAAGCAACGGCGCAGGAGGCAACTGGAAATGGGTTTTATTCCCAACGCAATTCCCAATGGCACTATGGTACGTACCCTTGACCTCCCCTGCCCCTTTGGCGCCACCGCTTCTACCCCCCCCCTTCCGACAGCGTGCCCCCAGGGAACGAATCAGAGCATTGCTATGCTCCACCTGTCGTGCAATTATCATGGTGGTTGCACGACTTGACAGCAGACCAACACGCAAAGGATGCGCTTTGGGAAAGGCGGGATGGGCATTTTGGATTGGACGGGCCCATTCACGTTTTGAGGTTGATCGTACGGTTCCGTGAATCGACAAGACAGGGATGGGGATGGAGGGCTTGGTACTGGGCAGTGCGCTGGTCAGTGCAATTTAGGGAGGAATCTGACTTGCATTTTGTTGAGAAGACCGTACTACGTACAGAGTATAATACTTATGGTTACTCCCACACCATCGCATGCCAGATTACTGTCAAACCAATTACTAGAAAAAGAAGAAGAAGGGAAATACCCAACACGGTCGTTGTTGCTCCTCCTCTACTATGTACACGGTATATGCTATGTGGTCCCATGGTGGACTTCTGGGTTAGTGATCTCGTCAGTCAAGCCTTAGTTCTTTCCCAAGAGCCTGCAGTTGGTCAGATCCCACTAGGCATTTCTCAGTAGTCAGGACCCCCTTCGTGCAGTAAGCTAAGGTCTACAGGGGGGGGTGCATATCCTTCACCCTGTCCTGCAGTAATCTGTGTTGCCCCGCCCCTTTCCTGTCTTCAAGTCTTCGTGGAACTGTCATAATGTCCTCCTGTTAGGCAGGGCAATAAAAGAAGTAATTAAAAATCACGTACATGCCATAGTACAACAAAGTAGACCAAGGCCGGCATCGTACAAAACTTGAGGTGCAATATCACGCCGATAGGGAGCTTGGGCCGCGGCGTTTCCCTTATCGATCTAGGATTAGGGAAAACAAAGAGAAGAGAAAAAAAACGAAAAGAAAATTTCGCGAGATTACACATCATACCACGGTCCAAGGAAGCAGTAGCCGCCCCCCCCCCCCCCCTTCCTCTCCCCCCTTCACACCGTGCCGGCGAGTACTCTTCCCCCGCGATATATTCTCGGTGACCCGCTCGGGTCGGGAACTGTCCATCCTCCGTCACGCGAGTTGCCCTCGATCGAGTCGACTTGTTGCGTGTGGCAACGTGGGCCCCTGTGGATCTTTTCCCTGTACAAAGCATTTACCCTTGTTACCCAATTGTATGGCTAAGTGAGTGGGGCGCGCCTCTCGAGATTCTTTTTCTAGAAGACGGCATCCGCCTTCTTGAACCCACACCTCACCTTTTGTCCTCGGCCCCTTCTTCCCTCCTACTACAACTCTCGACCCTTCCAAAGACAGTATCACCACTGTCGAGCCGTTCCTTGGTCAAACGGGTCCAGGGCCTAACCTGCAACCCGCCTCCTTTCCACTCTATATTCTTGTCCGTCTCCTTCTAGCCGCCCATCATGGATGTCGTCCTCGAGGTGCTCGACACCTTTGGTGTCGACTACATCTATGCAACCCTCTACCCGGCGCATCCCGCCTCGTACAACTTCCAGAACCCCCCGGCAAACCAGTCAATTGACCAGCAGGTCTTCTCAACATGGGTCTACAAACCATCTACCGAATACTTTTCCCTCGAGCCTTCAAAATATGCCTACATGAGCGCATGGCCCCGCGATAACATCTTCCGCCAGGCCTTGTCGCTGTTCTTCATCGTCTGGTAAGTGTCCGCCGTGTCGTACGCCCCCGAGTGCGATCTTGACAAATCTTAACTAACATGACATCTCTGGGCTAGGTTATTTGGCTTCCTGTTGTACTTCGCCTTCGCCTCGCTGTCATATTGCTTCGTCTTCGACAAGAAGACCATGGAGCACCCCAAATACCTCCGCAACCAGATCGGCCTCGAGATCAAGCAGACCTTGGCCGCCCTTCCCGGCATGTCTGTCTGCACGACGGTCATGATGCTTCTCGAGGTGCGCGGGTACTGCAAGCTGTACGATGTGTTCGAGGACGCGCCCTTCCCCGGCTACAACTGGATCCAGTATCCATTCTTCATCATGTTCACCGACTTCTGCATCTACTGGATCCATCGCTGGCTGCACCACCCGCTCATCTACAAGCGTCTTCACAAGCCGCATCACAAGTGGATCATGCCGACCCCCTTCGCCTCCCATGCCTTCCACCCCCTCGATGGCTTTGCCCAGTCCCTACCCTACCACATCTTCCCCCTCATCTTCCCCCTGCAGAAGGTCGCCTTCCTCCTGCTCTTCGTCATCGTCAACATTTGGACCATTCTGATCCACGACGGCGAGTTTGTCTCGGATAACCCCGTCATCAACGGCGCGGCCTGCCACAGCATTCACCACCTCGCCTTTAACTACAACTACGGTCAGTACACCACTCTCTGGGATAGACTGGGCGGTAGCTACCGCAAGCCCGACCGCGCCATGTTCGACAAGGAGAAGAACATGTCCAAGGAGCAGTGGGAGAAGCAGAGCAGGGAGATGGAGAAGATTGTCAAGGTGGTTGAGGGCGAGGACGACAGGTCCTACGAGCCCAAGATCGAGAACAAGAAGACGAGGTAGAGGCTTGCCTCTTGTCGGAGTCGCACCGGGCATAGCCTATACGGGTAGCACGTCGAAACGTACAGACCCCCGGTGTGAGGAACATAAAAGCCCAGCGGGAGAGGCTGGGCGCGGCGCAAATGTTTCTGGCATTTACGATCAAATTGGCCGGTTCACTTCAGTAACACGAATCGTCCCAACGATCTGGGATCTTTGTACATAAGGTTATGGAATCCCCCCGTTTATAGCCCGCGGGCCTCAAGGGGATCATCTTGGCCTGGTAGTGGCAGGAGCTGCAGCACCACCACTACCACCACAACCAGATGGACCAACGCATTTGCATACGAGTATGGAAGGAAAATTGGGCAGAGTTGGGAGGCGGAACGATCTTGGAGGATGATGATTGATTTTTATATGGGCCTTGCCAACCCTCTCCGTTGGCGATAAGGCATACATTTGCAGAATCCGCCGGCCTGTGCCGTCGGTATGCGATGGTGCCGCCTCGTCGCCACAACGAAATCTTGGACTATCTTAATACTGGGTAATGTTTCCCTCCCCGCCTCTCATTATCCTTGTGCGTACAAGGAAGAAAGGCGGGGAGGCGAATGAACCGCGAATAACGCGTGTGACGAACGATAATTATGGTGTTGTAATAGAACGAATGAGCAATTCTACTCTGCCTCACCTTTTTGTTGATCATCCTGATGTTTTCCTGCTCATAGTCCGAGAGCCTGGTGATCTTATGGTCTGCACCTTTACAAGAAGCCCTCATCGATCCTGAGGATGTTTGTCCCCTTTGTTAACGAGGTACACTGCTAGCCCCAACAGGAGCTCGACGACCCCTGGGCCTTTGCTGGGACTGCCTAGTAGGGAGAGGGAATCTGCTTGATGTCGTAGTATCTCGGTCAACATCTGTACACCTTAACACCTTCAACTCAACTTCATTTGAAGGATTAGTAAGTATTCTCTGTCCTTGTTTACCACCGGACAGACAGACCATTGAAGAGGGAAACAAAAGTAAAGTCCCAACAAGGCAAAGAAAGACGACTGGTTGAACAAGTTGCCCTGCCTACTCACATGTTTCTGATCAGTCTTCTTGTAAACTTGCTCAGAGGTTTGACAGCATACTAGTTAAGGATGGAAGGGAAGGAGGTTGAAAGGGCAGCAGCAAAAAAGGGAAGAAAAAATGGAGGCAGAATAAAGTTGACAGATAGGGGACCAAGAAAGACGGAAGAAGTAAAGAGAGGAAAGGAAAAGGAAAGAGAGACTTGGGGGGGAAAAGGGTGGGGGGAGGGGGGCACAAGAGCAAAAGTGAAAAGATGTGCCACCGACGAGCACCTAGCGTGTGAGCGCTGCTTCAGCTGCAGAGCCATTGAGTCGATCGCAGCGTCTGCCTGAGCTATGCAGCTGAAGTAGTGCCCACAAGCCAGGTGCTCATCGGTGGTAAGGGAAGAGCGGGGTGGAAACAGTTATATAGACAGGAACCAGGCAGGTCTGTGAATGGAGAAAGAAGCAGGCTTCTGTATCTGTGTCGACATCAGCATTTTTAGACAAGTAATACTTTTCAAGGAGGCTGGGGGACTGACGCCAGAGTCTGCTGATGGACCTGCCCTTTTTCTGAGCCTCGAGGTGATATCCTCTGCCCTGGCTTGTCTCTCCTGGCTATAGGCTCAGGAACCACGCTGTATCCATTTGCTCATTCTGAGGAGCTTTCTCTTTGGTTCATCCATTCTTCCTCTCAAGCTAAATACTCAACCTGGTATACTTCTTGCTCACAGTAATGCCTCATGCAACTTGATGCCATCTTCCAACACTAGCTGGCGACTTTCCTCAACGCCCATGGATGGCCCACCCACGCTAATTGCATTTGAACGGTTTGATATGCTCTGAAAGAGGGAACCTCGTGCCATGAGACTTTCCACCCTTTGTTGCTAGATACGATAACGCTGAGGAAGACCTCGGGAGAAAAATGCATTGGCTAGCACTTGAAACTAATGAGCTATGTATCTGATATCAGAAGTATAGGTTGAGAAAGAAAGGGAAAAGTAGATCTGGCGTCTGCCATGCGGTGCTATAATTTTCAAGCCTCGACTTGAGGAAGAATAGCAAATCAACCCATGGTGCCTCAACACCAACAAGCCTGCTCCCTACCAACAGAATAGGGTGGGCAATTAACTTCTCTCGGCAATTCGAGTGCAACAGTACCATTCCACAAAACGCCATCGCAAGAGTCCGTCGTCACCACGAAAGATAATAAGGCTTGCAACGAAAAGAAAAGACATAAGAAAAAAAAGAAATAGCAAAAGGAAGAAAGAAAAAAAGGATATCACATCGGGTCCCACCCGCTGCCCACGCACAAAGCGCCCGTCACCACCAGAGTGAACCAACTCTCTTCCCCAGCGCCTCTGTCCTTTCTATAACTGAAACACGGGTATTGTGCCGTCACTCCTCTTCCTCCTTTCCCCCCTTCCTCTCCTCATATTGTATTCATGAGAAGCTGACAAACTTTGGATCCCTCGGCCTGCCGTCGGGCCCAATACCGTTCGCCTTGAAGCGGTCCTCCATGTAGACGCGCCTGGCCTCGTCGAAGCGCATCCGGCGTTTCTTCATAATCTTGAGGATCTCCCGCTTGGCGTCGTCGTCGAGCCCTGCGCGGCCGTCTCCACCGGCGACATTGGCGGAGAGGTCGAAGTCGGCGGAGGAGAGGCCCGCCTCGATGTCGCCGGCGAAGGAAGCCGGGAGGCGGGAGTAGAGGTAGTCGGAGCCAGGGAAGCCTGGGAGGAGGTGGGCCCAGCGGCCGCGGGTGAGGTAGAGAAGGGTGACGAGGAGGAGCGGGAGGACGAGGAGGGATGTGTAGAAGAAGAAGTAGGCCATCGTTTTGGATTCTGTCTCTCTCTGGGTTTATGAGGGCCGGCAGACAGAAAGTTGTAGGTTGGAGGTTGGATGTTGCCGTAGGTCTGATTTGTTTTTATGGAGGGCAAACAATTTTTATCGTGTCTCGTCTGGATGTTGTCTGGTCGGGGCTGATTATGCGCTGTAGGCGGGGTCGTTGTTTGAATAGAAGTTGACTTGAGAGAGCGGACAAAGGGAAGGACTTAGTAAAGGTGACTTGAGGTTTGCGCGAAACGGAAGGTGAGTCTGCAGCGTTTGCGATCTTTCCTAGGAAAGCAGAACTTCCTTTCCAGATTTCATGGCAGAAGTACTACATAGAGAGGAAGGAAAATGATGTGAAGAAGGAAGGAAAGGGAATATGGTCATGTCGTGATGTGATCGTGGAAACGGAGGATGGGCGAAGCTGGCCTTGTCGTCAGCGGCCGTCGCAGCCGGGGCTGACGCAAGTGTTCACTCTCCGAGTCTGCAAGAGACGTTCGGATACGGAATGGGTTGGCTAGCGGCCGCCCACGCCAAGACCTGATCTGGGGCCAACCCCCCTGCTACTGCCTTATGTAAGCCGTCCACAGAATCGTTCTGGCAGAGAGTTTGTCGAAGCGAAAATCACCAGCGCCGAGGACGACTGCGAAAACAGCTCCACGACTACCCCCATTGACGACCTCTTTTTGTTGTTTTCCCCTTTTTAGGTCATATTTACAACACAGCCAAAATGTCTCTTCCTAACGTTTCCTCCGATCTCGTCTGGGAGATTGTCCGTATGTGATTTTCTCTCCCTCTGGTGGCAATTGGACGGGATAAAAGAAGGGGGGCGAGGACAGGATTTCTTATGTTCTAACCTCTATCGATATACAGGTCACAACAACTCCTTCCTGGTCAAGCGCAAGCAGGCCGGCGGTGTCCAGTTCTCCCGCGACCCGTTCAACCTGCTGAACAAGCACTCCCGCAAGGTACGAAGCATCTCAGACCGATCCAGCGAAGTCAAGGGGCAACAGCCGAGCATCATGAACAAGGAATGAGGAGGCAAGGGGGAGAAAGCCGGAGGATCGTATCTATATCTTGGGAAAGACCACAAATGGCTGATTTATGTCCACTTTACAGCACGCCGGTTTCGTCAACGACAAGGCCGTCAGCATCTCCACCGGCGGTGAGAAGGGCGTCGTCTTCCAGTCCAAGAAGGCCAAGTCCGTCAACCAGCCCGCTAAGGCTGGCCACAAGACCACCTTCGGTGGCCACAACCGCAAGTACGTATTTTCTCGTGAAAGGACACGATTTGTGTGGCGATTTGATATAATGAAGGGGCGGGTTGGGATCGGGGTTTGCGTGTTTCTATGTTTCTAACGAGCTTGCCTACCTTTTGTCTAGGACCTACAAGAACGTTGCCAACCACGTCGCCAAGGGCGGCTACCGTCCTGACCTCCGCCAGGCCGCCATCGCCCGCGCCTCCGCCATCAAGAAGTCCCAGAGGCCCGTCAAGCCCGACCAGGAGAAGAAGCTGCGCGGCAACGCCGCCAAGCGCGCTGCTGCCTCGGAGTAAGGGATGAGATGATTTAGAGGGTAGGGGGGGTTTCGGGTGAAAGAGCTTGACGCCTTGAGGTACACGTCTGGACAATTTGAGTCAGTAGAGGCCAGGACATTGCATCTGAGCTTACGGGCTACTGCCATCCCGGTCCTGCTAAGAAGTAGGGACAATGAGGAGATATGTGGCATTTTGATATCAAAAGGAGTCAATGGTCAACGGACGGTCAACAGTCAGGGTCAATTCAAACGACGCTAAATTTCACCTGGTCGGCCGAGAGGGCGTGCTAAATCAATGGCCGTATGCTGCTCCCCTCGGTGAATACGGTGAGCAGCAGCAGCAGTAGTAGCCGAGATGGTGAGCAGCGGTGCCAAGATGTGGGCCAAAACCAAAACACTACGTCCCATCCGAGAGAGAGACGTCCCTTGACATGCAGGCTACATGCAGCTCGTGGGTGTGTGGGCGCCCAGCCTCCTCGGAATCGTAGACCCGCAACGGGACCGCGCGCGTGCCTTACCGAAGATTGGCAGGCTAGAAACCCGGTTGTCTGGCCGTTGTAGTCAATATAGATGTGAATTTCCGAGAGTTGTCATTGCAAGTCACAACATGTGGCATTTATGGAGGGGCATTGCCGAGGAAACCTCGGATATCCTAGCATTCCCAACCCGCTGATCAGTCAGTTATCGTGTGAATTCGGGATCTATGTAGGACGGGACAATGATAGACAAGGTGGCACTGTGGGACTTTCATTCTAGGGCCGTCTGTGATGATGGCTAGCTGCGTCAATAATAGTACAAATGGTATCATGACCTTGAACTTGTTTCTGTTGTTTGAGCAGGGTAACCAAGAAATGGGGCTTGAGGGGGGTGGGCGATCAACTTAATTCATGCTGTCTTGCAGAGAAAGTGACCGAAGTGTGCCGTTTTTACCCCGCCAAGATTACAGATCCCACCGACCCCCCAATCTGCACTCCAAGCTGCATCCCCCAGTGCCCCATGCATCCCCAGAGGAGGGAGGGGCATAGGGGCGTAAGTACCTACCCTGCTAGTACCCTACCTACCTACCCAGGAAGGGGTAGCTAAGGGTGTAACCAGAAACTCAGCCATCGTATACCTTAACTCGTACCTCCATCAAAATCAATAACGACCCCTCCTTTTCCCAACACCTCCATCCTCACACCAAGCTTCCTTTCTTTCTCGTCGTGGCACCCAAACTTCCTTCGACATTTCCCCCTCCAACACAGCCATTCACACGAGAAGTTTTTGTCTTCTTCATCTTTCCTCTCCTTGTCTGACATATCTGAGCACCATCACTGGTTACCTTGACGTCGCCGAGACCCCACAGCTGTTCAGAACAGCAACCAGCACCTTGAAACCCCCTCCTTTCGTAACATCACAACCTTACAACGTCAAAATGGTCAAGGCTGGTATGTTGATAGCTTCTAGCATATAAGACTAGAAACATGTGTTCTGTTGACCTGCTGCTAATCAATACTTTTCGAATACAGTTGTTGCTGGCGCCTCTGGTGGCATTGGACAGGTTTGCAACCCCTCCTCAGCCCGACGCGCTTCGGGGCAGTTTGAGCTAACACTCCCCCTCCTAGCCTCTGTCCCTGCTCCTGAAGCTCTCCCCCCTTGTCGACGAGCTTGCCCTGTATGATGTCGTCAACACCCCCGGTGTTGCTGCTGATCTCTCTCACATCTCCTCCAAGGCTGTACGTGTCCCTTCCCTCTTTAAATTGGATGTCAGGTCCTCCTAGCTGTTGTTGCTTATGCTGACCACTCTCCCCTCTGTAGAAGGTCACTGGCTATGTCCCCAAGGAGAAGGGTGATGTCTCGCAGGCCAAGATCGCATTCAAGGATGCTGATATCATTGTCATCCCTGCTGGCATTCCTCGTATGTATTGATTGCATTGTAGACGCAATGCCCTTCTCAGTCGGATCTGCTAATACTGACGCGCCCCCCTCATAGGCAAGCCCGGTATGAGCCGTGACGACCTGTTCAATATCAATGCTGGCATCGTCAAGGGTCTCATCGAGGTTGCGGCCGAGGTTGCCCCCAAGGCCTTCCTCCTCGTCATCTCGAACCCTGTCAACTCGACCGTCCCTATCTCCGCCGAGGTCCTGAAGGCCAAGGGTGTCTTCAACCCTCAGCGCCTGTTCGGCGTTACCACCCTCGACATTGTCCGTGCCGAGACTTTCGTCGCCGAGATTGCTGGAAAGGCCAGCCCCCAGGAACTCACCGTTCCAGTCATTGGTGGCCACTCCGGCGAGACCATCGTTCCTCTCTTCAGCCAGGTCAAGCCGGCAGTTACCATTCCCGATGACAAGTATGATGCTCTGGTCAACCGTGTCCAGTTTGGTGGTGACGAGGTCGTCAAGGCCAAGGACGGTGCTGGCTCCGCCACGCTGTCCATGGCTTACGCTGGCTACCGGTAAGGACCCCCCCCCCCCCTCTAGCTATCCCGACATTGAAAGGATTCAAGCTGACTTTCAACCTCTTTTCAAGGTTCGCCGAGAAGCTGCTCAAGGCTATCGCAGGCACCAAGAGCCTGGTGGAGCCCAGCTACGTCTACCTTCCCGGTGTTCCTGGCGGTGAGGAGATCGCCAAGAAGACTGGCTGTGACTTCTTCTCCGTCCCCATTGAGCTGGGCGTGAGTTCCACCCCACCCGCCTCCCCCCTTCGTCCTCTTTGGTACATTCACTTTGGATATACTGACTATTTATAGCCCAACGGAGCCGAGAAGGCTGTTGACATCCTGGGTGACATCACCGACAAGGAGAAGACGCTGCTGGAGGCTGCCACCAAGGGCCTCAAGGGCAACATCGAGAAGGGCGTCAGCTTCGCCAACCAAGCCGCAAAGTGATTCCCCCTCTCCTTTTCGATCTCGGTTATCTTCCACCCCCTTGTCTCGTTGGACTTGATTCAATCGTGAAGTAAAGTGCGGCCAGCAATTTTTGCAATACAGCAGCACGGACTTTGCGATAGATTCGGAAGAAACACATGGGAAACGTTGGTTGCTGATTGTTCTGTTCGTCTTCCAGGTTGTGAGGGCAAGGGTTCCCGTGTGTCAGGTCCTTGATGATAATGGCCAGGGTGGAGGATCATCTGCAGCTTGACGTACAAGGCCAGCATTAGAGATCCTTACGAATTCATTACTCTTTGACGATATCCAGTAGGTCTTGAAGGCCTAAAGTGCGCTCGTTTAGAAGATAGGGTATAAAAGCGCCCGCCCGCAGAAATGAACGCCGTCCAAACGCCGAAAGTCCTCGCCCTGTCTATCTCTCTGTGAATAATGCTCCTCTGTGACTGCCCGCTTTTTGTGATTTGAAAAACAAGACGTAAAATAGATCTGTAGAACCGTAGCGAAGATAGAAAAACTATGACTTTGTCGGTACCGTTTTGATCTGGAATATTGCCTGAGGCAACTCCGTCGTCTCGGCCTGCACCGTGGCGTTGATGCCCATGGCCGCCAACGCGCCTCGTACAATACCACAAGGGAACCAGAGGAACTATAAATCCCATGTCAGTAGATGTGTATTGTGCTGAGGCGTGAGAGCAGTAACATACCGGCTCCGCGCGAGGCACTGCGTTTACGCCAGGACTCGTGCTCATTCTCGAGAAGGGTCGGAACAGATTGTCTGTCAGGACGTAGACTCCCTGTGACATTGATCGTCAGCAAACTTCTTCTTCTTCTTTCTTTCCAGTTTCTTCTCTCCTTCCGGAAAGAAGAAAACCTTGTATGGACAGTGCTGGAGGAGGAGAAGGGGCAATGTGCCATACTCGATGATTTGTCTTCAGATTGTCCACCTGTTTTCGGAACACCAATGTCCACAGGTCCTTGCAGACGAACTTGATCACATCGAGGGTGTCGTTGAAGCGTGGTCTGTCGCGGGAGAACCTAGATTCCGGGGGAGAGAAAAACAAACCCAACTGATCAGCACAAGGGCTTTCTCATCAAACCTCTCTTGGCCTTTGCTCAAGATTCAACCTGCGAGGTTGGGCGTGAAGGGAATAGAGGGCCGAGGGAGCGGGGGGAATGGCAAGAATAGACATAAATAGGTATGTACCTTTCCACCAGCCCCTGGCCGACGCGGTATCCCAGCATCTCAAGTCGGTAAAACACAGCATCTCTCTCCTCTTCCTCATCCATGACCCTCCTTGATCCCGGGCCGCCGCCAGTGCCTGTAGGCCCCGCCCCGACCCCAGCCGTTCCCGTCCCAGACACGGAATCTGAAGATGGCGACGTGGTAGCGGCGGGGTTGTTGCTCGAGGAGGACGGTGGTATGTCGGCGCCGGACGTTGAGGCGGCCTCTAGCTCGTTGGTCACGCGGTAGGCCATGGGCACGAGCTCGATGAGGAGGAGGTCGATGCAGGAGGAGCTGAGGAAGGTGGCTGTCGGGTCGCCAGCGTTATAAGGGGGCATCACTGGCTCGAAGGACATCTTGGACAGCGTGTGAGGAAAGAAGGAGGAGGGCTGACGGTGTACTTGGTGAATCTGTCGTGTCGGAGGGGGGCGGATCGAATGGTTGTAAGATTGTCTCTGGAAGTCCAGAGGGAAGGTGTGCTGTATTTTGGGGGCTCTTGTTTAATTTCTTAAAGAAATCAAGACAGCAGAGGGTATTACTTGTTGTGTCCTGGTGTGTAGTGTTGTTTTGGCTGTGGGAGACTTGAATTGGAGTGCCAGAGCTGTTAGTTGGTAAGAATGCCTTGAAGATTGTCTATTACTATGTAACAGTTAACAATGTTGGTGGCTTTCGTCAGAGCACTCCGAGACCCCCCTAGTGCAGTGTGCTTATCACTATCTTATCGAGGCGGCGGAACTGGGGAACAAGCTCCCTCCAGGGGTCCCCCCCAAAAGGAACTGAATATAAATGTCCATGGCGCCAAATGACATCCAAATCTTCTTGACAGTCCGCTACATCTTCACTGACTCACAGCGCTACCAAGTGCTCTGAGCAATTGACTGAAAAGTGTTGCTGGGCGCAACATATTGCTTTCCTGAGGAGTTGAATCCCTCATTCAAGGTAACAAGGATAACGGAGAAAAGTATAATTGTATTATATGTTGTGCTCCTACTACGTTGACAAGTCTCTAATTTATTCCAGCGTGGCAGGGAATTTTCTTTTTTCTTTTACATCCGGTGGCTTCCAAAATATATTTTCCATCTCTACAAATGGATTGGACAGCACTTCCAAAGATTGAGGTGAGGACAGGATGAGTTGTGCCCATCTATCTCTCATGGAGATACAATTTTCTTGGGGGTGTTGAAAAATGCCTCCTCAGTATGCGAGGGCTGTTGGCTGACCAACGCCTCTCTCTTTTCCTCTCTCCCCGTCATTATAGCTCCACGCTCACCTGAGCGGAAGCATCAGCAGGCGCTGTCTTCATGAGGTCTGGCTCAAGAAGAAAGAGGCTGGCGAGACGGACCTGGCAGATCCTCTCATCGAGATGCCGGACGGGAAACATGACTATGACCTGAAGACGTAGGTAATTACACAGAACCGTTACATAAGGGCGAGGACAAGACGAAAAGGAAGAGGAAGAGAAGGAATAGAAAGATGAAGAAAAGGCAAAGACACGTCTCATTGTCATGGCGTCTGCTTTGCAGAATACCCACCCTTCTACCCTCCCCCTTCCCATTCATGAACATAAAGTGATGACCCAAGTCTCCAAGCTTCTTCCCCTTGTTTTCGTCCTACATCTACCACCTCGTCAACGACCTAGCCTCCCTCCAGTACACCACCCGCTCCGTCCTGCAGGACTTTGCCGCCGACGGCGTCGTCTACCTCGAGCTGCGCACCACGCCGCGCGCCCTCCCTCGGTCCAACCTCTCCAAAGCCGACTACGTGGCCGCCATCCTCGAGACCATCCGCGCGTTCCAGCAGGAGCAAGAAGAGCAGAACAGCATCGGCGACAACCACCGCCGCCGCCTACACACCAACCTCATCCTCTCCATCGACAGGCGCAACACCCCCGCCGAGGCAAGCGAAGTCGCCCACCTGGCCGCGCAGTTCCACAACCGCGGCGTGGTCGGCCTCGACCTCTGCGGTGACCCCACCCGCATGGGCATCGAGGCCCTCCAGCCCGCCTTCCACGAGGCGCGGCGCCTGGCGCCTGGGCTCGGCGTCACCCTGCACTTCGCCGAGGCCGAGGCCAGCGGCACCGATGCGGAGCTGCTTATGCTGCTGCGGGAGTGGGCCCCGCAGAGGCTGGGCCATGTCATTCACCTGAGCGAGGCTGTCAAGCGGGAGGTGCGGGCGTATGAGGCCGGGCTGGGGCTGGAGCTTTGTTTGAGCTGTAATGTTCATGCTGGCATGGTCGAGGGCGGGTTCGAGGGACATCATTTTGGGGAGTGGTGTAAGTCCTCCTTTGGTTCTTTTTCCCCCCTCTTGCTTTGTTTTTCGGGGGGGGGGGGGCATAGAGGCCTTTTGAGGATCAGTGGGAATGGGCCCCCAGGAGAAAGGTCAAGAGTAAAGATTTGTGATCTGTTTTGTACTGATTTGATGTGTGAAATGTTGTAGGGAAAGTCGATGAGTGCACTGTTGTCCTGTGTGTAAGTATACTACTACCATCACCTCTTAAAAATGTTAACTGGAATCTACATGGATGCTAATGAAGTGGGTTCAATCAGACTGATGATGTGGGTGTTTTTGGAAGCCCCTTGTCGAACGAGTATCGTCTCGTCGCCCAGCACTTTGGTCTGTCAGAATCCGATGTCCGGATATTGGCAAGGAAAGGGATCGAAGTGATCTTCGGTGGAGAGGAGGAGAAGCAGAGACTGAGACAGATCATGGCCTGACATGGATGCAGAGTCGTGCTCAAGTCAAAACATGAGAAAAATCACCTCTGCTCCCTTTGAGGAACAACCATCCTTCACACAAAATTCACCCCACACACAGGTAGACTTGCAGGCTCAAAAAGATAGATCAGATATTCAATTTTTGAAATATCGAACGCCAGGCTGAATGCATACTTGAAGCACCTTTTTTTTGCTGTGTCCCTTTTTGTTTTTGCCCACCTCTTCACCCTCAAGCCATTGCTTTGCTCGTCAATGCTGATTCAAGAAAATTTCAGAAAACCAAGCCAGTCAGTGCACTCAACAAGCGAGAGAGGGTCGACGCATTTCTGCATGTCTCTTCTGTTGGTGCAATAACCTCTGTGTCCTCGTCGGCGCACCGTCCCTCTGGGGATTTCTACTCCTCAGCCTGATCCGCCTCGGAAGATTGATACTTGAACTGCAAGGCCCACCTATTGCCAAAATCGATCCCTTTGCGTATCTTGGTGCCAGCCCGCTTCCACACTGCCGCGCCGAGGCCAAGGTCAATGAGGTACAGGTTCCAGTCGAGCACAACATCATCGGAAGCGTGGCCTGTGACGGTCTCATCGTCCTCAGCGGCTCCGGCCGCGATTGCTTCGAACAGACCCTTCTTGGGCGCGCCAATACTGACGACGTAGCGTGGTCTTATGTAGAGGCTGTGGCCATCTTGCACGGTCGGCCGCCCGGTAGTATGGTCGATTCCTGTTGGTACATCCACAGCCAGCACAAAGGCCTCGTTGCGGTTCGTCCATTCGATCAGCTCGTAAACCGTTGCCTGGTCCGAAGCCCGCAGGTCCTCGAACGGCGTGACGTGTCCCAACAGTGCGTCGATGATGAGAGTGACGGCCATGGGCGGCGCTTGCGGTAGCACACTTCTGGGCGCATCCATCGAGATGACAGGCATTGACGCCTTTCTGACGAAGTCGAATAGCTCGCTCTTGGAGCAGACCTTACCGCCAAAGTTCTTAAACAGCCGCAGCTGTTTGGTCATGTCCACAGAGAGGTCACGCTCGCCCTTTTCTATGCCAACCACGCATAAGATTACGTTCAGGCCCTTGTTGCGCAGGTGTCGGCCGGCTGCGACGGATCGGTAGCCGGACTTGTTGTTGCCCGCCAGTATGACGACCGTGGCTGGCTGCTCAGCTGCGTTGCCATCCGCTGCTGCGAGCCTTACCCTGATGGCTGGGTCAGTCAAGGTATGAAGAGCAACCTCTGTGATGCCTCGGGCCGCATTCTCGGTCATCATGTCCTCCGTGAAACCAAGATCGTTCTGTGCTATGTTCTCGAGGTTCAGCATCTGCAGCGGAGACAAGATCTCGACCCGCCGGTTGGACGACGGCACGATGAACCCGGCGGCGGCGGTGGTGGATGAGCCCGGGGGAAGCTTTTCTTCGGAATCAGCATATTGCGCCTTGCGGCGGCGTCTGGCAGCTTTCTCAAGACTTACGCCCGAGTTGGTCCGGCTCGGTGCCTGCCCCACCGTGGCAGCGCTGGCTTTGCGGGATTGGGATCTGCCCTTGCCAGCAGGCTTGCCCTCGCCCCTGCGAGAGCCCTGCCTGCTTCCCATCCCAAGCTCCCGCCCGCTCAGCCGCTCACTGCCATTCACAGCCCCATCGTCTGCCTCACTCTTCCAGAAGTCGTCTGGCGGTGCCTTGTTGGGCTTCTCGATCGTCGGTGTCTCCAGCACGTTTTCTGTGTAGTGCAGGTTCTTGCCTCCAGCGGTGCCCGGCTTTGGTTTGCGGTTATGGGAAACTAATCGATCAGCCTCCTCGATCTGGTCCTTTTCCTTCATCTCGTCGAATATTGTACGCTTGTCGAACTTCCGCAGGCTACCTTCAAAGTCAAACTCGGGCATTTCTTGGACGTCCGTAACATCCTCAGACGCCCACCCGTCCTGGTTGATCTTCGATTTTCGTAGTGCCTTATAGGGTTGGAACGTCGATGTATCCTCTAGCATGGGAGTTTCCCGCCAGCCCTTGCCTTTCTTGCCAGTTTTGGTACCTCTTGCGGGAGAAGCCTCAGTCTCCAGAGGCTCATTGGCATTCTTCTTGCCTGCTCGATTTCGTTTTCTCATCTTCTTTTGAGAGGACTGGTTCTCTTGCTCCTGCTCCTGCTCTTCCGGCTCGACAGGATCCCCGATCTCGACAGGCTTTCCGACCGGCTCAGCTGGCGTGCCCAGACCGAGCCCCTGCATAGCCTGTAGGATCGCAGTTTGAGGAGCCTCGTCTTGATGCGCAACATTGCCGACGAAGATCTTGGGAACCGTCGACTGGGTGGTCCCGTTGCTGGTCTTCGGGGCCAAATTGTTTGCCGCAGCGGGAAAGGGCTGCTGGGCTGTCGAGGGAGACGCTACCGCCGGGGGGAGTTTGCTGACGGGGGCTGGTGCCGGAGTAGGTCGTGTGGGTGGCTTGCCCATCGAGAGGATGGCCGGGTCGACGAAGGCCGCTTTGGGTTCCTGAGTAGCTGCAGGCACGTGCTGTTGTTGTTGCTGCTGCTGTGGCGGCGGCCGCGGCGGTTGCGTGGCAACGTGGGAGAGCGGCGAAGGGATTGCATGCTGCTGCTGCTGCTGGTAGGGCTGATACGTAGGAGGATACTGCGCCGGGTTGGGAGGAACAACAGGCGACTGCAGAGTCTGCTGGTAGGCTGGGAAGGGCACACGATGCTGCTGCTGCTGTTGCTGCTGCTGATGGTGGTGTTGGTGTTGGTGGTGGGGGTTCACGTGCGCAACCGGTGCCGGCCCAGGTGGCTGCCCGTAAGCCTGCGGCTGCGGCGTTTGATTCGCAGCCTGAATGTTGAGGTCTTCGATGTCATCGGACGCGATTTCGAGTCTTTGAGGGTAGGGCCTGCCGCCGGACCAGACCTGAAGGACAACACCCTTGCCTGGGACGATGGCTTCGATCTTGCCAGTCACGGTGTAGGGTGGTTTCTTCATGCGGACGAACATCATCTGGCCGGTCCACGAGTCGCCGTTCGAAGCCATGATGGGAGACTTATGGATTGGGCAATCCTCACGCGTACAACTATGCGCAGGCGACAAATGGAGGGGGATTGTGAGCGTGAGAAGTTGTAAGTTGTTTAGGACAAAGTGGAGACGTGGATAGGGAAAGACGAGGTTGAAGTGGGCTGGCGCTGGTTGATGATCCGCAGCACCGCAGCAGCAGCAATTGTCGTTTGCCGTTTTGTCGTGGGAGCTACAGTATACACTTTTTTCCTCTCTTTCTTTATCGATAAGCGAGCTAGCAGAGGAGGCCACTGCAGGAAGTAGCGCACGGCAACTCGACCCTGCCCTAAACATTATGTTCGTTGTTCTGCATTTGCTGCTGACAAAACGTACCTAACCAATTTAGAAAACCATTGTCGCTTTTTCTTCCCCTTTCATTTTGCAGACGCTATCGTCTGTTGCATGGTAATTATGCCGAGGACGAAGTTTTGCGGAAACGCAGATTCGACTTCTATCAGTAGAGGTAAAGCTAGCGCCTCTTGAGAGCTTGAGAATTTTCTAGAACGCATACCTTGAGCATATACTAGACAGACAGAATGACTGGACTGGTGGTAATTTGAGTGGCTATGATCTGAAAGCAGGTCCGATACACCAAGTTCCCGTGGCACACGCCCACTGTCACATACTTTTCTTTATCCGATGGTTTCGCGCCGCAAAAAAAAAACAAGATAAATGGGACGAGAATGCGCGCAGATGGACCAAAAGCTTGATTAATCCTTGCGGGAACCCTTGATGTATGCTCAGAAACTCCTCTACCCACGACCCATGGAACGCCTCTTCAATAACATCTTCGTCGCAGCGTGACGTTGTTTCTTACAAAGTCTTGCATTCTTACGCATAAGATGCCATGGCCTCCTCATCGTCGTCTAGGTCGTCCATGTACGACGGCTTCTTCTTCGCCTGCGGTCTCGACGCCGTCGTGGTCGCAAAGCCTGTGATGGATGCATTGACGGCCTTCTTCTTTTTCGGCTTCAGGGCTGACTCTGCGCTGTACAGCTTTTCGTAGAATGTCACGACTCGAGGGTGTGCCATCACCTTCTGCTTGTCGAAGCGCAAGACCTGCAATCCCTGCTGTGTAACTGCTCGGCTGAGGGCGACATAAGCCTGGCCCTTCTCGAAGACCTTGCCCAGGTCCACCTTAACCCGCGCGAGAGTCTGCCCTTGGGCCTTGTGGATCGAAAGAGCCCAGGCCAGGATAAGCGGCAGCTGCTCACGAGACGCCTGCACCTCGCCCGTGGGTGTCTCGACTTTCCACGTCTCCGAGATGCAAAGCATGATCCTGGCTGTGCCGTCGACTCCGTGGAATGCCACTATCGGCCACAACTTCTTTTCGGGACCTGCACTCTTTTCAAGCTCTCTGCTAAACATAGCAAGCCGCCTCCGAACATTAGGATCCAGGTCGTCTCCGGCGTCACTCGAATTATCACCGGCACCATTGATCTCGAACGCGCTCTCTGTCGAGAACCCAACCACGGTGCCCAATGATCCATTGACGAGCGTATCATCTAGATTCTTGATGAGCATGACCTGGGCGCCTTTCTTGAGCGTGATGGTCTTGGGAGCCATCATATTTGCCAGTAATCTCTCGCGAATCGCGGGATCCCCGCTGTCCAGGGCATCATATCTTTGCATCTCGCCAGGCAGGTCCTTGAGTCTTCTTTGATTGGAATTTTCGACCTCTGACCTGGTAGGGAACCTGGAATGAGGTTGTTAGCACACGGGACAACACGACCCAGGGGTAAGGCCACGTACAGTTCAGTAACCTCGAGGCCGTCCTTGAGCTGTAGGGGCCGTGCTAGGGCTTTGAAAGCACGGACGGTGTCATCGCTGATGCGACCGAGGCGCATCTCATTGAGCATGTGGGCAAAAGCTAGAGACGGATATCAGCAGATGCTCGGTGTAGGGGAAGAAGATGCGGGGACAAGTAGTGGTAGCCCTGGTCTGAAAGTCTTACCCGGATCCTTCTGACGGAACACTTCTGTCAGGCCGATGGTGTGGTCTATAGAAGTGTTCCAAGTGGCGGCCTCGAATGCAAACCTGACGTCTCGAGAGTCGCGGCGATCTTGGTCCGGGACAGGAGGCAGCTGAAAGAAATCTCCGGTGATGACCAGTTGTATACCACCCCACGGCCGACCATTGTTGCGGAGGGTGCGCCCGATTTGGGACAACTTGTCAAAGAGTTCACCATCGACCATGGAAATCTCATCGATCACTAGCACTTTGGTCTTCAGCCACCGATTCTTTGCCTTTGGGTTTCGCCGAATCTTCTTGACCAGGGTGGCAACGTCGTCTTTGCCCAAGCCGATCCCAGCAAAGCTGTGCAGCGTCATGCCGCCAATATTGCAGGCTGCCAGGCCCGTTGAGGCCGTGACAGCAAGACGCTCCGAGTCCCTGACGAACTTTCTCTTGAGTTGTGCGATGATGGCTCTCATCAATACCGACTTTCCCGTGCCGGCAGGGCCGGTGAAGAAGACGCTCTTGCCACTATCACAAACAAGCTCCTTGACCACTTCCTGTTCGTTGCTGAGCGCAATAGCTGACTGCTTGACGGTGTGGCTTGTCACAGGCTGCTGTTGTATCTCCTCAGCAGGTAGCTCAGGAGGCGTCTCTGTCGTATTGGGAATGGCTTTTTTGGTCTTGTCTTTGAGCCGCTTCTGCTGAGCTCTGACATCCTCGGGCGTCATGTCAAATGCAAGCGGCCCCTTCTTGGAAGTGGGTTGTATCGCAGGGGAGACAGATGCTGGGACTAATCCCTCTCTGGCCTTCCCGTACTCCTGGTATTCCTTCGGCAGGAACCGCTTCTTTGCGATCGGCTGGGCTGCCCGTAAGCCATTCTCGGGCGCCGAACGTTTGGATGATGCCTGCGAAGCAGTGGACTGGGAGATGGACTGAGCGGCTTGGTAGTGAGAGGGCGACGACTGCGACCAAGATACTGTGCTGGCGTTGTCGGCAGGGACATCAGTGCCGGTCCTCGACGACGCGACCCGTGGTAGTGGGGCGGGTAGGGTGGAGGGACACTGGTAATCCAGATCCAGATCCTCGTCACTACTGAAGTCGTCATCAAAGAACTCGACGTTCGCAACAGACTTTTTCGTCTTCGAAACCTTGACGTCCTCATCGGCTGTGAGATCTACGAGGTCTGGCTCCTGCTTGAACGAGTTCTCGTTGTTGCGGTAAAGGGAGGCAAACTGCTTGCTGCCAGCTGAGTGATTGATGGACTGCAGATGTTGTTGGTCTGGCTGAGATGAATTCGAGGACCGCGGTCGCAGGGGTGGCTGAACAGGTTCAGAGGACTGGCTCGGTCTTGAGCGGCCAAAAGAGGGCCCTGGGCGCTTCTGAAGCTGGTCTCTGATGTCGACATGTTGTATCTGGGACGGGCTGCTTGAGGGGAATAGCTGCTTTGCCAAAGACACATGTGGCGGGGCTGCCTTGTGAATATGGGTGCTGTTGCTGCTGCTCCTGCTGCTGCCACCGCCACTGTTCTTGGCCTCATAGGTGGCATTGGCACGCTTAAACATGCTCATGATGGCGGATAGAGGTTGGTAGCGAGGAAGAGGATGAAGGTGAAGACACGGTCGATATGGAGGACAGAGCAGCAGTGCACTATGTCGTGGTGCATTTGATTGTGCTCGTGGCCAGAGACATGTGTTGCTGGATATCCTCCGCCAACTCAGGGATGGAAGGCAAACTGAGCTGGTGGTACCAGCAGTCATACAGCACCAGGTGAAGGGAGACTGTGGTTTGTTGCTGGTGCTGAAATCCTGATTGCTGGGGGCGCAGGGGCTAGTCAGTTCACTGACTTCCTGTTAAGGTGGTCACTCATTTTGGTTTGGCAGAAGTGAAAGTCGCGTCTTACTGATTGACGCGTCCATAGATTAGATAAGCCGTATTGAGACCCCCACAGCCCCACTCTAGGCCATGCCATGCCAACCCTAACCCTGTGGCTCCCTTGGCACTCGTTATCAACTGTATCCCTTGAATAGGTCATTTCCCTGAATATTCTCCATTTGCATTCACTTTCACATCCCCCATTCTAGAGCACGGAGTCAGTCTTGCTCCTGCCACCCCGACTTCAGCCCAGCCTTGCCTTATCTCTCCAAGGCAGCTCTTTGAATAGCCAAGAAAGATACAAGCTGCACCCAACATGCGATGTGACGTTTAGCAAACATTGGCAGTGGTTGTACACACCTGACAGCAGACCAGCCAAACGGATCTCGAGTTCAAGCCACACCCGACCGCATCTGGCAATCGACCATTCCCCTCTGGAAGAACGCTATCTTATGCAATTTTGTATGACACCCGGTTCGAGGTTGAGGTTTGGCTGAGCTTAGAGCCAGCTAGCAGCCGATCCCCCGCATTGCTGATCCGTTGCACCCCACGTCTGGAATACTCTAGAGCTGCCAGAAGGAAGTCCTACCATTGTATAACGTTTTGCATAGTAGTGTACGATGTCCCAAGGTCACGAGATTCAGGCATGCCGCACTTCTCTGTTTTTACATGGTACATCGGGTTTCTGCCTGTATATGCTTCCAACTAATCATGCTGGGCACACTTGGCGAGAAGTTGCCTTCATCGTCAGCCTCTTGCTCGCTGACCGCCAAGCCACGCCCAGAGGCTTGGAAAGCACGGCATCAGTCATCAGAAGGGGGGGCTCGCATCGGCGGTTCGGCCTCCTTGGGAAGAGTGGAGCAGGCGGCGTCCGGGACCCGGTGTGTGGAGTTGGATCCCCATCTGTGACGTTGTCGTTTGTCGATCTGCTGTAGGCCTTGTGGTGTGGGCCCGCGGGGAAACAGAGACGGCATAATGAGCAAGAACAACAATAAATACTGTTTTCAGACGCAGGCGCTGTAGGCGAGCAAACCAGAGCACCCTGATCTACGGGTGTCCAGCCTGAAAGGATCATGTCTCTGCTGCAGCTGCGTGCGAATGCTGTGTGATAACAGCCACGGGATACCGGCTTCAAGAGATTCGAGGGCTTGACGCCTCGTTATCACTTGGGGGCCGCCGCAGGTCTACGGTCTTGGAATAGCCACGGAGGTGATCGACGACGACGTGATCAAGAGGGAGATGGTTGACCCCTCGCGCCTGAGATGAGAGCCGCAGTGCTACGTTGTGCACATGCTAAGTGTCTGCAGGCTGAGACATACTTTGGGCGCCAAGATGGAGGTTTCTCTGCTCGTTTGGACCTCCTCCAGAGACGCTGCAGGTTGTACCATGTGCATATTTACTCCGATGGCGTGCAATGCACGTCTTCGACAATTGGTAGAATTTTCCAGGGCAACAGACTGCTTGGCTGGTCCAGTCGTTTTGACCATAGCACCATTACATGTCAATACTACGTACTGCGTGTGGCACAACCAACTGGGCAGCCATAGTGCCTCCTGCACCTTGCCGGATGATCAGAAACTGCAGACCGCAACTTGAGGAACTCTTCATGATAATCACTTTTCCTTAACCTCGAAAAGAGGTGCCGATTTATATGTCTCAGGAGAAAACAAAAGTGCGGATGATGGGCCTTTGAACGCGATCTTTGCTGCTCGACCCGCCTGTACATTCATAGTACAGTACATTATTCCATGGTACTAAAATGGCGGTCATGGTGGGGGCGACTTAGTGCCCGGTTCAGGGAGTTTTCCCCTAAAGTTATCGCCTGTGGGCCGTGGCGCAAGGCGTAACAGCCCCACTGTGCTAATCCACCCGTGGCCCCCGAGGATTGTGTGCTGAGGCGCCTTGGCTGGCCAGTCAGTGCTGGCGGGTTTCTACTTTTTTTTTGTTCCTTTTTTCCTCTTCTTTCTTGTCCTGGCGCAGATCTATAGTAGAGGATTGAACCATTCTTCTATGTTAGTTTTTTTTTCTCCCCCAACTCTATCTTATCTCGGTTGGTGCCGTCATCAAGTTCCTGTTGTTTTGTCCAGAGCTTTCTCAAAGGGGGAAGAGAGACACAGCTTGGTTACCAATTCACTCATCATTGCTGCTGTTCCCTTGAGCAGACCAATTGTCATTATTTCCCTTTCCCCCTTTCTTCTTGGCATGCCCTTTGGCAATTCCTCTGCTGCTGCTGCTGCTGCTGCTGCCGTTACTGCAAACAAGCTGAAAGTGGTCTTCAATGATGTCCTGGAGTAGCTCATCCCCCGAGTCAGCCACCTGAAAAAAAAATACACCCCGGATCGCCCATATTGTTTGTACTCGGCTCATCCGGTCAAAGTGGACTGCGTTGGCACCTCGAATTTGATCCCTCTTCATACAGGTCTGACGATTCCCATTTACACCTTTAATGTATCGACAGGCTTCTGGACTTGGCCCACGATCGATCGACTGGGGAGTCACAAGCCCATCGCGAGGCTCACCGTCCCACTCCACCAGAGTTCTGTCAGGCTTCCTTGGTTGAAGGAAAGGGGACGAGAACGAGATCGAAGAGGAGGAAGTGGCCCAGACTTGAATCACAAAAGAACCTCGACGCCGCCGCCGACGACGACGACAACAACACCAACAACATCGGATAATCCCCTCTTTGATTCTCTTATCGGTGGCCTAATAAACCATCGCCTGCGTCGCCGATCATGGCTTGGGACCACCTGTCTATCACCAAGCCGCACCTGGTCTACATCATCCTCGGTGGCTTCACCTCCCTGTTCATGCTCTGCTCCTCCGTCATCAAGGAGCGTGCATACATTGGCGAGGCTACGGTGGCCACCCTGTGCGGCGTCATCTTCGGGCCTCACGCCGCCAACCTGATCAACCCCATGTCGTGGGGCAATGCAGACATCACCACCATCGAGTTCTCCCGCCTGGTCCTCGTCGTGCAGTGCTTCGCCGTGGGTGTCGAGCTGCCCAAGTTCTACATGGAGAAGCACTGGAAGTCGGTCGTCTTCCTGCTCGTGCCCGTCATGACCTATGGCTGGCTCATCACCAGCCTCGTCGTCTGGTGGATGGTCCCGCCCCTGAGCTGGCTGCAGAGCCTGGTCGTCGCCGCCTGCGTTACCGCCACCGATCCCGTCCTGGCATCCTCGGTCGTCGGCAAGGGCAAGTTCGCTAAGCGCGTGCCCAAGCACTTGAGGGATCTCTTGTCCGCCGAGTCTGGCTGCAACGACGGCATGGCCTTTCCTTTCGTCTACCTCTCGCTGTACCTGATCCAGGACAAACTGTCAGCCAAGGAGGTCACGTACCACTGGATCTGTTTTACCATCCTCTACGAGTGCATCTTTGGCGCAGTCTACGGCTTCATGATTGGCTATCTTGCCAGACACGGTATCAAGTATGCCGAGAAGCGCGACCTCATCGACCGCGAGAGCTTTCTCGTCTTTTATTTCGTGCTGGCCCTCTGGTGTGCAGGGTCAGGAAGCATCCTCGGCGTCGACGACCTGCTCGTAGGCTTCGCGTGCGGCGTGGGGTTCTCCAACGATGGTTGGTTTACGAACAAGACCGAGGAGTCCCACGTCTCCAACGTGATCGACCTGCTGCTCAACCTGGCCTACTTTGTCTACTTTGGCACCATCATTCCCTGGGAGCAGTACAACAACTCGGACCTCGGGCTCACGGCCTGGAAGCTTGTCATCATCGCCCTCTTTGTCATCTTCTTCCGCCGCATTCCCATCATGATGGCCCTAAAACCTTTGATCCCTGACATCAAGACCTGGCGCGAGGCCTTGTTTGCCGGCCACTTCGGCCCTATTGGTGTCGGTGCCATCTTTGTGGCCATGCTGGCCCGAGGAGAGCTAGAGCACAACGACCCCGTGCCCGAGGGAACTGTGCCGACGGACCCGAGCCAGCCCAACTACGTCCTGTACACGCTGGTCTGGCCTATTGTCACCTTTATGGTCATCTCGTCCATCATCGTCCACGGCTCTTCAGTAGCGGTCTTCACACTTGGCAAGCGCATCAACACCCTGACCATCACCATGTCCTACACGACAGCACCCGAGGACGGCCCCACCTGGATGAACCGGCTCCCGAGGATCTCGTCGCAGTCTAGATCACAGGCAAAGACCATGTCAGATACGGACGGGGATGATCTCAAGATGCCCGAATACCCCCCAGGTACTCTCCCGCCCGTTGGCTACCCAGGCAACTTCCTGAGGCGTGTAAGGGAGGAGGATCAGCCCAGCAAGCAGGGGAGCCGCGCGTCCTCCATTGTCAGCCGCCGGCGGAGGAAGAAGTGGGATGATGGAGTCGGCCCTGGTGGTCCAGTCAGCCAGTCGGCCATCTTCCCACAGAGACGAAGCCAGAGCGAGCTGACCTCGATGTCGCCGCGAGACAGTCAGTCGCCAACGGATGAAAAGAATGCGTCATTCCCCGATGCCAGAAGGATCTCAGCCCCAGAGGACCCCGAGAAGCGCGCAGCACGTCGGGAGAGCCAGACCGCCGAGGAGAGGGCCCGGGATGACGCGCAGGAGGCATTCGAGCAGGAGATGAAGGATCGACTGCAAGAATCGCCCGAGGAGCGACACGCACAGGCATCTCCAGCCATCGAGGTATACGACGAGGGTGACCACATCATCGTCGAGAACGAGGACGGCGATGTGGTGGCAATGGAGGCCTCGGACGAGCACCGCCAGGAGCACCACCTCGAAGACCTGAAGCAGAAGCTCAAGATGGAAGGCGGCACATCGCAGTGGACCTATGACGGGCTGAAAAAGCGACTGGGCCACTGGCGCGACGAGGAGATGCAGAAGCGCAAGGAGAAGCAGATGTCGGACCGTAGACACGAGCCTGCCCGCGCTTACCAGTTCGGCAATACCATAATTGTCGAGGACGAGGACGGCGAGGTCGTCAAGAAATACGAGCTGCCGCCGCCGCAGAGGCACGAGGGCCAACCGAGCCAGCTGACACAGGGGCTGAAGTACATGGGTATGGGCGGGCTGGTGAAGCCCAAACCAGGCGAGTCGTCGGGAGGCGGCGGCGGCGGCGCAGCAGGCGGAGGAGACGAGGGGAGACCCAAGATGACGAACACAGCTGGCAGGAGGCCTACCTGGGTGGAAACCCTCAGCGGGCGTGCCGGAGCTGCTGCTGCTTCTGCGGGTGGTGAAGGCGCCGCGCAGAAGCCGGCCAAGAAGAAGAACCTGGCTGAGGCGCAGCAGAATGATGATCGACACATCCGCTTCACCATCGGCGGCGTTGGCCAGCGCATGACAAAGGAGGACTTCATCAGGGAGATGCAGAAGCTTGACTCGCGCACGCGGAGGGAGATTGTGGACCAGTCCAACGCGCCCGAGAGGGTCAAGACGCTCGCCAAGGAGGACCCGCCACCCGGAGCACCGGTCGAAGAGGCAGCCGTGCCAAAGTCCGTTCGCGGAAAGACCATCTCCGCACCGCGACCCGCCGCCGACGTCCCTTCCAGCCGCGTCGAGGCCGCCCCCGGCTCCAGCTCCTCCTCTGTCGGCAAGAGCCTCATGCCGCTACTCCAGCGACAGTCTCCCTCCGACAGCTCAGGCGCCCCATCTTCGGTTACGCAGCGCCAACGTTCCGACAGCGACGACGAGGACGAGGAGGTGGTGGCCCACACCAGTCATGATGCGGATGCCCCGAGCAACGACGTCCCCGAGACGGCCGTCGAGCGGCGCAGGCGGCTGGCTGTACTCGACGGCCTCGAGGGACGGGGCAGCGGAGCTGGAGAAGACACTGAGACACCCGCGGAGAGGCGACGCAGGGAGGCGGCCCTCGGCGTGGGCGGAGGCGCTGGAGGGGACGAGGAGGATAGTGATGACGATGATACGGTGCGTGTACCGCCGACGCGGAGGGGAATACGGTTCGCCGATGTACCAGACAGAGGGCGGAGGTAAAGTATCCTATTTCTATGATTCAAGATGTCAAGACTGTACTTTGTGTGCTCTGGTGTGGTGTTCTTTGATCGGAACTCAAGACAGATTGATGGATGGGAGTTCATATGCATAAAGAGACAGAGAGAGAGACAGACACACACAGACACACATACACACACACACACACACAGAGAGAGAGAGAGAGAGAGAGAGAGAAGAGATCCTAAAACTTGCAGTTATCACGAAAGGTAGGAAGGCTCGAATAATCACGTTGACGTTTGCATAGCCTGGTGGCTTCATGGTACTCAATTTTTATTTTTATTTTTTGGTAGATGCTGATTCCTAATACTGATTGTTTATTATATAAGTTGATCCATGGTTAGAGTGGTGCAGGTGTTAATCTTCCTCATTGCCTAATGTCGCCCATGGGTGTGTAGCTTACCTAGGTACAGAATGAGACTGAGTCTCTCACTCTCTGCACCGTTACGGACTATAAGCCTTCTTCTTCTTGCCCTGGTAGAGAAGAGATAATTACACTCTATACTTGACTTGAAAAACTGTGCCAGAAGAGAGTCTATATGCAATGGGGGCTTAATCTCACAGCCTCAATAATATTCTTGATCAAAGAACTAATAGTAGTGGGGTGAGAGTATCGTGAGAGCGACTTATAAAAGAACTTTTCCTAAGGTGAGTTGCATAGGATTGACTGAGTTGAGTCTCTTTCCTACAGACTGTTGAACAAATACTTTGAAGGCCGCGGTGTTTTTCTTTTCTTTCCCTTGTTCTTTCAAAGAATACAATTGATGATAGTATTTGCGAGATTTAATATTCCCTGCGACGTTGTATATAATTAGACCACATCTTTCCCTGCTCGCACTGGGAATGGTCGTCATTTCGGTGTACTCATTATGACTGGAAACCTGAATGTCTTATTTCCCATATTCCAGTTCTCATAGGTCTTCTCGAGAACTTCAAGTGAAGAAAGAACTTCAGTACTGTCACCACTCTGGCCATCTGCAGCTCAGGGTCTGTTTGGAGCAGCGGAACGCTCGACAACGGCCTTGTCCTTGACACCTGTGATACTGTGGGAGGTGACACAACCTAGGAAGAAGCCGTGAGATTGCACTTCAAGAAAAAAAGGATCATTCTCATGTTCACATTTATGGTGATCGTCCGGTCCTGTTGTGTTGCAGAATTGGCATCTGAGGGATAAGATCGTGAGCCTTGGTGCTGGTACATACTTGACATGTGCGGTTCATTACTTACTTCTTGAATTAGGGCAGATCTTTTTACACTTTTGTTTCTCCGCATGGCTGTTCACATGTTAGCTCGACAACATAAAGAACTTTTACATATGATTTGCCAACATATGTCCAGATCTCTTAGAATCAACGACGATTACGTTTAGAAGTTATTGCCTTACCCAAACAATGATGTCAGTTGTCAACATCCCCTCAATGACCTATGAGTAATCAGTAGAGTATTGATTGACCAGCTCGCGTCGTCATAGCAATTTTTGTTGAGAGTGGGCTGGGCCACAATCACAACGCTGACCTACACCCTTGACAAGGAAGAAGGCCAGAGAAGGAAATGGATCTGAACGATGATGAGCTGATTGGCAAAGTCAGTGTACGCCCACATGCCATTCTGAGGACTAGTTGCTTTACGAGTTAGTCCGATATGACACGTAGAGGAAGAAGCATACTTTGCATATGATGTATACAGATGAGTCTTGAAGGCGCCGCCATTCCAAGTGCCGCACCGTGCCATGCATGTGTTGTAACTACGTGAAAAAGGCCACTAGAGGGCGTCCAGACTCTTCCGTGTGCATACTAATAATATGAAGCTCATTTCCATGTGATCGCCGCGTGGACTTTGTGTCCAGGTTGTTGCTGGCGCCGAGCTATTTTTGGATCAGGCATGTTTGTCTGTCGTCCGGTATCACACCGAGGAGGGTCGAGATGTGCCTAGATTGCGACGATACCATTGTGATGATCAAAATAATCGGTTGATCTTTCGTTATACAGTGGTGTTCTTGTGTTGAGAACACGAGGTCGCTGCTCGGTCCTGGTAACGATGCGTCTTGGTGCGTTCAATCACATGAATAAATGGCAAACTTCACATGTAAATAAGGGGGATCTTGTTATTGATCTGGCCTCCCACATCAAATATAAATAGGAAGGGCTCCTCCCCTCCCAGAAGACAACATCACAGATTCTTAGGACATCCTTCACAACATACAACACTTCCAATCCATCAATCTCGAGGCCGAGACCAGATCTACCAGCCTACCTCACAACATACCCGAACGGACGAACGACGCTGCGCCTTTCATCATGATGCCAACATCAGCCCCCCGCATTTCCCTCTTTTTCTTTTTTCTCTTGGCAGCCATTATTGGTGCTGCTGCTGCCACCACCGCTGACCTAGGTGCTGTCGGCGTCGAAGGTGCCTATCCCTACCAGATCTCGGTGGTGAATAGACACCACTCGAGCATCCACCTCCGGATCCTGGACAACCACGGCAGTCCTAAGGCGAGCCCAAGCGCGGAAGGGGACAGGGTTCTCGAACCAGGCCTCCTGACGTCGTTCCAGGTACCGATCGGCTGGGGCGGAAACGTTCAAGTCAACGAGGCTAGGTTTCCGGCATGGAGTGGCCACGAGGGCCTGATTGAGGCCACCTTCGGCCCAGCGGACGGGCCATGTTTCGACGTCAGCTACATGTAAGCAGTCTATCATGTCTATATCCTTCCTTGCCCACCCTCTCATATGGCATACACTCGCTGACAACAGTCTGGACAGCACTGGCTACACCGTCCCGATAGTCTGTGGCTGCGTGGAGGACGGCATGGTTGTCGGTTGCAATCTCGATCTGCGAGAACTGAACAACGGACAATGCCCTGAAGGCCAGGATGACGGCAACGGAGCCTGTATCAACGAGGCGAGGTAAGCGAAAGACACCAAGCTCCTGTGGGTCTCCTACACAAAACACGATTGCTGACTTGACTGTTACACGGGCAGAGGGGACATGAACCTGATTAAAGCGCCGTCATTCTTCCAGCCGTGCGATGATGCGGTATACGTGATCGAGTCAGGCCATAAGACGCAAAACGGAGACTCGTGCCGGGAGACATCGACCATAACATGCTGCATCGGCTCCAGTTGCGACCCGTCCGACAAGCAAGAATAACAGGACGGGGAAAGGGCCGAGGCGTATGCAATGGCACGTGTTCCTGGGCTCAACACGACATCCGATCGCCCCCTACCAGCAACAGTGCAGCTCTCGGGATCTTCTTTGTGACTGGCTGGAGAGAGATGGTGGTCGAACATTGCACATGTCGGGTGTGATGGACAGCGATATCAAGGAAAAGCTTATTTCTCTGTCCAAACAACATGAGCAAGGCGTAAGGCGAACATAGATATGGCTTTTGATACCCCCAACACCACTTAGCAATAAATCTCTGTCTTCTGGGCACTGCAGCGTCTGCTCCAAGTAATGTCTGAAGTATCTATCTCAATTCCATGTGCTATGAGCAGGGCAATTAGACAAGAGTATCAAGATCATCTGAGATTGGAACGGCGTTTCTCAACCCTCGGTAGGATGTTAAAATTGTATGGTATGGAGAGGAAGAGAGAGAGAGAGAGAAAAGGAAGAGGAGGACGAGGAGGAGGCTCTCTAGTCGGGACGCCACTGCTCGGGCCGAGCCATGCGTGTTCTGGGCTCGGCGTACCATGGCTGCACCTGTGACAAGCAAACCCGAGCCCCTGGACAAGGTCCAGAGCAGTACTCTTCCCCTCTACCAAGCATCCTGAAGACTCGCTTGCAGCCTTGTTGGTACAACGACAACCTCAACGCTTCAGCCCAGGGCGATTGAGGAGTGAATCGGTGTGCTATGCATGTTGACCCTGACGGCTGTCGATCAGGCGTGAACGAATGAACGATCGAATGATGGCTCAGTCCATGGGGGCTGCAGGAGAGATCTGGTTGTGGGTGGTATCGTTATTATTTGCAACTGAGCCAATCCAACTCGGAAAGAATCGTTGTTGTCTGACGACGGCCTGTGGCGATCTGAGTGGTTGAGGGGGAAAGAGCCTGTGGTGGGTTGCCCTGACCGGCAGGAAAGAAGAAATCGATGCATGCAGGCAGGAAGGAGCCTGAGGAAGTGACCATTGTACACTAGAGTAACCTAACTGACCTTATTGACGGAGTACTTACGTAGCAGTACCAGGGTACTTGCGAGAAAAAGGTAGTCTTGGTGATTTTGTCATTTTCGTGAACAGCGTTAGCGGGCTGATATGGCGTGTCTCACAGGCTGCCGCTGGGACCCGAGAAGTAGAGGAAGATGGTGACCACAGTACCTGGACACCTTGATCTGTATACAAAAGAGACGAGGTGTGCAACAGGGGAGACTTGTGTGTGTTTGCATGTGGCGGTAGTCTATCATGTTTCACGGCAATGTTACCATCTCATCCTCCGTTTACCCACCACACCTGCATGCGCCGTTGCTGGGGTATGGTGCATATGTACATAGTATACGCTGTAATGCCAGTGTAGTGTAATGTGTACATTCTATGAGTATTTCATTACATATTGGTACATAGCACACACAGTATGTAGTGTTGGAGTCGATGGGGAGAGTGAGAGGGAGGGTGGTGGGGTGAGGGGGGCCGGCAGACGCCGTTGTACCACATACGTGTACCATGTACTGTATTAGGCTGTGCGGGCGCACGGATCGGAGGTTGTACCTGCCTCTCTCTTTCTGCAACATCCCGCAACGCTCTCACGCCACTCACAGAAGCCAATGCAAGCAAGAGTGAGGCTCCGGCCCACCCTGCTTTCTACAGTACTACATACCATAAGAGTATCTCGTATGCAGTACGCAGGCGGTTACCGTATACCGTATCAGTCTCACTGGTACACGGTACACCTGTGAGTGAGGCCTTTTGCCTAGCTGACCGGCTTGTGTGGGGAGGCTGGGGATGGGTGAACGACATCCAATCCAGCCCCAGCCGCCGACCTGCCTGCATGCATGCATGGGAAACACTGATCATTCTTCTTTTCTCATGCGGACCAGACTGGATGGACGTAAGACGCCTCACACCCGAAACTATTTGTTCGCTGACTTGTCCGCCGTCTAATCCTGCTCTTCTCCCCTGCGATCGTCTCTTGGGAAGTTGCAGGTGATAGCGGGAGCCGGCATCAATAGGCGAGACTGGGCCAGCACTTTCTTTCTCATCTGCCTTATTATGTGGTCTCAGTGGTGGCGTCCATGTTCCGCCCTGACACCCAAACCATCTCCACTCCCACTCAACTATTCAAGCTGAGTGTCTGTGTGGGTGACTGACTGACCGTGTTGTAGCTCTGGATTTTTTTCTTCCTCTTCCTCTTCTCTTTTTCTTAGTATGTTGCTGCTGTATCGACTTTGGTGTAATGGCATCGCTTGTCTCGGACGTAGAGCCGCTTTCGAGACACATGCGTGATGGAAAACCAAGTCTAGGCTGTCTGGACTAATGCGGCACGGACAGACTCCAAATTTCAGCCCAATCTCTTTTAAGAGATACTATGTACATAGACCCATATGATATAGTACGTGCACACTATAGAACTGAGAAGCGGCGGCAGCCGATCATCCCATCCCCAGCGATTGCCCTCGTAACAACGAACAGCCTTGAAACGGCACAACCAGCAAGAATGTCAGATTTATTCAGACGGTGATTAGGCCTTTTTCTCTCTTTTCTCTTCCTTCTGTATATTCGTATATGTCGTGTTACGAACCTATAATGGAGTCACCAGTCCTATATACTACGCAGTATACAGATAGTACTACGTGTATGTACTGATTGTACTGTACAGTCTACCGGACAGGCACATGGGACCAACGATAGAAACACTAATTCATGTCGGCAGTGAAGGGGCAGCACGTTCGGTCGAGCTGAAGTACCCTGGCCCCTTCGGTCGCTACATGTACCGATAGTGCCATAGACACACAGTAGGGACCCCAGGGACCCAAGCCCGTGTGTACCCTGGCAGACTTGGCACCACCTTGGGGCAGGGGGGGGGGGCCAGGGCCACCCGCTCAGGGATCCCCAAACTGCTCACTAGCCCGGATCGGGAATGGTAGTAACTTCTGGCGTCGACCAGGGTTGTGTCCGCCGGTGGAACCCCCTCTAGCCCCATCTTCAGAGGGAGGAGGGAAAGGGGAGTTTGCCAGTCTTAGCTCAATCGTGCTCTGTGCTCTGCTCTTCTCGGCCGCTGTTTAGGCTACTTTTCCACCTCGCGCTTCTTTCTCTGTTTCTGCTCCTCCTTATTTTCCCTCTCTCCCTTCCCACGATCTCCCACCCCGCGCTCCCCACAATACAGTCTCAATCGTCTCTCAGCAGCTACCATCCAGGTCTCCCGACACTCTCCGTCGCACGCCACATCGCGTTCCTACTTGTCCCTCCGCGGACCACTGCACCGCCGGCGCTGAAGCTCCAAGCTCCAGGGCCGAGCAGCCTGATCGTGCTGATCGCGCCAGCCCAGACAGATTCTTTCCCCAGCCGCAACCGTCCACGGCTCGACGCCCTCACCCCCTCCAAGCCTCATTTCTAACCACACCTGACTGGAATTGCACGCACAGCGACGGGCGATCTGAGTCTTTTTCCTGACGAGAATCATTTCACCTTCAATACACTCTTAATCCAACTTAGCGTCGCGTGCCGCCCGAGAAACGCTCCAAGGACCCACGGGTAGTCAACAAAACAGTCCTTTGCCGCGCCGCAACAATGTCTATGTACCCAGGCCATCGTGGCATGGGAGGTGCTCCTCCAGGGGTCAACGGAGCCGCCCGCCTGAACGAGCTGCTCGACCAGGTCCGATCCGAGTTCGAGAGCCAGCTTCGTCAGTCCGAGAACTACGAGCACCAAAGTGAGCATCAACCAACCACCGTGCCTCGCGGCGCCTCTTCATTAAAAGAAAACCAAAAAAAAAAAAACCTCTCTGCATACGTTTTCCGTCCTGCGCGGTTACTAACAAGCTCGAAAACAGTCCAGACGCAGGTAAACGAGATGCAGCTCGTCCGGGAGAAGGTCTATGCCATGGAGCAGACCCATATGGCCCTGAAGCAAAAGTATATCATCACTCAACCCGTTCAGCCTTATCTACCTTGCCGCAGACGTGTCGCTGACAGCTCGTGGTGGACAGGTTCGAAGAAGAGGTTACCCATCTTCGCCGACAGCTCGAACAGGCCCGCGGCGGTGCTCCTCAGGGCGCTATGGTCGGCCCTCCTCCACACGCTGGCCCTCCTCAGGCCCCTCCCCCGGCTATCGGCATGGGCACCAATGCCTTCAGCGCCATCATGTCTGGTCAGGGCGGCCAGGGCGGTCCCATCCCGCCTCCTCCTCCACCACAGGACCAGCAGGCTCCTCCACACCAGATGCCACAGCCGCCCCCGGGACTCCAGGGCCCTCCGCCCCCTCCTCCCCCACCAGCGCAGGCGCCTCCCTTCCAGCCGCAATATGCCCAGGGCCCCGCCCCCGGCGGTTTCCCTTCCCAGCCTCCACAGAGCACCGCCAGCCCCGGCCCCGGTAAGCGCGGAGTCGGCCGGCCTCCTGCAGGTGGCCCTGCTACGCCTCAGATCAACACTCCCATCCCGTACCCGGGCCCGGGAGGTCCAGGCCAGTCTCCTCAGGTCGGCACGCACCCGACTCCAGACCACGCCAGGATGGCCCAGCCGCACCATCCTCCCACCAATGCCCTGGGAGATCTGGATGTCGAGCGACTGCCCGCACAGCACAAGAAGGCCAGAGATGACTGGTTTGTCATCTTCAACCCATCCGTTCCCCGCATTCTCGACGTCGATCTGGTCCACACCCTGGCTCACGAGAGCGTTGTGTGCTGCGTCCGTTTCAGCATGGATGGCAAGTATGTGGCCACCGGTTGCAACAAGTCCGCCCAGATCTATGATATCATCTCCGGTGAGAAGGTCTGCGTGTTACAGGACGACAGCGCCGATACTGGAGGCGACTTGTACATTAGGAGCGTCTGCTTCAGCCCTGACGGCAAATATCTGGCTACCGGCGCCGAGGATAAGTTAATTCGGGTGAGTATCCCCAGGGAGGACGACCTGTGTGTCTTTGTGTCTGTGTGTGTGCTGACGCTCTCCAAAGGTCTGGGATATCCAGTCTCGCACGATCAGGAACACCTTCTCCGGCCACGAGCAGGATATCTATAGCTTGGACTTTTCTCGGGACGGCCGTACCATCGCGTCGGGAAGCGGTGACAGGACCGTCAGGCTCTGGGACATAGAGACCTCCAGCAGCATCCTGACACTGACCATCGAGGATGGTGTCACTACTGTTGCCATCTCTCCTGATTGCACTCTTGTCGCAGCCGGCTCTCTGGACAAGAGCGTCCGCGTCTGGAACATCCAGTCTGGTCATCTCGTCGAGCGCCTGGAAGGCCCTGATGGCCACAAGGATAGCGTGTACAGTGTTGCATTCTCCCCTAGCGGCAAGGACCTTGTCAGCGGCAGTCTGGACAGGACGATCAAGATGTGGGAGCTCAGCTCTTCCCGTCAGGGCGGGCTGTCGGGCCCCAAGGGAGGACGATGCGTCAAGACCTTTGAGGGTCACCGGGTAAGCAAATCAAACTCCCCTTCTGCACACTTGAAACTTGCAGGTCCAAGAATTTTGCTAACAGCTGCACTTACAGGACTTCGTGCTGAGCGTTGCTCTTACACCTGATGCGCAGTGGGTCATGTCTGGTTCCAAGGACCGTGGCGTGCAGTTCTGGGACCCCAGAACCGGTAATACCCAGGTCATGCTTCAAGGCCACAAGAACTCTGTCATCTCCGTGGCCCCCAGCCCGAGCGGCCAGTACTTTGCCACCGGCTCTGGCGACATGCGTGCCCGCATCTGGCGGTACGATAGAGTGGTGGCTTAAGAGAGGGGAGGGGATGAAACCACTCCTCGGTCGTCCCTGGCAGGCGGTTCACACTCTAGGATGTTTGAGGTCATGGCCGGATCGCATTCAAGATAGAGGACAGACCCGAGTAATTTCTTGATTAGAAGAGGCGCTTTTGGACTGGTTTTTTGTTTTTGCATCTTCTAAATCACCTTCACTGACACACTGCCACTGTTGAATACTCTCTCGCAAGGTCAGGGAGGGCGTGGTAAAACAGGGACGCAGGGACTTTTGAAGGGTAGGCAAAGGAAGGTGGATTTTGGACTGAATGGGGCGGGGAGGATGAATATTACCAGAGATTGTATTTGTCTTGATTGAGGTTGTCATAATAAGTCACTTCTCATATTACCAGCTCGTAGTGAGTGTCAGCTTCGCTTGTCTACCGATCTGTGTTGTAACCACCCAGTGCCTCTATCATGTTTTTTTCTTTTCTTTTGATGTATCAATACGCCAATAAAATGAACTAGATTCATGGACAGTAATGAGGCAAGCCTGTGTGCGTTGCTGGGGGTATCATTTCTGGCCTATTTTACCATACATATTTATGTTTACATGAGTGAGCTGAAGAGATCGTCGAACTCATCACCGCCTTTCTTCTTCCTCTTCTTCTGAGCCTTTTTCACCTCCATCGCTTCCACAACAGCAGGAGGAGACTGCGTCCGCCGCGGCGGCTCCCTCCCCTCTCTGTTCGTCCTTGCCGAGCCATCATCTATTCTCGACCTCTTTTGCTTCCTGCTCTTGCCCCCTCCTCTCCCTGCCTCGCTCACCTCATCCATCAGAGGCTGTCTAGGTACCGGCGACGAGCGCTGCTCAATATCCTGTCGCGTATCATGACTATCGACGTCGTCATCCCTACCACCACCACCGCCACCACTCATTTCGTCCCTCGACACGGCAACGCCGAGATCTAACTGATCGCTGCCACCAGAAGTACCGATCCCCTCAGCGGATCCGTGCGCAATGACGGCGGCTGGTCTTGCCGGCTCCTCAGTAGCCCTTGTCTCTTCTTCCTCCTGCTTTGGTGGGGGGATGAAGAGCTGGATGGCAGCTTGGATCTGGGCGAGCACGCCTAGGAGGAGTAGGCCTAGCTGGGCGAATTGCCTGTCGGCTGTGAGCTGGGTGAATGCTCTGGAGGTGGGTGGTTGGTGTGGTTAGCAAGATGTACAACTGACTGGAGATGAAGGATTCTTGAAGGCAACCACACAACTTACCCATAGCATCTCGTGACGAGCACATCACGAACCCACACAGCCCTCTCCACCACCCTGTCCAGCGCAGGTTGCCTGGCGGCGACGGCTGCTGCTAGTGGTGGTGGTGGCACCACTAAACCCTTTTGCCGCTTCTTCTTGTTATTACTGCTGCTGGGCGCGAGCGAGAAGGAAGATGATGAAGAAGACAAAAGGAACTCGGCTTGCTGCACGGCATCTTCCAGGTCGGAGGTGAGCTTGTGGAGGTTCCGGCGGAGCATGTTGAAAGCGGGCCACCAGGCCGTGGCGCGGTGCTGGTTCTTGTTGCGGTGGGCGAAGCCGTCGAGGATGTGGGCGGCTGTGGCGAGGGAGGTGAGGGTGGGTTTGAGCTGAGTGGGAGATGGATAGGGGTTCGGGCCTGGGCTGCTCATTGTACCTGTGGTGATGGTGGTGGTTGTTGATGGGCGAACATGGGATAACAGAGCTGTAAACCAACCCGCCAGGGCTTGCTGGCTTATTGGAGGTTTTCTTCTTGTTTCTCTTCCCCTTGCAGATATTTTTCAAGATTGTCCAGAAGGACTCATCTTGAGGAGTCTCTGCAATGAAGAAGGTGCTATCAGTGGTGAGAAGGGCTGGGATTGACTGCGGGCTGTGACCACAACAATTCATGTTTTTACAGTCTTTTGTCTTTTTGTTTTTATTCATATTATTATTTCCCTTTTCATCTCTTTCTTTTTTTCCCCGGCTGAGAGAGGGGGGGGGGGGCGGAGGGGTCGACTAACAATTTAGATTCCTGCCAGGTACGGCCCAACAGGGTATGGACTATGTACCCTAGCTTGGCCTACTTACAGTAGGCACTATGTACCTCAAGTAGTGTGGGGGAGGGGCAGTGTAGCCGCCAATGCAGCATAAATTTTTTAGCGACACTACTGTCTTGAACTTATTTTTTCTCTTAGCCCAGCTTCAATTGAAGAAAAGGGAAGATGTCGGTAACCACAAGTCCACCAGGCTTGGTTCTTTTGTCAACAAGCTCCAGGGTGAACAACCTCCCTTGCTTCCTCTGTCTCTCTCTTTCTACACCCTCCAGTCTTTTATTCTTTTTTCCCTACTTTTGGTTCTCTATTTATTTAGAAAGCCCCTCCCACAAACACACGCGAACACACGGAAGAGAAGAAAGAAGGAGAAAAAAAAAAAAAAAGAAAAGATGGAGTCTGAGAATACCCAAAACATTCGCATCCTGCTCATAGGAAATGGAGGTCGCGAGCACGCCCTAGCCTGGAAGCTCTCCCAGTCGCCTCTCGTCGAGTCCATCATCGTCGTCCCGGGCAACGGCGGCACCGCGACCTGTCCCAAGACCACCAACGAAACCAGTGTCTCTGCCGAAGACTTCCGCGGCCTCGTGTCGTTCGCCCAGTCGCGCAATATCAACCTCGTCGTCCCTGGCCCCGAGCAGCCTCTCGTCGATGGCATCGAATCCTTCTTCGCTGGCGCTGGCATCCCTGTCTTTGGCCCCTCCATCGCCGCCGCCCGCATGGAGGGGAGCAAGACCTTCAGCAAGGATTTCATGCGCAGACACGGCATCCCCACCGCCGCCTATGCCAACCTTGCCAATTACGGCGCCGCTGCGAGGTACATCCAAAACCTAAACATCGATGTGGTCATTAAGGCGACGGGCCTGGCTGCCGGCAAGGGCGTCATCATCCCCCAGTCGAAGGAAGAGGCCCTCCTGGCCGTGCGCCAGATCATGCACGACAAGGCCTTCGGCTCCGCTGGCGACGAGATCGTCGTCGAGGAGCTCCTGACGGGCGATGAGCTGAGTATTCTGTCCTTCTGCGACGGGTACACCATCAAGAGCCTGCCCGCCGCCCAGGACCACAAGCGCATCTTCGACGGCGACCAAGGGCCCAACACCGGTGGCATGGGCTGCTACGCCCCGACCAACATCGCCACGCCCGCCCTGATCAAAAAGATTGAGAAGGAGATCCTGGAGCCCACCATTGCCGGCATGAGATCCGACAGGATGCCCTTCAAGGGTGTGCTCTTCACCGGCGTCATGGTCACCCCCGACGGGCCCAAGGTGCTCGAATACAACGTGCGGTTTGGTGACCCAGAGACGCAGACCGTCCTGCCTCTGCTCTCCGAGGAGACAGACTTGGCCGAGGTCATGATGGCCTGCGCAAAGGGCTACCTGAGCTCTGTGGACCTGCACATCCTGCCCAAGTTCAGCGCCACCGTGGTTGTGGCCGCAGGTGGCTACCCGGGCAGCTATGCGAAGGGGACCCCCATGACCGTGGGCACCCCAGCGCCCGACAGCGGGATCACCATCTTCCACGCCGGAACCCAGCTGGTAGGCGGTCAGCTCCAGACCTCGGGCGGTCGAGTGATTGCCGCCAACGCGGTCGGAGACAGCCTTGAGGAGGCGGTGAGGAAGGCATACGAGGAGGGCATCAAGCTCATCCAGTTCGACAAGATGTTCTACCGCAAGGACATTGCGCACCGTGCATTCCGGACACAGCCGAGCACGTCAGGAGGTCTCACCTACGCTGAGGCGGGCGTCAGCATCGACGCTGGCAACGAGCTCGTCGAGATGATCAAGACGGCCGTCCGGTCAACAGCACGTCCCGGCGCCGATGCTGAGATTGGTGGCTTCGGTGGCGAGGTAGACCTTGCGGCCGCTGGCTACCCCAACGCACCGATCCTCGTGGGCGCCATCGACGGCGTCGGCACGAAGCTGATCATCGCGCAGTCCATGAAGAAGCACGACACTGTGGGCATCGACCTGGTGGCCATGAACGTCAACGACCTGATCGTCCAGGGCGCCGAGCCCCTCATGTTCCTAGACTACTACTCGTGCAGCAAGCTCCGCCCTGCCGACGCCGCTGCCTTCGTGACCGGTGTTGCCGAGGGCTGCCGTCAGGCCAACTGCGCCCTGGTGGGCGGCGAAACGGCCGAGATGCCCGGCATCTATCACGACGAAGACTACGACGCTGCTGGTGCCGCCATCGGTGTCATGCGCAGGGAAGCTAGGCTGCCGCGTCTGACTGACATGCGCGAGGGCGACGTCCTGCTCGGCCTGGCGTCCAACGGTGTCCACTCCAACGGCTTCTCCCTCGTCCGGCGCATCGTGGAGAAGGAGGGCCTCGAGTACACCGACGCGTGCCCCTGGGCCGACAACAACAGCGCGTCCTCGGTCGGCGACGCGCTGCTTGCGCCCACGCGGATCTACGTCAGGCCCCTCCTCAAGGCCCTGGAGCTCAACCTCATCAAGGGCCTCTCGCACATCACCGGCGGCGGCCTGACCGAGAACGTGCCGCGCATGCTGCCCAAGACCCTCGCCGCCGAGATCGACGTCGCCAGCTGGACCGTGCCCGCCGTCTTCAAGTGGATGCGGACGGCTGCCTCGGTCGAGCCCAAGGAGATGGCCCGGACCTTCAACAACGGCATCGGCATGGTCGCTGTAGTCGCCGCTGCCGATTATGACAAGGTCGCCGGCGTCCTCAAGGGCGAGGGCGAGACGGTGTACAAGATTGGGCAGCTGGTGAAGAGGGAGAGCAACGGGGAGGAGTGCGTGCTCAAGAGTCTGGAGTCCTGGGCGTAAACAGGGAAAGGGAAGCCCCTGGGGAGGAGGGATTTTAACGCAAGGCAACTCGGCAATAGATGAGGAGCGAGCATGGTCTCTTGACGACTTTATATACGGGATTTATCTTCTCCGTCAGCGAGCGCTCTGTGTGTGTGTGTGTGCTGCTGTGTTTTGAATACAAGCTTGCCTCCTTAGTTGCCTATCTAAAACTGTTCGATTTCCATCATTTCAAAGAAGTCCCATGGTTTTGCCCTCTCATCATGTGCATGACAATTGTATGGGGATTATCGTTGTATACCATCAATAACATGAACATCAATATCAATAACCCGCGCCGTCGCTACCGGTAAAAGCTAGCTAGCCTACATTCAATCTATACCAAGCTGGAATAAAGTATCCTGGAAAAACCAAACAAAGCATCTCTCCTTGGAGCAGACTCAAGTAACAACAGTCTCGATCAGGCTGGGATCAAAATTCCAGTCAAAGTCCTTCATAAATGCATCCCAGTCGATCATGGCAGTAAGATCAGGGACAACGGCCGAGGAACCAGCCGCGACGCCACCACCAGCCCCGGCAATGTCGGCGCCACCACCAGCGCCGGGGGGCTGCGGGGTCAGCTTCTCAGGGCGGATCTGCTCCATCTGGCGCTTCCAGCGGCGGATACAGTCGAGGGGGAGGCCCATGCCCATGCGGTGGCTGTACTGGGGGTCGCCGAGCTGGGAGATCTCGGTGGCGGGGAGGACGTTGCGGACGTTCCAGGCGCTCTCCATCATCTTGGAGCAGCGGAGGGGCAGGTCGGCCTCCTGGACGGAGCAGTGGCGGATGCTGGCCACGGCGTCCAGGACGACCATGTCCGGAGTGGTCACGCCGTCGAGCTGGCGGATGTAGGTCTCGACGGCATCGCGCAGGGTCGGGGATACGAGGGCTGAGATGAGGACGCAGCCCGCGGTGAGGAGAGTACGGCAGACAAAGTGCGGCGCGTGGGAGAGAAAGTTGATCTCGGCCTGGAGCTTCAGGGCGAGCTGGACGAGCAAGTGGGCGGTGGTGCAGCAGCGGAGGGTGTTGCGCCTGTAAATCTCAAGGCTGAAGTTGGGCGTGGGCACGAAATAGTATATCTGGACCTCGAGGAGGGTCGAGAGGATTGTGAAGTGGTCGACATCTTTTTTTTTATTTTTAATTTCCATTTCATCTGTCAGCATGTCATTTATTCAAGGCGGAGATGTGTATTGACCTGCCTGAGATGTCAACAGAAGACATCAGCCTCTGCACCTTGGTAAAGTCATCCGAGAGTTGGTCTACGATGTGATGCGACACGCCCCGCTCTTCCTCGAGGGTGGCAGACATCACCCTACTCAGCCGATTAAGAAAGGCGGCGCTCTCGAGTTGCACGTAAAAGTAAGTTGGGATCTTGAAGGAACTGGTGCGGTCCAAGACGCTCTCGATGGTCCGGTTGAAGAACTGTCCCGTGCTCGGGGTGCCGCTATAGGTCGAGATGCGCTGAGAAACAATATTGTAGCCAAGCCAGGTGTAGACGGCCTCCTCATTAGACACGGCAAGGCGGTATACTGGATAGAGAAGCGTGGGAATATCGCCCCGGCCGGTCTGGATCCCCAGTAGGTAGCAGCTGTTCATGAGCATGGAGGTGTAGATGGGTGACGGGTCTTTCATGAAGCGAATGGTGGGCAGCGGCCACGCGCTCAGGATGAGCATCGCGTTGATGGTAGCCAGCGACATTGGCGGGTCCGACCTATAGTTGACGAGTATCTTGTAAGCAGGGCCCAACAATTCAGAGAGAGAGAGAGAGAGAGAGAGAGAGATCTTGATCCTGAAGCCAGTACAACAGCACGTTACAGTATAGAGAAAAGGGGCGGGGGGTGGTACAAATACATGGGACACAGAACACAGTGAATTTTGTTGGAGCAGAAGAAATAAAAACACATATTGAAACATAGAAATATATATAATTAGGCATAGAAGCACACTTCCAAAGAGATATACGTACACAGCATCCCAGACCTCAGACTTGATGGAGTCGATCAGAAAGTCAAAGACCCCACCGTCATGAGGCAACCGCCGGCAGGCCGTCACCATAATGACCCAAAACAGGACCGGCCCTGCATTGTAGATGGCGTCTGGCTCACGCATACGGACGATAGGGAGGTAAGGGTGGAAGTCCTTGAAGTACTTGTCGAAGTAGACATCAATGTCTTGGCCGGCAAAGACGCGCGACTTGAGGGCGCGCGGCTGTGCGGGACGACTGGTACTGGTCGTGGTGGAGGGCGTCGTCATCTGGTCTCCTGGCGTGAGCGAGGGGACGGAGGAGGCATCACCGAGCCCACCCCTCGGCGGCGCAGGGCCGCTAAAGGAGGAGATGCTCGACATCGGGGTCGCATTGGGCGAGAAGGCGACTGTAGGGTAGAGGCGTGTTCCGGTTGCTGGCGGCGCAGGCGGTGAATGCTGCTGCTGCTGCTGCTGCTGCTGAGGATGGAGGAGGTGGTTGGTCTGTGGAATCGAGGGTAGAGGCATCTGCTGCTGTTGCCCTCCCTGGGTCGTGGCTGTCGTCGTCGTCGTCGTCGTCGTCGCCCCTCGGGGTCCGACAGCCTGCTTGATGTTCTGGACCTCCTGGACGAGCTCCTCGAACCTGCTCCTCTTGCTGACGCGCTTGTGGGACTTGTCGACGACGCAGGGCAGGCTGAGCTTGGCACAGCGCTGGCAGGGCTGGCCGTGGACGGCGCTGGCGTTGCATCGCACTTTGGAGTCGCGACATGAGACGCAGGCCGTGTTCCTCTTGATGCGCGACTGGGGCGACGACTGCTCGGCGGCCGAGGCCAGGAGATCTAGTGACTCCCTGCTCTCCCCGTTGTTGCTGCTCATAGTCAACGAACAAAGGAAAGAAAAATAAAAGAAAAGGCAGAGGATTCGGCAGGCACGTGAATATCTGTTTCTGTGTATGCTGATTGGTATGGTGGACGGTCGAGTTCGATGTCGATGGCCGATGCGGAGCCGGTATGCGCGATCTCGGGAGGAATTCGGCGGTATCTTTTCTTGAGGGGGAATAAGACGTAGTGCAGTGAGTGGTAAGCACATTGACATAATAGCATTTGAGCTAAGCAGGGACATTGGGGTTAGGGTCAGTCAACCCTTACCCTGAACCTGCATCGTACCATACAGTAGTGCATCATTGCTGTGGAATCAAGACCTCCCTCCCCCTCGTCCTTCTTCTTCACTCCTTCTTTTCTTGTACTTACCACCTCCTCTCGTACTCACCAACCCACAAGCCCCAGCCCAGAACATTTCCCTTGATCTTCTCGGCAATCTGTTCCCTGCTAGGCTGTGGCTTGGACGTCAACAAGTCCTTCGGCAGCGGCTCGCTCAGCGCCACAATCTGATGGAAATCTAACAAACATTATGAGACACACGTACTGTCAGCACGCACGCACGAAATGGCTCAACGTATCCTCTCTGTAGCTGTCGGTCCAGCCGGTGTATACTCACATCTATGGGGCCCGTGGTTCATCAGCGGGCGAGGGGGTATATACACTTTGCCTGACCTCGTCATGCCGTAGTGAAAGCCTCCCTTGAGCAGGTTCTTGCTGTCATCAGCCACCTCGATATCGGCATGGTCCACCCTCGTAGTAGTGGCTGCAATGCCAGCAAATATCCTAAAGTAAATAATCACAACGAAGTCTATCAGTCAGTTCTTCCGCCATAGCTAGCCAGCCAGCCACAGGCAATGAGAAGACAGAGAATAGACCTACGCGTGCGAAATAGGCGTCGGCAGCGGCGCATCCGGGTCCTCCACGACGAGCAGCCACTCTTTCACCTTACCCTCCAGGCTCGTTGGCGTCATCCACTCCAAAGACGGCAGCCTGCCCGCTCCGTCAGCCGAGTCCTCCTTCTGCAGCTGGGCCGGCTGGCGCAGCGGGCCGGGACCGCGCGCCGGAGAGGTGATCTCGATGGTCGGCTCTGAAAAAGCCTCGAATGCGGGGAGGCGGTTGAAGCACTTGTCGTCGCGGCCCCTGGCGTTCGCGAACAGCCATGAGATTGTTACTTCTAAGAGTGCCCGGGACATTTTCAATGTTGTGACTCGTGCCGCCGTCACGTTTTATGAATGCAGCCAAGGATGGGTCTAGATTCTTGATCAGGGCGGGTGGAGAAAGACGCAACAAAATGGGCCAAAATCACGAGGACAGTTTAAATCGAGACTCGAGGGATGAGTAGAAGTAGTCTGGTGCAATGACCCTGCTTCTTATTTATAAGTCAAATAGATAGGGAATGGTGAAACTGAGGGGATGGTCTTTGCGGTAGCGACTCGGCAACCGGCTCCGAACCGCTGGCCGACAGAACAGGCCATGAGAACCTCCTCGATCTATTATTCGTCCAGCCCACTGCTGCGCCAGATTGAAAACAAGAGCATTCATTGAACACACAGTCTCCTGACCCCATGACATCACTGCAATGTGCTCAACTCTCTGAATCTCTGACCCCTCGTACTGACTGCCTACCAAATCACAGATGAATCCCCTTTCTCCAGACAGCCGGGGGCCACCAAGAGAGAGACCAAAGACCCCAATGAGACAAGAAGAGAACTGGACAACACTCCTCTCTTCACAGCTCGTCCTTCTTCTTCTCCTCCTTGCCCCCACCACCCATCAGCCCACCAAACAAGCCCGAGACGAACCCCGGCGCAGCGACACGTGCGGCCTTGGGGTACGACTTGCCCTCGAGCTCGACCCTGGGCTCGCACGTACACCACTCCTCCTCGGGCACCCCCGACATGGCGCTGGGGATGTGTCTCCCGCAGCCGCGCCACGACTTCTTGGCTATTTGTGGGCTCCTCTGTCAGCATATTTCTCCGTATTGCTTCCTTCTCCTCTTCTTCTTTGTCTTATAACGTGTCGAGGAAAGGAGTGGGTAGAAGGAAAAACGAGAGAGAAGAGAGAGTGTCTGTATGTGTGTATGTTCGTATGTGAGGAAGTCGTCGATTGTTCCCTTGTCTGGCCTTGGCTTCTACTCACAACAGTCTGGACAGCTCGCGCTCATACACATCTTGTCTCTTTTATTTATGTTTTTGTTTTTCCTTGTAACTCGTGCTCTCGTTTTACTTTGTGCGTGTGGTTCAAATTATCTGTTCTCTGAACTGTGGATTAGAGAAATATGGCAGAGGGATGCTTTTGTAGTTCCAAGTAGTTGATGAAAATCGTATGTGCGTATTTGTCAGTGGGGCAACATTTGAGTTTCCTCGCAGGCCTTTCCCTTTGGGCTATTTACTATCTATTAATCAGGGAAGAGGGTCGGTCATGTCGGTCTCCCGTCAACGGCCCGCGGTGACTCCACTGCGACGGACGGGACTCGAGGTCGGCGAAGCCTGAGCAGCAGTGGGTGCTCGGCGACCAGTAAAACATACAGCCCGGCGGCGACCCAAAAAAAAAAAAAAAAAAAGGGAAAAAAAAGAAGAAGAACCAGGACAGCAATTCATGATCTTCTCTCACCTGCCCATCTTGAAGCAAACCAGGCAAACACTAGGCACGAATATTAATTTCTGTTCCACACATTGTCGCTGGAAGATTAAGAAACCGATATGAAGTAGTTCGTGGTCATGATTATATCCTGCCATAAAACAAAATACACTCGCATCCAGATAGGTATCTAAGCGCTTTGCCCCCTTACGTTTCCGCGCCTTCTCCTCTTTCTACCGCCTCATATTACAAAAGCGTAAAAAGCATAATTCATGTCCATGACCTTTTCAACCCTCAGGCATGTCGTTAGGAAAGAACCCGGTAGCACCACAGGGGATTCTAGTTCTTGTGCAGCTTGGCCTTGATCTTGTCCTTCAGACTCTTCTTCTCCTTGGAGTCGGACGACTCCGAGCCGGCCGACGTCTCTTCTGACCTCTTTGCATCCTCCACAGCTGGGTTGTGGATTCCCTTCTCCTCTAGAAGGCCTAAACAGAGACACAGTAATGTCAGCGGGGACCATCCCATCTCTCATTCCTCTCAAGACAGCAGACAGGAAAGATGTAAAGACTTACGATCGGCTTCACGCCCAGCACCAGGCTTCGTGGCGTCAAAGTCTCCGCCGTCTGCCTGCAGGCCAGAGCTCTTGACGTACTCCTCGCCAGACCCCTTGTTCTCGCCACTGCTACCCAGCGGCTCACCTTCCTTTCCCTCTTCCTGACCCTCAGCGCCTGCACCCGCGCCGGTGCCGTCCTGGCCAGCGTCACCACCCCGCTCCCTGGCGACGTCTTCGATCGGCCGGGGACCGGGCCCGTCCACCTTGCCTGGGTTTTCGGACGCGTCCACGCTGCCCGTGTCGTCGACATTCTTGCGCTCTTCTTCCTTCTTGGGGTCAGTTGTGGGGTTGGTGTCGGGATCGCGGACGTCGGCCTGGGCGGCCTTGAAGCCTGTGTCGCCTGTGGTGGAGGGATGCTCTGAGGTGGGGCCCTTGCTCGCTGTGGTGGTGTCTTTGCTCTCTGTGGCGGCGTTGTCGCCGGTCTGAGTGGGTTCTGTTTGTAGAAACCGTACGAGTTAGCCTCGAGTTTTATATATCAGGTGGTTTCGGAGGAAAGCAAAGCCAGCTAAAGCCTCGCAGAAAGACCTATGTGGGAGGGAGGCCGAAGGGAATATAGGAAAAAGAATTTGACGCACCGATGTTGCCAGCGTCGAACGGCTCGCCCTTTGAGGTATCGCCTTGCTTGCCAGAGACTGGCTCCTGGCCCTGTGTTTCGTTGGTGGTCGTGTTGGTGTTGGTGGTAGTGGTGGTAGTACCGTCTGCGGCGGCGGCGTTGGTATTGTTGTCAGCGTTCTCGCCCCAGATGGCCTTGGAGGCAGAGGAGGCAATAGAATTAATAGTATCCATGGTGGTGGTAGTAAGAGAGGCGAGATATAATGCAATGTGGTAGTGGTGGTGAGTGTTGTTGGTTCTGGGACCTGCTAACGAGAAAAATTGGTAAATCTATGTTGTGTTATGGAGGGGGAAGACCACAAAAAGTCAGGAGATTGGCAAGGGCTGTGCTTATGTATTCAAAGAAAATGGAGGGGAGGCAGAGGGAGGTATTGCGTCTCCCAGATATTCTCAAAAAGCTTGTCACAGTTCCTGTTTCTTGTACTGAACTAGTACAACCTGAAGGGGGGCGACCCGAGTGGGCCTTGAGTTGGTTGGTACCTGAACCAGGTGAGGAGGGACTTGTGTCGTGCTATACGAGACGGTTCGTTCTTCTTTCGTTACGCCTAGTATGAGGCAGTCGTGTCTCCTGCCCATGAGAGCAGAGGAGTGACGTCTTTGCCTGCAGGGGGGATATGTTGTAATCCCAAGAAGCAGGACAAGACGAGAGCGGCGTTAGTCTCGTGCGCTCCTTCTTTCCCCTCTTCTCCTGTCCCCCCCCCCCCCCCTACTAGTATTGGAGAGTGCGACCAGGGCAGCCAGCTCGGCCGAGTAGTGAAGGAGAAGACCCCATCACCTGGGCCGTACTGGACGCCCGCAGCCGGAATATTATTGTACTGGGTAGCCCAGTCACATCCAGACAGGGTATCCAATAGCATCATTTAGCATCATTGACAATGTCCAACTGTTATCGTCCCTCCCTCCGTGAGAGCAACAGCATGCAAAAGTACTAAGGCTAACCAGCTATTCACATCTCATGTAAGGCCTGGCAGGGTATCGATCCAGGCGAGGCTATAGATAGATTTCTCCATATCATGCTAAGGAGGAACTCTCTATGAACCGTAAATATTAACTTTACCAGCTCTCTGGACAGCTAGTTAGGCTGAGGCTCTTCTGTTTCCATCTCATACGCCTCACCACACATACATTCAGCTTGGAGTTGATGTTGAGTGGTTGTTTCATGGTGGGGTTGAAGTAAGACGATGACGTCGAGAGCAGCCACAAAGAAACCTCCCCGCACGCTCTACGTCACTAGTGGTTAATCGCCCCAAGCAGGTGGGTGATGTAACGACGACGCTTCAGGGGGTCTAGGCCCGCCCTGTGCCAAGCGCAGTCCCTAACTCCCAGCTGGGGTTTAATATATACTGTAGCATTCAGGGGTTACGTACCCTCGTCCGAACATCACCACCACTGACTCGCAAGGCTCACGGCTACGTACTTTGTGCTGGCTCTTCAATAGGGAAGAGTACACGCATGGGCTGAGCATCTGCTTGCTATTGATTTATGTCTTTTTTTCCCGTCCGACGACATTATGCCTATCTGTAGCGTGCTTATTGAATCAAAGCACCAAGCGCAGACAAGCCGTCCATCCAGCTCGCCTCGTGTTGCTTGCTCAGTTCCTCCCATGTCGCTACAAAACTCATGAACCGCCCTACATACTTCACAATATGTACCAAGCATACGATCCCACATAGGCACACGTGGCGATGAGAACAAGCGTAATTACATGAATAAATCACAAAAAAGACAAAATTGGTATCATATTGTTCAAAAGTGCGATATGCCAAAAATTTTAAAAAATTAATCCTGCACCCCACCTCCAGGTACGCGCACGAGACTCGCTCTCAAAGCCTTGTCGGCTGCGTCTGCCGTTACCTGATACCGGACCTAAACGAGCCCAGGCTCATTCTCCTCACGCCCTCCGGAATCTCCGCCATGCCCATACCCCCTCTTTTCGCGCCGGCCTCCACCATCGAGACTGGTCGGTCGCCCGCTTCGTCGCCCTGAAGCTTGATCTTGACGGACCCCTTGCCCTTCCGTATGCTGCGCCGCTTCGCGGCCGCCATTGACCTCATCTCGGCGTCGAGATCCGTTTCCTCTTCCAGGACCGGCGCGTGATAGCGCTCGTTCCTGCTGTCGCCCACCATCCGCACCACTGGCTCGCCTCCTGGCAGCTTGATCACCGACGCCTCGAGGGTCTCGGCAATGTCGAGCAGCAACACGTCCATCGGGCAGATATACGCCACCTTCTTGCGCTGGGAGAAGGCCACTACGTGCCCACATACCCGTCCATGGTCCCGCTCCACAATCCAGGCGCCGCTGTCGCCGGGCAGACCCAGAGGGAGGTTTGACTGGTCGCCACCGCCGCCTGTCTTCTCGGAGACCGAACTCGTCACCTGATACGTATGGCTGGGCGAGACACGGCCGTAGATCTTCACAGATGTCAAAGCGGGCAGAACAAGACCAAATTGCAGACCGCTCGTACGCGCCATACACTGCACCTCAAGATTTGGGAGCGCCGTCGCCGGCAGTACGGACTTGGGGTGCATCGAACGATCCTTTGGATCCACTCCAGCCGGTATGGAATTCGTACCGGGCAGGCGGTCGTCATTGAACTCGAACAGCGCCCAGTCGATCTCGTGAATGAGGCCGCGCTCGTCGTTCCGCCGTCGGATTCCACTGGAAGCATAGACCTCGCCGAGGGTAAAGCTATCGAGGTGGTCCTCGTCTCGTGTCTCAGAACCAGCGTAAAAGTCATCGTCGACGTCGTCCAGGGCCGGCTGGCTGACTATGTATCCGTCGCCACACCCAGCCTCCACGCCAGGTATGTCTCCAGGCTGCGAATACTCGTCCTCTTCCTCCTCGTCGTCAGACTCCGAGTACTCGCTAGTGACCGCTGATTCGGTCAGGACATCTGTGCCGGCGTCCGAGAACTCGGCTGCGTAATCCTCACTCTCGCTGCTATCGCCTGAGACAGGCGACTCGCTTGGGTACTGCTGCGCATACCAGGCGGCGAGGTCGGGCACTTGCTCCCTGGAGCCGGCCATGCTCCTCTGGATCCGCTGGGCCTCCTTTGGCGTCAGGGTGGACTGTTCTGCATCGGGGTCGTCAAGCATGTGATGGACCGTCATGCCATATGTCTTGTCGTCAACCACAACTAGACCCCCGAAGCTGACGGGTGGTAGGTGGTGGTCGCCAACCCAGGCTCCTATGCTGGCTCCATTCGATGGGCGCTCCTGAAAGCTTCCATTAGCCGCGGCCACTACTTCAGAAGATTCTCCCTGGGCCATGCTGCGCTTCGTACCGGTACCATCATTGCGCGACCGGAGTACTTGTCCTCGGCACACCTTCAACGCGAAGCCCGCCGGCCCCTCGAATAGGGCGCCCAGCTTCCGTTTCAGGATCGCCCTGACCTTGGACACGGAAGTGCACACTACCAGGACAGTCGCCCTCGTTTCCTTGGCCGACTCCCCTATGGATTCAAGGGAGATCTCGACCGACTCGGGGTGCTTTCGGTAGAAGTGACGCAGCGCCTGGTTGATTTGAGGCATGAGCACATCATTCCAGTGCTCGACTGCTTCAGGAGGCAGTGCCGTTTGCGGATAAAGCCGAGATTTGTTCGGCCGTCTGGTCCTCGGTTCCGGAGCTTGAGGGGTTGCTACTGCTGCTGCAGCATCAGCTGTCATATCGTTGACTTTGTTCCACATATTGGCGGACATACCTCTTGGTGGTTCGACTTGGGGTGAGACGGAGAAGCCAGCCTCGCGTGCCTTGGCGTCTCTCGAAGAGCTTGCCACAACGGAGGTCTCAGGTTTCTCACCCTGTCGAGTTGGCGCTTGAACGCCCAGGTCACTGCTAAGACGACCTTCCAGCCCACCAACACTGTCAATAATAGCGCAGGCCTCGAGGAAGCGGCTGGCCTTGACCTGAACCTGCGTCATGACCTGGCTGCTTTCGGTCCCTGCTCGGAGCTCGTCGTCCACCGCAGCATAACATGTCTGCACCGCTTTCATGTAGAGTGTACCGCATCTAGTCGCAAGCTGCTCCAGGACCGATTCCGGGATGGATGTAGTCGACGGTGTCGCAACCAAGTTCTCAAGGGGTGTCCACAGACCGATGGACAGCAGCAGCATGGCCAGAGAGTAGAGATCAAATGCCTTCGAATCAACGTTGGACAGAAGGGATTTCTCGCCCGTGGTCTTGGGATCGAGGGGGTGGCGATACAGAGAGGGAGAAGGCGCGGAGCTTTCTTGGAAGCTGTCGGAGAAGAGGTCGAAAGAGGATACCAGAGGGCGCCGTATATCGACCTCTCCAGAGCCCAAGCCTGGCTCGATGCCGACAGCCTTACAAAAAGACACATTCGAGTTGACCAGATTGCCGTGTGCAATCCCTCGCGCATGCATATCGAATACGGTGTTGGCCAGGTTGAAGGCCAGTCGGAATTTTGCCTCCAGGGGTGGCTCAGAGTCTGGTCTGGCAAGGAGGTCCGACAGGGAGCAGAGAGTGTTGAGTGTGTTGTGGGTGATAGACTCGAAAGAGACTGGATTGAACGATGGAGGGAAGTGATAGACCAGCCCAAGCCTTGCATTTTTCATATCTTCAAAGTATCCCAGCAGCTGAGGTATGCCAGTCCAGGAGCCTGGAGAGCGTTGTGGCTCCGTCTGTAGTCCTGCAGACAACTTCTCAAAGCGAGACATGTCTGGCATGATGTCCACCTGTGCAAACATGGGATCAAACTCAGCATATTCCAGCAGAAGGGCAGTGTATGGCCTTCCATTGTTCCTTGTCAAGTCAGAATAGGCTTGCGTGCTCATGTAGACAATGTCTCTTGTTGAAGTCTCCGTGGTGAACTCAGACATGGGTATTGGCTGCCTTTCGTTCAGGCTGGTCAAGGTTTGGGGTTCGATCTTCTGTGGTGTCTGCATCCTGGTGGACTCAAAGGCACGCATGTCGTCATTGGAACTGCCTTTGGCCCTGGCCTGGGCAGACAAGGCTGTACTTGAGCGTGTTCTCGACAGGTCATATAGTGTGTCGATACAGGTGGTCAAATCTCTGACCAGCTCTTGGAACTTAGTTTTGTCCCATGGCACAATGGGGATCTTCTTGTCCCCCATGGGCCTGGAAGTCTCCCCAGCCTGACGCCTGGAACTTGCCCACAGCGGTTCCGCCTCGGCCAGGATGTCCTTGATATTCGACATGATGCTCCCAACAACTTCGCTGACACCTGCTTTCGAGAGGGCGTCATCTATAATGTCCGCATTTCCGGGGTCGGACCAGCCCAGACCCCAGGTGACAAGCCGGTCATTTTGTATCTTGAGTTTCCGATGCAGTGACTTGATGTCTGGGTCCTCGGCGCTTTGAATGGGCTGCTTGAAGAAGTCTGAGGATTTCTTGGTATCGGTATAGAGCCGGCTCAGGCGTCGCTGGACAGGCAGCTGGAAGCCGCCCTGCGGCAAGCCGTATGACTCCATGGTGTCGTCGCGAGGTGAGACTTGATCACAGCAGGGCCGTCAATGGCAAAATGGTGACGATGTGGGAGAATTCAAACCAGCCGGTGATTATGAAGTTGCCAGTCAAAACATAGTTGGTCTCGAAGGGCGTCAGCCAGCAACAATCCGTTGATTGCGTCGACTGTGTGGCTGCGTAATGATGCCCTGCCCGGTTCGTTGGATACAACAGGGGGTTGGATAAGCGGTAGCAAATGGCCTCAGCAGCTTGGGACGAGCTGTGGGTCCGGTTCTTTAGGAGTGAAGGAGAGCCCGTGTTAAAGAAGGGACGCGAAAACGAGACGAAGGAAGAGGCGGGAGAGAGGAAGAGAAAGGAAGGTAGCGGTTCGAGTGTATGTGTGTGTGTATTGAACTTGGCATCACGATGCAGCTGAGGACGTAGTTCAAGAACAATTGATAGCCTGATGATATTCGATGGGGGCAGCCGAGACTCCTACTAGGCATGCATGTCCCCAAAGTCGTCGAGATTCCGCACGAGCCTGGGCACTGTGGGGGACCTAAAAGCGAGATGTCGTGTCGTGGAACGCCGATGAATACCGGTAATACAACTGAGATAGCACTAGACCCGCCAGCACATGTCCATCACGGATGAGAAAAGTGCGCCAAGTGCGTTTGTGCCGTTCAAGAGCATCGAAATGTTGCTGCCTGAAGTCGGTTTTTCTAGGCAGCCGAATTAAAGATTCCCCCCTCCCCGTTCTAGTGTTACGCTGCGTCCGCCATTGTCAGACGTCCCAAAACCGGCGGCTCGAGCCGAGGGTCCAATCAAGGGATGTTAAACGCTAGTCACGTGCTGTTTCTGTGCTGATGTAATGCATCAGTTCCCCCTTGTCTTTCTCACTAGACCTGGTATGAACCTCTAACAGCAAGAACAATGGAACCAAACGAGGCTAGGTGCGTGGATGCTACCAGGGGGCTATGAGCACCCAACTAACGGAGCTTGGTCGGCGATGCACGCCCTTTGAACATGAAGTTTGAAAACTATAATGTTTGATCAACAAGAACGATGTACAGACTTGCTGTGAGACGGGTTCTCTTCCAGAACTTCTTCATATCGACCAATATTTACTTCACCCCGCGCGCAATATCAGGTTAGGTTGCCCATGCCTAAATCTTCAGCAAGGACATCTCTATTCTCCTAAGGTTTTCGAAGGGGTTCTTGTTCTTCTTTTTAAATGACGCATTCGATACACATGTTGAATCACTGGATCCTCCATATAGATATAGGTAGGCAGCCACATCCTCGATGATACATCCTCTTTGGAATCACTTTGCCAGACGGTCGAATACTGTTCCCCTTTTACCATCTCAACGTGCAGTTGTTGTATATTGCTAGGGGGAAGCCAGGTCTAGGCCTCCTCCGAATTCCGAGAATCTCCAATAGACTGTGCGCATGAGAAGGTTACATGAGAAGCTGAACCAGATGTTGTAGCTGGGCGCCGCCCCAGCGTCAGCCACTTACTCATTGCACTACCCCTTTAGGGACTCGATATTCAATAGTGATCCAGAATATGGCCTCTGAACACCTAGGAAGCCTTTTGGGCGAGCACGGGTCTGAAAAACACGAGCGAGTTTGATTTACAAGATGAAGAAAATTGTGTTTCAAGAAATGGTCGAAAGCACCAGCAGCACGTATTAAACCCAGGACGCCTCATTGGCATGGCTATTCCCGCTACCGTTCCCGCTCCCTACAGCTGCAGCTTTCGATTTTGGGCACAGTCCACTTATCAATCACACGGTCCCTTGCCCCGCGGGTCTTCGCGAATGCAGCGTGTAATTTTCGAAGAAATATGGTTGCCTAAACAAGAATGCCCCGCTGAATGGTATGAGCACGAGCTTCCCAGCCGAAACTACCAAGCAAGTGAATGAAAGAGAGGACAAGAAGAAACGGAGAGGTCCAAGGATCATGACCTGTCAGATGCCTTACTTTCAACACAAGCCTTGTTGGTCTGCGGCAGATATATGAGTTACAATGTGTCTTAACACGCTCAGGTGCGGAATCCTTCGCTTTCTTGTGAGAGAGAGAGAGTAAGAGGGAAAAAGAGGGATGGATCCTGTACAAGCGTGGAGCCGACTTCCGACTAAGACTGGTAGCGCAATCACTGGTGGCGCCAGGCAACAGATAAATGTCCATGTCCATTTGATCTCGACCATCCCTTGTTCACTGCCCAATCCAAACCTCTTTGCTCGAGCGGTGCGACGTGACAAGGTAATGACAGGCTTGCCCCCGCGTAGTTCCGAAAAAAGGTAATTGGTCGACTCTTATCCCCCGTCTGAGTTAACAGCTCGGGGCCGGGTTGTGAGCATTACTTATGACTTGATGCCCGCCAGGCAACAGTGAATGCACTGGCAGTTTCAATCTGGTTGACAGAAAAGACAGCCTCCTGTCAGGAGCATAGCATTCAATGCCCAGCCTGATTTACATTACCGGTCTTGTCCGCTGAATTTCGTCGTGCCCGATCTGAGCGAGCCCAATCTCATTACTTGACAGCATATGATCGACAAGGAACTGTTGATCGTGGACCATTTAGTGCTGTCATTCTCGCTCATCCAGGGGCCTGAGGTGGTGTTCCTTCCTTATGTTGGCTTTTGAGAGTTGGAGCGAGAAAATGCGAGCCGGGAACTCTGATCTGCATGTCAGCTAGGCAGACCTCGGGATAGATGACCACATGAGATACGAGTGCGTGATGGCTGCATGTGCTCAGAATCTGTCCACATTCCCCCGCGATGACACATACCCTCCCTCGATTATGGCGACCCGTTGTGGTGGATGCGTCGGATTACTGTATAGAATACTAAACAAGACGACAAGCCGAAGGTTCAGACCCAGGTAAAGTATTTACTTCAAGTAGTACTTGCAGCCTGAATCACGTCTAAATGTGTGAAAGTGATCTACAGTCGAACTGATTGCGACTCAACTGGACCTGGCATCATTCAGAGTCCGAAACAATCCACCATCCACACTCAGTTCGCCTGGCTACCTATTAGGCAAGTACTTATAAGACCTATGTGCTTTGGGTAAATGAGTCAAGCACCATGGAGCCTATGCTTTGAAGCCTCTGGGTCTCACTGTCTACAAATACATATGTAGAGAGGACCTCGGAGATGGTATTGGTTTCGGCTATGACGAGAGAAATGCAAAGCCACGTCAACACCTCTTGTCAGCCTTCATGAGGTGGAGACATCCCCTACTACTTACTGAAGTACCTGTTGGTGGTTGATGCGTGATGAGCACCCTGTCGGTTGGAATCAGGCAGCCGGATCAAATCTTTGGGTTTCTACAGTGCGCACTCGCCCCGTTTTGTTGGGCGTCATGTGTACAGCTACACGATCCGTGGATCCTTGCAAATTTAGAATTCTTCATGCATTGCTGTGTAAGTGCATGATTAGTCACTGTGACATATCGGGTTAGAAGAAAAATGGTTTGATACATTGTCCGTCTCTCTGCTCGATATGGACGTGATCAGGTTTTGGAATTTGAGGATGACCACTTTTGACATTCGATAGGACAAGACAAATTGGGCCAGACATCGACGCAGGTCAGTGAAAATAATTTAAGTACTCGTAACGAAAATACTCGGGCAGATTGTCATCATGGGAGTGATTTGATGCGAACATAATTACCTAGAATGTTTCATCTCTTCAGTCTGAAGCGTCTAGCCCTTCTCTCTGGTATCACCATGTCCATCAGCAGTACGGCTGTCTATATGCTATTTTGATAAGCCAGTGTGCCCGTGCTGGCGAATTTCTCAGTGAATCATTGCATTGTTCAGATTTTCCACAGACGGTCAGACCTGAGATTGTCATCGTTGCAAAAGACACGTTTCAACTACACTCACGGAGAGAAAGAGCTTCACCATATCTTGCTTCTATTACTCTATCTTTAATAAACGCTTAGAAAAATGAAGATTGTTGAAAGCAAAATACGGTATCCCGATACGCAACTGCTTAGGTATCATATGCCAGACACGCACCTAAGCACCCTTCCACCAGCGATTACTGGGGAAAGTATTCTGTCGGGGCCATGGAGCTTGCCCGAGTCTTAAACTCATCTACATCTGCCAAGTATTACTGCTTGATCTCAGCTGTTAACTGGAAATGGTATTTTCAAGTGGTCCTAAATGAACATTGGACGTGAAATTGCTCAAAAGTCGAAAGCGGTCTGAGCATAGAGAACAACATGTTACATCAAGATCCTGAGTTGTACATTTGTGTTTTGTGTTTTGAAACTGAACGATCATTGAAGACAGATGCTTCACCATACCCTCATCACGGAGTTGCACAGCCAAGACAATGCACCTGATTACGTGGCAGGCTGGAGGTGATTGATGGTCCTCTTGGTGTCCTGTTTTCCGCCCATGGGACTCTGTTATGTAAATATGCAGTCTCACAAAGTCCAGGCCGAAACTCAATAGGTTACCAGTATTCCTAGCCCCAGACCACAAACCTGCTTCTAAACTCGTAATTATGTCACAATGTTATTATAGTTTCCATATTTGGAGGCATACTGATTGACAATTTAGGCATCAGAGTACACGCGTTGCGAGATGTCTTGCACGTGGGAAAATTTATTTAGTTTTCGTTTCATCATCGGTTTGTAGTAACTGAGTATGCAGTCGTTTTTGTTTCCCAGCAGGTCATGAAACAACAGAGTTTGCCCAGGTGACCACGCCTCGATTTTGCTTGCAACCTCATTGTCGAATATCGTGGATATAATTCATGCCAGCCACTAACGCCTGCTTCCCAAGACACGAGGGCTGAAAAGGAAAAAGAAAAGAACAAGAAAACAAGTGTGAGAAGCTGCTTGTCACATCACAGCATCAGGGCAGACCCAAGCAGACCGGCCGCAAGCACCGCCACCATGCTGCCAAACAGGCCGTTCACAGCCGGCGCGAGGCCGGGGGCGACGGAGGCACTACTGCTGGCGCTGCTGCTGCTAGAGGCGGTGGTGGTGCCGTTTGTTTGCGACTCGTCGGCGCTGACAAGGGCTGTCAGGCTGGAGTCGGAGCTGAAAGCGGCCGTCACACCGGAGGCATTCTTGCAGCTGGTTGTTGAGTAGTTGCCCGAGCCCGACACGAAGTTAACAGCCGCGCACTATCGACAGAAGACGTTAGCACCAGAAATTGTTCTGCTGGTATCTGGGAAGGTTTGGAATAGTGCAGTGAGGACGTGAAGGGGGATTCTCACCTGGTACAAGAGCCCGTCGGGTCCGTCACACACGACACCCAGCACGCCCGTTGACCCCACGAGGCTGGCTGGTGCCGCCACCGCCTGCTGACAGTAGTCACCCTCACCGGTCTGGGTGAAGATGGGGTAGATCTGGGTCCAGTTGGAGCTGCCGGTCTGGTCGGTGGTGGCGCGGAACAGCCAGTTGGCCTCGGGGTGTCCCAGGAACAGCTCGATGGCCTCGCCGTCGACGTGGAAGTCGGTCACGTTGTCCTTTGAGAAGTCGAGGGTGACGCCACCGCAGGGGGAGGTGCCTTCTGTGTCCTCGTCGAAGGGTCCCACTGAGACTGGGGCGTCGAGAGTGAAGTGGGCGGCCGCAAGGGCGGGCAGCAGGAGGAGGGTGAGGCGAGTCATGGTTTGACGTCTGGCTTAGGAAGAGTTGTTGAGGGAGTGGTTCTCGACGCGTCTTGTTGCAGAGATGATGAGGTTTTGAGGGATATGGAGTCAGTCTTGTGAGTTTGGGGGGAGAGAGGAAAGATGAGGTCCAGAGGGAGAATCTGAGGTCTAAAAGAGCTTGGAGAGCTTCGATATGACGCCCTGTCAAACAGGGATCCGGCCCGGGCTCTTGGTCTAGAGGTCCTTGGTGGAAACGCCAACGGAGGTGCAATGCAGACAGGTTGAGCACATAAACCAGGGTGGGAGTATGTTTCCACCAGGGCAGACGTGGACTTTTCGGTGCAGCATCTCAGAAAGGGAAAGGTCGGTAGGAGGAACGATAGCCATAATACTATGGTGCAAGCTCAGAGCGATGGGACGAAACAAAGAGGAGTACATAGTACATCAAGCGTTAATACTACCCCCACTCGGGAGGAGGGCATGCTCGGGTCATCCAGCCTCAGCTATGAGCAAGAATTGAGCCAAAGGACGGAGGTGTCGAGTACGTTTCACAGGTGCCTTCTAGCATTTCTTACCGGTGTAGAAAGCACCATCTCAAACCTGCTCACGCCAGGCAATTTTCGAGACGTTGGCGATCAATAGTTCCAAGATTGCTGTAGTACCGACTGGATGGAGTTGCCAGGTTCCTCCTCCATGCTAAGGTGGCGGCTCGCACACATGATATACCGAGCTGGGGACAGCGATGAAGCAAGGGAGACTTTCTCTGTGCTTTGGGCAAAGCAAACTTTCATTTGATGGGTGTTTTGATGTTTTGGAAACAGTGTCTCAACCCCACAGTATAACCTCAAGATTGGCACGATCGACTGAACCATATGGCCTGTAGATCTGATTTGGGTGCGACGAACTCTCGTCCTGTCTTTGTCTGTTTGTCTGAGATCTATTATCGTCTGTGCACGTCGTAAGATACAAGTGTGGTGATAACGTGATCACCATCGGTGTTCTCATCTTCTGGTATTGCCCCTTCCCACCTCCCAAGAGACTCACATACATAGTTGTGGATGAGGTGAGGTTGATGAGGCTGGCAGGGAGCTTCTCCAGCTTCCAAGCGACCCCTCGTCGAAACCCTAGTTTAGTGGCAGGATACTTGCTCAATCTAAGCTGATCATGGTTAAGGTTAACGCCTTGTGCAGTGGACCTTCTAGCGCCACAACCGTGCGCGAGCAGGGGTTGGATCTCGACCCTTTGAGCATGTTTCTGCAGCGCCATCAACTTTTGGGAAGGCGATCATAAGAGAGAGGGAATTTTTTCTATAAAAAATTGGCAAAGGATTGCTCGAGCTGGTGATGGGGCAAACCGAGGTGCGAGGCGAGGCGAGGCGGCTGAATATTCTATCCCTCTTGTATCTCATGGAGAAGATTATTTGGTGTTGACAGGCGATGGGAGGCACATGTGCTTGACAGCTTGACTTGACCTTCTGGATCTCTGAGCAGTAAACATGAAGGGTAGCATACTGCTCATACAACCAAACAGTCCTCAACCAAGCTCGACTATGTATATACTACTGTATGTAGTATCGTAATACTCTCTTGTGTGGCACACATAAAGTGGAGTCTTACTCGATTGTTCGAGACCGCCACTCACGATCTCCGTTGCCCTAGTACCGACCCGGGAAATCTACCGCTTGTCTGACGCCGGCGCGCAGTCTGAAAGACCTTGAGCCTTGGAATGGATGAGCAAGTTTCCATTCCTGCCTCCTCGTCTTGGCTCTGACCATTGAGGTTGGGGGAACCTTGAGCTGAGCAATCCGAGGGTGATGGTGGTAAGTGCACCCTACCGGGCCTTTTGGCTCAACCACACCATCCATCCACGGCCTTTTATCGCGCCCACCTTTGTGCTGTGGACCCCAGTCATCTATGAATTGGTTCCCTGATATGCCTCCTCGAAGACCCCTCATCAGACCTATCTGTGGCTGCTGGGATGATCGGGATTTCAAATCTGTCTCGCGTAGTCGACCGGCACCTCACTAGCCCAGACGTCTCAGACTCTCCTCCTTGGGTTGCTCTTGCACCCTATACGACTAGCCTCAGACAACAATTTGCTCTCTGGGCGTTGAGGCGACTGATTGACTGACCGACCAGCTCCTCGGCTGTCCAAAGGGAACTCTCGAGATCTAATTGTCGACCCTCTCCCGCTTTCCAAAAAAGACGATCAGCCTATGTTCGTACAGTCAATTCTTTGAACTTCGAAAGCATCTCCACAGCTGCAGAGTAAATTGTCTTGGCAGGTACCGCCACACATCGCAGCTCGCACAGGCGGTTGTGCCTTATTCGGATACGCCAAGATCTATCGCGAGCCTGCCCTTCCTTCTCTCAAAGACCCTCTTTCATCACAGGCGGGACAAGATGGATATGTCAAGCATGAGCATGGGCACCAGCCTGTTCCAGGTCGAGAATATGGGCTTGGCGCGCACATACTGGTACCTCATCGTCGGTGTGATAGGCCTTCTCTTGGTCGTGCGCGCTGCCAATTATCTCCAGAGGAGGATAAGGTTCGTCGTCATTTGTGTGGCCACTAGTCCCTTCTGTATGTGCTTACATGAATTATTTGCAGGTTACGAAGATGTGCAGCCTCGCCAACCTCATCTCCAACAAAACCACGCGGTCCCATATCACAGGCATGGGAGACAGCAACCGCAATAGGCCGCGAGGCTAGCTATCCCCAGCTATACGTGCCCACGCGCTTCCTCTCCTGGCTGACGCCCCCGTCCATGGGCCGCCTGCTCGTCCTGCTCGTCTACTGGGCCGTCATCATCTATATGGCCACCGCAGGCGCCATCGTCAAGGACGCCTACTTCTGGGAGCGCATCGGCTTCCGCAATGCCTGGGTGACCGTCATGCAGGTGCCCTTCCTCTACTTGCTCGCGTCCAAGAGCAGCGTCATCGGAATGCTCGTCGGGAGCAGCTACGAGCGCCTGAACTGGCTGCACCGCTGGGTTGCGCGTACCATGTTCATTACGGCGACAGTGCACGGATGGCACTTTTGGTCCGAGTGGAAGCGCGCCGAAATTATTGAGGAGGAGATCGCCATAATGCCTATGGTCAAGTACGGGCTGGGCGCCTGGGGCCTGTTGTTGTGGGCCAATATCTCCACGCTAGCCCCCTTGCGACATATGTGGTACGAGTTCTTCGTCGCCCAGCACATGTTGACGTGGATCCTGTTTCTGTACATCGTCTACACCCACGTGCCTTACTATGCGCAGTACAACGTCTGGTTTGCCGTCGCGGCTCTGTGCTTCGATCGCTTCTACCGCACGGTGCTTCTCGTTTGGCAGAATGTGAAGTTTAGGCCGAATCGAGGGGGTTGCAAGGGCGGGCAGAGAGCTGGGCACCAGGCGCAGATTCGGGCCGTGGGCGGAGACATTGCTGTCGTCACCATCAAGGACGTCCACTTCTCCTGGAGAGCGGGACAGCACCTGTACCTGTGGATGCCAAAAATTGGTTTCTCGGATCACCACCCCTACACCATCGCCTGCGCTCACACCCTGCCCGAGACGTGCATCTGCAACAGCATCCAGCTCGTCGTGAGGAAACACAAGGGCTTCTCGCGCAGGCTCTACAATTATGCAAAGAAAATGCAGACAGCCGGCAAGAAGGAGACGGTGACGGCGTTCGTCAGCGGGCCCTATGGTCTGCCGCCGCGGTGGGACATATACGATACGCTTGTCCTGATCTCGGCATCCACAGGGGCCAGCTTCACCCTACCGATTCTGGAGAGCGTGCTCATGTCCAGCAATACGTCTATATGCACGCGGCGTATCGACTTCCTGCTCGCCGCCAAGAAGGGCGATGAGATCGACTACTACGTCCAGCGGCTGCACGAGATGATCGACAGGGCAGCGGACGTCGGCATCGAGTTGAAGGTCCACATCGCCGTGACGCAGGGCCCACCGCCACCTCTGCTTGTCAGGAGACCAACCACTGGCGAAAAGGCCTCGGGCGTGTCTTCATCCTCGGCCAGTACCTCCTCGCCCTCTTCCAACCGGGCCGGCTTCAACAACAAGACCGACCTTACCGCTGTGGTGGACATCGAGAAACAGGGCGGCGCGCTGGCTAGCGACGGGAGGCGTGGAAGCTCCGCAAGCAGCGACTCAAATGTTCACCACCTGAGCTCCAGGCCGAACATTGAGGCGTTCATCAGGGACCCCGTGGAGGCGGCTGAGGGCGAGACGTCTGTTGTTGTCTGTGGTGGGAAGTCGCTGGTCGCGAGGGCGAGGAATTGTGTCGCCAAGCTGAGCGATGAGAGAGCCGTGCACAAAGGGACTGGTGCCCAAGGGATCCATCTGCATGTTGAGGAGTACTGTTTTTAAATGCATACATGCGTATGATATCTAATGACGAGCGATGAAAAAGAAATGAAAATGTCATGACCATACATTTATGGAGATCAGTTGCGCCTTTTTGTCTTGCTCGTTTTTCGGTTACGTTACTGATGCACTGTTGTTTCTTTGACGAACCAAAACAGGAAACAAAACATAGCATGAAACTAATATCATGTGACAGATGGAATACATTATATGAATGGATGATTATACAACATAATTTTGGGTATAAAGAGAGGAGGCCAGTGGTTTGGGGGGGGGGGGGCGGGGGAAGGGAACAAGGGTGCTCTGCTCATTGCTTATCGATAAGCGTTGGGCAGTGACCTCCACCCGCGGGTAGGTTTGGCTTGGAGATGGAACTGGGGTGCAGTTGGAAAAAAAAAAAAAAAAAAAAAAAAAAAAGGCAATTGAGTCACAAACACGATGATAGTAGGGCAGTTGCATCCGAGCATACTAAGAAGGAGAGGACATGCATGTTTTCCGTCCTCTTACTAGACGCCCATTTTCTTCCTTCTCGTCGACTCAAAACTGCCAGATACTTGCTGCATTCAGCACAAAGGCGGCTGCTGCACAACGGCGACATCAATTCACGAACCCCTCCTCTAACAAGAATAACCCCACCTTGACTCTCAACTCGAATTTCACCACTACCTCCTCCACCACAGCCGCCCTCTATCAAGCGTTGGCCCCACGATCTATCGCGGCTTGTCACTTTCATACCTCTTCTTCTGCCCTCCAGACTACACCAGTCGCATCATCCTTCTACCAGGCGATCATTATGGCGGTTCCTCCGACTGGCATCGAACAGCTAGTGAAGCTCACCTCCGACCTGTCTCTCGACCAGATCCGCGACAAGTTCCCTGCGTGCTACCCCGAGACAAATCCCATCGATGTCTACAGGCTACACCTGACAAACCTTCTCGAGAAGATCACGGGAGTGGATCCCAAGATCATCTTTCCTGCGATACAATGGACACAAGGTTTGGACAAGGGCGACGTCATGCTGGCTGCGCCCGCCCTCAGAGTGAAGGGCAAGAAGCCTGACGAGCTGGCCAAGGAGTGGGCAGAGAAGGTATGATTTGCCGGCGCTCGATGATATGTGTAGAGCAGGAGATCGGTTGTGTTGACTGTGTTTCGCCTACAGTTTCCCGAGGACGACCCGCTCTTCAACAAGCCCGTGGTGACGGCCGTCCACCTGTCCTTCTTCTTCAAGAGCGCGCCTCTCACAGAGGCTGTCATCCCCTTGATTCGGTCGCTGGGTAAGACTTACGGCAACAACCCTGCGATGGGCCTCAAGGACCCCAAGAACCCCAACGGAGATCGCAAGCGCATAATCGTCGAGTTCTCCTCCCCCAATATCGCCAAGCCCTTCCACGCTGGTCACCTGCGGAGTACGATTATTGGAGGTTTCATCTCGAATCTATACGAGGGAGCAGGCTGGGATGTCGTCCGAATCAACTACCTGGGTGACTGGGGCAAGCAGTATGGTCTGCTGGGTTTGGGTTTTGAGCGGTACGGTGACGAGGAGGCGCTGAACAAGGATCCGATCAACCACCTCTTCAATCTGTACGTTCGCATCAACAGCGAGATCAAAGAGGAGGAGGAGAAGATAAAGGCGCTCAAGGCGGAGGGCAAGGAGGCGGAGGCGGCGCAGCTGACGGAAAGCGGCCTGGACGAGCAGGCTCGGAAATACTTCAAGAAGATGGTGGATGGCGATGAGGCGGCCCTGAAGCAGTGGCGCCGGTTCCGTGATCTGTCCATCGTTCGGTATCAACAGACCTACGCACGGCTGAACATTCACTTCGACAGCTACTCGGGCGAAAGCCAGGTGCCGGAGGCAGCAATGGAGGCAGCCGCGAAGCAGATGGAGGAGAAGGGCATATCGACAGAGTCAGACGGCGCTCGTGTCGTGGACTTCACGTCGCTCATCCCGGGTAAGGAGGGTAAGCGGCTTGAGCGGCCCATCATCCGCAAGAAGGACGGCACCGCGCTGTACCTGACGCGGGATATCAGCGAGCTCCTGGGCCGGCACGAGAAGTACAACTTCGACCAGATGATCTACGTTGTCGCGTCGCAGCAGGATCTGCACCTGAAACAACTCTTCAAGATCGTGGAGCTCATGGGCCACAAGGAGATCGCGGCCAAGTGCCAGCACATCAACTTCGGTATGGTGCTTGGTATGAGCACACGCAAGGGCACAGTCAAGTTCCTGGACGATATCCTGCGGGATGTGGGCGACAAGATGCACGAGGTCATGCGCAAGAACGAGGACAAGTATGCGCAGGTGGAGAACCCAGAAGCCACGGCCGATATCCTTGGTATCAGCAGTGTGATGATCCAGGACATGACTGGCAAGAGGTATGCACGCACGCACGCATGCGACAATGCATTCGAGTGATCACACGGAACAAGGTTCTCAACTGACATTTACTGGCAGGATCAACAACTACTCCTTCAACATGGACGCAATGACCTCATTCGAAGGAGACACTGGCCCGTACCTCGAGTATGCGCACGCACGTGTGTGCTCCATTGAGCGCCGGGCAGCAATTCCTTCCGAGGAACTGGCCAAGGCAGACCTCACGCTGCTGAAGGAGCCGCACGCCGTGAACCTCATCCGGGTCCTCAGCCAGTGGCCCGACGTGGTGCAGAACACGCTCAAGACATTGGAGCCCACCACCGTGGTGGTGTACCTATTCAAGTTGACACACGTGCTCAGCTCGTCGTACGACCAGCTGCGCATCGTGGGTGCCGAGAAGGAGACCAAGAAGGCCCGCATGGCACTGTACGATGCGGCCCGTATAGTCATTGGAAATGGGATGCGTCTGCTGGGATTGACGCCTGTGGAGCGGATGTGACAGGGTTTCTTTTCAAAAAGAGGACAGGGAGGCGTGCGGGGAAAAGTGTATTCTCGAAGAACGTCCTGCGGGTTCTGTGCTAAAACCCTTATGGCTGTTTCTTGACTGAACAATTTCTACGGTAGACAGCAACAAGCAAATGTTTTACCTCTACATCACTGTAGTACTGCCAGCTGAGGGTGCTCGTGCTTCGTCTAATCTTTCGTCAGAACATCGGATGAAGTTGATGTCAGTTGTCTCGAGTATAGCAGGGCTCCAACATGAAGGAGGGATGAGCCACGTGCTCTGCTCCCAATGATGAGACGAATTCGTCCCATCCTGAGTTCGAGGGAACCATGGCCGTTAATTACCAAATATTACCAGCAATTACTTATACCCTCAAGAGCAGAGTTTCCTTCTTTACACCAAGCTCACAGTTGTACATCATCCAGACTTTGCATAATAGGTACCCTGTTTCGTAACATACACATTCTTTCTTCACACCTCTCCCGTCTTTTGAGAATTTTTCACCCTATGATGGAACAATTCATCACCTCAGGCTTATCTTGTAACCAATTGTACAGAGCATGAACAAGGCCAGTTAATTCGGAACATACAAAGAGCGTGGTAAGAATGCGTTTTGTCAACGGCATGCCTCAGAGCACATCCCTCTTCCTTCGCACCACCTGGGCGCCGCCTTGGGGGAGATGATGATCTGACCAAGGACGAAGCTGTTGCTATCCAAAAGGAAGTGAACCAAGACTCTGGTAATACTCAGGAATATCCATTTCCTCCTAAGGTACCACAATAGGACAAAGAGAACGGAACATGAACAACCCTCGTAAAGAGAGGAAAGGAAGACATAGTAATGCAAACTGGCTAATTATTGGCGATGTTGAAGACATGATCAACACTCCCCTCCCCCCCGCCCGCCCCCGCCCCCCCAAAAAAGGAGTTCTTTGATTGTTGCTGATTGTTGTTGTCACTATGGAAAAACGCTCTCTGTAGTGCTGTTGACTTGGGTGGTTGTTCCTGCCGACAATGTATAGAATTGTTGGTTGGCTACTTTCTAAAGCCCTAACACCTTCCTCATGCTCCCAGTGCTGGTTACACTCGCGCCTTCTGAGGTGTCACTGTCGACCGTTGTTCATATGGAGAAGGAAAGACGCACCATTGCCTCCCACGTACTCAGGTGCGGGTACTTTCTATTCCCCCGGTCTACTGAAATCAACTGCCTACACAACCGTCTGATGATCCACGGAATACTGTAGAGTAACTAAGAAGATTGGACCTCGTCTCCGCCCTCAGCTAAAGCGCTCTCCCACACCTTTCCAATATGATTTTGATAAATCCAACTCATATCCTTTCCATCCCTGATAATCTTCACCTTGACTCTCTCTTCCTCCGTCAGCCCAGCGGTGCCGACCTCCAGCTCGGCCAACTTCGCAGCCCTCTTCGCCCCCTCCGCACCAAGGTGCTCATACATACGGTGATAATACGGCACGCGGATTCGATCAAAGAGCGGCAGAGCCTTGGACGTGTCATTGCCAAAGTGCTGTAGCGCTTGTGCGAGCACCCAGCCGTCCTCCATGGCAAAGCCGGCGCCGGATCCGAACGCTCCCGAAAGCGCGTGCGACGAGTCGCCGACGAGGATGATTTTGTTGTTCCATGTCGTAAGCTGCGCAAGCTCCGGCCCTGCGAAAGCCGCAAATTCTCGCCAGGCGCCGTCGGGAATTCTTTTCAGAGCTGTTTGGATCTGAGGGAGATATTCCTGGATACACACAAGCACACACACAAAGAGGCACACACTGGTATCAGCGACTCCCATTTCTCCTTTCTATCGTCCGACTCGGAGTTGATTTGGAGAAGGAAGCATTGCTTACCTTGAAGTGCGACTCGACGTGCTCATTCGTGACCGGCACGCCCCAAACGACCTTGCTCGCGCTGTGCACCTCAGGGTCCTGATACTCCCTCGACGCGATCTCCCCCAAGCCCTCGCCCACAGGGGAGAAGTATACATGCGATGTCGGCAAGTGCCACCACCCTGTGATGCCGAATCTCTCGTCCAGATCGGTCAAGTCCTTGAGCGGCAGCAGAGCGCGCCAGATGGTCGTCCCGGTAAAGGCAATCTTGTAGTCGGGCCATGCAGTGTCACGAACCACAGAGCGAATTCCGTCAGCACCGACGACCAGGTCAGCCACCTCCCTTGTCCCGTCCGCAAACCTCAGCTCCACCCCGTCGCCCTCGCCCAGGTCAGTGATGCCCTCAAGCTTTTTGGACAGCCGGATGACGCCCGGCCCCACGTGAGCTAGGAGCGCCGACTGCAGCTTGGTGCGCTGCGTACGAATCGTAGGGCGGATCTTCCAATCTCCCGAGGGCCAAGCCGGGTCTCCCGGCCGCGCGTTGCGGTGCAGCTCCTCGCCCGTCCGGCCGTTCATATTTAGGACCACATTGCTCTGGTGTCCGCTGGTGAGGCTGTCCGCCACGCCCAGCAGCGACAGGACGTTCCACGAGTTTGCTCCAATGTTGATGCCTGCGCCCACCTCGCGGAGCACCTTGTCTTTCTCGTAGATGTGGACGTCGACGTTGGGTATCTTGGACAACGCGATGGCTGTTGCCAGTCCTCCTGGGCCACCGCCTACAACCGCGACCCTGAGCTTTTTGACAGAGCCATGGCTGTCGGTTTGATCCTGCTCATCGACAGCCACAGTGGACTTGGTGGAAAGTACGCTGCCCATTTTGAAGCACTGAATCGCTTCCCACGTAGAACGGGTAAATTCAGTAAGGTAAGTAAAAGTTTCCCCGACAGCCTACAACATAATAAGCAGCATAGCCAGAGAATTATTTACTAATACCAACCAGGCATCTTTAAAGGATATTTATATACCATTCATGCAGCTCCCAGATAAAAGGGAAATCCGCTCATGATTATTGAGGACCCAGCGGATCTTACAAATCGTAGGGCACATATGGAACGTGTGGTTCACGTCGGCATGTTCAAGGGTGTGTCGTCAGGGCGGAAGCCTATTGCGTGCTTCGCTATCAAGCACATCAAGCTGCACCACAATGAGCACCGGCATTGCTGACGAAAATCAGGCCATTTGAGATAATAAACAAAAGCTGCTCGCATCTTGTCTTGTTGGGTATGCATGAGGAGATATAGATGTTCCGCAGGAGGACGAAGAAGTGTGTAATAGTACTACCACTCGTATATCCGACTACTACTACATCCAGTAATCATACCGCCAGACAACAAAAGGAAAAGAGAGGGAAAAAAAGAAACGCTATCATGATAACAGAAAAACCCACCGAATATACGTTGAAATGAGATCAAAGACCACTATTTTCTCTCCGTCCACCAACAAAAGTTGATGCCTAGGTCAGTCGGTGAATGACCAAGTCATCTCCCAGGAGGACCAATGATGTATGTGAAAGCAAACCAACAGGCGCGCGGTCGACACGCACGAAAGGAATTGGGTATAAATAAAACGAAGGTCTCCTCCACCCCTCCGCCCCTACCCCCCAGGTCTTCTGCACTCTCTCAATCTTTTTTTTCGCGGCCTCTTTCTCGTCAAGGGCCGTCATCCATCTACTTGCACTCTTTCAAAGCCCTCTCCTTTCTTCATCACAGCTCATCCTTGACGTTCTGCGTCGCCTCCTTGACAGCCTCGGTTGCATCCGTCGCGACACTCGAAATGGTCTCGGAAGCAGCGCTGGCAAAGCTACTCGCCGAGGAAGTGATGTCGGCATATGCTCCGGCGAGGCGTGAATACACGCTCTCGCTAAAGGTCGGCTCCTTGCCTACGAGGAGCTCTGAGAGGATGCTGCTGACGACGACGTACTGCTCGGACGCCTTTGATGAAGCAGCACCAGCGTAATCGCCTGCTGCGCTAGTGACAGCCTCAGCATAGTCGCCTGCTACACTGGTGGCGGCCTCAGCATAGTCACCTGCTGCGTTGGTGGCGGCCTCAAAGTTGTCGGCAACAACCTCATTCGCAGACGCAGCGTAGTCACTGGCGGCACTGTACCAGCTCGAATACCAGGCAGTCGGGGTAGGCTGGCCGTAGATTTGGGAGCTGAGCTGGTCGACCACAGCGCTCCAGTTAGCTTTGTCGCTTACTACAGAGACCGCGGAGGCAGCAGATTCACTGGCGACGGACGCGACTGATGAGACGGTCCCGGCAAGATCGGTAGGGGTTGGCGTCGCCGTCGCGGAGCTCAGAGCGCTCGAGGCAGCAGCCAGGAACTCGGAGTAACGCGCCTGAGCAAAGCCGAGGCCAGCGTAGTAGTTGTGCTGGGCATTCTGGAGCAGCCACTCGGCATTCGCATTGACGCCAGAAGTAGGCGTCGGAGTGGCGAGGCCGATTGCGACCTTGGCACTTTCGTACTGCTCCGAGGCCCAAGCTTGGCCCTCGCTCAGTCGCTGAACGGCGATAGACTCAGCGTGAGCCCAGTCGGCCAGGGTAGGCAGAGCGGGCAGAGCGTTGGTGGAAGTCGTGGCAGCGAATACCCCAGTAGCCGCGCTGAGGGCGGCATCGAGACGCGAGCTTGCTACCGAGACGGCATTTCCGTAGGCGGAGGTCACTGATGACAACAGCTCCTCGTGTGCTGGTTTAGGGGTACCCGATATTTGGGCCGAGACAAGTGAAAGTGCTTGGGAATATCGTTCAGCGGCTCCAGACATTGCGGCCGAGTAGGCTGATGAGGCGGCTGAAGAAACTGTAGCTGGGACGTCCGACTGCATGGCAGAAATGATACTTCCGGCAGCTGCAAAGACGTCATCATCATCGTCGTCGCTGTCAAGAATGGGCTGGCGGCTGGGCACGGACTGAGCCGCAGCTCCTAGGAACGCGGACTTGACGGAGGCGGTAGTTTCTGAGCCTTCTGGCTGATCAGTAGGGGACACATCATCGTACGCAGGTTCTGCGGCTTCATCGATGGGCTCCGCGACCTCTTCGTCAACCGGTAGCTGGACGGGGGCCGGCTCGGCAGATGTGGTTGCTTCGGTGGTATTGTCAATAAAGACTGGTGTCTCTTCCAAGATGATAGTCGATGCAAGATCAGGTGTGTCCTCGGCTTGTTCGGGCGCCTCGCTGGGAGCTACAGACGACGAGGCCTCCTCCGAATCGCTGGCAAGAGTCTCATCTGCAGTAGCGGTGGTCTCCGCATCGGCTGTCTCTGTAGCAAACGCTTCTGTCTCAAGTGCTTCTGCATCCTCATTTGCTTCTGCGGCAACTGCCTCTGAAGCCTTCGCTGCCTCAGCCTCTTCGAATGCAAGTTGCGTGGATTCCGGATCGAAGTTGTCGGAGTCATCGTGAACAGCGAGCTTCCAAGCCGCGACCTGTTTCAGTGTTGCAAGCTGCTTAGCTGCGGTTTGGGCCAAGTCCATGGCTTGACCCTCGACGGCCCGACCCTCGTCCTCAGCGGCTTGTAGACCAGGATGGGAGGTGATGAGCTCCTTAAGATCATCCTCCCACTCGTCAAAACGGCTCTTGAGCTGATGATACTTGGCCCAATCCTTGTAGGTGACACCATCCATCCATGCCCATTTCATGCCGATCTTTTGCAGGGCCAGATCGCGGATGCCCTCGAGGATCTTGAAGTGGTTCTCGGCCGCCTTGATGACGGTGGCCTGGAGTTCCTTCTCGTAGTTCTCTGACCAGCTCCGCACATCCTGCGATTTATCCTTGATCTCCAAGCCGGCCGTCCGTACTGCAGCATTGATCTGCTCCAAAGCGCTCTCGGGTACTACGGCGCCCGTCTTGGCCGTGTTGATGACCTGGATGATCTCTGCCTTCAAGGTCTTCACCTCGGCATCCACAGATTCTTGCAGTTGTTTGACAAGAGATCGACCCATGGCTTGCGCCTGACGGTCGATCATACGCTTGGAAATCTCATCGATGCGATCGTCAATCTCGGCCGCCCCCTCATCGGCAGCTCGTGCGTATTTGTCCTGCCAGGCCTTCAGGTCCTCCGCGACGGTCTCTCGCGCACTCCTTCGCAAATCAGTCTCGTCCAGTGAAGGTTCAGGAGCGGATATCTCTCCCTCCTTGATCTTATCGGTCAAGGTGTCGGTATGGGCTGCGGCCCCCTCGGCGCTGGCTGGGGCAGCCTTTGACGAGCTGGGCTCGGATGCCGAGGTCACTGCATCGGTGGAAACCGGGGTGGCAGAGGCGGAAGACGCAATGGATGTTAGTTCTGTGATGGTCGAGCCAGCCTTTGCTGCAGCACTGTTTCACCTGCTTTAGTCCGTCTTCATGGTACATGTTTTGTGTGAATGAATCTTGACATACCTGGTGATGGCCTCGCCCGTCTTGTGTGTGTTACTGGAGTTGTACCGGCCGAGCCTCTGCCCAATCTTCATTAACTGGGGCTCCACATTCTCCGCGTAGAGAAAGCGGAGCTGGGGCCAAACTGTGCCATCGAGAAAGACATAGGACTTGTTCCAGGCCCAGGCAGCTGAGGGGATGGCAGTCTCGGTAGTGAATGTGGACGCAGTGGCGTAGCCTTGCAGGACGTAGGGCTGGACAAACACGTAGCTTGGTAGAATCAGGTCATGGTACGTCTGCAGGGCGTTCGTCCTAGCTAGATCGTAGTACGGAGCAACGGCGGAAGAAACCTGAGTGACGTGAGGAGCCAAGATCTGGTCGTATTTGACCTTGGCAAGAGCCTGGTACTTTGTAATTTCCGGCTGTATGTTGCTCTCCCACTGAGTCTGTCCGAACGCCTGGGCCTGGGCAAGACGTGGACCGCCATACTTGGTCGCGTATGCCCAGGAGGGTGTCAAGACCTTCTGATCGACCGTGTCGTAGTACGGCCTCGCTATCTCGACATACGGCGCTGCATATGTGTTGTAGTAGGGCTCGAGATGGGGCGAGACGGCATGCTTGACCTGGAAGTAGGGTCTGCAAATCCGAGGCGAGTCTTCGGCACATTGATCGAGGGTCGCAGGGCAGCGGAACAGGACGGTGATGATAGAGTACCAGGTGAGCAGCCTGAGGTCACAAAGGTCAGCATCGAGATTCCCAGGATCTGAACAGGGGGAAAAGGCAACGTGTAGACGAGGTCATTTTACCTGGCGATCATACTGAAACTCCACGAAAAGTAACTCCGTCGCGGTTTCAGTGCTGGTTTCCTTTTGGGAGACGTCGCGTGTCCGTTCATCGAGGGCAAGCCGTTGGGCTTTGCTGAGCCGTTGAGGGCCCCATTTGCTTTCTCCATGATGGAGTGGCAGTCAGGTACCGTGGCTGGTCAATGAAGACAAGTGAGAAGGTCGCCTTGTTGCTGTGGTTGTCTGGCTGCCTTGAGGATACTGGGTTGTATCTGAACGTGGAAGTTCCCGTTCGGACGATGCAGCAGTGATAGCTGCTACAGAAGAGGCCGGGAAAGTTAGCTTCTCCTCGCCTGTGAAGAAGCTTGACGTGATCACAGAATTCCTTAGGCAGGAGTGTTGGACATGAAATGGGAAGAGGGAGGGGAATCAGGGTTGGATTCGTGTCCAGGACGAAGCGCCTGATTGATATCTGGGAAGAGGAGGATTTATCGCGACCGACAGAAATCAAGGTGCAAGGCTAGCTCGGACGTCAGAGGCGCCAGTGGAGAACTGCAACAGTGGATCCTCCTGCCGTTAGTGTACCCAGGCAGCCAGGTAAGTGAGGTGCTACATAGTACAGAGGGACGAGGGCCCGCCAGTGCTATCGAGGCCATTTAAGCTTGGCGGGATACTTTGTTACAGGCAAAAAAAAAGTATATATTATAGCAGCAGCTGCAGGACATCTAGACGTCTCTCACCGACCAGACCTGTTGACAACCAGCAGGAAATAAAATTCACTGAATTTCCATAAGCAACCAAACAAAGCTCATAAAACTACATCCTTCATTACGGTGCCAAGATATGATTTCAGGGACTAGAGAGAGAAAGAGATAGCAAATGCAGCCAGAGAACCAACCCAACCAACGCAAGGTCACGTCATCGAGAACCGTCAAGCTGGTATCCGCCCCGTTCAGATCGGATTGTCAACGAGCATGTCCTGCTACACAGCACCTCCCACCTTATTCTTTTGTCGTGTACACCAGTACACCCATCTTTTTCTGTCTCCGCTCTTGAGACACAAGTATATAGTGCACATACATAGTGTACATGGTGACTTCTGGATGACTCTAGAGTCAACAAGACCCATCACTATCTTGACAAGGCTGACAGGGGTTGGTTTTGATCCGTCTTCCATTCCTGCATGGACCTCTCAAAACAAGAAGAGGTGGAAAAAATAGGATGAAAATAAAAGAACGACAAAAACATCAAGTGATCAATAGTGATGTGTAGGGGCAGCATTGGGCTTATTTACAGCAGGATTTGCCTCACTCTCCCCATCGCCTCCGCTTTCATGTCTTGCAGAGGATTAACAAGTGGATTTTTTGGGTGTGTGCCTTCCCCAATGCTCCAGTGCTGTACTTTTAGTGTGTGGCACTTACTACTGGTATACAAATGAGATTTATCGATAAAGGGTTCGGAGATAGCAAACCATCCCACATCCGACTTCTTTCTTTAGTACTGTACTATTGCATCCTCAAAAGATCTCCCGTCCTCCTCCGAATCTGGGGCCTTTTCCATCCTCGGCGTTTCTACCTGTAATCCGTACAATCAACAGCACATCATTTTGCATTGGATCCTCCTGCCTTACCTTTTCTTATTTCCACAGACCTGTAGGCGCTCAAACATTCATCCACCAGCCTTTCCTTGCACATCTTCCGGATTCCGACCTGGCCTCTCGCCTCCTCGAAACACAGGCCTCCTCCATCCGTGTCCGACTCGTCCTGTTTGACTAAGCCGTAACTCGTTCATTGCCCTACAAGTCAACGACCGACCGAGGCGACCAAGCCTTCCACTCGACTTCTTCTCCTAAGGCTCGCTCTGACATCGTCCTCGCTGGGGCCCGGCACGATCTCCACGAGCCTTGGGCCTGAACGTTGATCCTTCGTCCCGCCAACGACGCACGCACGCGAGTCGTCTGGCCCCAACGATCCTCAATCCCCATCTGCAGTCCTCGGACACTCCATTCATCACTGGAACAGCCACGCCTTCCTATGAACAACCCGTAATCGTTGTCGCTCGCTATCCCGGGGCATTGCCCCTCCTCTCAACTCGGAAACGACGACATGGAGCAAGACCACACCGTTGAGGCGTCGGCCCTTCAGCACAGGCGGCGGCGGACCTCGGCACCTGACACAGATCACTACGACATGGCATCGAGATCATACCCCTCCAGACAGACGCAGCCGCTTTCGACAGCCCAAGATGCCGACTCCTCACAAGCAGACCCCGATACCTGTCGCATATGTAGGGGAGATGGCACCCCCGAGGAACCTCTGTTCTACCCCTGCAAATGCAGCGGCAGCATCAAGTTTGTCCACCAGGACTGCCTCATGGAATGGCTGTCACACTCCCAGAAGAAGCACTGCGAGCTTTGCAAGACGCCTTTCCGCTTCACTAAGCTGTACGACCACAACATGCCCAAGACCGTACCCGCCTACGTCTTCGTCAGCCACATCGCCAAGTACATCTTTCGAAATATACTGGTGTGGGCGCGAGCGGCTTTGGTCCTGATGGTCTGGCTCGTCTGGCTTCCGTACCTCATGAGGAGGGTTTGGTCTGCTCTTTTCTGGCTGAGCGATGAGGGTCTCGGCCCCGTCTGGGGCAGATCAGATGCCACCAGCGCCCTGGCTTCAGGTACTCTTTCGACATCTGGTGCCGCTACATGTCCATCGAGTCCCCTATCCGCCGAGTCCACCACCGCCGCCACCGTCAAGGAAATCATGAGCCAGGTGTCGCGGAGTGCTGGCTCCCCTACGACCACATCACTTTACGGTATCAACATTACGACCGACAATCCGTTGTCTAACATACTACTCAACATGTTTCTCGGGAGCTTTTACCTGGGCGGATCCGGCATATGGGATGAAGCGACATCCCATGAGGTGCAGAGCAAGGCTACGCCGATTCCTACACACCAACCTACACTGCTGAGCGACGTCAAGCTTTTACAGAAACTCTCCTCGGCTTCCCCTGCCCTAGGCGGGTTCGCCATCGACATCCTGGAAGGGCAGATTATCACCGTCCTTGTGATCATCTGCTTCATTCTGATCATCCTGGTCCGAGACTACGTCGTCCAGCAGCAGCCAGATATCAACATGCGAGCTGCATTTGCTGCTGCAGAGAATCAAGTTCCAGCAGATGCTGCCATGCCAGCAGACGCCCCACCGGCTGAGGATGCCCACTTCACCCCGAACGAGGATTTAGCACCAGGCGATGCCGACCTTTTCCATGGCTTTGAACATGAAGATGATGGTGCGAGCACGCAGGCAGTGGATGGAAACGCGGATGATAGAGCGGCTTACTGGCCGCGCGTCCCAGATGACACCCCGACAGTGGACAGCGAGGTGCGGCAGCGACGTGCGTTTGCAGACACGATGACTGATGGTGCTGTCGGGTCTGCAACAGCAACCTCCCCACACGAATCCTCCAGACAATCCTCGCTTCCTGCCCATGATAGCAGTGGTGCCGCGGAGAACTACGTCAGAATATACCGTCAGGCACAGGGGGATGCCGATGAGATACGACGCATTGCTCGCGAGGAACACCTCGAAGAGGAGTTGTCGTATTTTCTTGGTATTGGGAAGGCTCAAGCCTCTCGGGATCAGACGGAGGCATCCGCTGCCGAGACAGGCGAATCGTCAAATTCAGGAGGACTGCGCCGAGTGTCGGGCTGGGATTGGCCAAAAGACGGATCGGAAGCCTCTGGCAAGGGGAAGACCCCAGTTGGCAACGACTTTCTTACTGCCGACGGGGACCAAGACCACTCTTCGCGGCCAAGATCTGCCACGGACGGACCGCAAGTTGTCGGAGGCGTCAATCCACTGGGCCATAATACCTGGTCTTATGATGCGGAATCCTCTCCAGATGCACAACGCTTGCCTACCTCGGAGGCAAGATCTCGAGGAGGACCTGCTCCCGATCTGGCCGCCTCGGCTTCGCAGTGGACCTACATGACACCGCCTTCAAGCACATTAGCGGAGAGCGCATCATCTAGTGCCCATGGCCGAACACCTAGCTCATCTAGCAGCAACGACTCCATACACAGTCGGACCGGTACTTTGGAACGCGACGCGTTGGATGCTGCATTAGAGACTCACCGGGCGGACGACTGGGAAACACTATCGGAATTTGATGCGCAGACGGGAGAACCGCAGCAACACGTGGACTTGGATGTGCCGGCAGAAGATTTGAGGGAAGTGCGTGAGCACCCCCCGGCGGCCGGCTTCACCCAGTTTGTAGCTGATTTTATGTGGCGCGACGTTGATGCCATACCTCTCCATGAACTTCCTCCGCTGCCAGACCCAGCCGACGATTTTTTTGACCAGGAACAGGATGCTGCTCTGGCCCTCGCAGAGGATCACCCCCAGCTCCTGGAGCAAGATCAAGAGGTAGTGGCTGCGGCTGCGGCTGCAGGCATTGATGCCGAAGCAGAGGCCATTGATGATGCAGAAGACTTGGAAGGCATTCTTGAGCTCCTGGGTATGCGCGGACCTATTGCTGGCCTCTTTCAGAATGCCCTCTTCTGCGCTTTTCTGGTGTCTATCACCCTCTTCATTGGCGTGTTCGTGCCATACAACTTGGGCCGGCTCACCATCTGGGTGGTTGCCAATCCGATCCGACCTATCCGCATGATTTTCAGCATCTCAAGCTTCGTCCAAGATCTAGCTGTGCTAGTGGGAGGCTTGGCATCTACACTGGTATTTGGCGCTCTGAACGGGCTTATCTCCTTCTTCCGTCCGGAAGCGCCGCAGCTGGTCATGGTCAGAAGCCTGGTGCAGAGGTCTTGGGCTCTGATGGAGAACTCCGGAGGGAGGTTACGTGACAGCGGCATGGTTGACATGTCCTTCTGCTCAGCCGAGGAGCTACGTAATTTCTCGATTGTCAGCCACGCCGCCCTGTTGACACTGAAGAGCCAGGCGGCGTTGGTGCTCGCTACCATCGGAAAAGCTATTCTGTTCGTCTTTGGCGGGCAGTATTCCACCAAGATGGCAGAGATTGCACCACAAGCCGCAACGGCGTCCTCTTTGCTCTGGCAAGCTTTGAAGGACATCCCGGCTTTGTTCTCGATTCGGAGCTCTTGGGTCATTGACTTTGGTACGTCCGAGACTGCAGTATCCCTGAGTCCCGAGTTGGCATCGTGGGGTGCCATGGACCGGCTGTGGGCCATCCTGGGAGGATACATCGCCATGTGTGTTGCTGCAGCAACCTACCTTGGACGCGGAACTCCTATAGCCGGCAGGCTCGGACAGGAGTGGGAGGCCACTCTCATCGACGTATTGGTCCAGGCCAGTGGCGTTATGAAGGTCATCCTCATCATCGGCATCGAGATGCTGATCTTCCCGCTGTATTGTGGGCTGCTGTTGGACGTGGCGCTACTTCCGCTTTTCGAAGACACGACCATCATGTCGCGAGCGATGTTTACAGTCAACTATCCCCTCACATCCATATTTGTGCATTGGTTTGTCGGCACTGGATACATGTTTCACTTTGCGCTCTTTGTATCCATGTGCCGCAAGATCATGCGCAAAGGTGTTCTGTGTACGTATTGCCCAGTCCTTTTTGTGCATGCGTCTACCCCTTGCTTGCCACTGATACCGTCGCCCCATTAGACTTCATCCGCGATCCCGATGATGCTGAGTTCCACCCCGTCCGTGACGTACTCGAGCGGAACGTCACTACACAGCTCCGCAAAATCCTGTTCTCCGCTTTTGTCTACGGCGCTCTGGTCATTGTTTGCCTCGGTGGCGTGGTCTGGGCACTGTCCTATGGGTTCCAAAATGTCCTGCCCATCTACTACTCCTCAAACGACCCTGTGCTGGAATTTCCGATCGACCTGCTTTTCTACAACTTCCTGATGCCCCTTGCAGTCAAATTTTTCCGGCCCAGTGACGGCCTCCACGCCATGTATACCTGGTGGTTCCGCAAGCTGGCTCGAACTCTACGGCTCACCTGGTTCCTGTTCGGCGAGCGGAGGATCGATGAGGAGGGCACCCTCGAGCTGAGCTCTGACTCTCCCTCGCAGGCACTACCGCTGTGGAAACGGCTTTTCTTGGAAGTAGACGGCCAGGCTGTGGTGCCAAAGACCTGGAAAGACACGTTTGAGGGGGGTCACGCCAAACCATCCCCTCCTCTCAGCCATGAACGTCACAGGACGCTGGATACCGACAAGGCTCAACTTGTGCGGACCCACCAATTGATTCCTGACGGACGTTTCGTCCGCGCTCCGGCTTCAGACCAGGTCAAGATCCCCAAGGGAGAGCGGGTCTTCTTTGATGTCTCAGAGCTCAATGTGAGGCAGGATGACAAGCCTGATCGACCGGCGACCGATCTTTATTCTACGAATACGTATCAGTTCGTATACATCCCGCCGAACTTCCGTCTTCGCATTTTCCTCTTCATCCTCTTCATCTGGCTGTTTGCCGCAGCCACCGGTGTCGGATTCACCATCATCCCCCTCATCTTTGGAAGGACCCTGTTTCGGCTCTTCATTCCTTCTGATGTTCGGACAAACGACATCTATGCTTTTAGCATAGGACTGTATGTTTTAGGTTCAGCGTTTTATCTCGGCTGGCTTAGTCGGGATATCTCCTCCAGAGCCAAGGCCTGGCTCCAGGACAACGCGGCTACGCTGTTCAACCAAGAGACCTTTCAGCGGGTGACCGCCGTAGCCAAACGCGCAGCAAAGCTCGGCTACTCTTACTTCTTCCTCCTGGTCGTGTTCCCATTCATGGTATCCAGTCTGATGGAGCTCTACTTGTTGATACCACTCGACACCTGGATGTACGGCTCCACGGCGTCCAATGCCAACGACGATGCAGCCTTGCACCCGCGCCATACCGTCCGTGTTATGCAGTCGTGGACCATCGGCGTCATCTATTTGAAGCTCGCGGCAAGATTTGTTGTCCACTGGCACCGCGACAGTCGCCTCGCAGCTGCGATCCGCGCAGTTCTACGTCATGGCTGGCTCGAACCGGACGTCAAGGTTCTCACACGAGCGTTCGTTGTTCCTGGCCTCACACTCTGGCTTGCGGCGGTTTTCGGTCCACTTATGCTTGCCAAGATGGCCATACGATACATCTTAGGCTCTGATGCCGATACATCCACGGACGCGGGTGTAGTGCTCGTATATCGCTTCTGCTTCGCGGCAGCACTGCTCTGTGCTGTCGCGCTAGCCATCGTGAGGAGCATCCTTGGCGTGTTTAGGAGCTGGAGGGTAAGGATCAAGGACGAAGCCTACCTCATTGGGGAGAGGCTGCATAATTTTACCTCGCCTCAACAAGCGATGCGCGAGACAGAGAGGGAGAGAAGACGGACAAGGGTAGGATGGGAATGAGTCAAGCTGTGGAGTCGTCTGGCTTGGGCCGCTCGCTCCTTGAGAACGGGTATATGTGACTGCGATTGCGGCTGCACGTGGGCGTCTATCCTGGCAGCTGTAGATGGACGAGGTCCTCGTGGAAGACGAAAAGGGGCTGTCCATCCTTGTGCATCCCCCCCTTCCACCCCTTTTGTTATTTTCAGCGTGTATTGTGATACCGATGCCTTGAGTCAGGGCTCAGCCTTCCTTTTATTCATTTATTCACTAAGCATGGATAAAATAGGACGCTCGACATCCAAGATTGTCTCACTAGATGGTGGCGTTGGCGGGTAACTTATGCGTACCAATATCAAGTACTCTACTACCCCGTTTTGGTTAACATGAACAGAGATCAACATTCTAGCAGTGACTTGCGTAATTGTTTATTAATCTTCCTTCTTCACTATGTGACTTGTCTATTCTTTAGAAGATCCGTTGGCAGGTAGGTCATACTGGCCTTATGTAGGTGTTAATCCGTTGGGGGTTTTTTTTTTCTTCTTTTTTTCTTTTCTTTGGCAATCTCCGTTGACAGTCCTGGGCCATGAAATTTGGCCCACGCGACCGTAAGCCATCGGCACGAATCTATCCGGAGACTGACTGGTGACTCCGCCAACCGGTATGTAGCCGGACAACGAACGCCCCGAGCGCCCACGATGATGCTCTTCTTTCAAAGAATCATTCTCTCGTGCACTCGGCTCAGAGGCTACCTCTCTTTTCTTCTTACTTATAGATGCATATAGAAAGATATCTCTCTCGCTCTTCATTTATTGGAGCAAAAGAGCAAGCAAAGCGCGAAGACTAATCAAAGCGGCGAAAAACCCGAGCCAAACCGGCCTCAAGAAGGGCCCAGGCCCGAAGTTCGGGTTCGGACTTGTTTGACCGACGATCCACCGCATAATATAAGACTGACGAGGTCGCCGCCGCTTGAGGACCAAGTCTTTTCTTCTTACTATTTCCAACATTTTTCACCCAACTTCTTCGTACAGATAAGCACGGCGTTCGAGAATATATATTTATAAAAAGACAAACCAAAGAAACAGCCATGGTCGCCGACTCGACAAGGGATGCTCTCCGCTGGCGACGGTACGGAGGCTTTGGAGGTCCGTTCTATCCGGGGTGGGCTCTTGATCCTCGCCTCGCACGACACAGGGGCGGTATTGGACGGGCGTTCTTCAGGACGGCTTTTCTTGGGGTGTTTGTTTGGTTTGTGTCCAAGGCAGCATAGTGAGTATTCTCGTGTTCTTACTTGTTGCTGGTATTTCCTTTATCCATGTCTCCCAATTATTGTGCCCCTTCTCCACACCTTGGCCTTATTAAAAGATGGGACATGCTATAGCAGAAGGGAACATCCTGAGAGGGGACCTCTACTCCTTGGCGACGTTGGATTTTTTATTTATTTATATATATTTTTTGTTGTTGTTTCTATATGGGGAAATGAGAATGACTGACTCCGAACAATGATAAAGCCGGCATGAACGCCGTAAGGAGATTCTGCAAGAGGCGCAACACTTCGGCCCGGCGGCATCACGGCACAACAGCATGCCAATACCTTCTCCAAATAGCCTCGATACTCGGACACCTACCGAGGCAAGCATGCCAACAGGGCCCAAATACGATAGGGCGAATATGAATAAGGAAAATGGAGGATGGTGGTGGCGCTGATGTAGCACGCCATGGGTTGGCCCTGTTGCTCGGACAACTGATATGAGTCGACGAGATGCTCAATACTCTGCAATACTATTCCTCCCCTTTCATCTTGACTCTACTTGGATAAGCCATATGTGTGTGTCTGCGAGACTTGAAAGAGGGACTGTCTATGTATGCTCAAGGTGTAAAAAGGGAAAGATGAAGACAGAGTATGATAGTGTATTTACCTATGTGCCTCAAGGCTGAAATCTCAACTAATCACAAAATTTGTACAAGTTCATCTTGAAAGGAAATCAAATTCTTTTCTCCCAACGAAGAACGCCGGCTATGTAATCCCCCAGTGGTTATCTAAGTAATCAATCTATCCTGGAATCTATCTAATCAGGATACGCCAATATCCTCCTTGTCCAGTGTATAACGCCGCAACAGACGACAGAACCAAACAAAGCAAAGAAAACACCTCTAGTGATCAACCACATCCTCATCTCTACCCGGATACATGATTTCCTGTTTGATCACCGCCCTCACATTGTGGTAAAGCACAAAGAAATAAGTCAGCACCAGACAAACGCTCATGAACACGGCGAACCCAAGGACCGCGTTGCTGTTTATACATTTCCCAATGGAGATAGTCGCAAGGGTGAAGCCCGTGTTGGGGAAGACCGACGCCCACCAGCCCAGGTGGAAATATTTAGGCCGGCTCGACACGACAGCGATGAAGGCGACTCCCCACCACCAGAGGCTCAGCCCCCAGAGAAACACACCCGCGAGCACGGCGGCCGAGCGGATGGAGTGGATATCGACCACACCGTTCGAGTCGATGTCGAAGTCGGAAGGCAGGCCCTGGGCCATACCAATGAGGGCAAGACAGGTAAAGGACGGCGGGCCGACATTCATGAACAGGCCTGGGCGGTGTTCCCTATCCGGCAGGCCAAAGGACATGAGGCGGCCGACCATGTGTGCGTACATGAGGAACGAGACCGATACGCCCAGGCCCTGCGCGGCGAGGCCACCCAGCACGATCGCCGTGGAGATGCCGGCTGGCTGCGTCTCGGCGATGACGGACGCGATGGTCCCGGAGAGCATGATTGGGAAGATGGGCAGGATCCACGTCGGCATCATCGTCTTGACCTCCAGGTTGTGTGTGCGGAAGACGTAGCTATACTGCCCGATGGCGAGGAGGATGGTGACGGCCATGTAGCTCCAGAAGGCAATCTGGACGCCCCAGTTGAGCTGCTCGTCATCGGGAGGAACGGCGTATCGGTAGGTGCTGGTGATGAGGGTCGCTATCGCTAGGAAGAACGTCGGGAGGAAGAAGCCCTCGCGCTCGTGCGTGATGGACTGCTTGAAGGATCCCGAGAACAGGAAGAAGCGGGCCGTGAGCGAGGTGAACACGGTGAGGAAGAGGATGAGGTTGATGATGTACACGACGAGGCCGATCTGGCGGAGGCCAGGGAACTGGAAGGGCTGGGCAAAGATGAGGAGGGAGAGGCCACCCGTGCTCATGATCATTGTCCACCAGGCCCAGGTGAAATGGTGAAGGCGCTGTCGCAGGGTGAGTTTAGGCCTTTTGGGATCGTAAGCGCTGATGACCGAGTCGTTGTCGTGCATGACCGTGCCTGTGCCTTGGTGACCGAGCTGCCTTTCGACATCGTGCTCCTGCTCCGGTGTCGCCACTGCGGTGCGGTCATAGCCATCGTCACGGGACGATGACTGTGAATCCATCAAAGCGTGGGTCGACATTGGTGGTGCAAACATATTCTGCATCTGTGGGTGCTGTAGACGGTGGTTGGAAGGACCACCAAAGGAGTTCGACTTCTCCTCCATCCTGCGTCTTTAGTGAACCACGCCTTGCTGAAGACCACGCCTCTCTTTGTTGTTGTAAACAACCAATGGTGTCACAAGAGCGAAAGGGAACGATATGCGGTGCAATATCTTTCTCCAAGACGTCTAATGCTGTTCGGTGCAGGTCTTGTACAAAATGCAGTCAAAAGTCCACGGTGGAAAGCCAACCAAGAGATAGCCATCAGTCCTTATATTGACCATACAGCCAAGTCTCCCATTTCCCTTCAACGTCGTCTATTGAGGGTGATCCTTATCAGCCAAGTCCCGTGTATGTGACAGTGGAGCCCAACAAAATACAGCAAGCCCATACCATCTGATGATCTGAGCAACTGCCTCCTCAGCTGCTTGATGCGCTGCGTATCACCCAAACCTCTTGCATGCCGATTCTTTTTCGAAACGGGGGGGAGCCGGCCAAGAATTGCTGGTAAGATCCCCTTTGCCAAGAATACTGTGTACATTGAGGCGGTCAAGCAGACGAAAAAGCGCCGTCGAGAATCTGTCAGAGGAACCAGTCCGGGAGCGTCCCGCGACAAGTGCCGAGAGCCAAGAGAGGGCTTTAAATGGGTCTATTGCCACCACATTAGTTGTACATATACGACCAGACGCCCCTTGATTTGTTCACTGGTCGCAGCTGGATTGAGAGGAGAAGCCTTGGCCGAATCTGCCAAGCGCGGTTGAGCCTCACGGGTGGGGACAGGGGCTCAGACTACCGACGTCGCCCGCTGCGCAGTTGAGCCGGCTGTGTTGACTTTTCATGAGGCGTTGTTGTTGATGGAAATAACCAAAAAATACTATACCGCACTGTTTGCCATGAGCTTATTATGGCTTAGAGCTTCGAGATGCTGCCACTGCGTCAGCGGATCGACCGACCGTGAGGGCCCGTCTCCCACATGCAGTGGATATTCTGCGATAATACTGTCGTCTTACCACAATCTAACACGGCTGCTAGCAGATCCACCTACTACAGCTACTATGGCTGGACTGCTTGGCGGCCATCTCGGGTGTCCCTCATAGGATAATTACACCAGACATGGTATGAGATCGGGCAGCACTGGGTGTCGCCGGATCCACACGCCCTGCGGGATACGACGTTGAGGCTAATAATGATCAGCGCGAAACGCCCAAAAAGAAAAGAAGAATAAATAAATAGAATAGGCCAAGAAACGGGTGGACGGAGTGTGGACGGGTAGTGATACGTACTCGTGGCTCTTGAAACTTTAATTCCAATCAACACATATACCGGGTCCTGCGATCGTTTCATAGGCTAAACGCGGCAGGCGAAAGAAGCCTGTGGGCTCCCTGTCTGGTGACAAACCAGTCCAGAACCCTGAACTGTTGGGTATTTCCACTTAAGGCATCCCGCGACGACATCCTGGTCTGACGTACCCACGTTGCCATCTTGGCGTCGATCCTGGTGTGGCCAGATCCGACTGTTATCACGAGCGTATCACGGTGCCTCTATTTTGGGTCAGAACGAATGATGATGATGAATCTGGCGTCGAATTGCAAGGCATCATGCACACAATATGATGTGAGTCATGAAGTAATACAACAGCTGTTAATCCTGAGGCGCTGTTTCTTGGCTCTCCCCACCCATCATCAACCGTCGAAGCAGTAACACTTCATGTTTGGTTACAAAGACATCGGGGACAGATAAGCCCAGAGGTGAATCCGAAGCAGCCGTAGCGCCGTCGAGCTGATCGACCAGATCTCGGACCTTGGCACCCTTCCACTTGCCCTCATTCGTTGTCCAGAAGACACGCTTGATACCTGCCGAGTGCATGTACGAAACACAGCGGTAGCACGGACGAGACTCGGCCACAACGCGATTATTCTCGCTCTCATTAGACCCACGGGGCGCTTCAACAAATCCCGATACCTTGCAAGTGAGTTCGTCGTGGAGAGATCTTGATGATGAAGACTGTTCGGATGAGACGCTGAGTGACTCTGAGACGTCGACCTCAGTGGGACCCTCTTTCAGACGCCGTGAAGCACGGAATTTCTTGGAATGCTGGCAAGAGTCTTGCTTGGCGAGCCTCACGACGTACAGGTCTGCCCCGACAAGCTTGGGGTGCTTCATGCGATCCTTGACTGCTGCAGAGGACGTTGCAGCCTGTCTATGTGGAACAAGGAGGTGCTCGTTCCGTGCCTGTGTCTGTTAGAAGAATGAAGAATGTTCTCGGCGATGAAGTGTGTAGCTCACCTTGCGTTGGCCAAATTTGTTCTTGTGACGACTCGCGCCCAACTCCACCGTGTCCTTGGCCGCGCGGCCCAAGATTGCCTGCTTGTTATTCGAAGCCAGCTTGGCTTTCGCCGACTTTTTACGCGACTTGTACTCCTTTTTCTGATTAGAATGATACCCACGCGGTTGTTTGTTGTAGGAATGCTCCTCCTTGTAAACCTCCTCCTCTTCGTGATGGGCTTGATTCTGATGATGATGACCCTTCACCTTGAACTTCTGACGAGAGGCTGTCGCATCGATATGCAAGGGGTTCAAAACACCACTCGTCGGTCTGAACCTCGCTGGTACGTTGTTGTTGCTGCTGGGCCTCCGCGCCGCGGACAGTCTCGAGGCAGACGGCGCGGACGTAGGTGGCGAGAGCCTGGTTGCGTGAGGCACGGTTTCGTTTAGAACCACCCGATAATTTGAATTGGGGTTTAATGCGACACAGGCTACTGGCAGCCAGCGCAGAGGATGAGGCCAGGGCAGAGTTGATAGCCATCATCTCTGAGTGCATGGACAAATGGGCATTGGTATGATGGCCGCTGCCACAGTTCCCAGAGAGGGCTTCGACGGGTTTGAACGTACTACTGTTGCCCAGCTGCTGTTGCTTCTTGGGCTTCAGCTTAGTACCCTCATCAGCGGAAGAGAAGGCGCCCTTGGGCAGGATACCGGTCTTCAGAGCACTGCCGCCGTCAAAGCCAGGGCGGTAGTCGTTGAAACCTTGGCCAACGACCTTGCCACCCTTGACGACGACGCAGCCATGGCGATAGTGGAGCGGCGAGAGACGGGCCTGCTCAATACACAGGTTGAGGTAAGAGTCAGCCTTCATTGTTGCTTATATGCGCTTTGATAAATGGAGTGACTTGTGTGTGTTGGTTTGATGGAATGGATCGACAAATGTAGGTTCGTGCAGGGCTGCAGGCGAGCTTTGTAGATATTCAGAGTGCTGATGCGCAAGTCTGGGACTTTCTGGTCTTGTGTGAGGATGGGTCTGGCAGTACTTTCTTCCGGCGATGTTGATGTTGATTGTGATGTTGTTTGACGAGCGAGGGCTTCAACGGGAAAAGTCGACGGAGACCTTTGGTGATTTGCATCGTACTTGCTCAACACGGCCTTTGTCGCCGATGACTCCAATACTCCAACCCCACCATCCCCAGCAGAGCAGAGACCCCAAAACTTTGCAGGGTTAGGACCTGTAAGCACCCGTCGCACCCTGTGGCACCCTGAACCTTCGATATCTTTCTCAGTAAGCCAATCCAATCGCACGAGGAGCCAGCTACTTCAGCTACCCAAATCGAGGCCATATCATTTGTCCATCTCTGTATCTTTTGCTTATACTACTGTATCGTTTGCTTAGACTAATTGAACGCGCCCTAATCTTGGTCTTCATCTTGCACGATATATACATGCTATTGGGGGAAGAAAAAGAAAGAAAGAAAAACCAGGAGCCCTGTACTGCCCTCAGCCGAATCGCAGCGGTTCTACTTTCGGCTTGTTCTTCACCACCCCTTCAATCCTGTCCATGACCTCTGCCGTCAACTTGGCCTTCACCTCCAGCGCCCCCAGATTCTCTCGCACCTGCTCGGGGCGAGATGCTCCCAAGAGCGGTGCAGATACCTGTGGATTCATCAAGATCCGAGCCAAAGACAGCTGGGCTAAGGTGCAGCCAAGCTCTTCAGCAATGGGTTTGAGACCTGCGACGACGGCGAGCCGGCTTATCCACGTCTCGTCTCCAAACGTCTTAGACAGATGCTTTGCCACCACCCCACTGCTCTCAGCCATCCTGTACGATGAAAACAACTATTTAGCATGGCATGAACCCACCCATCAACCCAAGACAGGACACGAGACTTTGGCTGGGGATCGTCTGGCATACCTGCTCCCAGCCGGTGGCTTCGTCACATCATTATATTTGCCCGTCAGGATGCCTATCTTCAGTGGCGCAAAGGTTGTCAGGCCGGTCCCGTGCGCCGTATATAGCCATCTGAACTCGCGCTCCACCTTCTCCCGCTCGAGGAGGTTGTACTGCGGCTGCTCGACCGCAGGCCCGATCAGACCCAACCTGTCGGCGACCCTCCAACATCAAATCTACGTGGTCTGCTGAGCATATCATGACCTGCAACAGGCAGCGTTGCAGCCGCGGGCTTAGGGCGGTTTTCGTAGAACGCATGGTTGTGACAAAGTTCCTTAAATTAGGCCTCAAGCCACTGAAAATGAATGAAGTATGATTGCTTATAGCCCAAGCTGTGCTGATCTCTGCTGTACCATCAATGTCTGCTGCTGAAATGGACTCCCAGCCACAAGGGCCTCTCTCCAATGCCTGACAACATCCAAAATATGCCCACCTATTCCTATTGTGTGATTGTGGCTCGAATGATCTGGCATTCGAAGTGGACTCTGTGCAGTGACAAGGCAATACTTACAACTTGATCTGCTCCAGATGCACTCAAGGTTCTCCCTGCTGTGGAGGAAAGAGAGAAAGATCTAGGCTTGCTAGAGCTTCCTGAATATCACACTGATGTAGATGCTTTGACATGTCTTGCAAAGGACATTTGCTATTCAACTACCTATCTCTCAATTATGAACTTATCTCTTGTTCGATATGTCTCTGTGTTCACTGCATAAAATGATCAAACTAGAAAGGGGGAGGGGTCCATGATTGCAAACGATGGTCTGAGTTTATTAGAATCTTCAACCGTGTGAATGTTCAAGTTAGTAAAGTGAACGCTATTGTTTGAGAGTCTGTAGGCCAGTCATTGAAGTCGTGTCAAATCAACAAACTTGTCGTACCCCTTCGATCCCATGTCAACTTGTACTGAAAAAACTCTGAGGGAGAACGCGTCTTCAAGACTGCTTCAGTAGACATGCCCAGTCCATAATGCAACACGAAACACCCCAGGTCTCCAAAACACACCGACCAACTTCCATCTTTTCGTCAAGTTTGCTGAACAGATTTCAAGATGTGTCGCTGGGTATGTTTCATCCTTGACTGCGGTGTAAGTCATCCCCATGCCGTGTAGCATCTATACCACATTATGAAGCCTCCTGCTGGCGGTTCTTTCACCTTGTCAAGGGGCATCCCATACTGACTTGTGTTCTCTCTCGCTCTCTTCCCCTAGCATAAACTCACTCCTATGGGGCCCTCCATTGATGACAGAGGATGTCTCAAGGCTGCAAACTCTGGACGACAATGCTGGCTGCTACGAGACTTCCCACCCCCTATCAAAGAGAGATGGCCGCAGGGTGGAAAGTGCTGGCGCTGTGAGGGAAAAGAAGCAAAACAGTCTGGAGAGGATCATCCAATCGATGAGACACCAAGCCTGGTGAAGAATGATGGAGAGAGCGGCTCACACTCTTCCTCCTCTCCAAGCGAGTCCCAAGGCTAGCACAGAGCGATCAGACTGCGAAGGCAGTTGGGAAGGGCAGGGTAACAGCCAGGACAATGGACGCACGGCTGGATTACATGGACTCGTTTGGCTTGAATTGGGACAGCAAGGCGTTCTCATTCGTATTGGCTTTTTGACGCGTCGTGATCGCCCCTTCGTTGCAGTATCAGGAACATGGACATTTACAACTAAATCTGACAAGATGGCATGGACATGGCAGAGGACAGGATCAAGGCGACGATGGACATACTTCATTCAGAGCCACTGGATGATTTCCTTCACGCGATATCCTGCTGTAGAGCCCTCAATGAGCACTCCAAGTCCAGTTCCGCCTCTAGCTTAGATCCTGCTATATGCATATGGAGAGCTTCTATGGTGCTGCCATTGAGGTACTCATTATGCCGCGGAGATATGCCTATGTCCCCAAACCAGACTACATTGCTGCACATCATGGCGGCAGGCCTTTGTGTGAATGCTTGTAGAGAGGCAATTGGGGAGTTGTTGATGCTGAGATGTCGAAACATCGTTGCCACCATTGCTGAGGGGTTGTATAGACCGCCTCCACACGAACAGTATTATTCAGGTGTTCACAACTTTGGAACTTGTGCAAGATCTTGTTTGTTCCCTTGCCAGGCTGGTGATCATATTCATGTGACCAGCCTCATGATGGCACCCTCGTCTTGAGCTGACATCCATGCCACCCCTTCATCAGGTCCCCCAGCACTGCATTCACCATCCTCTGCTGCTTCAGCATGTTTGCGCCGCGGAACTTCTCTGAGCTGATCTCAATTCCATACATCGACCCGCACCCGCCTGATATGTCCTGCACCACCAGCTCGACAGGGCTAAACTCGGCCACCAGGCGGTCCCAGATCACAGACTCTGCCTCGTCAAGGAAGTCTGGCTTCTCGGGGGTTGTAGAGGAGGGCGCCGATTCTGACTCGGCGGAAGAGGCGGCTGGTTTGTGGAAGGCAGTCGCTGGGTGGAATCTTCGTGCTGCTGGGGACGGTATTGAGACAGTCGTTCTATTTCGGAGGGGTGGGTATTGCCAGGCTGCTGCTGAGGTCGCTATGGACAGGGCTCGTCCTCTTTTAGCTGGGTCGATTGACAGGGCTCGTTTGGCGACGCGAGTCGGCGCAGCAACGGCGGCGCGGCTGCCTCGGAGTAGGCTGGCGCACCCCTGACAGAGCATTTTGAGTGTGGGAGGAGAGGGTTGCAGCTGAATTCTCGTCGGCAGGGAGAGCTTTGGGGAGTGAGTAAAGGAAGCTGTAGATTGCCCTAGTAAGTAGTCCTTGAACCGAGGTCGATGTCAGTTGTGGTTTTCTATCCATGTCACTCCATTGGTCAATCTTGGTGGGTCTGGCTTACTTAGTCAGCAGTATGCTCTTGTAGCCGCAGTACGCGGTACTTCCCATGAATGATTAGACATTTGTTGCCATCCATAATTTCAAGTATTGCACCATTACTCGTGGGCACTAGCCCTCCTGGCCCACTACCTCCGTTCCTCCGGTAGTGGGTGCCAAAAATCGTGCGCGGCCAAAAATAGTGCGCATTTTCAAGGAACTTTTTTAGTATGGCGCTGCCACCCAAATTGAGTGCTTAAGCCAATGTTTGCTCATTAATTTATTCTGTGGCCTTTCACACACGAACGCAGAGGGGTCTGAATGCCTCAGTCGAATGAACTTTTCGAACCTTTTCATTCAGCTAGACCTTTTAAGTACCAATACACCCATTTCTATAGGCAATATACATCCAAGGGCCAGTAGATGCGAAACTCGGCGAAAAGCTCTGAGACGAGATGCTCTGAATGCCTTTGATGTCCTTTTCACAAACATGAGAAAGATCTCCGGCCTGATTGACCATCCTCTCCGGCCTGAACAATCCCTATTGAAAAGCACTGCTGGGAACAGGTGGTAAGGAGGATATATCCTCATCGCTATACCAGTCCTCAGCATTGTGCAATGCTGTTTTGAGATTAGTAATAGCATGCAATAAGGCTATATCAACATCTCGAAGAGGGCGTTCAAGGCCTGGCTCTAGACCAGATATCTCAATACTGCTCGAAACAGAGATAAAGCTCTCAGCGCTATCATCGCCATTATCGCTATCATTGCTATTATTGCTGTTATTGCCAGCATCGCCAGCATTAGCATTAATGAACTGCTGTATATCCTGGGGGATCAGTTGCTCTGGAGGCGTTCGTCGCTCTTCTTGGGTTGCTAGCTGGTCCTCAGGGCAATAGATCGCTAGCCAGTCTCTGAAAAGAATCGATTGCCCTTGGTGTTGCTGCCCAGCTGCCTTCCATGCGGTATGCTGCTCTTTTCGTATTGTCTTCTTTCTCTGTGCCTCATCTTTCCTCATCTTGGCCTCTTCACGCTTGCTAATGCGCTCTATCCGCCGTATCTCAGCTTAACGATCTTTTTCTTCTTCGAGGAGGCTCTGCTATCGTATATTGTGAACTGCAATGCTGTCTATCATCTGGCCCTCTGGCCGGATCTGTTTCTTCGTCTTTTTATCTCGATAATGCCTCAGCCTTATATTACAATCTCGTCCATCCTCTGCTAGTTTGTTCTTGAATACAACTGATTCAGCAGCTATTGTGCTCAATGTATTCAAGCTTTTGCGAGTGCCTGAAGATAGCAGCTCGGAGTAGTAGTTCAGAAGCCTGGCAGCTGTACGTAGGCCTTGAGCATTGGTTTCTTTCGAGAGGGAGAGGAGAAGATGAGGATGTTTAGCATGTTTCGTTTTCTTCTGTTTGTTGAACAGGTTGAAGAGAACGAGATTACGATCGATTAGCCAAAGGCCTGTTCTTGTAAAGCTGCTGAGGATATGCCTCGTTATAAATGCATAATCGATTATAAGCTGGGCAAACAAAATCAGTAATTGAACTAGAATAAGGGAAGAGATATACTTGTAAGGCATTATTAACAAAATCGTTTCTTGTGAAGCTAAGGTTGCTCTTACGGATCTTCTTCGTAAGGATTTGACGATATTTAGCTTTCAGCTACTGAAAAACGCCTACATTTATTAGCTGCAAAAGGTGTATAGAATAAGGAGGCAGGAAGATCATGATGATATTGAAACGAAAGCAATAATCCAAGATATCAATGCTGTAATGCTCTGAAAAGCTATCGATAATCAAGCTGCAATAAATCCTCTGGTATTGAGCATGTTGATCAGAAGCTATTGCCTCAGGATCTGCTTCCTGGCGCCAGTTAAACTTTATCATGCTATCAATACCAAATTATTCTTTCAGAGTATATTCCAGCCTTTTCAGATCTGCGTGATAAGCAAACGAATGTCGATTGAAATGCTGTATCCAGTCCAGCATAATCTGAGCATTCGAAAAGCTTGTATCGGACTGGTTGAAGCGGATATGCTCGTCAAGCTTGCCCATAGCCCAGCTTGGATGGGGCTACTGCTTGAAGATACAGTAGGGAGGAATAGCATCGCCAGCAGCGCTGCTACAGCTGATGAGAGTTATTGATTCTCTATTGTTGAAGTTGTATATCTTCTTTCTAGCCTTCCGCTCTGTAGCTATAATGATGCATCGAATACAGCCAGATAGAACGCCGATGCGATTGCCACATTCATCAGCATTCCAGATGCCTGAGAGTCTCAGGCTGTATGAAGCAACAGTAGCTTTATATCTCTCGAAAAAGCTCTTCAGATTGTCCATTGCAATCTCGAAACCTTGTTGGGATGCTTCTACAGGCTTGATATATACATCGTCGAGCTCTGGATGCCTTATTAGCCATCGCTGTACGAAATGAGGGCTAACTAGCCTTACTTGATGCATTGCATGCATGCTGTTAGCAGCATTAATAAGCATATCCTTGAGAGAAGGAAAGCAACCAACATCAAGCCTCATCACATATCTGACGAGGGCTTCATCTTCCCAGGGCTCAAGGGCTGGTGGACGGCCTCGAGGTTTCGTTGAGTAGGCAGGAAGGCCTTTCTGATGCAATGCTGCAACGTGCTTTCTCAGCTCTGATTCGCTATATGGTATACTCTTAGCAAAAGATCGTAGAGAGGTTCTTAAGAGCTTGAGAGGCTTCGGGTTTTCTCGTGGGCCTTGTGGTGGGCGATTGCGCCCTCGACGCGTCTGCTACGCATTGAGGGCGATCTTGAATGCCTCGTAGGCGGCATCTTCTTGGGCCTGAATGGCTACGAAACTGCTGGCAGCTTCTGCGCACGATGGAAAAGAGTCAGATTCGGCCCTGGGGGAGGAAAAGGAAGCCATCGCGATGGTTGTTGAGGAAAAAAGGACGAGGGAGGGTGTGTGTGTGTGTGGTCGGGATCAAGGGATCGAAATGCGCACTATTTTTGGCTGCGCACGATTTTTGGCACCCACTACCGGAGGAACGGAGGTAGTGGGCCAGGAGGGCTAGTGCCCACGAGTAATCTTGTTAATTTATCTGGTTTGAAGTACTTGTCGCCATTAACTCGCCCAAGGCCCAACTTTCCTATATTTCCCTCAAATGTTACGTTGTTAGGACAGGGCCTGTTCAGAATGAGCTGTTCAAACATCGCTAAGCGCTCATTCGTGCCAAAGATTCCATGAACACTATTTTATTTCCATTGCATGCTGAACTGAAATGACAAGAAAAGTAATATTCTGGGTATGTATTCGTTAGAAGTATAAGGAGATACAATGTAAAGTGCTGGTCAAGTGATAAGTAATTTTGAGGTTGTACAATGACGTTTTCTTTGACGTCCGGCCGGTCGATCGGTCGATCATGCAATTCATGCGGCAACTTCCGCAGTTTGCATCTCTGAGGTCTTCTCTATCGTTCCAGCTCCTTCGGAATAACTGTTTGCCCTTTCAGCCATGTCGTAGTCCCAGTTCTGAAGTGGTTCTCGTTCAAGAAATCCAGGGCATTGCCCTTCCTGACCATTGGTATCATGAGCAGATCGAGCAGTTTGTTGTCACCCCCGATATACTTGGTGACATACTGATCCACAAACTTCCACACTGGGTTGTTCCACGCGACAACTCTTGTGTAGAGCCCCGAGATTTCGACCATATCCGATGCATCCTTCTTCCTTATCTCCTGGTACTCCTTGAAGACGGCGTTCAGCGCCTCTGTGCTGGGTTCCGGGTTCTTCTGTAGTAGACGACGAAGTCCGTTCGTGAGTATGGCAGCGGATTGCCAGCCACTGTTCAAGCCAAGCCCGACATTAGGTGTCATCTTGTGCACCGTGTCGCCAACCAACACGAGCCGATCACCGTACCACTTCTCAGCCGTGCCCTCCTCGAGCCCGGAGCAGAACGACCACTGGGCTTGACCCCACAGGTCCTTGAACTGGACAGTATCCGTGACAAAGTACTCAGCCACCTCTTCCACGAGCTTTTTCTTCTCTTCATCTGAATATCGCACACTTTCTCTTGTGTCTGCTGGCAAGCGATCATACACAAGAAACATCACCATGTCCTTGCCCGGGATCAACTGGACGCTCATCTTGTCCCCATGCATCTCGTAAAGATGCCCCTCTTCGATACCTTTGGTCCACGTTGACCAGCCAAACAGGCCTCGGTATGATGTTGTAAATGGCTTCGCAAGCTTCGGGTCTGATAGCTCATTCGCAAGATGTCTCCTCACTGAACTGTTGACGCCGTCCGCGCCCACGACGACGGAGCCTTCGTGAACACTTCCATCCTTGCAGGTCACGCGAACGCCCTCTGATGTTGTCTCGATCTTGTCCAAAGCTTTGCCACCCAAAATTCGTGCTTCGCGGTCTGGCAATTCGTCGTACAGGAACTTTAGAAACTCGGGCCGGTGGAAGCACATCCAGTCGTGTCCGAGCCTTTTGCCTGTGTGTAAGCGAGGCCATACTGTCAATATGTGTTCACCCCCGGTGATAACTGACCTGAGACCAATAGTTTCCATCATATTACTTTTTCCAATCACCGACCCATCTTTTCTGACATTGGTCTTCAGCTTGATATGACAGTCCAAAGCCTGTGCCCCTTCCAACAAGCCCAACTGGTCGAGAATGCGGGCGTTGTGCGGCCACATCGCCATGGACGCTCCGTCGGGAATGCAGATCTCCTCATTCCGTTCCAAGACAACATAGTCAATTCCAGCTTTGGCAAAGCAGTGGGCAATTCCGAGGCCTGCCAGGCCGCCGCCTATAACGATGACTTTGAAGCCCATAATGGTCTGTAAGTTTTGGAACGTCGGGTGAAGGTCGGAAGTGAATGTGCAATAGCAGCAGTCCTACGTTGACGTCCTTGGCGGTTCTTTTTACAGAAATCGACAACGGCCTTAAACTACGCCATGCGTTTTAACGAATGCGATTCTACCCACAACCCTCCCCTGAATAGTACGTAGCGCTCCCCTGGCCACTCGTAAGAATCTCCTGAAAGACCCATCCCTTGTGGAGCGGACGATGTCACATCAGAAAAGGCCTGGACGGCTCAAGTGGATCAATGCCCCCTGGGAACGTTGAGACTCAAGATGTAGAGCAAATGATCGCCAAGCAACTCGTCCATGTGGCAATGCAAAGCCGTTGCAGCAAGATAACGTGCTGCCAAACAGCCTCTCAATCCACTTGTATAGCATTATCTCGTGATCACTGCTGTCATTCTACGGAGAATCAACTCCCAACTGACCGGCTCTTATTACTATCCTCAACTCTGGAACCCGTCCCTATCTGCTTTCTTCCTCCATGCAGGATGTTTCACTGTGCCGAGGTACTGCTACACAAGTACTCGCGGATTTATGAAGAACCCGAACGTTGCTACAATAACACCTAGAGAGCATGGCCTACACGTGGTTGGCAACCCATGCGGAGATTATAGTCTGGATGGCCCACCTTTGTCCGGAGTCTAGAAGCCCATTATGGGCAGATTTATCGCCCTGGCCCTATCAGGTTCCGCATCAAAGATGCGGAGCCCTGTTATGGGCACAGGGGCCCCAAATCAAGTGTCACAAGGGGTCCAGAATGGCAACACTACCACCAGGGTTCAAGACACAGGTCCGAGGTACTATAGTCCAGACTGTCGGACCATAGTTGACCCCCTCGAATGCCCTGACTTTGGAGCCCCGAAGCGGAAATTTTGCTCCTGTCAAAAGTGGGTGTCGACGGCGAGTGTTTGGTTTTTGCAAGGTTTCCATGCACAGACCACAATGGTAGTACTATGTCCTCGAAATCTTAAGGAAGGAATACGATGACAGAGATAAACGTGCAGGACTCCATTCCCATGGGTGACTTCTTGTTGCTGAAGCAAGATTAGCGAATAGCGGCACGAGTCAGGACCGAATCTGGAAGACAACATTGAGAGTTTTCGATGGCATGGTCTTGGCATACGGGCGTTAAGCATGACTATTTATACTCCTACTGTAATGCGTCTTTGGCCTGGGACCCGGAAGAAGCTACAGGGATCCCTACTATGCGTAACAAGGTATTCCGAGGGTTTGTATTTAATTTGGACGTCGTGCACTCAAAGAAGACGGATCGAGTGTTTTGGTGCACGAGATAGCAGTTGTCAGGCTGTCCTATCAAAATTACTTGACGAGGCCCTTGCAAATCCTCCAGTGCGATTGACCACGTTTTGATTGTACGACGAACTCAAGCAAGAACTTCTTATGAAGGAAAGCAAATCCATCTAAAGGTTGCACAGGTGCTCAGGTGAACTTTATCTTCTTCTTCTTCTTTGAACTCTGCTCCGCTCAGACGCTCGTCGGACTTATTAGCGATCTGGTGACGGACTTTGCATCATGAGTTTTGAATTGAGGCTTCCTGGTCCTCGACCCCTGCAGCTGCCAGTGCCTGGCATCATGTTAGCCGTCTCCCTCTTACCTGAAGCTAGTCATATCAGCAGCTCCAAACATGGCCGCCTTCAGCTTCACATATGAATGCTGTGCAAAGGGGGACAGTCAATTCTCCTGGCGTTCTGCCCAGGCGATTATGCCAAGGAAGAACACGGAAAAAAAGGAGGGGAAAAAAAACCAAGGAAAAGGGGCAAGCACATTATCCTCTGACCAAGCTTGGCAGTTGAATTAGTGATTGGTAATCAACACACAAATCTTCTGGAGTGAAACTCGGCCAAATTATGTCGCGCGACATCTAAGTTGATTATCGACATTTAAAGTACTCAAAACGCTCTGTTCTTTGCTGAACGCTAATAAAACACCGCTCCCCCAAGCCGATCCATTACATCTGACAAGGTCAAAATGGACTGATCACAGACTACAGGGACCAACAACCACCAAGGTCTTCTCCTAGCATTTCTTCAACCCAGCCCTGAGGACGACGTTGCACGTTTGCAGGTGAAAGAGCCGTCGACAGGTCAATGAGCAAAGCGTTTCCGTCCTTGATGAGGAAATTATGCCTGCGATTTCCCTTGTCGGCACGAAGCCAGCCGGTTGCTTCGTAGAATCGCTTCACGGCCTCGCGACACGATTCTCTGTCCCTTCTCCATACAGGCTTACGAGCGCCCTGGACACATTCCATTAGGAACCCAACAACGCGTCCACGTTCTGTCACATGGCCGATGAATTCAGGTGTAAGACCTGTTCCTGCAGCGGCTCTGTATGCCATCATTTCCGTCTCAATGCCACGGGGGATACAGGCAGGCGTCAGCCAAAGCTTCGCAATCATTGGCTTGCCGCCGAAAGCGGGTTCATGTACACATGGAAAGAGTGCCGAATGCTTATCCAGACCGTCAGGGTAATCCAGCCATGGCTCCAGGTCATTCAGGTCGAAACTCGGCTTCTCGGGCCAAAGAGCTTGGTCATTGAGGCCTGGTAGGACCTTGAGCACCGGTCGAAAGACCTTGTAGGCCAGCCTGTTTTTGCGCCTAAACAGGTACAGCTTCGCAGTATTCCAGTCACCAGGCATGAGGTAAAGTGGTCCCTAGAAGCATTTGAATTAACATCATTCACTAAGCGGGACAGTGCCGGTGAGGAAGGGTCTCGCACGAACCATTTCGATGAACTCTCGCGATTGGAAAAATCCTTGCTTACGACAGTTGATGTTCTGCTGCAAGTTTTCTACGACAGTGAGATATTTGTAGAATATGTCCCCCTCAGATGTGATGACTGCATATCGTGCGCAGGGCCAGTGTCGCATAGTTGTAGCTGCGGGCGCCCAGATGAAACAGCCTCGTTCATAAGAGTGTTCAGGCACGGTGTTGCATGTCTCGTTCGAGTCGGCTTGGGCCTGCTGGTTTTGGGCCTCGCCCAGGCTCTCTTCGACCTCGGTGATCTGGGCTTGAAAGTCCTCACCGGCATCACTCCAGGCCTCGTCAGTATCTCGCACCTGTGTACCAGATGATTCGGAGTTGGTTTCATCGTCGCAGCTGCTTCTATCATCGTCGTTCACAGGGACAGGCCCCTCAAAAGGTCGGTCGTTTGCCATTGTAGGGGTATTCTGGGAGATAGTGTTGTGTTGAATAGTAAACAGCGGCAGACTATGGCAAAACAATTCAGCTTGGTATGGATCGGAAAATAAAGTAGAAATGGGTTAGGAAGCTCTTGCCTTGCCGCACCGACATGTCAACCAGTTTCTGTTGGTAGGTGCAATGCTGGAGTGTTTAGGCAGTAGTTTCCACAGCAGCATATTTAAGTACTGCAACATCTTTTATGTGCCCTTTCTTTAATGGAGGAATGCCTCAACTTTGACATACTTTGCGTGTTTGATTAATTAGGTAGGTAGTGTCTGTGAAGCACAAAATGTCTACATTGAAGATAACAGGTCAGTGAAGACTGTGCGATCTTGTGGGTACTTATATGAACTCGAGAAGGCAAGGCACAATTCGAAATCCAAGCATCATGCGCAAATTTAATTAACCCGAGGTCGCCTTTTTAGAATGAGATTTTGATGTTGTTTCGAGGAATGAGCTTAGGTGCGCAGGGTCACTGTATTTTTATGTACTGAATAAATTATCCAACAGGTGAAGGTAGACCTTGGCTTCCACATCAAACAAACGCTTCACTTCTGCTCCGGCAAATTTGAATGCACTGGAATAAAAGACTCTGAGCAGAACAAGTAACATTTAGTCTAATCGTATTTGGCCGGTCGGCCGTCAGGGGCTCGGTACGTTACCCTCTCTCTCTCTTCATGCCGCGCCAACCCCGAATTTCACAACAAATAGTCCTCGCCGTCGCTTCAACATCGAGTAAAGGCACCAGATGCGAGGAGATGTGGATCAAGAAAAGATGCACCTGCCATATTTACCATCGAAACCACCCAACTCACCGCTCGCTTTCTGTCCATGCTGATTTCAACATCACCCTTCATCAGCCAACCCCGCATATGCCCTTGAGTGCACTAGCCACCTTGTGGTTCCTCCACCAGCGGCTGCACGTCACTAGTCAGACGTAGGTACGATGATTTTCCTCCAATCTCCATCGTGGTCGTCTCCCGGATAATTAGCCACACCTAGACACTTGCTCAATTGTGTAAGTGAAGCTACCATGAATGACACTCTGCAATATGTTCATATGGGACGCTATTTAACGTGGGGGCGTCTCATGGTGGAGGAGAGGCCCCTCGTTGTTCTCGTAGCTCCTCATTTCATAGGCATAGTGACACGGCCTGGGCACAGAAACTGTCTCTCTCTCCATCATGTACACTTCTTTACTGGCGACAGCGGCTTTGCTGCAGCTGGCAGCTGGCTCGACATATGCGCCACTCGCAACAACCAAAAATGGCACCTACCAGGGCCGTTATTTGCCTGAATGGAATCAAGATCTCTTCCTCGGCATTCCTTATGCACAGCCGCCGGTGGGAGATTTGCGCTTCCGATGGCCTCAGAGCATAAACACCTCGTTTGAAGGGGTCCGAGATGCCTCCGAGTATGGTTACAGCTGTATGCAGTACCACACAGCATTCAACATCTCCGAGGATTGTCTCAACATCAACGTCATCCGGCCCTCTGGAAACTTTTCCACAAGCCTCCCTGTTCTGGTGTGGATCTTTGGCGGCGGGCTGTACACTGGCTCGACTGCTGACCCTCAGTACAACCTCAGCGGTATCGTAAAGGTCAGTCAAGATCTGGGCCAGCCCGTCATCGCCGTGGACATGAATTACCGCCTGGGGATGTGGGGTTTCCTGCAGACTCCAGGGCTGGTGGCGGAGGGTTCCAGCAACGCGGGCCTGTTGGATCAGAGGCTGGCCTTGCACTGGATTCAAGAGAACATCGCTGCCTTTGGAGGTGATCCGGACCGAGTTGTTGTCTGGGGGGAGAGTGCAGGTGCGCAGAGTATCGCGTATCAGCACTTTAGTTATGATGGCCGAGACGACGATCTGTATCGCGGAGCCATCATGGAAAGCGGCGGACCCACAGGTACGTGGAGTTTATATTTACCTCTTTGAGAGTGTTATTTTCTTCTTCTTTTCGTCTTTTATACTGACAACAAGATAGGGTGTCAGGTTCAAGATTTGGCTTATTATGCTGTCCCTGTCGAGAATCTGACCCGGACAGTGGGCTGCTGGACGACTGCAGGCTGGACAGCATCAACAATACTACCTTGCCTGCGAAGCCTTGACCAAGAAACACTCTTCGCCGCCGCGCCTACGCAGGTCTGGAACCCACTCATTGATGGCGACTTTCTCACAGGGTACCCGAGCACACTGATACGTGATGACAAGTTCAACCGCGTCCCTCTTCTCACAGGCACCAACACAGACGAGGGCACCGGCTTCTCGCCGACGGGCCCCAATACAGAGCAAGATCTCTTTGACGATTTCATGTGGTGGCGCAGCTACGCCCTCTCGCCGCCCACGATCCGCAAGTTCCTGGAGCTCTACCCAAATGATCCATGTATCGAGCCCCCCATGTATATCTGGAACTGCTCCGTCTTCCCAGCCGAAGGCCTCGTCTGGCGCTGGGGCGCTGCCATCGGAGGAGACATGGTGATGCACTCGGGCCGCCGCAAGATGTGCGAGCTCTACGCAGGAACAGGCGGGCAGGACGTCTACTCATACCGCTTTGACACGCGTCTTTGGAGCGAGACGCCCCTCAAGGGTGTCCCGCATTTCGACAACGTGGCCTTCAGCTTCCAGAACATCAGCGGGCTGTTGGGCCCCAGCCCGACGTACGACGATGACCTCAGGATCGCGAGGAGCATCGCCATCGCGTACATCAGCTTCGTGCACAATCTCGACCCCAATCCTCCTGCTGCGTGGAATGCTCTGGAAAAGGTCGACGCCCTCACTTTGCCGACCTGGCCCAAGTACAGCCTCGATGATCCCACGAACATGGTGTTGAATGTCACTGGTCCTTGGGTTGAGCCGGACACGTGGAGAAAGGAAGGGATTGCTTATATGAACACGTATGATGTGGCACGAGAGTTGCTCGCGTAGTGTGTGTATTGGGAGGACGCCGCTGCGCAAGTCTTCGGCTAGTACACCCAGTGCTTAGCTTTTCTCTTCGCGTGGTGTTATGATGTGCCTCTGGTCTAGACACCGTGAAGCTGGTAAAGTGCATCCTAGGTTGCATGATTCGTTGCATGGGAATATCTAATAGCGAGTGACTTGGCTTAATGTCTAAATCCGAGAGTCTATCAATGGCCTAGTCCTGCATTATCAAAGAGCTTAGATTTTCATGTCCATCGTTTGACTTGTGATGGGTATTCCAGGCCATGCTACCTTGTGATTCTGTACCATATCAGGTTCACAGTGACACGGAGGCTTCCCGGCTCAGCAATTTTACGGAATCTGCCTGGAGATTGCATGCCCTCGTGGTCATCACATATTAATTATCACACTGGACACGACATGTCTCTTGAAGGCATTCGACACATATTGCTATGTCTACGCCAGCTAGCGCTGACAGCTGAAGAGTAATAAATTATCAGCAGCTCTTAGTGAGATGTGGCGTTCTACCCAAGATTTGATAGCGGACACTTCAGCCGTGGGAGATGTGGACGATATCCAGTTTAATATGCTGAAACATGCCGAGGAGGGGGTGGTTTTTTCTTCTTTCCAATTGGGGCAAGGGATTTACGTTCAGAAGCCATTTTCACATGTAGGCTGTGTGAGGAGACGCCAACACTTGAGTCGGGCAAAATGCATGTAATCATGCACGATAATGGAATGAGTCGAGGGGTCTGAGCCATTAAGCACTTGTACCGTTACACCGCATGAAAAATCAGCTTTATTACTTTGAGCATTATACGTTACGTTCATGATGTGCTTTCCTTCGGGTATAACATCCACCAAATATTGCAAAAGATCTGCCCCTCCAAAAAAATTAAAAATTCTGGAGATCGGAGCCTTGTCCGGTGCTCCAGCTTCGGTAGACTTTCCAGGGCTTCACTGGCTCACAGACGACTACTTTCAATTCTTTTGCGGGTCAACGCAGTGGGTCTACCTAGGATGTCGTGGGCTAACGCGATTTGATGCGACTTGTTGTGGAAATGCCACGACAGGCGTATCCATTTGTTGCTATTGTACGGTGAGGAAGACGACTTTTTTTTTTTTCTTCCTCTCTTTCTTTTTCTTTCTGATCGTCGTCAACTTGGGGCGCGGACGGCGAGCACAGGTCAACACAAATACAAACCCGCTTTCTGTCAAAAGCCATCAATATTCCGATCAGATCTGCTTTGCCTGTGTGTGTGCTTGTGTGACGAGACACAGTGAAGGAGAAGAAGAGAGGGAGAGAAGAAGGAAAAAATCAGGAGAGATATTGAAAAGATGGGCTCCTTTGAGATCTTGTTCAATGTAGCAGCCTTCGTGGCCGGCCTCTCCCTCCTCGAGCGAGGAGCCAAGCTCTTTGTCTCGAGCGCCACCACGCTGGCCAAACGCCTGCACCTCCCCGAGATGCTCGTCGCCATCCTGATCGCGGGCGCAGAGTGGGAGGAGCTGGCCGTCGTGGCCCTCAGCTTGGCGCAGCGCCGGCCCGCCCTCGCGGTGGGCAACATCATCGGCAGCTGCGTGGCCAACATCTTTGGCGCCTTCGCCCTCGGCCTGGTCTTCTCCACCGGCGCCTGGGAGGGCTTCGACCGGAGCTCCAAGGCCGCCTGCGTGGCCCTGCTGGCCCTGACGAGCGTCGTGGCCTTGTTCGCGCTGGCGGATATCCTCTGGAACCGCGTCGTGGCGGGCTTGCTGCTTGTGTCCTTTGTCGTGTACGTGGTGCTGGTGCTGTGGACCATCTGGAGGGCCATGTTCTACACGGAACAGCCCGATGAGACCGAGGATATCGAGTCCGGCGCCGCTGCACACGACCATCTTGACGACACGTCCTCGGTCGACACTTTTGGCTCCTCCTCTACCGCCAGCCACCATCATGCCGCTGGAGAAGCCGGCGAGTCAGACCCTCTCGTTCCCAAGCACGGCAGCTCCTCCTCCTCCTCGCCCTCGTTTTACTCCTCCAGACTCAGAAAGTTCCACCACACCCTCATCCCGATCCTCAAGCTCGTGTGCGGCTTCGTGGCCCTGACGGTCAGCGGCTTCATCCTGTCGCACACCTCCACGCACCTCGCCGCCTCCTTCGACATGTCGGACGCAGCCTTTGGCGCCACCGTCCTGTCCCTCGCCACGTCGCTGCCCGAGAAGTTCGTCGCGGTCATGAGCAGCACCCGGGGCCACACGGGCCTGCTCGTCGCCGACGCCGTCGGAAGTAATGTGTTCCTGCTGACGCTGTGCCTCGGCATCGCGGCCTGGAGTATCGCTGCGCACGGCTGGCACGACCACCCGGCCGATGGCCGCTTGGGCTTTGTGAGCATCTCGCGTATCGAGGCCTGGTGGCTGTGGGCTGCGGCTGTCGCCTTGACGGTCGTCGTCGCTGTTGGGGGCAAGGGGGTTTGCAAGGTTGCCGGCGTGCGGCAAATGCTGGGCGCCTTGATGTTAGTTGCATATGGAGGCTTTTTGGCAGTCGAGTTCACGATTTTGCGAGGTTGATACGAGGGGAAGGATTTAACTTTTCTGGGAAGAGGCGATGATGGCCGAGGGTGTAAATTTAGTCACATGCTATGGTTGCAGCCGGTCTCGCTGTCTCTCCCCTGCTTCGGGTGGGGACATGGAAGCATTCAACGACAGACTCGCCGTGTCTAAGAATTCACATAGTAGGGCAGAACGAGTATCGTGCTTCTATTATAGAGTCAGGTGCTCTATCAGTAATGTCAGCAACATGGAATCTTGATATCTGGCGACCTTGTCGAAACGACGCAAATTTGTCAAGCAACCGTGAAGAAGGAGACACAAAAGGAAGAAAGAAATTCATACAATTCATCAACCCTCGTTGCTCGTCAAAATTGACTCCCTGCTGAGGTCCTTCCAATTCCATGTAGTTTGGAATCTTGTCTTTGATAATGTCCGTGACTCCTTGCTGGTCCATCATCCAACACCTCTCTCTCCCCCATAAAATCGCCTCAACGATTAATCCGCCACGGAGGGTCACTTGGGAGAAGATATGACTCTTTAGTCCGCAAAGACCTCATTCCATCAGGGAATAGTTTGCGCCGCGTTTGTGGTCTCATCATTGGTTGTGATGGATTTTGTCAGGTATTTTGTTGTGTAACTGACTTGTCAAGAATAATCTTTTGTTTGATCGATAGCCGAGCCGAATAGACTAGAGTGTAATTCTGTAGCCGGCGTTTGAGCGCAAAGACTACGATCCATTATCACTTCGCGCTATAGCAGACTGAACCACAGTTGCTGTATCCGTCACGATCAAGGCATCCTGGCCCGGCTTTTCTGTAAATTCTAGCAACAGGGCTTTGATGGGCGAGCTTGCGTCTGACTTGAGTACCATTGTCGACTTGTCTCCGTCATGGACGTGTTCCATGACGACTCTCATTTCCACCTTTTGCAGAGTCCTGTACTCATTGAAAGCGTCGGTGAAGGAGATCAGAAAAGCAACGAGATCTGCCATAACGGCCTTGTAGCCCTTGCGCGTGGGGTCGTCGTATTCTTTCTTGTACACCAGTTCAGACCTCCAGTCGATGAGCTCCTGGGTACTTGCACAGACGTGCTGTCGCTCTTTTTTCTCGCGCTCCTTTTCACTAATCAGTTCCCAAGGATCCATGCGGCCGTAGAACCCAAGCGAATGGAGGCCGATAGCAGCGGACCACTCTTTGAGACCCTTGACGGTAAATTCAAGCTTCTTGGTCGTATCGGTAGGTACGAGCGTGAAATTGGCAAGCTTGCTCATCTGGTCTTTGTGAAACACAAATTCTGCGGCTTTTGTATTTAGAGCGAAATTAAGCGGGTTCCCCAGGATGTTGAGCTTTGAGTTGAAAGTACCCTATTTTCAGAGAAAAGAGAAAAGAAGAAAACATCACTGAAATTAGCTGCAAGGTTACGAAGGGAGGGAGGAGTGGTGGAGGGTCTGTAGACATGAGGACGGAGACATACTCCTTGTTGATAGTAATGCACCCTTTTGGCTAAAGAATCCTCTTGTTCGAGGATCCCTTTGAGAATTGTCAAGGAGCAGCCGCCAAAGAAGACGACGCGCTCGTATTTGCGCATCTCGTTGAATAAAGTATCGTAGTTTCCAAGGTTTTTCAAAGGGTCCTCATTTTCAAAATCATCAGCCAGCTTTCGTCTTATTGCTTTTTCGTACCAGCTCCTGAGCTGATTTCTTCTATCTTCAATCAGTTCTTGGTTGTCAGTTGGTTTTTGTGTTATGTTTCTGAACTCTTCCAGCTCATCAGCTGTGCGGAACACGAGCTCTTCATGATAGTGCGTCTTTAGGTTGATAGGGCTCTCCAGATGCTGCAAAACCACGTTGTCTACGTAGACGTCGAATTCCCGACTGCAGTGTCTCCGCATCGTGAAGAGAAAATCCATTGCAAGAAGCCTGGCATGCTGAATTGCGTCTTCGTCTTCTCCGTTCAGCGGTTTGATACACCTTGCCAGCTAATATTACCGGCCATCAGCTTTCCTCGTCACCAAAGATCATAGAGAGAAAACGCCTCAAAAGGTTCAGACTCATAAAAACTTACCAGTGTTCGCTCCTCCTCAGACAGAGGTCGCTGCTAGTCGTCAGTTGATCGGTGTTTCTGTTGTCACCAGGCACACACAAGATTTGGCCACATTTCCCAGAAAGACTGCTTACAGGATCCAGCTCCTTGCCATCAGTAGTTTTGTCGGCGACCTTCCGAGAGTCGATGACTTTCTGTGTCATGCGGCCAGCCAAGACAGTCGTCAAGGGCGGATCACCGCTTTCCAGGGGAGGCCGCAGCTTGCCGACAAGGGCTATGCATTCTGTGAATTCCGCGCTCGTCATGTAATAGCCCAGATTCACGTGGCGCGGTTCAGCTATGTAGATGCCTCTGCGCTCTGGATGGAGGTCCAGAGAACACGCCCAGGCCAAGCCCGCTGCGTGGTTATCCGAGTCCGTAAAGTCGTTCAGAAATATCGACAGTTCAGTGTCTTCTGCCTGCTGTGGTTCCATTGTGCGTTTCAGCCGAGCCTGCCGCTGATGACGCGTACTAGACCTCGTCTGCCGCTTCCCGCGCCCCCAGTTACGAAGCTTCTTCATGGGTCCGACGATGGGGGAGATTCAAGCACGCGATGCTATCTCTGCGTAACTGCTGCCGCAAAAGTACGTTTTGCAAAGACTTTGAGCCGCGTCCTAGATGCTCTGCGACGCGATGTTTGGCATTCCGATCCTCTCGGTGACTTGAGTCACGCGGGGCTGCTGCTGCTGATGGCAAAGTTGATGAAAGAAGATGAAGAGAACAAGGAAATTGCTCCCGGGGCTGTCAGCCTAAGCCTCTGGGCGGGGTTCTGTTTTGAGCTCTGGTGGGCTGTGCCCAAGCAAAGCCGCTAACTCGAATGGGTATGAGCATTTGCGCAGCTGGGCGGCGGTAGTACGATTTGCGAAACCCAATCATACAGCGAAACACACACGCTCCTTCCCACGTGGTATTTTTGTAGCTGAATAAAAAAGTACCTCGAGTAGATAAATACCTGATAAGGCTTTGCATGTATACATGATCTAAAGAGGTGTGCGATAGACTCGGTGTCACTTTTGAACTCAAAGCCTTCCTTTGCTATCCTTGGTACTTCTTACCTAGTACCAAGAAAAACAGCCCCAGGAATGAAAAAAATAAAATAAAAAATATAAATATGCAAGTCTGCTACAATCAAGATCCAAATCCAATCTGCAGGCTTACATGCTCGGCAAGAGGAACTACACGCTAACCCGCTGCAGGCTTGCTGAACAGCAAAGTATAACAATTTGTTGATCCGGCTTGCTGACATGGCTGCTGACACTAACCAAGTCAAATTATTGATAAACTTGCTAATTTGACAACACGTTTACAAGAGCACGTGCTTGTTTCTGCACATTGAGGTGACCTGCCATGTAATTATATTTTAGTGACACGATGAACCCGAGCATTTCACCGAGCAGCCTGCCAGCACTTGAAGATTACTGTGGCACCACCAAGAGGATTGGACAATGGTGAACAATTGAATAATTAGTTATATATTGTGGTCAGTTCTATGACTTGATGAACAGAGGCATTCAGCCGGTTTTGAGAGTCGTGGCTGATGAACACAGCCTCATTGAGGACATGGAACACGCACATAATAGCACTGGCTTTAGCCAGATATTTAGCCCACTAATGATAGAATATCTATGAGAAGATTGATAGATAGTGATGACACCAATGACTTTAGTTTATTGTCAAAATAGCTATATACACCAATCTCCACCAGAATAGTCGCTCCGAGGTCCACGATGCATAACGGCGATGCGAGATTTGAGTATCCAAAGTATGTACACTGAGCAATATTATGCAAAACAAGATGAGAAGAATAGATACACGACAAATTACACCATGAACTGCCCCGCCTGACAGCTTTAGTCCATAGCAGGAACATACATTTCCTCAATGGTCCATGTGACACCGCCATCCGCAGTCGCCAGGCCAGTGTAGGTCGCACCGCCGGTGGTAACGATAGTATCGCCGAACGACTCGTCCGCAGCAGCCAGCGTGATCGTGGTGCCGGTGTACGTCTGGGCGGCGATTGTGCCTGAGCAGCTGTCATCACATTCCGTGCCGGTTCCATACCCAGTCATGGTGGCGCCAGAGCCGACGTCGATCTCGTAGGAGCTCAGTGCGGCGCCGGTGTCGGCGTTGGTGACGGTCTGGGTCCAGACGGTCCCGCTCAGGCTGTAGACGATCTCCACCGGCGTGTCGCCCGAGACGGCGCTGGCGGTACCGTCGTACTGCCCAAAGTACCCGAAGACGGAAGCACGGACGCACCACTGTCCGGTGGTGGCGCCGCACCACGAGTTATCAGGCCAGGACTCCAGGGTGGTCTGGATGAGATCGCCGGTGCCGTTGCTCATGCCGGGCCAGAGGAAGAGCTCGCCGTTCTGGGTCGAGGGGGCGGTGCCGGGCGTGAGCGTTGTGACGGCGTGCACGATGGTGGACTTGGATGGCCCCAGAGAGACAGCTCCGCCCCAGCTGTCGTCGCGCTTGTGCGGGCCAGTGGTAGTAGTAGGCATGAGGCCCGGGATGAAGGCATTCACGCCAGCCGCGAGGGCGGCAATGGTGATGGTAGAGTATTTCATTTCCGGAACGCGAAAGAAAGAAGATAATATATGCAACAGAGAAGCCGGCTGATAACTAGTGCCTGAGAGTTGTCTGGAACCTGTTCCGCGGAAGGGAAATTGTGCAATGATAATTACCAAGTGAGGAAATGAATAAATCAACACGAGCAGAGGAAGAAGATCGGCGTACTCTGATTTATAGTTATTTAGAAGCTTGTGCTAGCTGCGATTCTCTGATGTTTCCCCCTTACTTTCTCTCTGGGGCTCTCCGTCCCCAGGCGATGGAGATGGTGGAGCCGAATGTTTAATTTCAGGGCCACGGTCTTTGAGCTTCGGGATTCCAAACTCTAAAGGGACTTGGGGTTGCCGTGGAGTCGCCAGTATAGTCAACGCTCGCATTGATACGATGGCATCCTATTTTCCGCCTCGCAAGGATATCGCAGTATGGCTTTGCCAAGACGGGAGGATGTTTTCAGAACCTCCTGGATCGAGCAGGTCTCGGAGCTGTGAATCCGCTTGACCTATATATTCACCACTATGGTGCGGGCCACTGGTGGGGTTCAGGCAAATGGGTTTTGGTCAGAAGTAACCATTACTTTGTCATGAGACACCGGTCCTGGGTCAAGCGCCCTCCACACTGCGAATTTCCACCTGTCAGGCAGGACGTGTCGAGTGGACGGACGACTGCAATGCCTTTTTCCAAGCTGCCGAACCCCGCCTCTGTTTTTCTTCAGGGGCTATCACGGAGATCCCGACACTTAAAAGGATTGCTCACGTAAGGGGTGTTAAGAGCCAGGTTCTCCTCCACCAGAATCAAACACAAACATAACCCACATAGTGGTGTCGCTTCTGCCTCATGCGCCGAATGAAATGGGGTGCGGCAGATTATGATCAGGTGATTAATTGCCAGTGAGCAGTGCGTACTTGTTTGTTAGCCTTTTGTTACTAACGCACTAATGCGATGGCTCACTGTGGAGAGAAGAATAATACTCAAGAATGGACACTGATAGAGATAAGATTTACGCCGAGTTGAGCTCTGGTTTCTGAGAGCCTCATCCTCTAGGACTACTTTACTTCTTATGTCTGACCGACCAGATCGTATATGCACCATGATTACAAAACCCCAGAGTTGTAATCGCCTGCGGCCGGCTTCTTACAGATCTTGAAGAAGACTCAACAATTTGGGATACACAGGAGTTCTACGAGAGGATGGTTAGTAATGTATTGGTACGATAACAGCGGAAATTTACACTCACCCTAGACCGGAAACTGGATCCCACCCTTCGGTAGCCCTAGATGAAATTCAACATTAGTTATCATTCTCAAGACGACGGAGAAGGCTGGCAAGGATGCGTGTAAACTTGAGAGAACCTGTAGAGTGCAACAGACTTACAGGAATCCTGTCGTCCCACAGTTGGGGTTTGATCCATTTGTGATATCGAAAAAGACCTCAGGATGGGCGTACTGTCAATGGAATCAGTGACACGGTCTCAGGATGATGCACACGATAGTCGAGCAGTTGGGATGAGAGGCTCAACAGCATACCAGTGTTGGGTTGATGAAGCCCAGAGTGCTCTTTCCTGCCGCCAGCCTTTCCTCGTTGATACGTGTGAGGACGGCAGCCCAAATTGGGGCGGATAGAGATGTACCACCCACACGGCCAAATGTGCCTTCTGCTCGGATGACATAGTAGTCGCCAATGGCCGCGACGTCCGGGTAGCCTCTACCACCAATCTTGTCTGATTACGACGGCTCTCGTTAGTCCCATAATCCGCTCGATCTCAGCTTTCCAATCATCAACTTACAGACGCCATCTCCAACAGTAGAGAAGTTCACACCTGGATCGGTGTATCCTGTGAAGTTGAGCGTGACAGAATCAAAGTAGTCCGTAACTTGATCCTTCTGGTAGTCAGGCGTGTCGAAGTAGTTGGAGAAGCCACCGCCGGAGGGGAAGCGCGTGGTGGACGACTCTGTGTACTTGGGCACCGAGGAGTTGTCTGACGCGGTCTTGATGAACTGCGTGGATCCCACAGACAGGACATACGGACAGGTGGCATCGCTCGCCGGGTAGAAGACAGTCTCGTCAGGACCAGCGCAGCCGCTTTCCGTAGGATCTCCGGGAAAAGAACCAACGCCGTCGTCTCCGGATGAAATCACGATGGTCACGCCCTGGAGGCCAAGCTTCATGATCTCATTGCACCTTCGCTTGGTGTAATAAGCAGGGACGTCGGACTCTCCGCCGCCGTAGCTGATGGAGATCACGTTGGTTGGCTCGTAGACACCGCATTGCAGCTGGCCTTTGTAGCCACCGGGATTTGGGTCCGGGTAGACAGGGTCGAGGCACTCGGGAGCCACACAGTCTCCTGTCTCGCCATAGGCGCTGTAAGTGCAATACGAGCCACTGTTATGATAATTGTAAAAGGTCAGTTGTCTGTAGGATGAAGAACGTCATAAAGAGATGCAGGGAGATGCTTTTGAATGACATGTGAAGAAAGATCATGCAGGCTCGACACGGCTCGCGAGACGACTTTTTCAAGACCTCGGGAACTGGAAAAAATTTACGTCAGGAGATCGGAGTACTTACTCGAGAGCGTCGTAGAAAGTGTTCCAGAACCCCCTAATGGGAGTGTTGGCAGTAGTTTCGTTGATCTCGTAAAATTCATCGTCCGTCTGGAACAGGACGGTCCTTTGAGGCCAAATCAGAGGTTGTGAGGCCTCAAAGTCTAGGTCAGATTCAATTCCCGCATCCGAAACATTCGTGATAGCTCCAAAGGCTCCGTCGATGTTCTTCTCGATCGGGTAGGTTCCATTTGGAATCTCTGGGTAGAGCGTGCTCCAGAATACATCCAGATCTTCCTTGGAGTAGTGATCACCAAGAGACTCGAAGATACCCAATTCGTTGCCTGGGGCTGCCTTGTCTCCCTTTGTGATGCTGTATTGGGTGCGGATACATTCCTGTGTGACGTAGTAGTCGCAGTTTGTGTTGTTCAGGGGCGGCAAGCTACCAGCATTGATGACCTCCAGGCCCGTATTCATAGTCTGAACCTCTCGCTTCCGGAGCGATGCTGCTTCGGCTTCCCGTTTGAGGCGGCGAACTCGTCCTGGGTTCGTTCGGAGACGGATTCCTGGCGTGATATAGTCGATATGTTCCTGGACATGGGCTGGAATATGATACTCTTCAGCTGCGATATCATGAGATCCAGTGGGCCCATGGTGCCACATGTAGAACTCGGTGTAGAGAAGACCTTCCACTTCTTCTGTTGTAGCGTCGAATTGGATCCACTGGCAGAATGTGAGCTCATGCTTGATAGATAAAAGACGTCTAAAAGGCCTTTATTATTACCTGTTTGTTGACGGATTGGGTAATACGCGTAACATCGATGCCACCAGCCACGAGCCAGTCCCTGACAACCTCGACCGTCTCCTTCTCAGGCGCGAAAAAGTCAATGACCTCATGAACGCTCATTCGCTTCCCAAAGTTAGGGGACGCCGGGTCTGAGCGGTCCATCAACAAGTTGTGGCCCTCATCCAGATTGGTTTGGCGAAGACCGATTCTCATGGGCAACAGCAGGGACCGATCAAGCTTGGACCTCTTTTCCCAGCTTCGTGACCAGTGAGGCATCTGACGCTCATGAAGGACATGCGTGTCCGGTACACTCTTCTTACTCAGCCCATGGCCTTTATCGAGCGGGCTTGCCATAGCTGAAGATATGGTCATGACGCCCACAAGGGCGATCATGATTGGCTGGTACAACATGGTTGAGTGAAGTCGGCCCAAGGGCAAGCAGTGAATGTGGGAAAAGTAACTCGTCCAGTGAGCCGCACAGCGAAGCTGAGCCTTTCAGGATGGCGATGTGCAAAAAGAGATGCACACGGCTTTATTTATCAAGTAACAGAATTTCTATGATGTCCTTTATCTTTCTCTTTACAGTAAGGGAATAGTACCCTATCTGACACCACTGCAGAGAAAGCTGGGCGTGCATCGAGTATACCCGTATGGAGCATTCTGCTCGGACTTGGCAGCCTCCTGGGAACAATATTGCTCTGTTAGCTTGCCAATTTTTACAAGGGTCTCTCCTCAAGTTACCAGGAACGAATAACTATGACATGATATTCATTTTCTAATGCGTTATCGTCAGAGGCGACAAGGTAGCTGGGCTACTGGTCGGGTAAATGGCCATGGCGCAAAAGTGCTGCAGATAAGTCCACACGTCTGTGTGCGTGCATGCACGCGCCCCATGCAGCCATGTCTTTTCCGATGTGGCACAACAAAAACATAGCCAGGGTGGCCGCCATGATGTGATTTTGCACGGATCGGTGCAGATTGCTTGGCAAAAGTTGGCTGCAGTTGAGAGGATAAGCACATCTTGAAGATCTTCAAGAACGCCAAGATACGAGACGTTGAGTGCTAATAGCACAGCTAAACCGATACCAGTAAGTCCTTGGCTGGGATACTACTCTGTCCGAGCTGGATGTTGTTGCGTCTTAGCCGACGTGCCGTTCTCTCACCGCTGCTTTTGGGAGACTCTTGATTTATGCTGTGAAACCTCGAAGCAAAATACGAGCGATTCTTCTTTTCCTTCTTCTCCCTCTTTTCTCTGGTCTCTTCCGAGTTAAGCTGCCGAATTACCCGAGCTGAGAGGAGGAGGGGTGGTTCTTGACAGGATGAGGGGCGAACGCGAGAGGGGGAATAATGAGCTGTCACAAGCGGGGACGCGAGAGACGAAGCCTGTGGGGAAAATGAATCAAGCATATTTCCGGGCCCGCAACCCATTGGAACTGCCGGAATGCTTGCTTGATAAGGTTTGTGGTGGCCACAACCGGTTCTAGGGGCAACTACTGTACATGAGCCACATTAGGCAGGTCGAAGACACATATCTGCACAGCACCAGCGTGGTGTGTGCCCATGCTTTGATATGACCGTGTCATAGACAGGATCGACGACGAGGTACATGCACCTAAAGACCTTGGCGAGAATTAGCAGAGTGGCAATCTGCCTTGCACAGCCATGTATGGATTTGCATAGCTTTTGAAGAGACTCGGGTTATGGAACTTGTTGGTACCCTATTCAGAATACTGTGTGGTATTACTTGCTAAATAAAACAAGCCTAATTTTCGTCGCCTCTCCATGGCCGGCCCCGGCCCCGGGCCTCTCTGCTCTTGCGCATCGAAGTAACCTACCGTTATCCATTCGGACTCGATGAGAGAAACCTGCCGACTGTAAAAATGAGACTTCTGTGCTATACACAATCATTGGAAGCATGGGTTCTAGATGCGCGTGAGAGACGATAAGGGATGTGTAGAAGGCATTGGTAGATCAATGACGTTGCAGCAACGAAGACGTTTCTTCCCTAAGCTATATAATATGACCATCAGAACGATCCTTCAAGGTCTTGTGGTCTAGTGGTATGATTCTCGCTTAGGGTCCACCCTAATCATCATTGCGAGAGGCCCCGCGTTCGATCCGCGGCAAGACCCTTTATTCTTTCTTTTTTCCTTCTTCCAACTTTACTTTTTATTCCATTCTTTCATTTTCTTATTCAGATATAAATCACGACCGTAATAGTCTTTTAGTCTTCGAACAGCCATTCCCCCCTTTTCCCGTCTCTTTCTTCAATCATCAGTTTCATATGCTCTCACACACATCAATCGTAGAGCGTCGTGGGGTGGGGTAAGTCTGTTGACGAATTACAGTGGTGTCATTTGTGTCTGGATATGTCCTTTTTGTCCCTCAAGGGCGTAATTTTCTGGTGTGATCTCGTTGTGCTGACGTTTCGGTTCACCAGTTTTTTTGCATTTACAGCCTCAGCCAGAATCTTGTCTGCCATACTTTCTGCCCAACTGATTCCTTCCATTAGCCGGTAAGCTAAATTGCCTGACCGAGTGCAATAATACCTATATTATACTTGAACAGGGCTGCAATCGGCCAAATTTTGTTTCAGGTGACGGCCACGGGCGGCCGGCCTATTCGTTGCGGTTCTGAGGTCGTTGGGCAAATACACTTTTGGACCCCTCAGTGCACAAACGGGAGGCGATCTCGATTGTGGCAAGCATTGACCTATAAGAGTCATCATAGATCCCGCGCTTACATCACATGCCATTCAAACAGAGCAAATGGCGAATCTGGTGCGTGATACTCTTGGGTGGTAAGGCATGTTGTTGTTGCACTATGATGTCAAAACCGTGAGATCCCCTCAAAGCTCTTTGGCTTGAACCCCTCTCTTGTTCAACAGATGACGTTCTGCCGCCCATCGTTCCCAGAACGAGCCGTGAGATGACGATTATCGTCACGTTGCCGCCAGATTCGTAGCTACGACGGCTTCTATATAGAATCTAGAGCGGGCTGGTTGCCCACGAGCGTTCCATTGGCAAGTGTGCTGCTGCACTCTGGCACTTTGACATCCAACATTGTGTCTACATACCCAAAAGTGATCGTGAAAATATCCAAATTCATACATCTCAAGACAATCTGATCTAGCCCACCAAGACAAACAACATGAGCGGGATCACAGATAATGCGGCGACCCAAGCCCACGATCTCGTGGAGCAAGCCGAAATCGAAGAGCAAAAGGCAAGCCTGACACAACAGGGACAGACCTGAGGCCCTGATGATTCGCTGACCGGCACAGGTTCAAGGAGATGATGCTATGATTGGTGGGGTCAAGACAACTGGTCTTGAGGGCAGTGCTCCTGACGGCGGGAAGCAGACAGGAGGAGGGCAGAAGTCGACATTGGACAAGGTCAAGGAAACCCTCCATCTCAAAAAGTAGCTGATTTATCAGAGCCTAAAAAAAGACCAAGAAGAAAAGAAAAGAAGAAAACCAAGAAAAAAAGGGTACTCGGTACCTGCTTAGGTACCTGTGCGTGAGCACATGAGTAGCTCAGGCATTGGAGTTTTGCGCCTTCTGATTGTTCGTACTGGCTTCTTAAATGAGTATAAACAGTTTTAACATGAATGTAGTGATGGTAGCATACCAAGCCGTCTTGAAATCAAGTACAGTTCCACCAGATAGATACTGATGATGTATATTTTGGGTAGCCCCCAAGCGACGAAAGTCCAGCTCTCGCAGCATTGTCACCATAAGGCTGTAGCATACGATGTTGACAAATTCTTGAAAGATCAGTTCGTCTTTGTACTAATCACAATGCATAATCTAAAGCTGACACATCCACACCGTACCATCACGTAGCTGGCCAAGCAAGTGCCTCGTAGCCTTTTACGTATGCATTGAACTGATTGCCTTCTTGAATAGTTTTGCTCCAGTATAGAGCAACCACAAAAAGTCTGAACGCTTTCGTAGTTGGCATACGTAGGCAGCATACGTAGGTAGCCATTCTGATCACTCGTCAGGGCACTGTCCACGTGTTTGTTACATGTTGCACTTCCTGCAATCTACAGTCTGCACCTGAGTCTCAAGTAGTCAATTATGTAAAGACTCACTGGAAACATAGCTGATTTCTGCAACGTTGTGCCAGCCAATGGCTCACACACCTTTGAGGCAGGGTAACTGGATTACCTACCGCGGGAGGGAGGGGCGACTCATTACTTGATTCGCCTGAAATGTCTATCCATGCTGCTAGAAGCCATAACTGGAGACATCGACATAGTGAGTCAACGGAGTTTGGGTTTCAATGTAAGCGCTACGCCGGGCTGTAAAGCACGTGTAGGCGGCTATGCCCACCAGAATTGTACACCAATTCATACGCCGCCGCGCTTGTTTTGTAGGATGGGGCCGCATGATAACGGAGTGGCAACCGGTTTTCAGCCTCAAGACTATATTATGAGTATGGCGGCGGAGAACCAGTCGGTCCTATCGCATGGCGACTTTTCAGGCCGGCTGATGGGGCTTGTAGAACTAACCTGACAAAACTCCCTTTATGGCGGCCTCCATTTCGGTCTCCAATCGGGATGAGTGGATAGCTCATCATCTAATAAATATAAAAAGGAGGGGCAAGAAGCCTGTGATTGAGTTTGAAAATTAGTCATGAACGTTCATCAAGACTCTACCAGTCTTCAGACCCTCTAAGTTCACACATCTTTCTCCATCACGCTCAGGATTTCAAAACGCTAATCCAATTGACCATGTCCTCAATCACCACTACTGTTACCTCTTATGACAGCACGCAATACTATTACTGCTACGATTGTAACGCGTACATTCCATCCGGCTACTATTGCACCCATTCCATATACGGCGCACCCGTCTCCAGCAGCAGAACGCCGCTGTACAACGCAGTCACACCAACCGGGAACGTGGACGGATCCTACAACAGGACGACGCCTGAGTATAACACCTCGCGTGATGTTGTGGTCGTCAAGCACGGCCATAGGCAACACCGCTCTTCTTCCTCACATGGGGGCGCACATCATGGCTCGCACCACAGCTCGCACCACGGGTCACATCATCACAGCTCGCACCGTGGCTCGCGTCACAGCTCGGGACATGAATCGAGACATTCCAGTCATTGCACCATTCGTGTCTATGTCTAGGAGTACTGAATGAAAAGATGCAAACTGAAACCTCAAAAAAGACCCCGGGGAGGGAGAGAGGAGCCGGGGGGGGGGGGGCGAACGCTACGGCTGGGTGTTCTGGATTCTGAACAAAGACATACCGTTTTGTACTTGAGTATACTACTTGGAACTTGCATTGGCCAGACTATTGCGACCTAGGAATCGGATTGGGACCCGGAAAATGAGGAGGAAATGTGACGACTTTTGTAATTCTTTTAAGTGTTCGTGCTCTGAGAGTTTGTGCTTTTCATAAAGAGATTTTTGTAGAAGGCTATAGACTTCCTTTCGTCCTTAAGTCAAGAGGTAACATCTGGTACTTTCAGCCCTATCGATGATCCCCCGGGGGGGGGGTGCTCTGAATATTCATGCTTGATCTTGCCGTCCATAGCATATCAAGTTAGATGATGCTACTACGTCACATCGTCACACCAACTGCTTATGGAAAATGGAAGCACTTTTCCAGTTTGATGTACTTGAATTATCATTCCATAATCTTGTCATCGTAATTTCCAATCGTGAAGAGCCTGTTCTCTTGCCAAGGTGGATTTCCCCCTTTAGTAAGCCACCATGGTGCTGAGCCCGTCCAGCTCCCGATCCCAGTTTCTGTGCTGCGAGATGGAGAAGAAGAACTGGTCCACAAAACTCTTGGCCTCCTTCGCGATAGTGACCGTCTCGCCAAAGCTCTCAGGTGAGGCTTGTCCCAGCGTGACAACACCATAACTCTCCACAGCCTCAGCACCAGACGATACCTGCACGCCCGGCAGCTGGAACGCCGCCTGCAGCAGCTCCACCGCCTCGCCCGTGCCGCCGATGGCCTTGAGGTGGCCAAAGGCCTCACGCACCCAGTGCAGGGCGCGGCCGTTCTTCTTGAGCGTGCCGACGGACGCGCGGCCGCCGGGCACGAAGACGGCGTCGACCATGGTGGACCGGAAGCCCTCGAGGTGGTGGTCGGGCCGCACACCCTCGCCCTTGGTCTCTGTCTGTCCTTCCGCGAAGATCTCGCTGCGCTTGGTGCCAATGATGAAGGGCAGGGCGCCCTGCGCAGCAACGGCCGTCTTGACGGCTTTGAAGGCCACAGAGTCGTACCCGTCGGCGATGAGGATGGCCACGCGCCGGCTGGCGATGGTGGGGGATTCTGGCAAGAAATCAAACTGCGACAGGCCCTTGGCCTTTTTGCCGTGGTTGGGGCGGCCTGGGGTTTCGGGAACCTTGGCGCCTACAAGCTCGGCGACGGACTGGGCGAGGTCGAGGTCGATCTCGGCGAGGCGGACGGCCAGGTTCTCGTAGACGATGGGGTCGTCGCAGTGATCCAGCTCGAAGCCAAAGGCGCTCGTGGCGTGGGCCTTCTCGACGGGCGAGAGGCTGTTGTAGAAGAGCTGGGCCTGGTTGAAGTGCTCCCTGAACTTGGCGCTCTTGGTGCGCTGCTTGATACCCTCGACCTTCTGCTGGTACTCGACGTAGCTACCTTCTGCGTTGACGTCGGAGGCGGGTGGGTTGATGCCGAAGCGGTTGGGCCAGTAGTTGATGGTGCTCTTGCGGATGGTGTGGCGCTTCTGTCCGTCCGAGTTGAAGTTCATGACGGGGCACACGGGTCGGTTGATGGGCAGTTCTTCCCAATTCACACCCAGACGTGTGATCTGGGTGTCGAAGTAGGAAAAGTTGCGGCCCTGCAGCAGAGGGTCATCCGAGAAGCCGATCCCAGGCACGACATGGCCAGTACAGAAAGCCACCTGCTCCGTCTGTGGGAAATACTCGTCGACGGTACGGTTTAGCTCCAGCTCTCCGATGTAGCGCACCGGCACGAGTTCCTCAGGCCACACCTTGGTGGCGTCGAGGATGTCGAACTCGAACTTGTGCTCGTCCTCCTCGGGGATGACCTGGATGCCGAACTTCCACTTTGGGTAGGCCCCGTTCTCGATGGCCTCGTTGAGGTCCTTGCGGTGGAAGTCGGGGTCCTGGCCGGCCAGCTTGAGGGCCTCGTCCCAGACGAGCGAGTGCACGCCCAGTTCCGGCGTAAAGTGGAACTTGACAAACGAGCGCTTGCCCTGCTTATTGATGAGGGTGTACGTGTTGACACCAAACCCTTGCATCATCCGGTACGAGCGCGGGATCGTACGGTCTGACATGGCCCACATGTACATGTGTGTAGCCTCGGAATGGTTGTAGACAAAATCCCAAAAGTTGTTGTGGGCCGTCTGGGCCTGCGGCACCTCGTTGTTCGGCTCGGGCTTGCCGGCATGGATGAGGTCTGGGAACTTCATGGCATCCTGGATGAAGAAGACGGGGATATTATTGCCCACAATGTCCCAGTTTCCCTCCTGCGTGTAGAACTTGATGGCGAACCCGCGCACGTCTCGGACCGTATCAGCACTGCCCCGACTGCCCAGCACCGTGGAGAAGCGAAGGAAGACGGGTGTCTCTCGCGATGTGTCGGTCAGGACGGGCGCAAAGGTGACATCCTCGGCGCTCTCGTAGACCTTAAATTTTCCAAAGGCCCCAGCGCCACGGGCGTGAACTACACGCTCCGGAATGCGCTCATGGTCAAAGCGGTGGATCTGAGATGTGGTGTGTCATGTTGTTAGTTGTGCATGTCGTTACAGTAAAAGAGGGGTGCCAAAAAGTCATGTTGTTGCTGGTCTATCTTCTCACCTTCTCTCGACTAAATGGGTCCTCCAGCAACGAAGGACCAGTGTGCTGGTCGTTCGAAATGCTGAGCCAATGGTCCGCGTTGGGCTGCTTAACACCCCAATCAGAGGTCAAGTGCGTGTCCTTGCCAGGCTCGATGGTGTTCTTGCCGAGATCGGCGATCTTGTCCCCGTTGGAACCCATGATGACCTTCTGGGCTGCTTGTTGTAGAGAATCGGGTATCAACGACGCCATGTAGTGAGTATATTGACTCTCACTTCAGATGATCAAGAGTCTTTTAGCTTTGATAAATCACAACGTGACAAACAAGAAAAAAGGGCTGCCTAAAGTGAACGACATCATTGAGATTGAGATGGCTGCTTTATATATGACCTCAGAACTGGCCAGGCCTCAAGGGAGGGTGTGGAGGTTGGTTGTAAATCAAAGGCCAGCATTGGATATCTCTTTTCCATTGACGTCAGTCAGATATCGAGAACTGAGCAGCGGGCCCATAGTTTCTGATCTGTCGAAAGTATCGCTGACATCCTTCAGGCCTCGGATCCAGATCTGGGCACGACAAACCAGATTCTTCAACTTCTCGATCGAGCGGACAACCATCTCCATCCTGCCCAGCTGGCAGGGGAAAAAGAGACTCTAAACGAAGGGGGTTTGGTTCCACAAAGTGTAGTGGGGTTGATGCTAGAATGAAAATAAGAAAGGTACTATGTACGTACCCATGACATCGCCATGAACCTGAGGTTAAGTTGCTATACTGATAGTCTCTGCAAGATCTCAGTGACAATCAAGTACTTGTACAGCAAAGGCCCCATTAAGCAAGGGGGCCATCGACGATTGGGAGAGCATTCCAGACATTTTGGTGAGGTATGGTGGCGAAGTATCAAAATTTACACATCAAAATTACACACTTGGAAGTTTATACACAACTCGATCGAAGATCCAGCCTGTTGTTGTACAAATGTTGTGAGCCTCTGACGTTGTAAACTGGTAGTTGACGGGTGTGAGTGGGACCAAAACCGCCCTACCCCGGTTATATCCCACGGAGAATCAGCTCCGGAATGGTGCACTTTTTTTATGTGGTTGTAACCGGCAGCATCCGTCGCCACTTTTGCTTCGTCTTCTAAGCACCACCACCCCGGGCCGTTCTTCTGGATCGTTCTTCAGCGTCAAATGGATCCAAGGCCACTGGCTGATGCTGCACGTGCTGCGTTAGTCTCGAAAGAGGCTCTCAAGTAATCCTGGTACTGTATGCAGCCATGAGCCGCACACTGCTGCACTCTCCGGGGTGTTTAAGCTGAGGCAGGATAAAGCACAGGTTTCCAGAATTTTGTCCCGGATGAGTCGCCTCCCTTCCCCTTCTCTGCGAACAACCCTCCAAAGAACAAGGATTCCGAATCAAACCCCATCTGGCGGCGCCACTAGGCTTTTGTATCAACTATGTTCCCATGCACAATGGCTAGACAGGAAATAATAGTTCGCAACATGGACTCATTTCGTCGTGGCCTGTTGGATTGCCCATCATGGGAATCTACTGGGCTTCGCTGCTGCAAAACCAAGCCCCGAAAGCTTTTCAGGAGCTGATCAGCGAGGTTTCGGCTCTGTCGAGCCTTGGAATAGCCAGCACGACATTCCACGTAAAGAACACACCCCTCAATGTGCCCCAGCACATAAAAGACATCATCACAGTCGCCACTAGCTTGTATAACGTCGAATCGCCATCCAAACCTGTCACTGGCCTGGCCCGGCCTGGCCTAGCCGTAATCAACGTTGTACCGCCGCACACGGCCAGCTTAGCCCTCGCTCCCGGCTTCCACCAATCGAAAAAATACACACCGTAACGCCCTTTATATCGTGAATGATTATGACTTGGTCTGACCTGGCAGGGAAAAGAGGGAGGAGTTACTTGGGGTCGGTTACGTCAGGCTCAAGCTGGCTGGGGCCGTAGGTTTACAGGAGGCATCGTTTTGTACCACCAGGGCAGTGTTACGAAGGGGGACAAGCACTGGGTTAGCGAATGAAATGGCTGCCGCTGAGGGATGCTACATGTATGCGAGGAAAGAAATTGGAAGACAGGAGAGAAGATGAAAAGGACAAGGCCTCAAAAAAGTCTCACAGTAATCAGAATGCTAGCTCGGTCCGCAGTTGTCTCATGGGGGAGAAAAAAGTCGACGGGCATACAGCCGCTCCAGTTAATCAAAACGAAATTTACCTTTTCCTTTTCTTCTGTCCTTCTTCCTGTTCTTTTTGATGACTAGCCTTTATTTGCAATATAGACAAAGGAAGAATGTGATGCTGCTGCTGCTGCTGCTGCTGCTGGTGTTGGTGATATAAATCTGCCAAGTTGAATAGCACTAGACAATAACAATTCGCGAGAGACAACCCCGCCCCTCGCAATGAAGCCAACTTCTTAAGACGCCGAACCAAATGCTATCCATCCCCCACCCGAGGGGGACAATGCGTGAATGCTATAATATGATGCCGGTATCATCCAAGGTCTCCCCGACCCGCCCGAACGCCGAATTCTGACATCAAGTCGACGAATAAGTATTTTTCTCTTGTTTTCTCTTCCCTCTTCTCTTGTAACATCCGTTCGGAAGAACCAAGAGGATGTAGTGGTGATACGTATGTTTGTGTTTTGTCGTGTCCTTGTTGGTGGTACTCGTGGTGGTGGTGTATCGGCAAACGGCGAGTGACGTGACCAACATAATAGTCCACCGCCCCCTTTCATCCCTTTTCATCATGAAATTACGTGTGGCTCATCGTCTCCACCGGGTGGCTACCATAAGCGACAGTAACACCGCAGAAGAACACATGAGCAGCAAAATCATGGAATCGAAATCATCAAACCGACCGCAGCCGATTGTGCAATAACCTGCAGCTCCACCTGGCCGCTATGGGTAGGGAAAAAGCAGACGAAAGCATAAGCAATGGTGTCCCATACACAATTGGAGTAAGAACAGGAAAGAAGGAGGATTTACAGGCCAGACGAGAAGGCCCAGGGGTAGTAGAAGAAGGGGGTTCGTGTCCAGTTGCTCACCGTTGCTCCAAGTGCCATATCCCACACATTCGTGGTGCCCAGAATGGTGCCATCCGCTGCCAATGCATTCGCCACGACAAAAGCTGCATTCGTCTTGAGAGGGATCACCGTCTCGAATCCAACCTTTTTCGTGTTGCCTGTGAAGCTGATGTTGTCCTGGGTATTCCCCTCCATCTATTCGTTGATTTAGTGCCACGCTTATTGTATCGAGAATGAACTCGGAACCAGATGTAGAGACAGGCTTCTTGAACTTACCAGATCCCACGAATCCACCTCAGTGGCCCCATTCCAGCTGACATAGGCATATCCGTCCGCAGCCGCAACATCAGGCTCCCAAGATGGATATGCTGTCCAATTCGAAGTCCATGCCCGATAAACCGGTTCCATGTTCCCGGCCTCGTCGTACCATGGACCGAGCTGCAAGTCGAGAACGATCTCACCGTCTTCGGTGTACTCTGTAATGACCGGCGTGGTGCCCCAGCTGACGAGGACATTGCCGTTGGACAGCTTCTGGAAACCTCCCATGGCCCAGGATGCGATGCTCATGGGGTGGTAATACTCGTGAAGCACCTCGGCGGTGAAGTTGTTGGGGTCGTCGTAGTTGAGGCGCAGGTGGAGCCCCCTGGAGCAGCCATCTGGGCAGCCAGGAGAGGGTTTGGCCGGGTCGAGGTCGTGGTTGTCGAACAGGGTGAGCTCGGTCAGATCATCGTTGAGGAAGCGCGCGGTGTGTTGAAAGCCAAAATTTGTCGCGTTCCCGCCGCTCAGGTCGTAGAACTGGTTGTCTTTGCCGCCTAACTGCCAAATGGTGGATCCGTCCTGTCCACTGACGTGTATCAACGAGTTTATGCGCCTGCCCGAAACCAAGTAGTTGCCTGCCTTGGTCTTCTGCAGGCTGTTGATGTGAAAAAAGTCCCAGCCGACATCCTCGGTCTGTGCGCCGTAGTCGCCAGGCCCCCAGTTCACCTCCGTGTTGTTGATGTCAAAATGGTGACTGGCGCGCCAGAGGAATTTGATGTCGCCTGTGGCAATGTCAATCTCCTCGAATAGGCTGTCTAACAACTGTCCATTCGCAGGCCCGCCCCCAGGCGCATTGCTCATGTCGAATGGTATTTTCTCGTAGGCGGTTACCAGAGCCGTCCCGTCGTCTGTCAACTGGCATTCGTGCGAGTCCATTTGGGTGTCGATCATCTTCACCGAGATGTTGTAGACCTGCTGGTACGACGAGTCGTAGAGCAGGCAGTGGCCCAGGCCGTGGCCGCTAAAATCCCTGCCCTCCCAGAATGTGAAGTACGGAAGGCCATTGTATTCCTGTATCCTAGGGTTGTTCACAGATGACCAGGAGGGGTCACCATAGACCATGCTCAGGTCCGTAGTATCGATTATGAAGGGCGAGGATTGCTGTAAGCCGGCCGGGTTCGAGACGAAGAGATACCTGGATAGGCCAGAGCGACTTGGGTCCCACTGGTTGACCTGGAAGAGGGGAGCAAGTGTCTTTGAGGACTTGAAGCTTTGGTTGGGGTGGTTCCCGTAGAAGCCCTCGTTGTATGGTAGGTAGTCGGTGACGTAGGGGCGAGGGTATTCCTCGGCAGCCGCGAGACCGGCTCCGGCAGCGAGGGCGCCCAAGAGGACGGCAGGACGGGAGAAGGTGTGCATGATCCTGGGGATGACGTCGGGCCAGATGGAGAGGAGAGGGAGGCGTGAGGTCGGATCAAGCTTCTGTCATGGCAAGACCAAGAAGAGCTTGGTGAGCGGCGCGCACCAAAAGTAGAAGAAGAGAGAAGACGGCTTGGCTGGCGGGTTGGTAATTATCAGAGAAAAAAGGAGATGGTAAGTTGCGCGGCAGGGGTCCAAGCTACACAACCCTCTTCTCCCTCCGTCACACGCACTCTTCTGTCTCCTCTCTTTTGTTTCCAAGGGAGCAGTCCACCTGAATTAGGCGTGGCTTGCAGGTCCCTGTGTCCCTGGATCTGGAATTGCGAATGGCGCCCCACCAAAGACCAGGCTTCGGCGAAAAGTGGATGCCCGGGGGGAAAAGGAGCAGGGGCCAGGATAGAATGGGGACAGGCGGAGGCTCTGCCGCTGTCGATTCTCGGGCCAGGATGAGAGAGGAAAAGACCACAGATGAAGAAGAGAGAGAGGTCGGAAGTCGAGGTTCTCGGGTCTCGGGCGTGGCCGCACGGGTCGGTGTCGCGGTAGGATTTGGGCAAGCTTAGTCGTGAGCTGACGACGATTGCTGGGACCCTGACAAGAGAAACGTCTCAAACTGCTACTGCTTTGGGTTCAGATGTGGCCAATAAACGGAGATCGAGAGAGACTGAGAAAAGTTCACACAGCCCCAAGTTGACTGCGACAAGGAGGGCTATTGATAGGAATAGTCAAGGACTATGCACTGCCGTAGAGATGGACTAAAATTTATACCTGGGACAGAGGAACCAGGACACGAGACTGGAGAATGGGATGAATCGTCTAAAAATGGGGAGAAAGGGGAGGTTGCAGAAGGAGGATGGTAAGTCTAAGCAAAACACTCTTAATTTGCAGAGCAAGTAAGACAGACAGGCGAAGGAAGGAACGATAGGGAAAGGAAAACAAGATTGAAAATCCGACGTCGAACCAAATCAAGACGTTCATTTCTTTGTGTTAGTGACCGGCCACACCGTTTCGTCGTCGTTATATGTGAAGGTCAATCAAGTCCCAATTCGTTGTAAGATGCGTACTGTTATGCAAGAAAATTCCTATAGCGTGACCGCATGGTCGCGTGGCCACAAGATCTGATTCAGAAGCTGTGTCCTCTCCTGGTGGCTTGCAAATGTGTTGTCCACCTATTCAGGCTATGAAGTGCGGGGTAGGAGGGCACTGGGCTCGAGAATCCAACCTGAAGCCAAGGACGCGCGTACCACCACAGATCTGTACCTGCCGCCCCGCTGAGGGCTCCTGAGCAGTGGAGCCTCCCTATTCCAAGACTCCAAACTTAGCGACTTGACGTGGTCCGAGGCCCCCCCCGCCCCCCCTGAAAATGGAGGTAAGCCGCTGTACTGTTCCCCACCCACAGATTTTTAGGTGAGCCGGTGAGTGGTTTGTCTTGCTGCAGTAACCACTATAATTTGCAAGTGAACGTCATAATCAATTTTCTTTCTCGTGTTTAGAATCTGTCTGGTATTTTTATTTCATACAACTCCTTCCTAGTCTGGTCTGTAGACGATTTTGAGGCCTGAATTCACGTCGAACCATGTACGGAACGTACAGATTACACGCAGTCTACAGGATGAAAATGGCAGCCAGAGCTGGTCATCATCAATGGAAGTCGGTGATCGACCTGATAGGGGATGGCGCCGGGTGCTAGCAACTAAAACAATAGCAGGGGTTTTACAAACTATACAGATATTTTTTTTCTCCATAGTATCTGTCTGCCACAAGATCATTCGAAGATCACTCTTGGCAGGTAATTTCGATATTGGCTCTAATATAGTATGTACTGACTCCTAACCAATGCTTTAGTGGACGAGGCTGTAATTCCCTGACCCTGACATCTGGCGTATGAGATACATCGACCGTAGTACCTTTACGAGGGTGTTCGGGGGCCGGGGGGGGGGGGGGAGTTGACGTTTTTGGGCCCTACAACTATGGCGGTAAGTACCCAGGCCGTGCTATGGTATGGTTGCAGTATGCACCTTCTGCCACCGCCCCTCCATCTATTCTTTCCTTCCCCCAATCATGCAGCATAGAGCCCCACCTGCTTTCTGGACTGGTTTTTGGACCCCCCGCCTGCTTACCCCTGGGCCTAACTCAGCGCCTGGTTTCAGCTGCATGCTTACCTGCTAGAAGTATTTCTAAATTTTGTATGCTGCGCCATACCATCCACCAGTTCGTCGCCTTCAAAAGGGGATGAAACACGACTCCACATTACGACGAAGATGGGGGGGACCACACCACTAGCATTCTTCTACGCTGCGTCAATTGCCTCCAAAACTTCCCAAATTCACCTCGTGTGATGGATGTCTATATGTCCACCAACGCGATCCCAAGGCGATAATTTTTCCTTCTGTTTTCTTCCTTTCTTTTGCTCGAATCTGTGACGTGCAGAAGACAGCAGCAGATAAACGTCCCCAGCTAACACGAGAGAGAGAGAGAGAGAAAAGCGAAGATCAAGGCTGACGAGGGCTGCACAACAGGTCAGATACGCGTCATTGGCTATGAGACGAGATTTGGACGACAGAAAACTTGGGAGAGCTGACGACGACTTCGGTGGTGGCAATAAACAAGACGGAAAGAGAAGACAGAGAAGGCGGAGTCAGCATAGGGAGAACGTTTGTTTGCATGCAAGCTTTGGCAAACGCTGGTAGCCACTCATCCCTCTCTCCGACCATGGCCCTGCGACCTCGATCACTATACCACATACACACAAAGAGTACTATACCACCTTATTTGCCTCGGCGCCAATAGGGGTTCCACCGCTGTTATTGCCGAGCAGAACCATCCCAGGGGTTCCCTCAGATCACAATTGGACTCCACCACCACCCAGAGATTAAAATATTATTTTAGCACAGAAATGGTCCCATAGGTTGGGTGAGTGAGCATGCGCAGGGCCAGGCGTAATCATGGGACGGACAGTAATAGGACCAGCGCAGAGACCCCTCGGACTTGGGCCTCTTGAGTTCTTGCAACTTGTGGCAATCCTGCACATCGACGACAAAAGACAATTTCGTCTAGATTTACATCTGCATATACACACACACGCGCGCGTTCCTCCGTCTTGGCATCGCCATCTCGGGGCTCGATACACTTTCTGGGGAACTCGGACCCATCGCACACGGTTGAATGACCGACGCCCGGTAGCAACACCACCGATTTCCGACGCTGTGCTTCCGAAGCTGCCTCCCGCTGCAAGGGATCTGCACCTGCCGGCACCTTGCAGGATTTAGATTGCTCGCGGGTCTTGCGGCCACGGACCCTGCTGCCACCCTCACGAGTTGCGCACTGCAGATCACCGTCGCAAATCACCAACGACGCTCATCAGGGTGTACTATAGTTGTGATATTCATGCACACCCACTCATACACTCAACAATGTGCAGGGAATCTCGCCAAGCCAAATGGCCCAGGTGACAAAATCACTTCGGATTGGACAGGCTGCAGGACCCATTGACGGGCTACTGATGGCCCTTGTACTGTTGGTCTTGGCCAGATTCTGAAACGCTCCAGGTGCTTACGTACACCACCATGAGAGCCCCACCCCCCGCAAAATGATGGCTCACTAAGCTGTGCCAAGCTTCCATTTACTATTTCTTTTCTTCTCACAGCTTTGAAGCCTTGTCCACCTTCTTGGCCTGTTCGCGGAGGACCTTCCGCAGGATTTTGCCTGAAGGACTCTTCGGGATGGCGTCGATGAACAGCACACCACCTCGCAGCTTCTTGTACGATGCTGCCCTCTGGTCCACCCACTTGGCGACGTCCTCGCGTGTGAGGTCCTTGGTAGCCGGTACGACGTACGCCCTGCAGAACCGAAATGCATAGGTGTCAGCTATGTGTACCCAACGCACTGCAGCCGCTCTTGGAGCATTTCTCGAATGTATCGAAGCAGCATGTTTTTTGATCTAGCTTGCATGCCTCTTCCGAAATATCTCTGCATCTGGACTGACCTGGGCACTTCAGTTCCCTCGCCTTCCACCCCAATCACCGCTGCGTCCGCGATCTTGGGGTTCTGCAGGAGCAATTCCTCGAGCTCTGCTGGGGCGACCTGCAGGCCCTTGTATTTGATGAGTTCCTGCTCGAGATGATTGTCAGTCCATTCCATAAGGCTGCTGCCCGCCGACGACTCCTACACAATACATCAAACTGGATCACCGAGTTGCCCCTTGAGTATACGTGTCGAGGGAGGACGGAGCAAGACATGTGGGCGAGAGAAGATCCTACCTTCTTTCGATCAACGATATAGAGCATACCGTCCTTGAACCGGCCGATGTCGCCAGTACAAAACCAGCCATCCACAAAACTCTCGACATTGGCCTTCTCATTCTTCCAGTAGCCTTTTGTCACCACAGGGCCTCTCACCCAGACTTCCCCGGTTCCACCAGGCTCGACATCTTTCCCATTGTCATCCACAATCCGCGCCTCGTGGTTCGCAATAAGAGGGCTTACACTGCCGGTGTGCTCTCTCTCTCCTGGGGTCATGGCCGTAATAGCACCACATGTCTCCGTCAGACCCCAGACCTGCGTAAGCCTTGCTCGTCCCTTACCTAGCTTGGCCTCCGCATCGAGCTGCAACTCTGCACCCATCGGCGCCGCACCCGCAGAGGCGTACTCACAGGTGTCCAGTGCATCTTTCACACCTGGATGCTTTGCAATGGCCAGCCAGATGGGTGGTACCGTGAAGAAGACTGTGATCTTGTACTTCTTCTGGTACTCGAGAAATTTCGGGAAGTCGAACTTGGGCTGGATCGGGACACTTTGTCAGAAACATTGCATTCCTTCTTTTGGGAGCTATATCAAGCTCACACTTGCCTTCCCCCCCCCCCCGGCCCTTCCTCTCCCCACAAGTAGCCTGGCAGATTTGAGGAAGAGGGACAATTCGTGAGAGGACTTACCATCCAATAGGTCGTCCCGCCACGATAGATAGCATTGACGAAGTAACTTTGAACCCCTGCCACGTGCGCCGCAGGAACGTGGGCCAGCGTTCGGTACTGGAACTCGGGCTTCTCACGGGCCCAGTACTGCCTATCTGGTTCCATAGTCAAGAAGCACTCTGCGACTATCATGCGATGGCTTATCATGACGCCCTTGGGAAGGCCGGTTGTGCCGCTGCTAAACAGGATACAGATAGTGGTGTCCTCCAGCTGCTTGATGTCGGTGAGTCGCACCCAGTCCATAGATCGCGAAGGGGACAGCTCCAACACCCTCCCCGTACCTGCCACCGTCAGGTGCAGCCCTTGGCCGTCTCCCAGCAAAAGGACATGATCAGCAGGGAAGCGCACGTTTTTCACCGTCTCCTCCACCACCGCTCTCGTGCTGGCGTCGCAGATGATGATCTTTGGGCTCACGAGCTGGATCAGGTATGCCAGCTCCGAGGCCGTAGAGCTTGGGCTTGCGGCAGAGTAAATGCCCCCCGCGGCAACAGTCCCAAAGAAGAGAGTGTGCAGCCTGTAATCGCCTGCCGTCATCACCAACACGTCATCGACACTGGAACCAGTACGCCCAACACCATAGGTGTGTCGAAGTTCCCAGGCAAGCTGGCGCGTGAGCTGGCGCGTCTGGGACAGGGTGAAGCATCTGGTCGGGTCGGCGGCATCTGCCTGAAGGACGGTGTCGGGGCGTGCCATGGTGTGTTTGGAATCTGGGGTTTGCATCAAAAGGCCAGATCAGTAATCATCACCACTCTTGCCGGCTTTTTATACAATGCTCCATGGGGTGGTGTTTTGGCGAGGCTCACCCAACAGCAGCGTGAGCAGATCGATGTCAGGTAGGTCCAGATGCTTGTCGGCTTGGTAGATCACGCCGCCGTCTGGCTGGCGCTGAGTTATGCTCCTCCCCATGACGAGGTTTTGTTTCTACCAACGACCGTGAGGACTTTTGTTAGGTCCCGACCAGCTAAAAGGCTCTCTACTCAATGGCTTCCAGACAGGTCTCAACCTTGGAAGTATTATGCACTTGACGAGAGAAGTATCAAAGACGTTTCAATACAACGCGGCAATAGAGAGAGGCAGGGAGGGAGAGAAAAGAGAAAGCGAGAAACAAACAGTAGGAAGGGATGAAGTTGGGTGTGCGTTCAAGTTGGTAGGCGATCGCACCGGCCCCGCAGTCGTCCTGTAACTCCCTACCGAGGTTCGATCAATTGTGCCGGGCCTTAAATAGTAGGTAACTACGCAGATCCATCCGTGCCGCATCGGATGTACATCCGTCATGATTTCCCTTGGCTTTGCCATAGAGTTATTTCCGATTCGCATGCCAAAGGGGCCTTGTCCCATGCAGCCAACAAGTGTGCCAGGCGCGGGGAGTTTGCATGGTGGGGGAAATGGAGAGGGTTCTCCATACAGCGGTCATCCGGACTCGGAGTTTCCGGATTGATGGCCGTTGCCATTGTGTTATGTGTATGTGTGTGAGTTGGCTGGCCGTGCGACAAGGAAGCTCGACCGTGCCATTACTGGAGTGGGCAAAGGGCGGCCGTGTGGGAGCGGGTACGTGTATAGTCCTACGTAGTGACTGATACAGGTCAGTCCACGGGGTGTGGACACGGGTCGGCGTTTCGGGGCATCTTGTTGAGGGTCCTCGTCCCCCAGATTTTTGTGCCTCTTTTCAAGATTGCTGCATATGTTGAGAATATGGACAGAAATCAGATTCTGCAAACGCTCAAGCCTGGCTGGAACACTAATCATTTTTTTCTCATTCGTTCAATCTTTTCGCCGCACGTAGAGTTTGATTGTTTCTTTCTCCAGAGAAAAGAAAAAAAAGCAAGACAGAAAAGGGAAAAGGGCAAATCAATATTGTTCCCATTGTTTGTTTGGTTGGGGCTAGTCATCGCATCTCTTCACGATAACACCCTGTCCGTCTTGATCTGCCGAGAGCTTGTATAGAGGAGCCTTCCTCCGTGCAGATTCAGTGACTCCTACACTTTCATCCCTTTCTGCAACCAGAAGTGCTTTCAAGGCGGACATACAAAAAGGTCGGCTCGGTAGGTGTAATTGCAGAGACTAGCCAGCATTGCCTGTTCCAGAGATGAGCTCGCATGTATACTGGATGCTATGAAGGGTAATTACTGGTAGGTTTCTTCTAGATGTGAGCTATCTGATCAAGGATAGAATTCATCGGCATGCCAAGAGCATGTGGAAGAACTTAGTTTCTTGTTGCTATCGGGCGAGAACTATCATGGCGAGGCCCGAGGGCGTTAGGCTGGCAGGGTAGTTGACCGAGATTCCAATGCCTGGTAGATCTTTTTGAGTTGCACCATATTGTGATGGTCAAGGAAGTCTCAACTCACTCTCTATATGAAAGCTCGCATCAAAATCCTTGGATGTTATATCAGGTGACACGAGCGATTGGCATTTGGATGTCCGTGAGGTCCATGAATGCGGCTAAGATGGTGGACCACATGGTGACACAGAATTGGGATCCATTGGTCATCATCAAATATTACGTTGGAGAGAACCAATAGATCAGTCACACAATAGCACTATGACAGCTTACGCTTCATTAGCCTGATTACGTTTCAGCTTAATAGGAGTTTTGTTCCAGACAGAAGAGACTGTGTGTGACGATATGTGCTTAAACTTCGCCTACTATGAAAAGTAAATCAGGTAAAGACAGCATGGCAGCACCATCACTATCGCACAACGGATTATATAGGACAAGAGACTCAAAGGAGCTACCAGCTCAACTGTATTATAAAAACACTCAATCAATTGCACGGACATAGTTGTCAAATTTGCATGTGACGATCCAGGGACGGAGGCAAAACAAAGTTCAGCCGCCCGGACCGCTGCGGAGTTTAAAAGTATATTTCTCCCAGGTCTAGGTTTGAAACGGCCGTAGATGCTCTGCCATACAGTTGCATCTATGCCCAATTAGTGGCTGACGGTGCATACGGCGCACTCCGGTGGAGGTGGCTGAGACTTCTCCCTGCAGCATCCAGCTGGCCAAGGCCGGGCAGACCGGTGCATGCCACATGGCCGTTGCTCTAGCTACTCGCTCGGAGCGTGCATATACGTTTTACACGCTGGCAATATGCTGTGCAAACGCAGTGGCTCTCCACACTATGCCGGCAACACCGCCCAGCGGGGACCTGCAAGTCCAATCCTCAGCTTTGAAACACTAATCGTAAAACGAGAACAAGAGTCTCTTTCTCGTTATCAAACAGGGGTTATTTTCTAGCGAGGACTAGTCGTTATCCACACACGTGAAGACGATGTGAAAAACTGCAAACAAAACGGACCCATTCATTCACACTAGTCAATATCATTTATCACGCTCCTTTCCCGCATGCTGCTTCAGATTGTGGCCAGAAGGAGAACAAAAGGAAAAAGAAAAGAAAAAGAACATGGGTTCGGGCCAACAAAATGACAACAACATATTGAGCGTCAGGCCATGCTGTCCAACACACTACATCATTATCCACTTCCAAGCCCCCCGTGGGGCTGCTGCTACGTGGACCGCGTTTACGCGACTTTGACTTGGAAGTGGATCCGCAGGGCTTCTCGCTTCCTACCTACCCAGCCTCCCTGATCTTAAAATTCATTTATAATATATACATGAACCTGCGCTCTCGAGGCTTGCTTCTATTGTTTGAAGCAGGCCCGAAGCCTTCAAAACCCTTATATGCATCATCGTTAGCATCATGAAAGACAATTCCCGGCTCCCCATCGCCCTGCGGCGGACACCCAGGCGGCAGTCCGGACTCACCAACGATGCACGGCCTTCACCACCTTCACCGTCTTTTCCAGGCCGGCGTCAGTCGCCAGCGTCAAAGGTCCAGAGCCAAACGACGACAACAAGACACAAGAGGAAGAGGGACGCACAGCCCATCGTCGTCGTTCGTCTCGACGATGAGGCGAACACGACTCCTCAAAGCAGGGCCATCGCCCCAGCCAAGAGAAGGAAATACTCGTCAAAGAGTTGTTCAGGGATAACCCAGCACACCGACAACGAGATTCACATATTTCCCCTCCGAGCGATCCTGGATGACAGGGTCAAAAGGCGCATCCGCCGTAATGGGCTCAGCGAAGAAATGAACACCATCTTCCAAGAACGAACGCAGCGAAGGAGAAGGACGGTCGAGGAGCTACAGCGCCTCCGTGACGAGCTGGCCGCAAAGGAGAACGAGAACGAGAGCCTCCGCGAGCGCTCTTCTCTGCTCTTAGAAGAGGACACCAGCCGGATTGAAGGGCTGGAGAGGGAAATCTCGGGCCTCAGGGAGGCGCTTCGGGGCACTTCACAGCATCGATCTCGACATGGCTTTGCCGGCTGGGACATGAGGGCTGCAGATGCATTCTCAGACGACGATGAGAACAGCTTCTTGGACTCTGGCGACCACCTGGGCGAAGACACCACCCTTGAAGGGTCCGAGTGTTTCAGCAGTAGCCCACCAGCTTTCAAAGCAAAAGCCTTCGTCGCTGCTGGACCGACCCTCACTCCTCCTAGCACAAGCCCAACAAAGACATTCAGCCCCGCTTTCGATCAAAGCCACACACTATTGAGCTCGGTCTGCGAAGCAGGCACGCAAGCCTGCTTTGAAGATCCCGAGAAGGAGGAACTCCTGGCTGAAACAGAGAGCCTTCGCACCGACCTGGCCAACATTAGAGAGACTCTCGAGGCTCAGCAGCAGCTCGAGTCTGACCTCAGGTCTAAGCTGTCTCGGGCTGAGGCTTCTGAGCTCGAGGGTGGCTGCGACCCCGACCTGCAACTTCAGATGGACATCATGCTTCAGAACCTCACTGACAAGAGCGCCGAGCTTGTCGACCTGAAGACATCGCTTGCATCCATCACAGGGCCTGACTCCGATGCGAGAGAAGCGGTGCGCAAGCTAACAGAAGCGATGCACTCGGCTCAGCTGGAGGTAGAGCAGCTCTTCCCTGGCGATGATCCGGCTGTCCTTTCCGTCCAAGGCACACAGGTGTTTGACCTTGTTCTTGGACGCCTGCGTGATGCAGCTGGGAAACTAAAGGAATACCAGACCGAGCTCGAATGCTGCCATGAAGTCGAGCATGATCTGCGCCAACAACTGAACGACAGCACGCAGGCCATGAGCGACATGACTTCACAGCTGGACTCCAAGAATGAGCACATCTCAGGACTCGTCGCTGATGTCGATCGGCTCAATCATGCCGTAGAGGACTACCGTACCCAGCTCACAGACCTCGAGTCACTCGTTCAGCAGATGGACACTGAGACTAAGGGAGCGCAAGCCAGATTTGAGTTCGAGATTGAGACTGGGAAACAGACTATCGCCCGAAGGGATGGCCAGCTTGCCAGGCTGGAGGCCAGACTATCGTCTGCGCTCCACAACACGTCCGAGCTCAAAGACCAGCTCGCGGTCAGCTACGAGGCAAGGGAGGCCGAGATCGCCGCCGTGCAGGCTGCCCACGAGGACGAGCTTGCGCTGCGCGACGTCAAGGCGGCCAAACTACACAAGGAGATCACCCTCCTCAGGGAGGCTCTGTCCAGGGCCCACGGGACCATCTCCCAACTTCGCGCAGAGAAAGGCCACCTGCAGGCAGAGGTTGACCATGGGAAGGAGTCGGCAAGGGAGGCGGTCGCGTGTCTGCGGGCTCAACTGCTTGGGGCGCTCCGGATGAGCGAGGCGTTTCTCTGCCCACCTGCCCCTACACACCGCCCTGAGAAGGAAGGTGGTACTGCTGCTGGGGTGATGGTGGCTGGGATCGAGAAGGAGGAAGATGAAGGACAGGCGTGCATGGTCTCGACTCCCAAGTCAATGACTTGAGGGGAGGAGAGGAGAGGACTGAAACCCAAGCTAATGTATATTGAGAAGTGTTCATGTGACGACCGACATGCCTGCCCTGAAAGCCACATTGTTTCTCATTTCCACTCTTTTGAGCCAATCTTCTGTGTATTCATTACGTACAACTGTTTATTGCATAGCGCATGGTCAAGTTAAAGAAAAGAGAAGGAGATGTCTCATTTGCTCATGAAGTTCCGCCAGCCACTTCGCAGGTAAAATGACCCGACTTTATCCTGCATGTGAGCGGATGGTCGTCATTTGCATATCAAACGTGATGAACGGACTCTTTGACGATCACCACTCAAGCAGCAAGCAATGGAAATCCTGTGACATGAACAAGCTGAAGTTGCATTACAGGGACCATGAGGTTTTGTTATCAGAAATCCTTCGTCCGAAATGGCGCCGAGACTGGGCACGCCTATCTCAGCGTCGTTTCTTGACCGCATTTTCACCGCCCCGAGGCACGCCGTCCATGTCGCTTATTCGTTATAATGAGCAAATTTTGCTCGGGTCATCAAGGGTGGCAAGGTCGGGTTGTTTCTCGTTTCAAGTCTTCAAGATCCACTGGTATTGCTGACCACACATACACACGCTGCCAGGAATCAGCTAGATTCTTCACCATCATGCATGAGCTGTCGGACAATAGACCGCCTTCATAGTCAGAGGGCCCTTTCTCAGAGACCGTGGCGACATCCACTTTCGATGTGCTGCTCCTCCTGTGCTCTGGGACTTTTCTGTATATTCTTCTGGGTATGTAATGAGGGTTTCAAGATTTAAATAGTGCGCAAAAGAACCAATTCCTCTGGCAGCACAAAGTTCGAAGTTCTAGTAACACAACCATTCATATTCTAACCTTAAGTTCTTGTCAGCGGGTAAGACCGTAAGTGATATGTTTTATCGATAGTGCCGAGACACTGCACGAATGACAAGACAAATTCCCGGCGGTCACACCGACGGCAGGGCGTCACTACGATAAGGAAATCTACAACGCTTGAGTTGCAGAGATGCGGGCGTGGCTAACTACAGACCGTTACACAAGACCGGGCCAATGATAATCTGAAGCAGACTATCGACCGAGCCAATGGACCGAGACAACCGACCGAGAATCGCGACGATCACATCACAGCTAAGGAAAGCTCTTGTTCTTTAGGGAAGATAGGTGTGTGTATGTGTGTGGGTGAGAGAAGGGCAAAGAAAGAAGACAAAGACAAATAGAGGCAAAATAGGTATAGAAAAGCGCGAACCTCAACCCGGGGGGGGAGGCCAGAGAAGACGGCCTCAACTTCTTAACTTTGCGTCAGTGCTTGCCTCTGCTAATACCATGAAACGACTTTTTCAGACTATATCCCTCCTCGCTGTCCTCGCTCTATCGACGGGCTTGGCTTTGGGACTCACATATGCGCCTTGCTATGCAACCATCTGCCCAGAATCTTATCTTGCACGCCCAACTCGAGTACATATCGCCACCTTCTATGCCTTCCTAGCAATTACTGCGTGTTTCTTATACATCCGCGCCGTGTCTCCCAGGGTTCAACACATCAGCAACTACTACCTGGTGTGGCATGAGTTGCCTGTATTGAAAAGACGAGTCAGCCTTGGGGGTCTCGCGCTGGGAATATGGATTGTCGGCGTGAACGTGGGAACCACATGGATCTGGTTTCAGCCTCTTCTTGGATATTGGGGTCTGAGAACTGACCCCTACGGCTGGGTGTTGGCGCAGATGCGCCTGACCATTACAGGCGTGATAGGACACCATGCCGACATCCTCTTAGGCCTCGTCATTATTCCTGTCTCGAGGAACAGCATCCTCGGTCAGGTGTTCCAGCTACATCAAAGCACGTTGTTATATGCGCACAAATTGATCGCATACTTGCTCTTCGCAGCCACCTTCGCACATGCAATGACCTACTTTGTAAGTAGCAATCAATGTCTCAGCTTGTCGAGTCTTGATACTCATTTACTCATTCCCAATTATGCAGAGCTTTGTCGGTTGGCTTGATCCCGTCTGGGGACACTGGTCATCCGATTCAGCACAATACGTGCCAACGCCCAAAGAGTTGTCTTGGAACCCCGACAACCCTACGCAAACACTCCCTGAGGCAATGACAGGGAATGCATGGTCATCACGCTTTGCCCTCCCGGGTGGTGTGCTCGCTTTCGCCTTGATGATGATCATTATCATCACGTCCTTGTCGGTGCTTCGAAGGAATCATTATAACGTATTTTATTACCTCCACGTGTTCTGCAGCATTTCCGTGTTTGTCTTCTCATGCGCACATACCAGTCAGTATCCAGCCCTCACTTACTCCCAAGTATCTGTGGTAATTCCTTCAGCTATAAGACCTGGAGACGAAATCCTGCTCAAGGAGAGACATCTTCTTTCTTCAGTTCTGGCCACTGAAGAAATATCCCATAAGGCTATCTGAACAGTTTACTAATAATCGAACATGATAGGCACAAATTTTTACTGCCTTTTACCTGGCTTGATCCTCTTAGTGGTCGACTGGGGCTTGAGAGCCAGTAAATTGATGAGAAAAGGGACCGCAACGGTGGAGAACATCGGTGATGGCTGGTACCGAGTCCAATTGCCCGTCACGGCGACAAGTCAAATCGATGATGATGCTGCAGCAGAAAAACAATTGATTGTGGACCAACCGATTCAGTCGTACAGCATAATCTTTCCAGAAATCAGCAAGTTACAAAACCACCCTTTCACTGCTGCAAAAGTTGGATCTACTACTGGGGGCCCGGTCCTTCTGTTCCAGAGAACTCGAGGAAAGAAGAAGCAGAAGAAATTGGACAAAGGTGAGTACCGTTTCTACCTAGGAGAGGCCTCTCGAGATGATTAAAACACGTCTGATATGTATTAGAATGGACCTGGAAACTTGGCTCAACAGTGCCGTCAAAGGGGGATCGGAAAGACATCCACGTACGGGTCGAGGGCCCGTACATTCCCGTTGATACCGAATACCTCACCGCATCGAGAGTCATCTGCATTGTGGGAGGCACTGGAATTACTGGAGCATGGAGTCTCGCCAATTGGTGGTTGGAGAATCGGGGCCACGAAACTCAGGCGAAGTTCTTTCTGCTTTGGACCGTGAGAGACCGAGCAATGTCGAGCCTCCGCGAGTGGAGAGAATTGGAAGACATGACTAGAGGGGCAAGCAACATGGATATAAAGGTTCATGTGAGCTCCGAGTCTGGCCGCGTCGAAGCGACACCCTATCTGCGGGAGATACTATGCCGCGTGGATCAGAGGGTGGAGAAGACAACAGCAGTTGTGAACACCTTGAATAGCTCTACACCAAGAGCATGGGTGTATGTATCTGGCCCAGAGGGTATGTTGAGCACTGTCGAGACCGCTTGCTTAAGACTTCGCAGCGAAGTCAGAGGTGCTCGGAAGGGCAATACTGGGTCCACATGGTGTGTTGAGGACTTGGCGTGGCACTCGGCAAAGTGGGAGGTTTAAGATGTGGAGGTGGAGGGTCTAAGGCAGATACTGAGGTCAACTGGACCAACCTCAAGAAGTCCTCAACGCACCCCAATACCATATATTTATTCAGAACAACCAATACGTACAAGAATATCATTAGTTTTATATACTGTGCTGCCTGAACTCGGATTCTTCTAGCGTGTCTCGTATCATACTGACCGCCTAGCACTTGTATTTTGAAGCCTCGCCTGTAACCCAGCTCATGTGGTGCTGCATGGGATTTCGTCTTTGACTCGACATCCAAAGTAACTGACTTGTTCCGTGGGATCACCCACTACAAGAAGCCAACTTGACGAGAAAGGCCGTATCTCCTTAGACTCTATGCCGCATGTATTTAAATACAAAGCATTTTCAAAGTCGAAGCTCTATCGCGAAACACAGAACCACGCTGCCTGGGTTTAGTCTAGCTGAACACCCGAGAAGGCTCTCGAGAATCTGCAAACGATATGCAATCATGTAGGACGGTGACCGTGTCGGTGCTGTTTACTAAGCTTACCTCACTACGCAGGCCACTGATCCTAGAGATGCAGCCGACGTGGTTGTGGTCCTTTGCAATCATTCACATGCACTGCATAATTCGGGCAAATAGAAGATTGATCTGATACTTTGGTACCGCTTAGGACCCGGCCGAGAGGAACTATGAATACAGCTTACGACTCGGCCGAGAAGACAACTGAGCCGCAGCCTACCAACACCGAAATACCCGGGGCACCCAAAAGCCCGAGATATATGGCGGACTTTTCGGCTTTTCGCTTATAAGTGAAACTATGACATTGCAAGAAAGAATATATATAGCCTTTCGAACGCCACTCTACAATATCATATTTGCATTGCTTCATTGACAAGTCAAGAACAACAATACTACATCATTCCTATCCAACACCAACATCTTTCCCTTCCAACCTCAAAAAGCTCAATATGTCTACCATCAAGATCATTGGCGCTGGACTTTCCGGCCTCACCTTGGCACTTGCCCTTCACCAACAGGGAATCCCATCAACGGTTTATGAGTCTCGGCCTGCCCCTCTAAATATCGGTGGCGCTGTGATGTTGTCTCCCAACGCCCTGCGAGTCCTTCACGCTCTCGACTTGTATAACAAGGTCAAATCCAAGGGCTACAACTTCAATACGCTGGAATACAAGGATGGCCCTGGCAACCTGCTCGAAACATATGAGTTTGGAAGCCAGGAAAAGTATGGCTTCCAAGCTCTGCGCGTCTACAGGCATGTCCTCATCGATACACTGGTCGAAGAGCTGAAGGAGAAGGGGATTTCCGTAATTTTCGGCAAAAAGTTCTCTCATGTGGTCAAGGACGAAGAGAATGGCGTCACCTTTGCCTTTACAGATGGCACCACAGAGACAGCCCAGCTCCTTGTCGGTGCTGATGGCATCCATTCAAAAGTCCGACGCCATCTGTATCCAGACCTGGAACCACAATTCATCCACATGGCGGGGATCACAGCAGCAGTTCCCACAAGCCAGCTCAAGCTTCCGGAGGGCTACCACATCCCTGTCACCATCACCTCGCCCAACGGCGCATTTGTCATCGCGCCTCAGGAGCCGGATGGCTCAGAGGTGCTCATTGGAAAACAGCGACGGTTGCTGGAGCAGAGCCAGGCCGGCTGGGAGAAGACGCTCGAGGCTAAGGAAGACGCCGTGCGCTTCCTACAGCAGGACAATGAGCTATTCCCCGAGATTGTCCAGAACGCCACATCGCACATCAGCACCTCCAAGCTGAACATTTGGCCATTCTTCATTGTGCCTAGGCTCGACCAGTGGGCGTCTGAAACGCGCCGCGTCATCATCCTCAGCGACGCTGCGCATGCCATTCCTCCGTCGGCCGGCCAGGGCATCAACCAGGCCTTTGAGGACGTGTACATGCTGGCCCTGCTGCTGGGTCGTGCTTCAGAGATTACCAGCCAGCAGCAGGCGTTGACCTTTTGGCAGTTTTACCGCCAGGGTCGTGTGGACAAGGTCCTGGAGCTGAACAGACAGATTGACCTGCGGCGGATGCCCAGCAGCGATGCGGTGGTGGGAAGCGGGAGCGGCTTGGTGAAGGAGGAGTTCGATCTCGAGTGGCTTTACAAGCCTGATTTCAAGGGCGTTGTTGATGACTGGGTTGCGAAGCAGTAGGGAGAGATTTTGTTCTAAAAAGGCGATGCTTTGAGAATTTTGTGTATCTTTGGTTCATATTTTGAATTTTGACTTATCAATCTCTTCACGGGTTTCTTCCTGGATACTTGGCCATGTCATACTTTGATCTATGTCCCTCTCGCCAAGCATCAATTGACAATCGTAGTCCTTGTGTCCACTGACTGTTCATATACAGTCAAATTTGAAAATAATTCAGCTAGCTATACAAGCGCCTTGAGAACATCATGGTTGCCGAAATAGATCATCAGGTCAAAGTTGCTCCGATCTCCATATTTGTCGTAGGCTTGCTTAATATCTACCTGCACGATATCTAGCCGCTCTTCGCCCTCAAGCCGCGTCATAGTCTCGGATTCTTGCAGCACGCCCTTGGCGCACCGAACCAACTTTGAACGCTCACACAGCAAGTTCCACGCCCGATGCAAAGACTTGTCTAGCGATGTGGCGTACAGGGTTATGTCCTCCCACGGCGTGTCGCGTAGCTGATCATATGCCACATCCAGCAGCGGGCAGATGTAGTCTCGCACCACATCCCTCGTGGTGGGCTCAACGATAGTTCGAAAATGTATTACGCGAAGGCGTCTGAGGCTTCGCCCCATTTGGTGTACCCAGAACGCCGCGAGAACGTCCCGAGCTCGTGGCCTGTGTGGCTCCTCGCGGGAGTCCCTCTCTGTGCCAATGAAGTGGACGACGAGTATTTCGGAATCTTCTTGGTATATACCATTTTCGACAATGGACAGCCGGGCAATGTAGGACATCATCCCGACCTCATGGATGTCGTATGTGATCAAGGCCCTGTCGCCAGTTGAACACCCACTTGGGGGTGAGACTTCGTAACGGAGCTCCCTGAAGGCTACGGTACTCGCAGCTCCAAGGCTTCGACGTGTGCTGAGCTGATGATCCTCAGTTGGAGGAGAAGAATTGGATTCAGAAAGCCAGGGCATGGTTCGTCTGGACTCGTGTGATGGCTGTCTTAGATGAGATATGGAGGCACCCATTTTTGGAAAGGTTCGGATGAACTGAGTCATGGAGATAGAAAGTATGGTAATTCTTCAGACAGAAGCCTGAAGCTTTTGATCGATAAAATTCAAACGGTTTGGCTAGGAGACTTGCAAATGCAAAGGCGACAATGTAATATGCCTTTCGTGTTGAATATCTTCCCAACAGTCTTCAGGGCTTGATTTCCGTCGTAAAGGCTTGTGTCCGAGTAACATGTCCGAAATAGGCAAATGTTGAGGCGAGGGGGCTCAGAACACTGATTATGGTGCTCTTGAGTGTGATGAGAAGTCCTGCACGTTCCCCAAAATTATTTGGGTCTTTTCATTCTGCTCGACCATTTTAGTAAATCCTCACGGCGGAGCACGCACAGTAGGCACAACAACAATAGTGAGATATTCGTGGATAATCCTAAAGGCTCATGAGACTTACAGTCATGTACCACTCGTCTCTTCGCCTCTGACAGGGTGTTATGAAGCCCAAGGCGATGAATGCCTACCTCCCTTCGACGGCACACAGGCGGGTAGTAAGCCAGACAATAAGTAGAAAGTTGATCAATGTACACTTTCAAGAAGCAGCGTACGTCCTGCTGAACGCCACCCCCTCAGTCCAAATTAGGGCTATGCAGTTGCTCTACAGACATCATGTCTTGTACGACCTCGTCTGAGAAAGGCCGTGGGACAGATCCCGTGTGTCTCGGAGCGGCTTCACAGAAAACAATACAACCCAGTTGGCTCTTGAATTTGGCTTTCTGTGTTACAACGACGGAGTTCCGACAGATCTTCCTTCTCATACCACGGCGTTCAAGCTGAGCATCTAGATGTCACCAATGTAATCTTCTTAAGTACGTATAGTTTCATCATGTTCACGTTTAATTAAACTTGGAACTTTGTTACCACCATAAGCATCTTGCGAGTGTTACGATTCGGTTCTAGAACGCCTTTGCATGGACCACTCTGGCGACATGCCAGTTGAAAATAGCACAAAACGCTTAGGAGGTATGGTTATTTCCTTCTGTGCAAGCAAAGTCAAAACCTTATCTGCGAGAAGATCCGATTCGTGGGAGGGTCACAGCTCATTGAAGCCAGATTTTCAAACGCAAACTATATGCCACTGCTTTCGTTCTCTCAGGGTATCTTGGCTACCACACCATAAGTACATGTGTTCTAGTATTAAAAATAAAGCTCACCCCCCTGTATCGTTAACTCCATTCGAGTATGCGGCCCCGAACTCCCTTGCTATGATCGCATACTGCGAGCAACTGAGTATCATTCAATCTAAAGACACCCGGCCAGAATGACGATGGAGGACAAGCAGGCTGAGCAGTCTGCTGCCACTGTATCTTCCCATCGACCAGAGGCCCACCAAACACAGCTTTGACCGACGCCTTTCTGGGCCAGTCCCTCTTCTCCACATCCATGTCCGTCATAAACACCGTGGCCAGACCCCCATTGGCAAAAGCCTCAATCTGTGGAGAACCCGCATTTGCACCGGGCTGCGCCTCAAAGACAACCTGTCGATGGCCCCAGGTGGACCCGTCATCATACGAGATGACGGCCTCCACCGAGAACGTCCTGTGTCTCGTCGTCTCAAAGACCATGACCAGTGCCGGCTGCCCTCGGTCCGTGGTGCTCGCAATACCAGTCATGCCGTCGCGCAACAGCTCCTCCGCGCCCGTGATGGTCCTTGCGTCTGTCCAGGTCCGACCCCGATCGTATGACGTCCGCATCATGGTATCCTGGTCCCTCGCCTGCAGCTCCTGCGAGTACGTCATCTGGACCTCGCCGGCCAAGCCGATCCGCATAAAGGGCTCCCATAGCCCCCAGGGCGCCGGCTTCTCTGCGGCTTGCGACAGGTACTTCCACGTCCGGCCGCCGTCGAGCGATTCACAGACCGTAATGCGGAAATAAATAGACTTGCGGTTTTTGATGGGGTCTACGACATCATGGTTCCGAAAGGCGGCCAGCACTTTCGGGTGAGGCTCGGTCTCGGAGGCGGGCACCTCGAGTAGGAAGAGGTTGCCGCAGTTGTGATCGCACCGGGTCACCTCGCCCCAGGGCTCGAATGTCCTCCCGTTGTCGGTGCTGCGCTTGATGGTGAGGACATGGGTGGGCGCCTCGATGTGGGTGAAGCCTAGCAGGATAGAGCCGTCTGAGAGACGAGTGAGCCGTGGATATGTGGCGTGGGAAGTGTGCAGCACCAGGTCCTCGTCCAGAACGTGCCCAGAGGTGCTGATTGAGGGCTGCTCGGCTGTTGAGGAGGACCCACCAGAAGCAGGAGGCGGAGGAGGAGGAGGAGGAGGAGGAGGAGGAACAGGAGGAAGAGGAGAATCAGGCACTGGATCTGGTCTGTTGAGGTTGAGCTTGTCTGTTATTATTTGTTGTGGCCTGGATCCTGTGTAGGCCGTCGTTTTGTAGAGGCCCAGAATGAGAAGAATGATCAGGACCACAGACACCACTCCAATTGATCTTCTACGTGTAATAATGGCAAGCATTATCAACAAATCAATGCGCCACAGGCGATGGCTGTGTGGCCGTTGTCTGTCCTTGTCTTCGTTGTGGCCTATTGTGTCGGTGTGTCGTGACCCGCAGAGCCTGCGCTTGTTTTTTTTCCCGCTTCGTTCCCTTTTTCTGAAAAAGGCTTGGTGAAATGACGTCGTTTCATCTTTGGGCCAGAAGCAGTAATAATCGTCGGTTATCAGATCCGGTCCGCTGCGACCTTATGCCAGGGTTCTGGCGCTCTCACCCTCCAGGGGTTTGAAGGGGCGAGGGACCAAAATCTCAGCACTCTAATTTTCCACCTCGCCGTCCATAGCTACCGTTGACGTGCAGGATGTGTTTATCTGGATCTCCCGATGGATTTATGTAAGCCACGCACACAGTAAATCTTCTGTCTTGTGCCAGCTTGTTGATTGTCATGTGGCTATTTGGATGGACTTAAATGAAGGTATCTCTCTCTCTCTCTCTCGGGCTCTAGAATTGTCCTTCAAAACCCTAGTTTCCCAACAAAATAGCAGACGAGAGTGGAGCAGAGCAGATAGCGCATCCAGCGCCGGTGACAACCCTCCGCATTGGATTACGAATCACCCTCGCCATAGTAGTAAGCCAGCAAATTGAGAGGGTGGGAGGGGGTGCGTGGTGTTTCCGTATCACAGGCATCTTGTTGCTCCAGTCCTGGTGTCGCGTGACAGGTCACACAGGTCAAAGAGCAAATTCAATGGCCCACAGACGGACGTCTGAGCCTGCCACTTCATCAAGTATCCACACAGACAAGGGATACTATGTATCGAGGTCAGGGGACCTGGTCAATTATCAGAAATTCTATGCGACAAACTTCATTGTTAACGTGGTAGCAGGAACTTTTAAGATAGGAAACTGATGCCTGTCGAATAATTCACTGGGTCTCATTCAGACCGCTAAAGTACTTCCTTATGTAGCTTTAATCATAATTGGACAAGGCCGGCGCGGAGAGGGAAAGCATATAATGCAATACGACATGGCGACCAAATATTGTATCAAATTCGAGTTTATTTTTACATCTTACTTTTCGACTGAAACTGAACACGAACTTATACTTCTGTCAACAAACCATGAGGACTAGCTTGAAGAAATGATGCAAGATCCAGCGGACCCGGCCAAGTGTTCCCCGTACCAAACTTGAAGCGAATTGACGGCAGCCCCTTAGCCAAGGAACCTGTCATCGGTAATGATTCCGAATCTTGCGACAGTCGTCTCTTATATTGTTACTCTGCTGTCAGTGCAGCGGACATGCCGGAAAGACATCGTGTCCGTAATCCCGCGTCCGAGTATGTTCCGCCAGTTCTGGCTTGTGCGAAACACACACATGCACGTACGCAGACACACACGAAAAGGCTTCAAGGCCGAGGAATGGAACACAGTGTAGAGGTTGCCCTTCGAAATTTTAACTACAATCATACGAGACAACTGTTAGAACGGTGGAGCTGTCAAGAGGTGGGGGGGGGGCGCGTGTATGTGTGCTAGAAAACCCCATACGGCCCCGGATCGCCTTGGTTCCTTGCATTAAATGGACCCTGGCATTTGCACCACAGGGTCTTAAAAAGGTCCCTTGGTCCCCTTTAGTTCTCCCGACGGCTCTCCCGCAAGTAAAGCCTCCTTGAGCCGTGCCGTGTTCGCAAGATTTAGCGTAACCGAGCTTCCCGGCATGCCTTTTTATTATTGTTTTCTCCGTTTCACACTGTACGCTGCATCCTATTCAACGTCCATGTGGAGAAGATTTGATTAAACGCCCGGTACACCACGCCCGCCTTTGAATTTGTAAATTTCTTCCCTTTGCTTCTTCAGCTGACACGAGTGTCTGAGCATGAGTTTAACCCCATGTGAAAATTTGGGAGGAGATGGGGCTCGGACTGATGAGGTGGACCGCTGTTCAGAGCACAAACACAGACATACATGCACAAAAACACATCCATGGTTACCTCAGAGTCTAGGGGCCATCATAAACCCGTCCAGAGCCGACCAGGGCGATTTATCACAAAAACCCCAGTTTCAGGGTTCCTCTCGTCTGCGTTCTGCGGTCTGAGTGTGACTTGACCGATCTGCGGTGTAGAAGATCCAATGCAACGTCGATATTATCAGGACCCGCCGAGGTTCAATCGAACCACCCCTTTTAGACTCAGCCTTACTCCGGGAGCGAGCAAATATGACAAGGGCTGTAACTGCTCCCTGCGAACCGAGTTCGGGGGTGGGCATCTAAGGTTTTTTTCTTCTTCTTCTTCTCCCCGCTCCCCTTCCATTCCTCCCACTGGACGTCAACGAAACGATCTCTTGGCTCCACTGGATATCGTACGATGGCCACGCTTGCGACAGGAATGTGTGGTCCGTGGTCTCGAATTCCGAGCAAACGGTCATGAAGTTGTGGAGTGATTCGAGGGCTAGTCAATATGATATGTGATATGTTGTTACCCAGTTGGTTCAGGTACCACAACATTTAAAAGGTGGGAAGAGGCTCTTTTTGGCGATTGTAGTGGGAAAAAACCTTCTAGAATATTTCCCACGACTCGCTTCTGAAGCTCTGATCAATTAATTAATCTGGCTTTTGGTTTCCCCCCCTCGATATCTTTCGCCTCTGGCTGTCAGACCCAGCGCCAAACTGACAGCTTCTCCACACAATGTCTCACAACCTGTCCTATCACCAGATGCGTCTGGTGAAGGCCACCATTCCCGAACTTCGCTCGCAGGGCGAAAGGATCACGGAAATCATGTACGGCAACATGTTGAGGGCCCACCCAGAGCTCAACAATATGTTCAACTCAGTCAACCAGGCTAATCACAGGCAACCCCGTGCCCTGACGTCTGTCATCCTGGCGTTTGCGAGCGCCATTAATTACGACATTAGCGAGCTGATCCCCAAGCTGGAGCGGATGTGCAACAAGCACTGTTCTCTGGGGATCAAGCCCGAGCACTACGAGATCGTGGCCACCTACCTCATCGACGCCTTCAGCGTCGTCCTCGGACCGGCTATGACACCAGAGACGAAGGAGGCCTGGAATAGAGCATACTGGATCCTGGCCAAGATGCTCATAGGCCGGGAGAAGCAGTTGTATAATGTCTTTGGGCCCTGGAACGGCTGGGCACCCTTTCAAATCATCAAGAAAGAGTCCGAGACGGACGACATCGTCTCCTTCTACCTGGCCCCACAGAACAAACGACCACTGCCGGGATTTCTGCCAGGCCAATACATCTCCGTCCAGGTGCCCCTCCCCAAGGTCGGCTACATGCAGTCACGACAGTTTTCGCTCAGCGACGCGCCCCACGAGGACTATTATCGCATCACCATCAAGAGGGAGTCGGGCGGGCAGGTCCCCGGCTCGAAGACAGCCCAGACCTACCCAGTGGGCCAGATGACCAATTATCTCATCGACCAGATGAACCCAGGCGACATCGTGGACGTGACGCACCCGGCAGGCGAGTTCTACCTCGACACGACGCAGTCGAGCAGCGTGCCGCTGGTGCTGATCTCGGCAGGCGTCGGCGTCGCGCCCATGGTGTCCATGCTCAACGCCATGATGGACCTCCAGCCCACGAGGGAGATCTCGTGGATCCACGGCGCCCGCCGCATGATCCCCTTTTGCAACCACGTGCGCGACGCCAAGCGCCGCATGCCCAACCTGCGCACCAACATCTTCAAGACGCATCTCGCAGACGGCGACCTGGCCGGCGTGACGCACGACTACGACTTCAGGGTCGACCTGGCCAAGGTTAACCGCGACGACCTGCACCTCGGCCATGGCGGTGCTGAGTACTACATCTGCGGGCCCGAGCAGTTCATGATCGAGATGGCCGACTACCTGAAGATGCAGGGTGTCGAGCTGCGGCGGATGAAGTTTGAGTTGTTCTCCACAGGCGACATGGTCGAGGTCAAGTGAAGATTCCGGTTGATGTGCTTTGCGCGTCATTTTTTTCCTCTTCTTTTTCCCCTCTTTCTTTTTATTAAATGGGGCGGGATTTGGCTAAACTATCTGAGAAATGAACAGCACACGCAAAAAAAAAAAAAGAAAAAAAAAAGATGACGGGCGGAGTTGGGTTTCATTGCAGAAAATACCCACCTACATTTCCTCCCGTGGCTTACAAGTCAATGTATCCTGAGTATAGAGGGGATGTGTTTATTTGATCCCGGGTCGATGCTGTATAGCAGTGATTTCTTAACTTATGGGTAATGCTTTTTGTATGGTCAGGGTCAGGTCGCAGGCAGGAGGAGAAGGATTGTACACTGGTTAGACAAAAGTCAAGATACGATGAAAACTATACAGTTTCGTGTTCACTCCACATGCAGCTCGACGGTACGTGACCGCATTCTGGTGTTTAATTTTAAAGTCTTTGTACAACACCTCAGGACTTACCCTCCTGTGCACATACGCTCGAATTCCAGTTTAGGGGTCACTACTTTCCTTTTCAGAATCCCTCTGCTCAAGCTGTCTCAGCATTCGCAGTTCCTTCGAGTCCGTGGTATCCATCGACTGCGACAATTTCCAGTATAACTCCCTGTCCTTAGACTTGGTGGTTTTCCTCATCAACTGGAAAAGCTTAGCCAAGCCAAGCATTTCATCATCTTTCTCCACTTTCAGTGATTCCGACAACTCCTCCAGTTCACGAAACTCTTCAGTGCCGGTGGTTTTCATGTTACGTGCGAGCTTAACGAGAAAGCATAATCCGTTATCGTCCTTGATCCCACGGTCCTCGGCCACTTTAGCTAGGTCGCAGATTTCCGAAACTTCCATCTTGGCATCAAGCACGCGGCACAGGTGTTCCTCGTTCCCTTGGAATTTGTAATCATCGCTGAACTTTAACGAGTCATTGGGTTCCAAGCTGCTTTTGCTGACAATCCATTCACGGCCGGACTTGCACATGACTGGCTTCCAAGAGCAGTTCTTTTTATATGGAGTGCGCGAGATGAAGTAGAGACACTCGCTTCTGCTTTTGAGGTGCTTGTCAACAGTGTGCTCAGGATCAGTGGGAAGGAGTAAGAGTCGCTCTGCAAGTAGTGCTCGAGCCTGGCCGGCACAAAGATTGGCGGCTTCTTCAAGCCGGACAAGGCCTCTTCCTCCTCAGAGAGCCGCGGACGCACAACATATCCGGCTGATGCGAGGTTTATTGCGGCCAGGCCACGCGGTTTCGCTTGTACTATTGAAAGCGATCGTTTAGTGTACAGGAACTTCAAAAAGGAAGAAACCGAAACGCAGGGAGGGAGAAGGAGTAATGAAAGCAGCACAAGATCAAAACAGTCTAAGCATCGATGACTCAAAATCTGTACTGAGCAGTCTTTTGCAAAACTCGGTGATACAGCTCTCGCGATCGCGTCGACGCAGCACTTTGGTCGGGTGTAAGATGTCAAGAAACTCGGCGAATGTCGGGCGCCTATTCGACGGCCAATCGCTTTTGATATTGGACTTCATTTCGCCTATCACGGTGGGCCACGTGCTCACGTATGTGGCTAGATTCAGCGTGTTAACAAGACACGTGGCCCAGTATCTCGCGCTCAGAGTGGGAGCGTCCGTGATTTTGTTTTCCTGCAAAGGGTCGGTCCTGGAAGGGGTATGTGTCCTGGCCGAGGTGCTGCAGGATCATGACGGGTAACTTCTCTTGCGATCCTGGCTTCATTTCCTCGAGAAGCTCTTCTAACCTCCCGTCAGTATGCTGGTTGGTGGCTCTGAGGATCACGAACAGGCAGTACGTTGATCTCCACTGATTCCCGGGTGGCAGGTCGATCTTGAGGTCTATGAAGTACTTGTCGAGCCACGGAGTCATGTACTCCCACCCCAAGGCCTTCTTGGTGCGGTCTTCGGCCCGGCGTGTCGTCTGAGTGGCCACCACGGACGCGAGCTGCTGGAGCGCTACCTCGCCCGTTATGACGATGCCATTCATCAGGTTCAGCATGCGAACCACGTCGGGGGACGTCTCGCCCATATCAGACGGCTTGTATAAAATATCGTGCTCAATGTCAGACCATGCGTGCATGATGACACTGCCGATCTGGACTTCGATAGGAATAATAGGGTCACCGCGTGCGTGTTCGTCGAAGTCGGGCGGGTTCTTGATCACGACGTGCGTGGCCTTGTACCCGCCAAACGGCGACTCAAAAGCCGAGCCCGTCGTGATTCTGCGCTCAAGATCCAGGCGCACATCCCCACTGGCTGTGTCGAATCTGGCGTTGGTGCTCTACGAGCTCCCGGATCTTTTGGAACTCGTCTGTGAGCCCCCCTTTCTGGCTCGGCCACCTGACCCCAAAGCGCCGCAGGAGGAAAGCCACCACCTTTTGCACATCATCCGGGAAGTAGACAGAGATACGGATGCCGGCCAGGTCGTGCGTTGCCCCAAACATTTGGTCGACTGACTTGAAGGGACTGGCCTCGGCTACCTTGTTCTCCATGTTCCACTCCTTGCATCAATCCTTCCAGTTGGAACCGCGGTTCGTTACCAAGTTCTCCAGCTCCTGCAGTTGCTTGCGCTCTTCCTGACGCCGACGTAGCGTCTTCAAGGCGCTGTCTTCGTCCTTGAGTCTGGCCGAGATGGGTGTGTGCTGTACATCCATCTCCGACTCGAGGATTCTCTTGGTTTCATTGAGGTGCGCCTCGAGGCTCCGCATTCGCTTGCGGCGTCTCTTCGTGAAATCAACTAGTAGCCGCTCAAACGCCTCGTCTTCCTTTCCCATGTTGTCTTATGGCGCTCAGGTCGCGGAAGAGAGGGAGAGAGAGGCGTGAGATATGAGACACGGGGTTTCAAGACGTAATATGCGACTGTGCTCACCCTCTATTATACCGTCATCGTTGCTGCTTTGTCATTATAACAAAGTTTAGAAGGCCACTGTAATGTGGCTCTGTTTCGAAGTAACTGGCAATGAAAAGCCGGTGTTATACTGAGGTACATTAATTGTCTCGAATGCTTCTCAGAGCAAAGTAGGCGACATATATATACAGACCCGCGAGAGGGACCCTGCAGTGGTTAATATCTGGTGTGCCTAAAGCAGCCTCTTGCTGAGTACTCAGCCTCTTCTCTGCATGGGTCAGTGTGCCGATGGTGCTGATAGTTTTCGTTTTCAGCACCAATCTCAACGCCTGCCACTACACCACTCGGGAACATGCATGCGTGAGCCTACAATACATAAAAAATCTACGTGGCTAGTTAGAAAGCCAAAGATGAATCCAAACACCTTGCTGGCATTCTTGGCAGTCTAGACCATCTTTCATTCCCAAAATAAGTGGTCTTGGGTGAAAGTATTGACAAAATTTTCATAGGTATGTCTGGAGGTGAATTTACACACTGGAGGACCATCTCTCACGAATATTTACCTCAAAGCCTGTTGCTCATGGTGCGTCCAAGAGATCCTTATAATGTCGCCCGCTGCGATCTTTATTGTCGGCGCTGTGCAGCTTGTGCGGAAATATTTGCTTTCGGTTTGCGAGGCCCTGACTGAGTACTACTACTTGGTCCAGCTTCCTTACGAGCTGCACTACGCCGGGTACGCAGCGGCCTCATGTCCTAAGAACCATAAGGGTTGGCATTGTGCAGCATTTGTCGCAACAAACACGTCTCCAGTAAGCTTCCATTTTCAACATTGGACTGACGTCAGAATCCACTGGTGACACAATAGTAGTTAGTGTACAATTACCCAGGGAACGCATTACAGGCCCTGGGTTCTTAGTAGGCAAAGCTGAGAGGCAATGCGTCCAGTTCATAGGAAGCAACGCATATCTTACAGATGAGTCTACTAATTCATTTGTCATTCGTATGTTTGGGCTGGAAGTGGAGCTGTCGGACTGTTATTGTTTTATCTGCTTATTAAGATTACTTCGGCATCTCCAAAGCATTTGCCCCGCTCTGAAGGAGATGAGGACTGTGAAGTCAATGAGTCACGGAAGCAGTAACTCTTTTGGCATACATATATAAATCCATCGGTAGCCATTTTTCACTCGTATTGCAAGGCAGAACCTCGAGTGACAGAGCCAGAGGAAGAGCGGGCGATACAAATCGATTCGCCCAACTGCCGCCGTGACTCACAACATACCCCCCTCAACGGAAATGGCCCAGTCAATATCACAGACAATCCCGTCGCGGTTCCAGATCCGACCAGCATCAACGGCCGACGTGCCAGCCATGACAGATGTCTTCTTCAGCGCCTTCAACGCCCCCTTCTGGCAGTACTTCATGCCCGATACGCCGTACATGCGAGGCTGGATGGACCGGACCTGGGCAAAGGGGCTGAACTATCCGACGGACAGGACCTTTGTTGTTGTCGACGCCGAGGCAGGGGACAGGATCGTGGCATTCAGCAGGTGGCAGGTCCCTCAGGAGGACGGAAACCAGACGCACGACGCCTATGAGGATGTCAAGTATGATGATGGAGTCTGGGACAAGGAGGTCGCGGATCCATTCTTTGGGGGCATGGATGAAAACAGAGAGAAATTAATGGAGAAGCGGCCACATTGGTGTGAGTGAACAATGCAACTGGTCTCAATCGTCATGTCAATGACAGAGGGAGTGAGGAATGATTGCAGCTGATATGATGGCATACCACAAGTTCTTGACCTGCTTGGTGTCCACGGAGACTATCAACGCAAGGGGATTGCTGGCATGCTGATTAGCTGGGGCACCGAGCAGGCAGATCGTGATGGTCTGCCAACGCTGCTCCATGGCAGTGAGAACGGACAGCCTTACTACATCAAGGTAAGTTGACGTTCAACAAGACACGAGCATTAAAAACCAGGCTGAGACTTACTCGCATCTCCAGAGTCATCGTTTCGAGGACCAGGCAGACATTCCTATCCCAGACCGCCCTGCCTATGGCAGCTATAGTTACAGAACACTGGTGAGAAAACCGCAGCCATCGGCGGCATAGAGGTGACGAGAAATACATTCTATATTGATCAAGGATATACATGATGCAGACTAGACGCCATCAGACGGCTGTTTGGCAAGCCCCATTGCATGAAGACAAGACGAGATTGTGCGCTCATGGGCGAGGAGGTCCGCCCTTTCCACCTCTACCGCCACCTGGCCCTCCTGGCCCTCCAAAGTGGCCCCAGTATCCCTCCGAGTCTCCCCTGCCTGACCTGGACGAGTTGACACAGCTGGGCGAGTCATAGTCCGCCTTCGTACCCATAGGCCACATGGGGATGAAGCAGACCTCATCCACACCGCAAGGCGGGCACCGCTTGAAGCGAGCCCAGGAAAGGTCGTCCATCAAGCCCTTGAGCTGGGCAACGGCCTCTGCCATCGTCGCTTCCGAGTCATCGGCGTCGTCGCTATTCGCACCGTCGACAAGCTCTCGCACGTTGAAGAGCGTAGTGCAGATGTTGGACGTCACGGTCTGGATGGCAGCGTAGATCATCTTGTCCGACTCCGTGGCGGGAGTGACGGCATGGAGGAAGAAGTTAGTGCAACGGTCGATGGCAGCTGGCACCTGCTCGCTGGCACCGTCTTTGCCCGAGTAGTCGATGTAGACCGTCAGCAGGAACTTGAGCTCGTTCGCAATCTCAGAGACCGAGGTTGTCTTCTCGGCCATGTACTGCAGACGGTCGGCGTAGCGGGCTACGATGATATCCGTGACGTCTTGCCAGTCGACAGGGCGGACGGGGTCGTTGAGGCGCGCGGCGATCGTGGTGTTGAGGTAGCCTCGGATGGCCTCGAGCTCGGCATCGGTTGTGTTGACGAGTCTGGGCAGGTCAGGGCGCGCAGGGTCGGGGTTTGTGAGGTTGATTGGGAAGAAGAAGGCCGAGACCATGGATGAGTAATCAATGTTGGTTCTTGACGAGCCGATATCATGATATCGCTCCGAGAGGCCGCGGAGGAACTCGAAGTTGCCACCACCGCCTGGGCCACGGCTGTTGGAGCCTGGACGCTGCATGGCCTGTATCTCCTCGAGCCCGTCGTAGAAGTCGCAGTGGATGATCTCAAAGCCCGCCTCCATACGCACAGCGCCGTCAAGTTTCCAGTCCTTGCACAATGCACAGATCTCGATAGCGCGTTGTCTCTCGTCCATAGGCCCTCCACCACGCCTTGTATGCAATTTATCGTCGTCGTCGTCGTGTCTTTTCGTCTTCTTGTTTTCAAAGTCGAACACGGTCCTCGTCTGCCGCAACAGGTGGTCCTGGGAATCCAGTGTACCCATTGTGGTCTTGCCTCCACTCATCCCGTCAATGTAGATGTACCGCATCGTACGAGTTGTGCGATATGTATGCAGCCAACCTCCTTTCGACTCAGCAGGGGACTCGTCGCGGCGGGACGTATGGCCCAGGGACTCTTGCAGCTGTCCCTCGTAGCCCAGAGGGGCCTGAAAGGCACCGTCGTCCACAGCCAGCGCAGGAGGCGGGCCATGCGAGCCATCACCATCACCAGGTCCCTTGCCTGGTCCTCCACCAGGACCCCTTCCTCCTCGCGCGAAGCCCTCGGCGTGCTCGATCTCATATGCGAGCCAGTCGGGATCATCTGGCGATCTCTCGTCGTTATTGCCATGGTGGAAAATCACGCCCTCCGGCACTGTGGCCAGGAAGAAGGACATGCCATTGTGATGAAGAGACGCACCCCATTGTCTCATGGAGTCGTGCACGGCGTTGAAGATTTGAGGGCCTCGGGTCTTGGCCACTTGCACGCTGGGGCCGAAGTCTTTGCTGACGGCCTGTCCATCGCTGCTGGTGGCGTGAGACAGACCTGTGGCAGCCAGTGTAGCCGCCAGAAAGCGACCAGCCACCATAGCGATTAATGTTCAAGACAACGAAACTAAGGTATTATGAGAAAACGGGACGGAAGATTTGGGTGAATAGACAGAAGCAAGAACTGGGAAACATCGACAGATTGTCCGGCTCGATAGGAACTGGAAGCTCCAGAGAGCAAATAAAAGGAAGCAAGAGGCATCTCCGCCGGCGGCGAGCCAACGCAACAGCGCAGCCAGTACATGAAGACCTCGCCTCTGACGACGCGCGTCAAGGTTCAAATTGGGGTCCACTCAACCCCTGCTTGTCGATGAGTTGGCGCCGAGAGTGTGAAAGGCTTTGTTTTATCTTATCGATCTAATCATATGCGCAGCCCCCCCCCATCAGCCCCCAATGTGACGACTCATACAAAAAAAACCACCACCTAACCTGTAGTCTACTGTATGTAAATGATGTTGATTGGAAGATACTGTGTAGATATCACACTGAGGGTCTGTCGATCCCAAGCAGGCCCTGTGCCTCGTCCACTTTTTCCTCACACACAGGTCCGGAACAACTTTCTGCCTCTCGACACACGTTAAATATTATACCTCGTTTTCTGGACAATTATTTGCCATAGCAGTCATTCTTTTCTGGTAAAATTGGCAGCTGCTTTGCAAACGCCGTCGCTGCTCGATTGCGACAGCATTGATGTTAGTCCGTATGGTTTGCGAGCCATGGCTCAATTAAAGAACATAACGGCTGGTTTCATTAGCATAAAGCCGTAGCACGGTCCAACAAGAGAGTTGCACTTACAATGCCAGATTTTCTCGGTCAGTCAGATCCAGTTGCCTTGCATCAACAACCTCCTCCGTTCGCTGGCCGTTCTCGTCGGTATGTTCCAGTACTCCAACCTCCCGGATCTCACCATTTTTTGCCAAGGCATCACGTCTTTTGTTTTCCTTTTGCAAGTAGTAACGCAAGTATAACACAATGCCCATGGGAAGGACACATGCCACCCAAAGAATGACCCACCACGTTGTGATGTACCTCGGTTTGTACTGCCCCTGGAATAGCTGAGGTGAGAGAATATTGCCTAGTCCGTAGCCGACATGATACAAAGCGATGACTAGAGCGGCGATATACTATTAGCTTGGAAGTCCCAGGGCCGGTGTTTGTTCAAGTAGAATCTATCTCGAGCGAGGGAGCTCTCACCAGCCGTCTTCTTCGTGTGTCCAGCCGAACAGTTCACAGCCCAGATCATGACCACGCTGTACGCAATGCCCGCTGTCGCCCGGATATAGATGGCCACCAAGAGGCCAGCCTTGTTGTCCCATGGCAGTGTGATGAGCATAATGCACGAAACGATCGGCAGGACATACGATGCGGCAGACAGCCATGCCCTGGTATCTCGTGTTTTGGACAGCACAATAGCTGCAGCACCGAGAGAGATCAGTGCCGTCAGGCCATTGATGCAGCCTAAAAGTGTTGTTTCCAGTGTGCTAAATCCGAACGATTGGATGATCAGTGAGTACTGATTCGTCAGACCGTTGGCCATCTCCTGGGACCAGGCATGCAGGAAGAACAACCAAGTCTTGGGATCCTTCAGTGCTTCAATGAATTGGGCCTTCTTAAAGTGCTTTTGCTCAATACCGGAGTGATTTGAGGCGATACGCAGAATTGATTGCGCTCGTTCCTCAGGAGTGAGGAAGTGTGCGGATGCTGGATTGTCGGGGAGGAGGAAATAGACTGCGACTCCGTATATGACGGTGAGAGCGCCGGTGATAACTGAAGCATGTTAGAACGTTCCCATAAGATGTCCATTAGCGCAAGCCACGGCGGAACTCGTTGCTCACCCATAAACCATTTCCATGGCGCGAAGCTTCCTGTGTTGATGAACAAAACACCGTACGACAACAACCCGGACGTGATTGGGCTGGAGTTGCCGCAAGCCCACATGATTTGCATCAAAACTCCCTGCTCATCGTACGTGAAGAACATTGACAAAATGATAAGGAAGGACGGTACTATGCACGCTTCTGCCAGACCCAGGAAAAAGCGCACAACAAAGAGGGATGCAAAGTTGTTGCATGGGATGTGTAAGAGCAGAATCGAGCCCCTGCAGAGGAAATTATGCCCATGTTAGCTTGTGCTGCCTCCGATCCACGCGGATGCACGCCGCAACTTACCAGACGATTAGATTTATGGCCAGATATTTTGCTACCGGGAAGCGTTGCAAAGCTAGGTTCTGAGGCCATTCTGCCAGTAGATAACCAAGATAGAAAATCGAAGAAAGCCAATTGTATTGACTCGTATTGAGATGAGCATCCGTCAGGATCCCTAGAATGGATGAGCTCCCCAGCTATGAAATTGTCAGCTCTCTCGCAGCTACTCATTGTTTGTGCGAGATGGCTCGAGCCGTGGTGAAAGGCTTCATTCTTCCTCGAGATCCGAACCCCAGGAGTGCTTACCGTTTGCTTGTCCACATACATCAAGTGATATCCCAGACAAATGAACGGAATGATCCAACGAACGCATTTCTTTCGGATTCTTTCCGCCTCTTCCGGCGTGGGCGGCTCAACTTTGATACGAGATAGTAGTTTGTAGCTCTCGTCTGCGTAGCGATCAGAAAGCTTAGGAACCACTGGGGCCTCTTCATCTTGGCTCGACGCCGTCGTTTCCTCCAAGGCTGGCTTGGACATGGCTATGGTTGAATGGCTTTCGTCTTTTTGAATTGCAAGTTCAAAAGCAGAGCGTGTTATCAGGTATTGCCCACGTCGTCGAGAATTGAAAATCTTCGGATTGCCTAAATCGAAAATCTCATCCGACCCGAAATTGAGGGGAATTGCTGAACAACTTTATTCCCAGCTTCTCAAGAAGTAGCCAAGGGCCGCTGTCACCATCGCTCGTCAAACCCCACGCGGATGGCGAAAACCACATCCCTGAGCTGCACCTGAGCGGGGTGGTTACCAAATTTCTAGATTAGACGATACTTCGTTCTCAAAAACGGTGGATGGTCTTGCAGAGATGGTGTGCACCGGTACATATGACAACGGTGATCATTCTGATAAGCCAGCATTTGGGGTGGTAGTCGTCATCTGCGGCTCTTCTCACACCATCGCGGACTCACAAGACGACTACAAATCCCCTCATACATACTTAATCAACCATGTTGCTGTTATGGATCTTGTGAATATGGCTGAATTCGCTACTATAGACCTCCTTTGAATAATTCTGAGACATGGCTGAACAGACGAAAATCCGAATCGCCGTCGTGGGCGCTGGCATCGCCGGTCTCGCTACAGCTATCGCTCTCAAGGGTCACCCAGGGGTCGATGTGCAAATCTACGAGCGAGCGAGCGAGCTCCGAGAAATTGGAGCTTCTATTGCACTCGGGCCAAATGGAATGAGGACATTGGATAGGCTCGGCGTTGATAATGCCCTGAGTCCTGACATTGCTTTCCGAAACAAATCAAGGTGTCCCATGATCTACCGGTAGGAACTCGCCATCAAATGCAGCGATGTTAGTATAATCTCACAGCATGAAAACAGACACTACAAGACCGCCGAGATAGTCTCAGTCGATACACATGTAGGAAAGGTTGACGACGATCACCTGACGTCGCGCTACTACCGAGCACACCTCCAAAAGGCCCTTCTCGAGCATGTTAAACCTTCGCAGATTCATTTGCAGAAATCGTTCGAGTCTGTCGAATTCGATGAAAGCCGTCAAGAGCTTGCTATCACCTTTGGAGACGGTACCACTGTATCTGCCGACATCATCCTCGGAGCAGATGGAATTCATTCAAAAGTGAGGACCTTCTTTGTCCCAACTTCCAGAACCGGTTGGACCGGATGGGTGACTTTCAGATCCGCCTTTTCGGTTTCTGAGTTGTCCGGAATCGACGTTCCTGAGGAAGCCGAGCACATCTGGGGCCCCGACCGAACGCTCTTCATTTCCAAACTCGGAAAGAATCTCTTTGTAAGCTCCAGCGTCTGCTACAATTGATACCATCATATTTCCAAATATTTCATTTTGTGAGCGTGAGGAATATCTTTGGACGTATGTCTCGTCGAGACAGCAAAATACTGTATTCTACTCGCCCGCACACTTAAGTTGTTTTATTTTTCATCATCGGAAACGGTTGGAACCTCAGGCATCATTATCGTTCGCTTACTATACAGAGATTCCTGTTCTAGCTGCTGCTAACACACTTCCTGACATAGACAGTCGTTGGGTCACACCAATCCGATCCTAACGCCCCAGATGCCCCATACAAAGACGCAGTCTGGAACTCCCCCGGGGATGTGCGCACCTTGCGCGAATACTACAAAGACTGGCACCCCAGGTACCGTGACATAGTCAACGCGACGCCCTACACCCACATCTATCCAAACGCAGCGGCGCACGCCCTCGACACGTGGGTTTTGGGGAACGGGCGAGTGACGCTCGCAGGGGATGCGGCGCACGCCCACGGAGGAGCCTTCGCCGCAGGCGGCAGTCTCGCGCTCGATGATGCGTGGGCCTTTGCGGCCGCCATCACGTACGTATTTCCTCCCGAGGCCGTGAAGGCGCGTTCAGGCCCCGTGGTGGCTGGCAAGGACGTGGCCAGGGCTTTACAGATCTACGAGAAGACGCGCAAGGGACACACGGACCGGGTTATGGCGGTGGTCCACGAGATGAACGAAAAGAAGGTGGCGCGGCTCGGGCATGTCCAGACAGATGAGGACTTGAGGGCCCGGATGAAGAATCGGTACGACCCATCATGGATACATGAGCATGATGTTCAAGCGGCTTTCGAGCAGGCTCTGTAGTCTTTGGTCGCCCGTTGATATTTTTTTTTGGAGTACCCTATTCCTAGACTAGAATGAGGAACGTATCATCTGCGAGATCTGCCTTTATAGACCTAACTACAACTAGCCACGAAGATTGTTCTAGCTTCGACCAGTCAAAGACTTGAACTGCCCTGGAAAAAGACCATATCTTGAATCATAGCGCCTCTGAATACTACCACCTTGAACTTCTTATTCCTGCCGCAAATTTTCGATTGCAAGATCACCAAAATTGCGATACGTGCCCAGGATTTAGAGATGGGACCCAAGGCCAACAATAGCAGCTGAGAATACAGCACGAACAGGGAGAGCTGCTCGAAGCATGGTAGACGTATTGCGAAGCATATCATTGTCTAGGTAGACCCCTCATGTAGAGCATAAAACCGGTGTTAGCAACGTCAGGTTCTGGCTGTCACGACCAAGCCTGCAGAGAGAGCTTGGGCAAGCTGGGCAGAAGAGCTAATATCCTCGAGCGGTCGAGGAAACAAGGACGACTCGGTGGGTGAATCCTATGGACAAGGCGGGCGGCATCAGTGGTGAAGAGAATAGCTGAGAAGACCAGGTCGAGTATACAAGCTAGAGACATAGAAATACAGGGCCCTGTTCATGCTGCTGGTCAGAGCACTATGAAGCGACAGAGTAAGGAATTATACAGAATTATAAAACAACACACGTTAGTAAGTACGAAAAAGATCTTATTACTGCTCGAGCACCCTGGCTATTAACCTACGGCCCGTCATAGAAAGAGACTCTTCACTGCATCCGGCAAAAGACCAAGCCTCATCCCCGATGTGCCTGCAGTACGCAAAGGCGTATGTATCGCCCATGGACGCCTACTGAGCTGCATAGGCCTCCTCACAGTCAGTGTTACAGAAGCCAGTCTGGACTTCAGCATTCTCGTAGGTTATACCCTCTGCACACCTGCCATACATCTTCGCATCAAGCTCGACCTCTTGGCATGGTGTAATCAGTGTGGAAACGAACGGATTGCCATCTTGGCCGAGAATGAACGCATGGCAAAAGCAGCACCTATGCGTGGTTTCGGTTTCAATGCACATCGTTTCTGGATACTTGGGGTTAGTTTCAAGACACAAGGAGGCTTGGTCCGATATAAGAATTGCAGACGTCGCCGAGACCTGGGACTTGCCTCGTAATTTCGCTGTATTGCTAAGTTCTATTCGTTTTCGGTGTTAGATTTCGTGTGTTTCGTTCACAGCGTCTTCAGCTTGGCTTGTCAGGGATCGATGATGTGTGTTGATGTTGAAGCGCAGGCGGTTGCCTCCTTGAATTGAGAACGAGACTATTTATATTATCGAGCGCTCCCATCAATGTCTGCTTCACTGGAGTGAGTGAAGGTTGAGGACCAGTGCTGCACTTCATGGGTCAGTTTCCTTTGCCGCGATTCACGTCGTTCCAGTGCTGCCACCAGTCTGAGAAGTTGTGACTTCCCTGCGTGCGTATGACGGAGAACGTCGCCGTTACACCCTTCCACTATCGACCCTGTAAGATCACGGGCGGAAGTATGAAAGGCACACGGGTCAAGGTAAGGCCATGATCACCGTTGTGGCACATGCTGACTGGAACCTGTTTTCGGTTTGTGTGCTTTTACATAAGGGTTTTGGATAATTGTACCATGTGTCGACTTCCCATTCTCTGTGAGATAGGAGACTCGAATTAAAATTATCATCACTTGAACGAATATTACTTGGAATCATAAAGATAGACGCATCAGCAACTTTCAACAATGGAAACTGTTTATTGCCCTAAGGTGCAACAGCCGACGCAAGGGAATTCTTTCGATTAGCCATAGGCGAGAAAATGTGACATGATTCTCTCATGCGTGTCGAATCGTTTTGACCTCCAATAGTCTACACTACGCCTAAGTACTTCGCCATCAAAGCGTCCATTTTTCTCTGCCCTATCCACTGACACAAGCTCTACATCACCTAGAGCATGAGATAGTCCTTGTAGCCTGTTGACAACCACAAGCTCATTTCAACAACGCAGCAACGGAGTAATTATTGAGTCGCACATACTGCATACTGGATTGGCAAAGGACATGATATCCACACAAACCCCACCAGGATCACCACCTTAGGAAGACAGCCTCTGCCATCGCCTCAGCCAGGCCATTCCGACCACGACCAAGACTCTAATCAAATGGATCACTGTTCGACCTGTCCTAATTTCTCTGCAGCAGCAAATTGTGAATCTTCCGGGATCTTTTGGTTGTGCATTGCTCTGTGACATTATTCTCAGTAAGACTATGATTTTAGTGTGTTTGTTGGGCGCAGAAAGGTGGTTATACCCTTTCAGACCCGCAGCAACATTGCTGAGGTTCTTGGCTTGGTCTCCATCCATGATGACTGCCAGGATCCCCGGATTAGTTTAAACTTGGACAACTCTATCAGGCCTTGTGGACATACTGTTGTGCTCATCCTTTAGGACCTCCTTGGAATGCTCCTTGGCTCCGTCTGAGGTATTTGGGTTATGAATATTCGCCTTGTGGCCAGCAATAACGTGCGCTTCGGTAGGCATTTTGTATGTAGTTGAGGTACAAACTTTTCGAAGCTGCTATGAAGATTGTAGATGAATCGAACGTGCCTGACAGTCTGCTGATATAGGCTTCGTAGAAGGATGAAGTCCTCGTTTCTTTGTACACAAAAGGCATTTGTTTATGGCGCTTTACTTGATATATCCCGATAATGAGAAACCCCCTTCCACATTCATCTCGATCTAGGCACTTCTGCCTACGTTTTGACGTCATTGTTGTCATGCATTGTGGCACGGAAGGTGTGGCTGGCTGCCTGCTTGGCTGCCATCTGATGCCGCGTGGGGGGTTGTTATGTGTAGCATGACGTCTTGTGCTGTGTGTGGATATCACTGTTCCATAGACTATAGTGGTATGTGACTTTGCTGTGCAGGATTGATAATTGGAGAGATCAATATGATAGGAGGGTGGAGAGACGACCTGACGTCCGTCGTGGGAGCCCTTCACTTAGGATCATCAGACTGCAGTGGTAAGTGATATAATACGGTGGGGGGGGGGGGGGGCTCCGGGGAAGTATTCTAAATGTTCAGGCCTGTCCAGGACGTGGACGAATCATATGCAATGCAGCCCGCCTGGCTGTCACCATAAGAGCCCTGTGCGGGTTTGGCACGACGCCGACGCAACTTATGCCCAATGAGATAGCATGGTAGTCCTAGTACCACACCTCAAGACTTTTGAGAAAATGTTTTAAAATGCAGTACTTGAAATCAAGAATAAATGCAGCATCTTATACTCAGCAGAACATAACCCTTATGTAAGCAACCCCTGTACGGGCTGGCGGTCTGCGGACACTACCTAGTATTGGGTATAGTTTCCACTGCTGCTGCTTAGTCAAACCCGCGTGGCCCGCCATCTAATGTCCACTTCCTCCTGAAAGGCGCCTTCTAACATTTTATTCAGTGAGTACTACTCAACCTTCCTGTCCTCAGAGTCTACTCCCAGTTGTCTTGCTTTATCGGCATCGAACTTTCATAATGGATCTTACACTTGAGAACAAAGCCTGCACTGCATGTGCAAAAGCAAAACGCAGATGCGGCAAGCAGATTCCGACTTGTAGCCGCTGCACTTCACGAGGCATCTCCTGCCAATATCCACCAACCGGGCGATTTGTCCATCCACCTCGACAGACTAAGGAGACGCATTTCCCGACTGTACAACCAATCTCTACAGTAGATGCATCGCTCTCTACCTCCATTTCAAGCACACTCTTCGACTTGTCTGGGAATACCATGGTCATCGACAACCTCTTTCCCACCGGGATAGATTTCGAGTGTGTTGATCCGCAGAGCCCGCATGCTCTCGATTGTCTGGATGAGAGGGATCAAACCACCCTCCCATGGTACTTGGAACTCTCTTCGTGGGAACTCGATCATCTGCCTCCACCACCATATAATACACCAATTTGTACCAAAATATTAGATGATATCATTGAACATGTTCAGGAATGGCAAATCCGCTGGGTCAACACAGCCTCCAGCCCTTATATACATCGACATGTCTACAAGTTTCAAACGCCAAGATGTGTCATGGATGCTTTCACAACTCTTTCAACGTACAACCATCGGACACCTGAGAACAAAGCTATAGTGCTCCGTCTAGTCGAAGAAAGAATATGCCAGTTATTGGCAGATCAGCCCGAAGTTGATGAGGACGACAGGAGCAGCACACACTCAAAACTCACCGTCTTTGAGCACTTGGCTCGTGTGCATGCTCTACATATTTATCAAACAATCGGTCTTTATGACGGAGCCATCCGGCTTCGGCACGTTGCCGAGGCACAGATCCCAACTATGAGCAGCTGGCTCCATCAGCTCCTGGAGGCCGCAAAAGTCGCAGCTGCTCGGGGCTCAGAAAAGTTCGTACAATCGATTATCGCCCCGAGAGATTCTGGTCCAGCTTCACGATTTCGGCCCTCCGTGGGGCTTGGGCTCGTCTCGAATGACTACATGCCCGCTCTTGCCAGCACACGTGGCCGCCCAACTCTCAGCCCCGAGGATACGGCGTGGTATGCGTGGGGTTTTGCCGAGACAATCCGTCGTACATGGTTTGTATGCTCGTGTACCCAGATGGTTTACCTTACTCTCCAGATGAGATGGGCTCCGTGCCCTGGAGGGGTCATGTTCACTACGTGTGAGGGGCTATGGGACGCAGACTCGGCTGTTGAATGGGAGTCACTCTGCGAGACGCTCCAAAATAATCGCGACGGTATTGATTTCGTCAGTCGACAGCAGTGGGACCGCATTTTCGATCGCAGACGGCCGGAGGATGTTGACGAATTCACAACTTCTACTCTCGATATCAATTTTGGTTCGCTCGTCTCCTGCTAAGTCTTCTTTGAGCTCGAAGCTAATGACCAAACAGGGACGGAAAGAGTTCAGAAATGGAGGGCCAAGACGAGTGCAAGATGACGAGACACAGCGCTGGGTGGTGCCTTTCATGTATCCCAAGTTTCGTGAGCGGACATATTATTGCTCTGCTCATTCAGGACGCCCCTGACGCGTGATTGAGGCGACTTTCAGCGGCTCATTAAGTAGATGGGCCAGGTTTATAGTGCAAGGTTGGGGTACATTCAACCTCAATATACGGACGTAGAGTCTACAGCCATGGACACGAGATATGTACCTATTATAGACAGTCTTTAACACAAGTGACAAAAACGTTCTGTCGCATGCAGGGGTTGATAGATCTTCGGTTCTTTCTTGTGGTTGACTTTTTGCATTGAAACAACAAAGAAAGGGAGATAGGAACCTGCTTTGTATTGAAATACATGGTGAACAAGCGAAATATGAATCCTCGACGCCCTGATCCGTCGAAAGCGAGCGGCCGGTGCGTGCCTGGGTTTACAAAATGCATCGCCATAGCAGACGTATGGAGTTTTGGCGGGAGCACCTTGCCTTGAACATATGCAAAGGACGAAACAGTGATATTGAGGTTATCACGAGGCCTACAATGTAATAAAAAAACGGCAATCTAAGCTTACCGTTACAAAATCGGTGCTGCCTGTTGCCTAAGTCTAAATGGGCTAGAGGCGGACTCGAGCAGTGTGGCAGAGAGAAGCGCCAAGAAATTGATTTAGTGGATATGGCTCCTACAGCGCCACAACGCCCTTTTTACAGGATCGGAGCTGACAGTTCACCCTTATAACTGCGCTGAAAACCAAGTATGACGTGAGATTCAATCACTGTATGTAGCATGTTGATTTGATACTTCCTTTGTGGAGATGGGTTGATGCTGTGCCACCAGCTAATGATATCGCTGGTGCTGGCTGACTTGGCAGATCTCACATATGGCTTTGCAGCCAATTCCAAGGCAAGACCATGCAATTGAATAGCTCTAATATATAATCACCGCCACAATCACTTTCGCCAGTATGGGCGGGAGAGACCATTGCTTTTTCTAAGCCAAGACACCACAAATCACTCAATATGACGAAGCCTACCATCACCACCCTCGAGGCGCCCATCGCCATCCTCCCCAGATATGTAGCGCAGAAACCAACCACCCTTCACCTAAAAGGCCACCTATCCAGCTTCTCCGGAGGCGATTTCACCATCACCGACGAGACACCAGGCCAGCCACCGCGCGAGGTCTTCAGCACAGACGCCCAGGCCATGTCTATGCGGGAGAAGCGCGTCCTCCTAGACGCCTCGCGGCAGCCGCTCTTTGCGTTCCAGCGCAAGGTCATGTCGATGCTGGGTACCTGGTATATCCTGCTGCCGGAGCAGACGGTCGATGCGCCGGCTGCGCGCTTCGAGGTCAAGTGGTCGATGGGGAGTAAGAAGATTGATGCATTCATCGCTAAGGGCGATGGGACGTGGCAGCAGCTGAAGATCAGGGGGCAGAGCATGTGGAAGAGCAGGACGGATGTCTTTCTTGGTGAGTCGAATGTGGCGATTATGAGCGCGAATAAGAAGAAGTGGGCATTGAGGCAGGAGTGGACTGTGGATGTCGCGCAGGGGATGGACACCTCGCTGGTAAGTTGATCAGATGCGAGTCTCTTGGATTTATTTGCTCACTCGCTTTCTAGGCGTCCGCAATCATAGTCGTCTTGGCTGCTATCGAGCAGAACGCAAATGCGGCAAGTAGCTCGTGAAGAGGATCTGCCGTGCGAGTATTGCCATGGGAAAAAAGAAAGAGCAAAAGTGAGAAAATCGTGGCTTCCGCCGTCGTGAAGTCCAGATGATGGCCTACAGAGCTGCTGAAGGCGTCCAGAAGCAGTGGAGATGGGTTTGCCCAGGTTGTGTTGGACGTGTCGAGGAATGTATTCTATTGTAGTGCAGTCTACAAGGCACACTATAGAAGGCATCTTAAAGCTGTGTAAAGATATGACTAAACTTCAACAAGCGTGGTAAATGATTTGCTCCATTATCAAATATTTTGGCTCGCATCTCTGGGGCTTGTCAAAGTCCAGTAATGGAAGTCATTGATGAAAGAAGATTGCACACTAGACATTCATGCACTTACGTGCTTAATTTCTTGATTTGCCGAAGGAGGAAGAGTAAATTTAGAAATTTCAGATACTCTAATGTTGCCGAAAAATCTTGATGTGTTTCCAGATAGACGTATATCTATTGGTAATAAAAATCGCTATGCCTCATCCACCACAAAGGAAAGTTGCGAAAACCAGGAACTACAACCCTTTGACAATTAAACAGTAGGCAGATCCATTCATTTAACGCTAGAGACCTTGAATTGGATAACATCATCAAAATACCTGCCTTACAGTAATCATGCTGTTGGAAGTATGAAATCTTGGTTGTTGAATGAACCTTTGGGGATTTTACAGAATCAGGCATGCGATCATCCAGTCCGGCAATCACCTGGAGGCTAGTGAGAGTTTTGGGCTATCAGTTGGGCCAACGACTTCTCAAACAACTGTTTAGCCAAATACCGATTGGTAGACGAATCACACCTAATAATGAGGGCTATATATTGTCATCTGGTTTCACACCATGACTTTGAAGTTTATAACGATCTTTTTGATTGTTCTTTCTCAGTGGAACTTTTAACAGTTTCCATCCCTCAGGCCGATGTGGGGCCTCGTGAACACTGAAGGTTTCCAGCCATCTTGCCTTTGAAATCTAATAGAAAAGAAATGGACAACATTTTGACCACTGCCCACACCCAAAACATGATGCTACGTGCGCAAATTTGCAATAATTACGGAATAATCTAATGCTGGAAGTATAAAGTCGACTCAGCTCTTACACTGACAGCAACAGGGGTCCCCTGAAGATGTTTAAACCGTGATTAAGCGACGAGCCCTGAGTCTCACTGTCTCACAAGGGAGTAGTTGCTATTACAATTGGCTAGGCTAATAGAACTATGACACCTAAGAAAGACCACCTGACAGACTATGAAGATGCAGTGACTAAAAAGTTCGTAGGGGGTGAAACTTCACGACAAGGTATGCAGCAGCCCTGGAGATTTCCAAGGTAACGCGCACCAGGATTTCCACGGCACAAAAGGAGCCCCACAATTCCCCCGGCCGTTCGCCCCGCACAGAAAGATGGCAGGTGCGAATGGTGCTCTTTTCGACCCTTCTGAAAGAGGCCCTGGCCCTTATCGTCTTCTCCACCAGGGCCAGTGCTCTTGCCGATGGAGCCATAGGCCTGGGGAAGCCGCTCTCTGCAGGGACAATTCATCATACGTGCCAGGTACTTGCCTATTCATATACGTGTTTGTTGTCCTCCTTCTCTTTCCTCCCTTTGCTCGTCCTCAACCAACCACTGTGGTTTTGTTTTTGTACATCTTGATCAAGTTGACGACCCCTGACGAAACTGTGCGACTTACTTGTGGGTGTTTGTCGGCACATGGTGTGCCCTTCGCCCTCCACCCATTCTTTTCAAAGTCACTCTGTAATCTGGAGACAACTAACCCCTCCTTTGCTCCCTCCCTTTGACCCGCCAATTGACAATTGCTGGCAGATACGCAAGTACTTGTTGCGTTCGCCATACCGTTTTCCATAACCGATATCACACAAATTTCCCCAGAGTTGGAACCCCGCTCTCCAACTTTTCGCTGCACCACCACCACCACCACCACTACTGGCACCACTTAGCATCCATGTCAATCACAGCCCTTCTTCGTCTCCGGCCTGCACCAGGGACCCGGACCAGTCACATCTGCCGGAATTACCGCGCCTATATACCAGCACTCGCACCAGCACCAGCACTCGGAAATGCTGCCGGTCCTCTTTCCCGAGGTCACTCATCCGGGAGCAATGATGCCCGCAGTAGTAGTGGACGGCTCCGGTCTAGGACCGATGGCCTCAATCACATTAGTCGCCTGGAACCTCCATCCTCAGTCTCGAGGTTCTCCTCACTCTCCCCTGCCAAGTCCTTGACACTTTCATCATCGGCTGTTGGGCAAACAGCATCATCACCAGTCATATCACAGCCTATCAGACACGCTCACAGCACAGCGTCTCCGCCCAACATGTATACTACATCCTTTGCCTTTTTCGAGGCCATCTGGGAGGCTGGTATCACCCATTGCTTCGTGAACCTGGGCTCAGACCATCCCAGCATCATCGAGGCCATGGTCAAGGGCCAACGTGAGAAGAAGGGAGCCTTTCCTCGCATCATCACATGTCCCAATGAGGTGAGTGATCTTGCTGTGTTGCACGCACACACACACAGATGTCTCAGAATATAGTCTAGTAATTACATAATGACACATACTGACAAAACGAGCTTTCAGATGGTCGCCATGTCTATGGCTGACGGGTACGCCCGCCTCACCAACAAGCCACAGGCTGTCATCGTCCACGTCGACGTCGGCACGCAAGGCTTCGGCGCTGCCGTACACAATGCCAGCACGGGTAGGGCGCCCGTTCTCCTCTTTGCGGGCCTCTCGCCGTTCACTCTTGAGGGCGAGATGCGCGGCTCCCGCACTGAGTACATCCACTGGATCCAGGACGTACCCGACCAGAAGCAAATCCTGGCTCAGTATATGCGGTACAGCGGCGAGCTGCGCACGGGTAAGAACGTCAAACAGATGGTCAACCGCGCCCTGCAATTCGCGCGGTCAGCGCCTCAGGGCCCTGTATACCTGTGTGGCGCCCGCGAGGTCATGGAGGAGGATATCCAGCCCTACTCGGTTGAGCAGAAGTATTGGGAGCCCGTGGAGCTGGGTGGCCTGCCGTCGCATGGCGTCAAAGACATTGCTGAGGCGCTGGCGGGTGCCAAGGAGCCGCTGGTGATCACTGCATATGCCGGTCGGAACCACAAGTTCCCCGCGAAGCTGGTCGAGCTGGCGAACACCGTCAAGGGGCTGCGTGTGCTGGACACGGGCGGTAGCGATATGTGCTTTCCTGCATCTCACCCGGGCTGGGTGGGCCTCAGATTCGGCCGCGAGGACGTGATCCAGTCCGCTGATGTCATCCTCGTGCTGGACTGCGACGTGCCGTGGATTCCGACGGGGTGCAAGCCCAAGAAAGACGCCAAGATCTTCCATGTTGACTGTGACCCGTTGAAGCAGATGATGCCATTGTTCTACATCGACGCAGAGCAGCGATACAGGGCGGACAGCCTGACCGCGACCGAGCAGATCACTGAGCGTCTCAAGACCGACGAGACATTAAAGTCCACACTTGCAAGTGCAGAGGCCAGCGAGCGGGGTGAGGCACTCCAGGCAAGCTACAACAAGAGGCTCGCGGATATCGAGGCGCGGATCAAGCCTACCGACAACGGCGAGTTCGGCTCGGGGTACCTGAGCAGGAGGCTCAAAGAGTTGTGCCCCAAGGAGACGATCTGGGCGATCGAGGCTGTCACCAACACGGTATTTGTACATGACAACCTGCAGCCTGAGGAGCCGGGTTCGTGGATCAACTGCGGCGGTGGTGGGCTGGGTTGGTCTGGTGGCGGTGCGCTGGGCATCAAGCTCGCGACGGATGCAGAGACGGGCGGGCCAGGTAAGGGCAAGTTCGTGGTACAGATCGTGGGCGATGGGACGTTTTTGTTCTCCGTGCCAGGGAGTGTCTACTGGATTGCTCAGCGATATGGCATTCCCGTGTTGACCATTGTGCTGAACAACAAAGGTAAGTCGATATTATGCTTGCAATCAAACAGACTTGTTTCCCATTTATATATTGACTCTGTTATTTTCCCACCTCACAGGTTGGAACGCGCCGCGAAAGTCGCTCTTGCTCGTTCACCCAGACGGTTTGGGTTCCAAGGCAACCAACGAGGAGATCAACATATCCTTCCAGCCGACGCCCGATTACGCCGGCATTGCCAAGGCGGCGGCCTGTGGTAACCTGTATGCTGCGCAGGTTGACAATGTCAAAGACCTCGATACTGTCCTGAAGGAAGCTATCGAAAGTGTCAAGAGCGGCACCAGCGCGGTGCTAGACTGCAAGGTACTCAAGGATTGCTAGATTCTGTTAGGCTCCTAGAAGCAGACCGCAGTGCGTCGATTAAGTCAAGTGTCTCGTCCATGTCGGATGGATGATGGGTGGGGGAGTTGTTGGTCGGGCAGACTTGAAGAAATCTCTTTTGGGCATTCCTTACTGCGGAATGATATAGACTGGTGATCGGCGCAAGACCTGTTGCATGCGACCATCGGAAACATATGCACCTATGATGATCTGATTTTCATGCCGTGTACCATCGCTTACGATGTGGTACTCCAGAGCTCACTATATTTTCCATGTCATTGGTTCTGCCCTGGTCACCTAAGCTGGTCTCAAGGTCTCGAACAGCACACATTTTTTTTTTCTTCCTATTCTTTTCTTTTCTTCCTCCCCCACCCCCTCCCAACTAAAAAGAAAAAAAAGACGCTGTTAAATAATTAAGACATTCCTCTGCAATGGTCCACCAACCTGAAACTATCTTAATAGATGCGCGAGCTGCCCATCTATTTAGCCTCATATATGTGAGATGAGATTGCCGACGACGACATGGTTCTAGACCACTACCTACACGGGGAGATGTGTGTGGGTGAACCCTACCTGAGTAACGGTTCTTCTTGTCGATGAGACGACCAGCTCTTTTACTGTTGAGGCGATAAAGCCAAAGTAAACACTCCGACGAAGAGACGAGGGAGAACATCTTGCCAAGCTGTTGTAACCCCCACCACGCAGCCCGACCTTCAAAAAGAGAGGAGAAAAGATAGCAAAGAATAGAGATCGACAGGTCTAAATCTACCCTCCTGCATAACGGAATGCAATCCCCGTGGCCCCTACGTAAGAAGCTGTGGAGGGGAGGGTGTCAAACCTTGCTCAGTGGTGGTGGTAATAATGGTGGCGATAAATAAATTGATAAGTGAAGAACGAAGGCGAGTAGGAGAAGTAGGATGAGGCGGGTGATGGTGAGCCGTCTGGCCCCCCGGTGAGACCGGTTGGTTGCATTGGGAAAAGTCACCGACTCCTCCCCTGCTGGTGGTGTGCGGTGTGGCTAATTCTGTTGTTTAGCTGCCGCTTTCTACTATAGTCCACCAGCTTTAGTAGCTTGATAGCTCTACTATGGTACATGGTGGTTGGTGGAAGGGTCGAGGGGGGGTCGAGGGGCAAATTGCTCAGGTGCTTCTCTTGTCTCTCTCTTTTGGTTGCCCTGTAGCTGAGCAGCCAGGTATGAGCTCTGCAGTGGGTGGTGGTGGGTGGACGGATGATCAGCCACGGGATCCCAGCTGGTCTAGGCTGGTCGAGTGATCTGCTGGGGTACGGTGCTCTGTGCTACTGTAGCACCATGGTACCTAGTATACGAGGGCTGTTAGGGGTCCTACTGTGTGCTATGGCACCTTTGCCCCTCATCGAGGTAACATCTGATGAGGCTCCTCATGGTGCCATGCTGCTCAACATTCTCCACTCCCCACCAGGTCTGAGGGAAAAAAATAATAAAAAAATTGCAACTGGCCATGAGCTTTTCATGTGGGCACAAGAATGAAAAGAGAATAAATGAACCTCCTCCTCCCTCTCCCAGCTCCTGCCGTGGTCAACGTTGGCACTTAGGACCCAACTACTCCTACCCTGTGCTGTGCTGCTGTGGATTCTAGGGCGGGGAGGGGACACAACCTGGACTGGCTTCTGTTCCCAGCACCTCTCTCCAATTTCTTCCCCACAATAACCACACTGGTCTGGACTGCAGTGGGCCCCACCCTCTAAAGACTTACCCCCCAGGGCCCTTAACTCCACGCCGCGCTTCTTCCCTCCCGAACAAAGAGCCAAGCCCAAAGTCACGCTCACTACTCGCCTTTTCTCCTACCGAGGTAGTCAATATCGCATTTTCGTAGCTGGACGGGTCTCTTTTCTTCCTCCAACACCAACCCAGAGACAAGGTCGCGGTGAGACTTGGACGACAGGCCCAACCCAGCTCAGCCCAGTCCCAGGCGAGATCATGAGCAGCCTGATGCTAAGATTGCCGTCTCGAAGATTCATAGCAGCCATACGCATACGGGACCAGCCTCCGTGGCCCACGTAACCTCCAACCTCGACGAGAAGAGCCTATCCACAGACACAGACACGTGCCTACACCAAATACCATATCACTCACGCGCGCACAGAGACGAACGAAGGAGGCCCATGCTAGGTGCTACCTTGTATACGCCACGACACCACAAGACACCAATCGCGCCGCGCAGGCAGGCAAACAAGAATAGCCACTACGCGCCGTCCTCAAAGTTTTCTCCCGCACGAGCGGTTACAAGGACAAGAGAGGGCCACACAGGTACAGAGGTCGTGAGGGACCGGATACAGGAGGATAGGGCAAGCCGGCTTGTACTGCTTCTCTGAGGGACAGACTTCTGTCTAGACCCCGCTTCAAGCTTGCCGAGCAGACAAGAAAATCGCGTCTGCCGACTGAAGCTCTTTGGTCGCGTGGAAGACGGCGGGATGTCGCCGAACCCCCAAGATGCAGGGGGAGCAACATCGCCAACAAGACCAGAATCGATGGCGGAAGATCACAACCTAGGGTCTGGCGACCAACAACCCGTACCAAAGTCTCCTCCGCCGCCGCCCAACCCTTCGACCGACCCCAGGCTGATCGTCCAGCCGCCCCCGCCCAACCTCCAGCAGGTCACCTCCCCACAGCTCGGAGCACAGCCTGACGACATCTTCCAGGTCCCGGCGCTGGCTGCCCTCAAGCTGCTTAGCGCAGGCGTCGAGGCCCTTGTGCGCATCACGGGCGACATACCACCCACACCGCCGCCGACGACACCACACGTGCCGCACATGAGGGGTATGCAGGCCGAGAAGGAGAGCATTGTGAGGAACTACTCCGAGAAAAGCCTCGCGCGGCTGAGGGAGGTCGCGCGCCAGACCCAGGACGCAGGCAACACGCCAGGTCCGCCCCAAACTATCCCTGACAGCACGCACAAGCCGTCCTCTTCCTCCTCTCCGTCCTCCACGCCCCAGCAGGAGCAGTCGCCCGGGCTGTCGATCCCAACGCCCTCTCGTGCCGTTGCTGCGCCTATCGATGGTGTATACATGAAGCCCACGCAGAGCCCCGAGCCCGGCGCTCCTGGGTCCTTCGCGCCTCCCACTTCTTCTACACCCACATCTGCGCTCGCACCCGAACCCTACGTGGTCATCGGTGCCAACAGCCAGCCGCTGAACCTGCAGCACAGTGCCATCACGCGCAAGTTCTACAGCAAGAAGCCGCCGCCGATCGGCATCGCAGACTACCTGCTTCGAATCCACCGTTTCTGCCCAATGTCGACGGCCGTCTACCTCGCCACCTCGCTCTACATCCACCGTCTCGCCGTCGATGAGCGGGCGGTGGCCGTCACGAAGCGTAACGCGCACCGTCTGCTGCTGGCCGGGCTGCGGGTCGCTATGAAGGCTCTCGAGGACCTGAGCTACCCACACGCCAAGGTCGCCAAGGTCGGCGGGGTCAGCGAGCTCGAGCTCGCTCGGCTCGAGATCAGCTTCTGCTTCCTGTGCGGCTTCGAGCTGGTCGTGGGGGCTGCGGTGCTGCAGGAGCACTGGGCCACGATGAAGAACGGACCCGACCTGGGCCACGTCGGCGGTGGTGGCGGGGGGGCTGTGCCTGGGATGAAACTGAACCTGAAGATACCGACACACCCTGGAACGCATGGGCGTTTCTCCCATTGAGGAATCATATGTTGTTTTTGAGAAGAGGTGGGAGATCCAATGAGCAAGAAAGGGGGGAGGGAGGCACCAGCAGGAGACCGAAGTATAACAAGTTTACGCACGTATATACGAAGTTTGTGTCTGTGTGTATACGTCTGCAGATCACTCTGGACTTGGCTTCATGAATGTATATATTTCAATGTTGTAAGTATACCAGGTAGATGAGAGCAAGAGTAAACATGCATGTGGGTCTGGCAATTCCAGATTAATATGATCAAATTCGTCTTCTTTCTTTCTTCTCTATCTCTTTACGTTTCTCCCTCTTGGGGTTTTTTTTCTTCTTTCTTTCTCTGCTTTCTTTTTTCTTTTCGTAGGTATCGTCGTGCTTTGGTGGTGGCATCTGGTGGTAAAAGCTACAACAGGGCCACCCCTGTCTCTACTTTGTGACCAAGCAGGATGGAGGGGTTTCCCAGTGTGATGTGGAGGGGTAATTTTTGGAGAGGGGATGGGGGGTCTCACCTTCCTGCAAGTGACCAGAGGGGTATGACCACCGTAAATGCGGGGCTCAGTTCCCCTCCCAAAAGACCACCGCCGACGACAACCGCTGGCTGCCATCCCATCTCGGTCCATCTCTTGTAAGCACACACATGCGTCTCCCGTCTTGCCGAGCAGGACATATTCTCCACTGGAGGTCGGCGCAATCAGCTGTCGTCCGTCCTAGCCTGCTCCACGCTACCAAGCCCCGATCAGCTCTATCGAGAGCTTGGAAGAGCACAAGCAATTCCTCCCTGATCCAACGCCGCGGCATTGCGAGTTCAGCAGTCCGGTCCCTGAGTGCAGTCACGCCACCACCGCCATCACAGCGCGCAGACATGGCACCCTACGAGGAGGTCCTGAGGGGGAAATACCCTGGTAAACAGCATGCCAGGAAAGTGGTCGAGTATCTTCGGTCCAAGATCCCCGATGCCACGGGCGTCATCTATGTCGAGAGCAAGAAGGCGAAGCTCCACGAGGACTGTGACCAGGAGGAGCACTTCCGGTAGGAGAGGCTCATGCCCTTTGTCGAAAGCTTCCTTTTTCTCATCATTGTGTGCTCTCATAGTCAGCGCCGTTCGTTCTACTACCTTACAGGTTGTAACCTCCCCGACTGCCACTACACCTACGACATTAGCACCGACAAGGCGACTCTGTACATTCCTCCCATCGACCCTGAGTCCGTCATCTGGTCCGGGCTCCCTCTCTCCCAGCAAGAGGCTCTAGATCAGTACGACGTCGACGGTGTTAGCTATACGACCGACGTCAATGGGTCCCTCGCCCACCTGGCCGCGTCGTCCAAGACCGTCTTCGCTGTCTCTGGCCAGGTCTCAGACAACATTACCTTCCTCGAGTTTGACGACAAGAACATGACCATCCTGAAGGAGGCGATCCAGTACAGCCGCGCAATTAAGACACCCTATGAGGTTGCCCTCATCCAGAAGGCGAACGACATTTCCTCGGTGGGCCACAAGGCTGTTATGCAGGGGGTGAAGCACGCCGCCAACGAGTCGGAGCTGCACTCTATCTTCCTGTCCAACTGCACATCCAAGAATGCCAAGAACATGGCCTACGATGTGATAGCCGCCAGCGGCCGCGCTGCTGCTACCCTCCACTATGTCAGGAACGACCAACCCCTTGCGGGCAAGCAGAATGTGTTGCTTGACGCCGGCTGCGAGCTGAATTGCTACGCGAGCGACATCACGAGGACCTTCCCTATCAGCGGCAAGTTCACTCCTGAGAGCCGCGCGATATACGACATCGTGCTGAGGATGCAGAACGAGAGCATCAACATGCTCAAGGAGGGCGTGCGGTGGGACGACGTACACGAGACCGCGCACCGTATCGCCATCGATGGCCTGCTGGAGCTGGGAGTGCTCAAGGGAGACAAGGATGAGATCTTCAAGAGCCGGACCAGCGTGGCCTTCTTCCCTCACGGGCTAGGCCACTATCTAGGCATGGACACGCATGATACCGGTGGCGACCCTAACTATGCGGATAAGGATGCTATGTTTAGGTATTTAAGGAAGAGAGGTACATTGCCTGCGGGTGCAGTGATCACGGTGGAGCCAGGCGTAAGTTTCACAGGCTTCTTTTATGTCCTTGCTGCAAGGCTGAGAGACTGACATTGGTGTATGCCACAGATTTACTTCTGCAAATTCATCATCGAGCCCGCGCTGCAAGACCCTATAGCTTCGAGATACATCGATGTGGATGTTCTGGAGAAATACTGGGATGTGGGTGGCGTGAGGTAAGTCGACTTTACGGTCAAAGTACTGTACGTGGTGAGCATGACAACAAGGCTGATCATTCACTACCTGCAGGATCGAGGACAACGTCTTGATTACATCGAGTGGCTGCGAGAACCTGACATCCGTCCTCAAGGATGCGGATGAGATTGAGAAACTTATCTCATCTAGCTGAATCTGAGTGTTCGTGTCCTTAGTGCAATCAACTTTGACGCCCCGAGATATTGGCAGCCATTCTCAAGTTTGAACAATGTTCTCCTGATCAGACGATCACTATGTTTGTGACAAAGCAAAAGGCATTGGTGTTGGTGCACAGCGGCTGTTCGATGTTCGACGTATTAACGCAATTTTAGCTAATCAGCATCCCATAATCATCGCATGTGATGATCGCTCGCAGTCAAACAAAACTCTCAAGACGTTCAATATCCCAGCGCTGAGTTTGGTTGACTTGTACACCATCTCATTAACAAAATAGGCCATCAAATATCACACTCCATAAGAAGATCGAAGTCGATCAGACTTATAGCCGTGAGAGGCAGCTTTTCCATAGGAATGATCTTCATTGCCTCACAGAAAGGAAGTCCACCCGCGACAGTGACGTTGGTCAGGACAGCATCCAGGTACGGAATATGCTCGCCATTCACCGTCGCCCGCTCGCCCACAACAGTGAACCCGATGACACCGTCCTCCATCTCTCCGAGGACCTCCTCCAGGTGCGCGATCACGCTGTCGGCGTCCGTCACGGCCTCAAACTCGAGCGTCTGGTTGCCTGGCTGCAGCTCCAGGTCCCTCGTGAGCGCCTGCCCGATCTGTACGCCACCGGCGAGCACGCTGTACGTGACATTGCCGAGTCGGACCGTCAAAGGCGACGAGTTGGGCACCTCGAGCGAGCCGCCCAGGTCCGCCTTTTCCTTCTCCTCCTCTCCTTCCTCTATATAGTCTTCCCTGGCCGCTGTCTCCATGATGCGCACACCCTCAAGACCGCGCAGCCCGGCGAGGGTGACTTGCTTGTCCAGGCGCACGGAGTACCGGCTGGCTGCCAGGCGCGCAACGGCACCCTCAGCCCGGGCGCCGACGGAGGTCACCTCTGGCGCTGCGAACGCCCTGGCGAGAAACATGGACAGCTCAGCCGTGTCACGAACTTGTACATCTTGCGCGGGCACCTCGATGGCGCTGCGGCCGCTGAGGCGGTGCCCGGGTACGGCGAGGCTGGCGAAGGCGGGGTGGCCGTTGGTGTCAGGGTTGTATAGGTCTAGGGTGAAGGGCTCCAGGTAGACTGTGGTGCCGGACGGGGTGCTGAGCTCTGTCGTGAAGCCGAGGCGGACGGCCGAGGCGTTGAGGGGCGCGAGGGTACCGTTGCTGATGGGGAGGGTGGCTTGGTCGATGGTGTGCTGTATGATGGCGGGGATGGCGACGAGGAAGCTGAGAAGAATAACTTGTTAGTGCTGTCGTGTTAGGAGGGGTTTGTTTTTTCTCTGTTGTCTTTTTCTGGATCTAGATTTCTGTCCGTGTCTTCGTCTGTCTCTGTGTCTGGATCTGGGGCGGGGTCTTCTACTCTTGGGGCTGTATCTGTGTCGGTGTAACTGTCGTCGCCCTTAACCCATCTGCCCCAAAACCTATGGGGTGCTCACTGGGACGCCATCGGTCATGCAAGTGCTGGGAGATGAGATGGACTAACAAGATTGGGAGGAAGATGATTAGGAAGATGGCAAAGGCGCATGCTCCTATGTACCATCCACGATATTCCCGGAGATGAGACAGGACCTTCTCGCCGCGCCGGGCGCGATGAACCACCACGGCTTCCGCCTCATGGGAAGGCGGAGCGCTCTGGAGCTCTTTGTGTCCTGGGTCAGAGCTCATCGTGGAGCGGCGGGTTTTACTTTCGGAATCCATTTGTTTTCTCTGGTAAAGTTCGAGATGGAAAGTCGAGGGCACGAGACGCGAAGAAAATCAGAGACTCTAGTGTAAGGTTGAAGGGGAAAGGTTCATACCGATGATGCATGAATATTGCGGCAAAGGCAAAACAATTCTGAGAGGAAGGCCAGCGTTCCCTTTTTATACTGCTCCTTGAAAGCCTCTAGGAGGACTTAAGAGTTTTGTTAGCCAAGCGGCCTAAGGACAAGTGAAGCCTGGTTGGTACTAAGATCATCATCACATGTGCTTCTTCGGTGCATAGCGTGTTGAGGCCGTCGCGATGAGCCCGTCATGGCTCAGGGCTGAGAGAGGGAAGAGAGTGGCTTTAAGCACTCTTGGATGGCGCGGTGCATGTGCTTGTCATCCTTAGTGCCCGCTTGACAGCTTTGCAAGCTCGACTTGTGATATGAGAGCGAGGCGGTGTCTATGTCATGGAAGCATCGCAAGGAAGACTCTGAACGCGATTGGTCTCTTGGGTTTTTCAAGCGACTCTTCGTCATTTTCAAATCCAGCACGTAGGTCGGAATGTTGTGATAGTTTACGTTGGCCATCGGCGGTACCGTCTCTCTTTCACTCAACTGAGATGCCAGATACATATATTGAGGCTGGAGACTTCGTGGAAAGCAATACAATCTTCTATGCTCTTTGTTTGTTAATTTGCCTTGCATCCTGAAGGTAATCAAGAAGTGCCAGACTTTTTGCAATTTTTGAGAAGCAAAGGTACTTAAGTAGTCAAGAGAAAGTTTTTCATGGAGAAAGGACTAGCTACAACACAGTGGAAGTGTTCTTGGAAGTGTTGTCTCGGAATACTGTGCCTTTTTAATCCTCCTCATGAGACTCCTTGGAGGCTTGGCCCGGCGACAGACATGGCAAAGGTACACGTGACACGAGCAACAAGGAAATTAAGAAGGTTTCATCTCAAATATTGGCCCGAAAGTATCCAAATGGCCATAGTACTGCGAGATAGGTATGTTGCCATCCACCAGCTGTGACAGTTTTGCGTAAGTCTGCAAATCGGCCCTTTTTCTTTAACGTATATGAGCCCATGAACACAACATGCTGTTGAGAACTTCGAAATGATACACAATCAAACGTTTGTTTTATTTTCTTCTATTTTCCTTTTTTCATCACCACCTTCTTCCTTCCCTTTCTTTTTACATCGTATTCTCGAGTTGGTACATGGATGTTCTTCCCTGTACACCTCCAGCGGCTTCCAGGTAGGACGTTGACCCAAGGCAAAAGACCTGATCGTAGGTTTCTAGGCTACAGTCCTTTACAAAGTGCTCTATCAATCATATGACAAGAGGATACTTTGCACCAATCTCCCCCCTCATTCTTCCAGGGCACTAATAGAAGCCTGTCAAGTGGCGAGAAACCGTGCGATGGCACAATGCTCCCCATTGGGGATGAGAAATGAAGCACATAATTGTACTTACTTACTTTGAATCAGTCCTGACAGGTAATCTCGCCATTGCGGAGGATTTCGATCATCGAGCACACTCTATCAACAGTTGTAGCCTACCGTGCGTCTGATGGGATTTTGGCATGAACTTGTGCAAGTCATTACCAGACTTGCATTGGAAGAGTTATCTCACCGTCGTGTTTACAAGATTAGGAAAGTTCCCCCCTTGTGCCGACTCCCTGCGCCAGAAGACCATCTTGGTCATGGTGACGCCCGCGCTTTTGTATTCTCTGTAGCTGTTCCTTTTCCGCCTATGTTCTTCCTTGGCGATGTTCCACCATGCAGGACGGTCGCACAAAACATGTACTCATGTACATGGGCATGAACTTTGGTACCGAGTCCACACCGTCATTAGAGTAAGAGTTTCATTGTATACCGTTAGCCTTGAAAGTGGCGTTGTGAATATCAGTGTCAGTCAGAAAGAGTGAGAAGTCTCTACACCGCTGTGTCGGAAATTTGTTGAAGCGGAAAAGGGCAACAAAGTAGGGCGAGGAAGTAATTGAAGGGATAGGGGAAGTCCGGATCTAAACTTCTGTCAGCGGGATGATGATGCGACCATGGTTCATGATTTCTTGAAAGGCTTTAGCAAAAGATGTTGTCTTGAGCGTGAAAATCCCTAAACCAAATGCCTCATCTGTTGCATTGGCATAGTGGTGGAAGGCAGCAAGCCGACACGATCATGGCCTGAAGTACGACTGCTACTGTTGGCGAAACCTTCGCTTCAATTTTCACGTTGCAGCAACCTGCAGACCGCCAAATACCAAGAGCCATCAAGGTAGCAGCGGTGCTTAACTACTGAAGAGTGTGGAACCGCCATGACTTCGCGAATTATCAACTAATACCCAGGTAGACTAGCCAAGAACTACTCCTGCAACTATACCAACCCCCTGGCCCGCGCTGAGTTAGCAATATTAGGTAGTAAACTTTGCTGTCAAGACTCTCAACATATTCCAATGCACGGACATTGCTAGTGAACAGTCTCTTTGACTTCTTGTTGGTGCTTCTTACCTACTGCGGCATGAAGCTCATCCGAAGTACTGGAGGGTAAATTGTTCCATCAGACCCTAGAGATTCTAAGTTCCGCTGAAGGTCTGTGTAAAGGGCGAAGATCACTCCTCGTCGAGTCAAGGATCAAGTGCTCAGGCCACTTTGTTGCATAACAAGCTCGTTCTATCATTGCATAGTCTGACCATTGTACGTGCTGAGCTAGAAAGTCACAGCGGCAACTGTCATGGGACTAGAAAACGGCGAGAGACAACCGGGGCAGCCCTTGCGTTGGGCACCGATTCTGTAGGCTCTTGCATCTATCCCAAAGCGTCAAATCTGCAATTGCAGGATATCGTGATGCACCCATGTAATTGAGCGCCCCCATCTCCCTGGATCTGCAAATCATATGACACTTTTTCTGCTTCTTCGGCCTGCAAGGTGACACGTTTCACGCTCGTCGCACAAAGCTAACGGTGCATTCGATCCGCTGGAGAATCCACAAGAATAAGAATTAGTAGTTGATTACTGTAGAGAATAAATTGATCGTCTAGCCGAGTATTCGTTTAGTGGAGATGCCGTGCGACGACACGGCTAAAGATGCAACCCCAGCTGCGTGTCTGCCTTGCCTACTTAGGAATGAGATGAGAGGGAGAGAGCAGTGAGAGGTATAGACAGCCGCGTTATCGCTGGAGAACCATGGGCAAACATCGAGCTAGGACCGCGCGAGCGGGAAACAAGTCCTACCCACCTTATTTCCCAACGGTAGGAGGCGAGAGGCTTGATTCGTCATCTTTTAATTAACACGAGCTCCCGACCAGTTATACCAAGTCGCCGCACCCGAAAGTTGCGCGAGAATCCTTTCGGAATTCTCTAATGATGGCGCAGGTCACACAAACCACGGTTTTGGTTGCCGTATCCGGGTCGAGCTGAAAAGATCAGTCTGGCGTGAATGGCTGGCTAGCCATGCCAAGCGCCTCTCCTGCATTCCTCGAAACGCCCCTCCTGAGGGCGCTCGGGAAGAGCCTGTTCTGCAGCTGACTGAATCAGTGATGAAATGGCTTCAGATGTCAAGCTGCTGAAGACTCGTGTCCCGAAATAGGGCAGTGCCCTTGGATTATAGTCTTGTTATCCATCTCTGCCTCTCCTTATAGTGCCGCCTCCTATGGATCAGCGGTGGAGGTCAGTAAAAATGGTGGGTGGTGGGTGTGTGCGTGTGTGTGGATGTCGACGCCATCAAAGACTCCCTAAGGCACAGATGGCGGCCCAAACGCGGGATCAGGTGAATAGATGAGTGTCAATCATACGGACATATGCCCCAAGTAGGCTTGGTTCGCTGTTCAGAGAGAGTTTCCTATTCATACAAGTATAATATTCATTTTTGGGCTGCCTCTCAAGGGCTTATATGGACGCACCATCCTCTCGGGACAATATTACATTGTCGTTGCGGTGAGCGCGAGTAATACTCCCCCTCCTCACCCAAATATTCTGGACCGTCTCGTATATTTATTATTCAGTCCCAGGTGCCCGGGCTCGCTGGACATATCTCTCCAGTTCTAATCAAGGCATTGCCGCCGCAGTGGTGACCATGAATATCCTATTCGTCTGCACAGCACACAACTCTCTGTCCCAGAGACTTTACCTAGCCTTGTCCAAGCAGCCTGCTGTCACCATCACCATCGAGTATGCTATTTCTGATGGTGTCATTCGAGAGGCAGCTCGACTGACAAGGCCGGACCTTATCATCTGCCCTTTCCTAACCTCGCGTGTTCCCAAAGACATATACGAGAATTATCTTACACTTATCATTCACCCTGGCCCACCAGGTGATGCCGGCCCGTCTTCATTAGACTGGGTTCTGATGGGCGATGATGGCTCTGAGCCCGATCCTGCACAGCTTCTTCAACGGTATACCCTGAGCGAGAAGGGTCGATCACACTGGGCCGTGACGGTCCTCCAGGCTGAAGACGAGTTCGACACCGGCCCCGTATGGGCCTTTGAGCAATTTCCCATCGACATAGACGAGACCAATCTTACCAAATCGTCTCTCTACCGCGGACCAGTGACACGTGCAGCAGTGTCTGCGTGTCTAGCTGCTGTGGACAGAATCAAAGCCGCTGCTCGCACTTCATCGCCCCTCACGCCTCCATCGAGCCCTCGAGCAGACAGTCGCATCGGACCCTTACGCGACGCCATCCACCCTGGGCTGGTGGCCAGTCCACAGTACAGAGAGCTCTGCGCAGGACTCTCCAAACCTTTTATGGGCGGGTCCACGCACCACCGACCACTCCTCAAGGCTGGGCAACGGGACTTTGATGTCAACATTCATGGCGCCAAGGAGATCTCGAGGAGAATACGATGTGCCGACTCACAGCCTGGCTGTCTCAGCTCCGTTCTCGGCCACAGCCTGTACTTGTATGGCGGCATTGTTGAAGAAGGTAGCTGGTGCAGTGAGACGCAGACGACTCCCGGATCTATCGTGGCTGTGCGTGATGAGGCCGTATGCATCCGAGCTGCCGATAACATGGGCGTCTGGATCACTCACATCAGACGCGTAAAGAAGAAGACAGACGTCCAGCTTTGGCCAAAGATTCCCGCTGTGTCTGGTCTTCGCGAGCTTGGATTCTTGACCGACGAGACCGTCACCCAACTTTCTCAGCCACTCGCAACTGAAGACTGGACAAGAGCTCCTCACGAGACTTATCAAGACATTTGGGTCGATTTCACCAAGGTCTATATCAATAGGACCTCCTCTCTCAATCGTGTGGCTTATGTCTATTCAGACTTCTACAACGGCGCCATGTCCACGCACCAATGCATCAAACTCATGGCCGCCCTCGAATTCGTGCTCTCCACACACACAGCTGACAGTCCTCTTGCTGCCGTCGTCATGATGGGCGGCGCAGGCTACTTCAGCAACGGAATCCACCTCAACGTGATCGAGGCCGCTGCCGATCCAGCACTGGAGTCGTGGAACAATATCAACCGGATCAACGACATTGTCTACTATCTTCTCCACGAGTTCCCCAGCCGAGGCATCCTCACTGTTGCTGGCATCCGCGGAAACGCCGCCGCAGGCGGTGTTGCGATGGCCACAGCGTGCGACTGCGTTGTTGCCGGAGCCGAGGTCGTCCTCAACCCCGCGTATGCAGCGATTGGCCTCTATGGCTCTGAGTATCACTCCATCAGCTATACTGCCCGGTGTGGCCTCGAAGGGAGCAGACGCATCCTGAGCGACATGACCCCGATCTCGGCGCACGACGCACGTTCGATCAGACTAGTTGACCATGTTCTCCCTGGCACCGGTGCTCTGCTGGACACGCGCATCAGGAACCATGTTAACGCCGTCGTGCGGTCGGCTGGTAGATATCGCAACGGCTCAGCGAGTTACCATGCGGGCTGGTGGAAGTGGCGCGCAGACATCTCGCCGTTGGGACTGGCACGGGCGAGAGCCATGGAACTGGGAGAGATGGCCCAAGACTTTTGGGGTGCGAGGTCCGCGACGTATCACGGCCGCCGAGCTGCCTTTGTCAGGAAAATGAAGGCTGTGTCGACTCCGTTACAGTTTGCGAAACATCGTCGGGACGGTCATAGCGCAGACGAGAAGAAGAAGGCGGATCATCCTCTTGGTTCGGCTGATTATTTTGTGAGCAGTGCGGCACAGCCTGCACAGGACTGCCACAGCGTTCTGGCCAGGGAGTTTGGAAGGAAGCTCGAACAGGGTTCGTCTGATGAGTACATGGCTGATGTTCTCATGGATGATGCTCCGGTGATCAAAATGGAGGGGCCCATCTTCGCTTGTTATTATGATACATGAAGAAGAGGAGCATGATTTGAGGGGACACGGCTACGGTGCTTTTTGCTCCTTCTTCAAACTCACGATGTTGTACATCAGGCTCTCACTTCTCGGCTCTGGCAGTCTGTTCTTTGCTTCTATTCTTCTTTTCTCTTATCAAATTTGATCTTATTTTCGTCCCTTCTGTGGGTCCTTTCACAAAGACCTTTATTGAGAGAACACGCAACATTTAAAAAGTTATTACACATGGTTGTCCTTTGCATCCATAGCGAATGCAAGATAAATACCAATCCACAGCTTACAGGTTCCAGTCTCTCGATGATTATATATAGCAACGGTATCTCAAAATTTAATGCCATGAAGTAAAATGTCATGAATATGTCTTGAGAGACCAAAAGCCGAAACATTTATTTCGATGATTACATTTTACAAGTAACTTCTCACCAACAAAACATGAACCGGTACTAATTCAAAAGAAATCTATCACATATCATCCTTGGTGTAAGCCCACCCTTCAGGTTCTTCCAACAACCAAGTTTCATTATACTCTCTCCCGTACGGCTTCCCAGTGTAGTCCACGACTCGGCCATTCTCCAAATGCGCCCGGATCGGAACGTTCACGGTGCGGTCGTACGCCCAGCTGCTGATCACGTCGAAGTTGCGGCAAGTGTGCTGTGTCACAGTGTAGACGGCCATTGAGCTCTCAGGCACCCACTGCATGGGCATGGCTGTCGTCTCGGGGTGGCACTCCAGATAGGTCCGCAGGATCTCTATGCAGTGGTCGACATGGTGCCAATCCTCGTACTTGACGTTGCCATCCTCGTCATACAGCGAGCTATCGTACCGCTTGGGATAGATGGCTCTGCGGAGAGCGCTGAGACAGTGGAGGTGGTGGAAAATGACCAGCCCTACCAAGTATTCGTCCTTGTATTCCTCCATAGGGACGTGCTCGGTAGGGTAAAGCAGTTGATCGGCCTCTTCTTTGGTGATGCGGATGTGGTTGCCATCTGGTTTTGAACAAGAGCAAAGAAACGGGTTAGCCGCGGGTCCAGTCACCATTAACTTTGTGTAGGCTTGAGTTTTCGAGAGCATACCTTCATATTTCCTCCACAGCTCATCATTCTCATCAGTCGGCCAGCCCTGGTAGGGACTTGGAATGAACCCCTCACTGTAGCCTGGCCCAACATAAGCCCGTTCCACACGGTGCTCAATCACGTCTTGTCCGATGGCTAGATACTATCTCGTGAGTAATCCACATCCAGTCTGGCAATCACTCAACATAACTTCTATGACGTACTGTATAGCAGTTCTCCTGGGGCAAGTTTCGAATCGGCCTTTACCCCTGGCGAGGACGAGCTGAACTTGAATAGAAGCGAGCCGAGGGCAATGGACAGGATGATGTTGAAGACTAGAAAGTGCAAGCTGACTATGACTGGAACATTGGCTTGCATCATCTTCTTGTATAGACCTTGTGCAGGATCCGAGATGAGGTTCCGCCGCTTCCAGGCCAGGAAGAGGGAGGCCTCAGAGTCGGCTGGGTGGCCCTCGATGTCTGTCTCGCTGCCGTCCCCCAGCTCGATTTCCTTGGCTTCAGCCATCTGGGTCTCCTGTTGAATTGGTTGATAGGACATGACTCTGATTGTAGCTTCACGATTGAAAACAGAATTCTGGCATCTTACTTGAAGGACAGTGGTTCGTTATCTTTTCGAAAGGAGTGAATACTGCTCGTAGCAGCATTTCAACGTGCAACAGGGCCAGTCGGTTCTTCGAGAGCATCATCATCCCAAAACAGATTTCAATTAATACAACGAAGGGCTTTGATGCGAGCAGCATCAATTGATACCCAATTCAGGTATAGCTGATAGTACGGGCGTAGGAAGGTACTGGTGTGTGGGCTGTATTTCTGGACAAAGAAACGCTGCGCAGGAATGTCACACCTTGCATTTCGGGCTTTTAGAATGTTCAGCTCATTGTCCCGTAGTCATCAGCCTTTTTTTCTTATCCCGGCTTCTTTGGAGGCCTAAATGAAGCCACTATCATCTACGGCAGAATTTGCCCCATCATCTATTGGCAATAGTCCGGGTGAGCCCGAGGAAACATCTTCTTTCCAAACCGTTCCCACAGGAGATGAGCTGAATGGATGGATGGATGGATGGATGGATGGATGGATGGATGGATGGAGGAACTCGAATGAATAATCATAATATGCATTCAGAAATGAGATTACGTCACCTTGAATGTGATCTGTTCGAAAAGGAGTCAAGTCGTAACAAATAATCTTAATCATTATTATCTGAGGATGTTCATATAAACTGCAATAGTCTCGTGATCGTCCATCAATTGCGCGCAACAGTTTCCTTTTCCCTGCTATATCAACTATAGTATGCCATCACTGAAGATATCAATAGCCTGGTCGAATGACGCAGTAATCTCGGCCGCCAGCGTCTGCCCAGTCGAAACAATTGTACTCGGCAACTTGCTGATGATGGCATCACTGAAGCTCGCCGAGGCACTCTTCTCCTGCTCCAGGTTGAGGAGGACAACAGCGGTCAACAGATCCCTGTCGAAGTCTGGCTTGGCGGCGATGAGCGTGGTGAGGGTCGTGTTGACGTCGGTCACGAGGTCGAGGGTGTCCACACCCACGGTGAACGCCTCGAGGTCCGTGAGGTTGGCGGATGCCTGGGCGGTGGCGGTACCTTGATTGATGGTGTTGAGAAGGGTGGTGGAGTCTAGGACGATCGGTATAGAGCTGAGAATGTTGCCGTCCCAGTCGCCGACTGTGCTGGCCAGGGCGAGGGTTGCGTTTTGTATGGCGGAGATGGCGTCGACTATGGCGGCCCCGTCGGCGACCACAGAGGTTGCCGCCAATACGGCAGTCGTTAGGAATTTGATAGCCAACATTGTGGACGGGGAAAAGAGCAGTATAATTTAGAATTGTGATGTAATATTTCAGAATTGAGTAGTAATATTAGCTGTGGATGTGTGTGTGTGTGAGAGAGAGAGAGAGAGAGAGAGAGAGAGAAGGTGTGGTTGAAGAATATCTCTGTCGATCGTGCTGACTTCTTCTCCGCCCCTCTTCTCTTTTATAAGTTTTCTACTTGGCTACACTTTCACCACAACGCCAGGGCCCAAGAGCGGAGATGCATGCAATTAATTACACCGTGAGGATTATTTTCCAATGCAGGCCGAGGCATGTGAAGAATCTCACCGCACTCATTGCCACTAGAGAAGACCAAGGATCACACACAAGAGCCAACCCCGCGCAATAATAAACGTGATCTCGTCAGAATCACCTTGCTTTAGGTTGTCGATTGTTTTCCTATTTCAACCATGGTCGTCCAGACAGGCCCAGGTCACGGTACTTGATAAATTACACCACAACCCTTGGCCTAGTTAGCAGTGTTACCCTGGCAAAGCCTTTCTCGAAGGATCTCCAGCGCATAAGGTTGTTGATATTGCAGTGCTCGGTAGCAATGACTCCATATTGCAACACTACACCCCGTGGCTTCGGCCGACTAGCGGAGCTGTTGGTGGAAAGGGGAATAGTATCAACCGTGCCCTTGTCTGGGGTGAACAAGTCTTATTTTGCGGGGGAAGTGGGGAGCGAGAGGAAGAGGCGAGAAGATCCTCTCACTGGTAGGAAAAAATAAAATGGCCTCCGCATGGACCACGGACCAAATTGGAGGAGGAGGAGGAGGCGTTATTGTGGAGCCGCGGCTGTGGGTTTGAAGTGCCGCATGTGAAGGGAAGAAAACCTGCCAGTGTTCGGAAGAGTGTGTATGTGTTTCTGTGCGTCTGCTGCTCAGCTCGTTCAGCTCCTCAGCTTTCTCTTCATTTTGGTCATAATTACAAGCTGGTTGATCTCCGTGATCCCTGTCAGGCCATGTACCATACACGTGCCATAGTAGTAGATGCAGGTCATACTGTCAGGTCATACTATGGTAACTACAACTACGACTTTGCAGAGCAAGTATATGTGACGACAAACGTCACACCAGAGTTCTGTTGAACACATTTGTCGAGAATGTTATGCTGTAAAAACGCTTGACGAGTTTCATTGTCTTGTTCAGTTTCAGAAAATGGAAGTATAGAAAGACGAAGAAAAGAGAAAATTGAGAAAAGAGAAAGGTATCCAAGCAAATGTTCAGTCTTGACGTAGTATTCTGGCACATGTTCCTAGTCAATACTATTTGACTGGTAGTCTCCCAAAACAGAGTCTTTACATCTCCCCACCAAGATACTCCCAAGCAGCCAAGGCATGCGTCTTCAACACAGACAAATACTCCTGAACAGAAATACTCTCATTCTTGGCGCCCATCGTCTCAGGCGAGACCCCAAAGACATAAGACGGAACTCCCTTGTACCGATAAAACTTGCAGTCCGTCGCCCCCAGCGATGGAATCGCCAGAGGCTTCCTGCCAGTAACCCGCTCCGCCTGCCTCGCCAACATGCCCACCATAGGGTGATCATGAGCACCTGCCGAAGCCGGGTTACTCGCAGCCTGCTGGATCTCGACCTTGGCGTCGGGATATCTCTCCAGCACGCCGTAGATGACCTCCATGACCTGCTCGGCCGTCAAGCCCAGCGGCATCCGGATATCTGCCTCAAAGACACACGTCCCAGGTATCATATTGACCTTGAGCCCCCCATGGATCGTCCCAATGTTCAACGTGCACCTCAGGGCAATATCCGCCGCGCCTGGCCCCATACACTCATCTATCGCCGCCCGCACATCCTCCCTCGCCACATACGCCCTCAATGCCGGGTCCAGCTCAGGCATAATGTCCTCCACGACGGCCAGCTCCCCGATCAGCCTCGCCGCGATCCTCGTCGCGCTCCTGCTGAGGTGCGTGAAGGCCCCGTGCGCCCCGGGCCCCACGTCCACGGTAAACGTCAGCCTGAGCGTGCCCTTCTCGGCAAACCGGATCGTGCTCAGCGCCCCCGGCTCGCCATCGATCATCACGTCGCCCGCCCACGGGCTCTTCTCCCCTGGCGCCAGCTCCTGTCGCCCGTCCCGCCCGTGGTCCAGCAGCCAGCGCGTGCCGAACTTGCCGCCCGTCTCCTCGTCGCTCACCGCGCACAGCGCCACGCTGCCGCGTAGATGTGCTCGGTAGCGGTGCAGGTAGGCGAAGGCGACGACGCTGGCGGCTGTTCCGGCCTTCATGTCCACCGTCCCGCGGCCGTGCAGGCGGCCCTCGATCACCTCGCCAGACCAGGGGCTGCGGTCCCAGTCGGAACCCGTGCCGGCTGGAAAGACGTCTATGTGCCCATTCATTACCAGTCGTGGCCCATCGCCGCCACCGCCGGTGAAGTCAGAGACGACGTTTGGCATGACGTCTCTCGGCGCGATGGTTTGTGTGGTGATGTTATGGGAGGAGAGGTAGGTCTGGATGACGGCTGCGGCCTGGCGGGTATCGCCTGGCGGGTTGGGCGAGGGGGCCTGCACAAAGGATTGCAGGAAGGCCATGTGTGATGCCTCGTCGGCTGTGAGGGCGTCGAGTAAACCTTGAGCGTTCATCTTGAGTCGTAGGCTAGTGAAGGGATTGAATCAAGAGATCGGAGAGACAGTTGTAAGGCTGCAAGAAATTGTAAAAGACTCACCCGAGACAAGCAGAACAATTGCTACATCCCAATGCTATTGAAAGCCTGGATCAAGAATAAAAACGGAGTCAAGCATAGAATTGTACTCAGTCGTGACTCATTCGGTGAGCAATGATGTACATCATGCGTGGTGGTTGAAATGTTGCCGAGACTCTCCACAAGCGCTGCAGCGTCTATCACTGCTGGAACGAGACCATGGGGATTGCAAGAATAGCGCCCGTCATTTCTGCATTTGTTAACACGTCCGGCTTTGCAAGATACCATCATCACACGCGTTGTTGGGAATATTCCACACTTTCACCGCAACACGCAATAAGTAATGAGTCGCGAGTTGATGGACTGAAGAAATAAGAATGCCTTGCTTGTGTATCCAGAGACAACGCCTAATCATATGAGCGTTGCGACAAATGCAGCGCCCAACGCCGTGCTCCTCATGCCTGCGGATATGCTGCGACGCTTGTATGGATGAATGCATGCTATCTTTCATCATTGGTAAACAGTAAAAAGTCGCATGAATGTCAGAGTCGTTCATGAGAGGAGGCGGCCAGGTTTCATGCAAAAAGGCTTCAGCTCTTCCTCCTCCTGTCCTTGAGAGCCTCTCTGACAAGCCCAACAGCCTCTAGCACCACGTCTTCGCCCCGGCGCCACGTGTAAAGCTGCACCCCCTCGCGGTCTAGGATATCGTGTGCTCTCTCCAGGCGTCGCCTCCATAGCTCTAATTTCTTGTTGATGGGCATGTATTGTCCCGCCTGCTGCTGACTGGTGCCAAGCATGGAGTCGAATGTGCTTGCTGTGTTTACTCTGGCTGGCGGGGGTCGAGATTCGGATCTTGGAGTGGCGGTGGCAGCGTTCAAATCGAGCCTCTCAATGTCTGGGTTCGAGTTGGAGTGTCGGAGGGCACGAGAGCGTGGGCTCAGATTGAGGAGTGGTGTGACGCGCCGCCTTGGGGGTGGAGGTGGAGGCGGTTGTCTGGTGGACGCCGTAGAGGCAGATCCGGGGGATGAAGCGGCACGAGAGGAAGACTTGGCAGATGTGTTGGAGGACAAGTTGGTGCTGCTGTTGTTCGGGCCATTGCTAGGACTCGGCCCAGCGCTGCTCCCAAGACTTTGCTCGGACAGATTCTGGATCTGTGCCAGAGGATGTAGGACAGCATTCTGGATCTGGGTGGTCACTGGTTTCCTCGAAGGCACAGGGGGACTTGTCTTTGAAGTTTCCGGCCCAGGCTTGTTCGACAGGCTACTCGCCGCCTCGCCCTTCAGTGCCTCTGGCTTGTTAGGACGTGGAGGTGGCGGCTTCTTGCGTGCCGCCAGAGAAGCAAGATCATCAGTGCCCGAGGTTTTCCTCGATTGTTCAGGCCTCTGTTCCATATTTGAGCTGATCGGCTCAGGCTCCTCCGAAAAGTCGATGAGCATGCCCTCGGCCGGCCCCTGAGGTTTCGGAGGCCCACTGGCCGCCCGAACCGGGAGAGGAGGCCTTTGATCATGTTGGTCATTTCGGGAGCCACGCTTCTCGGGGTTTCTGGACGAGAGCCCATTGACTGCAGCGTCGAAGTAGCCTGCTTGTTCGGGCGTTGTCACATCGCGGATGAAGACTGCAATGATGCGCCCGGGGTGTGCAACCGCCAAGTCTGTGTACACTTCCAGGTCGGCCTCGCCGCTGTCGCCAACGAGGATGAACCTTCGTCTCGGAAAGTCTCGCAGGATCTTTTCGAGCGTGCCCTTCTTCCTTTCGGCGACTGGCTCGAAGATGCCTTGCAACATTCCGCTGTACTGCTTCAAGTGCAGAGAGCCAGGAGGCAGGCCGGCATGACGGAAGAAGGTCGCAATGACCGGAAAGAGCTGCCAAGGGCTGTTGGAACAGTAGTGGAAACTGACACCCATCTTGTAGAGCTCTCCGTACCACTCTCTCACACCTTCAATGCTCAGGTCTTTGAGGTCGCGGATGAAGGTGTTGCGGAAGATCTCTCGGGCACCCATGGATATGCTCGAGTTCTTGATGGTGTCGTCGATGTCGCTGATGACGCTGATGCCATCGTCGTCGATGATCTTGATTTCCTGGACAGTAGACAGGTCCTCGTTCGCCAGGACACGGACGTGAGTGGGCACGAAGTCAAGCGCTGCTCGCATGGAGAAATGGCCTGCATCATTCGTCTCGACCGTCCTCGACTGAGATTGGCTGTCATTATAGAAGAAGAGGGTGACTGCATGTTGCACCAAGGGTGTTGTGAGAAACGGACCGAGTCGGGCCATGAGGTTCGCATTGGCAACGGCCAGCTCAGCCTCGGTCAATTCAGCTGGTGCACCGGGACCAAACGTCGGCCGCGAACTAAGACCGGGAGAAGGCGCCGTCGTCGAGGTTGTTGAGGGCGTGCGGCTGCCGCTGCTGCCACGGGTCCTGGTAGGCGACATCCTCCCTTCTCCCCCAGAATCATCGTCCTGAGGCTGCTCGCTGTAGCCGCCTCTGACAGCGGCTTCCTTCTCAGCCTGACCTCGCCGCATGATCTCTTGCGCCTCTTGGTCAATCTTCTGCTGCTCCCTCATCTCCTCGCGTTCCTCATGGCCTGTTCTAAGGCCTTGCAACTGCCCTGCTCCTTGGTGTGTCTCCGCCGGGATCCCGCTGAGCCTCCTCGCAAGGCCGATCAAGACCCTGTTTTTCCGTGTCATCGGGCCTCTGTGCGGCATGTATAGCCACCCTCGGATGTCGACATCCACAACAGCCTTCTTGTCCTCCGCCCTCACCCACTCATTCCGCCAATAGTCCTCGTTGGCCAAGGCGTTCTCTCCCGTGCCCCCCTGGCCGTGGCTCGATATCGCTGATCCATCATCTCGGAACTGTCTGATATGTCTCTTGGCGTACGATGGAAACATCACCAACTCCTCCTCGCCTTTAGTCACGATCTCCACGTCTGGGAAAGACCCAGGGATCGACACCCTGTAGGCCGCGTCGTCGACGTCAACCACGCCCCGTAATCTCGTATTGTCGTACTGGTTTCTGATCTCGCTTGCAGTAGCCACACCTGCTGCATAGACGTTCTTTGCCAAGGCGGCCAGCTTCTTGCGCCTGGCACCTGGCTCGCGCCCACCGTACGGGTCATCATAGCCGCCGCCGCTCCCCCACTGCGACATCTTGAGATTCTCGTCGCCTGTTGTTGAGGTCCTGTTCTTCACATCATTTCCCTGGCTCTGTCCTTGGTTCTTCTTGTGCCTGTGGTGTTGCTGGAGATGACGCTGGCGTGCGACGGGCGGTGGTCCTAATAGAAACCGCCGACTCCCCTGCGCTACCCACGCGATTCGATCGACCCAGCGTGTCTTGGCCAGACGCCGGTGCTGGCGGCCCAAGATGTAGTGGTAGATGCGCGACTGCAGGCGGTGCTTGTAGTAGGGGAGCGTGTCGAGATGAAAGTTGAGCAGGCGTTCCCGGTATCGCTGGCGAAGGGCGTGTGGGAAGATGTAACGGAGCAGGCTCTGCTTGTGGTGGGGGTGCGGCTGGCCGAGGAAGCGTCGAAAGGGTCTGAAGGGCGCCACCGTGATTTGCGAGCAAGAGGCTCCTATATATTCGATGATACAATGTGATCCTTCTGCTTTCGCCGTGGGCCTCGGCTCTTGATTCTATTCCCTGGGTCTTGTGCCCGCGCAGACCTGTTGCTGTTCGATAGTGTTAGGAATGATATCGATGCATGATTATTCGGTTATGCATCCGAGGTTGTGGGGTGTGATTCAGCTGCGACAAGTCTGGGGGTGTCTGAGGGGCGAGGTTCGAGGTACTGCCCATGGTGTTGGCAGAATGCTTTTGTGCAGCCGTAGTAAGAGCTCGAGCCTCCCCTACTTTACTTGCTTGTGTTTTTACGTCATCTTAACAAGCCGGGAATGCGTCGTCATACCCCTGTCGTTTCTCAGGAACAAGGGCCTACGCCATCATCCATTAAGACATCTTGGCCTAACGTGATGAGCGAAGAGAGTGGATGGAGGGGAAGAAGAACCGGAAAAGCAATAAATAGTCCAACATCTCTCAACAAACTCAAGATCTAAGCATTTGAAGGGAAAAAGTGACTGGGAATGGCGAGTATTACAGGGGCCTCACTTCACGATTCCACGGTAGCCACTTGAGACAGTCCATCCGCAGCGTACGACTGACTGGTGCCAGGGAGAAACCATCAGTCTTCAAGGGGGAGTGTTGTAGCCAGGAAAAAATTCGAACAATTTAGAATAAAAGGAATAGGTTTGTTGCGGCGGTCAACTGCATGAGAGTCACATTCATCACAGTCAGTTCCCCACGAAACATGCTAGGCCTTTTGGGAGAATAGACCTATGACTTTCTACTTGGTACTATCCAACTGATCGTTTGCTGGTTGTCTCTATACTTCACCCACAGCTTATTTGAATACTTAAATGACCACCATTTTGCGATTTAAGACATGGAGTGTATGAACATTTGAACATATATCCGGTGTGGAGGAGACACTGATCGTGACGAAACTTCTCTCTTCCGACTAGGGAGAGAGAAGGCCGCCGGCCCTCAACATAATTTCCCCAATATTATACCAGCGTGAGGTTCGATAGGATCAGCCTGGACAATATCTGATCAAGATTTAGAGTTTAAAATCGCCCACGCGATGAATATTCAGGGCTGCTCCAAATAATATCCATGTCTTCATCTGTTTCATTTACGTTCGCCATCTCTCCACAGAAGTGCTTGGCGCCACTTTCAGGACGGTCGATTGCACACGTAATGCATCTATTGAAAGGTGGAATGAGATGACCATACTTGGTTAGAATATTTCATCTCTTACCATGACCCCGGGACTAAGGACTATCCACTTCTTTCCATGGAGTCACAGTCAAGATTGACTCTTTCCGAGCCCTAAATTCGATTGCTTTCCTTAAGACAACTTCGAGAAACATCGAAAATCTATTGATAGGATGAATTGCGAGGCTCCTGGATCTATGTGAACCCTTCGTTACCCAGACATGCAATATTTTATTTATGCATTGTCCTCCCGAGGTCTGCGTCTGTACAAAGGCCCCTGCCGCAGGGCTGAGAGGTTCCACTGACGATCCGTCGATCTTGCTACATATAATTAGCTAAGCCAACCGACAAACGGCTTGAGTGGAATTTTGTGGCTATCAAGAGTCAGGTCGGATACGTAGATATAATTCTACTGTCCTTCCTACACTCCATAAGTGGGACCTGGATGCGGATCTACACTTGAGGAATCTGAATGGAAGACATCACTGCCACACCGGAGCCACGGAGTCCAGTTTTAAGATCCTTCGATGGGCCCGAAAGACCGTTCGACCCACGATCTCCTTTTTGCCTTGATATTATTTGGCTTCACGCATTGAGGGCATAAGCGGTAGGTTGTAGTGATGTCCACAAAGGAATAGCCAGCAGCTCTCAGCTCAGTCCACTCTTGAGAAATGAAGTCTTTCAAGATCCATAGAGCATTAATATGAGGAAGCGTGAGTGTAGATCCCTTGCAAAGAAGACACAATAGACTCACTGTTTCACAGCACACTGTTCTATCTGACAATTTCTGGCCTCCGCAACATGTAAGATGATTGTCGTCGCTTCAAGTAAACGGCTGACAGGTCTCAAACTCACCCACTTTGTAGGACTAAATAGGGAGAAATATACGTAATGAGTTGTAGGACAGGTGGGAGACGATTTGAGTTGATCAGAGATGAGAGTAATATAAAGCAGCCCAAATTCCTGTTCCAAACAGACAACTTCACCCCTCGCCAATCATCCATCAACCTGCCACGCCTTCTGTCTGCACTCAACACAACACTACCAAAATAGCACTACACACAAATACGACATGATGAAGTACTTTGCCCTCATTTCCGCTCTCGCAGCCACTGCTTACGGTGTTGCCTACCACTGCGAAACGTCTTGCAATGACAACGACAACAGCATTCTGGCCGACTGCAGCACGGCGCAACTCGACATCCCCACGACCGACAGCGCCTCGGGCACCGACAGTAAGTCCAAACGATGATTCCTACTATTTACTATGAATTACAATTTCCCAAAGATCAAGGACGGAACTGTTTCTTGTAGGATATTTCGCTGACATCCGATGTTGTACAGACACGAACTGGATCTCAGACACTTGCCGCATCGACTTCTTCCCCAACGGAGAGTCAGTGGACTACTCGGTCCTCTCAGAGTACGCCGAGAACCTGCTCAACAAGTGCTGCGGTGAAGGCACCGATGGCGAAGCTGCATGTGCAGGCATTGCACAGGACGACGGGGACCCTATGACCCTCGGTGGTGGGTGCATCTGTGTGCACAACAAGAGCGTGGCGCCTTGTGACTGCGCGGCTGCCGAAACGGATAACTTCATCAACTGCACGTGAATCGGTGTCATGGTGAATGCCTCTGTCCATTCCTGACCGCCACGTTGTTAGAGTTACTGATGTCTTTCTGGATTTTGTTTTGGGGGGTTCTACCGTAACAACGACATCGGGAAGGCGTCTCAGATGTGAATGCCATGACGGTTTCTACAGGGAGGGTGGAACTAGATAACATTCTTCTTGTCTGAGGATGGTGCTGAGTTGTTAAACAGAGTGAGGGAGTGAGTCGAGAGGTCATTGTCTGTTCTTCTGTGTATATATCTTCATGTATCCGCTGGTTTCAAGGGCGCTCACCCTCCACTGAGTAATATGTCAAGTCTTTAAATCATTAACTGTCATATTCTTTATGAAAGCCTCTACGAATTAATTCCCAGCGACGTATCGCAAAGTAATGATAGAGTTAATTACATGGTAGGCTGTCATTCTGGTACACTTATTTACTATGCCACTCCATGATCTTAACTATGCCTACCTCCTGCCTCTCGACCCACCAGCCTTTTTCGGCACCCTCGCCTTCGCTTTGGCTGCTTTGAACGCAGGGCCGTTCTTGACCTTGTCCTTTATGCCCTTCTTCTTGTCTTTCTTGAACTCGAGCACAGCGCCTTTGCCGGCGCGTTCCGCCGCACCCTTCTTCCACACCTTACCCTCCTTCCTCTCGGACTTGGCATCTAGCTTCTTCTTATCCTTGTTACTCAGTTTGCCGTTGGCATGCTTGTTCTTCAACTTCTCCCTATCGCCATTCAGCTCTGCGCGCCCGGCCTCCTTGGCGGCAACCTTGTCTCTCTCCGTCTCGAACCACGTCCGCTTCGGCCGGCCCTTGATCTCGTCCTCGTGGCGGATGAGGTTCTCGCCCTTCTGCACCTGCATTTCGACATGCTGCATTTGCTTCTCCTCCTTTTCTTCGACCTGGATCATTTCCACTTCATCCTCGAGTTCGTCCACCTGCGCCTGGAGCTTGTCGGCCTCAGATGGGTCGATCACCCGACTGCTGATCTTGGCTCCCTGAGACTTGCCCGCCTTCACGGCCGACTTGACGACTTTTCGATCGGGCTCCGCGGCGAGTGTGATGGCTACACCAGAGCGGCCTGCGCGGGCTGTACGACCAACTCGGTGAAGGTAGATCTCGACGGTCTGCGGAGCTTCGTAGTTGATGACCGTGTCGACGCCCTTGATATCAAGACCACGAGAGGCCAAGTCTGTGGCGAGCAGGAAGGAGACCTTGCCGTCTCTGAAGGCCTCTACGCTAGCGATACGTTGCGTCTGGTTCATGCTGCCATGCAGCTCCGCGCAAGAGAGTCCTAGGAGCCCAAAGATAATGCGAACTTGGTGGGCAATCTTCTTTTGCCGGAAGAAGATGATCACTCGTTCCTTGTAGAGGTTCTTGACGATGTAGAGCAGGTAGCCCATACGTTTCTCCTCGCGACCCGGTCGCAGACGAACAAATTCCTGGGTGAGGGTGTTGACGGTCTTCCTTTGGGAGTCGACCATGATCCTGACAGGCCTGTTCATCCCTAGACGGATGAGCTTGTCGACGGAGGATGTCATGGTGGCCGAGAAAAGCATCGTCTGGCGGGACTTGGGAAGTGTAGTGAGGATCTCGTTCAACTCGTCCGCGAATCCATCCTCCAACATTCGATCGGCCTCATCTAGCACCAAGATTTCCACAGTCTCGACTGCGAAACTGGCAGAGTTGCGCATGTGATCGATGAAACGACCAGGAGTGGCGATGACCACGTCTGGCCGTAAACGTAATTCGGCTTCCTGCACTTTGAGGCTCAGACCACCAACAGCCAGACAAAACTTGATGTCTGTATGGCTGGCCAGTTTTGTGGCTACTGCGTGTCCCTGGATTGCCAGCTCACGCGTAGGGGTAAGAATGACGACCCGCGTGGTCGGGACCTTCTTTGGCCGGTAAAGAAGACGTTCCAGTATGGGCACGACGAAGGCTGCCGTCTTTCCTGATCCAGTGACGGCACCACCCACAAGATCCTTACCCATGAGTGCAATAGGGACAGCTTTGGCCTGGATAGGAGTGGGCTTGGTGAACCCGACGTTGGCGAGACCGCGGAGAATGGGTCGAGATAGTGACATGGTCTGGAATGAGCCAGCAGCATCCTTCTTGCCAGGCTTGGCTGTTTCCTCGGGGGCGAAGAAGGCGTCTCTCTTAGCAGCCTCCTCTGCATCATCTTCGTCATCGGACTCGGAATCGCGGCCATCGTCGTCTGGATGCCCCACTGGCGTGGCGACAGAGGCATTGTCATCATCCTCCTCCTCCTGTGCGTCGTCTTCGTCATCATCTGAGCCCACACCCGGTATTTGGTCGTCTGCATCAGACTCCTCAACGTCCGAGCCAACGTTCATGCCAAATGCCTCATCGTTTAGCGCTTCGTCGTCATCGTCCTCGAGTTCGATGTCACCGTCTTCGTCGCTGGCAGCCTCACTCGTCGCTTCTTTTTCAGATTCGCTCGGGCCAGTTGTCTTGCCTTCTTTCTTGTCACGTCTTCTCCTTATTATGTCGTCAAGAACGTCCTTCCTTTGTTCGCCCATTGCATTCTTTGCGCCATCAAAGCCCCAGCCCTCGAATTCCTGGATCACGTCGTTGTCACCTGCGACGAACTCGAAGTCCGAGTCCATGGCGCCATCATCCTCTTCATTCTTGCCCCAAATGCCTTCCTGGCCACCATGAGCCTCTGTTTTCTTCGACTTCTTGCCCTTCTTGGTCTTGGCTTTCTTTTGTGGGGGAGGGGCGATCTCTTCCTCTGGGACGTCTTCGTTGTCCGAGATGGTAAGAACAAAATCGTCCTCTGCCTTGCGCTTTGAAGGTGCCATGGCAGCGTTGAAGGCCGGCAGATGTGGCCGGCAATTGGAAATTTGGATCGCTGATAGATAATGGGTTTCAATAGCAATCGAAATTTCAAGAGGAAAAGGCCGAGGAGGAGAAGGGAAGGGGAAAATTGAGAAAAAGACGTTGCTCAGGATGAATCGTCTCAACTTTGCTCCCCTGCAAATTGAGGTTGGACCCCTGCTCCGAAACTTTTTTTTTTCTTCGCTGCAGAAGGGGAGCTAAGACGCCCACACGACTATGCCTGCCCCGCACCAGGCTTCCAAGATTGCCCCACGCAGACTGTTTTTCCAAGCAAGGTTGATTGGGTAACGAGGCCAACAGCCAGCTAACGCCTTCAGTAGCTACCTCACCTGTCAAGGCCCAACGGAACCTGGCTGATGATTTTGTTTTCTTAACGACAAGCCCGGCCCATCTGGATCCAAACAAGCGACGTCGTCTTTCAACTATTGCGATTTCTCTTCTGAACCCGAGTTGTCTTTCCCCTTTCGTCTGCCTGACGCCAGACCGGCTATCGTTTTCCTCCCTGCGACGCTTTTCTTTTGTGATACCCAAACAGTACTTTCCCCACTGTCGATCACCGTCTTCGCGCGAAGCCTGGACAAGATAGACACAAGTCATTACTGTCCAACACATCAACGAGAAGAAAACAGACATCATGGGTGAATCACGGTCAGTACCCAACTAATGTCTCCGTGTCTCCTGGCGTCTTCGAAATGCTTATCAATCATGTTGATTTTGCATTGTCGATCTTTGCAAGGATACGAATACTTGCCAGCGATGCTCGAAGATACTGACAACTGACGTGACCACCACAGACAAGAACTCCTGTCATGGATGAACAGCCTCTTGCAGCTCAACATGACCAAAGTTGAGCAATGCGGAACTGGGTACGTACCGGCATTCTTTTGGCGAAGAGGACCTTAAACAACCGATGATCACGAGGCTGACAAGGACGCGTTCGATGATCTAGCGCTGCCCTCTGCCAAATCTACGACAGCATCTTCCAAGATGTGCCGATGTCTCGAGTCAAGTTCAACGTCAACACCGAGTATGCCTACATACAGAACTTCAAGGTCTTGCAGAGTCAGTCTTCCGTCCCCACCCTTTCCTCTGGGCGTCCACTCTCCCTTCTCCAGCGCATCGCAGAAGTAATAAGGCAGTTGGCATGCTGACTTATGAGACACGTGCTACAGACACCTTCGCGAAGCACCAGATCGACAAGACCGTCCCCGTTCAGGCCCTCGTGAAGTGCAAGATGCAGGACAATCTCGAGTTTCTGCAGTGGACTAAGAGGTTCTGGGACCAATACTACCCCGGCGGTGACTACGATGCCGTGAGCCGACGCAAGGGCGCTGCTGTGGGAGGCGCCGGCGGCGGCGCTGCACCCCGAGCCGCAGCAGGTAGCGCCGCCGCGCGACGGGTTGGTGGCACGACCCCGTCTGGAGGCGCTCGTCTGGGTGTAGGCAAGGCTGCCGGTGGTGGCGCTGCATCCGCAGCGCTGCAGGCGGAGATCACGCAGCTTAAGGAGACGGTGGTGGGTCTGGAGCGGGAGCGGGATTTTTACTTCTCTAAGCTGCGCGACATAGAACTGCTCGTCCAGCAGGCTGTCGAGGAAGACCCAGAGCTCGAGAAGCAGGAGGACGGCCTGGTCAAGCAGATCCAGCTGATTCTCTACTCGACGGAGGAGGGCTTCGAGATCCCTGCCGAAGGGGAGGAAGAGGAGGGCTTGGACGACCAGGAGACTTTCTGATCGCCCTGACCGGCAGGTTGGCGAGATGCTCCTCTTGATGAGCCCATAGAACGCCTCTCCACCTGGACCTGTGCCAACGAGATCGCTCCGAAAACTTAGGTTGGGGATGTTGTAATGGGTTTAATGTAAGAACTTCGAGAGGGTCTTGAGTGCGTGATAGACAGAATCTTGGTCAACTAAGGCAGACTTGTACGGATAGTCTAGTTGACTTGGGGTCATGGCACGCCGTGTGGGCAACTTCACTAGTGATTAGACACAAGATAATTATTTCGCATTCTCACGCCAACAACCAACCCCTGGGGTCTCCAAGACGTCCGGGCCTTCCGTCTGGTTCCAAACTTTCCCACGCTTTGAAGGGGATCCACAGGGCTGTCATCGGGCCCCTGTCTGTCCATCTGTCTGCCTGTTCCCGTTGTGAGGTTTTCCATTTAGGGACCATGCAGACGCAGTCTAGCAGATCTCTTGCACACCAGGCATCAACCGAGTTCTCATCAAGGTTTCGGTAGTCACTGTCATCAGCGCCAACTGCAGGGCCTAGTGGCCGAACTCTAGGCCATTTTGGATGTCTAGGGCTGCTGACGGGAACAGGTGGCTTGGACAACGAGCCCGCTGCAAAGAGCTGTGTCCCCAACTGTCGTAGTCACTGTGGAGAAGCGAACAGCGCATGACAAAGTTCCGAAGTTCCCTGGGCGTCAGACCTGTCTCAGCGTGTCATGGTCACTGTCACTCTCTCTAGGCTTCACCAACCCAACTTTATCCATCGCTCTCCCTCCCTCTCCTCAACAGTCACACTTCCTCAACATTCTGGGGGCTTTTTCTTCCCTCTTAGCTTCTTTATGCAATCGCTACAACTAGGTGGTTGAGTTTCTTTTTACTCCAACAAGCAAACTGCATTTACGCCTTGACAAAGCGGGCGTAGCTGGTTAACCGCATCGCCCGCGTGGTTCATTTCCTAGAGGCAACGAGAGGCCGCACGAGACATACCGAACGTATACTGTGGGCATGCTCTACGAATCACGAAACAAAACGACTTTCATTGCGTTCCTCTGTCGGCTACATCCACTCATATAGTCCAGCCTGCGAGGCACCGACCGCAACAATGGCGCCACCCATCGAGATCTCCGTCCCAACAACCTCCGTCACATCTCCTCCCGACGCGAAGCCTTTCACGCAATACAACATCACTCTCCGCCTTCCTCTCCGCTCCTACGTCGTCCAGAAGCGCTACACCGACTTCAACAACCTTCACACAGCCCTTACCAGCCTCGTCGGCGCACCACCCCCGGCTCCGCTACCAGGCAAGCACTGGTTCAAATCGACAGTCTCGTCGGCAGAACTAACAGAGGACCGCCGGCGTGGTCTCGAGACCTACCTGCGCTCGATAGCGGAGTCGCCTGACCGGCGATGGCGCGACACGCCCGCATGGCGAAGCTTCCTCAACCTGCCGGCGGTGGGCGGCGGCAGCGCGGCGAGCTCAAGCGGGATCGGGGTCGAGGGCAAGCTGCCCGCTATAAACACAAGAGAGGGCAACGCCGCGGCCGCGAGCGATCCACGCACGTGGACTGATTTACACCGTGAGATGAAGGGTCTGCTAGGAGAGGCCAGGCAGCAGCTCTCCAAGAGGGACGCGGCGTCGGACGTGGGCGTCGGGTACATAGGCGGCGCCCCGACGCAGGCATTGGAGGCTGGGGCTGCGGCGAAGAGGGCGCTGGTTCGTGCATCCAACCTCATCAGGGCGCTGGACGACGGGCTCAAAGACATGGGCGACCGCAGGAAGCTGGGCGAAGGCGAGCTCCTGCGCAGACGGGACCTGGTGGCTGCGGCGCGGCAGGAGAGAGACGGCCTCGAGAAGGTCGGCGCAAGCATCGGTGGTTCGGCGGGCCATGGCGCAGCTGGTGGGCGGGATGGCCCCGTCAGCTCAGGAGATAAGGCGGTGCTCCTCGGGCGCGGCGGCACGGGGACGGCCAGGCGGGTGCTTGGGGCACCGCTGCCCGAGACGGAGAGGACGCGGGAGCTGGACAACGCAGGCGTGTTGCTGCTTCAGAAACAGCAGATGGCGGAACAGGACCAGGACGTGGAGGAGCTGACGCGGATCGTGCGGCGGCAGAGGGACGTGGGCATGGCGATCGAGCGCGAGGTGAGAGAGCAGTTGGATTTGTTGAACGAGACGGATGAGCATGTGACCCGGGTGGGCGTCAAGCTGGACGTCGCGAACAAGAAGACACGGAAGCTGGGACAGTGAGGGGGAAAACATCCCTTTGCATATAAGTTGATTCATCGTGGTGATATTCATGTTCTTAAGCAAATTTCGACTAGGCCCGTCTGGCAAGCGAAGCGAAGCCACGCTCGAGGAGAGGAATAATATATCCAAGGCATAGCACATTATTAGTTGTAATTTACCGTATAACGAAACATTCATTCGACTTCTTTCACCCATCTCAAGTGTTATAGCCTACAACATTCTTACCAGACCAGTTGTCATCCTTCCTCAGCAGACTGAGTCGTCATCTTGGATAGGCCTTGGTATCCACTAAAAATCTCACCTCGAGTAAACGATACTTATATAAGGAGCATTTCTCTAGGGTTTAGCAGTGCTGCAAAGTCGTCCGCCACGTTCCAAATCTGCCTCTCTGGTCTGCTATGCTGTTGCCATCCAGACTGAAAAAGAGACCGACCAGATCGCAGTTCCGAGAGTTCAAATCTCAGAGAATAAGTTCAGTCGAGTAGGACACGTCAACATCGGAGTCTTCAACACAAAACAAAAACACACCTAGGCTAGGGCTGAGTGTCTGGTTCCGTAGCCCCTACATAGTCTACATAGTAAGTACCATAGTACTACAAATGCATGGTACTGCAGCATGCACTAATAATACTACAAGAGCATATACTTTGGTTCTATATGCATGTCTCTGCCTTCTTCGGCAGGCACAAGCAACGCTCTTACGTCATCGACAGGGTCAATAATGGGTCAAGACGGGGACAGGCGAAAAAGGGACGAGCCGATGTTGCTGTGTCAACCGGGAGGCCGGGTAGACACTAAAGAGCTGGACTGGGGACGAAAAGAAAAGAGAGGAGGGTGGGGGTGAGAACCAGAACCAATTTCACCGATACCCTGAGTGACTGCAACGTTTGTGCGTGGCTTGGAGCCCGTAGTCTTTTGCTTTTCTTCCTGGGTTGGGTGTCATTGGCGCGCGGGTTCGTGTAGTAAGTGGCTTGGGTGTGTGGTAAGACTGGGCGCCAAAGAAGAAGAAAAAAAGAAGGAAAAAAACGGTTGTTCTTTTCCTGTCCAAGCGGCCTGTACCACCTCGAACACTTCTTGATGCCTGGCTTGTACTCTAAATTATGTGGTCTTAAGAAAACAGTTCAGCGTAGAGAAACAGGGGTCCGAAGCAAAGATAAATGTTGGGTATACGATTCGGGTCTGAACCAATGAATATGTAGCAGAGTGATTCACCATTTGGCGCCTGATGACCCGACTGTGGCGTTAGGAACCTTGGTAGATGTGATCGAGGTTTTTGCATGGGCGGTTGCGGTTGTAACCCCTTCTTAGGAGATTATGTCCCGAGCAAGATACTATGGTGCAGTATTGGTCCTCGTTGAGCACTCTATGCGTTGCCATTCGTCATCAGGTGGTTGTTACAAGGTGTCGCCACAGCGCTGTGTGGCAGCACTACTAATACGCACCCTGTCAAAGTCGTCTCACATAAGACAGATGCAGGGAACAAGAGTACACCACCAAAGATCCTTGTATATGGCTGTCAACGGTCATGTTGTGCTCCCATCCAAGAGGATCTAGTTAGATTACCCCTTTTTGTAGTACTTTGACTGTCTTCCATCTATATACTATGATTTCATGTTCTATGATCATCAGGGGACTATTGACTGTGAAGCAAAAGGTTTAGGCTGGCTAGTGTTCTAAACTGTTTTAGGGCCCCATGATACTAAGATGTACTTGACATTGTAACCATTGGAGGATGTGATCAAAGTGGAGAGAGAAGCATGGGGAGAGAGGGGGTGGGTCTCGACAAAGAGAGGGCTGGCAAGGACAACACGCCCAGGATGAAAATCGGGAGGCTGGTGATTGAGCCACTTGAACAAAAGTGATGCAGGATGCTGATTGCCCCTCAATGTGCTGTACCATGAGCTTTTGCCTTTTGGAGTCCCTCTGGGACAACAATACTCTGGGCATCTGCAGGTTTTTGTTTGTTCTCCTTGTGCTTCAGTGCAAAGGTATTCTCCAATGTGTACTGTCAACGAGTACAATGGTACCTAACTATGATTGCCCAGTCCAGTGGTACAAAGTGCTCGGGTAGCAGCCTGGCAGACAGATATCCCTGTCAAGGCCAGCATCTGTTCTCAAGGATCCCCCACCTAACTTTTTTTTCTGGCTGGCCCCGGCTGCAGTGTCCCTCCAAGAGCAATTAGTGTAAACAACGATTGACATCTGCTGCTGCATGTTTTGACTGCATTTTGCAACCTTGATGCTGCACGACCCAATCGAATCACGACAGCACACCACACACCAGACGCTACCTTTCCTTAGCAGCAGGTACCACCTAAATGCTGCCATAGTCACTCGACGAGACTGCCTGATCCACTAACCTGACAGAACCCCTTCTTTCTTTTTTATCTGTCTGCCCCTCAACCTCGACACAAAATTCCAGATCCAGCATCTTGACTTGTTCCCAGCAGCTCTTCAAGGTCCACATCTTATCTCTCCATTGACCACGACATCACAGGTCTGACTCTGCCTTTCTGTGTCTACAGTCTTCAACACCAACAAAACTGCTCTGGTTTTTCAACCTCTCCTCCTCGAAATTGTCGCCCATTAGCTGGCGTGTGTTTTCTGTGTGTTTACTTTGCCAAGTTTTCGGTAAGTCTGAGCCTACTCCAACCCTCCCTCCTCCATCAATTGACTGCCTTTCTTCCCTACCCCATGATCCTTGAACCGCCCCTCCCCCCCCCCCATAATCGAGCCGTGATATTAGCATGGACAAGGGCGTCGAGGATGGGAAAGCTGACTTGAGCTCTTCCTCTCTGATCTAGGGCCATTTAATTTCGAGCAAACTGAGCCTACCTCCCAATGGCTTCCAAGAAATACCACTAGACAACTGTGTCTTCTTTTTTTTTTATTTTTCTTTTTTTGTGTGTGTTTGTTCCACCACACACGGTCGCGTCTTCTCGAATCGGTCCCCGCCCTCGAGTGCGGTCGTCCCGCGAGCGACAGTCGGGCTCTTGTGACGACTTGTCGAAATGGCCAGTCCGCCTCCACCGCCTCCGCCTCACGGTGAGGCCCCGAAGACAACAGCTGGAGGAGCAGGCCTGCCCCCCGGCAAATACGATGTCTTCATCATACCCGAACATTCGGCTGGTTCCGGCTTTCTCTACCTTCCCTCGCTGCGAACCAACACAAATAGCTTCATCGCCGGCTTCGCCTCCGCCCTTATTGTGGTTGTTCTCGCGCAGAGCATGGCCCCCGCCTTCCAGGCCTGGTGGGCCAACTTTCAGGGCATGGGCAACGCCGGCATGATGCTGCTTGTGGTGGCCGTCGGACTGGGAGCTTGGTCGCTTGGCCGACAGGCGTCGGATGGTACAGGTTCCCGAGCTTCAGAAGGTGGTTTCTACAACGGTGGTGGGGGATCCATGCCGAGCGGCGCTGGCGGGTTCGGTAGTGCTGAATCCAATGCCCACGGTGCCCATCAAGGACCCTCGCCCACCGCAGGTCCGCCTCCAAACACTCACGTTCCCCCAGGTGGGTCGCAGCCCAGTGCGAACAAACCAGCTGGATCGTATCAGCGACCTCCCCCTCAGCCTCGAGCGCAGGCACAGGCACAGCCTGAGCCGCCAAAGGCTCAACCCCCACCACCATCCTCACCCCAGCCGAGCGCAGCTAAGCCACAGGCAGAATCACCCAGGAACGCATGGGAGAAGGCTCGGGAAGAGGTCCGACGCAAGGAGGAAGAGCGCAAAGCCAAGGAGGCCGAGGATAAGCGTAGGGCAGACGCGGCCGCCCGGCTGAAGGAGCTCAGAGACAGGGAGGCCCGCGAGCGTGCACAGCGGGAGGCCGACAAGGCGCGCCGAGAGGCCGAGGCCAAGGAAAAGGCAGACAAGGAGGCCAAGGAGGCTCGGGCGAAGGAGCTCAGAGAGCGCCTGGTAAGAGAGCGTGAAGAACGACGAAAGAAGCTCGAAGAGGAGAAGGAGAGAGAAAAGAAGCGCAGAGAGGAAGATGCCAGCCAGTCCCGCGTTTCCAGCTCATATGCTTACTCTGGCGTTGGCGAAAAGACAAATCCGTGGCCCAATGGAAAGCCACCCACGGTGTCGCCGCAAGCAGGAAACCCACCACCGGCCGCCGCCTCCTCCTCTCCCACCAAGAAGCCACCTGCGCCCACGGCACGGACCTTTGTGGGCACCGAGGAGGAGGCCTACTCATACCGACCATACGACAAGCCCAAGCCGCCAGGCCGTCGGGCCTCCAACTCAGATCTGTCCGAGTCGTCGTGGGCCCCGTCGCAGTCGACGGCGCGTACGACGCCGCCGCCATCCGTGCGTGGTCCATACTCGACCAAGGACCCCGACAAGATCGTCATCAAGGCAGTCTATTGCTTCATGAACCAGTTCTCCAAGACCCCCGCTTCCCAGCTCATCTCGGGTGTTGGTTCCGTCACCGACGGCCTCATCCTCCGCATCACCACGGAAGGCCTCTTCATTGATGATGACGTCCGAGGTGTGGCACAGCGGGAGTGGGACGTCAAGGCCTGGACCCTCAAGATGGTAGAGGTATGGTGTCCCGTGCACTTTTTGGCTTGTGCGATTGCTGCGAATTCTCCCCCGTCCCCCACCGGTTCTTCTTCGAAAACCAAACAGACCCCCCCTGCTTTGAACAAGATCAGTACTGCTTTCTTCGCCAAGACGACGGGAGGAAGTGTCCGTCTGCGCGCCGCGGAGAGAGGGAACCCCAAGACGCTGTCAGGCGACGACGCGGATACCTACCTCACCGAGGTGCTGGCCTCGTGCAAAGGCTCCTGTCGGCTTGGCGACTGCGCGTCCACCTTTGATCCTTCGAACCTCAGCAATGATACCTCTAGTGTGGCGTCCGGCTCGACTCGTACTAACAGCACCGCACAGACCGGAGACTGGAAAGCCAGAGGACTTCACCTTCTGCGAGCGACGATCCGGGACCAGGACGGAAAGCGATATATGTTTGTCATCGGCGAGGAGGAAGGATGGAAGGTGGCTGTAGGGCTGCAGCGCCTGAGAAAGGGCTCGCAGGTCCGCTCGCTCGGCCTCTCAGGGCTCGGTGGTTTGGAGACCAAGAACACCCTCGAAATGCTCGGCTGGGGTTGAAGGGAGGAACCATGATATATCACGGGGGTGCCTTGATTTTCTCCCTGGATGTTTTGGTGGCAAGTCCGTCCCACACAATGTTCCAGGATCTGGGGTTCCATTCATACCTAGGGACGATACCAATCTCAAAACATACTCTGGACTGGAGACGACAGTTCTACTCAACCAAACAATATGGTCAAGCACGACGAAAGATCTCTCCGATCGAGGAACGGGAAGAGGGCGGAAATAATCGCATTGACGGACTGCATTCGCGCATAACGGAAGAGGACCTGAGGGCAACGGCGCGATGGAAGGTCCCCCTGCTTTCAGCACCACATAGGGAAGTGGGGATTATTGGAATTATGTTGTTGTTGGAGATACCATAGAGCGACTTTGATATGCTGCGAGAAATGATGATGCAACGAAAACATAGGGCGGGCGCAAGGGGGAATCAAATACCTGTCTGCCAGCGATGGCACTATAAGGAGGTGGGAAGGCGGGAGGTCACACTTGACATTCCAGTAGCAGCCGCCCGGTTGAATATTGTGACATTCCAGACACCAGGCTACACGGCCGAATGAATCAAGCCCTTTTCTGTTTTGTTTTTTTCAAGTGTGGCATCATTATGTTTCTATCGGGATAACTGTTGCGATAGCAACGTAGAGTAGGACTATGACGGTGCATCTTGTAAATTTGATGACTAAAGTAAGCCGCCTAAGACCAGAATTTGCGTGGAGAGTTTACATGATGCCAGTGCATAACATACGATGCTCACAGCTTCGGAAAACAAAAGAGCAGACGGGCAGCACGAGTACACTGGCACGTCATGAGTGAGTGAACAATCTATCACGCAAGACTCCCGATCGGAAAGGGCTTGTATCCAGAGGTTTACAGTCAGCTGCCGTTCCTATCCAAACATCAACTGAAAGAACGGCCAAGTTTAGAAGTCAACGTCTGCATATGAAGGATGTCTTTGTAGGTCAAGTAAATCGCACAGTTCCTGTTTCCGTCTTTTGGCGATCCCGTTGTGCGGTAGCGCGAGCAGTGAAATGTTGACTTCGTGGGGGGTAACATTTCACTTTGTGTCACCTGTGTTGTTTTCTGTTCCCAGACTATAAGGGCCTTTGAGAATGTGCAGAAGTAAAGGAGGGCTTTTACGGATGGGGAATAGGTGCTATTGTCATATGCTGAGGGTGCAAGGTCGCAGGTCTTGGAGCCCTTGCTGACGTTCAGGGGTCGGTGTGGCTCGATCTTCGTCACGTCAAGTCCAAAGTGTCATAGACAACATGTTGGTATCAAATGTTAAAATCGCAATTTCAGGACCGTCAGTATGGGGGATATAATATCGATACAGAGGCAGACATCGCTAGCACAGGACAAAATGCGCATTTTGGCATTTCCCAACACGTCATCCGCCACAATGTCAGGGCGGTACCGAGAGAGCCTCAGGGTCCGGGACCGTGGTGCTGAATAACCTTGGTGAGCTTATAAACAGCGTTGCTTGATGATCTTGTCCATATCATGTGAGGTTTGCTTTCAAACCTGCGTCGACCCTTTGGCATATTAATCAGGCCGTGCGCCCAATGCCGGTCCACAGTCATCCGTTCTTCCTTGACAGCCACATCCATCCTCAATTGCAAAACCCCATGTCTTGATGTGACGGTCTAAAATCGCATGTTGAGATGCTGCACAACTGAGGTCAAGTCGGGTTTGAGGTAATAACCAGAATCCATGATTTGTTAACACTCTTACAACCAGCTAGCCATGTGATACAGCTCAACCTGTGATGCGATCTAGGCCTCACAATGGGGACGAGTATCAGAGGTTTCCGACAATTCTAATACATAGGGAGGGCAACGAATGCAAGCAGGAAGTGTGACTCGCTGCACACCTGCTTTCACATCTGACCGAGGTACAGAATTCAGTCAACTATGATCAAATGATCGTCGAGCACCCTGAATAATACCAAGCTTTCCCACCTTGGCCAGGCTCTGGTGCATAGGGCGAGGAACAACAGGTTACAGGTGTCCAATCAGATCTTCGCGCATAGCTTGACGGAGCCTACCGAATTAGGGCTATACGCCATGTAAGCCCAGCCCTTCGCTGCCGGAACTAGTTTTTCTCTTGCAGGGCGCCCTCCAAAGGGCGTCAGCCTTACCAGCTATCAACCGCTATGCATGGAAGCGACGCAAACACTGCGAATGTATTCAAGATCCTCGCACAGACCGCGGAGGCAACATATTCCACTCGAGATTTCCCTTCTCGACTCGCAAACAAAATATGGTCTGTATCAGGTTTCATTTGGCGATCATTACGGTCATCACCTTGCGCATTGGATGATGGCTCCTACCACAACGAACAATCTACAGCTAGCAACAGTCGTCTCTATTTCAACGGCACAGACAACATATATTTCTGAAGCAGACAATCTTTCAAAGATTGATGCGCAAACCCAGGTCCCGATCATACTTGGCGTGTCTGCTGCATTCATGGTAGTATCAACGGTCGTCGTCGTGCTGCGCTTGTACACTCGCTATCGCATTATCAAAGTGTCTGGAAACGACGATATTGTGATGGGAATCGCACAGGTATGCTCAGAATCAGCCGTACCTTTTTGAAACTTCAATGAACTCATTGTTTGACTTTCCAGGTTCTGAACATTGCCCTCGTGATCACAACAATCTTTCGTATGCACTGCCGAGACAACTTCTTCTTGTTTCCATTCTCACCCTCTCGAATTTTCAAGACAAGTAATTTTGACAAAGGCAGAAACCCATTTCGGTCTCGGGCGTCATATTTGGGTGGTCAGTGAATACGATAGGAGAAAGCAGCTAGAGGTGTGTTGCGCTTAACTTGCGACGATCGAGAAGAGAAAGAAAAATAATGACCACCAGTAGCTGACGCAACCCAAGCTCTTGTTGGCAGGAGAGATGCTATATAACGCAGCGCGGGCCTTGACGAGAATCTCACTTGTTCTACTGTGTCGTCGAATCATCTGCGTCTTTCGAACACGAACTATCTGTTTCTGGTTGCTGGTACTTATACCGACCTGGTGTTCGATTACATTCATCCTCGACGCGCTCGCATGCACTCCAATGCGCATACTGCATCCAGATTTGGCCTACAAGTGTGTCCCGAGTTTCCAAATCTGGACACTTATAGCCGCTGCCGGGATTGTTATCGATTTCGCTGTCATTCTAGTCCCTCTGCCGAGCCTTTGGGCCTTGAAGATATCCAGAAAACGACGGATTGCACTTGTTTTTGTATTTGTCTTTGGATTCGGGTGAGGCCTTTGCCCCACCGCCTCCTACCCCCCCAAAAAACTGTCTATCTCGTCCTAATCAATTTGTTGTCAGTATCACTACCATTGTGGCGATTGCCCGCATATTTATGGTCAAAGGCGCATCGTTCAGTATAGATATTTCTTGGGGGTATTCTGCCTTTGCGTACTTAAGCGTGATCGAGGTCAATATGGGCATAATCTGCGCGTGTGTTATTTTACTGCGTCCTTTACTCGGCGGATTGGCTCCTACTGTAGTGCGATCGAGCTGCCTTGCAATTCCTACAGGAGAAGGGACCGCGAAAAGCCCGTTGAAAAGCCCGACAACACGTGCTGGCCACAGGACATCTGGCTGGGCGGATCTCGATGTGGAGCCGGCCTCGAACGGGAGCTTGGAGAAGACACCAGGTACGGAGGGCCCAGCCTCCCTCGAACCAGCCCACTTGGATGCTCGCCGGAGTTTGGCACCGCGGGTATCAACCTTGATCACAAGCGACACCAGCTTCCACGTGGAAAAGAGGCCTGAAGATACCCAGGCTCCGACAAAGCCCGTGCCAGTGAAGACAGATACTCAAGGTGGTGGTTTCATTTTGGTGACAACGGAAACAATCATCACCGAGGAAATCAGGGATTTGGAAAAGGAACCAAAGGAACAGCCATCAACATCACACTCAAGATCATCCGAAGGAGCATCAGTGATGCCTTGGTCGGAGGGGGAATAGCTGCTCGTCTCTGAATCATATTCTCGACACGGGCTTGAACATGGGATATGTACACCTCTTCATCGCGTTTTAGAGCTCTGGGACACCGGCCTGGTCCCATGATTTTTGCTTCCGACGACTGACGGGTTCATTCGTGTTGTATTTATCATACGTCTCGCGACGTCAAGAGCTATCCACTTGAAAATACCATTACAGATGTGATAGCCCTGGACTTTTATCAAGCGAGCGCATCCACTACCCTCGATGGCTTCGCCAAACACATTTGCTCAGTCCCCGGCCGCTAGAGAAGCAGACCGTCGAACTCTGAGGTTTTCGGAATTCTCCATCGACCAGTGCCTTTAGAATTAGTGAAAAGAGCAAATCAATAGACAGGCAGGCTTCTCACAATGTCGCTTGTCGTGGGAGCGTGGGTCTGTAGCGATTTTACAAGATTCGAAGTAATTCCAGCAGACCGCTTCCCGAACAACTTTCCTTTCTATCATTGTGAGAATGGAGCAATCACATGCACTCGCCCAGTTTCTCCCATGATCATTGCAGGTTGAAATTTCTTAAGCCAAGGACTATTCAAGCTCTCTGATAATCTCCCAATTTCTGACTATATTTAATCATGTTGTTGATCACCGGGGACGGCAGTCATAGACCATCCATAAGGCTCCTTAAGATGCTCAGGAGATAACCACTCTGGAAGCTGGACACAAAGCATATCTGTAGGTTTCGGGAGAAAGATACTGATTCGGTTTTTGTCTTTAGCGGAGGTGTCTCTAGCATTGGATCACCAGATCCACAACATTGATCTGAGGCTGTTCTATGATGACCTACGTAATATTGGCGGCCGTGGAAACATTGCTACAGGACCGGCTACGGGCGCACAACCGTCGTCCCCACAGCTCACAATGACTCAGGTCATAAAGCTTTTTTGCACACGCGATTTTCAACCAAATTGTGGGTTGTGTAGTGTAATGGTTATCACATTGGATTCTGATGAATTCATTCATTCTTTCCAATAATCTGAGTTCGATTCTCAGCACGACCTTTTGCTGAACTCAAGTCCTGGGGGTCAAGGTGGTGGTGCTGGCGCTTGAGTTGGTGAACTTTTCTTCTTTTTCTTGTTTAGGGTTCAACTTTTATGTCTTTGGCCCTAACGGCGAGCATTTCGTTCGCAGGAATGGTTACTTAAATTAGGTATGCCCTGCCCCGGAAGCCATGTTCCGAGGCAAAATAGTGCATTGATTCCTGGATGTGGAAATACTCTTTGCCTCGTGATCTGGTTCATAGTCATTCAAGTAGCATCGCTATTGAGTATGTCAAAAAACTTCGTGCGAATTCAATAACCTTGCCATCGCTTGTTGGGATTGCTTCTCGATGATGCACATAGAAAATCGGCTACACCTCGAGTGCTCATTTTCACTTCATCAAAAGGTAGTCATTTGCCAGGGAGCAAATGGCAGGACAGCTTTCAGATGTCAGTACCAGGGGTAAGAGAGGATGGGAACAGTCAGGTCGATTGAAGGAAGGTAAGATATGCTGGATATGGAAGAGAAAAGCAGAAGATAGACAACGGAGAATGGCCTTGGTGGTGATCATTTGGCTATGATATACAGAACGTGAGTACTGACCCTTGGACGGCTTGACTCAAAGCCGTTCGACAGGTTTTGGGTACTTTGTCTGGAACAGGAAACATGCTGCCATAGGGTCTTACTTCGCGTTTTGTTCGAGGTTGTTGCACTGGTGGCAATGAGGGAACGTTCCGATCGCAAACACATCCCGCTAGAGCACTTGCTCATACGAGGCTCATGGCTTTGGACAGATTAGCAATCATGTTGATGAGTGTGGAGCGATCTTTGTCCAGGCTTCTCCATCAGGACGGTGTAGACAATCGTCACCAAGCGCTATTGGAGCTGGGCAGAACCATATAGCAGATGCCTTTCAGACGTGACCGGATCTCCAAGAGGCAAATATGAGAGAATCTTTCCGATAGTGCAAAGAAAGGTGGAAGGCTCAACATCGGAGAGAACCAAACAGATACGCATATCTGCGATTTGACACTGGCCGGCGGAAATGGCACCAATAAACTCGCCTTGTAATTGGAATGGAGGCGAGGACACGTCATGCCAGTTGCGCATTGAGAGGGAGCAGCCCCGCAAAGAAGATAGTGATTTTCTACGAGACGCGTGTTATGGTTGCATGCCAAAGGCCGCGCCATAGCTGAACATATGGCTGGACAATCACAAAAGCCATCCCAGCAATAGCGGTCCACGGAAGAACGGCACAATAACGTGAAGGACAACGCCACTACGGAGGATTGCAGAGATGACCACATTCGTCCCTAAGTAGACTGTGGTGAGATTCGCAGCACATAGCTGGTTTCCGCCCCATTGGACTATTGGCCAACAAAGTCAACCATGTGTACGGCAAACAGCTTTAGGATCATGTTGCCGCATGTTGCCGCTCATGCAGAATCTGGTAGTCCACAGATGGTGAATTGATTTCACGGAGGATTGAGAAAGAGGCCGCAAAGATGAGCACGAGGAGCACAATTACGAACCAGACTATCGATGCTGACGGTGACAGCGGCGTCGTGACTGGATACAATTATAGGCACCACATATGACCTCGACCATTTTAGTGATGCGAAATTAGGGCCAGAGCATCCGATGCTGACCTGCATTCAACGATGAATTTGAAATGCACCGCCCCCACGGGGGGGGGGGGGGCGCCCGGGTCGTGACTCGCTGGCGGACATTCCAGGAGCCTCAGATAGCTTCGGGGGCCCAGCCAACGGCGAGGAGGGGACAACTTTGACTTCGAGAGCTTGTGTGCTCGTAGTGATGAGTCGAGAAGGGCGATCGCAAGCAATTTCTGGCTTGCGATCGGCATACAGTATATCAGGGCATGCCGTTTCTACCGTCTTGCGTGTTCATTATGGGGTAGATTAATTATCAGGTGACATCAGAGTTGAAGAATATGCCGGATATCCGTACATAAGCCGCGACTCCAGCATTGAACAGATCACGTAACTCACAATGTGAATGCATTATTGTTCTTGATCATAGCCACTATCATGTGAAGAATGTCGCCACGACCAAGACCGGCTTTCTTGGACCTCGTGTTTGAAACAACCGGCTCGTCCAAGAGAAAGAGTTTTACTTGGCGTGCTTGGGTCTGCTTGGTATTGTATGGACATAGCCATAAATTGTGGGCCAGTCTGAAGTCTACTATGCTACGGTCGTCCTTGCACATTTGATACTCGCTCAGGGCGTGGCTTAGATCTCGGTCACCCAAAGAAACGAAGGAGAAGGGAAAAAAGGAAGAAGAAAAAAAAAAAAAAGGTGACCCGTGTGGGGGCAAGAAACGATAGAACCTTAAGGGGCTGGGGCAGGAGTCCAAGCAAGCACACACACATACACACACACACACACACACGCACACATGATGGCTCGTTTATTGAATCCATGTTGGTAAATTTGTGTATCTGTGGTCTGACCGAAAACACTAAAAATGTAAATTTGGGCTTGCGTGTTGATGGTCGTGGCCAGCCCACGGATTTGCTCTGAAGGAGGAGGAAAAGAGGAGGATGAGGGCTCGATGTGTTCCAGCGCTGTCAGTACCTTGAGCATCCCTCGAGGTTTGGTAGGCCTCCCTTCCCACAGCAGGAGGTCTCATGCGCGTTTGCAAATGTATCCACATTCCCAACCCCAACAAGACCCCACTCGATCCAAAAAGGTCAAGTACTGTAAAGTTATCAAGAGTGCGAGGTGGCGCTTAGTATTTTCCCTTACTACAACGCGGTATGGCCAGATTCAGGAGTCAGCCCGCCCCTTCGGTAGACCGGATCTTGGCCTGGTGGACGAGCCGCCCGGGATATTTTTGGGCTGACGTTTTAGGGGGCGCAGTTCCTCCAGGGTCGATTGGGTCTTCGTTTCCATGACCATAAGGAAAAGAAGAAAAAACGGATCCCTCAGCCGAACAGGAGGCCCTGGGAATGGGACTGGTGACCGGGGTAACTGGTGTGAGTTGACGCAGCTCTGAGACCTCCCGGATCCACACCACCACTAAACAACAAAGCCTACACCCGAATTGGGCCAGTCAACAACACCAAAGAAGTACCTGCATTGCGAAACCCCTTCAACATGGGACCGCCGGGCAAAAAGAAAAGCGGGCACCAGCCACCAGGCAAGTGTTTGACATAAATGGATCGCATGAGCCCTTTCTCAGGTATCAAGAAAAGGTTGCTACGTATCTTGTTGTTCTGTACCTAATTCGTCTCTTGTCACTTGCTTTTTTTTTTTTCTTTTTTTACCTTGGCTACGCTCTCTCGTTGTGTGAAAGCCTTCCTCTCGTTAGCAGCACAAAGCAAAACCCAACACACACGCGCGCCCGCTCGTTACATTTTTACTATACAACACTGTTTTTTGTTGTCAATATGCGCTCTGTTCAGTCTCTCGCTCTGGGCCTGTCCCTCATCTCGACCGCAGCAGCCCAGACCTCGACCTCATGTAACCCCACGGAGAGTGAGTCTTAGTCTTTTTCTTACGAAACCTTCCAGCCCAAGTCACTTTCCTACTAACACCCAATTTCCTTTCAGAGACATGTCCCTCAGATGCAGGTCTTGATCAGACCTCGTACACTGTGGACTTCACGCAGGGAGCCAGCAGTGACTGGAACATGACCTACGGGACGGCCACCTACAATTCCACCGACGGAGCTGCCTTTACTATCACGGAGGAGGGTGATGCCCCTACGATGCAGAGTAACTTCTACATCTTTTTCGGAGAGATCTCGGTCCTCATGAAGACAGCACCAGGGACGGGCATCGTGAGCACGGCCATCCTGGAGTCAGACGACCTGGACGAGGTCGACTGGGAGTTCCTGGGCGGCGAGGCGACCAACGTGCAGACCAACTACTTTGGCAAGGGTAACACGACGACGTACGACCGCGAGCAGGACGTGACCATCTCGGACTCGCAGACCGAATTCCACAACTACACCCTCGTGTGGACCGAGGAGACGCTCACCTGGCTCGTGGACGGCGAGTCGGTGCGCACCCTCGCCTACGCCGACGCCGTCGACGGCACGAACTACCCGCAGACTCCCATGCGCGTCAAGCTGGGCATCTGGGCGGGTGGTGACCCCAACAACTCCGAGGGCACCATCGAGTGGGCTGGTGGCGAGACAGATTACACCCAGGGCCCCTTCACCGCCTACGTCAAGAGCGTCAGCATCGTCAACTACAACCCTGCCGAGTCTTACACCTACGGTGACCTGAGTGGCTCCTACGAGAGCATCGAGCTGAGCGGTGCCAACGCCACCGGCGCTACTGTCACCACCAGCTCGTCCAACGAGACGACGACTGCCGCTACCAACACCACGGGAACTTCCTCCTCTACTAGCTCCGGGGCCGTCTTTGCGTCTGGCTCCGCGTCTGCCTCCAACGCCACTGCGTCGTCATCCTCATCCACCTCGTCGTCGTCCTCGAGCAGCTCCAGTGTCGTGACTGGCGGCGCTTCTGCGTGGGTGGTGCCCAACATTGCCATGCTGGGTGCCATGAGCCTTGTCTGGATGCTCATCTAGACTCTTGTCCTCGAGGATGGCGATGATGAGGATGTATGAAGAGAGGTTTAGATGATTACTTTACATGAGGTGTCTGGTACATGTCAATCCTGATGCGAATCACGGATGATGAGATTTTATTCGGTTTCTATTTCTTTTTTCTCTCTAAACAGCTGTGCTCGCGCTCGGCGTTTTTGAGTGCTTAGGCTGGGGGCAAATATTTATTCCTAAAGCATCTAAAGGCGTTCGGATTGATTGTGATATCAACATAGAAAGTGCATCGAAGCACTCGGAAGATAATGTGATTAAGACATATTACGGTGAAACCAACTCTTTCTGTGCTGCTGATTGTGAGGATGTGTGGTTTACTGCGTGATGGCTGTGCCCAGAAAACAAGCACGACTATTGCCGTGGTAGTAATGGTAGTAACTGTAGTAGTATGAGAGTAGTAGTAAGTACGTAACGAAACTATTGCCATAATAATTGCCTGAACGCCTGGCTGAGTCTAGGCCCGGTACTTGGCGACCAACAGGGATTCTTTATGCAGGGCTCCCTTGACAAGGGCACGACGCGTAAGTGGTTTCCGCAATTGGATCTTTGGTGCGCTAATGGGATTGATGACAACGATTCGACGCGATCCTCCCCCTCCTCTGTTTCTCTCAAAAACGATGCTCCTCACTCACTCCGTTCACTCATTCAGTTTCTCTTATCAAACTGGTCAGGTCTGTAGGTCGGCCGGACGATCACGTCAGACGGGACAGCAGCAATTTGCATTACATTTTGCTGCATGTCAGAGCTTCACAAACGCTTCTGGGGCCTCGTGTTGTTGACCCACCACAACAAACAATAAGGTCTTGCCCGCCCTTCGGGCCTGATTTTCTTCTACTTTCTCCTTTCTTCTCAGTCGTACCCAGAGCATAGACAGAGAGCAGGAAGAGAGACACGTCAACAAGGCATGAGCTCCAGTCTTTACAGCGGGAAGGACGCGCGGCCTGGTCAGCCTGCAGAGGAGCCGTCTTCCGGGATTACTAAGAGGAGGCTGGCCCTCTGGCTACCAAGCGCAGCTACCGCTGGTGTCCTGGGACTGACGTGCTGGCAGGCCCAGCAGAGGAGCCGGCATGGCCCACGCGGCGTCGCGGCCCTGACGTTTGCTTTCTTCGGAGATGACGCAGAGGAGCGTTGGGCGGCATCATGCATGGTGGCGAATTTGGCCTCGCCTCTCTTGCTATGGACAGTCGAGGGCTACCGTGTAGGCAATGAGAGGACTCTCCTTGTACTGTGAGTGGCCAGTGAGGGGGTCCAGCTCTTCTACGATGTACATAGTACACACCATGATAATGCTAATGGAGTGCACCAAAGTGCGTGCGCAAGCCAGAAGGGCCCTACTGACTATGTATAGACCTGGCCTCTTTGGCGCAGCAGTGCAAGTGTTGGGCATGGAAACGGTGGCGCCCATCTACTACCTGGCTAGCATCATCACTACGACTGCCAGGAAAGAGGAAATAGGGAGTGTAGACCCTGACGTGGCCAGAGCTGCCCTTGCAGCGACCACCATCGGCCATGTCGTGCCGGGTATCCTGATGAGCGTCCTGCCCCTCACGGCCACCGAGGTCTCGCGCTCCTATCTCACCCTGGAGAGCATCGTCTGCCACCTGTTTTACTTTTCACCCATTACTGTGTCGCTTCTGACGACGGGCATATTCTCCCTCACCAAGTGGGTGAGGCGCAGCAGATCTAGCCTCCAGACGGCAGCTGTCGATGGCAAAACGCTGAGAGGAACTGATGGCGACCGTACCCATTACGACCTCGCCCCGCTCAAGACAACGTATGCTGCAGCCTTCACGTACCAAGTCTTGCAGCATTTTGCTCTTGCAGCAAGTAGTTTATGGCGCACAAGCCACAGCTGGAGTCGGCGCCTCACTGCGCCTAAGCTCGGCTACGACCTGTGTGCGATTGCAAGGGCGCTCATGCCCATCACCTCTTCCTCCTCTGCCTCGTTTCTAATTGATCGCCTGGCACTATATAATCTCGCTACTGTTGCCTTCGGCTTGTATACAGTTTGGGATCTGCGGCGACGCGACGTCGTCACGGGCCGCGAGGCGAGGTGGGCGGCTCTGGGCTGCTTTGCTGGGAGCGTCTTGGCTGGACCAGGAGCTCAGTATGCTGGGCTTTGGTACTGGCGGGAGTGTGTTCTCGCCAGGCATCCGTGCTGATAGCGATTATGGTCTTGAAAGACTGGAAGAATGACTGGAACCTACCTCATGCACACAACTCAGTTGATTTTAAACTGCGGGGACTATTTGTGATAGGAGGATTCAAGCCTTCGGTGGCATGCCTAATCGAATTAAGAGTATGTGGTTTTGATGCAATTTGTTTCATCGGCTGTCGATAAACGCCCCATCGCTGAGGTACATGTATACGTGGTACGTGACCATCAAGATGCTTGGTGATCGGGCTGCCTGAAGCGACAACGCCTTAGATTCAAGGACTCAGGGCCGTTGTCAACGGCATTGAGATGTCGCAAGTTGACGATTAACCTCTGCTGAACGGCATGTGTTCGCTTATTCCTGGGCGAGGCTGGTTTTCAAATTTCACCATCAAAGTGTCTTCGCTGCGACCTCTACTCAGCTCAACTCCCGCAATCTTCTTCAAATATATTAAACATCTGCTTGACCAATGAGACTAACATATAGTTAGTATCTAATCTATGCCAAGCAAAACCACGTCAGTGCTCGACTCCGGACTCTTCGTCAATGTGCAAGGCTTCCGGCCGTATCCGAAAAGAGGGCTCCAAGCTCCAGACACACAAGGTCTACGAGATGCTGCAGGCAGATGTAACATGGCATGTCAACTCAGGTGGTGCGGACGATGGTTTCCTACTTGGAAAAGATGTGATGGACTTACTCAACTTCTCGATTCCCTTTATGAATCCATTCTATATGCAAATATATGATGGACTGGGTACCCAGATGGGCAGCTGAGCCAGGTCGGATGTCTTTTCAACGCTTACTATATAAAAAGAATTATTGGAGCCAATCGACCAGACAAACATCCATTCATCCATCATCAACTTGGTCTCGAGTCGAGTCAGACCAAGACAAAACACGCGAGTCGGCACATATGACTGCACTGAGGCATCTGGGATCCACTCCCGTGGTCAGCGGCACCGTCCACGAGTAATGAGCCGTCTGGAAGACAGCAAAAGACGACAAAAAAGGAAGTTTGCGGTGTGTGCGGATCGAACGCACGGCCTTCAGATTTATTACTGGAGTTTGAATGCTTCAGTCTGACGTTCTCCCAACTGAACTAACCCCGCTGTGAAAGACAGGGGTTTTGTGGTTGTTTATATCGTCATCACCTGCTTGTCTGCAGTGCAGGCGGATGACAGAGAAACGAACCCCATCCACAATGCTACAAGAGATGACCTCTTTATTTATGGCTTGTTAATATGACTGAACATTTCTCGTTCTATCTAGAAGCCAACCTTGGAGAGTTTCAGGTTTGATCGTAGTTTTCTGGACGAAAGCTTCAACGATCCTGTCAACTCGATACTCTCTCAAGGCTGTTGTGATACTCTCGGAACCAATCATGTCAAAGCTAATCAACTGGACCAAGCTTTCAAACAACCTTCTGAATCACGGTAAACAGTCATGTAGCGCAACTAACAGCACTGATGCAATGGGTGAAGTTTATTGACTTTGATAGCAGCATATATTCAGGGGAAACCTTGAACCTGTGATCAATATCTTTTTTCCCAAACACGGAAGACACTTCGTTCTGTTACAGCTACCTGAATTGGCATAACAGAAATTGACTCAATATGTGCTGACTGAATGATTGTATTGAGAAAACACATTCGATGGGTTGACCGCGAATTTCCATACTAAATCACTTAAACAGCAGTAATGTATTGGTCTTGGTGAATACAGTGTCTAGAAGATATCTCGATCCACAATGCCACAAAATCTCTTGCGATGTAAAAAGTCCAAACATAAAGTGTGGTCTTGTCACGACAACATCGCTCTGCTCTAAATGCATCATCTAATGGTGTAACTGACTCCTGGTGCATGGCCTGCCAAGCATGTCCGCGCTCCGAAAAAGGAAATGAAAGAAAAAACGCAGCAGCCATTTCTCAAGCGGCAATCTCAGCAGTGGCCATGGTCAGCTCATAGTCGTCAAGCAGAGTCTGCGTCCGAGACGAAAAGCACAACTCTTCGTCCAGGGGAATCCGCGCCAGCTTCAGTATGCACCTAAGGACCTTGTAGATCTTGGTCTTCATGATGATGTCCAGATCGAGGTCACCGAGGGACTCCAGCTTGTTCAGAGTTGTGGACATCAACGACATGTCCTCCTCTGCGGGCACAGTCTTGAGATCTCGGGTAATCATACCCTTCTGGAGAACGTGGCGGATCTGGAGTACCTCCTGCTGCAGCCGCTCTTTGGGATTTTGACCCACCGGAGTGGGTGTGGACGAAGGTGTCTCGTCTCTGCTGACTTGCAATGCAGGCTCCGCAGCCTTGACAGGTTCTCCAGCAATGGGTCGATCATCATCCTCGCCTTTGGCCTTCTCTGTTGGTTGATCCTGAATAGCCACGGTGCCAAAAGGCCACTCCACGCCTTCACTCTCGTGGTTGACGTTGCCAATCTTGGCCTTGCCCATCACCCGGTCATATTCGCTCGTCTGCCTCTCGATGATGGTGCGGTAGGATGCCCGACCGTCGTCTCCAGAGGCCTGCACCACTTCCGTTGAGCCACTGGCCTGGATGCCAGAAGAAGTCGCGCCGTTAACCGGATCAGGACGGTGGACGATGGTGTTTGTCTCGATGGTAGGCTCCGTACTCTGCTTGTTCCCCTCCTCCCCATCCTTCTGCATCTTCTGGTCGGCATTCTTCTTGCTCTCTCCCCTCTGGCCCGCAGCATTGCTCACTGCGTTGTCAAGGTCGGCCTCACCCAGATTGCCCATGCCGTCCTGCTCCAGCTCGCCACCCTCCATGATGACCCTCAGCTCGAGACCCTCGTCCTTGGAATAGACCCTGAACCCAATGACAGCAATGGCATTCCATGGGTCTGGAACGTCTTCGTCATCCGAGTCTTGCGCATTGGTAGCCGCAGGCGCGGGTGCAGGCGCACCGGCCATGCGGAGCGTGGGAGTAAGATCGTCTTCGTCGTAGAGGCGCTCGTAGTCCTCGACGGGCGAGTCGGAGCTGTAGTCTGTCTCCTCGGGCTTTGGTGGCGCCTTGCAGGAGTTGCAGGAGCAGCAGTGGATCTTGAGCTCCATTGCTTTCTGCTCCTGAGAAGGTGGGCTGGGCTGTGGCGGTGGTCCACCAGATACGGCGGCGGGAGGAGTGCTGGGCTCCGCAGGGCCAGTCCTGGGGCTGTCCTGAGGCGTATACTGGGGCGTGCCTGTGGACGAAGAAGAAGACAAGGTCGACGTCGTGGAGGCGTTGTCCTTGTCCTTGGCTGCCGCCTCCTCCTCGGCCTTCTTACGGAGACACTGCTGCTGCTTCTCAGCAGCCTCAGCCTTGGCCCTAGCGTCAGCCTCGGCCTTGGCCTTCTTGGCTGCCCTCAACATGGCCTTCTTCCTCGAATCCTTCTCCTTCTGCTTCTCTGCGATCTCGCGCCCGATCTGCCTCTTCTCCCAGTTCTTCTTGCGCTCTTTACGCCTCGACTCGCTCGCCTTCTTGCTCTCGGCCTGCTTGCGCACCTTGGCTAGGCGCTGCAGGTGGCTGGCAGCCTTGGAGTGCGCGAGATCATACGCCTGGCCGACCTGGGCGAGCTTCTCGTTCTCCTCGCGGCTCTTGCACTCGCGCTTGATGACGTCCTCGGTGCTGAGCAGCCTGGTGTTGCGCTCGCCCACGATGGAGATGTAGACGACGTAGTTGCCCGCCTCGAGGCTGGGCACCTCGACCGACACGCTTCGGTCCATGAGGTAATTGCCATGGCTGCGCACAATGTACTCTTCCGCCCCTGGTTTTCCCTCCTCATGCAGCCGGAACTGCAGGCGGAAGTTGTACTGGCCCTGCAGGCCGCGGAAGTACCGCGTGTCCAGCTGCGAGAGGACGAGCACGAGCGGGGACTCGCGGCTCAGCTTGATGTGGAACTTTTCGTGATACTGGGCCTTCCAGGGCACCTCGACGCCGATCCAGCGCTGACAAGAGCGCCAGTCTGGGTCGCGGAAAAGCCGCGTGCGGTCAAAGTGCTGGTATTTGCGGAGGAGGTCCTCGTACGAGATCCAGAAGGTAGAGTCGCCTGCAAATGTGTGGTTGAGTTCTTCCTGAACTTCTGTCGTCCACTCTTTGCTTCCATCGGACCAGGCTGGGAAATGTTAGTAAAACAAGACCACAGGAGTGAAGACTTGAATATTTTAGAAAGAAAGAAAAAGAAGTAGGAAACGTACCTCCTTCCCAGTTGCCCTTCTTAATCTTTCCCCAGGGGTTTCTATATGCTTGTCAGCAACATGTCCACTCTATTCACTTGGGTTGAACACAAATAAGAGACATACCTCAATTTACACAGACGAGTCCCGTTTTTCAGAGTTCTCGCCTCCATGATGACATATGCATGGCCTTCCGAGATACCATCTCTGTCGCCATAGCCAGCATCAAGCAGGCCCGTGGAGCAACCAAACAAAAACTCCTGGTTGACCCGGCTCAGCTCATTCTCCCAGAATGCATCCACATCAAAAATGTCGCTGGCAAGGAGTTCAGTGGTGACCCCCCCAGACAGATCCTCGAGGGCCTCCCCGATCCAGCCACCAGCAAGACAGGCAAAGTCGCCGTGTGCCTTAGCGTAAGCCTTCTCGATCAGGGGCACCCAGGTCTCGTTCTGGTCCTTGTTCTGGGCAAAGAAGAGCGCCTTGCTGCCCGTCTGGTACGTCTGCCGGTATACACGCTCGACATCCTCGCGGTCGATCTGCTGCAGCAGCTCGCGCTGCATGGACTGTGAGTCCCAGCAGGGAGAGCGGAGGTACAACTTGTCGTCGATGATGGAGTAGATCCACTCGCCGTCACGGAAGAAGACGAAGCCGTAGATTCCAATTTCTGGTCATCGTCAGTAGTGAACTGCTGAAACAGGAAAAAAAGAACTGAAGGACTGTCACAAGGGACACTTACTGGTATCATATTCCACACAGACCCGCTTGATACCATCAGTCACGTTGGCGAGACCTGTCAGACAGGCCACGAACCAGCAGTTTCCGAGGCTGCCCTGCTTGATATCACCAGGGAGAATGCTTTCCATAAATGTTGGCTTTTCATAAATCTCATGAACACGCTTCACAGCTTTTGGGATGCTCGATGAGGGATTGATCAGGTTCGAGTGGCAGATGTCGAATTTGGTTCTGTCCAGGCTGTTCAAGCAGTGGCCCTTCTCCCACTTGAAATCCCAGTCCTGTGGTAATTTTGCTTCAATTAGCTATCAAGAGAAATATCCTCTGCTCCTTCTTTCAATTCTGGGAGGGGAAAAAAAAACCAAAAAACCACCAGAAACACTCACCAGGTCCCAGCCGGGGTCACGGTATCTGGTATTCACCCTCTTGCACTCAGAAATAATCTTGCGGACCTTCCTCCTACACTCCTCAGCCGCGCGCTCAAATCCAGCCGAGAGCAGCTCGTTCCCGCGCTCGCCCGAGGTGGACGCCGGCACGGGCGAGAAAGGCAGCACGGCGAGCGCCTTGCTAAACTTCTTTTGCGAGAACTTGTCCCATATTTGGTCTATGCTCTCCTGTGGGGGCTTCTTGGCCTTCTTCTTCTTCTTTTCATCCTTATTGCCGTTTGTATTAGTGGACGACTGTGGTGCAGGGCCCACGAGCTCAGGGGCGCCGGGCGGGCTAATTTGGGTGCTACGCTTTTGGTGTTGGCTGCGGTGTTGGCGGCGTCGATACTGTCGGGTCGCGGGGCCAGATGATGATTCGGAGTCAGAGTCCGAGGAGGACGAGGAATTGGTATAAATGTATTTCCTACCCATCTTGACGCGAGGTGCATAGAACGAGGCGTGATTCCTTGAAAGCAAAGCGTTTGTCGAACAGCGTGTGCAGTATTGTATAGTATTATAAGGACGGTCATGAACTAACACGACGGTGCCGCTGTAATTTTGTTTGTCGTTTACGTAGTTGGAGAGCGAGAATGGCACAACTGTAAGAGAAGGAAGGGAGGATTTACAAAAGGAAAAAAGAAAGGTAAAGAAGAGGAAGAGAAAGGGTATCTATCAAAAGACGGGAATCCGACTTAGCCCCCATGTGTTATTGTTCAAAAGATACGGCTCAGTGCATGTCCCTGAGCATCTTCACTCTGCTCAATAGTCCGTTGCGCCCCGGTGTGCCTCGTGCCGAGAACGGATAACCCCCCATGAGTCGAGAATTCAGGGTCTCAATCCCATATGTAGCGGGGTGGAGACATTGTGGACCCCACAAAGGTGATCAGCAGGGGGCCATGTACGTAGTAGTACTGTGGTACTATGGTACTTCGTCCATACAGTATAATCTCTTTGTTTCTGACGTGTGCGTGTATGTTGTTCTCTCACAGCAGGTAGGTTGCATTGCCCGGGTGAAAATGACCTTCGAAAGGTCAAGTATGATAGAACGAGGACTCGCTGCAAGTTACTCTTCAGTTTGGCTCTAATCGCCACAGGACAGAGGCTTGGGAGGGTGGCACTTGAACAGAAGACTGAGGCTGTCAGAGAAGGGAATTGGATATTTTTGTCTCTTCCCTTGTCTCGGCCAGGCGGAACACTGCCCATATGAAGGAATAAATGTCCGTCTTGATGTGTACTGTTCATTGATTGCTTCTGCAGAGACAAAATGCATGCTCACAATAAGATTGAGGATCTGATATGGAGGGAATAGATGCCATGTACCAGAGTACATGAGGCTGGCTTGGGTCTTTTCTCAGGTCGCATGGCCGCCTGCCGGGTTGGTTTCTTTTTCTGGGTCCTCCTGGCAAAATAAAGCAAGCGCTGAGACGAGACGGCACAACGCCTGCGGACCACAGTATTGACCTGAACAGGGGACCTATCACGACCAGCGTACAGGGTTCTGACATCTGACAAATATAGAGAAAAACGTTGGGGAGGGAACACGAGTGAGATTACAAAGTATCAGGCATACATACATTACTTGCAGTCGATATAATAGCGGTCAGACTGCCAGGCGGTTGGTGGAACAGGACTATCCAGCGCCGTGGCGACAGCTGTGAACTCAGTCAGCTGTCAGGGAAGAATGTGACAGAGGCGTTGCTCTCGCTGCAGTCAGCGTCGCCGGCGACTCGCAGCCCACCATTCTGAGATGTGAATGAGCTCAGCGTGGTGCAGGCCGCACCGTGAAGCCAGGAAGTTTACACTGTTCCGAGAGAACCCTTTATCTTGATATAAGGTGATCTGAAAAGATAGTGGCGAATCTAGGAGTCGGCCTTTGGATTGCCGGGGGCCAAAGTCCCGAAGACGATGCCATTGGGAAATCCAAGAGCTTGGGGACAATGCAAAAGTGGATAACAAGGAGGCGATCCGACATTCTGGGGAAGGCAAGCACAAAGGGGTACGGGGAGGTCGTCAGCCCCGTCCGTCGATCGGAAGTGTCGGTCAGCGGCCTGACCTGGTGGAGGCAAGGGCAAGGAAGGGTGGGCTGGACCCTTAGATATTGCTTTGAGGCTGTCAGCCGTCAGCCTACCCGGATCGTCTTCTAGACTCAGCAGCAATCCCCCCTTCCCTTCTCGTCCTTATCTCATCCTTACTCATAATACATATCCAGATGTACATCCCTCGGCGCGGGCAAGTCTTCCAGCTTTTGCGAAGAGGCGCTACGGCGAAACGCTGGACTAAAGCGCGGAGGGCCATGCCCAGGGAGGATTGGCGCTGTCTCGGCCCCAAGCGAGGCTTCCGATTCCATTCTTGATTTCATTCACTGTTGGATGTTACGATTTCCTTTGTCTTGCTTTTTTTGCTGAAGCATTTTCTTCTCCCTTACCCCTTTTGGTCTTCGTTTCCGTTCTGTTCTTTCTTTATGCCTCATTCCAATCTACACCTGCAGGCTCCATTCAATAAAGAAGCCTCCTGACATTGTTCAAGGGACTTTCCAAGAAGATGTCAAAAGCTTGAGTGTTCAGGTTCAAGTATCTGGCGGTGAAGTCCATTCTTCATCCAGGGCCTACACCGTTTCTATACTAAGCTTGGCACCTGGCCAAGTCACCAAGTCACCCCTCTCACTGTCACAGTGCACTGGCCCATCAAGAATGCGGGTCCTTTGGACCCCTAGAAACGCCAGTCAGCAGCGCTGCTCGTGAAACAGGCCCTGTCAGTTCCCTTTTTCGAACAAGGAAAATGATAATACTGTAGCTTCGTCACACACACGAATCGGATACCAGCATGTGCGCAATGTCTAGACCAGCCACGTACTATGGTTGATTGGTGGGTGGATGGTGTGTAAGCCCCTTTTGAGCTCGGATCCCAATATTGAGACTGCAGCCCGCTCAATGGTGTTTCTGTCGGGCTTTCAGGGCCCCCCTGGGCGGACTGCAACGAGGCTTTGGGCGCCAGGTTGTCAAACGTCGTGCTGTCCAATCGTTATCTCCGGCTTACGAAGGAAATGTTTCTGACGAGATTCTAGACACCACGGCTGGCGATCAGCGCAGGGACTACGTTGACGCACGCGCATTCGCTACCATGGTCTATCTCACCGCGTCGAAACAATTGGGCTCGCCTTTGTGCCCTCGTTGCTAGGATCTTCTATAGGCCGTGTGAGCAAACATCTGTAAACCTTGCCAATATTTCTCAAGGACGAGAGCGCCCTCTTGTTCCGGATCAAAAGCCTCTCTGGCTCAGTGCTCAAGCTCGCGCTCTCTCTCTCACTCTCTAAATATTTGCCTCTCATACTGCGGTGGAGGCCGACTTCGGAAATGTATTCCGCGGCATCCTCACAGCATGCAAGCACCCTCGTGCACGCCATACGAGCATCCAATGATGTACCTAAACTATGGGCCTGGAAGCAACTGATTGAGTCGTCTGGGTCAATTCCGTTCGGGAACGACGCATGCATGCCACGTTCTTCCTCCATTCGGCTTTCGCGGCTGGCTGCTGTCATGCCACGCACTACGCAAACCTTTGCTGACTCGCAAATTCGGCTCTCTCTACAAAGTACAGTCTCTGCATGCCAATCTGTAGCGCCCGACCCGGAGGACCTTATCGTCGCTGGACGGCATCTCTGAGTCTAACCAATTGGTCCAAGCCAAGACTCCTAACACACCCGAACAACGTGATCGGCAGCACGCGGCGCTGACTCGAGACTTTTGACGGCGCTAATCGGGTTCACCGGAGAGTCTCGCAGAAGACTCATATTGACCTGGCCTGGGAATAACGTACGCCTTATCATTGTTACTTACTATGGTATAGTAGGTTATGGTGATACATGATACCACGCTCGATCCTCAACATTGAGTTCTCACAGGCACGGAGTGTGTACATTGATCGGCACGTTCTCACCTCTCGTTAGCATCTGTAGGCTGGACAATTATCTCGTAGCCTCGGGACTTCGCCCGCCACCAATTCATAGCTATGGCTCTGTGTGACAGTTGTTGTTCACTTATGAAAGTAATGTGAATGACATCGTGTGACTACAAACTCCGCCAACACAGCACTGAAATATGCAATTCTACCCACTTCCACTATGTACTTGTCACTCAATGGTGGGAGTCTCGTACATATCACGGACTCAACAGATGACAGATGCACCTCCATGCAAGTTCGCTATGGCGGGGGTGGGTCGAGTCTGGGGAGTGTGGGGCAGGGACGGATATCATATCAGCATCGCATTGCTTACAGACATTTCGGGACCCAGGCGGGAAGAATGGATACAGAGTAATGTGCTAAGAAAATATCATATATACTACTGCATAGTAAGTTCAAGCCCAGAATATATCCACTTGAATCGTAACCTTGATAGCCAAACAGAAGCCTCCAGCTACCGTGGAAGACAGTGAATATGTCGGAACACGATGAGAAGACTCGAGGCAATGGAAAATTTTTAGTATAGACATTATTCACCCAGTTCATATAGATTTACTCCAATCTATCAATTCAATCCAATATACTTCACCTTGATACGTAAGAAAGTGTTGAAGGAAGCTGGGGGGCATGTCATGTCCTGAGGACTTTCAATACCCTCTGGAGTCCATGACTGTTCTCAAGAAGTTTTGAAGCATGTTAACATGTGCACCCCCCGCCCCCTCCCTCCTCTCTGCTTCTAGTCCAGTTAGGCTCATGTCTGGGACACAGGGCTTTCCGCAATTCATTGATCGCCTGTCTGGCTTAGTTATCCCGTGTAGGAGATATCATGAAACAGCTCGGATGAGGTCTGCAATTGAGCACTGCCTATACGATCCTGGAGCCTACCATTCAAACGACAACACTCACATGGCTGACGCGTAATACTTTGACGGCTCTGAAGCTCAAGATCCCGAAAGTTCAAGTGTCGACTGAATCAATGAGTGCGGGGCACATCGATACAGTTGCGTTCTTTACCAAAGAAAAAGAAAAGAAGAAGAAAAAGAGAAAGAAAAAATAAATTGGCTTCAATGTCCTTGCTGAAAGGTACCTTGGCTTTCAAATGTATTCATGTTCTCACATTCCGCAGCAATAAGTACAATAAAGACGTGATTAAATTACTACGAGAGACCTTCACTTATCGACAATTTCTTACAGTCCTCTTAGCACAGCCCCTACAGTGACGATTTTTCTTTCACCACTCAAGCATCTATGGCTAAGACTTACTCACGCCTAGCAGAGAATGTAGCCTGGTGATTTCAATATTCACAAGTTATGGTGTTTCAATGATCAACATATCTATATATAATATAGAGACTCCAATTGCACCATTGCTCTTGGACGACGTTGTCTCTACACCAAAGCGCGAACATCTACAATAAGACATAGCAGCTCGCAAGCCCGCAACTCAAGCCTTGCAAGTGCCACTGCCATAATAGCAAAGCAAACAGCGCATCCTCACAGCTAACGGCAGACTAGAGTATATCCATTACTCAAAGAAAATCATCATCTCTCTGGCACTATGTCGACCTCAACTAAATATCCTTATCCTGAGCCACCACCATCGCCATCAGGTGGACGCCCTCCACGGACTCCACGGCCAACAGCACCGTCGCCACCGCCCACGCCTCCACCCCCTCCACCCCCTCCTCCACCTCCCTCTTCTTGATCAGTTTACAAGAAGATGCATGCATGGCTGGGGGTACGAATAGAAATCTCTGGCCACAGTCGCCTTCCCAAATAGCATGGGGGAGGGGAGAGCTTGTGTTCGTTACCTGAACGCGGCGACCACAGGCTGAAGATGATGGTGCAGCTTACAGCCGAAAGAAAGCAGGACTCAGTCAATTCTATGGTATATAGCTGGTGGTCAATATTTCATCATCGACAATTACAGGCTCTTGTCCTAATATATTCACCTTCAGAAGATGCCTATCACATGGTCAGTTGTCACGATTAGACTATGGTACTTGCTCAGACCTCTGTAGAGATGTTTCTTTGGAGATTGTGTGGATATACTTAAGAAGCCCGGTGCCCGGTGCCAATTTCGTGCTTTGGACGGTGGTAATACAGGGAGCGAGTTCCTACAGCGTTTCTCATAGCGCCAAATTATAGTTCTTGCCACAGGACACTGTCCGGAATCTGATAGTACTTGACAGGGAAATGAGGCACGATGGACGGTTTAAACTGCCTACGTCTTGTCCAACATGGGCCGGCAAATGAATGGGGCTGCGACGATCTCGGTGGCATTGATGAGGCCTGTTCTATTTCATGGATGGATTTGCTATCTCGGGGCTATCCTGCGTACACATTCTTGTCGATATAGTGGGTAATCAGGGTCGAGGTCGATCTGCTCGTAATTTATGATCCTCTTGTAAGTTTAAAGCATCCCGATGACTTGTATCGACCCACGGGCATATCATTCTCCACCCGATACTATACATAGAGTATCATCATAATTGATACATCATCTTGGCCAACAAAAAAAAGAGCTCATAGATATGGCAGTTGCTGTAGAAATTATGTGAAAACCCTTGAGTCTGTGCTGGGCGAGGAACAACCAGGAATCACTCCAGTGCTCACGAGCCATATTACCATTGGTGGATTTTCTCGCTACTTCAGCTATAGTGCTAGGACTTCAAGTGGCGGCCGGCCTACCTGTCTTGAGTACAGTCGTCGTCAACAATTCATTTATCTCAAGGAGGTGGTGGTCCTGTGGATGAAAGGTCCATCACATCGAATCCGAGTCATGGCCTTCTGTAGGGGGTAGTGCTTCGAACGTTGCAGTAGTGAAAGATGTGGACCCGACCTGGACGAGGGTTCATTGCTGCGACCTAGGACTGCTTATTGGTATACAGATTTGTATTCCAGCTTGGAATTTCCTAATTGAATTCTCCAATTACTCGAGCTCGATGTTAACTGGCTGTTCTTCGTATTTGGCTTTCCCAGCCAGAGAATTATCGAATTCACGAAATTCTCGGCCGAGGCTCGAAGCACGCAACGTGGCCATCCCCTGAATTTCATCCCAAATCTCGTGGAGGCTGATCTCCGCGGCGCAGACCATGGCACTGCCTGCACGCATAAACTTAGGACTCCACCTACGAGGTTCACTCTATCCGAGGACAATCGAAACGTCTCATGTTTGACAGAAACCAGGGGAAAAAGAGAGCAACAGGTGCACACCGCAGCCACACCTTTCCTCTACGGGCTTCCCATCCCCATGCCGATCTCCCGTGTCTTGCTTTTTGGGAGTGACGTTCTAATGATTCGTGGCCGCGCGCGCATTTCCAGGGGGAAATGGCAAGGCTCGTGAGGGTCGGCTGCCGAGCTCTCTGGGTTCGGGCCTACCAAGACCTGCCCCTGGGCGCCCTCTCGGGGCATTTTTCCAGAAAGCGATATTCGAAGGAGAATTTGACGTCAAGTCTGCCTTGTGTGCTTGTTTATCTTGTTATGGTCGATCATGGCTGTGTGCGCTTGAGGGTCTAGGCTAGACATGATATCCAGCCGTACCCATGCCATCTTCTACCTTTTCTAGGAACACGCAGCCCCCCACTCTGAATACTCCTGACACCGTTTCTCCTGTCCATTATTCCTTTTAAACCTTTTCTCCTCTTGTTTAAGCATAACCCACTAACATTTCCGGCGCAGGAAATGTGTAATTAATGCCCAATGAGTTTTGCCAGCGGCTGGGCCCCAAAGAAAAACAACCACGCCAGATGACATCGGAACATAGCATATGCCCAGGTGGTATTATTCACTAATACTGGAGGGCATCACGAAGTCACGGAGCCATCGAGGGCCAAGATGAGGCTGCAGACCGTCTTCGTCTTGATTCTGCCCTTCATTCTCGTCCTCTGGGCAACCCCAGCACGATGCTCAGCCGACTTCGACTTCTCCGCCTATCCAGCATCGACAAGGACATGTCTGGAGGACGCAGCAGACGACTCGACCTGCACTGCTGACTCGGCAGACGAGGACACAAACATGTGCCTATGCAGCAACACGGGCAACTTCGTCCTCAGCGCGGCGGCATGCATAGGGGACCAGGGCGCCGACGTGTTGGCACAGGTGTACGAGCTTATGCAGGATGACTGCTCCGACGCAAAAACGCCCCTGACCGTGTCCGAGGCGGAGTGGTTCATGGCTGCGAACGGGACGACAGTGACAGTGACGAGCACCATTACGACGACGAGTGCGGGCATCCTGACGACATATACCACGACGAGCACGAGCTCGCACATCGCGAGTGAGGCTACGGCTACGAGCAGCAGCACCTCTTCTGCCGGCGGCAGCAGCAGCAGTCAGGGACCAGGCCAGGGGATGACGGCCAGCGCAGAAATCGGAGCCATCACGTCGAGTGTTGCTGGAGCCCTGGCGATCGCCTGTATGGTGTGCATGTTTTTCATGTTCAAGAAGCGAAGAACGGACAAGAGGGAAATGCGGGCAGCGCTGGAGGCGGGGAGGCGCATTGGTGGAGGCGGGGATAGAAGATCCAATGATAAGCCGCTGCTCAGCCTGGGCGCGATGACACCGGGCAGCAGGAGTCCACTCGGAGCCAGTGTGACGCCTCCACCGCCTTCAGAGCCAGGTGCATCGGCATCATCACAAGTTTGGCGGTCATCATTATCACAGACGTCCAGGCTGGGCACACCAGTGTCACCAACCGAGCTGCCTAGCCACCAACCACCGTGTGAATTGCCTGACAGTGGCGTGGGAGGAGGCCATGGGACACAGTGGCCGTCGCCAATATCACAGGGAGTGGGAACTATGGGGTCATGGTGCCCTTCACCAGTGTCTGCATTGGTACACACGAATACGATGGGAACATACGACAGCACAACAAACACTCTTGGGCCAATATCGACGCTTTCACCAACATTGTCACGCCCGCTCACTAGATCCGGCACGGTGAGGTCAAGTTGGGCGCACGAAAGGCCGGCACTGGAAGGGCCGTACGAGCTGCCCGGGAACGAGATAGAATATTCCGGCAGGGCAGACACGATACCCTTGAGCACAATCTCGGAGAGGCAGTCGACGACTACAATCAGACAGGCACCACCAGAATATTCATCGGCAGGATGGGTCGATCCGAATGGAGACAAAACTTGGATTTGAAGGACTGTTGGTTAGCAAATGCAGTCAAAAACTTATATCAAGCTTACTTATTGGTAATGAAAACCCTTACACCTGAGATCATGAGATGACTTGTTGGAACAGAGTTTGGCGAGAGCAACAGCAAGACTTTAGGATAAAAACGGCGATAATCAGATTCCCCGAGATATACCCCAGAAACGAGTCGACATTTCCAAGTTTAGTCGCTGTAAACAGGTTTACCCAAGTGGACCAGTCACCTCGACTCGTGAGGGCCAGCTTCAATCTCGGCTTGTCCACTAGTATCTTCTGTCTCAGTTCCCGCAGTCTCATTCGACTCCTCCTCGTGGCGCAAGAGGCCTCGTTGATCCATCCTTCTCCTCCAAGGCTTGTAGATAAGAACAGAGCCCAACCCAACGACAAGGAAGAGGCCACAGATACTGCCGCCGATGATCTCAAAATTGTCTCCGATAGCCCCAACACCATCCCAGAAGCTTCCTTCGGGCTCAGCAACATTGAGCACAAGAGTCAAGAGCTGGATTATCCCAATGAAGGCCGAGACCATGATGGTTATTCCGGTCAGGACGATCGAGTAATAGAGAATAGCGATATGATCCCTTGCGAAGGCCTTGGAGGTGTACAGAGCCATCATCAGAGCTCCATCGGTCGTGTCGATGAGACACATGCCGGCTATTCAGGTAGGTCAGTACTAAGACTGGTTCCGAGGGGGAAATTCTCCTGTGACTCATTACCAGTGAAAAGAACAGGGAATATCAAGATCAGCCACAGGCTCGTTCCCGACGCGCCTTGAATACTGGCAATGCCCAAGATGGCAATCTCGGAGCTCGTGTCAAAACCCAAGCCGAACATCACCCCAAGGGGATACATTTTCCACGGCCGATCGACGAGAACGAATAGCTTGCGAAACACATTTGCCAGAAACCCAGCACCCTCGAGGCTAAGCTGCCCAGCTGCCTGGTCCTCCTGCGCGGCGTCCTCATCACCACCCTGCCGTCGCTCGTGCTGCTCGCGCAACAGCTGTTGTAACCTCTTCACCAGTCGATACAGCACCCAGGTGTTGCCGGCACAGAGGATCAACAAGAAAGCCGCACTCACGCTCGTGCCGACGATGTTGCCGACCCTCTGGAACCCATCAAATCGGTCCCTCAGCGCCCCGCTGGTGGCAGCGACGACCACACAGGTAACCACCACAATGGTTGAGTGGCCCAGACTGAACCAGGTGCCGACACTCACGGGACGCTGGCCAGAGGCAATGAGCCGTCGCGTCATGAGATCGATGGCGCTGATGTGATCCGCATCCAGCGCATGGCGGAGGCCAAGTGTGTAGGACAGGACGGCGGAGGAGATGAGTTTCGGAAAGTAATGCAGGACGACACCGATCGAAGCCCAGACGATGGCGTTGACGGCGACGAGGAGGAGGATCTGCCATGTGACGGCTGGGGGCAGGCCACGGAGGGCCTTTGGGAGAGGAAGACTGGAAAACGCCAAGGGAGGCATCCTGCTTTGGGAGCACTTGAGTCGTTGCGGGAGGATACCAAGCAAAGGAGAGAATAGGGCCTGGAAGAGAAAAAGAAAGGACCATCAATTGGGCAAAAAACAAAAGAGAGAGCAGGTTCTCAAGAGTACCAGCAACCTGAAGTGAATCAGGCTATGGACCCTATTTTACGGCCTATTCCTCCTACTGTCTATTATGTTTGCAGTCAACAGTGCAACCCTCGCGGCCGGTGAGCTTCTCATGAAATTTTTCGTCGTACACAAGTGAGGGGTCGGGAATGCCCAGCCTAGATCTCACTGCAACTGACGATAAGCCTCCCGCTTTACGTGACCCTCCTGACTAACGCAACTAGGAACAAAGTCGCTCTGCTATGGTGAGAGCACGACATTACTCGAGGCGATGAATCTGTCAGACCTTGCATATAGTCTTGCCAAACTTGAAGTGACGTTCGTATGTGGATTTTGGTACGTGCAAGGACTGCATCTGCTTCTTCTTGTACAAATAATGTTTGCTTTGGCCTTGAGAAATGATAGTCTTCTAACCAGATTGTTTCTCGAGAATAAATCGTTCTAAATTTCTGCCGCACCATTTTTGGACCTTTTCTCCGATAAGAAAGCATCATTGCTGTGCCGTTGCACTTGATTGGCTGATTGGGTAAGTAATCATTGAAATATGAGCTTGCAAGAGAAATTCTCCATCTCCAGCCTCACCTACGTCCAAGTTCGAAACCGCCAAAGACTTTGGGAACTGGAGCGCTGCTAGAAAGATGACCATGACTTAGGAGTAACAAGCGAGAGACGTGTGTCGGTCACCATCCTCCGAGATCATTTAACCGATGCTATATTGGAAACCGGGTTGCCGCTCATCCCTGAACAGAAGTAAAAACATCCTCCGCAGACCGCAAGCTTACCTGAGTCCGCTTGTTGAGACCCTTAACCAACCACACGAACTTCTTCTGAATTTTTTATCGTTTCTCAAAAATGACCTTCATGTGGCAATGGGCATTTTGAAACCCGGAAGAAATTCCTCGGCGCGCCCATGCCCCGAGCCTACTCTATTTCAACCGTGCCCCGTGAGAAGTAGACCTCTTGCTTGTTTTTTTTTTTCGGGGCAAACTCTCACGACTTTGCGGCACCTGGTGCTCACTTGAATTCAGCGGCTAATTTCCAGGGAGTTCTTTGCGGAAGATTGACAAATTTTCATATATTCCAAACCAGTTTACGATCCCACGTTGCTATTCACGTCCGTTGAGCTAGTGATTGAAACTTACGCACATATAACACCGTAGATACATGACAGAATAAGTACGACCCTGAGAAATATACACCAGGCAAAACGCCATCTGGGAACGTAGTCTGCTATCTAGGAGCTCAGGTCCCAGACAAGATTATACCACAGCTCCCTGTCGAGCCTCTGTTGCACAAAGGCACAACAAGCGATATCCCCATTTCGAGGATTGTTCATTATTGTGGCCCGAGACGATGTCGCCGTCGCTCAGTCGGAATCTCTTTGCTGCAACCCTGCTTGCAAGCGCAGCAGCACACTCTCACATCGATTATGTCCTCGTCAACGGCGTGTACTATCCAGGCTTTATCCCTCAGCTCGGCGCCAGCGGCAACCCAGCAGACACAGTCGGGTGGTTCGAGACCGCGACAGACGACGGCTTCATCGCACCCTCAAACTACACCAACCCCAACATCATCTGCCACGAGAACGGCGCTCCCCCACGCGCCCACATGCCCGTCGCGCCCGGCGATATAGTACACTTCCAGTGGAACGGCTGGCCGTTGTCCCACGACGGGCCCGTGCAGACCTACCTGGCCCCCTGCGACGGCTCCAACGCCCATGCTGGCGACGGGTGTGCCAGTGTCGACAAGACCAAGCTCGAGTTCTTCAAGATCGACGACTCTGCCCCTGTGTTCCTCAACGAGAGTGGTGGACCGCCGGGGTTCTGGGCCACCGAGGTCCTGATTGCGAGCAACAACAGCTGGCTGATCCAGGTGCCGACTACGCTGCGTCCTGGTCCGTATGTGCTGCGGCATGAAATCATTGCCCTGCACTATGCCAATGTGACGAATGGGGCACAGAACTACCCCCAGTGCTTCAATGTTTGGGTATCGCACGGTGCGAGTAATACGAGTAACGTCACGGGGACGTTGGGGCCAGTGGTCAACCCGCGTGGCATACCGGCTACAGAGTTTTATCACGAGGATGATCCAGGGATTTTGATCGATATATACAAGAATTTGACGACATACGTGATACCTGGACCTACATTGGCTGCAGATGCTGTACCCATTCCGCTGTCAAGCCAGAGGAACATGCTTGTGAAGGCGGCTGGAACACCAGTCGTGGTCTCGGGGTCTACAACGATGCAATTTCCGCAGAGTACGTCAACAGTTCGTCCTGCATGAGGGGAAGATGGCAATGGCAATGAGCTGCTCCATTATCTGGGTCCAATCATTGGCTACTTGAAGGCTAAGCATGGATTGAGCCCATATGTTATCTCCCAGAGGGGCAGTTCCATGGTCATCTCTGGTATCACATTGAGTACATAAGATAAATATCAAAAGCCTGATCTGGTAGGAAGCAATACTTCAACCCCGTGATTGTACAGAATAGCTATGAAAGAACAAAGGAGGAGAAGAAAATCCTTCGAACAAATGTGGAGAGGACGTATGTGGCTTGTTCCAGAAACCTTTGTGCAAGAAAAAGCTTCTATTTGCTTGTAAATCAGCTCAACATGATCAAAATTGGTCCAGAATGAGCGATTACCCAATTCCATAGGGAGGTAATGACACCAGCAACTGAAAATGTGGACTTGGTCATGTTTATGATCCGAATCTTCATAGCACGAGATCGATCACCTTGCATTTGGAGTGGCCTTTCTCAACAACCACGAGGCACCCAGAAGTAAAATAAGAGACTGACACCAACATGAGATGTCCCCTGCTATCTTCTTGTAGTGTCATTGATTCTTTGCTGGAACATTACAGAATGATACTGCAGTAGAAAGGTGTGGTCATACTCGCCAGCAATCAGTGGGGATTTCATAGTAGGACTAGCCCAAGTACCAGAATCCTCATGCGGTGGTGTTGTACTATGTGGTACCTGCTGTAGGTACCAGCCTATTACTGTGTGCAGTGGGCTTGCTAGGCTGCATCTGAACCCCTTGTCCAGTTGGTACATAGGTACCTACCCCGCTGTCACAGCATGTAGACAGAACCTTGAGCCACGCTAGGAAATTCCCCAATTCCGAATTAACTTCAACTCGACGGACAAGAAAAAAAAAAGTTCAATCTGCAATTTCTAGTCTTTCTGGTAGGATGTGAAAAGGGCATGCGACCAACAGCGCAATCATGGCAGAACCTGCAAAAGCTGACAGCAGCAACACTACTCCTGCCCAGGCTCCAATCGCCACTGGGAATGGCAGCGCAACTATGTCGTCTGAAGGTCCCAGGCCAGATGCGCCTGCAGGTATCGCAGGTGGTGAAAGCTCAGACGGCAAGAAGATCCACGACAACCAGCAGCGAAACCCGCGACACAAGGGCAGAGGCGGCCGTGGTGGCCGAGGTGGCCGAGGTGGTCGAGGTAGAGGCGACTTCAAGTAAGCTCCATTCCTGGCTCTCTCCCTTCACCTCTTTGTCTACTTGTGCCTTTGGACTTTGCAACTGAAGAAAACGCTACCAAGTGCCTTCGACTAACGCAACCGCAAGGGGTGGCCATGCCCTGATGACAGACCGCCGCGAGATCTACGAGCACAAACGACAACGGCGCAACAACCGAGACAACGATGCAGTCGCTGATGGCGAAGATGGAGCTTCGAATACCCCGAAGCCATCAAACATGAGCATTCCCTTCTCCGCTGAGGAGATCGCTGCCGAGGACCGCCGGCCCAAGCGCAAGGTCGCCGTACTTATTGGATACGCTGGCACAGGCTACAAGGGCATGCAGATCAATCACGATGAGAAGACCATCGAGGGAGACCTGTTCGCTGCCTTTGTGGCTGCAGGTGCCATCCAGAAGAGGAATGCCGACGACCCCAAGAAGTCCAGTTTTATACGCTGCGCCCGAACGGACAAAGGTGTGCACGCCGCTGGCAATGTCATTTCTTTGAAGCTCACCATTGAGGATGCCGACATCGTGGACAAGATCAACGCGCACCTGCCCGAGCAGATACGTGTATGGGGCTACCAGCGGACAAACAATGCCTTCAACTGCTACCAGGCTTGCGACTCGAGATGGTACGAGTACCTCCTCCCCAGCTATACTCTCCTGCCACCCCACCCGCAGACGTTTCTCGGAAAGAAGGTCATCGAGGCGGCAAAGGAGAAGGGCGTCTGGCAAGAGTGTCTCCAGGCCTGGGAGGATGTTCAAGGTTACTGGGACGACGTGGAGAAGAACGACATCAAGCCTATCCTCGACGAGTTAGATGACAAGTCGCGTGAGGAGGTTCTGCAGAAGATTCATGCCTCCGAGGATGCGCAAGAAAATATGCAGGAGGACGAGACTGCACAGAAGAAGCGTAAGGCTGATGAAGTGGAAGAGCGCGACGCCAAGAAGGTCAAGACTGGGGAGGACAACTCTGCCGACAAAGAGGTCGATGCGGCAGATGTCACACCCGAGACGACGCAAGTCGAGAGCGAAGGCGAGCCTCAAGTCGCGCCCGAGGTCGAGGAAGGCGTTGAGCCAACCGTCAAAGCAGCTGGCGAGAAGGAAAACGGCACAACCGTCAAGACCAAGTACCAGCCTACAGCCGCCGAGATCGCTCTGAAGAAGATCAAGGCTGCTTATGTCGCCGCGAAGCGCCGGTACCGTGTCACACCTGCCCGTGTTGAGCAGCTGCAGGCCGCGCTGAACCAATACCTGGGCACCAACAACTTCCACAACTACACGGTCCACAAGACCTTCAAGGACCCCTCCGCCAAGCGGCTTATCCGATCTTTCGTCGTCAATCCAAAGCCCATCCAGATCCGCGATACAGAGTGGCTGTCTCTCAAAGTCCATGGCCAGAGCTTCATGATGCATCAGATCCGCAAGATGGTCGCCATGGCCGTCCTGAGTGTGCGGTGCGCTGCGCCGCTCGAGCGTATCAAGGAGAGTTACGGCCCTACCCGGATCAGCATCCCCAAGGCACCTGGCTTGGGTCTACTGCTCGAGAGGCCTGTGTTTGAAACCTACAGCAAGAAGGCACAGGAAAACTTCGGCAAGGAGGCGCTGAACTTTGACAAGTACGAGAAAGAGATCGAGGACTTCAAGCACAAGCAGATCTACACACGGATCTGGGATACGGAGGAGAAGGATGCCTCGTAAGTCAAGCCAGAGACTCACTCGCTCACTCACTGTCTTTTAGCTTAAAAGCAGAAGAAACTGACACCAGCATAGTTTCCATGTATTCCTTCACCAACTCGACAGCTTCAACACAAACTACTTCCTGTGGGTCACAGCTCATGGCTTCGATGCTGCGTATGAGCCTAAGGAGAGATTTGACCCAAAGCAAAAGTCGACCCTGAAGGACCTGGAGCAGGAACTGGTGGGCGATGATGAAGATGCTGAGGACGGCGTTGGTGATGAGGGTTGATGTGTGATTGTCGTCGCTACGATGTTCTTTAGGCATGTGGTCACTCTTGGTCTACGATGTCGAGACAAGAAGTGATCTTGACCACTGAAAAGCATAGACGAGGTGATTTGAGTGGGGAAAAGAGAGAAAAAAAAAAGAAAGAAAGAAATGATACCATAATCGAGGAATCATGTGCGAGTATTTGGTGAACTTTTTTTATTCATGCTCACTGACCAATCTTCTGCATGTGGCTTCGCTCGGAGAAACCTATTATCTATCTCGATTACCAACCCGGTCAACTCTTGAAGTCCTCCTTTCTTCCCTCACTCGTCCACGTCTCAACTCCTTTCATATTTCGCTTCAGTTGCGGTAGCGTGCTGGGTGACGACACAGACTTTCTGCGATGTTGGGCTCGACGGCATCAGTACACGGTTATACCGGGCTTCCCCTCCTTCATCGTCGGATATTTTGTGTTTCCATCCTTGCTGTGTGTAGTCTCGATGGTTTGTCCGTGGAATGACCCGCGGGCTCGCCTCTGGCCGGCTATGTAACGGGACAAGAAGGCGTTGAGCTATCGGCCATTCAGCGCAAGCCAACCTCTGGGCTGCAACCATTTCCACTCTCTGACCAAAGAAATCTGGGCGAGTCGCTCGTAGATCCGTCTTTCCTCGTTCGTGGTGGAGGCACATGTGTTCGCTCCCTGGGAGGTTTCTCATCTCCCGAGAACTCGCATCACTGGCGGATTATAAATAATACCCCATGACCATGGCGTGCTAGCCCATGGCCTATGATTTTGTGCGAATCGTCCTCATCGCGTCGGCGAAGCCAGCGAGACAGCACAAGGGTCAGGCCAAGTGGTCTCGGATGTCAAACGTTTGAGATTCGACAGCGGCAACGAAAAAGGCTCGGTTTCCCTTCACCCTGGTGGTCCACGTGAGCTCCGGCCCGGGGCGACGAACGACACGCTCGGCCTCCTGGGCAATATCCTCTCGGTATCGCCCCATTTGTGATCCTCGACATTATACGGATACGACGCGCTCCCGCCCTTGCCAATCACCTCGGCGACCGCCTCGCGGCTCGCAGGTTTCTCGGAGCGCACCTCAAACTCGTACGTGACCTCGATCTGCAGCCGGTCCTCCATCAGCAGCCGCTTCTGGCGCGACAGGATGCCCTTGTCGTTGTCCATGGCGGCGTAGACCAGCTCGCTGGCATGCCAGAACTTGCGCCGCCTCTCGGAGGACTGGAAGTGCTCGGGCACAAAGGTCAGGTACAGGCGCTCCGAGAAGTTGCGCGTGGTGGCGAAGGCCAGGGGGAGGACGAGGGAGGCGAGGCAGCCTGGGATGTAGCTGGCGAACCAGGCCCGGGCGGTGGAGGCCGACAGGTCGGGGGCGGTGGCCTGCGCCAGCTGCTGGAACTTTTCGCGCTGGGTTCTGCTGGCCATGATGTTGAAGACTTCGAAGAAGCTGGTTGTGATGGTACGTTGATGTGTTAGCGTCTAACATGATACACATCCAATGTCTGTACCCAAGGGAGTGGGGTGTGTGCTTCTTGATTATAGTGGCAACGATGATTGAGCCTCGAGCGCACCACCGCTTCGGGTTTCGGAATATGGTCTTACCTCAACATAAGCAAGGGGGTGAAGGTCCGCACAATGAGGTACTTGTCGTATATTCCTCCCTCCCGCTGCTGAAGAGCTCCAAAGTGCGACCCGGGCAAGCTTCGTGAGCGGGACGTGGTGAAGATGCTTGTTCCTTCTGAGTCGGACCTGCTGTGGGGGGTGGGTATGTCTGAGGCCTGGCATACGTAGTCACGGCGCTGCTGGTGGTTCATGCGCCGGAGGAGGAGGTGGGTCTGCAGGTACTCGATGAGGATGAGGAACATCATGCTATCGGCGACGATCAGGAAGAAGCAGTCTGTGAGAGGGACAGGTAGTGAGTAAGTGATATTTTCCCTCTTCGAGGCCAAACAATTCGTGGTGCTCTTTCGACTTACAGCAAAAGTTCACGACGAAGTAATACCACCAGTAGGACTGCTGGATCCTCCAGATATAGAGGAGGCACATGGACCCTGTGACAGCCATGATAGGAATCACTTTGCCCAGCTCGCTGATGATGTTGAGATGTCGTTGAACGCGTGGGATCGTATTCCACCCATACACAGCCGCGGTGAGGTTGGATGCCCAGGAACAAGCGAGGCCAGCCTCAGCGACGTAACAACTCCATCCTGTTGATCCCACCATCATTAGTTTCGACTATTCTCCTAGGCTTCCAGGAAGCAAGGAGGGAGCGGCACAGCCACGTACTAATCCACGCCATGGCGAGATCAACTCCGGTACAGCCATTCGTTGCGACCGGTACGGGGCTGCCGGGGCTGGCTCGCGCTATGCTGAGCCTCGTCCACATGATATCTTTGTAATGTCTACACACACGGTCAGATTAATCATTGTGAGCATTCTTGTCGACGATAAAGGTTAGAGGAATATACGTACAAACAGTCATTGGCTTGGGAGATGATACTCGTAGCTGTGGCGAGGAGAGTGATCCAAGAAATGTAGAATATGACTGTAATGAATTCAACCTTCATTAGCTCCAACCTTCGAGCTCAGCATCACCACATATGCCACCAGTCACACCCAGAAAAGGAAGAGGACTTACAGCTGCGTCTCTCTTGAGCACCCCAGAGCAGCCATATGAACAAACAATTGCTCAGGAAGCAAATGGAAGACCATATCAACACGCCAGCAGCCGCTCCTGCTGCCCCGTCGGGCACTTGAGCCATGGTTGGCTATCTTCGCGCACTCTCACATAAAGACTTGGTGTATTGATCCAGCAATACTAAGGATTAAACGAAACCGGTATAGCAATTGGAAGGGTTGTGAGAAAATGGAAGTATGGGGAGGAAGTGGATTCAGGATTACACGGCCCTTCGACACGTCCGGCCTCTGTTTAAGGGGAGGAGGGGGGGGGGGGAAAAGAGAAGAGCGATGAAAAACAACAACACGCTTCCTTATCATCGGGCACAGACCATGCCTGCTCGTTCATATGACATGTCGTCAATTACTCAAACTCCCCTAGTCGAACTACTCCACGCACTATGCGATTTGACTACTGCACGTCGGGGCACCGAAGGTAAGTGCCGGTTCGTGGTTCGCAGAGCGGCGAAAGGAGTCCAATCCTTTCCGGGGCGCAGGGGGGTATGAAACGTGCTGACCGACCGATTTGGATGAGACGGGGGACAAATAGCGGTGCGAAAGACACTGCAGGAGAGAAAGAGAGAATAGAGAAAACTCTCCAGTTCAGATTAATTACGGTAAAGGGGATTGTGTCACCATGTGTGCGTGTGTGCGATTAATGTTTCAAACCTTCCCCCTCCCCCCCCCCTCTTTTAGTAGTTATGTTGCAAGCTGCCTTTGCCTCGCCGCCAACTTTACTTTATCTCTTTTTCCCAGTCCCACAAATTGTCCTAGCAGGCCGATCAGCAATATTCCCAGATTGATATCCATGTAGCCTATCACGCGATGCAACAAGGCCACCCTCCCTCCTCCTTTCTCCTGACAGAGTCCGGGGCACGGTCCCTCTCCCATGCATCTAACTCCAAGCCCCCTCAACCTAGTATACAATGGCGTACCATAGTACTCATCACGTAATATTACTTTGTTTAAGCCTTCTAACCTCTGCATAAAAATACCAAATCTGACATATAAGATCCGCCCCCCAGCCTGCATCCACATGCCCTGATCAAATAGATGCGCCCAGGAACGGATCCATAACGGCGATTCCCGTCAGATAATAAACGTGTTGCAGTCGACCCTTTCCCTCCAATGAGGATGCAGAAATATCCCCGGTTTGCATTTTCTCAACGTAGAGCGTGCGATGAGGACACGCAATTCACCTCCCTCACCTGATCTCAAACCCACTCATGGGCTCCTCCAGTGGTCAGTTGTCATATGGAATATGAGGCAGGACGGAACCTTGTCGATCCTCGAAATTTCACTTCTTTGGAGACGTTGTGGGATGATCTGCAGAGGCAGAGTCGGAGCCATTGTGTCGGCGGCGGTAACAATTGAACCAATGAATATACAGCAACGTGATATTGTCTTTAAGTTACAGACTATGGTAGCCTACTAGTATAGTTGGTCCCCTTTTGCGTCTGGTGTGTGGAGAGGCAAGGGAACCGGGACTTGGTGTTGGGGGCCGGTTGTTCCCAACGATTTACGGTACTATTATACTATGGATCCACGGTACCAACAAAGCCCATGCTTCGCTTAAGATTGAAATGGGACGTAGGGCAATTGTAAGCGACCTCAGCTTGCTGGGTTATGACGAACCCCGGCGACGTGGCCCACCTCGGTGCTGGAGGCAGGCCGTATCGAGTTAAGCATCCGGTACCACAGAGGTGGGTGGATAGCCATGTCGATGGCACGCGGTATATCCCATCCTTTGAGAATCCGGTTCCGTCTGGCTGGGACTCTGATATAAAACACCAATATTACAGCAGGCAGGCCGTCAGTAGTCAAGGGGTGAATTGAGACAAGTCAATTGGTTGTTTTTGAGAGACGAGAAACACCGAGATATGATATCTTGGCGAAGGAGAAGAAACCCAGTAAGATGACCGGGGTTAGATTTCTCGTCAAGGAATCTAAAAGTAGGGAGCTACAGCGTTTAACCACACAACACCATTGCACAAAAATGTCCCGTACCAGATGCAAGATTTGAACTGCATCTCCAAGGAGAATAATGAACAACGTGGAGGTGGATATAGGAGCAACAATCCTATTATCATTCAGGGGAGGAGGGGTGCCAAGAGCTCCCAAGGCAAACTCCTAAACTCTCCCCGTCTGTCTCATTCGGGACATACTGCCCGCCCCTATCGCCTGAATAGTTCTGGATCCTGACGACAGATGGTTCACTAAACCGGAACCTACTTGCGAGCCACCAAGGTACTGTTACCCCCGTCTACCATGTACTAGAGTATGTTACGTCTCCAGTCACGCTTCCCTGGGGTTACATCTGCCACATTAGTGAAATCTTGTCACAGCTTTGTCTGTCTCCAGGAGGTGTTCTTTCTTGTTTCACATGGGCGCAGCAAGCCCAGGAGAAAGAAAAAAAGAAAGAAAGAACACGAAAGGATCGCCACGTTGTACACGTATACGCCCGCCGCACCAGAACACGGAAGGTGGGGGATCAAATGGCCGGATGTAATGGAACGCTGCCACTTATGACTTGACGCACTTCGCGCTCCTTGAATAAGTCATAAAAGGAAAGAAATCGTCGGGGGAAAAGAGGCGGGGGGAGGCAAGGTTTTTGAATCTGCATCCAGGAGTACAGTAGAAAGGATCTCGGGACTATGAATCTCCGACATGGATGGCGTGCTATTAGAGTTAATCGGCTTATGTACTCTTATGTACTGTCTGTCCCCGAATCACCACACACACACATACATATATACACACAAATGCAAGCTGAGCTGAGCTGCTTTCGATGATTGAGGAAGGTAGACATGTACGAAAGCCGACAACCCGCAGCAACATCATGGCCATCCTCTCGATGGGCAGGGCCAACAAGATTCGGTGCTCTCACGCCTTCTCGGCGAATTGGTCGTCAGCGGTGTGGCCAGCGTTGGGCTGAGCCGCTCCCTTGTACTTGCTCTTGGCAAGGTTATTCCACATATCCTCCTCCTTGTCCAGGTGTCTAAAGCACAGCCAGAAAGCCACGCCGCCCACGGCGGCAATGATTGCCACTGAGCCATAGTTCCAGACCCAATTGGGGTCGCCAGCCAGCGGCGTAAACGCCTGGCCCAGCGCGCTGGAGATGGCTGACATGAAGAGGTTGACAGCCATGACCATGGACTTCATGTTCTCAGGGGCCTTGGAGAAGGCGTACTCGAGCGAGGTGGTGTTGGTGAAGATCTCGGAGATGCCGACCAGGACATAGGGCAGGCACTGCGCCCACACGTTGATGGGGGCGATGCACTCCTCGTCGGTGGTGTGGTCGCCGCAGGGTGACATCTTGTAGATGTAGTACTGCATCACGGCGGCCGCGATCATAGAGAGGGAGGAGAAGAGGAAACCAGTGGCCATGCGCTTAAGCGGCGTGAAGTTGAAACCCATCTTGCGGAATCCGGGGTACACGATCCTATCAAGGATGGGAATCAAAATCACAATGGAGATGGGATTGAGGTTCTGGATGAGATCATTAGGCGTGCCGTTGAGGACCATAGTCGAGGCTTGGCTATTGTTGAGCTTTGTTAGCAAAATCATCACTATGGTTTTGTGAAGAGGGAGGGCGGGCGGTTCAAGGAATGGCCACTTACGTCGTGAGGTTGTTGGTCATCTGGTTGTATGCCAGGAAGAAGATGGGCAGAAACAAGAACACTTTACACGCCTTCAGCCCACGGCGGACCTCATCGACCCAGGCATCATCATACGTCATCCAGCCGGGGCGCTCATGCTCCGGGATCAGAGAAGGGCGAACCGCGTCCCATGTGAACTCCCGCCTGAATTTGGTCGGGTTGAACACGGTAGACAGCCACTTCCCGCGCATGGCCATGCCAAACATCTTCAGCATCTTGCCCAGTACGGAGCCGGTAGGAGGGCTGAGGGTGTAGCGCTTCTTCATGACGGCCAGGATGATGGGGCAGATGGCAAACAGGACCGTGGGCAGCAGGAATGCCAGCCAAAAGCCGACGTACAGCTCGACGTAGACCATGCCGATCTGCCCGGCGAGCGAGCCCACGTTGATGGCGAAATAAAAGTACAGGAAGATGCGCGTATTGGTGACGGCCGGGTCAACAATCACGCGCTCGCCTGACTTGAGAGTCTTGACGTACATCCTGCGGTCGTGGCTCTGCTCAGCGAGGAGGGGTGCGACGTTGGCCTTGAACAGACCTGTGCCAATGCACAATACCAGCATACCGACGATGAAGGCCGCCAGGGCGTTGGACTGGTGCACAATGACAGACGGAGCCGAGGCGGCCACGAGAATAACGTGCGCAATCATGGAGACACAGATGGCGATGTGAATCGTCTTGTACCGGCCCAGCTTGGCGTCTGCAAGCCAGCCACTATTGGTCACCACCAGCGTTAGTGAGTTGGTTCTCCCTCTTTCTTTGTCGAAGACAGAAATATACGGAGGAGTATCAAAGAGGCTCTCTTACCCAAAGAGGGGAACCAGGTAGGCAAAGAACTGGTTGGTGAGGGAGATGCCCTGACCAGCACGACTGCCCAGACCCAGAGCACCAGACTGACCTCCATGGCCATAGCCCGCACCAGTGTTGGATCCAGCAGGCAGACCATGCACCACGAAGTTGGTGTACAGAATGCTTGAGCCATAGTAGGAGAAACGCTCAGCCAGCTCGCACACAGCAACCGAGTAGGCAGACCAGCTGATCTTGCCAGACACCCTTCGCAGCGTGTGCATCTCCTCCTCCGTGGGTTGGTCGTCAAGGACAAGGCCCTCAGCACCTTCCGAAGAGCCGGCGGGAACGAGGTCGATGTTGTGGTTCACGTCCATGCTGCCTTTGCCAGCTTTAAGCTCCTCAACCGTGCCCAGGGGCGGGCCAGGATTCAGACCCTCCTTTGCGAGTCCCGCCTGGGCGAGCTCTGCTCTGTCGAGATTCACCGTCTGCGACATTTCTCAGCGCGTTTGCTTTTAGCCAAGCAAGGAGGGAAGGGAAAACTCTGGGGGTGTGGAGTGAGAGAGTCTGGGGAGAAGGAAAGACAGCTGGGAATGTCCAGGAGGAGAAGAGCGTTCGAGTGTCAATATGTAGGCCCGTGGGGCTGGTCGTGTGACAGCCAAGAGCTCATGTTTCCTTATCATAAGTCAGCCTACCCAATAAGGATATTAGACGACAAAAGATGGTAATCGGAACATCCTCTTGATTCAGGCATGATCGTCTTCAATTCTAGACCATCGTCTAGCCCGGCCTCTATACGCACCCAATCCCACATGTCGAGGGCCAACGAATGATGAGAGCAGGGTACCCTGTTTTTAGATCTAGGGGGACGTGAAATCGGATGCTCCTCCTCCTACTAGACAGAGTAGTTTTGGCCACTAGACTCCATGTACGGTAGTATCAGCTGGGAGGCGAAAGGAGGTTCCAGCTGCTTGGACGTCATATCAAATGCTGGCTCTCTATTTGGCTTTGTGGAAAATGTTCTAAGCCTAGGGCGGTGCGAAGGTTTTTCAGCTGCTCTTTTCGAATGACGAAGAGGGGGGAAACAAGCTCTTTAGGGCCTTCTCATGCCATTTCTTCTCAGCGTCAACACTTTGCTTCGGCTTAAGTCGTGGCTTCCCAACAAGTTGTCCAAATTTCAGGCATATTGTGTCAGTGAGTCGGTCAGGGAAAGAAGGATACATTGGGTTCCTTCCAGTGTATGAAAAACGCCAAGTCGTCATCCCTGAGTACGTAAAGCGCTAGGCGACTTGGCAAAGCCCATTGTGCCGGGGACACGCGGGTCATGTTAGAATTGGATGGTGCATTATCATCTTGGCGTTGGTTCAAAGGTAACAAAGAGAGGCGAGAACATACAAGCGAACGAAAGGTAAAAAATTTTATCGTAGGGCCCTCATTTGATAAGGTCGGCCGAGGTGTCAACCACGCGTCTTCCTTACGCATTCTTGACTAATTTGAGTGACGCTCGACGTCGAAAGAATATCATCGTCTTTGTTTGAGCTTCAAAATAGCCTGCTATGTACTTCGTTTTCCCGTAAGAGTACAGTGATGAACAAGTGTATTCCGGGCTAGCTAGGTATATAAGAATGTATGGAATACATCATTTTGTACATAGTACCAATTCATGTTCCTTACCAACAACATTATTGCTCTCCATATGTATACAGCCTTCGCCACTAGGAAATACTGATATAAATCTTTGTGCGCAGACAATCTTCCCGCTCTCGCGGCTATCGTCGTGCACCAAAGAAGAAAAAACTTACGAGAAAAGGAATAATCTATAATTCAAATCATTATTCAAATTTCGGAAGTCCCCGCTTCTCGTGCTGTCTTCCCCCCCGAACGCCGTCGCCAACTGACTCTGGGCAACGACATAGCGCCATCACGCCATCGAGCCTCCATAGCCCTAGAAGTGTTCTAGCGTTTTTCTACGAGTAGCCTCCAGACGCCTCCAGCCAAAACGCTTCCTCGGAGAAGTTGATAGTGAGCTGCCAAGTCCTCGTGATCCTCCTACAGCCCTTGAACACCTTCTTCTTCAGGCGATGGTGCTTCAGGAGGCTTGCATTTCACGAGAAGCCAAGGCGTCTTGGCAAGAGGATGAGATGGGATATGAACGGCTCAAATGATGTCTTGGAGCTGCGAAGGATTAGCCAAGAACCATTACTGGTGGTCTGTGGCGATGGTGTCGAGTGAGCTTGTGGTGGTGGTGATAATTCTGATGAGGCTAGGCGCAAACGTTGGCATCCTTGTCCGTTTGGTGGCGCTGGCTCCCGAACAATCAATGTACCCTGTCCTTGCCTTGCATCTGAGGAGCCGCCATGTAACGTTTTACATAGCTTAGTAGCTCAGGTACCGAACTTCTTGCCAATCACGAGAGAGGCTGGTGCACTTATATCCAATACACCATGATCAATAGCAGTCATATGTAGTGGTCCATCTCCAGAAGCCAAGCCATGGGGACACAGTGAGAAACAAAAGAGCAGATGTATCTCGTCGAAATGCTGCGTCTATACATGGGTGTGCAAGCACCGGCACTGCAACAAGAGGTATACTACATACCATGTATTGGAATGGTTTGAATTATGCGATTACCATCGAAATTAACACCTACTATAAATCGAATACGCTGGAACTAGAACCTCCCCCCCCCCCCCCGCCCCCCGGGACACACCTCCCGATCTTTCTCCCATCGCGCATCGTATGCCCACACTAGCGCCAAGCCTAGGACCTCCTCCACCGATCCCATCCTGCCTAGGGGCCCTGTGGCCATTCGTACAGAACTGGCAGATCCTATAGCTCCCGAACAGGTCCGCTTGGCAGGGCTCCCCACCATGGAGTGGATGGTCGCACATGCAATGAGGGGCATGCTGCGGTGCGCGATAGTTCCGGGACAGAATATAGTAGTAGAACTGCATCGTCAAGAGCTGAGCAAAGTTGTATTGCCGTAACAATTTGAGCATTGAACTCAAGAGTCAGTTTGCTTTCCGGTTAACATTACACTCGAAACTGGCAGAAAAGAAGTCTGACTGATTGAGGAAAGCTACCAGGGGACGTTATGATTTATACCTCAGGACGACATCACGGTTACTTCAGAATATGGTGCCCTCTGCTCGGGTGCTGCTTTGTGACTGGACACCACTCACACAGACAAGACATAACGCAACACAGGAAATCCTCACAACTTTATGTGAAAATTAACCAATCCCAAAGGGATAAGACCGTGGACGCCAGTACCTTCATCGAGTACGCATGCATAACTCAGCATACAAGCTAGTGCCGAAGAACAACGTTCCGTTCAAAATGGCGCATCTGGTACGTCGCCTTCATTCAGTTCTCCATGCACTAAGAATACTATACAGGAAATGCTGGGTACTTAAGGAGCTATGGCCCCCTCAGACTTGGTTCTGGCCTGGACAAGACCATGCCCGAATGGGTTGGATTGACAGGCGGCGTCAAGGCGAGCTATATGTATCATCTGCTTCCTCAGGATACGTCTCACTCAAGATGCATGTGCCTCGACTCATCTGCTAATCACTAGTGAGTGACTATGGGCGCTATATATGGGGAAGTTAACGAGACGGGCTGTATGACGTACCTTAAGGATCGGGACAGCACAGGGCTTCCTATTCCGCCCGCCTGTCACAACGATAATTGGAGGTCCTGAAATGCACGAGTTGTCTCTGCTCAACAGGCTCGGAGGGCCAGTAAGTAGTAGACTTCGGAGCCTCCGGCATATGGATTAGGCCACATTCCAGCCAAGCGACCGCCCAGAAAACATGGATTGCAGCCTGGCACGCTCAGCTAGGAGGCTGTTTCTCCTTGAAAATCCTCGCATTGGGGACCCGGGGGATGAATGGGCCAACTCAGTCGCCTCATCTCCCGCTGTTGGTATTGTGTTCTCGAGACGAATCATTCTTGGGAGGTCCCGCTGCCCTTTGGTGGTGGTGGTGGTGGTGGTGGTGGTGCTGCACTCATCGGCACCGCTCCGGGCGGTATTGGTTGAGCGAGTGACCCTACGACATACTGCCCGTAGCCTCCGCCGGCACTGACGTACTGCTGTCGGGTATGTGAACGCAGCTGGTTCAGAAGATCGGCGACGATCTGCACATCGGTATTGATGGACTCCTCCAGCTGGCGGCCGTCTTCTTCTGGCTTTCGCAGGGGCCCGATGATCCAGAGCTCGCGTATCCGACGGGTCAGGGCGAGCAGGTTCTCGACACCTTTGATCTGCAGGCTGGGGTCAGCTGGATACAAAACGAGCACGTGAATTTGGCGGTAGCATACGAGCCTCTGGGTCTCCAGCTGCATGGCCATGCTATTATGAGCGGCCTGGCCGATGGAGGCCTTGTTGGTGATGCGGTCTGTAGCGATGGCTACGAGCTTTTGGTAGGCCTGGAGAATCTCGGCGATGGTCTCTCCCTCTCGGACTGGTCACGCAATATGATCAGCACGGGTTTCTAGCGCGCATCTCAACATCGTAGCACAACGGGTAGCACAGGTGCTCTTGACCGTCGCTGCTTCTCGTGGAGGTCATTCGCTTACACATGAGAGACGTCGTCGTGGTTGCCTGTTGATTGCGATCCATTGTGACCAATTTGTTGTCTCTTGAGGGTATAAGATGGAACTGGTTCTCCAAGAAGTTTTATATGCAATTGATGGAGCCTGGTTAGCGATAGGTCATGATGGATTGGGTCAAGCTGAGGTTAAACTGAGCTAGAGTTCAGTGAGAGTTCGAAGGCAGAAAGGCCCAGTCAAGGTGCTGAGTCATCATGCGCTACTGAAGCTCCACACCTTCCTTGCCCCCGTAATTTGGTCTTGCCTGGATGCTAACCACTGGGCTAACTAGTTCTTCAGTGCCTCTCCTTGTCTTCTCCATCCGTCCATCAACCAAGAGCCTCTATACCGACTGCTTCCATGTCTGCAGATCTTTCTTATGAGATCATCATTGACTCTTCTGTCACCTATCAACGCATAGGTCGTTACAGCTGCCACGTATTAGCACATTGATGGGAAGAGAGATGGCGGGGGTACTCACCAGAAGCGGCTGGTCGAGATCATAGTGGCCACCACAGCTGAGCTGGGGGATCTGAGCATAGTTGTTGAGCAGCCTCTCTCGCGTGGTCTGCAGGACCTTTATCCAACTTGTCAGTTTCCAAATCCACACTTCCCAAAAGGATCGCAATGTCAGCACCACGTACCTCCACATAGCTCAGCTCGGGGCTCTCCTTCATGGTCCCGATGAAGGCCCACGACATAGCTCCTGTGGCCGTCCCCGAGATGGTTGCATCTGCCGACGTTTGGTCGTCACGGCAGCCAGAGAACATCCACACGTCTTTGTTCTCCTTCTCCCAATGTTCTTTAAAATTTTCTGCTGCCAGCCCTTCATCGTCAATGTTGCCTCTGGCATGGTGGAGGCTGTTGAAGAAGTCGGTTGCACCACCGAGAAGCATCTTGGCATCCGCCACCTTCTCCCTGCTCCAGCCGCCCTGTATCAGGTGTTCTGCGGCACGCACGAGCCCCACACCCTTCTTGATCTGATCCATCAAGTTGATGTTGCCGTCTTCGTCAGGCCGGAAGACGTATGGCAGTTCGCATGCGGAGCCCGAGTGGCAGCAGTCGAAGAGAATCGTTAGTCTCGCTTCGGGGTGCATGGGCGTCACGATGGATCGGTGAAGCTGGGCGTGGGGACACGCAGTCAGCGTTTGTGAGTCGTGTCACTGGTTATTTGTGTGCAGGTCCTATCTCACTCACCTGACTGCTTGTGATCTGGCCGTTCTCTTGGAAGTCGACGGGGCAGATGGTGTCCTCGAAGCCTGACGGCCGGTCATCGTCCTCGTCCTTGACCTGGCCTTCATCTTGTCAGTAACATACGGCCGCCTAGTGGTCAACTGCCATTCTTTATCTTTGCCTTCCACCCTTCTTCTTTTTGTTCGAGGAACGTACCGCCGTGTCCCGAGTATGACAACCAAAGTCTGTCTCCAGGTTCATTGTACGAGGTTAGCCACCTGAAGGCAGCCAACATGTTCTCTCCGCTGGGCCAGTATGGTGTGCCCTCATTCTCTGGGTCGTCGGTCATGATGACCATATCGTGGCTGTTGTCCGAGAAGTCACGCTCAGTCACCAGGAAATCGCGTACGTTCATGGCATCGTTGATGCAGCCATTCAGCTGATTGTTGGTACCGGTGTAGTTGATGCCGATAATCAGTGCCTTCTTTCGTGGCATTTTGGCACGGTGTACTCTTCACAGGTCGATACAGGTAGATTATTATATGGTGGGAGAGTTTGAGAGGGAGTGTTGGGCAGAGGAGGTCAACAAGCAGAAACAAGTTCAATATCCGGCTTTATTTGCAGTCTACAAACTGAGGTTCCAACACAAACACGAGGAATATTTTCCTCCGAAGCTTCGGAATTTGGAACACCTTGTGGACTTCCACATCACCAGACGACCAAACACAGCCCCTCAGCGTCGTGGGGCCCGAGAGCTAGCTACAGCCCCACGCAGACCCTGACCGCCAGAAAGCCAGGCCCTGATGTGGAGCGTGCTATAGTGGGCCGGCCCGCTGTCCCTTAGGACCTCCCAACCCCTGACGCGGGGCAGCCCTGGCAACACCTGCAGCACAAGAAGCTCAAGTCATGGGCTGCCATGTCACCTGCATGGTTTCAAACCGCGTCCGAGCCAGCAAACGTGAGGTCCAGCTCTGGTCTCGGGATCTCCAGTGCTCAGCTGAGTGGCGGTGGTCATGGCTCACGCTGGGGAGCTCACTTTCAGCTTGAACTCGGTCCGTACTGAAGGCAACGTGGACGGCTCAAGACCACGTCCGTATATCGCGGTCATCTCTGGTCATCCAGACGAGAGTAGGAGACTTTGCAAAGTGCGAGCCATTATTGCATTCAATGTGTGAAGAGGATGTCAACTCACGGAATACTACTTGCCTGTGCAACTCCAGGCCTACTTCTTTACTCAGGATAAACCATCTTCCTAGTCACACCACCATCTAACACGATCTCCGTCCCATTGACAAATCTCTCCCTCACCAAAAACTCAACCGCACCCAGCACGTCCTCTACTTTCCCTACCCTGCCAGTAAAGTGCCACTTGTGATCCTCCTCGCTCAACTCATCCTCCCACTTCAGTCCCTCCTCGTCTGCCCGCTTGCACTCCTGCGCCACATTGATCCACCCGGGCAGGATCGTATTCACCGTGATCCCGTCGTCCGCCAGGCTCGCCGCCATCGCATGCGTAAGCCCGATCAGCCCCGCCTTGGTCGCGGCATAGGCCTCACTCAACGGCTCGCTCTGCCTCGCCCGTGTCGAGGACATGTGAATAATCGTGCCTCCGCTGCCGTCCCACCCCGCGCCGCCCTGCCGCCGGAGCAGCTCCACGCACGCCTGGCTCAGCAGCATGGGCGCGGTCAGGTTCGTCTCGAGGGAGGCGTTCCAGACGTCCAATGACATGTCCTCGAACCGCTGCCCTTCGGCAGCACTGTGGCCCACCGTGCCCGTCAGCGCCGCGTTGTTGATGAGCACGTCGAGCCTGCGGTCGAAGAAGACGGCGGCGTGCGAGACGGCGTCGCGGATCGCAGTGGGGTTGCGGAGGTCGGTGAGTGACGCCTGGAAGGCAGTGTTGGGGTAAGACGGGGCCAGGTGTGCGGACACGAGGTGGTCCAGCTCTGTCTTGTTGTTGTCGATGAGGAACACGCGGTGGCCCTTGGCTAGTAGGAGGCGGGTCAGGCCCCGACCGATGCCGCGGCCCGCGCCGGTGATGAGAAAATTGAGGGAGGATCGTTGGGCCATGGTGCTTGACAGACGGCGGATCTGTACGGCCTGTTCGAGTAAGGGAAAAGGAGCGGGTTGTGGCAGTGGTTCTTGAACGCTGTCTCTTGAGAAGTGAGGTGAGAAGATTATTCAGAAGATATTTGATGTCATCTGAGCTGCGGGGGGCGCTCATGATTCATCCCTGCACTCAGGTCACTCACTGAGTCGCTATACAACGAGATTTTGGACTGCAAATTTGCCTTTCCACCTAATTGTGAAATGCAGTCTTGAAAGAGCTTGGAAAGACATGGCAAACAGAATCTACTTAAAAAAGGAAAACAAAAAACATCAATAGGCAGACAAGACCAATTGCAACTACCCTGCTTCATGCTGCCAGATCAGTGATAGTAGAACTGGCTAGCTCATCAATCGTCTAATGGTTTGAGTTCACACACTCATTCTTCCCTTTTTTCTTTTTTTTTTTCGTCTTATTTTTGCAGCCCTCATCCTTTGAATGTCCTCGAAATGTTCTCAAAGTTTGAGTCCTGCCATCTCTCAATCTTGGGAGGAGCAGAAAATAAAGGGACGGAGACCCGCACCCAGCTGATCGGAAAGGATAATAATATTATCCACACAAAATATGCAGCTATGTAGGTCGGCCTCGCATGATCTGCTGGGTTATAATCGTTGTAGGCTGCAACATATGGAAGAAGAACGAGCAGGTCAATCATTGAACACACCATCGCTTCACCGGGCCATCATCTCCTCGACCTTCCCCTTCGCCGTCTCCCACTGGTCCCAGCTCATGCTGTAGACCACAGTGTCTCTCCACAGGTCATCAGGGTCGCTCCCGGGCGGCAGCGGCTTCCCATTACTGACCTTCTCAGTCCTCTTCCCTAGCGCAAAACAGTAATGATAGGGGATCACGCCGACTTTGCTGTATCCAATCTTCTCGGCGAGCCTGGCGCTGGGGATGTTCGCGGTGCTAGTCTTCCACTCGACCCGCACGAGACCCAACCCTCCCTCGTCCGGGCTGCCGAATGCGCACTGCATTAACAAGCCGACCGTGTTGGTGGCGACGTGGGTGCGCTGGTAGTTGGGCAGCACAACAATGAAGCCGATCTCGGTGCTACGGTGCGGCTTGGAAGTGTTCATGTATAGGACGACACCCGCCAGCTCGCCATCCTCGTCCTCGGGTGAGGGCGAGCGCGTCGTGTCGATGATGGCGAAGACGAAACTGGACGGGTTGGTCGGCGAGAAGAAGGAGGACGGGTCTTCGAATCTGGACTTCCAGGCGCCAACTGTCTGGAATGGTCCGCTGGGCATATGAGCGAATAGCTGTGGGTAGTCCTTGGACTGGTCGACGAAGGCGGCGCTGTGGAGGTCCACATCGAAGGGGATGAGCTTGACCCGGTCGTTGGAGAGGGGCGTCTCGATGGGGTAGTAGAAGGTGGGGTGTTTGCCTGCATGCATGGTGGGGTCAGGGAGGTTGGAATGATAATGATAATAAATCGGCCAACTTGATGCTTGGAGGGGATTTTCAGCGGTCGAGATGATTTCTTTGAATTTCTAATGTCGAAAGACGAAAATCGAAATTCAGTCGGAACAAAGACGGAAGTTGGAAAGAAGGTGGATGGATTACATCAGGAAGGAGGCACAGGTTGAGTCAGCTATGCATAGTAGTTCGTCCGAAGAGCGATTTCTTGACAAGCTGACGTGCGCAAACACGCATCATCAATAAATGGGAAGGGAAAGTGCATTCGAAACGGAGTAATATGCTTCTGATGTAGGAGCAACCGTCAAGCTGAGGCTTTCGTCCCTACGAGTACTTGATTGTATTAGCGATGGGCCAAATGAAAGCTGCAGGTGTTTTTGTGCTCATTTGTCACTCCCCTCATCTTTTTCATTGTGCAACACCGACTATACATCCCAACCATAGCACAGACATGGCAATCAAGATAATCACGAAAATCAGTAAACAAGATGCCCATCAGCACATTTGTAGTTTGTTTTCCCCTTATTGGCAATGCCTTGGACTGAATTAGATTATCTGCCCCCGGCCTTCATATAATTGGCACGTTGTTCCTTCTTGTCAACGTCGCCTCTTACTCCACCTAGAAAAGGCGACCGAATTAGGCCCTCCTCGATCGGGAAAAGGATGGTAAGGTGTGGTGAGGACTTAGTACGCCAAGCACTTGGCATCTCGAGCTATATGCGGTCTGCTGATATACAGTGTCCGGAGCTGAAAGTGCTGAAATCCTCAGATTAAGCTCTATGAGCTTGCGGCTACCAACCATTATGGTTGCTTTTGTGACATTTCATCTCACGACTACGTCCAGACCACTGATCAGCCATTAGAGAATGGCGACAGATCAACCAGCTTTCAGACACGAGCCCCTGCCAGATGCAGAGAACTACATCAGGCTGCTTGTGGTGACAAGCGTGGACGAGGGAAGACCAGTTTCTGTCCATTGCGAGATGTCGGTATGGCCAGTAGAAGAGGTGCCAACCTACTGCGCCATCTCTTATACTTGGGGCAGCCCAGATCTCACCACGCTCGTCCTAGTCAACGGATCTCTTATGCGAGTCCGGCAGAATTGCGAGTATGTCCTCAAGCAGGCAAGCTGGTACGGCGACAACGAGAGGAACTTTATCTGGTGCGATGCAATTTGCATCGACCAGGAGAGCAACCAAGAGAAGAGCAGTCAGGTCGCCATGATGGGCAGGATCTTCCACGAGGCCCAGCTGGTGCTGGCCTGCGTGGGTGAGCACGCAGACGACAGCGAGTTCTTATACCAGACACTACAGAACAACGCAGTCGTGTTCGATGAACTTGAAACTCCCGACCGGAGAGCCAGGACCATACGGATGTGGATGATCCGACATCTCCTGACCATACCCAGACTCTACGCCTCTTTGGGCGCGCTCGTACGACGCTCGTACTTCTCGCGCGTCTGGGTCTATCAGGAGTTGGCTCTTGGACAGAACGTCCACCTCTGCTGCGGACGAGACGCGCTGCCAATGACTCTGTTCAGACGGCTGGCTGCAGACATCCGAGGTGTGCAGAGGAGGGGTTATCTGTGCACGCTCTCCGAAGTGTTGGACTCTAGCGACACACTCGCCGGTTTCTTGGATAACTCGTACCTCGAATCGCTTAATCAACCACTCTTTCTTCGACAGAGTGAACCGTCAGCCAGAAAGGCGTGGCCGCTACTGTGTGCGGGCGTCGACCATGAGGTCAGACTACCCATGGAGATGGCTGTACATAACGTTGCACCCTTAGCATGTGAGGATCCAAGAGACACAATTTACGGGGTCTTGGCCATGATTGATTGGCGTGGGGAGCAGCCGCTACAGCCGGACTACACCAAAGACAGATTCGATCTCGCTCTGGAAGTATTGCAAAGGCTGCGGAGCGACTCTAGCATCAGCGACGGCTGGCATCCCCTCGATACGGCGTTGACCGTTGTTAGAAATCTTAAACTCACCATCGACCCGCCCGATGAATTGGTGCAGGCAGCCCGGATCAGGCACAAGCTTGAAGATGACCCCGCTGACAGCGACCGAGAGAGCTCGAGTGCATGGCTCTCCAAGTTCTTGGGGTGTCGCCTCGAGCATGACGGCTTACAATGGCGTCCTTGGACGTCCTTGCGCGCATTTCGCGCATTCCAAGGGCCTCAGCTCATCATACAGCAATGGCCAGTCTACAGCCCGGCGCTTCTGAGCAGCCAAGCGATATCAGATTCGGTTCTTCTGCCACCCTCGTGCAAGTCGGGAGACTACTGTTTGATACAAAATGGCAAAAAGTTTGACGACACGTCCTTGAATATCGTCTTAATTGCAAGAGAAGAGACTCCATCTGTCCCGACGAGCTCGAACCGATTTCGTATCGTCGGAAAGGGTTTGATGCGGTTCGCGCACAGGTCTAGACGACCATTCAGTCATTTTGATAATTTCCGAGTCTTTCTGGATTGTGAGGACGCCCTGGTCATGGTCAGCACACTGGATCTACTAGGAGACTTTACGGGAATCCCGAGCGACCAGGTTTCTGATTTCCTGCAGACGAAGGTCTGTGGCTACTTGGGCTCATCGTGGATTGAAGTGAATGAAAACGAGTTGCCGCCAGTTGACTCCATAATAATAGACCGGCTGATCTAGGGATTAAGGATATGCAAGTAGTGGATAAACCGAGGGAAAGTCTAAATGTTACTATATAGTCAAAGTGTAATCAAAGTCCTGCTACGACCCGAAGCTGCATGCGGTAGCCAGAGACTCCAAGTTTAGCCCACTCGCCATTCCGAGAGCATCTGTGAACATGAAGCAGTATCCAGGGCACCTCTTTGTACATCTCTAGCATGTGAGACATTTTGGCAATTAGATCCGCAGCCTAGTGACCGAAACAGCTCACCTCAAGCATATTCAGCCGAACACGCTTGGCAGAAGCTCTCGGCATCCATCATGATACTTATTTTAATTAATTGATCTCCTGCCCTGCTCTGGAAAACCTTTCGTTTGGGAAACAGTTGTATCCTTATAAACAACACCACAGCCTTTGATATCGATACCACATCATCGAACCTCAGGCCAAACCATCGCCGCCGCTCAAGATGTCGTACCAGGAACCCTATCAACAGCCCTACCAGGTGCCAGTGCAAGCACCATACCAAGACCCCCACCACATGTCCTCCTCACCACCGCTACCGGCTCACGGGCCGATTGACCAACGCGAGGCCCAAGAAGCCGGTCCTCCAGGCGGCGGTGGCCCTCTGCAGACCATGCACCACACCGGCTCCGCGCTGGCGGACGAGGACGTTTCGGAGTGGCACGCTTCCTACTGCGGGTTCTGCTCGCCTGCGGGGCTGTGCTTCAAGACGTGCTGCTGCCCGTGTCTCACGTTTGGCAAGACGCATCACCGGCTGAAGTCGGGGGCCAATATGCAGAATTACGAACGGTGCAACACATCTGTAGGTTTCAAGAGTGGAAAAGAAAGAAGAGAGAAAAAAGAAAGAAAAGTTGCTGACGGTGTGATCGGGGATGTGAACTATAGTGTTTACTCTATTGTGGAGCAGGCTGCTTTGGGGTCCACTGGATACCTATCATGATGCAGCGGTCCGAGGTCAGGGACAAGTATAACCTCGACGGGAATTCGGTGGAGGATTTGTGCTCGGCATGCTGTTGCCCTCTGTGTGACTTGGTGCAGCAGGAAAAGGAGGCTGCGTATCGAGAGTCTTTGGGGCGGGGCCGGATTCAGCCCGTCACTCAGCAGTATCAGTCTGAGGGTGTCATGGCGCAGCCACAGCCCGCGTATTCGCCTCCTATGCAGCAGAAATAAGGTAGAAATAGAGGATTGTGCTATCAAACAAGCTGGCTTGCTGGTTGACTCGGCATCTTCACCGGAATTTTGGGGCTTTGAATTTTTGTTGGGGGAGGGGGGGTGGGGCTAAAGATGGTGTGGTGATATGTGATGCTTGATTTAATAGTGAGACCAAGGGCATTCAAATTTCTGGACTCCACGATTCTCATCGTCAGTGCTCTCTTTGGTCATCAGACTGGCATAGCCAGTTGTCAGATCCGAGATCAAGGCAGCGCAGATGTTTGGACATAGAAGTCGGAACTCTCACGACGCTGCTTGTCCGGACGCTTTAGCTTTCGTCATCCGATAGAGCTGTGTATGTCCTCGGGAATGGGGGTGAAGAACAAGAAAGAAAATAGACCATTTCAATAGAGAAAGTGGTTTCGTCTTGCATGCGTGGCCTTGCGAGGCCTCGCAGCCCATATAATAGCATCTATTTCTTCTTTCTAGATGTTGACGAGACCATCTTCTTTTTCAGATGCTTGGGCATCTTCTCTTTCCTCTTCTCCCGCTTCGCTTCCTTGACTGCCTGCTTGTGTTGCTGTAATTGATGTCAGCAGCAAATCCTTTTGTTGGGGCCAGTCAAGGGGTGTATTTACCTTCTTCTCGTCCTTATCTTGGAATCGCTTCCCACGCGGCCTACCATCAGTCTCTCCAATGTCACTCTCGTCGTCGTCGTCGTCGTCGTCACTGAGAGCAGCTCCATCATCAGATTCATCATCAGAGCCGTCACTGTCGCCTGCCCCATCGGCCGCAGCCTCTCCGTCCTTGGGAAGAACGACCTGATCAGCAAGGAGGTTGCGGTAGACGAGGGAGTCGCCCTGGCCAGCACCGATCTTCTGACCATCAACCTCAATGTCGTAGACCTGCTCCAATGTCTGAGGGATGTACTGGTTTCGGAAGACCTCGTTGTCGACTTCCACATCCGCTTGTGCTTGCTCATCATCTCCAGCGGCAACTCTGACCTCGTAGAGGTGCTCGATGCTGTTTTTCATCTCTGGCTCCTCTACTGGCCCCTCGGGCGCAGTGATAAAGTTGAATATGGTCCGATCCGCAAGAGTGTCCACACCCTGGCGCCGGAAGAAGTCACCAACGTTCTTGATATCCATACGCAGGAATTCGAGGGATCGAGGGTGGTCGTGCTCAACGCTCTGCGACACATCGATGATGTATAGCCTGTGGTCGTGGTATAGGATATTGTACTCGCTCAAGTCCGCGTGCACCAGCCTGCAGACCTGGTACAACCGCCTCATGATGCCGAGCAGTTGGATGTAGAGGTCCCTCCACTCCTCGTCACTGTTTACACCAGTGTCCCGTAGCCTCGGGTACGCCCAGCCCTTCTTGTCACCCAGGAAGCTCATGACCATGACATGAAGCTTCAGCGAGACGGGTTCGGGACACGGGATGCCAGCAGCATATATCCTCCTCAGGTTTCTAAACTCCTTCTCTGCCCACAGCTTGACCATCTTCCTGCTGTTACCCTTGTCGGCCCCGCTCTTGAATCTGTGCTCGCCGGTGATGTACCTCTCGCGGTCCTTGAACACGAGGATCGCCGTCTTGTAGACCTTGATGGCTCTCTGGACCGGCTCGCTCCCGTCGTCCGGGTGCAACACAGCCCCGTATACGTTGGCCTCTTTGCCCGTGCTGATAGCACCGTGGATTTCGTTGACCACACCGCGGTTGATCATCTGCAGCAGGATCATGCGGGTGCGCTGGTCCAGGACCAGCTCGGAGGTTGCGCGGTCCGCCTTGTCCTTGTCGCGGTCCTGCGACTGCTTGACATCGTCGAGGCGGATCTTGGCGGCGTGCTTGGAGAGGGCGGAGATCTGGTCGTCTACGCTTGCGCGCGTGTTGGCAGCTGGCTTCGCGCCGGCTGGGCCGCTGGTGGTCTGGCGGTTATAGGAGGGACCGTCCAGGTCGAAGTCGTCGTCTTCCTCGAAGATGTCGTCGAGCTCGTCTTCGTTCTCGGCCTCGCCAGGTGGGGGCTCGATATGTTGTGGCTCTTTTAGAGCATCTGTTACTGGTTCTGTGGCCATCTTTTCTTTTTTTTTTTTTTTTCTTTTTTTAAATCTTGACACTCGTCGTGTCAGATTGAAGGAGTGTTTTGAGGAGAAGTCAAAAGTCAAAGTTGGCCCTCTGTGAATCCTCTGCGTCACAACTCAGCCCTGAGCCTGAACTTTTTTGGTGGGGCTGGCGGGGTACTTTCATCTTATCTTATCGCTGGGACAGGGGGCAGCGCTCTAGACCCGTCAACACCCCATCCCTCCTTGATGTTTCTTCACCACTTTCACCATGCATTTTGTGTCTCATGAAAATGTAAAACCTGTGCCAAAATACATACAATTCAATTTCAATAATGGAAATCCCTCTGATGTCTTGTGTCATGCATTCCGTCTAGCGTCATCAACGTCTTACCATCCTTTCCATTTTTGCTCAACACAGCGTAGCTAATTGGCTGTAACATCACGTCGAATATGGTTGCATTGTTCTTGATGTCGATTACAACAGTTCCTCTAGCAATGGACGGGTCCATGATCCGCCTGTTCTGAGGAGACTTCGCTGGGCATGTTCACTGCCCTCCTCATGCTCAAAGGCGGGGTCAATATAGATTCATATCGGCCAGCAGTCCTGTCAGAGCAACCGTTCTCTCTCTGACATAGCCAAATTAGATTGTCGTCATTAGTGCGGCTAATATTCATGTTAAAGAACGGAATACTACATAGGCGGAGGATATATAGAGCGTTACCGGTAGATTGGATGAGGACCTATTTACTCTGTCATCAATAAATCCAGCACAAGCCCTTGGAAAATGTCGCCCATCTCACAAATCTGTTATCACCTATTTGACGATTGAATGAATGATCGTGGGGCTGGCTGATTCGATACATCAGAATCTCGCAATGTGGAAAGACGTTGAATTTATTACGATCCTCTCACTCTGCGTGGCTGCGAGTTTCTCTCGGATCACACCTCTCGAACAGGCTTTCATTTATAGCACATCTGGAAGGGCCACATCGTGCGCGACAGTCCCATTGCCTTTCCCACAATGGTCTTCATTGCCACAACAAACCACGATGCCTGACCCTTTCCTGCCTCTTGGCCTCACCACCACATCCAACGCGGGCAATGACTCCCTCACAGACTTCGCCCAGGCCGTCATGGATGGCAAAGCCAGTGGTCGTATCCAGACTCCTGACGAGTGGTACGCATGCCGACAGCCAGAGATCCTGCAGCTGCTTCAGGACTATCAATACGGCTACTATCCAGATCATTCCGACGAGAATGTGACCGCAACGCGATCCGGGAACATTATCACCATTGCTGTCACGGCGGGCGGGAAAACAGGGAAATTCGTGGCTGATATCCAGTTACCCCTTGGAGCGAGCCAAACCGCTCCTGTGCCCGTCGTGATAAATATTGGTGGCATGGACAACAGTCCTTATATCGCCGCGGGAATCGCCATTGTCGGCTTCGAGTACACGTCCGTTGCTGCGGATAGCAATGGTAAGACTGGGGCGTTTTGGGATATCTACAGTGGCAGAGACATCGGTAACCAAGTCATCTTGAGCATGTATCTTCATTCCATCACGGAGACTGACTTAAATTCCGCGTCTTTCTTTTTACGCACACAGGAGTTCTCACAGCGTGGGCTTGGGGTTTTCACCGCGTTCTTGATGCTCTCAACCTCACTGTGCCAGAGATCGATCCGGCGCGCGTCGGTGTGACAGGATGCTCGCGGCTTGGAAAGGGCGCCCTCGCAGCCGGCCTGTTCGACACGCGCATCACACTGACCATGCCCATGTCCAGCGGTGTTCAGGGCCTGGGTCCATACAGATTTCACAATCTGAGCGGGCAGGACGAAACCCTCGAGAACTCCAAGGCCGGGGCGCCATGGTGGAGTGATAATGAATTGGGCACCTTTGTGAATCACTCGGAGTGGCTCCCCTATGATGCTCACACCATTGCTGCTGCGATTGCGCCGCGGGCACTGGTCATTGACCAAGGGACCGGTGATCCATATACAAACAGCAAGGGGACAGCCATCATCGTATACCCGGCTGCTAAGCTCGTGTATGAGTGGTTGGGTGTTGGTGATAGGATTGGCATGAGCGTGAGAAGCGGTGGACACTGTGATCTCAGTGGGTAGTAAGTCTCACATTTGCTCCCTTGAAATGAGCTATCGACATGTGTATATCCCTCAAGATGTGCTGACCATACTTCAAAGTACTTCTGTTCTACAGTTTGTTGAGAAGATCTTGCTGGGGAAGAACATTACGCAGGATTATGATGATCTCAGCGCGTATGGGGGTGCCATGTCCTCAGCCTACCCTTGGGCAACAGCTGTACCTTCGATCTCATAATAGGACAAACAACGGATGAAACCGTGGGGGTTTTGGAGGTGCTTTTCGATATCTATAGCCTCGTTTTTTCTAGTCTAGTCTATGCTTTCAACGAGTCAATATACTCCTTCACCAAATCCTCCACCTTCGTGTCCCTCAACAGTCCCAGCCGATCCGGCGTACTTGGGTCGAAATCCTCCGGCCAGCTCCTCAGGATCCTCTCAAACTCGGGGTTCGTCTCCTCCCTCAACAGCTTCAGCTTGTCCTCGCCCCCAAACTTGGCCAGCGCGTCCATCATCTCTTGTATCGTAGTAGACACACCAGGGAACATGATATGCCTCTGATGCCTCGGCAGTGCGTCGCTCTTCAGGTTCAACACCCGCACCAGGTTCTCGATCGTGCTGCTCGGCGAGCATATGTACGTCCGGTACGACCGGTCCGTCAGCGGGATCACGCACTCCTCACCCTTCATAGGCTCGCGGAACATGCCGGACAGGAAGGACGGCGCCGCATTACTAGGCGCACCGGGCCGCACGACCACGGTGGGGAAGCGCACGGCGAAGGCGTCGATGAAGCCCTTGCGGTGCATGTCGTTGAGAATGATCTCGGTCGAGAACTTGTGCGCGCCGTAGGTCCCCTCAGGCGTCGGCGTCGTGGCGTCCGTGATCACTTTGGGCAGCGGCTGTCCGTAGACGGCCTGTGAGCTGGAGTAGACAACGCGGACACCCGGGTTGGTCTGGCGCAGGGCCAAGAGCAGGTTGCGTACGCTCTCGACATTAACTTTCATCGACTGGTTTAGGTTGCATTGGTCAGCTTTTGTTTCTTTGTCTCTCGACTGTTTTCCTTCTTTCCTCAAGTCTCAAAATTTCAAACTTACCAAGTCAAAGTTGGCTTCTGACCCCGCAGACATAATGCCGTGGAAGATGAAAATGGCATGTAGTGGCTGTGCAGCCTCAATCAACGTCTTCACGAAGGCCTGGTCGCAAATATCGCCCTTCAAGCACTTTGCATTCTCCGGATGCGCGACACCCTCAGGCACCTTGGGCTGCACGAGATCCGTCAACACGACGTTGTAACCATCGTTCAGGAGACGCTTCGCCAGCATGGGGCCGATCATGCCGCCGGCCCCGGTGATTATGACATTCTTTGAGATGGACATGCTGTCGAGCTGTGTGGATGTGTGTGGATGGGGGACGATTGCGGTTGTCGGGAGTCCTCAACGCCGTCTATGGTCAGAGTGAAGATTCTTATAAGGAACTCATGAATTTTCTATGAAGCTCTGTCATCGCTGAGTGACTTTCAGCCTGCTCTTAGAGGCATCCACTGCCATCGTCACTACTTCGCATGCTGCGCTACTAATTGCCGCGTCTCGAGGACCGCGTCACGAGGTCGCATTCTGCCTGGTGTAGACAAGGTTTAGACTGCCCATGGCTCCACACATAACGAGTCAACGTGTGGGGGCCCGAACATCATTGCCCCGGATCAGCAAAATGAACCCATAATTCGGGTGTGAACTGTATGCACAAACAAGCCCCCGCAGGACACCGTTTCCAGGCTGGATAATACCTCAGAAGTCGGGCGGGGTATTCCACTTTTGGTTGAAGTGTCGGGGTACAAATGTGGGCGAGCTGTACATAATGAGATATAGGCAGCTTCGAGGGCATATTTTAAATGTTGAGTTAAAATTTATGCCTTGCTGAATGAGTTTACCCCTCGACTGGGACGAAGTATAGACGAGACTGTCTAATTTGTTTCTAATCTAGTTTTTGTTTAAACTCTCTGATTCGCATGAAGGAGCGGTCTCAGATTCCAAAATTACGAGCAAGAGATTGAGATGGAATGGGTCTATCTACCCGGGGTTGATCTGCCTTCAAACTCCCCCTTTTCTTGCAAATGCGAGAAGCCGAGATACCAAGTGTAGCATCAGTATGCATGAGATCATGTCAGAGAGACGATGAGCAACACTCAATGGCTTACATGCTGTATGTGTCCTTGCAAAAAAAAAAACCCCCAAAAAAAAAAAACCGCCAAATGAAGTACTGATGCTTTTTCTAATGCAATGAGCCATATGACACGTTCAAGGTCAAATGGATAGTGTGAATCTTCGAATTTGTGATGCGTCGCTTAGCCAGCTACGAAATACTTTGTACTTTTTAATTCGGGTACCTCCGGAGCAAGACCTGCAAGGCAAGGTATGAGACAATACCAGTAAAGCAAAGCCCGCTGATGACGCCAAAACCCATGAGATACTTGGGCGCATCGCCAGACGGAAACAGATATGCACCATAAATCTGTGCCAAGTTACCCATGGCGTTGACGATGGCAAGGCTGATGCCCCTGACTTCATGATTCATAGACCCAAACGTCGTCGACGCGTACGCCAGCGAGAGTGCATTGGAGGCCCAGAGACCGCTGGCCATGATGACAAGCAGAGCATACCTCGCGTGAAAGTTGTACACAACACAGGTGATGATCGCGCACACCATGGCGAGCCCCATCCAGGCGCCCAGTGCGTAGCCACGGTACTGGGGTTTCTTGTCCATGAAAACGCTGTTGATGGCAGTGCAGATGAAGGCAGCCAGGTAGATGGGGACTGTCATGTACTGAGTGACGGCGCCGCTGTAGCCGAGGCCCTCTACGAGAGTTGGGTAGAAGTATGACAGCGTGGACGAGCCGACGACAGCCATGTAGCCGACAACGAAGATCCAGGTTCTCCAGTTGAGGACGGAGTGTTTCAGGGCTGTGAGGTGGCCCATCTTCTCTTCGCCCACCACTGGTCTGGACCATTGGAGTCGCTTGGTTGCTAATTCACGTTCTCGGTCGGTGAGGCGCTTCGTGTTGGCAGGGAAGTCCAGGAGGAGAAAGGATGCGACTATTGACCATCCTGCAGTGGCAGCTCCTTCAACCTGTCATTGAGGAATAGTATTGATCAGTCAGAGAGTGTCATTCATTACCAGGCCACACATACGATGCGGCATAAGGCAAGACTCACAACAAAGAGCCATCTCCAACCTGGGAGGCCGTGTGCACCGTCCAAGTTCTGCTCGATAGCACCGGCTATAAGCCCGCCAAAGGCACCAGACAGGATCGCAGCCGAAATGTAGACACCGAAGCGTTTAGCCTGTTCGTTTGGCTTATACCATGACGATAATATGAGGAGGACACCCGGCGCGAACCCGGACTCGAGGACCCCCACGACGACTCTTAACCCAACAAGTGCTTGGTAGTTGGGTACCCAGGCCATTGCGATTGTGACACAGCCCCAGAGGAACATGATGGTAGGAAGAAAAATGGACGGTCTCGTTCGAGCTAAGATCATGCTGTGTTGGGTTATGCAGGTTAGCAAAGTGTCACAAGGCAACAGTTGTCCCTGTCCTGGAAGTTGGCGTACTTGGAGGGCACTTCGCAGACGACATAGCCGATGAAGAAGACTGTGAGAGCCATTGAATACTCGTTCGAACCGAGACCAAGATCTGTTGCCATGCCAGACGTCTTTGCGTTGCCGATGCTGATTTGCGAGTACAGTGTTAGCGTTGACGGAAAAGTCCTCGAAATGAGTTCCAATAACTCACTTGGTGCGGTCCATGTACGAGAGAAGGTACATGCACCAGATGGCGGGCAAGAGATAGAGGTCAATCTTGCGTACAAGCTTGCGCTCCTCTTCGGTATCGGGTACATAGTCATCCACTGCACCAATCTCATGAGGCTTGGGAAGATCGACTTGCGTCTCTTCATCATGCTGGCTTCCTGGCTTGCCGTCCATGTTGTCTGGAGGAGGAGTAAAGAGTCCAAGGGTGAGAATGCCTGTATCCAGCGTGTTGTCGTCACGGGGTAATTATAACAAGATGTAATCGAGTCGGGAGTGAGGCTCGAGAGGGATCGGCAGGAGTCGAGGTCTTTAAGTTAAGCATATAATGACCTGTTGCTTGTCCTGGTTCTCTTGTACTCATACCTCTCTACCCCACGATTCGGTTCACTCGGCTGATGTTCAAGGGAGGGTAGCTCCGAGCCTCTGCGATGCTAGGCTCGCCAAAAGATGGCCTGAGGTGTTTTGGACGGCTGTGTTAATTTCAGCCTAGGTGGCATCGTTAGTCTGGGCTGAACCCATCAAGGATGTTTGACAACTGGGCAGAGGAGTCAAAGACCAGTACGGAATTTAGCAATAGCCAGAGTCTCCTCCCAGTTCATCAGGTGGGGTCTGGGGCCCCGCGTCCCCAGATATTATCCTGACTCGGTGAGTGTGGATGATTCATCTCCCCCTCCCCCCCGCGATCTGCCTTGAAAATCCTTACTAGATTGTCAAAGCGTACCAAATAGCTGGGCCGTTGTTGAGGAGAACCACGAGACGCGGGCGGTAACAAAGAGCTAGCTAAGAAACTTGTGTGCGGCTGCTGGCACGCGGGATTTATTCCGTGTAACACTTACCTGCTGGCGCTCAAGCATAGGCGAGCTCGTCGGAGCGCGGAGTAGCCTAGTATTAAGTGAGAACTATTCTAGATAGATCTATATTCTTCGTATTGAGAAAGACTTGTTGTTAAGTCTGGTTATGTAGACAAAGCTTGTCGTAATAAGAGGCATCCTTCTGCTTCTCCATCCCGGAGCATACTCACTCCCCGTTGGACTTGGAAGAAACAGGGCACCGGGAAATACAAAATGAGAGTATGAAAAGAGAAAACTTTAATTGATACAAGCTACATGATTTGCTATCCCTGGCCCAGTTATCGGGTGGTCATATCTAAATATCACCTTGATAGAAAACATAAAACTACGAACGAACAATTTAACAATCAATGGTTGCCCTAGCTATTTTGTAACTACACGCGCAATTTGAATTTGATGCATTAGGTGTAGCATATGCCGTTGTTCAGCTTGTATTAAGGCATACCTCCCGACGAGAAGGACTTCATAGCTTTGGACATGCCGCTCAACCACTCATACAATGCCCACGCCCCAGGGTCGGGCAACTCCTGACCCTGTGCCTCTGCAACATAAGTTGCTCGTCCAAACTTAGCCTTCAAGTATCGTGTAGCTTCAGCCTTCTCCTTGGCGACCCCGACAGCGTGATGAAAGTCCTTTACCTTGGCAAAATCCTGAGCAAAGGGGAGCAGAACGTCCATTACAGTTCGGTCGCCCTCCCTTGCCCCTGTGTGGGTCTTGAGGGCAGCGACCGCCTGCTCTAATGCGACAGCGAACTCCTCGGCGTTTGCATGTGAGGGGCCTGTCGAGGTTGACGTCTTCAGAGCAGAAGTGAATGCCGACAATAAAATGCCCAGGATAGCACCCAAGGTCCCTCCCATATCATCAACAGCGTCCGTTGTGCTGTTGAGGAAGTCGACCACAGATCCTCTGTCTGCTCCACCCGCATCCAGAATCTTGATAATGGCTGGTCTAGATGTCATTTATATGTATGCAAACTCAACAAAAAACAAGAACACTCACCCTCGGACACACCCTGCACAGCCTCGCCACAGTCTCCGTCTCCCATGACCATGTCCCATTTCGTTAGGTTGGGCTCTGCCGCGATGGCAGCTTCGCATCCCGCACGAATGACGATTTTAAGGAGAGTTGGGTCCACTATGAGAAGTATGAGCTTTGTGAAAACATGTAACTAGACTGACCAAGGCACTTACCAACTATATCGGCGCCCTCATTGGACTTGGCAGCCCCATTCATCTGCACCGGCAACGCTTGTCTGAAATCGCCTTCCGGTCTGGGAGCCGTCAAGTTTGGCCATGAGACTGCTGTGGTAGGAGCATCCAGAAGCTCTAATAGCTCTGTTACAGGAGCACTGATTTCTCTTGAAGCGGCCGACAGATTGCAGAGCGAGATAGAGAAGCCTGGGGCATTCAGTGATGTCTCAAAAGCCCCAGTGAGGACCCTGACTGGCGTAATCTTCCAGCTCGTTTCTATTTTTAATTTTGATCGAAATCAGCATGGGTACAAATCTGCAAGCACTTTGTTTCCTCCTTTCTGGAAGGTGGGTATGCATACGTAGTTGGATGATCACTTCATCAGTCAGCGCCCCCAGCTCCAGATTCGACAATCCTCCATAATTGTTCACAACCAGAACACTGGAGTCATTGGGCTCGAATGTGACGAAATATCGCTCCGTGTCGTTCGAGTCGCAGAGCAATTTCAGACAGTGCTGAATCAGATTCTCCACAGAAGGAAAAGGTGATAATTTTTGCGCTCCCTAGATGATGATCAGTCGGGTCTTCTCTGTTTAATCTTCGTTTGAAATTTAAGTTGGAGTCAGAGAACGTACTGGTTCGTTGTGAATACCAGCACCGACTATAGCCACATCCTGGGGCACGGTCTCATTCCGTTGACGACCTGGTACGTGGCAATGATCAAGAGCAGATCCAATCGAGACGACGTGAGAATTCACACCTCGTCCCAACTCCACGCACCGCTCAAAACTGTATTTCCTGCCAACCGCAGCACCTGTGATCTTCATAGCTGCAGCACAGCAAATCACTTGTCAACATATCTTGTTCAAAATCCATGACTGACCCCCTCGAGCAAATGAAAGACTCACGAATGATGTGGCCCGGCATGCCTCTTCTCCCGACTGCGCCACACTTGCTTCTGCCAATGGATACATCGTCTGCTAGATGGATCATAGCGACATTCTTGGACAGACCTTGTGCTTTGGCCCGCTCTGCCGCCAACCCGAAATGAAGCTTGTCACCTGTGTAATTGGTGATCATCAAGATGTGGCCCTGCTCAGAGGGCGTTGCCTTGATCGCCGCGAGAACTTGCTTTGTGCTAGGTGAAGCGAAGATATCACCACACGCAGCTCCCGCCAGCGCGCCCGTGCCCACAAATCCCGACCATCCCGGCTCGTGGCCAGAACCACCGCCGCTGATGATCGAGACGGTGTTCGGGTCATGATAGGGGTCGTAGACAACTCGTTCTGGCTCTATCAGGGCAAGATGAGTATTGGCGGCTGTGAGGGCCCTCAGGTAACGGGGCACCAGTGTGTTGGCCGCAGTCTCTGGGAAGAAGTGCTTATCCGACATTCTCGGAATTGGGATTGGACGAGCAAGCTGAAGATGTCAACTGTCTCTGTATATATCGCTAATAAAGAACAACTTAAGGACACCTCAGAAAAAGTCTTGAATTTGAAGAACCGTTCTTCTAAATAAGATATACACACTACTACTACCTACATCGCTGTCTAAACGCAGCAGTATGCGGACAGTGTCACCCTGCCGAAAATGTCCACTCTGGCCATGACGGGCAGTAGGCCCAAAACCATGCGAGGAAAATACATATAGCGGACCATTCGAACGGTAGATAGCCTGTTGTTTCGTGACTGAGTTCTTTGGAGCCGAGTTCGTATAACGAAACGCAAGTACTCAACACGAACAGCGTGACACACAGTCGTCGTGCCGCGTGTCGAGGTCCCTTGCCGCTCCACGTACATGCGCTCTCGAATCTGCCCACGAGGAGTCCCTTTTTTGTACGAACTCATTGCAGCAAAATACTCAACAAGAATTGGAAAGAGTTAGGCGTCCGATTCGCGGCCCAGTACCCTCTTTGAATGCTGCCCGGGTCAAGACGACGCTCCTCGTTTGGACCCACACAAAGAGCAACACTGGTAGCATTTGATATATCGCGGCCTAGTCAAGGCCACTGAAATATTGCTGAAGAGTGAGGCCCTTTGACTTCTCGTAAATACTCATTACTTGAATCCTCAGCTTTTCTAAACAGTCTCCAACGCCTTATCCCAGTCTGCATTGCTTCCCTTCCTATCGACCATGGCTGGATATCGCATTGTTCTTGGTGGCGACGATGCCGGCTTCGACTACAAATCCACTCTCATCAAGGACCTCAGTGCAGATCCGAGGGTGAGCGAGGTCATTGACGTTGGCCCAGAGTCGTCGTCAGACAAAACCGCTTATCCTCACTTTGCTATTGCCGCTGCTGAGCTCGTTGCTCAAGGCAAGGCTGACCGCGCTTGTGAGTCTTCATTCCGGTCTTCTTTTCTTCTAGATGTTTGGAGTAACCTTGTGACTGATGTCCTCGGTGGTGGATTAGTGTTAATCTGCGGGACCGGTCTGGGTGTTGCAATCTCAGCGAATAAAGTCAAGGGCATCAGGGCTGTCACGGCGCACGACAGTTTCAGTGTTGAACGATCTATCCTGAGCAACAACGCTCAGGTTCTATGTCTCGGTGCTAGAGTGATCGGTGTGGAGCTTGCCAGGAGACTGGTAAGAGAGTGGTTGACTTACAAGTTTGATCCAGTAGGTCGACAAGCCATACTTCTCCTCCAGGTGACTATTTCTAATCAATGGATGTATTTAAGGCATCTTCTTCAGCAGCAAAGGTCCAGTGTATCATAGATTATGACAACGGTACTAGCATAGCTGCAGCGGCATAGATTTCTCAATAGTATTATCAACATAATTATGCATAAGCCAACCAGATTTTGATGTTATCTCGATTCTCGTCCATTGTGTTGACATGTAAAACCAAAACAGTAGACCTCAGTTCCACACAGCATCACAAAGTAAAGATTGAGGAAGCCATGAGTTGATATCTGGTGTCCTTCTTCTTCTTCTTCTTCTTCTTTCTTTTTCTTTTTTTGGGGGGGGGGGTGGGGGGAGATAACATACTTATACGGTACTCTGGCGCGACATACAAAAGTTGAAAATTTCTTGAGATTATGACAAGTAAACTGACAGATGGACTCGTGACACCGCTTTAATATTAGAGAAATATATACAGACCAATACGGATTGAATAATATCCATAAGTTCGTCCTAACAGACCAAGATCCAGGTCCGGTCACGTACGATGGGCGGGTTAGGAGCCTCATGCAAAATCACATGCACCCGAACAATAGCAGCTTAGGGGCTCTTCGCTGCGTCAGCGTTGATCGATTGCAACCCTAAGACTTATTTTGCAATGTGATACTTAGGCAGAGAACGACACTCGAAACAGATCGCACTTGTCGGCAGTTTCCACGTTCGTAGAGCTTTGATTTTGATTTCTCGGCACAGATTACACCGATATGAATTACAGGCTCTAAGCTTTTCCAGTACTTCCACAAACATCAAGAGCCCATTCTGTCAGCCTCTGAATTTCCTTGGTTCCCTCCTCCATCAACGTGGTAAGAGGCTTTGTGGGCGCATTGCTCTTGAGGTAGTTGTTGTAGTCGAGCAGGACCAACTTGTTGACGTTCACCTTCACACACCCACCAGCCACGCACTTCTTGGTGACCTCCTCGGGCCAGTCGTTTGTTCCGTGCACGACCAGGCGCACCCTTCCAGCAACCTTCTCTCTGATCATTTGGAGCCTGTCATACTCCAGGTTAGGGCCCTTGGGCCCGTAGTCCCCGTGCACGTTGCCAAAAGCAGGTGCGAGAAAGTCGATTCCGGTAGCAATGAAATCCTCGACCTGCTCAGACGTAGTCAGGGCGCCTTCGAGGTCCGCAGTATCAGCGATACCATCCTCACCGCCCTCGATCCGTCCTGGCTCCGCCTCGGTCGTAATCTTGTGCTCGTTGCAGAAGGCGACCAGTTCTCGGGTCTTCCTCAGGTTCTCGTCCATTTCATAGTGGCTCATATCCACCATGATGGAGTCAAATGGAAGGTTTGCCGCCGCATGCCTAATCAATGCCTCGTCTTGTGCGTGATCAAGGTGGATCGACACGGGCACAGACGCTTGCCGTGCGTATTGTGCTGCGGCGTGAACTAAGAGCCCGTCGCTGTAGGTGATAGCCCAGGGAAACAGCTGCAGAATGAGCGGTGAGCGTTTTGCTTCTGCTGCACGGATGAGGCCCAAGATGCTCTCGATGTTGTACCTGGAGGTGGTCAGCCTGACTTCCAACTGCCTCAAGAGTTGAAAACGTACGCGATGGCCGCGACCACACCATAACCGCCATCGTCGGCAGCCTTGAGGATTTGATATGTCTTGTTTTGCTTCTTCCACTCCATCGTGTCACTGGGCCAAAAGTCTCGAATGGTGGAATGAATAAGGCGTGCCTGGTATCGATGTTTTCGTTGAAGACCACAGGGATGATAATGATGTCAGGTAATATATTTCACTCACTTCAAATACACTAGCTCTTTACGATGCTTTTCTGGTTGACATGGCCGAATAACGAGTCACGCTTTTCGTAATGGTTGTGACGATTCGGCATGGCAACAGTACCATGGCCACGAGTCGCGCCCAGTTCCGAGCCTAATCCCCAAAGGACCATGAGGTAACTCTCGAAATGGAACAGGCCAGCGGGTCTGGAGAAGCGGGCCATGTTTCCCCAGCTCCACCACCCCACAAAGACTGACCTATCATACCGCGTTACCAGGTTTAATTTGCACAGTGAGACGCGGCTCGTGGTAGAAAAGTCCCTCTTGCCGAGCAAGAGTCCGGGCAGAGGGAGACAGAGGTCAACCGCCGCCGAGTCGCGCTTCTCCTCTCCTACTCCTCCCTCCAATCTCGCGTCTAATCAGGGCACCGGTTTGTCAAATATCAATGTGACAACGGAGGGGCTGTCGAGTCGCGGTTCAGCGAGGCTGCAGGATGCAAGGCCTCGAGAGGCCGAAGAAAAGAGTCCGGAAGTCCAGGGGAAAAGGGTTGAGGACGACGAGTGGTTGGTAAGTGTGGAGAGATCCATCTATTGTCCTCGTTCCGAGATTGAGTCTCGAGACGCAAAGGGTTCCAAAGACATTGATTAGAATTTCCTGATTCGTTCGGATGCCTTTATAAATATCTTGCTGACCCTCTCAAGTCTAACATGCCGGAGGAGACACAAGAAATGTGATGAGCGTCAGCCTGTGTGTGGGCCATGTTCTATTTCCAGCAGAGACTGTGTCTTTCCTGACATCGGCTCGCGACACAATGGAGAACCTCCAAGCGAGATAACAGAGATCTCTACTGCACAAACAACAACGGACTTGGCCTCTTTAAGGGCTTTAGTAGCTGAGGAATCGTCGTCACCCAGCCATGTTGTCCCCCAGGTGGTGGCCGAGGCAGCAACCACACCTCTTCAGCAGAGTCAGGTGTCGTCGTTGCCTGCAGCCTACGGAGTAGAGTTTCCATATCCAAACACTGCTGCAGTTCAGGTACCACAGGCTCTCCAAAGGTTGGACAGCGACCATCACCTGCAGTACACTTACAGCCCGGACACTGTCGCTTCCGAGTTATTGACCGCGGACCTTGCTTCCACGCGCTGGCTCGGTCTGCTGGCACACGATGCAGCCCAGGCCGATAAGGGATTTTCGTTAACCTCGACACGTTATCCAAGCCCAGCAGCAGGAGACCAGAATGCAGTGCAACATACCCTGCAGACAGGAGGACCACAAGACTCTGTACCCCCAGTGCCGATTACCTCCTCATCCATCGCCGCAGTAAATGTACCCTCGAGGGTTTCCGAGCATGAGGATCCTGAAGTCACGTCTGAACACTATGCGTGGCAACTGAATCACGACATCCCCCTTCAGAGCCATGAGGCTTATCTATTCAGAACTTTTGTCGAACACGCTGCCTCATGGCTGGACCTGTGCGATCCACGAAAACACTTCTCCACCCATGCTACCAGGCTCGCAGTACGTGCACCGGATTCCCCCAAAAATTCAAATTCTGCCATGCTAATATGTACCTCGGAGCTAACTGATGAATGTGAACAGTTGCGCAATCTGGGCCTCATGAAGGCCATTCTTGCCTTGGCTTCTCGTCATGCGATAGCGAGAACCCAGACTCCAGAGACGGATGTCAACGTCCCCATCCAATATTATTATGAAACCTTGCACTACGTCCAGGAGTCCCTACAGTATACAACATACACCCGATCCGAAGAGCTGCTCGCCACAGTGATCATCATCTCGACCTACGAGATGCTCGACGACGCAAACAGCAACTGGAAACGGCACCTCAAGGGCGTCTTCTGGATCCAGCGCTCACAGGAAGTCCACGGAGCCTCTGGCGGTCTTCGGCAGGCCGTGTGGTGGGCCTGGCTGCGTCAAGACCTGTGGGCTGCGTTCCGTGAAAAGCGAGCCTGCTTCAGCTTCTGGAGGCCCATCAAGGTCGTGTCAGAGCTGAGCCAGGACGAGCTTGCCAACCGGGCTATCTATCTCCTGTCACAGGCCGTGAACTACTGCGCAGAGTCTGCATCTACCTCCATGGCCATGAGTGAGAAGGTGCAGGCTTCAGAGACACTCCTGGCGGCACTTGAGCAGTGGCGGGCGTCTCTGGGGCCAGCGTACAGGCCTCTGCCCACTCCGCACCTTGCAAACTCGGCCTTTAGACCACTCTGGATACACCCTCCCCAGTATGGCGTTGCCATACAAGCATATCACTTTGCAAAGATCCTGATCACTCTCCATCGCCCGGCTGAGGGGGGGTTTCACACATATTTACAGACCCAGCGCGTTCTTTCGGACGCCGTCGACGCCATCTGCGGCATCGCTATGGAGCTGAAGGACGAGGGCTGCCAGATCCTCTCGGCGCAGTGCCTGTTTGGTGCTGGGCTCTGCACCCAGGATATGAAGAACCGCGACATCATTATCGCCTTGATCAGAAGTTGTGAGGCGCGTACTGGCTGGCCCATGTCGAATCTCATTGATGACTTGAGGGCAGAATGGGCCAGCTTCAGTTGAAAATCCGGATCTTCGAGCTTCTTATGGGCGTGATATACCGACTCGTTTGAATATTGGACTTTGTAGGAATTCAAAGTTCCGAATAATAATAAAAAAGGAGAGAAGCCTAGCAGGGGAACAGGATCACATTCTCCTAATACCAACATCTACGCATGTTGAATGGCGAAAGGTTTCAAGACTTCGTGTATCTCAACCAGATACTATCAGTCCTCGGATCGTTCTACGAATACGACACTATTTATCCTGGTAGTCGAATACATAAACCTTCTACCACTGTGTACACAAGATATACCTCCTGGTCTGCATCATTAAGTCGCCATCTCCCTAAAACTATGTTAGCTTCTCATCTATCCTGCAGATGTTATTATAAATGAAGTACCTTGTGTGGCAACGACAGTGGACTCGAGTCTCTTAGGCACAAGACTGTGACCACGTGGATGATGAGTCGGTCAAGGATACAGCTTTCCCTCTCTGTTTCAGAGTGCTTTCTTGTGTGTCCGTGATGGAAGGTCCAAAATGTTTTTGAGGGACGGGCAATGTTGCTGGAGGCAGCTGCCTCCAGAGATCATGTCGACCAAGACTACTCCTTCTTCTTTCCCTTGCCATTGTCAGGCTTCTTCCACATGTTGGAAAATGGATACGTGGTTGGTTTAGGGTTGTAGGTGAACGGCGGGAAGGAGTAGTACTGATGTTCAGCCGATTGGGAATCTTGAGAGGCTCGAGGCTTGTCTTCCCAGGCGACATGCTTCACTGGTTTGGGTTGTTCCATGGGTTTCGCAGGCTCGGGCTGCTGGTTGATAGGCTCTTGGGCCGATGATGGTCCTGGGCCGTTGTTTGACTGCTGGTATGGGTGCATCACCTGAAGCTCGATGTTCACGGAGTGCTCGCTCGGGCTGGTGCCTTCCTCACTAGCCATGGTGTATGCTTCTTCGTATGTATGTTACTAGTATGTTTGATATTGTGGTGTTTTAACGGACGGGAAAGCCTACTTGCTTGTTCATTTCATAGTCCTTGTTATATAAAATTGGAGTAGGAGAGGTTTGGGCAATGTCTGGCTATCACTCTGTGCATGTGCATTTCTCACCTTGTTTACCGTGACGGGACTTGAATGACCGAGGACATCATGAATTCAGTTCATTTTGCTTCACAGTTAAGCACCTACATGAAACATGCATACTCGAGATTGTGGTCACTTGAATTGAGCTACAGCTTCGATGTTGTTTGTACGAGGTTATGGTGACATAATATTCACCAAGAGCCTCCGCAATGAAAGTGTTTCACGATACTGCAGAGAGCCTTTACCAAAGTAATGACAAAATTTCATTGACAAATTCAATAGTCCAAATTCATATGGCAACTCACTGTTACATAATACATGTCTGCTGGGTATACTAAGAGCTGCAGTTAGGACAATTTGTGCTTCTTCTGTCATGTATGCAGCAGAAAGCACAACAATCTCAAGAATCATAATCGCAATGCTTGTACTGCTGTCCATATGTTCCTGCCCAGCATGATGACCATGCATTATCATATTCATCATACCACATGGGGTCAGTGCATGCTGCACTTCCAAGACGACACTCACCTTGTCATATTGACTGCCAATAAGCTGCGTAGCAACCAGTATGTCAAGCGAATTGTTGCAACAAGAATCCTGCATCGTCACGCTGTGAACTGACAAAGCTGTTGATCGAGAAACAAACCAGCTGCCGAGCCACATACCACCAACTCAAGTCATCTCGAAGTCGAGACCTTGAAGATTCTCTGTCTCCAAGCTGGCATGCATGTGATTCATCAACATGCCATCGACAGAGCGAGCAGTAGTTTTCGATACTCTCATTTAGCAAAGAACAGCATATTCGCAATCTTTGTGAAATAACTTGTCTGAGAGGAAGAGTTATGCGCCAATCACTAGGACTCTGCTGCTGTATCCTTTTGTTTGTTTTTGGACAAAACAGACAAAGCTATTCATTACAATTTTCTATAGTAATCAGCCAAGAGGTCAGTATTCCTGGAAGCCCAACATCTTTGAGACCATCAATACTTTTCAATACCAACCACTCAGCCAATCAGCACACATCACAATGTGTCAAGTCTGGTCAGGGAGCCAAATCTCCAAGTTCAGCCTTTGAGTTCATTTGGTACTTAGGCAGACACTTGATGAAGGGCACTAACTTTCTACCCACCCCGTAGTTCACACGCCCCCCAGCCCGCCATCAAGTGGGTATTGCTGCCTAAAGCGCACGCTTACCGCGCACAATATATAAGAAAAGTGTGAACTTCAACTTGGGATTCACAGACTCACTTTTTTCTATTCAATTTTCTCTTTATCTTTTCCATCCTCAACTCGTTCACTATGGCTACAACCGCTCCCAAAATCGCAGAACAGGAGCATCAAGAAGAGTCCGATGTGGTGGATCGCAAGGCTGCGGACCTCGCCGAACGGATCCGCCGCAGCAAGCACTTCATCGTATTCACTGGTGCAGGCGTAAGCACCTCGGCAGGTACGTGGACCTCTCTGAAGAATCAATAAAAAACACGATGCAAGAGAGAGAGGGAACCTAATCAATCTGATGGCCAGTACAGGCATCGCGGATTTTCGAGGTCCAGAAGGTGTCTGGACCCTCATGGCGCAGGGCAGAGAATCCTCTATCAGGTCCATCGATACAGTGCAGGCCCTCCCTACTCCCGCGCACATGGCTCTCGTTGAGCTGCAGGATCGGGGAATGATGAAGTATCTGGTCAGCCAGAACTGCGACGGGCTGCACAGAAAGAGCGGGATCTCGCCTGTAGGGCTGCCTCAATCTGTTGACGGATTATATGTCCATGGAGGCAAGTTGCTGACTTTGAACAACAGGACAGGATCTCAGAGCTGCACGGCAACAGTAATCGCGAGTACTGCAAGGAGTGCGGAAAGGAGTACATCCGCGGTGAGTCACCCGCCGGGGAAAGGGACTTGGCTGCCTATTCAACGGCCTTTCATGATTATTTACTAAACGTTACCCAATACAGACTTTCGAGCCGTGGCGCCCGACCACAACCACGTTAATGATCACCGCACAGGGCGTAAGTGCGCGCTATGCAAGGGTGTGCTTCTGGACAGTATCATCAACTTTGGCGAGTATCTCCCAGAGACTCCTCTCAAAGAAGCCCGCAAGCACGCAAAGAAGGCCGACCTGTGCCTCGTCCTCGGCTCCTCGCTGAGGGTACCGCCGGCATGCGAGATCCCCGAGACTGTCGGCCGCAGCAAGACGGCAGCTCTGGTCATCTGTAACCTCCAGAACACGCCGATGGACGAGTTGGCTGATGTGCGCATTCATGCGAAGGCGGACGATCTGATGGAGAGGGTCATGAGGAAGCTTGAGTGTCCGATACCTACCTTTGTGCTGCGGCGCAGGCTTGTGGTGGCGGGGAGTCTTGATGCTGGCGGGCGGCTCCAGGTCAAGGTCTCTGGTGTTGATGTCGATGGTACGCCCATGTCGTTCCTCCGGTCTGTCAGGTGCACCAATAACAGGCGCCTTGTGAGATCCGAGCCGTTTATCATCCACTTCCGCGGCGCCAGCGATCCAAGCGAGGACATCAAGCTGGATCTCGAGTTCATGGGCCACTATGGGGAGCCGAATCTGGGAATCACGTACCGATATGAAGGCGAGGACAGGAAAGAGACTGTGTATGATTTGGAGTACAACCCCATGAGCAGGACTTGGGTCATCAATGTCAACAACCTCGCAGGATAGAGGAGTCCCTACAGGTCTGTCTGGTTCACATCATGAACTTCTAGAGTGTTTGCACGAAACTTTGCTTTTTTTTCTTTCTTCTTTGTCCCCTTCTCTTTGCTCTGAATTTGTGTTGAGAAACATGTCAATGATCGCAGGCTTTCCATCTGGACTTAATATTAGCAATATCGTCCCTGAGAAGACCTTGGCGGACGACAAGCGGAGGCAACGAGGCGCAAGAATGATCGTGAACAACCGCATGAGAAACATATTGTACACCTGACTCATTCATGCTAGATTGAAAAAGAGCTCTACCAGTTTTTGCAACTTTAACGACGGAGAAGAACGAGCACCAGGCTATATTCGCCAAATTCAAAACTTGCACCTCGAGAGAGATGCTGATGCCATGAGACATGTGCAGCACTCACATCACGGAGGATCGCAATTCTGCATCAATTGTAATGTACCATTCAAACATCTTGTGTCAACTGTGAAGGAAAAAATACCGAACGTGATCTGGTCTCTTTCCTGCACTGATTTAGGTCTTGATTGAAAGTACTCATCATAAAAAGTGTGATTGGAGGCAGCTAACATGCTTTACTTCTGTAAGTCTACATCTTGATAATGAAAATTTTACTTCATATTCTCGATATCTCGAAGCATCTAAATTTCTTCTGATATTGGATAATCAACATCGCTGCCAGGCAAACATCCCATTCTACTTGCACTCCAAACTTTGACTTACTGTCTGGGGCTTCAGCATACCTCTCTATATCTAACGACCCAATTTAAAACTAGCAAATCGAAAACATCGAGCTCAGGGGAGTAGAGGAGAGCATTCGGCAAGCACACCACCGGAATCGACCTGGCAGTCTCTTCAAGACCTGCATAAACCCCCTCCGGACATCATTGGCTTCTGCAAGCAAGGAGATAGTGACGTCAAGCAAGCACCAAGTAAATTGACTTTGCGCGTCGACCTTCCCGCCAGCTTGTTCTTGGGAGTTTCCCCAGGTTTCCACTGATATCATCTCGCGTGATGTCGAGAGACGTGGTCTCACAAGCCAGCTCAGCCCAGCCGCCCTCGGAGCTGGTTGGCCGATCTGTCGATCCCCAGATTCAGGGTCCACACTCTGTTTACGATGGGTGCTCTGGCCCCGTACTCTTATTTTTCTCGAGGCGTTTGGGCTGTTTTCTAACCGATCTAGCCCCAGAAAAAGACGTCTGGCCCCAAGAGAGGAGAAGCCCCCCTGCCCGCAGTGGCGGCGTTTACATCATCCTAAGCACATGCGTGCATCCTTCGTTGCGGAAGGTTTTATTGCTGGCGAAGTATCGAGTACTCGTGTGCTCGCGGTCGTCCATTGGCTCCCTGGGATGTTGTTTCTCCATGCTCTAGTGGCTTGGTGGTGGTGGTAACGGGCGGGGTGTGTGCGTTATTTGGTAGGTTCCCCAGAAGTAAGAGGTGTCTGCTCCGCAATGATATTGCCTTGCATCCCAACGGGCTGGGGGGTTGCGCTGAATGACGGTCGTTCTCACGGTATCTAATGGCGTTGTAGTACCACCATCGTCGTCATGAGCTGCCTTGCAAGGCCAAGCAGCATGTGACAGTCGCATGAGGATTCCCCAATGAAAGACAGCGTTGATAGTAATGGTGGACCCCTTCAGCACTTGGCTGTCGATCGACAATTGTATATCTTCTTATTATCACATTGAGCTCGTGATTGTGGCTGTACTTTTCAATCTGATGTAATGGCCAATCAGTTATGTGACATCTACAGAATTCATGAGGAAGGACACATTTGGGATGGAGACAAGGCAGAATGGGCTTTCTGGAACATCCGACTATCAATAGAATCCTCTCGAAACACACACTCCTCCGATCAACTTTCCATCCACAATATTGCTCGCCAGAACCTATCACAGCCCATCCATCCATCGACCATCATCATCATCAGCTCCGCAGTTTGGGGTCCCACACCAAGCTACGAAGTAATAGTCTAGACCATTAATTATACGGGGTGTGACGAAGAGGGAGGGATGGATTGATGGATGTGAGGGTAGCAATCATCTCTCCGAAGGGGGGGGGGGAGCGAACCCTCAGCGTCACATTCAACAATGCTCTTCCTACCTATGCCGCATCCCACCACCACCATCTACCAACCATTTGATACTCGCAGGACGCCAAGAGCTGGGAGGGCGGCAACGGTCTGGCCTTCGGTCTTTGCTAGACGTCACCAAACCGTGACAGACAGGCAGATATAGAGAGGGGGGGTGGTGGCGGCGGGAAATAAGAGCCACGGGTATTTGCGCCAGGCCAGCTAGAACGCAAGGCATTCTGTGTAAGAATGGAGAAGGCGTGCAAAGATGATGGGGCATTGACATCACCTCCACAGCCACCACCATCAACAGTCCGTCCACATGTGGGGAGCGCAAGTAGTCAATGGCACCGTGGCATGCGTGAAACGCGTCATGAATAGGCTTTGGAGCAAGCTCGATGAAGAAAGAAAGAAAAAAAAAAATGATTAAATGAAAAGCAAGAAAAATAGAGGGACAAAAACATCGGCGGCCAGCTCATTCGAGAGCTTTGCTGTCATAAACGGGTCCCAGCCTCAAATGAGAGTTTGAGGGGTGCGCCCCAGTCTCCCGCTCATCTCCACGTCGCCCCCCAGCCGTTCTCTTCTCGTTCGAGGGAGTTCTAGATTGTCTCGGCCGGTGGGGAATCCGATCATCATCATTGTACCGTGTTGTATGCTGTGTGTGCATCTCTAGGGAAAAGAACATACCCAACCGCCGGTACCTTGAAAAAGAGAACGGGTCTCGACTTGTCCTCAGATTGCCACATGCTAAAGGGGGCGTAACGTGCTTATTGGCGTTGCATGCATGCCCACTATTAATCATTACCATACGGTCGCGGGCTGAACGACAACAATCGTCAGGAAGACAGTAAATGTCAAAGTCCGGCCAATTTGATGCCTTGTCACGTAGTAATCATGTACGGTGTAATTATCGCTTAGGCTTGGCAAATTATCAAAACCAAACCTGGGCTTGCGCCACTCTCTCCCTCCAGAGAGACGCTGACAATTCGGCGGCGACGGGTCGGAGACAATTAGGAAATCCCGCTCTTTTTGCCAATATTTACTTGTGGAGAGAGAATGGGTTCCCGCCACAGTCGTGCGAAGGAAGAGAAAAACTTGTTAGGGGAGCGGAAGGGTCTGTCGGTTATTACGTACTGTATGTAAGGAGAAGGTTTACTACACTGTGTATGTGTTTATGTATGTATCTATGTATGTACATACATCCAAGGGACATCCATCTTCTCGGATAAGGAAGGGAGGGCGGCATATCTGCCTGCATACACGGCGCGCGGTCGGAGATGGTCGCAGGAGGGAGGCGAAAAGATAACAGCAAAAGGGCAGGTTTCATCCAGAGAAGATTGGGGTGGACGGGGGGCAATTGTCGGTCCACTGGCTACCAGTGAGCGCCACAGAATGGCACACACACACACACACACACACACACACACACACACAAACTTACTACAGTAGTCAAGGCGCTACAGCAGGAGGTGCAAGGTTTGCAGAAACGCGCCATGCCTGCGACTTTCTGGGTCAGACCCTTTGGGCATCCCGGGCCCCTCCTCAACAAAAGCCCCCCCTTGCAAGCCACCCACCACCACTACCACCATTACAAGAAAAAAAAAAAACCGACAAAAAAATTTCTGTACTAGAGGACATGGGAATTTGACCCGGGCTAGCCAATGAAGTGTGCAACTCTCGAGTTCGATGTCTGGGGTCTGGTTCACTCATGTGGGTCCGCTACAAGAGGCGCAAGATAGTGATGATATGCCCTCTCTTTTTTTGGTGGACCCCGTTTGATATATCATACCGGACAGAACGAGTTGGTGGTCATGTGTATGCAGCATGTGTGGGCGCATAGGTCAATGAGTGATGGTGTTACGTTGTAATTCAGTGTATCTATGATAGTCGTGACGGTGATTTCTCCCATGGATTGATTGCGTTGGAGGAGAATTGTACCGTGTATAGGATGATTAATCCTCCGCCCGTTGTTAGCCGTCGTTCCATCTTGATAATCGTGGTGGTGCCATCACCATGTGAGATTGCATAAACGATCCAGAGAGAATTGCCCGTTGCTCAAAACATCTATTGCTCTCGTCCCATCCTCAATATTTCGTCGTCTTCACTATACACACGCCGCCGTGCGTGGTGTGTGCGTGCCGTGGTAATCCGATGCTGTCCCGGATCTCGCGGAACGGGGAAAGGCGGGGAGGGAGATGAGGAGGAGGGGAATGATCGACCTCTTCAAGACCCATAAAACGCTCCACAGGTCTAAATCTTTAGACATGTTTGGGACTGTGGGGTATCAGGTGAGCCTCGCGTCGACAAAAAAGACAAGAATATCTTGTTCAGCATTGAATAGCAATGGTGGTGACGATGATGGAGGGACTGCCATCCGACAGACGCCGCCCCTCCCTCAGCCGACAGAGCCGATCGGAAAGATTCTATCCCCAAGGCAAAAGCAGCGTTGAAGATGACCGGGAGAAGCAAAAAAACCGGATTCGAGTCTAGGAGAGTTCTGCGACGAGAACCACTGCCACCACCACATAATACGTACCCTAAAGGTGAGACCCCTAAACGCCTAGACCCTTCATGCATGGCACGATACTCAAACCATATCGACGGCGCCAACCTGAGCCCTCGGACACTGCTGGGAAACTAAAAAAAAGATGGAAAACTCCACATCTGATAAGACGCTGAAATCTCGCATCTCATAAAGACTTGGGGTCTGTTTTGTGTGTGTACAGTAGGTGTGTGTGGGCTTTATTTTACTTTATTTATCTATTTTGTTGATGTTGCAGGGTCTTGTAAATTCGGCTGTCCTCAGAGGAAATTTTCTTTTCCCCTCTTCTGTTTTCTGTTGAGAGAATTGCCACCCTGTCTCGTCCCGTCCGTCTCAGGTAGACCCAGCCGTCGAGGCGATGGTTAGCGGAGGACCGGCGTTGTCGCTTAAGCTGCTGCTGCTGCAGTGGTCCCCGGCATATGCAACGCAACGCAACATCGAGGAGTAGCTCGACTGCTTGACCGGTCGGCATCGGAGGCTGCGAGAAATACTGCAGTGCTGCTGCTTGGCTTTTCCCCTTCGCTCCCGCCTTCGCTCTTCTTCCCCTTTTTCTAGCAAAAAGGCCAGGACGGTACCAGGAACTTCTGGATACAAGTCAAGTTAAGAGCCGACGTCGGGACTGCAGGTAAACTCAGCAGATAGGAGAAGCGCCGGTGTCACATTGGTGTTGTCTCATACGTATGCCGAATGGCGACAAGAGAAGGGAGAGAGAAACAAGGAGAGGTCTGCAAGAATCCTCCATCGTCCGCACATCGGCGCGCTCTCTTTCTCTTAGTTCAGCAGTGAAGAAGGCGATCCCACCTCCAGATTTCAGGGTCCTCCCTCTCCAGGCTATGAGCCCCGGCGGAACTGAACGCGGGGGGACGATGTCTGCCTGTGGTTTGAGGAGCCAGCCAGCTGTTGAGGAGGGGTTGGTTGAGCCTGGAACCCTTGGAAATCTAACCGCCACACCACCACACCACCACACACACTACTACCGTACCATGGTTATAGTGAATCTGCGCAGACAGTGCGAGCTCGAAAAGACCTGGAGGCTCAGATAATTCTTTTCCGGCTATGCCTGAAGAGGCACATGTGCTTGCTTCTTCAGGTATGTTGCATATCAACAACCCTTCCCCCTCCCTCTCTCGAAGTCGATGTTGCCGGTACATCCTATCCAGCCTCAGGCCAATTTTGAGACGGTACATGACTTGAAGCGTCACTGATAGCTCTCCACCCTCCCCGAGTCTGTGGCCCACTCCATCAAAATGCTACCTACGCAAGGCGAGTTGCCGCTGTACGATCGCGGGCCATCCTGTAGCTCTCTCCTTCTCTCTCGTTGCACAAAGGGTTCAGGACACGCAGGTTCCCTTGTTCCACAAATAATCGGAGGCGGGCGGTTGGTTGGTAGGCGGTCGAGTTATCGTCATGTCTCCCACCGTCCTTCTCCAGATCAGCCTGCACGGTGGAACGGCGGTCCACTTGGCTCGTCGCATCCTGTGAATACAGTACATCCTTCCAGAAGACTCGCCTGTTGTTTCGGACTCCTTCAAGTCTCTTGTCTGCTCACACGAGTAGAAGCTCTAAGCGACAAAGGGGATGCGTCAGTATCACGCCTTGGTGTCGTCACTTTGTAGACAGGTCTGGGTCCGGAACCTTATGTCTCGAGTGACCGTGACGTAGTCGGAGGGCGATCCCCTTTGGTGCTGCCCGTTTATGCCAGAAGTAATCACAACGGCAAGCCGAGATATCGCGACCAAAGAGTTTTAGTCATGAACACAGAGACAGCATGGTGCTATCCTGGAAGCAATATTGAACCTACCCTCCCATTTTTTTCTTCTCATCTTCACCGGCTGCTGTAAGACCGACATGTCGCACCGTCATACTGTTGTACAGTAAGGACTTCCCATGTCTTTCAGTTTTCTCATATCTGATAGCTCTGGAAGCTTTCGAGTGGTTGGTAACCTTTGCTCTCGCTTGAGATGGTGTACCTAATTTGTGCCCGACCATTACAGGGTAAGGAGGGGCCCGGAATTTTATGTTGGCGAGACTGACCACCATTGTTCCCTTCCATGCTCACACCTTCCCCAACGGAGGCGTCGGTGCCGCAAACTGGCATCGTCAATATTCGAGAGTGATGGGGTGTCGACGCGTCTCTCGTGAGTCGGCATCTTTCTGTTCCATCAGTCATGTCTTCGGATGAACGCCACTTAGCCATGCACAGAGAATGTTGTAGCATATGGTGACAATGTGCATTATCAAACCCCTCGATCCGGTAGAAAGTGAGGTCGTCACGACCGCAACACTACCTGCATGCATCCCTCCCACGAGTGCTAGGCCCAAGGCTTACCTTATTCTCCAACTCAAGGGGTTAAGGACTCATAGACCGGTAAAGGCATGAGGTCACTTGACCCAAGGGCGAGGCTGTCGATGATGACCTTCCCTGGTGGAAGAATCTAGGTCAAAATCCGACACCAACTACGGGTGCAATTCCACAGCTGCGAGTTGGATGGGTGGGAAAGCAGTAGGAGTCGTGTGTGCAGCCCCAATTCCATATCCTCCACACGGATTATCCTCCACAGCAAGATTAGCACAACGATAGCTCCTGACGTTCCTCAAGGGGTGACGTGTCATGAACCTGTAGGGCTTTGGCTTCCACTCCCATGCTGTTCGTTCCAGCCACGCATGTGCTTGTTCAAGACCTTTCATCACAAGTTCCGAGACCGAATATCACAGGACGAAGAATGAGCAGCATCAAATGAAGGTCACTTGACCAACAGGAGGACCCCTCTTCGCCTAGCTCTTGTCGCCTCGCCATACTCCATATTTGTACGCCACAGAAGAGTCGCCAAGACTTGCTGCAGCGACTGCAGCTTCCAGGATTTGACCTTGTCAAAACCCACGGCTTCGTCCCGTCCATCAGCGAGCAACGACACCATCCGCAAGACATGAGACCGCCAGCAGTAACAGAAAGCAGTAGCAGTAGTAGCAGCGTGTAGAATCTCAAGAGTGGCGAAGATGCCCCAGGCATGCGTTGCCAGAGGCACTTCCCGAAAGCATGCTGCACATCCCAAGCCTCAGGCCCGAGAGCCGGTGCACGCGCCTTGGGAAGCTTGCCCACTAAAGGATGGCTTGCCCCGGATCACGGCACTACTACAGTAACAGTAGTAGTAACCCAGAAAAGAGAGAAGACATTGTAGCCAATCTGTCCCTCTCTCTCCCTCTCTCCCTCTCTCCCTCTTTGACTCTTCTCTTCCTGGCCACCAGACCAGAGCCATTGCACTCCAAACGAGATCTTCCCAAGAAGATAAGCGCCGGTAGGCTTGGAAGCCGATACATCGGCCTCACCGCCATTCTTGGAAAGTCTGGTATTCCCCGAACAGTTAGGCGGGCCGGCGACCATCTGACACTCCAATGGCTGGAGAAGCAGTCCCTGGACCATAAGGGCTAGTGAATTACCGTGCATAGCAGGAGAGCAAAGCATGCATGATATAAGTACATGGGTCCGCAAGGCGTGGATGCAGATCCGGACCAAATATATCTGCTCCAAGCACTTGCAGGCGAATGAGCTCCCGGCATCTCCATCTTTTGCTGAACTCTCGAAGTAATGGAGCGGGGTTCCTGTTGATCTGCTTCGTGCTGTCACTGGCAGCAGATGAAGCCTATGTTCTGGGTCGATGTGCGCTCACTCGAGCATCGAACCTGTTCTTGTCCTTTGGTTAGCTCACTTGAGCTCGCCCCTGGCCCGGAGAGGGGAAGCCACTGTCAAGTGAACAAGTTCCAAGAAAATGCAGGAGCAAGTTGCCCGATTGGACGATGATGCGTGTATGTGACCGCCACGCGGGATGCTGTCCAGTACTTTACTTGACGACCGAATGAGAGATAACCCCTGGGTCATCTGGGGGTCACCTGCTCAAGAATCAATGTGGTGCAAGCCGGATCCGTGCAAGCCTTCTTGCACTAATATGTCGTCGACTAGGAACAAAAGGAGCAAAAACCAGGTACAGAGGTAGCTTGGCCGGCACGATCCCGTCTAAGCGGCCACTCACTGTTGTCGTCCCTCGAGGAGAGGAGGAGCGGTAGGCCGGGTAGGCCGGGTACAACAGCCCACCGCTCTCAGAATCAACAAACACGACGCGACATTTACTGATCCCTAACATACCCAGACCTGGATCGCAAACTGATGTGTCGCAAGGAGAGAATAAAATATGAGCCCTGATTCTCCAAGGCGGTCAACACGGCAACTTTTCAGTATCTTGTTTCAGAGCCGGGGCCATTGCCTTGGTATGAACGCCGTAGAAGAAGTAAACCACCTTGGGGGGTTTCACGCTCTAACAGGGCCGGAGATAATGTCCCCAGGTTTGAAAGCATCGTCGGTGGTCGATCCATCTCAGTCTCACAACCCATGGCTGCTGCGTACCTGATGATCCGAGGAGCCGGAAAGGCTGGCCACATGATCGGGGACAGCCGCCTCAAGTGAATGCAGAAGCTGGGTGGAATCCCGCCATGGCGTTTTCCTTGTTTCGACGCACTACCACATCCTAAATCAGCAAGTCTTTTACTTCCCTGGAACATGGTCCGGTCGATGTGCACTTTTGCGTGCGTCACTTGAACATGGCTTCGGAGGTCAGCTGAGAAGTCAATTGCACAAGAAAGTCTGCACAGCAGGAGATGGCGCGATTTTCCCTTTCCTTCCTTCCTTCTTTTTTGGGAACGTCAGCTTGCTGAGGTCAGACGAGGCGCAGAGGAACTGGCTCCTGCCCCAGGGGAGGAGGAGCATTGGCGGCAGGATCGTGCTCTGCACGTCGGAGATTGGTCTTGGGAAAAGCAAGCCATCATCACTGGAATTCCAAGCCGAAGCCGTCGTGTTTTGGACAGAGCAAGGCATCTGCCTTGAAATTTTTATTTTTTTTTATTTTTAAAATTGCTCAGGATTACTTTGTTGAGTCGAATTTGTGTCCCCCCTTCGTAAACCCCTGGCGACATGAGCTTCGGCAGAGCCTCCTGCTCGGCGTCACGGTGTGCTGGGGTGCCTGCCCCCACCACAGGCCTCACCGAGAAAGAATCCACGGGTGGAGAAAGCAGGACTGAGCAGTCTCCAAATTACAGCAGTTCAGACCACACAAATTGGGACAAGAATGGTTGAACGCTGTCCTTGCACGACGTCTGTGGGAGGGATTCCTTCAGCGGCCGTGCTCCCCTCGCTTGTCCCCCAGAAACAATCCCAGGCCCTACAATGCCCGACGAATACTGCCTGTGGGGCCTGCTGGATATCCTGGCTCAGTGGGTTTTTCTGGGGGCGGAGGCGCTGTAGTTCGCTTGACAGCGTCCTTCAGGGGCCCACTCCAGCTCGCTGTGGGGTCGACTTTTTCAGACGCCGGGGTTGAGCTTCTTCGATCTATCAGCATAGCGTTCGATGACGGTGGTGTGTGTGAAACGCGGCTCGACGTCATTGAGGACCAACTTTCTGCATCGTGGAATTGGCCTAGACCGCTTCTGGTCATCTTCTGCCTCAAAAGCTCCGGACGTTTTTGAACGAGACCAGGGGCCTTGACAGTTCGGGCCTTGGTATGTTGTTTGCCCTGCCTTTTTAAACCCCTTCCTTTTGATTGCATTTCACAGCCTCTGATCCGCCCATAGGTTGTCGTGTTCGCTTTAGAGACGTAAATGCAATTGTAATTTGGGGAAAGCGCTGGTCAGACAGTGTGCAGACCATTTCCCGGAATTCTCGACCCACAAAGCTGTTTGGATAACCATTGACCTGGCGTGTGGCTCGATCGACACTGGTCTCACGAACGACCACGTCGCTGAGTGATGCCCACCTAGTCCATCTCTCGTTTTTCTTGTTGACCCCAGGTGATAGACAACATTTTCACCTGCTGTCCCAAGCGGGCTGGAATGGGGCAGGTGGTTTTACTCAACCAGTTCGGAGGTGGCCGCGGCAAGTCCGCCGACTGTTATTCAGCACAGGAGCTCAATGCCCATAGGCTGCTTGGTAGCACGGAAAGCTTTTTTGATTGCGACGAGAAAGATTGCTGCAGGCATCAGCCACCACTAGGATGGCGCACAAGGTAGTCTATTGGCTGCAGAGCCACAGCGGCGCCGCAAGAGCTTGGTTCAAAAAGGCAGGCCCAGTGATGATCAGCGGGCCCGGGCCTGCAGCAGGGGAGGCCACCTTGAGATCCATGCCCTGGGGTTGGCTGGTGGGCGGGGCCGGCATGGCGCTCTACCACCCAGGTCCTTGGCCGCCTAGCGTGCTGCGCGGCATTCCGGTAGACGACATGTCTCGCCGCGCTAGATGACCGGCCGTTGACTACCTGTGGAGGACACAGGCCACACGCCACACCCAGTAACCACCTCCCCGGCCTCTTATTGCAGCGGCGCCACCCTGCTTTCAGTTGGCATGACCCGAGAACAGGATTGTGCCCTCCCCAAGATTGCGATCAGGATCCAGTCGATATTCTCCAGAATGCCATCTCTTGATGGGCGCGCTGCCTTCTCGAGGCCGTTCTAGACGGCATTGTGACCAGATCGGTATGCCGATCAGGGCCTCGTGTCCCTTGTTCCGATGAGTGTTCCTGAACATCGAGTAGTCCCTGCGTTCTTGGCAACGCCAACAAGAGCAAGCCGAAGGAAGCTAGATGTTTGTGACTGCTACCGATCGAGGCGGAGATGCAGATGGGAGGGCAGACAGATAGTGAGGCGTGCTGCCTTGACTGCCGTGCTCAACAGCTACTTACCTGTCATACTGGCACACAAGGCCATCAAACCCCACACTCTGAGGGCGAGATCTCCGGGGCATCAACATGGGATGGATGCATTCCACAGGCGATCTCACCATCAGGTAAGGTTTGGAAGGAGTCGACGATCCCTCGAGAAGCGAGTCCATGTTGGCGACAACGCCAACCGGTGAAAAGACCTTGCTCGGGTTCGTACTATGGTGCAGAGCAGTGGCCTGTCACTTGACGGAAGAAGTGACCGTGCAGGGGGTTTTCCAGAGGAGGAGCGTCAGCCGGAATAGCAGACGACTTGCAGCACCGCATCATTATCGATACTAGGGTCTCGAAGTCTCAACACTTTTGCCGCCCCAGAGTGTAGCCGATGAAGGTTTCCATCCATGCCCTTCGGTCGACGAGTCAGTCCTTGGGGACTGCATCCAACCCAAACGTCCAATGAAGGTCATTCTGCGGTAGCGGACTGCATCGGTACTATGTACATAGTAAGTTGGTTTAGAACATGAATCCCACACGGTTCCACGGGCCATACATGAGGGAATGACGGGCATGCGCTGTCAGCGCAGGAAATGTGCTGAGACTGAACCCCGCGCCGAAGCTTGCTGTCCTTGCATGCGTGCGGTTTAGGCGGTGTCCGTGTTCCCAGACCTCACCAGACGGAGAAATGGGTCTGGTTATACTGAAACAGGGTGTGGAGTGCATACAGTGGTGTTCACAGAAGGTACGTAGCATGCTAACTTTGGGAGGAACAAACTTACTTTTTCTTTAATAAAAAAAAGAGGCCTTGACATGGGTTTTGGATATACTGTACTTTCTCAGTTTGATTCTTCGGCTGAGGTAGTAGTGGGTGGATGCACGAACTAGCCATCCTAGTAGCTCACCCTGGGGACTGTTATCACATACTCCTCGCGTACTTTAGCAGCTTGGAGCATACTGACTAATCAAGCTCGCCCCACCACCACACGTTTTGTTGGTTTTTTTCGTGCTTACCCTCTCGAGTCTAGAGCGCCCTGACACGTGCCCCGCATTACTGGCGGCTGATAAGCCGATAAGATGGCGGGGCCTTTTCGAATGGAGCCAAAAAAAAAAAAAAAAAAAGAGAAGGAAAAGCCACAAAAAAAACCAGACCGATTCAATCTTCACCATTATTACATGATGCGATTTTGTTCGATCTGCAACACGAATACGGTGTGACCTGAGTGAGCCATACGTGCACCTCGCACACACACATTTCCATGTTCGGTCTGAAACATGCGGCACGGAATACTGACTGAGTCTTTGATCGCCTGTCCTTGCTCATTGACCAATCAGACTAGCGAGTTGGAGGGCTGGCCTTTTGAAACACCCATCGATGTCTTTTTCTCGGTGTCCCTTTGGTCCAGCGTGCTGTTCAAAGATCGCTTCTGATCACAGTCCTCATCATGTCACGAAGTGTAGATATCCGGCATTGCTGGCTCCTCTTTCGCGCAGAGTTCATTCGTGATGATCTTTCTTCTCCGCAAAAAGAATGGGAAGGAGGAGAAGCACACATGCACAAATCCGGAAAGCAACGTCTGGGGGAGCCCATTGCATCCCCAGAGTACGTACTATGGTACATTGCATACTCCATGGGGTAGCACCACTGTGTATCGCGCAACATGGGACGATGATGGAGTTTGTTTCGTTCGGGTGGGCTCGAGATTAAGGTTCATGCGAGTTCCACTTTCCTGAGCTGACCTCCTTGGTCCACACTATAATTCATGGTAGAAGCCCGTGTTGTAGCCCTCCCCATGGTATATCGTATAGGCCCCGATTCCTCATGACTCAGCAGTTTGGTCTAGGCCGGCAAATTCAGAGTCAGCCTTTCTGCACACACTTTTCTTTTCTCCTTTGCAACATGGACGGACCTTGAACGGGAATTTACGATCTCGCATTATCGCTGCCCGCTGCTCACCGCCTCCACTTGGTGAAAGATAACCATTCACTGCTAGAAACGTGCCGAGCGGGAAGGTATTAGATGAGTACGAGTAAGAGAGAGGGAGAGAGAGAGAGAGATATCGGCAGGTTTCATGATGGGAAGGTGGTTGCTACGCGAAATAATTACACAGTAAAAACACTTCAGATATAACTAAGCAAAAATCTAGCGACTGTTGTTTCTTCGATGGAATATTGTTGTGCAAAGCTGTCCACGCGGCCTGTGCACACAGGCTCGTACGACTACCATGGTACCATTCTGATCGAGCTTGGGGTGGGGCCATTTTTCTTTCCTTTCCCTTTGTTCTCCGATCCTGTGCGCATCGCAGAGAATCCAAAAGTCTAAAGTAAACTTCACGTCCGGTATAACATATAATAAAGTTAATCAAGGATCGAGGCTGAGCGTGGGAACTTTTTCACAAGATGATTAGATACACGGCCAGGGGGTGTGCGTGGCACAAAAGCGTCGCCTTGCGTTGCGGCTGTATCTCCGCAACCGGGCCCTCGGCTGTGATTGCCCTGGAGCGAGAGGGGAGGAAACTGCAAGCGGGCGGATAAGCAGATCTCGCCACAGATATCGGATCTCCCCCTCCTCCTCCCCATGAAGCGAGCACCTCATTGCGCAGCCTTCCTCGTGTATCGGCATCAGCATGTGGAGACATGTTCTTCTTATCAGCAGCGGGCTCGTACTTGATCGCCGCGGGCTTCTCACATGCATCTGCAAACATCACGCGGTAAAAGAAGAGGGCCAAAGGGGGGGGGGAAGACAAAGGCAAGAGGAAACGGGAATGGTGGTGATTTCGGACCGCTCGGAATGGGGTTTGGAACATCAAGCGCCCAAAATGGCCAAGCTTTTGTTGCACCCCGTATCGCGAGCCTCATTTTGACATATCTAGGGCATATCATGTCATGACGCCGACCTCCGCTGACCTCTACCCGTCCCGCAAGTGGGCCGGCCCACGATGCCGTCAAGACCGATGCCTCTGACGTGCCGGTTGCAGATCGCGGGGCCTCAATTCCGTACTGCGTGCTTGATACCATCGTTGCTATTTGTTGCACGTGGTAATTAAGAAAGAAGCGGCAATAAACTTTGCTTGGCCTGAGACAAGTCTCTTTGATTCTCTTTTGAAGTGGTCCTAACAATCTCGTCAGGAGATCCTTGCGTCACTCACGGCACGGTCATGGCCGGTCAGAAATGATATCAGAAATCAGAAATATCTTGTCATTTCGAACCTTACCTCACCTCCTTGCGGCCCCCAAAATTGACAAAGCCCGTGCTATGGGAAAGTGAAAAGAGAAGAAAAAAAAAGGAGGAGGGGGGTGGGCTGTTCCCGTTGGAGGAGCCATCTCGCGTTCGTATTTGTCTCGTCCTTTTATCAGCATGTTCTTTGTCCGCACAAGCCGGAGCGGCTTGGATCATGGGGTTTGCTGTTTTGCTGTCGGACATTTTGATTCTCACCCTCTCTTCTTATCAATCTGACAAAGCATGAAAAGACCGGTCCGGGCTTGGCCAATTATGCGCCAGAGACATGTTCGGTTTGTAACGCCCGCAGCAAGCCGCCGATCGTTTGTACGAGGTTTCACACAATAATAGAGAATTGAGGTGGTTGCGTGGCTGCGTGGATAAGACGCCGGTGTGAACAGATCGTCAACAAGGTCCCATCGCGTCCTTTGCCGAGCGCTGCTTCTCGGCTCGAGTTGAGATGCGGTGTGTCATTAGCGAACTCCCCTGGTTATGGCGTAGGGACGTCGAGTCTGGAACTCCACAGCACCTAGTACCAGGGGAAGGTCAAACCATTTCGATTTCATGGACTTGGGGGACAATCCAGTGCAACTCTGTTCTATCGTTGTCGCAATAACTGTCCGCAAGCAATCGCGTACATCTCATACGAGTGGTTGCCTGGCACGCTGACATGCCGCCATCAGAACTGCGGCCAATTCTGCGGGGATGGCGTGATATTAAGCAATTCTTCGCCTCCTTCACCAGCGCACCCGCTGCGAGATAAGCGCCCTCCCTTTGTCAAACATCTCTCGCAAAGGTCCACAAGAGAGGAGTATAATAGAATGACTAGGTGTGCCTCATCATGGAGGTGATATCGGCCGGCTATATAGGGGATTGCACAGTAGTGCAGACAAAGTTCTCTCACACTTGGGCGTTGCTGGGTTGATAGCAACAGATGGCGTTGTTCTTTTTTGCAACAGATTCATCTTTGCAGTGGAGCACAACTTCCAGAGGCCAAGCGACGACAACCGTTGTCCCCACCCGGTGTGCAACGGTGGTATCAATCATTGACAAGGTAGAGCCACAGAAGGCCCCCTGGCTCGTGCTGGGTTATGGTCAGAGACCTGGGTCTGGACGACTGTGGAGCACCCGGAAGCTCGGATCCTCGACTCGCTTGGAGCCAATGAAAGTTTCTAAACACCCCTTGGCATGGGATTAAGAGAGAAAACGAGGGGCTCTAGTTGGTGTGTTTTGGATGGCCGATCGATAGAGATCAGAGGTCTTGCATGAGTCTTCCTGGCGAGCGTCCTTGTGTGCTTCTGAGAAGAGAAGGTCTGAGAGAGAATTCTTCAGGGAATCATCTGGCAGGCTGCTCTGATGATGTCTCTTAAATGATTTTCGGCCGTGCGATGCTTTTGAAGCACGCTGGAATTCTCGCTGAACAGGCTTATCCCTGTGTACTGGCCTAGGAGCTGGGATGGTAGTGGCCGCGGAGAAAAAGCTGCATCCTCCTAAGATTAGCGCTGCAGCTTCACGTCGCGGAGCCCCCCAAGAAGGTGCCCTTGATACGATCTCCCATAGGATATCTCTCCGGCTCCGGGACGGGAAAAAGTGCTACATAATACCTACAGCACCGATCCCCGGCAGCAAGTCCAGTGCGGCAGCTGTGTGTGTGTGTGTGTGACTCTGAGAGAGAAACAGAGAAGAAGAAGAAAAAAATACAAAGTACGTACATCAGAGCCAGTGATCCAGAGGCAATGATTTCTGTCGAGACCACGAAAAGACCTTCGGGATTAATGGTCAAGGCTCATTGTAGTGCAGCGAGCGGGCCTAGGGGTCGGACTGCATCAACAGACCTCGTGATGATTTGCAGATGCTGGTCTGAGCCGTGTCAAATCCTTGGATCTCCGAATACCATCTTGGACTGCTTCTGGTATCTCCACTTCCCCACGGTGTTGTCCCCCGCGAAGCAACTGAGAGGAGTAGTCTGGACAAGGTTGAATATGTAATGACCCCAGGATTTATTGATGCTGTCACATAAAGTACTGGCAGAATCGCATGAGCGTTATGATATAGTGTTATTCTCCACAGCGTGTCTGTAGGCCACGGTACTCGGCGCCGCCGTTAAGTGGATCAGCAACTACGTGTTGTGTTGGCAGTCAACAGAGTCGTTGATTCAAGTGCAAGGCCCGCCGTCCCGCCATCTAGGTGGACCGTAGTGTTGACGGTGCAATCACAAGGACAGGAATGTGGTTGGAGTACCGGTGGGCTCTGATCTGCCGGTCTTATGCAGCAGTGCAGTGCCCACAGTGATCCACGACATCTTGACATCAAGTGCAGGCTGTGTAATTCTTTTTTTCTGGTGCAAAGAGCAGTTCAAGATGGTATGCCTGTGGAAGAGCATCAACGTATGCATGCTGTCCGAGACAGGACAACAGAGGGTCTCACAAAGGGCCTACTAGGTTGCCGCCGGAGGAGAATCCAGGCGGCAGTTTGCATCATAAAACCCCGCAGCGACAACGGCCTCACTTTGCCACTGTGGCAGCTGAGGCAGCTGAAAAGCCTGGCGCCTTCAACGAAAAGGTGTTTACTGGTCCGGGCGTAGGCATAGCGGGAGAGACGGGCTTCTTTACACACTCGTGCTGATTGAACACGGCGGCCACCAGAGGTGGTTGAAGCTAGATCGAAGAGCAGCTTTTATCAAGAAGCCACGCAGATACGAGTATTTCGGCAGAGCAGCTCACTGGTGCCGCAATAGTTATGGTGTGGTGCTGGCACGGGCAGTAAATGAGAACTCAAAGTGTATAGCCTCTCTGTCTCTCAGCCTCTTCTCGTTGATCTCCTGCTGTCCATAGTAAGAGGTGGATCGAGAGCATGCTGCCTGTTCGGGATTAGGCCCGAGCTTTGACTTAAAAAAAAACCATGTTGATAAAAATGGCTCGGTAGGATCAACTGGGACGGCTGCACTGTGCGCCCAATCCTTCCAAGTGTCAGGCTCTGCAGTGGGATCAGTCCATCGAGAGTTTAAAAGAGACACGTTGGCTGACCCGTAGCCTCGCATGATCTGCTCGTGAGTTGACCTGACTGGGAGAGTGACTGACTGACTGACTGACTGGAAAGCAGGAGCTGGAGGAGGACCGGGGTGGGACTGCGCCAAACCTGGGGATCCGGAGCTTTCCTGATGATCAGCAGACAGTGAGGCTCTGGGGCTGATGCTGGATCTCACTGTCATGGTCCGAGAAAAGATGAAACACATCCTGTTGAACTCAGTTGATCATCTAGATTTAGTCTTGTCTTACCTGTACCCTTTCTCTCCTTCCCCGTCGCCTGCGACGTGTTCGTCGGAGAACGCGCCTCCTGATTTCTCTCTCTGCGCACGCCAGCCGCGCAATTCGTGCCGCGATAGTAAATTGTATTTCCATCCATGCTCTCGGAAAGGGACCAAAAGGTCTGGATAGCGGCAGAGTCCGAAGAAGACGAATTAGCGAATGAGTAATGACCGTGGAATATGCCCATGTGCGCCGATGATTCGATGGAGGATCCGCCCTCCATGCGTCTGTCGGCGACTCAGCATGGGCGGCTTCCCTCTGCAGTCTGCGTGTTGGCTGGTTTGTTAGTGGGTACAAAGGCAGGCAACTGACATTGGAGTGCCTCACACCGCTAAATATGGAGCAGGCACAGCAGCTGGCGGCCTAGACCGTCGCCCCTAGAGGGCCCAGCTTAACAAGCGCGCAGAGCAGCATCTGAGACCGCAGCCCACGGGCCACAGGACGACGTCATTGTCCAGGCGTGCGTGCTGTCATCAGTGGACCTCTATCGCCTGTGCCAACCCTGCCCTGGCTCTCAGAGGCTGGGAGCACATACCTACATGACAGGTCCAAGAATTCTTCAGCGCTGACGATGCCTGTTTGTTGTTGAGAAGACAGAGAACATTTCCCATAAGACACATAATCTACAATAGCCGTGATGAGCGGTCAAAGTGGTCGGGCAGAGAGGGGTTCGCATATGCACACCTGGCCCCTCTGGTTCCCTTGAACCCCTTCTGCAGCGTATCTGCGGAACCAACTCAACAGGTGTGGGATCTTGAACCACCGATGGCCAATCCCCTTACCGGTGGATCACTAGGTCTGCGGGAAGGGCCCATATATTCAAGAGCGTCTGCAGCGTCTGCCCCTCCGTCTTCCAGTGCCTTGAATACTACCTTGACAGCGTGTTGACCCATGGAGAGCGCGGAGATTTGCCCACTGGATCTGGAAAAGCGGAAGACAGGGCGACGTGGACAAAGACGCATGGCTAGGCGTGTCGTTGGGGTAAAGGCAAAAAAATTTCAGTCTTCCATGCGTCTTCCATCCAGTCGTTGTTGTTGGGAAGTGATGTTGGCATTGGGAGGACTAGAAATTCGGGAGAGCGGCATGAACAGGTCAGAGAGGTAGGGGAGGCAAGAATCATGCTCACCTCTTGCCACGACAGCAAGAGGAAGGTTGGGTGGCAGGCCTGTGCGTCTGTGTACATGGTGAGCTTCTATGCAAAGAGGCAGCCAACACGGCAGCTCTTGAGAAGAGGGAACGAAACGTAACAAAAAGATGCAGTCTCAAAAAGATGAAAAGAAGCTCGCGCAATGGTACGTGATGGAGCTCGTGGTGTTGGATCAACATGCCATGGTGAGTGACAGGTACCACGGAAATCCTGTGGGAGGGAGGAAGAGCGATACAGTGCGAAACGGTGCTATTTTAACATGGCTTTTCTTTTCGTTGTCTTTACTTCTTTTCTTTTTCCCTCTCGATTTTTATTTTATTTTTATTTCCGTCTGTCTTTTTTTTCCTTGGTTTTTGGCCCACACCCTGGTCCATGCTAGGGATCCCAGATCCTACCCCAACTTCAAAAGTCCAAACCCCATCAGATTCCCTGTTCAAGTACTTGACTCCACTAGCAAGCCCCCCTGTCAGTGGAGGTCCCAGGGACCTTGCTTGTGCCCTGCTTCCTTGTCTGGGTACCCTTCTGGGCTCACCAGTTCGACTTCCTTGGCGACTTCCTTGGCAACTTTGGCAAGGCAACTACTATGTACCACCAGAAAGTACGAAATGCAGTGGTGGGAGAGTACATGATCTAGCAGCACACACCACCCCTTCTTTAGTAGGTTTCCTCTGCACAGGCCTGTGCGCCCCCCAAACAAACCAGTCTCAGTCTACTCCTAGCACTGAGATAGCAGCCCCCCACCAATACCTACCAACCATCCAAGCACATCCCCATCCTGCACTTCCTCCATCTCAACAACAAAACACTGGCGATTGTGTACCCATCCTGTGGCAACTTAAGCGATAAATTCTTTCTCATTGTCTTTCTCAAGGAAAAACGTGTAGACCATGTAAGTACCATTAGGAAGTATTCTATTCATGCCCTCTTGGAACATGCGTTGTCCTGCCTGGGTGGGAACTAGGATTTTTAAACTGCGCATTTTGCTTAATTTTTTTTTGGTTGTTGACAAGCGCTTGGCCCTGTAGCGTTGGCAGGAGTGGTACCCCAGATAACCCCAGCGCAACAAACTCAACTGAACTAGGCACACCCCTACCGCTTCTGTCTGGCCACACCTCCTCTCCCCCTAGGCTGTGGGCTGCACACATTCCTGCCATTCAAAACCAAGGCCGTTCCCGCACCTCCCGTACCCAAAGAGCCTCCCGTTCCTCTCTTTACTCTCCCTACCCTCAACTTGCCTCACTGGCATTCTCTATCCCGTCCTATTTTCTTCTTTCTCTTCTCCTCTTCCTTGACGACAAGACAATCGAACCTCACGGCTGTCGCTCTGTCTTGAATTCTTACCCTATTGTCTCAGTTCCCACCCGCTACTTTTACGAGTGACTGACGACAGTGACGAGACGAAGCCGGCCAGCCCCAAGCAGAAGAAGGACGAGCCAGGTCATATATCCACACTGTTTTTGCTTCCTGGTCCACTTTACGTCCTGCCGATATCGAACGACTTGATCTGTCGAACGAACAGCGTACATCACCGCACCCCCCGGCCGCGACAACTCATCAGGACCCAAGAACGTCGCCTGTCGGACGTTTCCTTGTTCTTCACCTAGGAAAAAGAGCGGTGGAAGTCCTCTTGAACCACACCACTCGTCGAGCATCCTTATTCGTCGTGAAGCAACACGAGAGAGGAAACCAAGGTCTTACAAAAAGTCCTACTCTGGTCGAAATCGATCACCCCAACCTCCTCAACGTCACGTTCTGTGACAGATCCATCTCCCCTCCCAAGAACAACTCGAACTCTCGTCACCTCGACGATCGAGACGAGTTGCCACTCAGACCTTGCTCTTGCACTTGGTTAGATCTTTTGCTCAGTTGCTGGAATATTGCCTGGGTAATCCTGTCGCCTTGTCTTGCTGCTCGTCCCATCCACCTGGTGAGTACCTTCCGGAATACTTCTTATTGCCCGGATCGACCTTGCCGTTGTAGTGAATGCTGCCACCCTCAAGGCCGGCCAGTCATCGAGTCCGGCCCTGTCACTTTTCCCTCTGCTGCAAATGACGGGACCTTCTCCCCAATAATCTGCACGCTCTAAATACCACTTGGCTGTCCCCTTCCAACGGCATCTATCCTCCCTTCGGCTACTTGGTCGACATATCACTTGTGCTCTTAGGATACGAGACTAATTTGGCCTCAAAATATAGACACGCTTTTATTCCGACGGCCAGCCTCATCAACGGCACCTACTCAGGCTTATGCTTCGTTGATCTCGCCCTCGACAATCTCTCATCCTTTGGCTTGCGTTGTTTCGCACTCGCCTTATTCAACCTTCTCTTCCTCCCTCCTTCATTCATTGTCAGCTTCAGTCGCTGGAATGCCTTACACGCCCCCCAGCAAGTCGCCTGCCTCGTCAGCTCCCACCTCGCCCGAAGCCAGTCGTCGATCATCACTTCAGAGTTCGACAGGAAGCAATCGCCCTTCGTTGCCTCGGTCAGCCTCGTATCTGACCCGGCACAGGAGAACGCCTTCGGCGGTGGGATCTCACAATGGCCCAATAAACCAGCCCTCACCCGAGGCCACCTCGGATGACCTCAAGAGCCTGTTCAACACCAGCGTGCGGCAGTCTCCGCCGCCCATCACTGATGCCAAGTCGTTGCCAAAGGGTGCCGTTATCTCGCCACCCGAGTCATCCACATCGAGTGACGAGGACGATCTCCCCGAGCTTCGTGGCCGGCGCATCGACAACCTGAAGGAGCTGCAGGAGGCCATCAGTCAGATACCTCAGCACCGCGAGGTCTCTCCAAAGTCGCAAAAGGAGCCCGAAGTTGAGGATGTCATCGTCATGCCCCTGGCCCAAATCCAGAAAATAGGTGAGGCGATGCATCACAGTTTCAGCACTGGTTCTTTGGACAATCTGGCACCCGCATGGCGGGCATCGCATAACAGATCCGTGTCGGAGGTGCAAATGTCCAAGTCAGCAGAGGCATCAGAGGTCAACTCTTCAGACGATGAAGATATTCCTCGGAAGCCTCAGATGGTTCGGAAGAAGTCAGGCGAGCTTGTTCGGCCTGCATTGCGACCTGCCTCGCGGCGTCGACCCTCCAGCATGCCCGGAACTCCCACCTTTTCGAAAGCAGTCCACTTTGATTCTCACCTCGAACACGTCCGCCATTTCCTCCAGGTCGATCGTCCCCTGGCTGTCAGTGCAGGCTCCTCGCCCGTCGATAACTATGATAGTGACAACGAGTACCCCTTCGGCGTGAATGATAGGCCCGCGAACCGGGGTCCACCCTTTGAGTGGGAAATCATCATCAACAATTTCCCTGTGGACACCCCTGCCCGCAAGGCTCAACCTGTTCGCCTGGAGCGGGTATGGCTTTCTAATGACCACAAGTTTCTGATTGGTTCTGTCGCCGTGGCCAACCTTGCCTTCAACAAGTCTGTGACCTGCCGCTTCACTCTGGACTATTGGAAGACAACATCCGAAGTCAACGCCGAGTACATGTGTGAGATCACCCCCCGGATTTCTGAGCAGAGTCACGACAGATTCAACTTCAGCATCAAGCTCTCCGACCTCGCCAACCTGGAGACCAAGACGCTGTACTTTGCTATCCGGTATAGTGTCAACGGCCAGGAGCACTGGGACAACAACAGTGGCACCAATTTCCAGGTCGATTTCCGCAAGAAGATGCTTCCGCAGAACGGCAAGAGAGGCGTCATCGGTGCTGCCAACAGACCGGCCAATGGCTTGCCACGGAGCCACAACCGCAGGTCTAACTCGTCTGTGCCGCGGCCTAAGTCGATGCCCGTCGGCTTCGACGACTTTGGTGATAGTGGAAAGGTCAGCTTCGACCAGTCCATTCACGAGTACCTTGGCGAATCTGCTCCCCCACTCCGCCTGAAGAACAACAAGTCGACACCGAGCGTTCCCAGCGACAATCTGTCGACTCGCTTGTCAGCACCCAGTGGTCAGGCCTTCGCCAACCGCTACGACTTCGGTGCCTCGCTCTCAGCCGCGATGCAGGCCGCCAAGGACACCATGGTCAAGCCAGAGTCACGACCGGGCCGCAAGATGGCACCGATCATGACCACTGGCCAGGCCAAGCCACTGTCCAAGGACGCCAAGCCTGCTGTCGCGAATCAGAGCCCGGCAGCGACCCTCAACACGTTGGCAACTGTTCCTGGTACTGGGTCCCCCGGAGCAGCGAGCATCGCGTCTTCATCGTACGAGGAAATTGTAAATAAATACTGCTTTGTACGTACCTAAAGATGAGATCTCTCGCTCCCTCAACAACCCAGCGCCGGCAATGGTCGCGTAAGTTGCAAATTCGGTGACGAGTACTAACACATGATTGTGCAGTTTGGATCCAAGCAGTCCAGCCCGCAGCTTCACGATGGCACCATCCAGAGCGGTAAATACGATGGCTCGGACGATGCCTTCACAATCCGAGCCCCGGGTCACAGCTCCGGCCCCAGCCCGAATGGCAGCCCTTTTATCCTCGGCTCGCTCCAGCGTGCCAATGGACCTCAGCAGCGCCAGAGTTCGTCGGAGTCCAACCCATACTTCCAGCACAATGCTGCTCTGGTGGCCGTAGGAGCCTCACCCAATGTCTCTCCACTTGGCAATACTATCATCCGGCCGGGCAGCCCCTCTGGTAACCTGCGAGCTTCGACCTCGGTGCTGGGCCAGCCCTCTGGGCATTCGGCCTCGCCAGCGCCTATGGTAGGTGGCTTCCAAGCCTTCACTGGTACGTCGCCACATGAGCTTGCGAGTTACAACATGCATGATCGATTTCCGTTCTTCGGTGGTGCCGACGCTCATGCTGCCACAGCTATTAGGGGCAATTAACGGTTGACTTGGGGCCATATCCTCGTTGTACATGCGGCGGCCCAACCATCCATCCACTGGTGGTGCTGTCCCTCGGTATATGTTGAGCGACTCATGTCAGCAACAATAATTCTCATCATGCATGGTTCTTCCGCCAGGGCCTCGACGACAAACACAATATGGACTGCGCGCGTCTTACTTTTCCACGCCTTCTCATCTTTTGACCGGATTGGCGGCATTTTCAACTTGCTGTGGTTCTTTTTTTCCCCTTTCTTTTTCTCGGCATCTCGGCAATTGGCGTTTGGGATATGAAGCGAGTGATTTTTATCTCGGCATTATCGGACTCAGGCCCAAACAAACACGACTATGGCGGGCGCTGAAAAAGGGATACGGATGGGAAAATTCGGTGTAACGGTCGGATCCAACTGATCCTCAAAAATGGCGTTTTCGTGGTCTGATACCATAAGGGCTCGCTGGTGGTCTACTTGTTTTCATCTCTTGTGCTCACTCTCTACTACTTTACTCTGCATCCGGGCTTCTCGACTTTGCTAGCGTTGTTGTTGCTCCTGTACTGGTGCAGGGCAGTGTGGCCGGCATTATTCTTGTTTTATCCAGAAATTGGTTGCCTGAAGGGACAGGCAATGGGTGTAGTATGGCACAGTTTATGGCACAATTAAAAATTACAAGAACTCTTCATAACTTCTCAGGTGAATATGTGACAACGTACTGCTCTCGTATTTCATTTCATCCCAAGAACTTGTCTAGTCACTCTTCTTTGGCTCGTCACAGGTACTGCAATTTGAACATATCAAACCGAGCCGGATCAAATCATGATTGAAGACGGGAGGCTAGGTAGGACATAGTCTCAGCAGTCTCACAGGTGAGTTGAGTCCCGTGTACGCGAGACATAAAACGCTCCACGAAGAAGGGTGGTGTCCAATGCGTATGTAGGACAAACAAGTCATAGACTCTCGGTCTGCGACGCGGTGTCATGTCCAGTCCCGAGATGTCGAGTTCGTTGTCCATCCTAGATAAGCCAACCTGTTTTTGTGTGCTAAGTGACAATGATTTCATGCCTGGTGGTGTGAGAGGATGTGCTCGGCCACTTTGCCCGGTCGAATATTTGGCTTGCTAGCCCACCGGAGAAGGAAAAAGGGTAGACGGATGGAACCGGCATCGTCGACTCTGGCAAGAAAAAAAAGCGATCTTGACTGCCATCACTACCGGCCGTCGAGGCCACCTCGTAGCGAGATTGAGGGCAGATGATTCTTTCACCAAGGGGACATGTTATCACATAGCTCTCCAGTATCCTTGCAGGAGCACATAGGGAAGAGGAAGAGAAAGAAGAAGATGACAGGAATAAGCAGACTAAGCTCTGTATGGAAAGCCGACACGTAATGTCTGTCAGCAACATGCCTGCCTGTCTATCCATTTTCTGTTGCCTAGCCATTTGTGTTGTGACGGTTCCTTCCTCGGAACGCGTCCTTGAATCTTTGTGTCCTCGGTAAGAGTTGTTTTCGTCGGGTAGGGTTGATGACTTATCGTCCGGTGGTGATACGGTACTACAGTCTGCCCAACTTCCCCCCCCCCCCCCTTTCCTCCCAACCTCACCAAACCCAACCACAATAATCTTCGGGCATTTCAGAACCCGAATGCACGTGTTCTTCTGGCATCCCGTCTGTAGCCCACCTTGAAAAGGATCTATTTTCAAGGCTACAATGGGACGTCCCAGCCATCCCGTCGTTACCGACTTTCTTAACCTTACAGGCGACTTCATCCACACCCTCTTAGCACAAGGCAAGACGATCACGCCACAGGGACAACAACAAGAAGGAGGTCTCCTTATAATACCATGGACCAGGCAATTCGAAAACCAAGTGGAACAGCTCACCACACAATCCTCGCAAAATGAAAAGGATGGACGACGAGGTGAAGGAGGAGGAGAGGTCCCCTCGGTGGACGAGGCGAGGAGGGCCTGCTGGAAGATTGGACAGGATATCCTGATCCGCCTGCGACGCCAAGAGCAGCAACAGCCTCCGACGGGACGAGGAGGAAGAAGGGACGGTAGTGATGCTATCCTCACGCAGACAGACATTCAAGTGCTTGGGAGACGGCTACGCGATATCAGAGAACGCGTGGGTTTGACGACGCAGGCTGGTGATTCAGATAGGTAGGTTCTTTGCTCGACAGCCAGATCCTTTCCCCCATCTCGATATACATTTGAACCATTCATTATACCCTCTTGTATGATATATGATGCTTACACACAAAAACCTCCCCCCTCTCTTTTGGTACAGTATCAGCGCTGCAGAGCTCTCCCATGCGCTGCAGGATGTCCAAGTCGCAGACGCCCGGCCCAACACCACAGGACAAGAGCACGCCAACGATAAACCAAGCTCACGAAGTGGGCCGCAGAGCGTCGTCACCGCCATGATGGGAGCACCAAGGCCGAAAGTGAGCCAGGGCCTGCTCCAGGACTTCATCCTCGAGAGCCTGCAATTCAAGTCCATGAACTACCGGGAGCAGGGCATCGCCCAGGCCCATGGGTCCTCGTTCGAGTGGATCTTCAACGAGAGCAGCGTCGCGGGCCACTCGGCAGCGGCGGGCGGGATGGAGAACCTGAGCTTTCCAAAGTGGCTCTCGACGTCTGAGCTGGGCAATATCTACTGGAGTAAGGTTGATCTTCACCCCTGGAGGGAGAGAAAGAGAGCTGCTGCAGCGAACTGACTTTGGTTTCTTTCTTCCGCCCTATCAAAAAAGTCACTGGCAAGCCTGGTTCGGGCAAATCAACCCTCATGCGATACCTCTCCATCCACGCAAACACGATACGCTACCTCCGTACATGGGCGGGCGACTCGGAGCTTATGGTCGCAGGCTTCTATTTCTGGACCAGCGGGTCTGAAGAGCAGCGATCGCAGACTGGCCTCCTGCGGTCCCTGCTATACCAACTGCTCTCCTCACAGCCCAGCCTGATAGCCAAGGTGTTCCCAGAAAAGTGGCAGAAGCTGGGCGCGATGACGACCAAGGATAGGATCGCGACCACGCTCGAATGGACGACGCCTGAGCTAATCGAGGCATTCAGGTCGTTCCTCGACGCCGAGGTGGAACAGGCCGCCAAGATCTGCCTCTTTGTGGATGGGCTAGACGAGTTCGATGGAGACCATGAGACCATCATCCACTTCTTTCGCGATGTGGCCGAGGGGAGGCATGCGTCGCGGGTCAAGCTGTGCCTCTCGTCGCGACCCTGGGAGGTCTTTGAGCGCGCCTTCGAGTACAAGGTGCCCAACCTGAAACTGCAGGCCTCGACGTCCCAGGACATGCTGCGCTACACTATCGACAGGCTAAGCCAGAATGACAAGGTGCGCCAGGTGATGGTCCAGGACCCCGACCTCGCGAGACATCTCGTTCAGACCACCGTCGAGAAGGCAAGTGGGGTCTTCCTCTGGGTGCGGCTGGCGGTGCGAGAACTCCTGCGCAGGTTCGACAATGACGACAACGCCAGGGTGGCAGACATGCGCGACTGTGTGCTTAGCCTGCCGACCGATCTCGACGAGCTGTTTGAAGTGCTTGTGTTCAAGAACCAGTCGGAAGCCCAGCTGGCCGAGTCGTCGAGGCTGTTCCGGCTGGTCCGCGCCAGGGAGTTCGTCGCCGATTTCATCAAAGACGACTCGGCCACCTCCCTGTCGCTCTGGGAGCTTGCATTTGCTCGCAACGGCGAGACAGATGATGCGCTCGTCCTTGAGGGGCGCTCTGTGCAGCAGGAAACCAAGGACGCCGTGACACAACGCTGTGTGGACACTCGCGACTGGGCCCTGCGCCGCTCAGTTGGTCTTCTTGACGTGCAGGCGCTGCCCAGAGGTGGGAATGCCTTTGCTCGGCCGCGATTCGCACAGGACAAGGAGGCGCCTGAGGCCGAGGAGTTCACACAACACCGGGTCACATATCTCCACCGAACTGTCCGCGACTGGCTCATTCTCTCCGCCGATAATTGCGTCTGGACCCGGCTGGAGAGTGCAGACAATGGGCAGGCGGCGGACCCGTTCGATCCTCATCTCCGCCTGCTTCGATCGTACGTCCTCCAAATGAAGCACCCTGTGGAGGAGCCCGAGCAGCACCGACGTCTGGACGAGTGGTATCCCGGCATTGCACTCGCCTTGTCGCACGCGCGTTATGTTATGCACGATCCTGGGTGCTTGGAGACGAGATTCATCAACGAGCTGGAAAAAACCATCTCGTGGTACTGGCGGTCGAAGGGCACGGGATTCAACGACCACTGGGCCCGCAACTGTTTCGGCACGTACGAGGAGCGGCTGGGACGCAAGCTTGTGATCCCCTATCCCTTTTTGACTCTCTGCACCAAGTTTGGGCTGCAACGATATGTGCTCGAGTCGCTCGATACACTGGCCGAACTCCCTCCTGAATCCCACCTGGAGACGCAAAGTGAGACTGAGCCCGATCCAAGGATAGACCAAATCGGCCAGGATGGTGGTCAGGTGGAGGGAACTCCGTTGTTGCACCGAGCCCTAGAGTTCCTATGCTCCCGGCAGAAGACCATCTACCCTCTGTCCACTCTCTCCTTGGTGCGCGGGCTCCTAGAGTACTCGCACAAGTACCCGTCACACAATCTTCTTACGCCGCTCATCGGAAGTCCGAACCAGGCCTTCAGCTCGACGCTCCTCAAGAGGAAAGATGTCACGCCTTGGATCATGGCCCTCCGGCACGTCAGAGATGCTAAGCGGAGAGGGTGGATTGAACCTTTTGAGACAGACCCGGCTGGCACCGAAAGGTGGACTTCGATCTTGAGATGTCTGTTGGTCACCGGAGGCGCAGACAGAGGAGCCATCATTAAGAAAGATCAGTGGGATCCCGAGGTCACTGCAGCAGGGGTGTTGGGACGCGGCGGTCTTCTCGAGTCGTTTGGGGACTTCTGGGTCGAGAACAAGTTGGTACCAATGTTGACCGACGGGGCGTAGAAAGTCTTAGACGGACGGGTGATGGTGTGTAGCATTACATACAATATAAACATCACTCTTCATAAAAGCTAGACGTGCTAGAAGAAACCCAAAACACCGCCCATTGATTGTGATAATCTAGTACGCACTACCTCGTCTCGGTACGCTCTCTGAATTATGTCGCTGTCTGCTGCTGCCACGTCTGGACGAGCTCACACTCTCCCGCCGGCCCTCGCTCCAGATCCGAGTCGTGTGCGAACTCGACCCGCTTAGGTGTCTGGTGTGGGTATTGTTGAAACGGCTCATCGGTATGGATGTCATATCCTCCACGGACTCGTCGTCAGCTTCCGATATCAAGAATGTCTCCCGTGCAGAGCGTCGAGGCGTGCCAACCGCGACGCCGACCTGGCTGGGGCGCAGACTGCTCCTCGGCGTGTCGTCGTCGGGAAGCCAAAGACATCCGGGTTCGTAGATGGGCCCGAGGCTGGTCTCGGGCTTTCGGATCGAGGAGTGAGACAGCTGCATAGAAAGAGACCGTGGTCGCTGCGGGGTCCCAGGCGCCGTAAGGCCAGAGATGGATGTGTGTGTGACGCTGCTGTTTTTTGTTGTGGAGAAGGGCAGCTGAGATTGATGGTGGCTCGCAAGCCTGCTGTTGCCCTTTCGATTTCTCTTTGGGCGCAGGAACTTCGGAACAAAGGTCTGGTACATCTTGCGCTGGAAGGTTTTCGTTGTGCCAAAGACGACGAAAGCCAAGAGGCTGGGAGATACACCAGAGAGGTAGCCCGTGACGGTCTTCATGGCCCGCGTTGTGGATAGATCGGGAGCGCTCTCGTTGGCCGCCTCGACGACACGGTCTTTGGCAGACAAGTGAGGATTGATATTGGTCCATTCAAAGACACTGTGATGGTCAGCCATAAGAATCCTGGAGTCAACCATTTGAAATGTCTCAAAGAAACCCGAGACTAGTATCGTCTAAGTCTGCAAGAGGGGGCCGTGTGAAGGAAATCAACAAGATGCATACCATAGCGTGGCAAAGGCTATGCTGAGCCTCACTACGAGCCACCTGTCAAAGGTTGCGCTCCCAGGTCTGGAATCGGAAAAGGCTCGACTGCGGCGGCTGTTGAGGGTAGACTTTCTTGTCGTGGACGTCGATTGTGCAGCTTGGCCATACTGCAAAGTTTGCCACGTTTTCAACTGCCACCGACTTTGCAGGTATTTGACGAGAATCATGAGAAGGAAGATGCAAGATCCAAACAAGCTGGTGACAACTGCATTTCTCGTCAGCGCGTCCGGCTGGACCTCGACATAGGGGATCTGGGCGTACGTTGTGCATTCGCAATGACCCCATAGACGGTAAAGCTTCGGTGAGTAAAGTCTAGTTGGAGTAAAATAATGGATATCACACCCAGGACGATAGGTACGACTCGTCCAACAATGGACATTGTTCGTTGGATTCGGGGATTCTTTGCCCACCACCCGTAGACGGTCGAAGCTAAAGATAACGAACTGGGATGGCATGTAAGCCGCGGCAAGATTCGGACGGGGTTCGCATCGGGAGGCTGGAACCTACAAGAAGAAGACAAGGGATGCCTCTACCATGAAGGCGAAAGAACCTACGCATACGGTCAAGTCAGTTCACAAGAACGTCCAAGAATGGTGTAAAGATACGCACGAAGATAGGCCAGCGCCAGTTTCAAACCGAAGATCTCGTTCTGATACTGGACTTCCGCATCGGTCTCATGGGCTTTGCCGTAATGAAATTGCCATGTCATGATATCTCGCCACAGTATATAATCGTATAGCTGTTGTACCAAGCTCGAGACCGTGGCCAGGAGGGTGAAGTAGGCAATGAAGGCCACATCTGACAAAAGGGGCCATGTGGTTAGCCATGCGCTGCAACAGCAGGACGAATGTTTCCCAAAGAAAACCCAACTCACAGCCAGTCCTCTCACGGTGAATCCAGATCAGCCAAAGCAAGACACAGTTCACAATCAGACAAAAAAACGAATAGATCAAGCAGCCGACAGCATCGCCCAGGACGCTGTCAGGAAGCTGAAAGGCTCCCATCCCACGCTACTGTCCTGCGGCAAGAGGCATGCTGCAAGACAGGAGCTGGCTATAGGGCGCATGAGATTTCAGATGGAAAGGGAGAAACAAGAAGAATTAAGCAAGACCGAGAGAGATGAAAAGCACGCGGCTGAGGAAGAGGAGGGCCCAGAGCCACGTTTTTCCCTCGTTGGAGACGACCAGGATAATTACACAGTAGTGCAGCTCCGAGGTGATCTCCTTAACTCCTGAGCAGCTTCATGGGCGCCGGAGGATTTTCATGGCAGCTCCACGTCCATGGAAGAGAGCCCGCGTGTGGTCTACCCTGGTGCATGCTGCAGATCTGAGTCCACCGTGTTGATACTTTGGGTCAGCACCTGCAGGGTCCGGTAGGGAGACTATGCCAAGCTGGGGATCCAGAGCGATGCACGATGCAAGTTGAAGTGGTGACGCCCGCAAGAAAAAGAAATTTGCAGATGAGCCCTGTCCATATAGAGAACGCCAGCCACATCCGAGTTGGGCAAGGCACATGCACAATATGGCTATCTTGCGAAACAGGATTGAGTAATGTGCGGCTGTGGGCCACGCCGTCCCTCCATCAAACAATTCCAAGCCAGAACCAAACCAGGCCAGGCCAGAGCGTCCGTCATTAGAGTGGATCGAGCAGAGGCAGTTGGGGCCTCTGTAACAGGGTCCACCACACGTGTGATGGACAGGGTGCTCGTATCCTGTAGCCCACGGCCAGCATGTCGGAACCAAGGCCTTCTCTCCTTCATGTCCGCTCGAGGTTTAGACCGTGACTGGGGATGGTGATCCGGCAGTCGAACCGAAATACATCCGCACGTGCTCCGATGCGTGATCCACCAACGGTGGGTCGCCCCCTCGGCCCACGGACCTATCAAGGCTGTACATAGTACCGACTTGTTGATGTTTAGAACCAAGTTGCAGGTCTGGGACATGAATACGAACATGAGACGTAGTAGCGGGCATGGATTCTGAAAGCAATACTGCATTTCCTGAGCCTTGCGTTGACCGTCTCACACATTTGCCGGGTCAGCCGAGTCTGGACGGCCACTCGCTGTCGGAGAAGTGAACGACATAAAGCAACCTTTGCGGGACAAAACAGACTGTTCTGGCCTGGTCCATGGTAGTCTGATGAGGTGAGGAGAGAGAAGGGAGAGGGAAAAGGAGAGTTGGCGAAGATTGCAGTGGATCAGTGGGATTGTTGGGGAAGAAGGGTCGAGGACGTGGTTCAGAGCTCAATTCCTTGCGGGCAGCTCGGTTAGAATTGCTGAGTCAGACTTGCCGAGTCACAGCTTCCCTTGGCGACTTCCATACTCAATTGAGTACCGATCACTACAATTGTACTATGATGGTTATCGATAGGATGGATAGTGGATGAACCCCGCTGCCACAAAAGCGTCCTCAGCGCCTGTAACCTCCCCAAATTATCATCTGAAACAAATCTTGATGCCCTGTCACTAGCGACCACGTGGGGGCGGCTTCAACTGATAAAGGAGCAAATCAAGACCCCTGCACAAAGAAAGAAAAAAGCATCATCAAAAGGAGAAGAAGAAGAAAGAAAAGACGCAAAAAAAAGAAGCTCGACTCAGGTGCTGCTATGCATATTATGGTAGTACCATATATGGACCACCCCGTTGTCATATTGCGACACTCTAAGTTTACGGCATTGCGACGTTAGAACATTACGAACCGTGCTCAACCAGAGCCAGAAGTGGAGGCTCTGAGGATCCGCGCACAGGATCTTGGGAGGAGACGGGCAATGGGTCCAAAGGGAGGACTCGTTGTGGAGGATCCCGACTTTGTCCCACTCATCCCGAGAGCATCTGCCCTCTTCAACGCAATCTCAACCATCCAGTGTGGCAAAGGAATTGACTTCCTCCTTCCGAGATAAGCTTCAATATTGACGAAGGAATGTGGGAGGCCGGCGGCATCTGGCTGCTCCTCGACTGGGCCAGGTACAGCCTCGTATCCACACTCAAAGCTTTCGTCTTACTCGTGCTGTGGGCGCTCTTCGTTGCAACCTATCGCCTCACACTCCATCCTCTCTCTCGGATCCCAGGACCACGACTCGCTGCCATCTCGTCTTGTTGGTATGCCTACCATGTGCGCAATGGACGCATGCTCCCCCTGGGCAGGTCAATGCACCGCCGTTATGGTCCTGTCGTGCGAGTCGCTCCCAACGAGGTGTGGTTCGTCACCAAGGAGGCCTTCCAGATGATTTATAGTGAGCCATCTGATATTCCTTATTATCGGATTATACTTTCTCCATTATTCCCAAAACTCATGATCATCATGCAGGCCCCACAAATGGCTATGACAAGTCCGACTTCTATTGTATGTGCGCGCAACTCATCCCATCCCATCCCACGTGTGCGTACCCTGGATGATGCAGGGGCTGATTTCAGACGAATTGGGCCGTCATGCAGTGGCCACGGCTCTGCTCAAACCAAAGCTTGGGAGGGACTTCCGTCTCCAGTCTGCTGATACGCTGGATCTTCTGGCCGAGCGTGATATGAAGCGCTATCGTCTACAGAGGAGACTCATCGGGCCCATCTACCATATCAATAACGTCAAACAATACGAGCGCGCTGTTGATGCCGTGATGGAACGAGTCATTGCGCAGCTGCATGCTCTCCAGGGGACTCAGGTGGACCTCAAGGAGTGGATGCACATTATCGTTGTCGAATGTCTCGGGGCCGTCAGCCTGTCATGGTCGCCTGGGTATCTCAAAGACAGGTCAGATGGTGCCTCGGGCAAGCACGCGTACATGGGCTGGAGACGAAAGAGCGTCTTCGGGCTTTTCCCTGCTGCTGTCATCCTGGAGTCCCTCTCAAAATCTTTTGGTCGGGCATTTGCCACCTTCTGGCGCGTGACCTACCACACCCCGAAGGAAGGATTCAGGCCATTCTTTCCTGCTGTCCAAAAGAAGATCTCACAACGAGTGAAGGTGGCCTTGCACGGCCGACCACAGAAGGACGAGCGCAAGGACATTGTGGCCGATCTAATCCAGCTTCACAGGGATCGGTCCGAGTTCAGCGAGCAATATCTCCGACGGATGGCCATCACCAACTTTGGCGCAGGACATGAGACACTGACCTCGACCCTCATCTCTGCTCTATCCATGATAGGCTCACATAGTGAGGTTCAGAGACAGGTCGCAGAGGAAGTTCAGTCGGCTTCGCATACTGTCTCTTATGACAATGCAATTCAGCTGCCAATCACGCAAGCGAGTATCAAGGAGTCTCAACGTCTCCACCCTGTCATTGGGATGTCTCTACCCAGGAAGGTCTCGCCAGGAGGAGATGCAAAGATTCACGGGCTTTCCTTTCCGCCAGGAACCGTGGTTGGCTGCAATCCCGTCTCTCTCCATCGCAACCCAGACATCTTTGGTGCCGATGCTGAAACATATCGCCCAGATCGCTGGCTGAAGGCGGACCAGAACAAGAAGAAGGATATGGACCGGTACAACCTCATCTATGGTGGCGGTGCCCGCACCTGTCCAGGAAGACATCTTGCCGAAATGCTGGTCTCCAAGATCGTGCCGACGCTGTTCAAGCATTTCGAGGTTGAGATCGTTATGCCCCCAGAGGAAGAGATATCCTACTACTTTATGGCCATGTTGACGGGCGTAAAGGCTCGGTTCATCCCCAGAGCAGATCAGATGGAGAGCTAGGAACGGTCAGATGCGGCCGGTCGTAGCAGCAGCAGCAGCAGCAGCAGGACAAAATCATATCCCCCCTTCGACAAATCTCTACGTCGCGGATTCAGGGCCGCGGTGCCGCTGCAGTCCACTCCCGAGTTAGCAAGCCTCGGCTTTTCTCGTCTCAATTGACCAATCGACGATTCACTCCACCAAGGTCTAGCGCAACTCCAATTTATCCGTGCCTTTTACAGGATCCTAATGCATCTCTAGCACGAACAGCTGTGCAAGGCCACAGAGTCTTTCCTTCAATCATATCGAGGGAAGGCCTCGTGAGGCGTTTGCACGTTGGGGCGATAAAATGCGCATATCGAGAAGACATTTAGATCCTGCCTCCCACATCCTCACGGCAGGAACATGGACACAAGTCTCTCTACCTGTTGCTGAGCACTGGAGGCGACCAGATCGTGACTCGGCTCAGCAAGATGACGCTTTTCAAGCAGCTTCTCCCCGCTGCTCTACTACCAGCTCTGGCAGCATGCCAGCAGATCGGTACAGCAGTCCCGGAAGTCCATCCGAAGCTGCCAACTTACCGCTGTACCAACCAAGGCGGCTGTGTTCAGCGCGACACCACCATTGTGCTGGACGAATTCTATCGCAATATACACGATGTGAATAACACGGCCATCAGCTGCGGAACCTACGCAGCGCTGAATACGACGCTCTGCCCCACAGCCGAAGCATGTGCTGAGAACTGCGCCCTAGAAGGGATCGACTATGCCGCCAACGGGGTGCAGACGGACGGGGATGCAATCATCATGAATCAATTTATCAAGCTGCCTAATGGCACATACGACAGTGTCGGACCGCGGGTGTATCTGCTCGACATCGGAGAGGAGGACTATGAGTTGTTCCAGATGCTGGATATGGAGATCAGCTTTGATGTGGACCTTTCCAAGCTCGTCTGCGGCATGAACGGCGCGCTGTACTTGACCGAGATGGAAGCCAGCGGTGGCCGAAGCGCCCTGAACCCGGCGGGCGCCTCGTACGGGACGGGCTACTGTGATGCGCAATGCTCGAGGTTGGCCTGGATCAACGGAGTGGTAAGTCATATCCTCTTTCATGAGCTCATGCATAACAACGCCTCCTTCTCTGTTTTTCTCTCTTCTTCATTCCGTTCTTTCTTTTGTTCTTCTGCTGTCTTTCCCTGACTGACACAATAAAAGGCAAACGTGAATGAGACCCACGGTTCCTGCTGCAATGAGATGGACCTCCTCGAGGCCAACGCCCTCGCGCAGGCCATGACGCCGCACCCGTGTAACACCAGCGGCGTATACCTCTGCACCTCGGACGACGAGTGCGGACAGGCGGACGGCGTGTGCGACGAGTGGGGGTGCGGGTGGAACCCGTACGTGTATAACGTCACGGACTTCTACGGCCCTGCGGCCAACGACACCATCGACACGAAGCGCGTGTTCACCGTCACCACGCAGTTCATCACGGACGACGGCACGCCTGATGGGACGCTCATCGAGATCCGGCGGCTGTGGGGTCAGGACGGGCGGATTCTCAAGAACGCCGTCGTCTCCACGGGGGACGGCTTCACGGGCAGTGTCATGGACGATGCGTACTGCAATGCGACGGCGTCGTGGACACAGGAGAGGGGCGGACTGGCTGGCATGGGAGATGCGCTGGGGCGGGGGATGGTCCTCATCTTTAGTATCTGGGATGATACGGGGGGCTACATGAACTGGCTGGACGAAGGCAGCGCGGGGCCATGTAATGCCACGGAGGGGAACCCGGCGCTGATCGAGGAGTACTACCCTGGCGTGCAGGTCAAGTTTGAGAAGATACGCTATGGGGAGATTGGGTCGACTTTTTGAAGAAAGGGGGGCTCTTCAGGAATTTACTCAGTTCATGGTTGAGTGCCTTGGGATCCATCAAGTGCAATCTATGCCGTGAATCGCAGTGACTTACATTTTGTCGTCGAGGAGGCGAAAGTCATATGTCGAGTTACCACTCTGCGTTGGCTAGAGACGTGAATCTCAGCCTGTTGAGAGTGAACAACATTTCCAACCGTTGCACCGAATTGTTATGAGGATCTTGTACTTCCGCTCGCTCACGCGCCGCCACCCCAATGCAGGAGGAGTGAGTCTACAACACTGACTGCCGTGGCTCAATGTTAGAGACCAACTCCCCTGTGAAACCCAAGCTCACCTCTTCTCTCGAATCACGATGGGAAAATATCACGCGAGAGGATGTATTTAAAAAGGCCGGGGTGGCTCAGGGCAGGAGGGCTTCTGCACAGACTGACCACAATTCGAACAACACAAGAATAACAACGTGGAGCATCGTCGACAGACAAACACATCACTCAAGCAGGTAAGACAGTACAAAAGTTTAAGAAAACAAGCTGGAATGTCTTTCTCAGGACCACCGCCGCCAGATCGACCGTCCGGTTCAGGATCCTGGGGCAAGAAATCCGACAACAAGCCCACAGGACAGAATCAGATAGATCCCTCGGCCCCGAGATCAACACCGCTGAACGATCCACCGCATACGGAACCGCAGTTTGGGAGGGATGATTATGCTCGGCGGGCTTGTATGGTAGGGACTTGTAGCACCCATGAGAATAACTCAGGGTCATCAACCCCCAACTATACGTATCAGAAGAAATAGACAAGTGAGGTACGATCTTCTGTTTCTTCCTTTCTTCTTTGGAGGTGATGGCCAGAAACTTTCAAGGAGTGGATGTGAAGGTAAGAATTCGCGGCAATCCGGTTGGTCTCGCAGGCAAATCAAGAGAGGTGTTGATCAGAACTTAGAATAAAAGCTTTGCCTAATGGAAGGACGTTCTTTCCCATGTGTGGACTTGATAACTTTCCTATGTTATGTCAACGAGTTTACATAACTGACCTTGTTTGCAACACTTGGACATTGTGTTTCTATTTCAAAGATATTCAAATGACTAGGCTCGCAAGAAGTATTCCACCAAGACAAAGGAAGTCATTATACTACAATAAATTTATGAAGTATAGAGACTTGAATAAAAGCATACAGAAACGATTTGAACGCTTGGTAACTTGCAACTGAAAATAATCAAGGATAATTGATACATAAACTACTATAGTATACCATTGCATAGCGCTGTGACTGTTAGTAGGAGGAGGAGATGTAGAAGAGAAGTAGCAATTAAGAGAGCCCTGTCTCACTTGACAGGCCTTTAGCGTGCAGCCTACGCAAGCCCTGTGGCATGCAGGCAGGGGCCACCAGGGAGGGGCCAACAGGGGAAAGATGGTGACATGGTGCTGACGGTGTAGCGGGTCGGGTCCCCTGTCTTAAAGCTTAAGTTGACATCACTGTCCTGTCATCTCACTGCTTTTCTGCCTCGTCCTCCTTCTCCCCCTGCTCTCTGTTCGCAACAGCTCCTCCAGCAGCTCAAGCTACTTTTTTCCTTCTCTGCAGGCCCCTTCACTCACCCAAGATGTGATTGCTACTCGCAGGACAGCTTCAGAGCCGTGCACCGTTTTCAACAAACCAGAGTAGCTTCCATCCTTCGTCCTCGTCACGCGACCGGCATGGCGACCTCACCGAGCCCAGCCTCGTCGGCTGTTCACTCTCGTCACGACGAGCCACCCTACGTCGGCGATGACGCACCCCGCCTCGAGCACGATGATGATGACATTGCAGCCTCCGTCTCCGTCGAGACCCTCGTCGAGCACCTCCTCGCCGCCAAGCGGTCGCTGGCCTCGGTCAGGCTCGTGCTTCGTGCAAACGACCTGACCACCCATGCACGGCAGCTCCACGAGGAATCAGTCATACTGGGTGCTCAGACTGCCTTCCTCAGGACGGGTGTTGGCGAGCAGATAAAGCTGCTCGCCAGAGTCACGGGCAGCATGAACAAGACGTACAAGGCTAGCAGGAGGGAATTCAACAGCCTGATCAAGACGCTTGACACAGCAAACGACAAACTGAAGGATACCATGGACATGCTGAGGGGCACGGCCGTGGACCCCGTCTTCAGGCCCGAGGGTGAGGATCCCAAGAACCTGCTCGACTTTGTCGACGAGACCCAGGTCGACGGTATTGTCAACGCTCTGAAGGCCAGCCTCGTAGAATTACAGGTATGTCCGCTAGCAGACGGCCCCTTTCTACTGTCACCAGTATCTTCGTCGAGAAGACGTCACGAGGCTAAGCTAAGTCTCTGTTCTCCAGGCCACACTGACCTCCTTTGATGGCGACCTCCTCCGCCTCGAGAACGATATGCGCACCCTCAAGCAGGCCCTCGAATCGTCCGCCTCGCCGCCATCGCCAGGTTCACCAGGTGACTCCGGCCGTCAGCGCCCGAACCTACCGCCCATCCATGACCTCCTCCGATCGCTCACGGAGCAGTCTCACTCCATGGCCACACACCTGGTCTCGCTCAACCGTCATTTCGATATGTGTGTCACTGCCGTGCGCATCACCGAGGGTGGTGCAGCCCTGGCGCGGCGGAAGGCGGCCGAGGACAGCGGCGAGGCGGATCCGGTGTCAATATCAGGAGTGATCGATCAGCAGGAGACCAACATTGATGATCTCGACCCAGCTGCGAAGTCTGAGATTGTGCAGGTTGTAATGCAGGACTCCCCAGAGGTGGACGAGGTCGTGGCAGATCTGAACGCAGAGATGCACCAGGTCGATGTCGACTTCAGTCTGCTCAAACACCAGACGGACCAGATCCAGTCGGCCCACACGGCCATCATGCAGGCCTTCCACATCATGGATGACATTGGCTCTCGCCTACAGGGATACATCGCGGCAGAGGTGGAGTTTATCAACCGGTGGGAGGTCGAGAAGGATAGCATCTTCGCCCGCCTAGAGGAGATGGAGAACCTGCGCTACTTTTACGACGGCTACGCGAACGCCTACGACAGCCTCATTCTTGAGGTCAAGAGGAGGCGGGCGGTCGAGACCAAGATCCAGGGCATCTGGCGTAAGGCCAAGGAGGCCGTCGACAAGCTGGTCGAAACCGACTGGAAAGACCGCGAAACTTTCCGGTCTGAGGTGGGAGACTACATCCCAACCGACTTGTGGGTAGGAATGAGTGGCCCTCTGCGCAAGTGGGAGGTCGTCCGCGCCCAAGTCGACGAGAGCTCAGCCTCGCCAGAAGACGACAAGATTGCGGAGTACATGCAAGGGCAGGATGAGGCTGAGGGTACCACAGCACCATGATGGCTTCTAGATGATGTTGTGAGGGCACAGATTCAATAAGGGCGCGCAAGCGGCGAGAAACGAGAGCGGGGTTTTCTGGTGGTTGGTGTTATTTACTTGGGCATATGGGATTCATTTGGCGTTTGGAAACTGGAAAGACTCGGCTGGGCGCAAGGGACGCCTTTCGTTCTCTTCTATTGTTTGAGCTATGCAATTTTCTTCATCTTTTTTTCTTTTGGGAGGTCGTCAAATCTTTGGGAAGACAGGCTATGGTGTTATTTGGTTTTACTTATGACACAGACACATAGGCACACCCACTACAATGGGGCACCCAATGAAGCAGGTTCGTTCACACCCTCACATTCCTGAATGTGCGAACTCTGACTATCACACTGAACCATTGCTTTTTCTAATAATAAAAAAATCATCACACATCATCGGTAGAAATGGTACGTAAATAAAAGAGATCGTTCTATTATCCATTCAAACGTTCTGACTAAAAGCTGTCAAGATTGGAAAGGAATGGAAGAGAAAAGCCAACGGAACATCACCTCTACCTCCTCAAGCCTCAGAGACAGGAGGCGAGTCTACAACGAAGAACTGAAACATACAATGTTCAAAAGGCTGTGTGAATGAGCCTATCTGACTGGGAATCCAGGGTGTCTGGCCCCTGATGGCCCTCACACCCCTTGTCTCCATGGAGACAAACCCCCCTCTCCGTTTGTCTTACACTTGCTTCGTGTCATTCTCTGGACACCCGACCCACTCGAGTCCCTCCTCTTTCTCTCTATCGCCTCTAAAAGATCTACACGATCTCTCAGACCCTGTCAGGGACGATCAATCCACCGGGAGAAGCAGGAGGAGCCAGACCCCCAGGCAAGCCCGTCGGCAGCCCGCTAGGCAGAGGACCGGTTGGCACAGGCCCACTAGGCACAGGCCCAGTGGGAACCGGACCAGTAGGCACGGGGCCCGTCGGGGCGGTAAAGGTAGGAATCTCCCTCTTGGGAATCAGAGACGAGCCCGTGGGCTCGGAGAGGGTCGCGATCGAAGCCGGAATGGAGGTCGAGAACTCTTGCCTCTTGTCGTTATTGTTATTGTTACGCGGGATGCCGGGGAGGCCGGTGGGCAGAGGTGGCAAGGGGGGCAGGTCTTCGTCTCGCTTGTTGGCGGCCGCGGCGCCGGTCGGGAGGGGGAAGGGGAGGGAGAGGCTTGGGAGGAAAGGAGGCAGGTCTTCGTCGCGCTTCTCGTCGTTGTTGCTTCGTGGAATGCCTGGCAGACCGGTTGGGAGGGGGAGGTGAGGCAGGTCCTCGTCCCTTTTCTCGCTGTCTCTTGGGATTCCGGGGAGACCAGTGGGCAGGGGAAGATGAGGCAGCTCGTCGTCCGCCCTGGCCTCCTTCGCAGCGCCTGTTGGGAGAGGGAATGGAAGAGACAGGCTGGGGAGGAAAGGCGGGAGGTCTTCGTCTCTCTTCTCGTCGTTTTTGCTGCGTGGGATACCAGGGAGGCCAGTGGGCAGAGGGAGGTGAGGGAAATCCTCATCTCTTGGAATGCCAGGCAGCCCAGTAGGCAGAGGCAGATGAGGGAGATCCTCGTCTCGCTTCTCGTTTTCCCGTGGGATGCCAGGGAGGCCAGTGGGTAGAGGCAAGTGAGGGAAGTCTTCAGCCCGCTTGTTGTTGTCATTATCCCTTGGGATGCCAGGGAGGCCTGTTGGAAGAGGGAGGTGAGGAAAGTTCTCATCTCTTGGGATGCCAGGCAGCCCAGTGGGCAGAGGCAGGTGAGGGAAATCCTCATCTCTCTTCTCGTTGTCCCGTGGGATACCAGGCAGGCCTGTGGGCAGAGGAAGGTGAGGAAGATCCTCATCTCTTGGAATACCAGGCAGACCTGTGGGCAGAGGGAGGTGAGGAAAGTTCTCATTCCTTGGGATGCCAGGCAGCCCAGTAGGCAGAGGCAGATGAGGAAAATCCTCATCTCTCTTCTCATTGTCTCTTGGGATGCCAGGCAGTCCAGTAGGCAGAGGCAGGTGAGGCAGATCCTCGTCCCTCTTGGGGATATCAAGGTGAGCCCCAGAGGGGATGGCGATACCAGTCGCGGTGAAGCTGGGGAAAAGCGAGGTGGGCAACACCACTGGTACCGCCGAACATTCTTGCGCTACCAGAGCAGCAATGACAAGGAGCGTACTGCGAGACATGGCTGCTACGGAGGAGAGGAGACGAAGAGTCTTCAGTGAGGAGAGAGGGAGGGATGATTTGAAAGATTGGACTGGGGATGATGAGATCTTCTAAAAGTTGATCATTCCAGCACGGTGCTGTGTCGTCTTATTTATGCTCGTCTTTCTTAACTACAATGGTGAGCATATGTCGGCGAAGAAGCACATCACATGCCGACGGCCGGGGAACATCTATTCACTGGAGGCTCTTTGGCGTTTTCGCTGTTGTTGAGCTCGTGCCCTCCCTTCCCTCTCCCCCTCCATTCTTCCTCTTAACAACCTTCATATGCCCAGGCTACGATGCCGTGCCAGCCTCGCAGGTCAATGCCGGTTGTAATTGTGGACCGACACGTCATCCGGCTCAGATGCACGCTCACTGATACCTGGACGACAGAACAAATTGTCAGCTGTTCTGAAGGCATATTCACCTCCGACCACACCGACCTACCCATTACAATAGCGGTCTCTGCCGATCAGGGGCACGTCTGCCAAACCTACAGCATGTACGGACGATCAGTCGATCGTTGCTGCAGGCAGAAGGTAAAGGTGGTGGGAGAGAGAGAAAATACAAATCGACTGGCTCTAGAAATATGGTGGACAGACACCCACCCATGAATAGCCCGCGTCTAGATAGTGTGGCCTTGGATGGGTAACAGCCCCGTCACCAAGACCAAGTACTTGAGTGCAAAGGCAAGGAGACATTTTGTTAGCCTTTTAGTTTTCAGGAGAGGCCAGCCAATTGCGATTGCAGCGAGTTGGGCGCCAAGTTTCAGATTTGGTTATGCTTAAGTGTGCGCGCTGTAGAACGCGACGCGTGGCATACAAGAGTCGATAAGGCTATTCCAAAAGGGCAGGAGGATATTTCCAAAGTTTCAGATTTATTTCTGGTGGCTCTTCACTGCATTGCTCTCCTGTTGATATCTCACCTCAAATATGGGGCCTGTGGTGAGTGTTGGTTTATTGAGATCCACAGCCATATTCCCCGAACACCGATCTTGAATCCCGAGGACTATCATGGCGCGCTTCACACAGAGCTTGGGCTTCTCCTGAACTGTAATACGTCTCGATGCTACTGCTTTGCTATAAGGTTTACTACTATGAGCTAGTCTTGTATGTGTACTTACACAGTATGATCGCAAGCATTGAGAAGAACAACGCGTTGAGTGGGGCCGCATGTTTCGTCACTTGAACTCCCTGATGCGTCGACCGAATTGACAGAGCAACATCTAGTTGCAAAGTAGCGACAGTCCGTATTCTATGAGAATTAGGGCCAATTTTGTCTTTGGATGAACATTGGTATGTTCGTAACTACTCAAATAGACATGCAAGTTGTGTGTAGCATGCAGTGAATGAGGTAGTGCGGATCGTAGGTTCCAGAGCATTCATGATTTTGAGTGCTTCCATGATTCGTTCGCCTGTTCAATAAGCCAGCCTTCACACAATAACCACGGCTCCAGAATCATTGATACCTGGGGGCCTTGACAGATCATGTCGGCTTTACAGACATCAGACCCGAAGGCTGATGATAGCCATCATAGGAAAGAGCGTAGTCCTCGTTTGATAATGGCCAGCCAAATACAGCACACGCTTTTGAGCGTTGACCAAGCTGCAGGATTTCTCATAAGTTTATCAATAAGACAATAACCTAGCTTCTCTAAACAGCTAAAACTGTCTTGAGCTCTGTAGATGTTGTGATGGAGCAGAAGGTCATGTCCCTGGAACGATGATGATATGCTCACAGATACCGTGGTGCAGATTCGACTGTTTCGGGGTGCCCAACTCAACTCGACCATACTAACTTATCCTGGAGGCCTTTTACAGACCGTAAGCCAACAATATTCAAACAATCTTAGGTTTGTATCTATTCCTAAGAACTTTATGAAAGTATAGATTCACCAAACACAATATGTCTGGTCTTTCGATATGTTGGGACTGTAACATAAGGAAGACCATTTTACACTCTTCATTTATTTAGCTTTTTTTTTTTTTTTTCCACTCACAAGGACATAGTCATGTATGGCACACCACGACATAACGTGTACAAATCAGGAAGGTTGGCATTGCTATCACATGTGACACCTTTAGAAGTTGGCGATATACAAACATTTCTCCTGTCAACTTCGGAACAGGCAATCTGGAAGCTCATGATAAATACCCCATCAAGGTCCCAGTATACAGCACATACAAGACTTGAGGTCTCGGGATACATACTGTGTGAGGGCAAAAAGGCTTGCATTGCTGTGCGCTGAAGAGAAAAGAGAAAGGAAGAGAAACGCCACGAGGCCAGCTATCTGAGGCTATCAACAGGTCTGGCTGTTGGCTGGCTGGGGCCGTGCACGGCCCTGGGCCAGTGAGTCACTGTCCCTCGCACACATACAATATAATGTCACCAACTAATCATATACTGTGATATCTTTGGTCATGAGCTGCTGGACCAAGTGTCTGTAATTTTTGTATTTAAAAATTTATATATACAGTTCCAGAAACATCAGGCTTGCACTCTAGATGGTCACGTAGTAGTTGCTCTTCAGGGTGGCCGAGGTTCCTGTGAACGGCTCAGTGCCGGCCTGGATGTCGATGAGGCACGAGCTGGACGAGACACCCTCATAATCGACGAGGTAATCAAAGAACGACAGAAGGTTGCCATCGAAGGATGTGATCTCGCTGGGGGCAACAAAGCTGTACACCTTTGTGGCGCCGTTCAGGCCATACCACAGGTTCCAAGTATACCCATCGATGGACGGCGTGGCAATCGTGGCGCCGGTCGACGAGATGGGTCCAGCACCACCAAGGGCGGCCAGCCAGATCATGACCTCGTACTCGTCGGTTGTCGAGCTGCAGCTAGACGACAGGAACGTGTCAAAGGCCACATCGGCGTCGATGGATGTGCCAGAGTAGCTGTCACGCTGTTAGCATCCACACCGGCGCAATGTTCGCTATGTAGACCAAGAAAACTCACCTCCACTCCCAGACAGCCTGGATGTCCGAGAGAGCAGACAGCTCCGTAGGGGTGAAGACCAGCGAGACGTCGGCGAATGACTTGACGTCGGACGAGCCGCCAGCCCATGTCCAGGATGTCGACCACTCAATGATACCGTTGGTGACGGCCGTGACTGTCGTGCACTGAGAGCCGCTGGTGGCATCGGCCTCGCCCCACAGATCATTGTAGACAATGTAAGAACCAGTCTCGATCTCGCCCCACTGATCACAGGTCTCGGTCGAGCGTTCCTTCAGCGATGGGGTTGGCTTCTCGGACTGCTGTGTCTTCACTTTGTGGCCAGGACGGGTAGTCTTCGCTGAGGCGGCACCCGCCAGGGCAAGAGGGAGAAGGCCTGCAGCGAACTTCATGGTGTTTCGAGATGGTGATTAATAATACAAATGATCCAGATATACTGTGCAGGGTATATTGAGAACCTCGGTGGCAAGGAGTGGCGTGGGTCTGGGAGAAGAATCGAGTAGTCTTGTCCTGTGACTTGCTAAGGAATCTCTCATCCTTATATAAAATTAGGAACAGGAGAATTGACCGTCCTCACTTTGGACTGCAACCATTTCGCCATGGAGCATATGATCTCATGCGCCAACTTCGGCAGCTCACAGCCGGCGCTACGAAGCCTTTCAAGCTTTTGCTGACGACCTTTCCGCATTGCAGACTCACGAGGTCCACCAATCCCCCAACGGTCTTGTCCGATGAGATTCTGTACTATTGGAAAAGAAGTCCAGAATGGTCGGTGGAGCCACGAGGAGCTCCGGGGTGGTCAGTGACGGAAATGGAATGCGACTCCAAAGTGGACATCGTGAGCTTTCTCTATTGGCGGATTTTCAAATTCACTTTATGCACCCCAGTCTACCTATCCGAGCAGGCGGTCCCTGCAGGCCATACCCCACAAACCGAAATATCCCTTCCACTCCTGTTCGTCAAACGCGCATGTGCTTGTTGACAATGCGTTCGATTCTAAGATTTGATCGTATGCAAAACTTTCCATTCGGACCCTCCTCCCCCCAAAACTTTTCTCTCCTTCTTCATCTTTCCCCCTATTTTCACACTACCTTCACTGCGCATGATTTTACTCATGAATATTCATGGGTAGTACACTTGGCTATGAACCCAACTGCGACCGTGGAGCTTAGCCGTTCTGCTATAGGTTACGCGTATCTATAATACAGTAGCCTGAACTAGTTAGTGGGTATAATATCAGTTGCAGAGTGCGCACATGATGGTCAGTTTGTGGCTACAGCCGGTACAGAAATGCCGGAGTGTATAGAGGAAAGACTGGAATAAGATTATACGGCATTTACGGCAGGTATATGCCGAGACTAAATTATAGCTTGTCATTCCATAAATGATTTCGAGCCCCAACAGAAGCAGAACACAACTCGAGTGTCCTATCTCATTTGGGGATGACCAGAACAGACTTGGACATTTGGAACTGTCAAGGTCTCTTAATAAATGCACTCCTCGATGCAAACATTTGAGCCTGGTTTATCGGCTTCAAGACTGCCTTACTGTGGAGAAGGAAAGAAGAGAATATCAAGGCAAAAAACAGTTCTTTGCGGTCTGATCAGATATTGAAAGACGTTGCAGCGGATATCGCGATCGACTTGCTTATTGTTATCTGATAAGTGAACGAGACATCCTGCTATTATGGGTTTAATCTCTCTCCAGCGATGATGAAGCAATGCTAGTATTAAGATAACACGTAACAGCCTTCTCTGGTGCACATCACGCCGTACTTTGCCATATCTTAATGCAGCGCCACGTCTCCATCATCCCTGAGGACTGCTACAGACATGTTACCTTGCTGAAATTTGTTCGCATTCGCAACAGGATCTCCTGCGTAGTCCCTACTTGAGGCAACCAAAATATTGCAAACTATGTCCGCCTGGTCCGCCTTCAGAATATATATGGCTTGGGAAGACGCATGCCAAATATCTTTGCGAATCCCGCTGAGGACATGTGTTATTAGCCAAAAGATGAGCTGTCTAGAAGAGCAACGTGAGCGGGTTTGATAACTTACCCAGAACAAGATAAGCAGATTTGATCGCGACCGAGAACCACAGAATAGCCAGAGGCCAGATCTTGTCTGGCGACCAGTCCCAGGAAGAGTTGGCCAAAAAGGCGATCAGGATGTTTATCATGACGATGTAGCAATAAGCCAGGATGAACGCGTGAGTGAAACCAAGCACTATTGTCCTGGCCAAGGGAGTCGCCAGGTGCATCACTCGGCGTTGCGAGTCTGGAGCAGTTGAGGAACTCTTGGGGGAGAGGACGAATTGATAGGCGAGACGCCAGGAAAAGGCGAGATAAGGCACAGCCAAGACCGTGGTAGTATTGGTGAGCTTGAACGACTTGTCGAACGATGACCAAAACGTATTGCTGCATCGCACCACAGGAGAGGCGTGTCCTCCACATTCCGATAAAGCCCAGTCTGGATTATGCGTGATTGTCGGGTAGTCGTCGGCGTTCTGGATAGGCGGCAGCAACACATAAAAGACAGTAGAGAGCACTACAGTGATTATGGAGATCGCTGTCTTGTACCACGATCGTTGTGAGGTCATAAATACCATGAGCTGGGAGATTGAGAGCGTCGAGAGGGCCAGAACCAGAAACCACTTCTTGACCATGTGGTCGACATACACCGCTTCGTAATGAGTCTCCCCTGACGCACCTGGATCCTTGGCTGCCATGAAAGTCCCTGTTGCGAGGGCCAATGCAAAGTAGATTTGGGCTTCCTGGAAGTCGACCATGGTGGAATGTATCAAGGCTCCTGTCCGTTCCTTTAAAGTATCTGACCAGCGTTTTGTGGAGTTTACCGGCTTTGGAAAGGCTCTGTTAGCGAGCCTGGGCTGGGAAGGGCCCAGACGTGTTCTTGGAAGCTAGATTTCAGACAACGTTGAGCGTCAGAAAGCACTTACCCTCCAACCGGGCTGTACATCGACGACTTTCCGCTTCTCACGGACGGACCAAGATTTCGAGATGAAATGTGGTACGTCACAAGCCCATAACGACAGAGCATAAAACACCACGAGAAGTCCTGCCTGTAACATGTACACCATGGTGACCTAGACTCGCTGTTTTGTCAGAGCCCTGGCTTGAGGGGAGAAAGGCCTTACAGCTGGGGACATACGCCTGGTCCGGCAAGTATATTGTTCGTCTCATACTGACCATCGTCACAAAGACTTGCCACAGCCTCTATGGTCGTTAGTAACTTGGTAGAAGATGTATTCATTGGGCTGTCGGCAATGATTTTCTGCACCTGGCTGCCACAGGTAATGAGAGAGTCATTTGTACAGGCCGCAGCGGTGCAGTAGAGAAAATTGTCGATGGTAGTGTTGAAGTCGAACTGGGACATGTGCTCCAGCCCAACGAAAGCACCTAGGGCTTCGACGGCGGAATTGTGACCCGTAATGAGTGATGCATTTGGCACGAGATTGGCTGCATAGGCGAGCGTGAGGCAATTTGCGATGGTGTAAGTGGACTTGAATAGATATTGGGAGTCCTGGCAAGCCAAGGAGCAATTGACACTGTCCTTGTCGCCAATTCCGCAGCCGCCCTGGTATAGATCAATTGCAACGCTATTCCCGAGTGTCGAATAAGGCGGCTTGATGGCAGACTGCAGACCGAAACCTGAAGACGGAGGCTGGATGACCGAGACGTTGACGAAATTGTAAGCCGCCATGGCGCCCATGAGAGACGTGAATAAGCAAGACAATATCGAGAAACGGCAGAGATGAGGATTGATAAATGTCTGGACGTGTGACGTATTGACGCTGCACCTCGCCCACTAAACTATGCTTGGAAGCATCCTATTTCCCCGCGGGGAATGGGGGCTAAAACAAGTGACAGTTCAAGATTCCGTGGGTGCGTCGCCCGAGTCTCATTAATGCCATGATTTGAAGCATTTCGTGAGAGAGTTGTTCCTAGCGTGATTGCAATTTGATCTGGGAGACACTGTGAATCACAAATAGGTCAATCAAGACTCCAACTATTTATAGAAGACCCAGCTATACTTCTAACTACACATTGTATGAGGACTTGGCGCTCTTTTATGAAGATGGCAGACGCAGACATTGTGTTCTCAGTGGACACATCTTAGATTTCGATGCTACTCCCATGCCAAATTCGACGGCTGTTCATAAAGGGCTCAGCTGCTTAATCAGAGACGGTTCTCGCCACAGCAATCACACAGGCAACCCAAGCACCCAGGTCTACCGTCAGCGTCCTCAGAGTATGCACCGTAAGCCACCTTCTCTGCTGCTCAACCGCCTCGCCCTTCCCATTATCGTCGATCATAGCCTTGATCTTGTACACGACCCCTGGCACAAAGGCGAGGTGCCCCACTGCGAGAGCCGCACCCGCCGCATACCACGCCCAGCTGCCCTTGGCCCGCAGCAGGCTGCCGTACTTGCGTATGTTGATGATAGATGTGACGCTCGTGACGGTGAGCGGGAACAGGACGCGTTCGATGTCATGGATCTCAAGGACTTTCTTCCACCAGAGGGGCAAGATGGCCTTGGACTGTTCTTCGAGGTCACGGTGGGCAAAGGTGCCGTACATGACGCGCTGGTCCCAGGCGAACCAGAGCGTGCATGTTGAGCTGATGAGGGGCGTCAGCCGGAGGAGGGTGGCTGGGTCGACGAAGAGTCCGGATGCCATATTTCTTGGAGAGAGAGGGCTGAGGTGCTCGGTTCAACTATCAGGGCTCGATTTTGATAAATTTTTGAGATCAATTTTCAATATGATAGTCCGTCTTGGGAGCGTGTCCATTGATGTAGTCAGAAATGCTGGGGCGCCGAAGCCTACGCGAGTCCGAGCCTTACCGAAATTTACCCACAGGCTTACGCTGATCACATTGAAATCAGACGAGACATCAACGAATTAGTGTTGTCGCATAAGCAAATATCAACCGTGGGCCTCGGACTGTTGAGGAACAACGGCCGAACTTGAATCCGACGGAGTCAGATTATGGTCAAAAGGCCGTTTGCGCTGTTTTTTTTTCTCACTTTCTTTTCTTCTTCTTTCTCGAACTTGTATTCCTGGTCATCATCTAGCATCGATGAGATGATTCTCCGCAGAACAGATGGTGTTTAAGCCTAATCATGCTGCTTTCCACACCCACACAGAAGACGATTCCCCTGCTTCATGGATGTGGCTCATGGGAAGACAAGCCTGGCCCTGCGATGCTGCAAGTCGATTGCTCAGGAACTCAGCCTTCTCTACACATCCAAGGGCTGAGATCTCATCTTCGCGACCCCACCCATTTTCTGTCTGTGCTTTCCAGCTGCCCGACCACCACTCCACCAACGCGAGCGACTGTATATCGCTGAGCTATCTCTCTCCAGCCGAGTCTGCTAGGCGTGAACTATGCCATGCTTGAGCTCCGCTTCAGCCTCTTAAGAGCCATTACGCCCGAGTTCAACTTGTATTCGTATGATATCATGTCACTAGGATCCAACGAAACAGCTGTAGACAGGTGGAGGACTGGTGGTCCCGAAGCGCCGGCTGTTTCTAATTATGCTGAGCGGAAAACCGAGTATATGAATTTCAATATGAACAATATCATGCATAAAACAGGATGCCTGCACCCAAGCTCAGTGTCATCCAAACTTTTACCAAGACCAAGCAAGAATTCGACGAGATCGCTGAGGAGATATAAACAGACCTAAAACAAAAGGAGAAGAACGCGCTCCACTGTACCCAGGAAGTCGTGTTACAAGCAAAGCTGTCTTGCCCAGGCCTTGATCCAGCACTTTGACATGAGTCTACCTGACGGTAAAGTATCATGTGGGCATTGCACCATCTGCGAGATAGGCGAGGCGGTAGAGCTTCCAGCCGAAGAGCAGCGGCTTCTAGATCGAGGACTGGTTGAGCAGGCCCTGGCCGACTGTCCACAGCGCGACAACCCGTGGCTTCTGGCATGTGTCGTGTTTGGCATTATGAGCCCTCGCGTGAGGGATCTAAGATTGCAAACGACCAAAGCTTGGGCATCGATGGTAGACGACGATCTTCAGGTATGTTTCCGCACTTATGACCTCATAAGACAGTGTCAATCCAGCGCAGATTTCGCTGAAGATCGGCACAGGAGCTTTTGAATGAGTTTACCGAGGCCTGCGAGGCTGAAAGGACCAGATAAGGCCGCGATGTAGCGCAAATGACAAGACCTAGAAGGCGTATGATGAGGCGTCGGGGTACTTGGGATTTTATAACGCCGCAGGCATGGATGTCCCTTGCCATGGGCCACTCACGAGGGAAGGCTTGTTTCCTGACAGATCAGCACAAGCTTCCAACTTATGTGAGGTCTCAAACAGGCTGTGGTTATGGCAAAATCTCTGATATCAATAGTGGGTCAGGACGATCCAGTGTGTTTTGTCTTGACAGTATCCAACTTGTTGGCTAGGCAGGGCTGTTCTTGAGTTGTTTTGGCATCAGAAGCAGTGACGAGGCCTGCAACTTTTGTGGAAGGTAGATAACCGCAAGCCGACCTTTAATTTCGACTACTAGAACCTGGCCACTAAGGCCGAGTGGTTTTCTTTCTCAATGAGGTTGCATGTATGGGAAGAAATGCAGCAAGTTTCTTCAACATTCTATATTATTGCTGCCGTCTGGAAGGAAATTCAGAGATATGAAGGAGGCTTCGGCAGGTGTAGGATCCGCTTGAACTTAAATGAAACACCTTGTTTGAGAGATCCGTCCATTATGACGAGGATGTAATATGATCAAGGAGCTCAAAGAGTCGATTCGTCTCGACCCGACACGCCTCCCCAGGCCGCAACGCCCTTCGAAACCCAGGCCCGAGCCACGCCCTGACCATGGCCACCTCCACAGCACCGCTGAGGTTCTGCTGCTCGACGATCTGGAAGGCCGAAGTGCAGGCTATCGTGGACTCACCGGGGCCAGAGGGCGGCAGGGTCTGGCAGTTGCAGTTCGAGCCGTCGTCATCGTCAATGATCTCGTCTGGCGTTGGGGTGACAGTTCTGGCGGTTGCCTGGCCGGCAGGGTCTGATGAAATAGATGTAACTGGGACGTTATGCTGTAATACTGATGGCTCGGAAGGATCTGAGACTTTCTGAGGGTCCTTTTCGTAGTGGGTGTCTGGTATCACCACCGGTGCAGTCGCAGGAACAGGGGGCGACGGCCCGGCGCAACGAGGGAATAGAGACTGCCGGTGTAGCGTCTGAGTTCCGCGAGCGCGTAGGTCCTCAAGCTCGGCCGTCAGGACCGAGATGGTCGATAAAGCAGCCTCCAGTCTCGCGTCGGCCTCCTCCAGCCGCTTCTCTAGATCCTCAAGCCGGGACTTGACACGGGCTCGGTGTCGGCGCTGGTTGTTGCGCGTGCGGATGGTGTTGTGGTCGGTTGGTTTTAGAGACCATTTGTCCATGAGTGTCGACTGAGCTTTGGCATGCTTCATCGCCACTGATGTAAACCTGAGTGAGCTGTTTTTGTTGGGTAATAATGAGACGATGTGAAGGAGATCAATCGGTGTGCAGCAGTGAGGCGAAACAGGGAAATTTTCTGGTGACAGAGCGAATTCTTCCCGTTTTGGGTTTAGTCGCAGTCGGTGACATATCGATATTTCTCCCAAAACGGGTTAGCAGGGAGAGGCGATGTGTATCGTCCATCATATAAAGCACTGGTTCTCGAACAGTATGATCCTGGATAGAAAAAGAAAGGCCAACAACTCTGAGTGTCAATAATATATTTTGACGTATTTTGTTTGGTACAGAACCTACTACAAACCAAGATGGAGGCACAACAAATTTACAACCACGTTAGCGAGCGTTACAGTGCCGCATCGAAGGGCACCGCGGCCGAGTACGGTCATGCTGTTGCTAAAGCTTTTGGATATACAGACCAGGAGCTCGAGGGGATCCCAAAGGAGTCCAACCTGGGGCTAAGTTGTGGGAATCCATTGGCAGTGGCTACTATCCGTGAGGTAAGCTGCTCCAGAGACAGGGAATCTTATGCCCCTCTTTTCTGCCTACTGGTTCACATCTGAGGAAACACGCAATATCTGCTGTACTATGGATCGTGGCTGAAGCTGACCAAGCCTGTAGGGCGAGACAGTTATTGACCTAGGAAGCGGTGCCGGTTTCGATGCTTTCTTGGCTGCCAATAAGGTCGGACCAACTGGCAAGGTCATCGGTGTCGACATGAACAAGGTGAGCCAAGCCGCATGACCGGTGAAAAATAAACTCACATAACTGACTCGGCCAAACTCAGGACATGCTCAGACGAGCCAACGAGATTAAGCTCAAGCACCAAAAGACCAATGTTGACTTCGTTGAGTCCCAAATTACCAACGTATCCGCGCTTCCCTCCGACACCGCCAACGTCATCATCTCGAACTGTGTCATCAACCTCGTCCCAGAGGAGGAGAAGCACCTCGTCTTCAAGGAGATGCACCGGCTGCTCAAGCCCGGCGGACGAGTCGCCATCTCCGACATTCTGGCCAAGAAGCCGCTTCCGGAGAGACTGCGCGCCAACATGGCCCTGTACGTCGGGTGCGTGGCGGGCGCCAGCCTGGTCGAGCAATATCAGCAGTACCTGCAGGAGGCGGGCTTCGCGGCGGAGAGCGTATTCATCAAAAACGACGAAGCGGATCTGAATGTTTACTTGGAGACAAACCCAGATGGATCACGGACGGCTGGGGGAAAGGGGGGCAACCTGTGCTGCAACCCAAGGATCGAGAGTGCACCAGCTCAGCCAGCCGTCTCCTCGTCCTGTTGCTCCAACGGTAGTGCTAAGCTTGCTGCTGCTGCTGCTGCTCCTGCTGCTTCCACATCCTCGTGCTGCAAGCCGCAGGACAAGGGAACAGACGCAGCGGCAGCGGCAGCAGATGCAGCAGCAGCATCGGCGTCATCATCGTCTTGTTGTGGTGGGAGTGCCTCGACAGATCAGCCGTGTGCTTTCGACGAGAAAGATCTGGCAGATCTGGAAGGCGAGGACCTGAATGATTGGGCGGGTAAGTTGCGGGTGCTCCCTCTGTGCTGGCGTAATTTTGACGAGCCATTGCTGACTTCAAAAAAGGGTCGTACAAGATTTATGCAGTCAAGATGTAATCAAAGCTGGAGTGCCGCAGGGAGAAGACCAGTCCAGTGCTGGAAGGTATGGTGTTAGGAAAGGTCTGAGTCGTAGTAACAGTGACGTCTGCAGTTCATGCATGAACTACGCTTATCCTCCATCTTGACGAGCCTCTTCTGCCAAATGTGAAATGGCCCCTGACACTTCTTGAGAGCATAAACTCGTTGATGCCTTTCTGTCAGAGTAGGTTCTCTTCTGCAATGCAGGATTGCAGGTAGTAAGCCCTTTCTTATGGCCAGACACGTGCTAGATTATGCTCTGACGACGCCTCTGTGGGTGGATGTGAGGCCATACTTTGGTACACGTGCTCGCCTCTGTCCCCGATAATTGGAATGACCTGCCGGGCCTGCTAAACCCGCTATTAACCCTGCCACAGCAGTCAGTGATCACCCCTAGCGGCCCAATCATCATTGTTGCGAAGCCCCCCTATGCTGACCTTCAGGCCCCCTCTCAGTGCTGGGCTAGCAGGGGCCCACCACACTAGAGGGGGGCCCCTGATAGCCCTGCCCCAGCGTGCCCCAGCTTGCATAGCACTACATACAATAGTAGTATGCATATCAACGAAGTCCCCGCAGATCGCGACCAGACCCCAAATGCCACCTCCCTCTTTGGGAAGACCAGGGCGATCATTGACCAAGGCACCAACCAATGGCCTGCACGCATATGAGCATGCTGACCGTTCGGTGAGGCCTGCACGGGGAAGGCGCTCAGGTGCCGGGTTGCCGAGCTGGAAAGGAACCCCAGGCTACGGGACAAAATACTACACACACACACAAGGTTGGCCACGCATTATGGGAGGTGGCACGCGGCAGCTTAATGCCACCTGCATGGAGGGAAGGAAAAGAGGGATGCGTTCTTTCTGTTACCAAGGAGGATAGGACGTCTCCCTCAGGGGTTTCTGGAGCATAAGAAAAACAGAGGGACGAAGGCTTCCTTCTCGTCCTTCCTTCTCCTTGCTCTACAGCTTGGACTCGTCTGCCGGTGGTATTATGTTGCGTTGCTGGAGGGTGCCGACCTGAATCCCCCGAGACTCTTCACGGCGGAGCAGCACGCCTGCCCCAAGTCGAACATCTTCGCCGAGCTCGCTGTGCGAAGAGATCCGCCGACCTCCTCCCTCGCCGCCGCAGTCATCATGTTCGACTCCCTGAGACGCGCCCTGCGCAATGGCTCAGAGGAGCCCTCCACTGTCTCTTCGAGCCTACCCCTCTACTCGCCCCTCGCCGCCGACACTTTCGAGTCCTCCTCCTCCGCCGGCATCGTATCCGATTCGATAGACGACCTTCCCCTCTCAGGCAGCCAGGGCTCTCTCAAGGCCGCCCAGCGCCATGCCGCCTCCTCCCAGCTATGGCTGAGCCGGCCCTCCCTCTCACGCTTCCTCGCTGATTTCACCCTCGGCTTTGCGGACGGCCTCACAGTGCCATTCGCCCTAACGGCGGGCCTGTCGAGCCTCGGACAGACAGACACGGTGATCTACGCCGGCATGGCGGAGATCTGTGCTGGGAGCATATCTATGGGGATTGGCGGGTATCTGAGCGCCAAGGGGGAGGCTAGGGCTAGCCTCCCTGGGAAAGACACCGATCCCAGCCATGAGGATGATGATGAAGAGGCTGGGGAGAGGTGTATGGATGAGAAGGCTGGCTTGGCTGTGGACAGCTATCTTGCACCACTCGATCTGCCTCGAGAACTACTTGACCTGGTTAGGCAGCATGTGCACAGCAGGCATGACGTGGCGACAGCAATAGAGAGAAAGCTGGCCGTACAAGAGGAGGAGGATAAAGAGGACGAAGAGCAGGATGCCGGCCCTCAGCCTATCATGTCTGGCATGTCTGTGGCACTAGGTTACCTTATTGGCGGCAGCCTGCCTCTCTTTCCCTACTTCATTGTCAAACATGTCGGGGACGGCCTGCTATGGAGCTTCATTGTCTGCATTATCGCTCTCTTCTCCTTTGGGTTCATCAAGGACTTTGTGCTGCACATGCACAAGCAGAGAGAGGAGGTTTGGGTCAAGGATAAGGGGCTGGGCAGGCTGGGCTGGAGGTGGGCAGATGTGCGGAGGAGCTCATGGGAGGGCACACAAATGGTCATGTTGGGCAGCATGGCAGCACTGGCTGCTGTGTTCTGTGTGAGGCTTTTTGATGGGATGGGGTATGGTGGCCCTGAGCATTGATGGCAGGTTGATGTGTCTCAGACTAGATAGTCAAGCAGCATACCAATAATGCATCATCCACTTGAACACGACACACATTTGACTGTGGTCAAGTCTGCACAGCTCAGCAAAAGAGCAGCAACATGGTTAAATGCTTGGTCAATTGCTCATCAAATGTAGAGAACTGAGGTCTATTCATCCATCATTGCCCATGTTGCCCATATCATCAATTGGCAAGCTCCCAAGGCTGTTCATGTTGTTCCACCTCATAGTCAACAATCTTGAAACCAGAAAGGAAAAGGAAAAATGAAAAGGGGAAAAAGAACTCCTCGACGCCATTCCGAGAGAGCCTTGTTGAACTAAGCAGTCATGCACCCATCTATGCAGTTCATCATCCATTCAATCCTTGTCGAAATTCCAAATGAGGCCAACTCTGATGTGGCCCAGGCAGATGTGTGCAGCTTTCGAAAGGTATGTGAATGCGTCCAAAGTATTGGATCAGTCGACCAGACCAACCAATAAGTTGCTGAAGTCTTGCATACATGAGGCGTATATGGTTGCGCGTGTCGGGTAGGGGGAAAAGCGAGGTATGTGCTTCCCCGAGGTCACGTCTGCCCAGCTTCCTTAAAAGCTGCCCATGCATACATCGCAGACACAGCAGGCCTGTTGTAGCGCTAGTATCCAAACTTGGCATCATTGCTGTCGTTTGGAACTCCCAGTCGATCCTGTCTGGAGGAGGGTGGAGGGGACGGATCCTTGATCTGGTACAGCGCATCATACACTCCAAGCTCTTGCTTTGGCTTGTTGAGATTCAGTGCTCTACGCCAGAATGCCAAGAAGCCTAGTCCATCACATTGAATCTTGACTGTGAAGTTGGCAGTCTTCAGTTCGAAGTAAGGGTCTGATGATGACCTCTCATTCCGCTTTGCTCGGTGACGCTTAGGCATATCATTGCCGTCAGAAGATCTTGTATAGCCTGCATGGAAGTGCCCTGCTGGCTTGATCAGGTCTGAGTCCATGAATGCAGACAAATTGACAGTGTTGTTATTTCTTCGGTCTGCATCCAACATGGTTGGCACCAAGGTGTCCTGTTCACCAGAATCTTGACGTGTGTCCATGGCTTCGGAGTCCTAGTCCAAACCGGCAAATTCGTCATCTTCTTTGTGGGTGAGCCCTGGCTGTGCATCAGCAGGGATGTCTCTACTGACAACGCATTTGCACATGGTGAGGCACGGAGCATAAGGTGTATCCATTGTGACGTGGCATCCGGCTGACTGATAGAGACAAGAGGCTGAGTAGGGTGGATTGTTGCACTTGTCTTGGAGCTCGTTGTGGGGACAGATGACATTGCATGAGCTTGTAGTGCTGACATCAGGAGCCGGAAGGCCCGTAAGTGTAATGGTGGATGGCTGGAATTTCAAGGTGGTTCCATAGTCCTTCAGGTTGTCTGCCGAAGCAAATGGTCCAAAACTTGTAACAACAGCCGCAATGAGAGCGATGGTGCTGCTGCTTCCAGAAGTGATGGCGCTGTGGCTCTTTTCGTCATCATGCTGAGGCTGGCTGTCGACAGGGTGCTCAATAGAGGCTTTAGAACCGACAGTGCTAGAAGTCAGGTCTAGAACTTCAGCAGTAGGAGCACTGAGGCTAACCAGAGAAGACTTGAAAGATGGCTGGACTGTGCGCATCTTCTCAGTCTTTGTCTCTAGGTGAACATCTCTCTCGCCAGCCTGGTGAACCGCCTCATCATTATTGACAAGATATTCGGAGCCAAAGGAGCACAGGCTTGCAGTGCTTGTCGGTGGTGGTTTGTTACGAGAATAGTCAGTGGCAGCACTACCAACGACGAGGCTCCCTTGGGCATGACAACCTGTGCCTCCCAAGACTCCTAGGAGGAGGAGGAGGGCCACCAGCGCCTGAAGAAGTTGGAACAGCAGCTTTTTTGAGTTAGCTTGCTTCTTGATGATGGAAGAGGAGCAGTGTAAGGTTGTGCATTTGCAAGAAAAGCGGTTCAGTTATGTTTAAGGGTGAAGATAGGTAGCAGAAGGCTTATAGATTCAACAAAGCCAAGATCTGCTTGAAACGCGTTCAAAGACGCGTTCAAAACAGCAAATTGAGTGGGCTGCTGGAGGCAAGAAGGGGAATAGGTTGGATGATGATTGAAGGGGCAAATAGATTGAGGAGGGTGTGAAATAAGCAAAAGGGAGTAAGGGCTGAATGGCCTTCTTAGAGAGAGCAGTGATTCATACCTTCATTGTGCTCCTGGTGGACCTGCTCTGTCCTGGTCTCGATAAGTGCAGGATGGGCTGGGAGTACAAGGCGGCGGTTATTATCACAGCTTGGGTGGTGGTGGTGATGGTGGTGGTAACGTCGTGGTGGTGATGGTAGTGGTGGTGGTGGTTGTGGGTTGATGTTGGCAGTTGTGGGGTCGACAACTGAAAAATATAAGATATAATTGCTGTCAGAGGAGTATCAGTAGTGGTAGTGGGGCTCAAGGAGTAGGTGGGGTTGAGGGCAGCAGGCGACATGGGGTAGGAGAGATAGGTAGACAGCGGGGCAGCAAGAGATGCTTTGTTTGATGCATTAGTAGCTGTTCTTGAGGCTTCATGGCAGGAGCCTGGTGACCTCCAAGGCTGGCTATCAGAGCTCAGGGGTGCGTGCAACTAGGCTTGCAACCAAGCTTGCTTGATGCCTCAGTTCTGCCCCAGGTCCCTCAATCTCCTCAAGTTGACCATCCAGCAGCCAGAAGTCTTCATCAACCCAGTCCAGATCCATATCTGCAAACCTCCCAGTTCTCAAACCCAATAACATTTGCAAGCCGAACAGAGGATCAAGTTCAAAAACTTTGTGACAAACCTTGACATTTGTCATAGAAGCTTTAATATTAAACATAGAACAAGAGAAAAATGATGAAATCAATGTGGAATGAGAGCATACAGCTCATGTTGTTAAGGCTCAGCATAGTATTTTCCCTTGGGACAAAACATTTGAAGATGACTGACCAGGAAGAGCTATGCATGAGGACATGACAGTTGTAGCTTCCCATATATACAAGATGCTGAGCTAGGTTGGTCTAGATCAAAAGTTTTGAGGGGAAGATGATTGAGGCATGGCCAGGTTGATAATGAGGTTTGCCTATGTGCTTTTGGTTGCCCATAATACAATAGCCTGAATTGAATGCTGGCAAGATTCTGATGAAGGAATGTTTCATTTGTTTACTCACAGATTAAAAGCTATAGAAGAGGGAAGGAAGAGGGGAGACTATGCAGTTCACCTCTATGGGACTTCAAAGTAAATATATAAATACACAATAATCAAAATGTGGTTAGAGAGCATGAGCCCAGTCGACGATCCATTCCAATACCATACAGGCACTGTCTAGATTGAGGGCAAAATGTGATGTTCCCAGGCCCGAAACCCAGTGCACCTGCTTATGCCAGAGCAGCGCACAGGGATCTCAAGCCACCTGCATCCTCAACCAATGAGCTCTGCATGCATGCTATTTAACACAGCTTGTGCAAAGACTTGGCAGCCTTTTATCGTCCAATCACTTCTTTGCACCACTTATCGGCAGGCCTCCCGCCACAAGCAATAATTCCGATACCAAGAAACTTTTGGGATCACAATGTTTGTGCATGAAAGTTTTCAGCTTGACTGAGCACCTGCCACCTCGACATCAGAGGAACACAAGTTTGCTAGGTTTCGACAGCCTTGTCCCTGTGCAAATGTTTGGTGGAAAGATCAGAGGAATGGGGCGTTGTGCCTTGTGGAGTAGTGGGGGAGATGACAGGGAAGTTTACAGGGATCCTCCTGTCTACCCAGCCCTGCCCCGCCTTCAGCACACTAGCCTTGCCTCTCCATGCTGCCAGCACAATGTCCATGACATCACCTTGATATTCACGGCCTCTCCTGAGGAAACATGCAGTAAAGGACACAGACTTCTTACCTGTTTTCATAGATGGCTTAACAAGCTGCAGTGTCTCCAAGGGTATTCGAGCTCGCTGATGAGAACTCGATCCCCTTTTTAAGCGACAGCCATGGCAACCAGCACTTTCTCTACCAGGAGGCAGGAGAACATCAATCGCAACAAAGCACTGCTGGAAGAGCTCGGGGCTGTAGCGCAGGCGCAGGCCATCCGACAGTCGGCGACAGCAGCAGCAAGGTCCAGTGGTGCTGAGCAAGGAAGAATTGCAAAGAAGCCTCGCATAGCGAAGCCACGAGTAGATGCCGTACCCACGAGGACTTCTGCTCGCTTGGCAGCAGCGCCGACAAGACCGATCTATAACGATGATGGCGCTGGCCTAGTTGAGGGCTCCGTGTCATCTCTTAACAAGAAGGGGAAGTCCTCGAAGATGAAGAGAAAACCAGCGGGCGCCCTGGTTACAGCAGAAAGGGCGGAATTGGATGAGAGCAGCAGACCCGAGCCTGATGTTGACCTCGAAGAGCTTCGCGCATCCTGGTCCTCTTGGACCCCGACCGAGCCTGCTCCCATTCGTGATGAAAGCGGCGTTTTCCACTTCGAGTCCCACCCAGACTTCACCCCCAACAAGTCACCCGCTGAGGTGCTTCGCGAAGGTGCCTTCGGCGGCTCCTACTTCCGGCCCTTACGGTCCAAGAAGCTGGGCATCACAGTTTACGACGATTATCTTGAACTCCCCCCGTCATGGACCGAAGGCCTCAACATACCCTATTATCTCACTTCGCCAACATACGACCCCGAAGCGAACAAGTTCAAAGTAGCCTGCGGGCAGAGCATAGAAGAGTGGGAGGCGAACGGATGGATCAATCACCAGTTTGACGTCAGGGGCTGGTTCCAGTGGTACTGTCGCTTCTTTGCAGGTAGGAGATGCGAGGACGATGAAAGGCAGGTCAGCCGCTGGAAGAAATGCGTAGGATCTACGGGAAGGTGGCGGCGGATGCTGTTGAAGAAGTATGTGGCGTCAGACGTCAGAACAGTATGGGACGACGGGGAGGATGAAGATGCCCCGGAGGTTAGCCCAGTTATGCATCAGACGTGTCATCATTGGGCGTTTGAAGTCACACAAGACGTCCTGGATAAATATTGGAGGACAGGGCTATAGCGGCTTACGACTCACGCCCGTCACTGGATTGCCTGCTTGGATATGGACTCTCCATTTCGAAACAGGGAATAGGATTTCATTGATTATCCAAGAGAGTGACTGATCAGATCGAAAGCAAAGACTATTATGGCCGAGGCGGAGAGACCAGCCCCGTCTTGAGTGTCTCCATTCAAGAGCACGCGATGCCGCTGGGAACGTTCTCGCAAGAGCTGTACGTCTTACCACCAGTCACAACAACATCGGACCAGGTCCAGCCGGAGCAAGCTCCCGAGCCGCAGACAACCACAACATCGTATCCAGAGCTCGAGACGGCGCCAGAGCCGACGATGTTCTTGACCGTGAGGTCAGTGATGGGAATGCCGCTCGTGGGAGAACCCTTGAGGTCTCCGCCGTCGTAGTTCTGCTCAATGAGAATACCATATCTGTGAAATATTGTAAGCAATACTGTTTACTGGGCCTGAAGGGAGAGGGGCGTTATGATTCATACTTGGAGATGTCCGAAAGAGTGATGTCGTCGTACTCGACATCAGTAATGGTACCGGTGTCTCCCTCAGTGGCCTTGATACGGATTCCTGTAGTTTCCTTGTGAGCGCTCTATCCAGACACAACTGCGAGACCCGACTTTCTTTGGATCTTACCATTCACAGAGTTGGTAACAGTGGAGGTCAGGAATTGAACTCCGTCCACGGTGTTTTCGGTTCGCCCACCGACGGAACCGACAGACAGACCATGACCACCGGAGCAGTAGCCATTCCTAAAGATGATGTTCTGTGAGAGCAACTTTAGTCAACGAATAACTCCCTGTCAGGCCTGGAAGCCAGTCTGGAGCCACTTACCGTGCCAGAGTTGATGGCGACGCAATCATCCTGGTTGTAGACCGTCGCGTACTCAATGGTGACCGTATCAGAAGAACCAATATCGAAGCCGTCGGTGTTGGCACCAAGACTGTCTCCGGCAGAGGCGTCGATGGTGATGTATGCGAGCTCGAGGTTGGAGACACCATTGACACTGAAGACCTGGACAGGCGGGTTCAGGATGGTGAGAGTCTCGATGAGCGAGTCTGTCAGGTCGTGGGCCTGGAAGAACTTGGGCTTGGTCACTCCGCCGTCGGAACCTTCGCCATCCCAGTAGCTCTGCGACAATGATTAGTATCTCTAACTTCTTTTGTATGACCTTGTCTTGTTATTATTGTTATTCCCCTTCATGTCGCTCCCATAACTTACTGCACCATTGCCGTTCAGGATCGAGCCACCAGACGCCTCACCAGCCACGGTGATACCAGTGCCAGAGACAGCAAACAGCGGACCCTCCCACTCCTCGTATTCGAAAGAGGTCTCGCCCTCGAAGATAACAACCGTGTTGTCAGGCAGATCCGTCAGATCAAGAGTGACTCCACCAGGGACGGTGAGGGTGTCCAGGATAATGGTGGAGCAAGACGACTTGGACACGGAGGCCGAGGAGTAGCCAAGGCTGCCGGTGAACTTGCAGGTAGCCGCACGGGCTTCAATGGCCCGGTCCTCGATGGCCCGTTCAACCTCGTGAGGGCTAGGAGCAGGCGTCGGCGCAGGGGCGGCCTCGGGGGCAGGCGCCGCCATAGCGACCTTGGCCCAGACGGCTAGGAAGAGGGCAACACTGGAATGCATGATGATACCGGAGACCAAAACTTTGACAATAATCAACTTTTTCTGCTAAGGGTAGTGGGAAAAGATCTTATAATCTTGAAAAGGTTTTTGTATGTTGTACAGCTAAAGTAGATGGTCTTGTCGTCTCGAAAGCCCGGGCTGCTCTCTTCCCTCCTCCTGACAACAATCCGCTAGGCTGACCTCAAGGCTGTTTATATCACATTCTCAACACCTCTCAGTCTCTCGACAAGGCTTGCCCTCGTTTTCACATCTCCTGCCAAGAGTCCATTTCCGGCAGGTCAGGAGGATCTTCCGCTCCAACTTGCCAATATTCCCCTCGATGCCAAGGCTGAAGTGCATTCGATGTTCACAAGCTGGAGATACACATCATGATCACGACCGCCGCAGCTCAGCCAGACAAGGGTGTGTATATGGTCTGTCCAGCCCTCCAAGTTTGGTACAAGAGGAGGCAACCAACAGAAAGATTCGTGGAAGATCCTATATCCTTATAAGAAAGAGGCGTGGTGTAGCGCGGCATGCGCCGGCATCCTGCAAGCAAAGTAATTGGCTCTCCGGTAGGGAAAGAACCGTTTTGCCAAAAAGAGGAATGCGGGTTTCGCTGGAGCAAGAAGCAGGAGAGAAGGGAAGGGGCAATTCGCTTTACAAGTGAATTGGACGGAAAAAGCCAGGACTGTAATTTTGCATCAATCGCAGCAACGTCGCTTAGCCGAAGCGCATCGCACACTATGGAGCTATAAATACCACAGAGTCACTTGGCTTACTTCATTATCCTCGCTTGCATCCCTTTCCAGCGGAGAAAGGCGCTCCGGGAAAACTCTGGAACCAGTGCATTTTCGAGTGGGGGGTGACTAGTGGACAGGGTCACGGGTGCCATCAGATCATGTCACTACCAGGAACATGAAAACTGCTTGTGTCCATTGGGGAATCCTACGAAAAAGTTTCTAAATCTTGAGGGCACGAGAAAGATTCTAGACCTTGAGAGTACGGAAAAGTTTCTAGATATTGAGTGAAGAAGGCACAGTTGTACTCGCAATTGGCCACGGGAACAAAGAAAAGTTTGCTGGGTGTGATTCGGGATAAGAGAGTGCGAGCGCGAGAGGCCAAGTTAACCGACGTGTTTGGATAAAAAGACGACTGATATCTATACCGGCTTGAATCACACATGTGCCCTGAATCCGTTACTTTCGGCTTGTTATATCATTCCGTTCTTGCATGTGACATGTGACAAAAGGTCTATACTTGCGACCAACAAGCGAGTTGTGCTGCGGCCCTATTAGAATCCAGGATGTCCCAGGTGTCCAGCTAGTGATTTTTATGAGGCCATACCATCGAACTATCTTCCTAGAGATGACCAGATCAAGATTATCACGTTGAAGTCCAAGTATCTCAAAATATTTGGGACATTGAAAATGCGATATTGCGTTTCGATCGCATTAGTAGCTTGAAATCCATGTTCTATGCATACCTAAAACTAAAGCAGCATGGTACAGATGCAGGTCAAATTTCTTAAGCCGCTTCTCTATTTCCGAATGCAAATATGGAGTATGTCAGAGCTGCTCAATGGCTGCTCAGTGTCCAAACCTAGGAGCATTATCTGAATAATTCCTAGGGCCAGATATTATGCCAAGGACCCAAACCATCTCCCGTCCTGCAGCGCTTCACAGTTCTCCAAAGTAGATAAAGAGACAAGCGCCATGTAGTTTTCAGCCACAGTTCGCAGCGTGATACCTCTATTTGACCAGTCACCTCAGAAGATCTGGTAAACACCGTCGCATGCACAGAACACGAGCTCCGTAGTCGGCCCTCTTTCTATGGACACGCTTATCAGGATGCAGTAATTAGCCTCTAGCTGATAGTATCTGCAGACACACACGCAGTCGGCAGCACGTTAGCCGGCGTATTCAATGCCACAAGTAGAGAAACAGTTTCCCGATATATCGCCGTTTCGTTCATGGGTCCATAAACCGCAGGAATATCGGCGAAGGGTGGAACAGTGCGGTTCGAAGAATGTCTTTTGATAGTGAGGTCTTGCGTGAACCTCATTCGGCATCTCCTGACACGGTCCACCTTTTCTTTATCTTTCCGTCTGGGATGGAATCTGCTCTGATAGCCCAATAGCAAACGACCACTTGCCCATTAGCTTTCCGAGATCCCGAAGCCCGTGACTGTACGCAACTGCCTCGACAGCCTTGTCAGGCGGCCCACACCCAATATCATGAGCAGCTGACGATGGCTGGGTCACAGCACACGACATACACCCGCGTCAATGCGCATGTTGCTGACTAGAAAAAGTGTAGGGTAAAGAGACAATTCTAAAACACATTACAAAATTGCTGAAAAATCGAGTCATATTGACACGGCCACATTTTCCTTGAAATGTCAGGTATCGTAAAGTGTCATTAAAATAGCGGGCGATTGAGCTTATTTTGGTGGCGGACATTCTCCCATCAATACAGTGCTCTCACCTTGAGATCGGATTATATAAACTGAATACCGAGACGGCTCATGCTATAGCTTGGCATAAACAGTAGGCATGACACCGCCCATCTCGACCAGTGTGCTCTTATTCCTTATCCATGCCTCGAGGCCCTTGTGACCGTTCTCCACGCCCAGGCCACTAGACTTCCAGCCGCCCACAGCCATCTCGGCAGGCGACTCGCCCCAGGTGTTCACCCAGGTGATGCCCGCGTCGAGTTGTGCAATGACCTTGTGGCACTGGTTGATGTCCTTGCCAAAAACGCCCGCAGCCAGGCCCAGGTCCGTCGCGTTGGCCCTCTTGACTGCCTCCTCTATTGTGTCATATGCGAGAATACACATGACCGGTCCAAAGATCTCCTCCTGCACGATCTTCATGTCATCCGTGCAATCTGTAAACACGGTCGGCTGAATCCAGAACCCTTCTTTCAGAGCCGACGGCACTTTGACGGCCCCAGCCGACGTGTCCCCGCCGTACAGCACCCTCGCCTTGTCCTTCTCGACACCATGCTGTATGTAGCTGACCACTTTGGCATGGTGTGCCTTGCTGCTCAGCGGGCCTAGGTTGGTGTTCATATCGAACAAATCACCCGCACGGACAAACTGCATTTTCTGCAGTAGAACCTTTTCAAACTCCGCCTTGATCGCCCGCGGCACAAACACCCTTGTGCCGTTGGTGCACACCTGGCCCGTGCTGTAGAAGTTTGCCATCATAGCCCCGTTCACGGCGCTCTCAAGCTCGCAGTCCGGCAGCACCACCAGCGGGCTCTTCCCGCCCAGCTCCATAGTGACGTACTTCATGCCTCCCGCCGCGGCACCAGCAACCTTCTTGCCCGTGGAGACCTGGCCAGTGAAGCTGACCTTGGCGATCTGCGGGTGAGAAGACAGCAGGGCGCCGACATCACCTGCGCCGTAGACCACATTGAACACACCGTCGGGCAGGCCTGCCTCGCGGTAGATCTCAGCGAGATACTGTGCGTGCAGCGGAGTGTACTCGCTAGGCTTGTAGACCAGCGCATTTCCCGCGGCTAGGCAAGGTGCTGACTTCCACAGGGCGATCTGGATGGGGTAGTTCCATGCCCCGATGGCAGCACACACACCCAGGGGTTCCTTGGCGGTATATACAGCTGCGTCGGGCCTCAGGCGGAAGGACTCGCCATTGAGACCGCCCGACGCGACCAGGGAGGCGTAGTACTCGAGCACGTCGGCACCGGTGACGATATCGACGGCAGCAGTCTCGGATAAGGGCTTGCCTGTGTCGAGGGTCTCGATGCGGGCGAGCTCGTCGTTGCGGGCGCGGAGGAGGGCTACGGCGCGGTGCAGGACGCGGGAACGCTCGATCGGGGGTGTGGCGGCCCACGAGGGGAAGGCTGCTGCTGCGCTGGCGATGGCTGCATTGACGGAGTCGGGGGTGGAAGTGTGAATGGTGGCGATGGGTTTCGCTGTGGAGGGATTGACGGTCTGGAAGGAAGCTGATGATGATGTTGGTTGAATTCTACCACCGTAAAAGGTGTGACGGTCTTGTTCCTGAGGGTTGCCGTTGAAGGTCGGTGCTGAGAGGGAGCCCATGGTGGTGGTGGTGATGATTCGCCGCTGGCCAGTGGACGACAGAATGAGAGATGCCGACGATGATGGCGCGATGAGGATAGTAATGAGTGAGAGGCGTGGTGGTGAGTGAGAATGAGTGAATGAATGAACGATTGGTTGGTTCGTTAGTTGAGCGAGGCGAGTATCAGTCTGCCGACTAGCGCCAGTCGTGTGGGTGTGTGTGGGGAAATCAATTGCAAGGATTGGTGTATCTCTTCGTCCTCGTCTCCCTTTCTCTCAATTTTCAGTTATCTGGATGGCGGCAGTCAAGATTGAGTCGGTTTGGGGATAAGACAGAGAAGTGTTGTAGATTGTTGCGTGTGCAGCACACAGTACGTTTCATACGGGCAATTGAAAAGAGCCCCTCACGACTCACCCACGACTCGCTGATTAAACCCCACTGTGCAGTAGCTCTTTCTTTCACTGAAAATATACTGTGATACTGTGTGTCTTTAACAGTACAAGACCTTGTCATCCACTGTTGCACTGCCTGGAATTGTTTGAGTGTCCCGCGTTCTTCCTGCACAACGGCGACCTCCGATTAATATATTTTTTTTTTTTTAAACTCAGGAAACCCTCTGGCCTGGTTTGGATCTTCATCTTGAGTGGCACGCGACTGAAAGTTTGCCAGCCTTCTGCTATGTACTTTCATTCACTTTCAATCCTTGACAAACACCACCGCGAGTCAGCCACCGCCACGATGGAGCCCAGCTTGTCGAGCCAAACACGCCATGCACCAAGGCTGACACAGGCCAAAGAGGAAAAAGAGGAAGGAAGGAAAAAAGAAAGAGAAAAAAAAAACGGTGGGGCCCCTTGCTATCCTAGCAATGACGTCAAGCCCCTCAAAAAGAATGGAGGATCTAGTGGGGATCTCTCCAGTGGAGTCCACCTGGGGAGAGAGTTGCAGTGCAGGAAGATGCTGAATCTGCAGCCCTGCAAATACCCATCCGGCAGTGAGAGGGAACGAACGCCTTGATAGAATTTTCATCAACGTACAGACTATCGTACCATACCATCATAGTAGGAAATGTTGCGCCAGAAGATAAGCTGTTTGGGTTTTAGTTTATCTGGCACGGCTGGCTGCTGGTTGCGGGCATCTCTGCACTATGACCTATAGCAGGTTAGCAGAGGAACTCTAGGTTTAGAGGCCTATCATCCAAGATCAGGATGGCCTAAAGTCTATGCTGTGTCTGCCATGTTTCCCAGTCCGCCCCTTCATTCGATGCCGAGGCGCGCCTAAAACGGTCCTTTGCCAAGTATCGTACCATGCCATAGTGGAAGTTTGCTGACGCGAGCAAGTGTCTATGACAGACGACTTTTTAGCCTCCTTTTCCTGCTCGCCTTCCTCCCCTCTTCCCTGCATCGACAAGAGCAACGAGGGTGTGACAGGAGAGAACCCTGCATGGAGAGGGTCTGCAGCGAAGTACTTATTATACAGTACTATAGTAGCGAGGGAACCACACAGCATCCTTCACCAAACAGAAACGGGACCCACTGACTCTCCATGTTCCAATGAGAAAAGAAATCCCCTCCCCCCCACGACCACGACTATTTTTTCATGCGCGGCTCAGACCATCTACAGGGGAAACGTACCCTCCTTTGTCATAGAAAGAAAAAACATCCCTGGACGTCCGTCTTTCTTGGCCCCAAAAAAAGTTATCGACACCGCAAAAGGCCGCACCGCACCGCACCGCACCGCACGTTCACCCTTCCATTTCTCTCCGTCTTGAGGTCCCGGCACGAATTACTTTTTCAGGGGCTTGCTTGATCCACAAGCCACCCGCCTGCACGCGAAGACCAAGCAAGGACAGCTCATCCCAGATAAGGCTTTTTTTTTTCCCCCATTCGAAACTCTGTGCCGACTCATGGGTGAGTTGAGTGTGAGAGAGTGTGTGATACATAGATAAAGCTTAATCATCGCCGCTCCTAGTGGCCCGTGGGTAATTAATCTTTTTTTAAAGACGTTCTTGTCGACTATCAAATCTCATCACTTATCTTACTTGACCACATGACTTCACCTGTCAGCTTCTCCTCCTCCTGCTGTACCTCCTTCTCTTGCAGCCCTTTCTTATTGTTATCCTCCTCTCATCAGCATCACCACCAGGCATTATGACAACCACGTACATCTCCCCAGCGGATGCTGACCGCTTTGACTATGTCGTCGTCGGCGGTGGCACGGCAGGCTGCGTTATCGGCGCCCGCCTGGCCGAGTACCTCCCTCACAAGAGGATTCTCATGATCGAGGCCGGGCCCAGTGATTTCATGGACAACAGAGTGCTCGACCTGCGGCAGTGGCTGGCCCTCCTCGGTGGTGAGCTCGACTATGACTATCCCACAACCGAGCAACCAATGGGTAAGTGAAAACTGAGCCAGGCGTGTGTCCAATTGATGAACCTGGTTGAAAAAAGTATTAGACGACGTGTGATACGAACACACCGAAGCTCAACCAAATTCCAAAACCCAAAACCAGTCCCAACGTCCCAAGAATAATGTGAGAATCATGAGGCTTATTATTGGGAATTTTCTTTCTTTTTTTCCTTCTTCCCTCTAGGTAACTCACACATCCGACACTCTCGTGCCAAGGTGCTGGGAGGCTGCTCATCGCACAACACGCTCATCTCGTTCCGGCCCTTCGAGTACGATCTGAAGATCTGGGAGTCGCTGGGCGCCAAGGGCTGGAACTTCAAGGACTTTATGCGCCTCATGGACAACCTGCGCAACACAGTGCAGCCGGTGCACGCCCGCCACCGCAACCAGCTGGTCAAGGACTGGGTGCTGGCCTGCAGCGACGCCATGAACATCCCCGTGATCCCTAACTACAACGAGGAGATCACCAAGACGGGCTCTCTGAAACAGGGCGTCGGCTTCTTCAACGTCGCCTACAACCCAGACGACCACAACCGCTCGTCGGCCTCGGTGGCCTACGTGCACCCGATCCTGCGCGGCGAGGAGCCCCGGCCCAACCTGACCATCCTCACCAACGCCTGGGTCTCGCGCGTCAACGTCCACAACGACACGGTCCGCGGCGTCAACGTCACCCTGCGCGACGGCTCGACCCGCACCATCAACGCCCGCGCAGAGACCATCCTGACCGCGGGCGCCGTCGACACCCCCCGCCTCATGCTCCTGTCGGGCCTGGGCCCCAAGGAGCAGCTCCAGAGCCTGCACATCCCCGTCATCAAGGACATCCCAGGCGTGGGCGAGAACCTGCAGGACCACCCCGAGAGCATCATCATGTTCGAGCTCAAGACGCCCCTCCCGCGCGGCCAGACCACCATGGACTCGGACGCAGGCCTCTTCCTCCGCCGCGAGCCCCCCAACGCCGCCGCCTACAAGCACCCGGCCAACCCGCTCGCCCTGCCCGACGGCGACATCGCCGACGTCATGCTGCACAGCTACACCGTCGCCTTCGACTACAACACCGCCCGCCTGGGCTACGACAGGATCTCGGACGAGTACGCCTTCTGCATGACCCCCAACATCCCGCGCCCCCGCTCCCGCGGCCGCCTGTACCTCACCTCGGCCGACCCCAACGTCAAGCCCGCCCTCGACTTCCGCTACTTCACCGACCCCGAGGGCTACGACGCCGCCACCCTCGTCTACGGCATCAAGGCCTCGCGCAAGATCGCCGAGACCGCCCCCTTCAAGGACTGGATCAAGCGCGAGGTCGCCCCAGGCCCCAAGGTCCAGACCGACGAGGAGATCAGCCTGTACGCCCGCAGGGCCGCCCACACCGTCTACCACCCGGCCGGCACCACCCGCATGGGCGATGTCGAGACCGACGACCTGGCCGTCGTCGACCCCCAGCTCAAGGTCCGCGGCCTCAAGAAGCTGCGCATTGCGGACGCCGGCGTCTTCCCTACCATCCCTACCATCAACCCCATGCTGACCGTGCTGGGTGTGGCTGAGAAGGCGGCCGAGATGATCGCCGCCGACGCTGGCTGGAAGGAGACTGCCAAGCTGTGAGCGGCCACTTTCTTCCCCTTGTGTGAAGTCTGCCCATGCGAGAACACTGGCTGGGGGCTTGTCGATTAGAAAGAACGATCGCGAGGGCATCTGTCTGCTAGCCACGCGTAGATAGAACGGTTTTGCTTGTGTAGAAGGCCCTGAGAGCGTTGAGGATCAGTATTCTTATGAGAGTTCAGATAAAAGAGAAATATGAATCTACTGCATTGAAGTTAGGCTCCAAATGATCGACCGATCGGGTAGTGTCCAGTATCCCTCATCTGACTGGTCTCCTCATGGAGCCGATGTAACGGTCTACTTTCTCGTCACCTCCAGTCACACATCCTTCGCTTTTCTTTTCCTTTCCTCGTTGAAGGCATAAGATTATCTTATTCTTATCAGAGTCTTTCACTTTAGATCAGACTTTGATGCAGTCACACAAAGTGGGCTCATGTCGAGAACCAGGCCAACCTAGGACTTTGTGGAGTGTTTATTTAGTACATGGGTGCTTAGATGATGGGAGAAGCCTCTTGTGTGACAGCCGGGAATGCAAGAATGTCTTTATAGCTGTCGAAATGCCAGCCTCTCCACAGGCTCGATTGAGGAGGACGCGATAGGGCAGGGGACAGGGATGGGAGGAGGTCAAGCCAGGCTGCAGTGGCTGAAGCTATCCAGGAAGGTGATTGCCAGGTAGGCACGGGCCAACTGAGTCACGGGTCCTCGCGAACCAAACACGTTACTAAGCACCCTCAAAACACCATAACATCTGTTGATGGTCATGGCATGCTATTGGAATGTGGCTCAAAAGGGGATTGGTCATTTTGCGACTGTTTCCATAGGGGACTCGGGGCATCGGAGTACTTATTCATGGTCAATCACCAAAGTTGCCCAGCTGATCAATTATAGGGACAACTGACTGAAATTTCAATAGCCCCTCATCATGATGTATAACTTATGTATTTGAGTAGCAGAGTGCCCATTATCTGCAGTAGCTCTCAAGAGGTGTCAAGAGGACCATAGCTAGCTGCCAACCATGACCCATCAGGTTGCCCATGAGTTGGTGTTTGCTGAGACTCTCAAATACAATTGTCATCTTGACTCCGTCTTTGCTCATTATACTTGGCAACATGTCCCCTCAAGAACCTCTTACATCTCCGAAATGGTTTAGCAAACATGCATCCATGCTTTAGAGACGACGACATCCACCCTCAGGGTGCAGATGACCTGTGCCAGCCCGTTCATCTTCCCCCATTGCCGTCGGCGTTGGACCGAATCGACGTGCCCCCATACAGATCCCAAGCATCATCAGACGTCCTGGCTCAGAAGAAAGACAACTTCGTCGCCGAAAATCTTGGCCCTTCTCGACTTCCGCTCGTCGGAATCAGGCACATCCCTAAGTCTCTCAAACTTGCCGAGGCGTCGGCCTCCCTCCTTGAAGATCTCGTGCTGCCAGGCAGGAAAGCTCAGGATTTGGACCAGCGCATCAACACCTCGTTCGTGGATAACCTGCTCGTAGAATGGGAATATGTACGGGAACGTGTCTCGCGCGAGCTTCGTTCCGATATACTTGTCCATGGACTCGATGGAGGTCTGCCAGCCGCTGATAGGTCTATTGGTCTGCCTGAGATACCGATCGAAGCTCTTCTCGCTAATGGTATAGTCGAGGCCAGAAATAGACAGACTCTCTAGGTATTTCAGCTGGGCCACCTGTGCCGAGACCCCAGGCAGGAGCTGCCACTCGGAAGACGTGGTGCCCACCCCCACCGCGCGTATGAAAACCATAGACTGTGGGCGTAGGTGGAGAAGGAAGGTCTGCAGAGCCACGAGCCGGTTGAAAAAGAACTTCTGGCCATACATTAGACTGGAAGCCTCCTGGTAAACGATCTTGGAGACCCGGAGAAGTCTGAGGTTCCTAAGAGAATTAATAAAGCAGGTGCGCTCGGCAAGCCTGCGACGGATACTGATGTTGACCAACGACACAGACTCGAGGCTGACTTGACTGCTCTTGTTTAGGACGACGAGCTTGTAGATCATGTTGCGAATCTCGCCCGGCAGATACCTGACGAAGGTTAGCCTGGATGTGTGTCTCATAGAGGGAGTATATTTATAGACAGGTGGGCGCACATGAAGCGGAAGGCTGGCGGTTGCTGTTCGAAGACCTGAGCTTTCTCTGGGAGGTTCTGTGGTCATAGCGCCCATCAGTACTGGAACATAGACTGGTTGCTCAAGGCCACATATTTGTCAGGGTCATGGTTACCTGGACGTCCTTGCTGGCACTCTGTTTCAAGTCATCGTCGCTGTTGCCATCTTCTTGGCTGAGAGCATCATTGTTTCCACCCAGCTCCTCAGATTCATGGTCCTCTGTATATGATATGGTGACGCGCTTGCGCTGTGAATAGCGCTTTGTCGTCTCAGACTCTGTCGACATCCTTAGTGATGCACAGAGGGGTTTTGTTGTCGCAATGGTGGAGGATGGTTCTAGTGAAGTGGGAAGCTGCTTGTCACCCAAAAGCCTTTTGTATTGTGCAGTGGTGAGAAGTCTGGGTGGCCTCAGAAGAAATAAAATACCAGAGAGATGTGGGAGACGCGTTTGGAAGAAACAGAAGGTTTGGGGTGTGTGTATGCAAGGAAGGAGCCCTTGGGCTGGATGAGGCTGTGGGTAGCTTACGTAATTAAGTAGCTGTGTAAGTACTGACCAAGTAAGCATCCCTGCATCTCCTAAACTTGACCCACAGGCTCAACTTCACAGCAGACCTTCCAAGTTCGTCAGAAGCTAGTCACTATGAACTGAGAAATTAATACAACTTTCAATATACATATCTATTAAATACTTTTGATTTCACAAGGCATTACCTAAGACCAGTGTTCATCCGGTCAAGCCCTTCAGAGGCTTCAGTTGTTGTCTTGGCATAGCTTCAGAGAATTCACTATTGCGGCTGAGGAACTCTGTTGAGCTTCATGGCCAAGATTTTGACTCCTAGTGCCTCGAGTCAAGTCGTGGCATCAAAAACCCCAAAGTGTCTAACACTCGTTACACAGATTGATCAGGAAGAAACAAATGACATGCAGGCGAAGACAGCAAATCTTAAGCACTTCAATATTGCTCAACAACTAAGCATACATTGATGAAAAGAAGCAATCAAAGAGAGAAAGTTGAAAATCCCAATGGTAACAAGATTTCTGAGTTTGCATTTAGGAAGTAGGTAGCATTGAAGCTTATGTAGCAAGGAAAATGCACAGAAATGAATGAATTGATACACTACAGAAGTAAAGAGGAGGAAAGAAAACGGAGAGAGAAAAAGAAAAACAGCTGGGTAGATGAGGCTGTCTACTTTAAGGCAGTGGGTGCCTGGTGATAGTGGGGGCCAGTACTCACTGAGTCTCGAAAAATTGGGCCACGAAGAGTGTAGAGCGAGTAATACTAATGACCAATATGAAAGTTTGATATAATCTTCATGTTTGGATTGAGACTATCTCGAATGTCATGCAGCCTGGATAGTCAAAATCATGATGATTTATATACCAGTAGTGCCTCAATATTAGTCGCAACCTGTCCCCCCCAGCGCCCCACTGCGAAGCAAATAATGGTCTGCATACCTCATTATTTACTAAACCACTAGTCCCTAAAATTTCCACGATCTGGATTCAATGAAACTTGTCCGTTTCCAATCGTCGAGATTGCCACAATATGAACTGCAGGCCTCTTCTCCCCGGACACAACCGGGATGATCTGACCATAAGAACAAACCGCAACGAGAAAATGGGGTGAACATATCCTCTCCACGACTATTCACTAAAAGTTGCAGGCCCTGCCCATCATGGTCTTGCAGCCCCTTTAGTACATCCTGCATGTTGAAGAAAGGGGACAGCCATGGATCATCCTCTTTGAGCCGCCTGTATGTCAACAGCTCCACTTGAATGGCAGCCCAAATCATCCCAACTTGCTTGTCACCACATTTGACATATTTTCTGTGAGAGAGGAGCTCATAACTGTGGATATTATGGTGACAGTAGCCACCAATCCCCTTGCTAGCGTCCCATGATTTGTTGAATGAAGCCTGTGAATGGTCTTTTGATGTCTTGGTCGCAGTGCTGGTTGATCCTTGAGCATGCTTGACTTGGTGTCTTAGAAGTTGTACGATGGCACTCCACCCAAGCTGCACTTCGGATGTCCATGCGCTGATGATATATTCTGGGACAGCTGCAGCAAGCTCAGCTGCATTGAAGGCTCGATGCTGGCACTCAGCAGCCTCCTCAATCCCCAGAATCGCTGGGATGGAAATCTCAAGGCTTAGAGATGGATCTGCCCTAAATGTTATGAGACATACTAAACAAGCAAGCATTCCAAAGAGAGTTTCCCCCGGGAGGCCAGAGTTAGCCAGATGATAGGAAATGAAAACAAGAGCATGGATGGGTCCAAGTGCGAGCTCTAAACCACATCCTTTACAGCGTCTTCGAAACAAGCCGCTGACCGTATTGATGTCAGGACGCCAATCAACCACGAAGATGGTGGTAATGCAATGGTAGACTGCCTGGACAGAAGTATGGCAGAACATGTGCTTCCACCCGGTAGGTATCGTCGCCTCTCCAGTTACGTGGAGATGACGGATGCATGGCGAATCCGCATCCCATCTCCCACAGACATCAACGTCGCCTCCGTCGAAATGCGATTTGTCCGATGCGAAGCTGCCTCCTAACATATCAGGGGTGATAGAACTGTGCGAGCGCAATATGGAGATGAATAATGTGTCCAAGACGGTCAGGCCGGATTTGTCTGTGTAGTTGACTCCAATTGAACAATCGTCATCCAACGACCGCACAAGAAGTGACATCACGTTGCAACATGCCTTAGCTCCGTCTAGAAATCTGGCCGCAAGATGAAAGGGTGAAATATCTCGAAGGGCTCGGTCGTTGTACCGTACTGCGTCTAAAAGATCTAGCAGAACGTCTGTGTTGCGAGACATGATAGCGAAGCCGATGGCTTCAACCTCGGTGTCGCTTTCACACTCAGCGGCAGTGTTGACAAGTTTATCAGCTGCCAATGGCAAGTCCTGACACTTTATGGTGGTGAACGAATTATCCCGGCTCGCTTCAGCCAAGGTTTTGCTCAAATCCTGATAGGGTTCCCATTTTGGCCAGGTAGACTCATCTTCCACGTCAAATTGATCGGCACTATGGGCCTCAATGTCGGTGTCCTGTTCAGGGATTGGATCGTACTTGATGGTTGCCTTGTAGTGTATTGACCATCTGCACAATTGTGTAGGAGGATCGACCACCGGAGGGATCGTGGAAGGAGACTGCACCACGACTGCTCCCATCGAGTCACCCGAGTTGTCTTCAAATGAAGATTCGATGACACCGGCAAATGTCTTGAAATGAATTAACGACGGGTTCCAGTGCCGAGGTCCTTTGCCCCAGTACTTCGTCGTCATGAACGAGAACATCCAGCCGTCATGAAGCCAGGTGGCAGCGGTCCTGTTTGTCCATACATACTTTAGCACTGCTATCTTTTGGGTTGTCTGAAAATGGTGCCTGAGTCCTCACCTTCTCTCATCCCTAGTCAATTGCTTCATTAATTCGCGGTCTCTTCCGCTCAAGAGAAGGTGTGCTCTGTCAATGAGCACCTTCTTGTCCACCAGCTGAGCGGTCGGCGACATTGCCTCGCGTGGATCGGGACTAGGGTGGTCATGAAGGCCCACAGCGATGTAGTCTGGAGTCGGAGGCCCAGGGCTGAAGGGTGATGGATGATCTTGAACGTGACCCCCTAGCCGTCGAACCAATGCAGCGTATGGAAGATCCCAATTGAGAAATCTGAAGAGTTACATAAGTTGATGAATAGCGAGGGCGTGGCCTCCGTAATGCATGTGGGGAATGACTTACAGGCCAGGGCGAAGAGGAATGGATGTGGACTTTCGGATAGAGTCATTGATATATCGCTTTATTTGTTTTTTGTCGACGGTCTTCATGAAGCCGCCTTGGTCGAGCTGGATGTCGGACAGGTCTGTTTCGCGCTCTGCGCGTCTCTTCCCCAGGACGCTGATCACGGCTTCTTTCTCAGTAGTTGTGATGCGTTTCTTGATGCCCCATTTCTTGAGTTGGTAACGGTACTGGTGAACCCTAAGGTTGTGTCGACGGCCGTCTTCAATCAGCAATTGTGCGTGAAGTACGAGTAGAGTGCGTATGCTTTCTCGACAGGTCAATGTTACTCACTCTGCCTTGAAACTGTACTGTTTTCCATGCGCTGTGAGACCTGCTGGAGTCTGGCACCTTCCTCCATATAGATCCTGGTGATGTCTGGTTTCAGCAATTCCCATCTCTGCTGATATGGGACGTCTAGGTGGCGATCGACAGGATCCATGATGTCGGCAGAAACAATAAGTTTAGAAATGTCGGGGTTGGGGGATATCAATGAGCATGCAGGATAAGGCTGTGAATAGAAAGCAAGTCAAGGCAAGACAGCTGAGCCTGGGGTGAGAGCCGTATTTGTATTTTGTAGACACGCCTAGGCGGACCACGAGGACTTTGGCGAACCAAAATGAGACGCTGACCGACCACCCCACAAAGTGCAACACTTATGGCCGCGTCACCAAAAGAGAACAACCATTCAAAGGCTGCTGCAACCCCCCTATACATCCTGGTAATAATATTTTACGGACGTGGCTTGACTTGATGGTCCAAACCCTGGACGACAAAAAGAGAGCAGCCTATGACCGGCTCCCAAGTGGATCCGATGGAACGGCCTGAGATCCTAGTTGATTTGAAGTTGCTTTTGTCACCTTCTATTGTACCTTCTGTGCAATATACAAATCTCAGCACAAATAGAGACTATCCAATGACATGTTCTTTACTTTCACAACCAGACCCACAGATCGCTGGGTGTATATGCTCCAGAATTTCACAAAACGAGACTATCCAATGGCATGTTCTCGATTCATGAACCCATACCCGGGGTTTCGTATTTTCCTGAGGCATGACTGCTCTAGCATCACACAAGGAGACCATCCAATGAACAACAATCTTGGAGGCTCCATATACGCCCAGCAGGTACATGCCATGGCTCAGGGTGGGCTGGAGCCCCCGACTTGTGGTGTAGGTGAGGAATGTCTGCAACACAATTCAGCCAGGCGCGCATTCTCCGGGCTTTGTCAGTCTGACCTTACGAATATAAATATGCCTTGCAGCCCGGCCAAGATCTACTGACAATTCATTCAGCGAGCATCTCAGAGAAACACCGCTATATCTATCATTTCAGTCCTCGTTACCTCTCAATCGTCTGGCCATAGCTACCCTTCTACCCCCAACTCTTACCCATCATTCACCCGAAAGATCTGTGACGTTTGTGCCTGTGATCTCCTTCGACCATATTATCGTTCTGTCTCCGACACACAGACTATCATAGACCCTCAAACTTTCACTGAAAACTTCGATAACATCATCTCCTCCTCCACGAACCATGCCTTACATGTCTAGTCCGGCTCCTGCTTCAGTATCCCAGGAGTAAGAGTTTCTCGTTACTTGCCTTCAGGCTTGACACATCTATTAACACTTGGAATTGTTTTAGTGCTACCAGCCAGACATCTTTCAACGACAGCCGCGCAAGCATGACTGCTCAGAGTGGATCTTCCGGGACACGAACTCACCCTCCTCCTCGCCGAGATTACAGGGTTGCTTCTGGTGGCATAAGCAAGGAAGACCGGGTTAGCAACGACCTCCTGGGTGTTGGGGCTCAGTTCGACCACCAGAAATAGGCACATGAAGTTCCAGGACACAGTCCCTCGTGGAGGTGGTAGACAAATATTGCTAAGAGTATACGAATATCATTGGTGCTATCAGCAGTTATGTTCGATGTGCTAGGTGACCGCCTCATCCATTGTAGGCATATATCAACTGCATAACTGCGCCCATGTCTATACAACTTACATTGGCCCATATGTCAGCCTTAATTCAGGGTGAAAGACTTTGATCTTTCTTAATCGACCATGTCTGTCCTGGAGGTCCAAGCTCCGCGCGGGCTCAGTGGAAACCTTACCCTACTGCTCGAGCTGCTTACGTCCTAATTTATCCTTGGGCTTGTTTCTGACGAATGACACCGATCCCTGAGTCCTCAGAGTAATTTGAAAGATACTTCAGTATACTGTGGTAGGTTGGATTCCGGTGTAAGTCGTTTTGTGTTACATCTGGACATAGACCAATTACGAGACTGATTCCAAATTTCGACCTAAGTTATCTGCGACGCAATCATTACGCGACGCGGCTGAATGCGTGGATTTCATACCCATCCTAGGACTAGGTCTGTCGATTCATGCTTTGACTCTTCAACAGGGTTTTATCAAGTTGACGAAGGTCAAACTTTTGCCTTTGTATCAAGCTTTGTTTGATGCCTACTTGTAGAGAGCATCCATACGATGAGCGTCGGACACGATTGTCACACCCATACGGACTGTTCAATCAGCATGAAGAGCGACATTATATTCCATCTGTATTCAACACCAGAACTATGTTTTTCACCTTCCGAATTTGTGGTATACCAACATTGGACTGCAATGACAAAAAAACAAGACGGGGATAACTTTAGTATGATGACCGTATATAAGAGGGTTCATTCACCAATCATGTCAGATGTTACTCACCTCTTCGACAACAAGCTTCTATTGAATAAAAGAGTGGAAACACATGATATTCACGAATCACAGTAGAGATTACCGTGTCAATATTCAAAAGAATCAATTACTCTTCTTCGTCTGCCCGCCCATCTTATCCTGCACCATCCCACCAATGCCCCCCTCGGCCGTGAATTGTTTCCCAATAGCACCCTCTTTATCAAAAGGTCCGCCCACCTTCTGTGCTGTACCACCAATAGCACCGGCCTCTGCGCAACGACGTTAGTCATGGATGCGCCTGGGGAACCGCAGTTCAAACCAGATGATGCAGTTGAGCCCCTGGGGAAGGTTGAACTTACCGGTGAATTGCTTGCCAATGGATCCGTCGGCGTCAAATGCCTTGGGCGCGTCATGGCCAATGTTGCTGTTGGCAGGTGTCTGTGTTTGGCCGGACATGCCACCCGAACCGTGGGGCTTGACGTTGTAGTTCTCAGACATTGTGGCTGTGGGCTTATGATGAAGACTGGGTTGTGTGCGGGGCGTGTTGACTGGGGTACGAGGTTTTGCAGTGCAACAAGAGAGAAATACGCAAGATAAAAATAGTGTATGAAATGTGTGAATCAAGCCTGAGGTTGGAAATAAATACCTGTCCAGCTTCCACAATAGATTTATGCTCGGTTGGTGGTCTGAAAGCATGACGCCAGCAGGCCGTGATGATCCGTTGATTTCATGCCGATGAATGAGGTCATTGTAAAGAGGTGTCTCAACGGCCTTGCACACTAACAATGTACAGTACGTACTAAGTAGCCACTGCAGATCGCCGTGGGACCCCTGAAGTGCGCACCGCGGCTGGTTGACCGTCCCCATCAATTACCCTCCTCGCTTTGTTCATGGTTCAAGTCTGCAATCTTTGAGGGCGCTGGACGGTGAGAAACCACACATGCCTCCAGATTAGAGCCTCTTTCTTTCTTTGGTAACTGTCGAGCAACGGCGAGTCAAAAGTCTTCACTCACCCTACTGGTGTCAATGATCAAGATTGCTCAACGCGTTACTTGCGGTGTTCTTCTCATAGCCCGACGTCCCCTGTAGACATTATGTGTGGACAAATCTCACAGCAAATCTGCAGTCCAAACCCGATATGGTTGTCAACCAGCATAATGTGCTGAGATCAAATACGACATTATGCGAGTGTCCCACCCAGCACTGATGCCATACTTGAACCAAACAGCAGAAGTTACATTTGCGGGGCCCAAGCAGACCCATACCCTCGCTTCGTTGGCGTCTCATGAACCAGATCGTCGAAATACCTGTAATCCTGCGTGTGGCGTATTTCTTTTAGGTGATACTGTTTGGTTATATGACTTTCTTAGAATCTTAGCCACGCCTTCTCACAGCGCATTTGAGCTTGCTACAGAATGTATATACTCCGAGAAGATATATATGTACAGCATGAAGACAACAATGACCAAGCTCTATCAGTTCGCCCATCCATCATACACTAACGCACAACCTCTATACATCCACAAGGGCCCGTCGCTTAGAAGAAAGACCCCGTCAGGGCACGGACAAAGCCCTCCGCAACAAGCTTGTGGATAGCCTGACCAGGGTGGTAGCTATCGTACCACACACAGGTGGTGCCATCAGAGTTCGCGCAGGTGATGTCGCTGTCGAGGCCGTACGAGGTAGGGTTATCGAGGACCTCCCAGAAGTACGACGTCGTGTTGAAGACCTGGCCGAGGGTGATGTCCGAGTTGTTGGTCTTGAACTCCTCCATGTTGCTCACGAGAAGGGAGTTGTACGATTCGAGGTTGGCGATGAGGCCTGACAGATCCGTCTCTGAGTCGAAGGCGGGTGCTTTGTAGAAGGCTATAGGGTGGCAAGGACATGACATCCGGTCAGTCGACTTTATATCATGGCAGTATGAAAGGAGAGAAAGGTGGGGGGGGGGGGGGCGGCGGGGGCAATAGGTAGATGCGTGGATGGTGTGAACTTACGAGGCACCATGTTCAGCACAAAGTTCCTGACGCCGTCATCGTACAGGTTCTGCATGAGGGTAAAGTACTCCGTCATGACCTCGTCGATGGGGCACGTCGCATACTCCTCCACCTCCCAGAAGCACTCGCCAATATCGTTAATGCCGATCCAGACGGCGACGAGCAGGTCGTCGGCAGTCCATTCGGCATATGAGGGAGCGGGCACCAGGTTGTCCTCAAAGTCTCCAACCTGGGCGATGACGTCCGTGGTGACTCCAGTGTTGATGATGTCGTTGGACACGTCTGCGCCGTAGTAAGCCCAGTCGTAGGTCAGAATCGTTGAGGTGTTGTACACGCTTGTCACGTAGCCCACCCACTAGAGGGTTTGGTCAGTATATTGACTGTACCAGCTCGTTGAGTTTCAGGCACTCACGTTGAGTCCGCCAGTGGTTGTGGTACCTGGCAAGGCGGGACTGCCGAACGGGTCCGAAGCCGAGGGCTTATCGCCCTCAATGTAGAAGCCAGTCGACGAGTAAGAATCGCCACTGGTGATGAATATCAGCATATCTGCAGGTTGATGGATGAGTCGATATTTCAGACACTTACAAGACAACCAGGTACTTGGTGTCTCCACTGGAGGCGGACGAAGATGAAGTGCTGGTAGTAGCCGAGCTTGTAGCAGATGCGGCGGCGGCAACGGTTGTCGGATTTGCTGTTGACGAGGACGACGTCGTCGTATATGCCTGCACTGAGCTTGATGAAGTGACCACGGCCTTGACAGAGGTAGCCGAGGTGGCAACCTCTTGAACTGAGCTCGAAGAGGTGGCGACCTCCTGTGCCACGGAAGTACTGGATACTGCTGCGACAGACGAGGTGGGAACTGTCGAAGTCGGCTCGGCTGAGGAGCTGGTGAGGACTGCGAGAGCAGAAGAAGCGACGGCAGTGGACGAGGACGCCGGAACGTCAACGCTCGAACTCTGACTCTTCCGGACGCAGGCAGCGTTGACGGAGGAGAGAGCCGCTGCTAGGGCCAGGAGCTGCTTCGGAGCAAACATGTTGTCTGTTTGGGAATTGAATAGATGAATGAATCTTGAATGAATGAAATTGAAACGAATGAGGGACCGGCCGGCTCGTAGAACAAAAACCTGCAAAGAATGGAGGGCAAAGAACGTCGACAGACACTGCTGCGCTGTGGGAATGGATGAACAAAGTGAGGAAACAGAACAGAACAAGGACCCAGAGAAAGAACAGAAACGAAACAAATCCACTCGATCTTAAGAGAGAGAGAGAGAAAGGGAAAAGGGGATTGATCAAGTGAGAGCGGTCATGTTTCATCGAGAGTGACGATGTGGGCATCCCTCGGCAAGCCAACCGAGCCAGGACAGACCCTGCGATCCTTTTTTGGCCAAACTGAGCCGTGCAGGGGCCGAGGGTGCGGTCGCCATTGGCGGGAATGAGGGCATCGTCGGAGAGCGCGTGGTGGGAGATTAAGGGGAGTTGGGGCGGGTAGAGCCGCATGTTCCCAAACACATGGGACCCAGACCAGGTTTATTAGTTTCCACGTTGACCTCAGCCCTTGTATTCCATGAATCTTGCATGTAGAATCCTGCTGATTATGTGAATGTCAAGGCCTGAAGTTGGGTTGCTCCAGGTGTGCGTGACGTATGGAGCCGGGGGCGGGGGGGGGGGGGGGGGCGATTAAAAAAGAAGAAGCGAACACCTCAAAAGAAAACCCTTGAGCATTAGTATCGCACAGCGATCACAGTCAAGATGGACAGGGGTTTGAGAAGGACCAAGCCAGATGCAGGCAACATCTGCGCCGCATCATCTCACAAATCTTCGTAACCCCGTAGCAAAAGTTGTGAACAGTTTGTCATCCCCAAAAGAAGTCGCCCAATAGATCGCATCCACTTTGCTAATTGCTCACGGTCGTAGCAATGCAGGGCACGACAGACATTGGCAACCTACGGCACAGTGTTGGGAATGAGGATGCTCCAAGTACGTATTCAGAAGCTAACGACTTAAGATGGTCCGTCAGATTCCATGCAGTCTCGACGCGCGCCCTGCACATATCGAGAGATGCTTCCTCGCTCGCTAGTAATCATTCCGCGGCCTTGGACGATGAACCCGCAGCAGCAGGCTCCTGACTTCTTCCTCTGGATCCAATCCCCTGTGGCCTTCCACCAAGGTAAGGCGGCGGGACCTCTCCGACCCCACCAACCATGAGCTCCTCGTTCCTCTCGACCTGCTGATACCCAGGGAGGGCATTGTCCGGGTGAGCCTCATGCCAAGTGCCCAGCAGGTCCTCCTGCGGCAACCCGAGCTCCTCGGCCAGCTGCGCGTACCGGGCGCTGTACTCCCGCAGGACATCCTCACCCTCGCGCAGCCACTCGGTCAGCTGGTCGCGCCGGGCCTGGACCTCCTCGCGCGTCGATGCCGAGACGGTGCTGAAGCCACCTGTGTACGGCGGGACGTCGGAGGCGGAATAGGCCGGGGGTTCGGACTCGGAAAAGGCGGGCGGCGGCTCGGACGGGGCTGAGGAGGGTGGCGGCTGTGACGAAGCAGCGCCTCCGGGTGAGGATGATGATGGCCCTGTTGTTGGACTTTGCTCGTGAGAAGCTGCTGCGCCAGCCTCATCTTGGCTGGCAGTCGTCACCATGTTGCGTCCTGAGCCTTGTGGTTGTGGGCTTGGAGCCACGCCCCGTCGCCCGTCAGGCGGATTGCCCGGTACGCTGGTGCCGTGGCCATATCGAAGAAGCCAGAGACTGTGTTCTCGAAGAGACGTTCGTAAGAGTTCAAGTTCAGCAGCCAATGATGGTATCAGGCGCTTGAGGTCGTTGTATGCCGACTGCGCCTCGATTGAAGAGGACGCTTCTTCTCGCGCGCCCGGGCGAGAGGAAGCCATGAGAGTAGGTAAGGATGAAGGCTACTGTCCGAGGGTTCACGAGACTTTTATCATCCAGGAATAAGAAGAGGAAGTAGTAGACCGGGGGATTCTCAGTCGCGAGTTGTGGGTGTGAATGTCATTGTCGTCCTAGTTGAGTTGAGAAACGAGATGAGCAGAGAGCGAGGGAGACTTGCGGGCTTGTGGCAGTGGCGACCCCACCAGAAGGTACGCTGACGGTACCCCTAACCCTCATGTAGTGGACCTCAGATCTCAAAGATGACATGTTGAGTAAGAGGCCACTAAAGATCTGAACATAATATGAGAAACTTGTATGAACAGTGGGTTAAATTAATGAGAAGGAAACATCATAACGAGACAAATACAGATAAAATTCATGGTTCTCTAAAATGTCGCCAAGATCTCTATAAAGGGTACGTTGGACGAGTATCGACCCCAAGCCGCAAATGCGCCCCCGAAATTACTCCTCCGCCTCTGTTTGCATCACTCTCTTCCAGTAATGAATATATTCTTCCATTTTGACCTTCGGGTCTTGCCCCTTGGCTGTGCCCTCCATACGAGCCTTCTCCATCTCCGCAGCCCGCCATCTTGTCTCACCTGAGAACCGCCTCTTGAGCCAGTGTTCGACCAAGTTCCGAAACGGCCTCTGCTCTCGAATATAGAACTCTATGATAGCCGCATCCCTCATATCTCCCCCGCCAGGTCTCGGCCTTTCGGGATTTATTGCAGGTCTGGTCTTGTGCACGAGCTGCCAGGCCCAAAGACGCAGCTGCGTCCTGAACTTGTTATCTGCACTGATACAGGGGCGGATCTCCATGAGAAATCCCATAAAGTCGTTGATCACAGCATCTAGGCGATCAACAACCTTTGCCTTTTGCGAGGGTGTGATTGATGGGTATTGGGGGTTGTTCTCGATGACGGTGTGATAGTATCTATAAATCATGAAGGCGAGTGTGAATGCAGGCCCACGCGATTTACCAGCCTTGCAGTGCGCCATGGCCTTGCGTCTTGGAGCAGCTAGATGCGTGGCTAAAAACTGACACGCATTAGGAAAGAACTTCAGCAGAGGGGCTGCAGTAGAGTCCTCCAGCTCTATCACGTAGTGGTCTACCACCGGCGATAGGATCCCGTTGACAACAGAGGGTGCCCTTATGAAACAAGTCTTGTGTGGAAGGCCTATCAATGCTTCCTTGAGGCCGTGCTCTCTGTCCTCGAGATTTGTGATAGGTATCGAGTTCCATGCCAGTTTCCCATGTTTCATCCAGCTCGCATCTGGTTCCACCGCTTCCTGGCCAGCAACCCAGTCATCAGGATGAATTGTGAGGATGGCAAAGTCCTTGTCGTGTGTCCTCTGTAGACTGTTATGCAGGGACCAGAGACTGACACAATTGGCCATGCTTCCGAGACAGAGACCGTCGATCTTCATGACAGAAGCTAGATCTGGATATCGCTCACGAAATAACACACCAACCTCCGTGACTGGCTCCATCTCTCCCTGAAGCATTCTCAGGAGTCGTTGTTTGACGCTGTTGCCTAAAAGTCCAAGGCTCTGCCCTTCGTACAACTCGAGTTGTTCGAGGTCTGCATAGCTGTCCAGTGTTGTATATTCCTTGGCAAGAAGCGATCTGTAGATCAAATCTGCATGGACCTTCACACAGCTGAGCGTGCAAATCCCACCATCTGGGAATTCGGAACCCATGGTTCTTCCCGTTTCGTTCCAAGCCGGGTGGTTTCGTTGTGTGAAGACGCTGGCCCGTCTAAGGGAAGAGCTGTTTACTGAAGTGACGACTTGTGGACGACTTTGCTGCTCGTTGGCTGTGATATTTGCTCCTGGTAAAGTTGACTGCCTCACTGCTGCGCGTGTAGCGGCTTGGGAAGGTAATCGCAAGACCCTGCGTAATAGACTTAGAGAGCTCGTCGGCGCTCTCGAGATATCGCTACCTGAAGATCTAGTGAGTGCGGTTGAGGTTTCGCTACCAGGCGAACCGGAATCTGAGGAGTCTTTTGCAGCGGTAGAGTCGAGAGATTGCGCTTGAATGGCTGTCCGTGCGGTGGAGCCGAAATTTGAGGGTGTCTTGCCGCGATATTTGTGTTTCGCCATTTCGAAAGCTGAGGGAGGCCTGCGAATTGAGCCTCCATTTTATACGCGAGTGCCCAGTAAGTGGCAAACAGCGAGTGGTGCTGTGAATCGCAATCTCAAGACAAGGGTGATTGTTGACCAGAGTTCAAAGGAACGTGGAGGAGCGACAGGAAGAAAGAAGTGAGAGGGAAAAAAAGTATGAAAGCCTTTGGGAGTCAAAATATTGGTGCAGGTGGCAAGATGAATAAAGTACTATATGCCATGCATGATTCTCTAGGCAATGGTGATTGACTTCCCAGAGCCTCATGACTTTCGGCGTGCACATGTTCACAAATCAGGCGGCGTTGGGCACACGATCCGCCCTGCCAAACAACATGGGCCATGCGACAAGCACATTCAGGGCGGCACAGAGGCAGCTGCGCCCTGCAGTAGCCTGTCGCATGATTCCATGGTTTCTTCATTTTTTTCCCTCTTTTCTGTTACTGCTACAGTGACTGCATGCATCTTGCATTTGGTCATTGTTTGGGAAACCAATAAGGTCTTAGCAGTGGAAATAGTTTGAGGTCAAGGCCGCTTGGTTCGGACCACTTGTAAGCGCCTTATTCCGACCTCCGCCTAATTGTGGCAATAAGGCTATCCACGGCCAATATCAACGTGTTGGAAGGGAGGGCGTTCTCACGTGACCATTTCAATGCTCTCTTCTTCCACCTACTTGAGCTGCCGTCGTATTCCCCTTTTGATCCTCGTTCGTATACATACATATGGTGCTGTGTCCTACTCCGCCATTTTTTCAGTAATTAGGTATTGTTAAATAGTTTGTGATGATATGCCTATACTGGTGAAACACAAAATTCACTTCACTTTGGATGTTCGGCACATGCCTCATGTCGTTTGCTCATATCATTTTGACTTCTACCCATCGAGAAAAAAGACGATCGCCGATCTCTCGAAACTGGCTGCAGCTGTATTCGCCCACCCCCCCCCCCCCGAACGCTACCATGAAAGCCAGCTATCCTCTCATCCTCGTCAATCAAGACGAAATGCCCTCTTCGTCCTCGACCTGCTCTCTGCTGGGGGACCATTTGTCCTGCAATTTCTTATCGAGTGACTTCTCAATGACATCCTTGGACCACCACTCGCCCCAAGAGGTGAGGAAAATCTGGTCGGGATCTGACGGGAAGTCGCTCCGCGTGAACGCCCGGAAGATGCTTTCAGCGCCTGTGAATCGTTAACATGTGTCCCAAAAAAGGACCTTTGTAGACACTCCAATCGCCGCGTGCAAGGAAGCCAGCAATCCCAACACTTACCTGTAGGAATAGGCTTCGCATCCGGCATCGCCATTGACAAAGTCATGTTGGTGTGACGCCCAATGCCAGTACCGGGGATAAGCCCAGGGGACACGGCCACGACGTCACACTGGCCTTGAAGCTGACGGCGCCACCAGTGTGCTCCGAGCAGCTGCACAAACTTGGTCTCGGAGTAGATATTCGAACCATCCTCTCCTGAATTGGCAAGTAGGTGCTCATCAAGCACGGCTGAATGTCATGTATTAGTAATAGTATTTGTAGTCTCTGACGAGGAGCCATCGAGGCTACTCACAAGGATCTGTCACGCGCCGTATGGCCCCAGAGGATACAACGACCACACGCGATTTGGATTCGACGAGTTTCTCTCGCAGTAAATGCGTCAAATAATGTTGAGCTGCCATCTTTGATTAAGAAGGAGTCCATATGATAAATCCTTGAGATCGGAACAGACTTACCCAGATGATTGACAACGTATGCCTCACACCACTTGGAACCATGAGGGCCAGGTTCATTAGCAGGCTTGTTGATCGCAGCATTCAGCAGGAGATAATCGAGTTTATCTTTTCCCAATTTTTCCAATGCCTTTTGAGCAAACGACTTGACGTTCTCCAAGCTAGACAGCTCCAGTGGTAGCACGGTGAGGCTGTGCTTTGCATTGTCGAACTTCAACGCGTCGTAGGCTTTCTTGGTTCCTTCGGTGTCTCTCGCTCCGAGAACGAACTTGTAGGGGTTACTCTGAGCAAGCAGCTGCTTGACCAACTCAAAGCCCTGCGATGCTGTTAGCGAGGTGCTTGTAGAATGATCTGGATGATGAGGGGAAACCTGCCAGGCCGGAGGAGGCACCGGTAGCGACGACTGTCTTCGCTACGACGCTAGCCATGTTAAATTGTTGACAGAAGCAAGCAAGACTTTGATTCGTCACCTTAACTATTCAACAGAGCACGAAATTTGGCAAAACAATGTTGAAATAGGAACCCCCCCTTGCTCTGATATAGTGAAGACATGCAAACTCCGCATAAATGTGCGAATCATTCCAGAGCTGACAAATGACGTATGACAAATGGCGTTGTCGGACAACACGGAGTTAAGCTCAATTGTTGACTTGCTGTAGAGTCTAAGTACGCATCAATCGCAGATTGTGTAGCGTAAAGGACAGCTTATCATGACTGACTCACGGCGTAAGTCTAAGTACATTAATTACCTAGCAGACGATGAAGCTTACGAGATTCCAACCTGGCCATCAAACATACAATAATTATGTGCATCTCGAGTATTGAGCCACTACACCCGCCTGAGCGTCTTCAATTTTTTGTTCTCAATCTTGATTTTTTAATTTGGACTTTTTGGCTTAGCAGTCAGCAGATTGACTGACCATCTCAAAGTCATGCGCAAACAAGATATGGAAGGTGGTGTTCACAAGGGAACCCAGTTTTGGCTGACAAAGGGATGTTGATACCGCCCATCGAAGTTGATTATTGGGATCGGAAGAGCACCAACCCAATATTTCGCAGCTATTGGAAAAGTGGCTTGTTGTGTTTAATGAGATCCCAACTTGCAGCGAGGGAACTGTTTTCGCTCTATTTACAAACAGATATGCATGTAATACAATTGTTCAACTGGAAATCTCGAAGAAGACTAGCCAAGTTGACCACATGGCATGTGCTTATTGAAGGCCTTTCCCATTCATGGCTGTTGATACGACCCTACTGCAGTCCAGGTTGTCATCGCAGCAGTCTGGCCAGACCAGAACACGGAAACTCACGTCCATAGTGTGCGGAACGTCAACAAAAGCTCATGCAGGTCAACCCATCGCCCCGTGCAATCTACACCTCAATCAGGATCCCAGCTGAAGTATCTGCAAGGGGATAGGACACTATTGCGATGTCGGGACGGATAATCCAGAAGTGGCCGTGAAAGGTGCCACGAGATCCCAGATTAAGCATGCAGGCCGTTGCAATGCCTTCCTGCTACGGAATTCTGCGTGGCAGGCGAACTCGAAAGGGAAAGACTCACATGCACGGTCGGAAGAATTCTCGTGCTTATCTCCTTGACCATGTCAGACTCGCAGCAGGAATAAACAATATATGCCTACGAAGGACCAATGTTACATTTTGCAAGCGCTGAGAAGAAGTCGTTTGATTTCAGCCACGAGACATGACAATAATGATCGAAGTAGGCATGGTATCTCGACTGAGATAGGAAAAGCATGTAAAATAAATCATGCTGCCAAGCAGGGTGGGTAGCTGCTCCGACGCTGTATAGCCTCTGAGTTGCTAAGATAGGTGAAGTGCTGGATAAATGGCATGATGTGGCATATCAAACTATTGTGCACGTTATTGCATTACAACATGAAAGCCTCATGATCTTTTGTGTATAAATAACTGATCCTGTCGTGCTTGATCGAGTATCTCGAGGCCCCGGGTCACACATTCCTTTCTCTTGACGACAACATCTGGTGTGTATCAATCGGTCTACCTCACACAATCATAATTTTCAATCAATCATTCAAGATGAAGTGTACTGTGTTCCTAGCCATGGCCGTGCTCGTGGTAGGCGCCCCAACGCCTACAGACGTGGCGGCCAGCTCTGCGGCTGACACGGGTGCCTTTTACTCCCTTGTCGGGACTGCGACGGCAGCAGCAACACCAAACTCTGCTCCTGTGATTGGGAACTCGTCCGAGGTCGTCAGTGTTGATGCTGGCACTCTTTCAGCCGCGGTCTCCTCTGTGGTCACTGGGCTTGCTACACCCATCGCTCAGTCTGCAGATGGGCACCAGCCTACCACTACGACCAAGGGGAAAAAGACCACCACCCAGAAGACAACGTCCTCTTCGTATGGAAGCTGCAAGACCAAGACGAGCACTGTCCAGACTATTACCACTACCACGACTACTACCACGGCGCCCACCACCAGTTCAACTACTTCCTACGTTTCGGTTCCGACAACCTGCACTCCTGTCAATTGGAATAACACCAACTCGTACACGAGCACTTCAGCATGCCCGACAGCCATTGAGGTAGGAACCTACTGTGGATTCATCAACCCGCTTGACCCTTGCGCTTCTCAGCTGGCCGGTACGTGGTATTTCAATCCCGCATTTCAAGTTGTTGATAAACTGCGAAAAGAAATCTAACAGTGATTTTAGGTGCTGCTCCCAGCCCAACAGCCGATACCGCGGCCGCCTTCCTGGCAGACGAGGCCTACCAATCCCTCGCCTCAAACGCCGCTGTACCCTCAGGCTACGTCTCAACATTCACCGATCTCGACGCGGCGGTGGTGGGCAATACCTACCTCGGCTACGAGACCCTGAGCAGCTATGACACTGCGGCATGTGCCGCCTTCTGCGACGAGACTGACCTCTGCACCGGCTTCAACATCTACATCGAGCGCGACCCCGGCTGGAACCCCGACCAGTGCTCCTGCTCCAGCCCCGTGTCGACGTACAATTTCAAATGCAGCATCTTCGCAGGCGGCGTGTATGCCTCAGCAGCAACCAACGCCGGGCAGTACCGCGATCAGTTCGAGGTCGTCATCACGGCCTCGAACGGCTACATGGTGAGCAACACGACGACCGACAGTATAGAGACGAGCGACGGTGGGTCCGAGCCGTGTCTGCCTTCTGGAAGCAGCCAGCCGCACAGCTGCTGGGGCAAGACACATGTGCACCCGGAGACGCTCATCAACGAGGGTTTCTTCTCTGGGGCTTTTGATGTGGATGTCTGTATCGACCTGGCCGTGGCCCAAAGCGAGGTCAACCTTGCCGCCAATGTTAATGTTACGGCGACATTCCTGAATGCGGCGCTGATTGTGCGAGATGGTGTGGCTTGGGGTACGTATTGCGGACTGTTCGCGGAGCAGTATGATGGTGATGATTGTACTTGGTCTCCTGGATCTTCTGGTGGATATGACTGGAGTGTTCAGGATAGTTGGGGCATCGATCTTGACGTTGGTGTCCTCCTGAGCTCGTGATGGGAGACAGGCTTCATGCCGTTCTTGGAAACATCATCCGCCTGAGTGTCCGATTATTCTGGAACTTGATAAGGCATCGCCATCTGCGAACGATGAGAATCTCTACTGCTTTATCACGAAATAACTAGAATACAGCGGCTTATACCAAAAATCTGTGTCCCTGTGTGCATGTAACAGCCTTGAATGTGTCAGTTAGGACAAGTGATGATCATCGTGATTGAATGGGATATGGTTCTTATATGTGATAATGACTTCGTATACGCTTGCCAACAGCATCCCCTTGACGCCAAGTCTTCTTCATAGTTCATCTTTGCTCCCAAGGTTGTCTCGACCATTGACTTCATCTGCAAGCACCGAACCTCCCAGGACACGCTGACCAAAACGCATCTCCGAAGCACCCACATCGAACACAGCAACCACATTGCTCAAGAACGTATCCCCCAGTACCCCGGCAAATTCCACGCCAGGCTGTATACCCAGTCCGCAAACCATCGTGCCGTTCAAGGTAGTATTCAATCTCGAGACGAGGATCGTTTCACGTGCCATCGTGAAGACTTCTGTGCCTATCTGCACGCCAAATTCAGGTACGGTAGCATCACAGGGCGCAGTGAACATAGTATTGCCGCCACCAATGTCCACGAGCTTGGGAGGATCGGCAAAGGTGTCGTAGAAGTGCGTCACGAGGGACGGAGGCAGAACGTTTGCTGACCAGCCGCTGTCCACAACTACTGGGAAGCCTTGGCTGGCTGGTATGTCGTTGTTCTCTTCTGAAAGCTTGGAGAAGGGCTTGCCGTCGATGATATAGTCGTCAGCGATGATCGTGTAGTAGGTGAAGTTTGTTGCAGCTCGGGTCTCGTTGACAAGGTTCGTCTGGACGTCATTAGCATCTTCGACTCACCAAAGGGAATCTTCTGGCCAATGGGGAACTTACCACCAAGATTGGAGTCGACGTGAAATTCCCCACGAGGGGAACATCCACAATTTCACCAATGCCGAGAAGACCATCACCATCAACATCCAGAGCCATACTGAATATGGGCTCCGTCAAGTTCTGCCTGACAGCATTGAAGAACCATGTGTCATGCTCACCAAACTCGTCACTGTTATTCAGCGCAGGCTTCGGAGCTTGCCCCTTTCTCGCCGGAACCATGGCTGGGTAGGCCAGCCCCAGAAGACCAGCGAAATCACCTGTCGAGGCGTGGAAGTAACCCTCCGATGGTAATGCAATCTGCTGGTTGTGCACCGTAACACCGCCGAAAGAAACAGACTCTAACCCATACGGGCCATACAGGTACTGCCCATTGCCATAGATAATCGAAAAATACTCGTCCGGTACGACGCCGCCAGAGAAGGACCCCTCGTAGAAAGCGGGAAAGTCACAGGCGGACTGATTCGTCGCTTTTCCACTCTCATCCAAGCATTGAAAGCTGCTCGGTGCAACCCAGAGATCGGAGGACCCGGTGTCGACCAGGAGAGGAACGGTTTGTGTGCCCACGGTGACTTGAGCGATGTAGGATGTGCCGATTAAGTTTACGACTGAAGGGTTCCTTCCATTGTCGCTAGCCTGTTCTCTGGTGACGTGGTCCTTCAAGGCTCCATGACGAGGGAGGCTTTGGGTGCTTCGTGCGATAGCGATATTCGTCGAAGACATCGTTGTCTGTGGGGTTCTGCCAGGTGCTGATTCAGTCAGTCGCTTTTGCAAATCAGCACGGACATATTTGGCTTCCGAGGCTTCCAGAAGTCCAGATAAAATGCAATTGTAGAGTAGTGGGTTGAACATCCTCATTCATACCGTTTCGACGGACGTTGCGTGAACACCATCAACGGACCACGACATGGATAAAATATCAAGTATTGAATTAGAGCACTTTTGAAAATAAATTGTCGCAACTGTGATTATTATAGCTTTGCAAACGCGCATCTTGCAACAAAGAATCGAGGCAATAAATTGATCTGGACTTCTGTGGTGGGTTTGGGATCTCGGCCGATTAGACTCTATTGTTCTTTTCATATTGTTCACAATACATTCTCTCTCGTGAGAATACGCCTTGTTCATGAACCCAAATAGATAGACCAACGGCTGTTAAATGTGCAATATGGATGCATGTTTTTTTTTTTTGGTATTGTAGCCATATAAATATTCAATGTTGACCAGGGCTCTGCAACGGACAAAGAAATTCCCTTCATTTCGAGATTGAGCGCGTCGGTCGAGCTCAGACACGTCACCACTTACCAGCGAAGAAGGAGTGCTGGCGTTATATAGCATACCAGTTGACCCTTACTGTCTAGAGTGCGATGCTGCGACTCTTGTTTTTGCATCGCGACGGCTGGCCGCCCGACGTCAAGGAATTGATGATCAAAATCCCTGACAATTGGGGTGACATCTTACCAACTCTTGCAGTAAGCCAATGCTGTACATGTATACGGGATCCTGCATTTAGGCTGTATCCTGTGGCCGCAGTAGGATAGCAATTCTCATTGGTCATGGTTGCAGGTACAAGTCCTCGAAGGAACATCTTCCCATTCTGCCTTGTGCTTCAATATTTATTAACAAGCGGTCAGATCAAAGCCAGTCCAGCCTGACGTTTCGAGTGACTAGGAAACAACTAAGTCAGGAATAAAAGAGAAATGATCACTCAATCTGCTGTTCTCTTGCAGGCACTTTCAGGTCTCATTCTTCCTCACAGTACCCACAGGATGGAGAAGGCGAAGGCTGTCTCAGCGCCTTGTTGTGCCGTGAGTGGTTGCCCGACCAGTGCAGCCGGTCCCTAATCAGCCTGTACCCACGTTTCCGCACCGTAAACACAACCCCAGCATTCAAAAAGGCATCAGCGACCAGACCCATAACCCCATGCGCCTCCTCCTCGTAGTACCGCGGCAGCCTGTCAGGGATGTACGTGACCCTGCGCAGGTTCTCAAGACGAGACCTGTAGTTAAAGGAAAGGCCGCACAGCTCGTGGCAGAGGAAGCCGTAGTTCATGTAGCCCGTCTCCCAGTAGTCAAAGATCTTGACATACGCCAGACTCGTGGGGAGGGCGTTTTGGATCTCGTACCCCTGAGGGAACTCCTCCTGGTCGCCGCCACTCGTGAGGAGCTGCGCTTCCGTCTCGAGGATCCTGAGCTTGGACAGCCTCTCCAGCCCCTCCAGGCGCCCCTGTACAAGGGTGGTCGGCCACTCCTGCATAGTGCGAAAGTCAAGACGCTCCAGGTTCGGCATGTACTTGACCAGGATCCTGCTGATTTCGGTACAGTTGAACCTCCTCTGTGCCTCCTGGAAGCCCTGTATCTTGAGGGTCGTGATCCAAGACATCCTGCACACCTCGCGGAGGATTTGAGAGTCGAGAGGCACGCGGACGGCGAGATCGACAGTGTCTGGAGTAACTTCGATCGCCGTCGGTCTGACGAAGCGTGCTGCGCCTTCGTGGCCGTCCCAGATGCCTATTCGTTTCAGGTTCTGCAGGCGGAGGAGGCTGGGGCAGGCTATGGCGAGGAGCTCGAGGTCGACGTGCCAGGCTGCGTGGGAGCTCTTGAGGTAACACTGGGGCGAGTAGAGGTCTGTGTAGATAATCTGTGCTGAGATGACATTACGAAGGGCTATGCGAGCGAGGACCTGGTCATCCAGGACCTGGTCAATGACGCTGTTCATGCGGTGGTAGAGTGGTGTCTTGTCCTCTCCGACCAGTGCTCGGAAGGTGATGGAGGACAGGGCTGGGACGAGGCACATGACAACAGGGAGAAGCCTCTCTGTCAGATGCACGACTGGGACGGCACCTGTTCTCAGCCTCGGGGCGGTCCAGTCGGAGTCCGCTGTGGGTGTCGTAAAAGCGCAGCTGCTCGTGCCATCACGACGGCAACTTAAACCAGCGATGACGAGAAGGCGATGCGTCTCTGGGCTGGTCTCTGGACACCTGATGGCATCCTCAAACCTATAATGCTGAAGGATGTTGACGATGTGATGGGTCTCTGGGTAGTGCACAGGGCGAAAGGAGCGCAGGTTGATCAGACATGCCATCTTCTTGACCAAGGGGCGAAGATAGGGTGCCTCGAGCATGGTTCGCAGAAATAACAGGAGGTCCTCGCCTCTCCGTGATTTGTTCAAGGGCTGTCTGAAGATGATGAACTCGTAGAGGCGCGGGGTGGCGGTGGAGCGGAACCAGGTGCAGGTCAGACAAAGGTCACGGAGGGCGTGACAGTTGGACTGTGTGGAATGGCTGATGGGCTCATCGTGCCATCGTTGGTCAACCTTGAGGTAATCACAGATCTGCTCTGTAATTTCGGGTGGGAGGTAGAAACCGCCACCAGCAGCCATTCCTGGAGTCGTTTGCACCTTTGACAAGGTTGTGCCGTGCCGTTTGTCCTAATACTTGAGGGTTAGTCGTACATATGAAAGCATGGAATATTTGTTCTTTTGAGGTGTATGATGCAGAGCGTTTGGCCAAGCATGTTTCCAACGAAGGATGATCTTACAAGAGACATGGTCTTTTGTTTTCAAGGTGTAGGACAAAGAGAACGAAGAGGAAAACAGAGAAAATCGGCTCAGGAGGCGGAATGTAATCCTCGCAGAAACTCCTTGTGACAGCGGGGTTGTGGATTGATTTCATAGGCAGAAGAAAGATCGAACAGGGAGAGCTGCAGGTCGTTGTCATCAGCGTTGGACTCAAACAGCAGCTGATTTAAATTATGTGGTATTCTGCGGCTCCGAGTGTCTTACATAATAAGAACCTATTGGTGCAAGGTGGTTTGCAGTCTCATTATGCTTGTACTATGTACAGTGTGACATTCCAGTTGCAAGTGGACATTTGTGTGATTTTTTGGGCAGGCTGTTGTTTGGGTGAAGCATCTGAGTGAGTGAGGGAGGTTTTAGGGTTCGCAAACTTAGCACACGGATTGAACCAGAATTCTGAATCGTAGTTGGAACCCAATCGATGTATACTAAGTGATTACTTGAATTACTTAGATACCCGTCTGCAACTTTCTTTGGAAGGCAACTTGTTTATACATGTATCAGCGATCAACAGGTCATTTATTTCCTGACCAGAGCAGCCGCTTGAAGACCAGCTCTTCTGCCGAACGTAGCACCAGACGTCAAACCACTACCTCCAGGGTAATTTTCATAGAACAGCCCTCCTAACATTTCGCCGCAGCAAAAGACACCTGGCATGGCTGCCCCCGTAGCGCTTGATATTACTGCTGACGTTTCAGGATCAACAGCCAGACCGCCAAAGGTAAAGGTCACGCCACAGCAGACCTTGATCGCCATAAATGGACCCTGCGTCAGCGGCAGGGCCCAGTTGGACTTGGGTATGCGCAGTGATTTCGTGGAGGACTGCGTGGAAAGCCCATCCTTGACGGACGGATCCCACTTCAGTCCTTGGTTCTCCTGTCTGTGGCTCGAAACAGCCTCATTATACTCCTTGACCGTGTCGACAAACTTCTGTGCGCTCTCCAAACCTTCACTTTTCTCCAACTTGGCAGCCAGCTCCTCAATGGTGTCCCCATAGACCTTACGCACCACCTCATCACGATATTCCTCGCTGCGCAGCCACGGAATGCCCTGCCCGTCCCAGACCTGAAAGGCCACACCCCCAGGCTGGCCCAGGATCGCCTTGCCGAACTTGGCATATGTATAGTTGCGAATATCAGATCCTTCATCAAAGAACCTCTCGCCGGTTCTGTTGAGCGTAATGCCCAGAGGATATCCGCTCTTGGTGAACTCGTTGGATGTCTCGCGGCTGCCTGTGTCGGCAGGGCTGTCGGCGTCCCAGGCGACGCTGTGGCACCCGCTCCAGTGGCCGGCCTGCTTGGCGCCCAGGTCACGAATTGCCATCTCGAGAACCTCGCCTGTGTTGTAAGGAGTGCCACGCACGTGGCCCAGGTCCCAGCCGTGGCCCAGATACTGCGCACGCATGCGAGGATTCGACTCGAACCCGCCTGCGGCGAGAATCACAGCCTTTGCCCTGATCGTTGTCGTCGTGCCGTCAGAGCGGACCACCTCCAGCGCCTCAAACTTGCCCGTCGCAGGATCCGTGACGATCCTCTTGGCAGCTGTCTCATACACCACAGTGACGCCTGCTTTGGCAGCAGCCCTCTTGTGGTCCTCAATAAGACCTTTGCCACCATCCTCTGTCTTGAGACACATGCCACCCCAGAACTTGAACCTGTCGCCGATCTGGTACGCCTGGCGGTTGAAACTCAGCTGGAAGCGCACGCCGTGCGCCGCGAGCCAGCCCACCGTCTCACGGCTGTCATCAACCAGCCTGCGGCCCAGGGCGCGGTTGTAGCGCCCATCTGTCACGCGATGCAGGTCGCCGAGGAAGTCGTCGGGTGTGTAAGGGGCCAGGTCGATGCGCGTGGCCAGCTCAGCGTCGACGTTGTTGACGAGTGGAAGCACGTCGGAGAGACCTGCGTGCACGCAGCGCATGGCACCTGCTGTGAAGTAGCTGTTGCCTCCTGCCCAGGACTCGGGGCACTTGTCGATGAGGAGGACGCGCGGGTTGGTGGTGTTATTGTCGTTGTCATGCTGGGCGAGGAGAGTTTCGGCAGCGGAGGTGGCGGCGCTGAAGCCAGCATTGCCTCCTCCGATGACGAGGACATCCCAGTCTTCTTGGAGAAGTGATGATGCTTGAGAGGCCATCGTCTCGAGTGATAACGAGATAAAGACGGAGGTCTTAGAGGGGAATACTTCTACTCAAACAGTTACTGGTCCTGAGAGAGACAGAGAGAGACTCTATGAACTTTGAGGGAGAGGAATGAGGGCGGGAGAAGTTCACATATAAATGAGTACGTCTTGGATATTTCTTAAGCCCTCATCTTGTGGATCTCGGGAATACAAGTCGGGCCCGCCTCAGGCCGGCTGCGGGGAATAGTGATGAAATGAGAGAGTACATAATACACAATGTTACCCTTCTTTACTGGCTAAGGAATGGTATTCCCATCCATCCTTTTCCTGCATCCATCAACCCTTCTTCTATGTGGGGGAGCCGTGGGGCGTGGCAAGTGTATCTCTCTTTAGGCCCCATCTTTTTCATGTATTTTCTGGGGTTGGCAAGTTGGGGGTGGGCCACGCCGTCCTGGATCAATGCTTACCATTTGGCCCATGTGTTCTGGAATACTGACTGATCTGCTGACTATTGTCATAGTTTCTTTGATTTGAAGAAATACGTTCATACTTGCATTGCATCTCCTCGCCTTAAAGAACTTGCCGGTTCGTGTCGTCATTTATTTTTAGACTGTATTTATTGTCCGTTCGTGTACATCAAACTGTCCGGCCTTCCATCCCCCATCGAATATGACCTCAGGAGGCAAGAAACCACCTCAACTGGGGATCCACTCAACTACTGACATAGTGCTATACACACTACTTGTATGTAAAGAATTAGTGTATGCTGGAAGTGGGCACAGGTCCCGATGTCGGGGCGGGAAAATGATTCTCAGACACTCGGTCGCAATTCAACTCGAGCCGTGAACAGTTGTGAGATCTGGATACACTCTTGAGATGTCTTCGAGACTAAGTACAATAGAAAAAGAGTCAGTACTTATTCTCTGCAGGTACCAGAATAATATTTTTGTTGTTAATCATTGAAAAGGAAAAAGAACACGGAAAAGAGAGGAAAAAGGGCCAAGGTTCCCAACGGCCGTTGAGCCCGTTCCGAGCGCCGGCCAAATCCACTCACGGCACACAAGCATCCACTTTTCTCCGTGTTTCATCACCATCTTTTTGTCGCCTGGGACAGATCCTGGCACAACCGAGTAATGGAACAACTTCACCACACACATACAAAGTCACTACCAAGTACAGACAGCGAATCAGATCAAGCAATTTTACAGTAGATTTGCAAATACACACAATCTAAAACTCCTTTTCAATTAGTCAGCACACTCAACCTATCGTGTTCCCCACTTCAAATAAACCAAAACCAAACCTCTCGCCACAACCAACCTAAAGATGAACAACCGCCGTCCTCGCCACCCCCCAGTCCCAAAAACCACGGCCGTCCGCCCTGGGGCAGCCGTAAACATCGTCCTCAAGGCAGACCAGCCCACCGGCCGCACCGTATCAGGCATTGTGCGCGATGTACTGACTCGCGGCGACCACCCGCGCGGCATCAAGGTGCGGCTGGCAGATGGCCGCGTCGGAAGGGTGCAGAGCATGGCCTCGGCTGGATCATCTTCGGGCCCATCCGGTGGGGAGACTGTTGAAGGTTTTGTTGGTGGGATGCAGGGCGCAAGCATTGTGGATGATGTCGCTACTGGGGAGAATGCGTCTGGCTCCAGAGGGGGGATGTCGGAGCGGAGGGGAAGGAGGCGACGACAGGGAGGGTTTGAAGAAGGCGGTGAAGATGAGAGCCTACCTACGCAACAGGTTGGGCTGGATGCGTACGTCAAGCAGGCAAAACCAAAACGTAGGAAGGGCAAGGGAGTTTCACAGATGACTGCGTCAGACGAGGAGGAGGGACAAGATGCGTCTCCTCCTTCTGCACTGGAGACGGTCACCTGTCCTGTATGTGGGGCTTTTGAGGGCGACGCGGCTGCTGTTTCGCACCATGTCGCCACCCACTTTGACTCTGCTGATTGATATGGCTGACGGCGTGAAGATCTATCAATCATCTGCGCTCATAGGGAGAGGAACGTGTTTGGACCAGACATGACCACTGGGATCATGACTGACTATCCCGGGCTTATCTCCTCGCATACATGTGCCACTGGACTACGACAGACTCCAACCAAAGTCACCCCGGCGTCAAGCACCGAGAACAGTCTCACGAGATATCGGTGGCAAAAAGCTTGGAGTCTGCGCTGAGTTTGGCTGTCATCTCGTCTGGATTTTACATACATACCCAGCCTCGAAACAGCCGAGCCAGATACGGCAAACCACATATTCATAAAATCGGACTTTATTCTAAGCTTGTATTTGTGTACATCAACTCGCATGCTGTTTCTGACAAGTATCATCATGTACAACATGTTCGACATCAGACATGTCGCTCATGAAGACCACCCGTTTATCATATCTGACGCCCTCTCCGCTACAGCGTATAACGTCGCCGTAAGATGTCCACTGACTTGTAGAGGCAACACCGAGGCGTCCACCACTCGCACATTACTCGTGCCGTAAACCCTCAGCTCGTTGTCGACCACTCCTCCGAGTTCCCTGGACATCATGGCCGCCGTGCCGATTGGATGGTAGTTCGGGCCGACTATAAGAGACATCGTTAACCTGGATATCTCAAACATTGTCAGCGGTAGAGAGTTTCACGTACAAGAATTCGTAATAAATTCAGTCCATTGTTCGTCTGTTGACGACTCATCCGTCACGTTAGCGGTGATGTAGCCTTGCATCGGACTTGTATGCCAGAACGACTGCGCCTGCTTTCCAATGGCGACCTCCTGGACCATGTCGAAATCGATCAAAAAGTACCGCACATCAATCACCGGCCTTTCGATTGCGCCCACCCCGCCAAGATGTACGCTGCCCCTTGAGAACGGCAGCAGAAGCCAGAATGCCGTCAGGAAGTATCCCTCACTGTAAGTCACAAGTGACTCGGCAATGGTTACATTCTTAGCAAACATCAGGTCGTGTTGGACTGCCAGTAACAACTCCAGCGCTGTCGTGTTCAACGCGTCGTTGGACGCCGAGGCTATTATCTGGGCGTATTGCGACAGGTTGGCGCTCGTGGAAGTCGCCCAGGTCGACTTGTCTGGGCCGAACACGTCGTCTGCTGTGCCGAAGGTCGCGTATGTTGCGTTTCCTGTGACACTTAGGTTTCCAAGGTAGAGAATATCGGTGTTGGGCTGGTCTTGGAGGTTCTCTCCAACACCAGGGAGGTCGATAATGGTGTCAATTCCGAGGGTTGAGAGGACTCTAGTAACTTGTCGTCAGTGCACAATGCGACTTTATAGGCATTTTGAATATAACGGTGATCTCACTGTGGGTTTCCGACTCCTGATGCTTCCAAAATGAGAGGTGACCTGAGCGACCCAGATGATAAGATCACCTCTCTTCCAGCCTCGACGGTATTCGTGTTGTTGTTGACATCCAGATACGCCACTCCAACCGCTGTCCTGTTCGTTTCGCCGCCCTGCTCCTCCCACAACAATCGTACCACCGTACCATTCAAAAGGTGCAGATTGGAGCGACCCTCGATCGGATAGTAGAATGCCCTCGCCGCATCCCAGCGAAGATCTGTGTCCCTATCGATGGTCTGCGGCCAGACATCAAACCCACGAGTATCCCCACTATTCACATCCTCATTGAACCCATACCCCAGAGCCTGCCATGTATCCTGCACGATCCCCTCAAATGACCCATTCGGCAGCGCATACCGGAACCCCACATGCACCCAGCCCTCCTCGCCATGATACTGAGGCTCAAAGCTCGCCCCCACCCTTGCCTGCGCCTCCGTCGGCGCCGTGAACCGCTCCACCCTCTCGTAATACGGCAGCAGCGCATTCCAGTTCCACCCTGGGCTTCCCAGCACTTCCCACGCATCAATCTCCGCCGCGTCTGCTCGTATGTATGTCATCCCGTTAATGGTGCTTGTGCCTCCGACGGCCCTGCCCGCGTGCATCTGGAATGTGCGGCCTGCGGCCCCCGCCTGAGCGACTGTTGGGTAGGCCCAGTCGATGGGGGTGTTGAAGTTCTGGAGCCAGAGCGATGGATCGGTCACATTGTGGTTGGCGCGCACGTCTTGGCCTGGGTCGATGATGGCGACGGTGGTGTTGGCATGGCTGGAGAGGCGGTTGGCGAGGAGGAGGCCGGATGTGCCGCCGCCGGCAATTACGTAGTCGTATTTCATTGAGGATTTTAGTCACTTCCGAGTATTCTTTGGTCAATGATTATTCGAGTATTCAACCGTGTACATATATCATAAAGTAACACAGCGTACTGAACACGGTGGGGATGCTTTTAAAGTAGTAGGCATCCATTCAAGCTTTACTTGGAATCGACGAATCTATATTTCCTGGTGAAAAAAAAATCCTGTTCTTGATATGACCTCACAAAGATGGCGTACTACGATGTATTCAGTAGTGAGACGGTGGTTCTTCGGCGCAACACGCAATAAACCCCCTCAATGTGCAGGCATAAGCAGCAACGCCGCATGTACGCATTACCCCAAAATGGATTCGCGTAATAATACCCCATGGAGAATGACTACTGGTATGTCCACTTCCACTCTAGGGCTCTGAATCCTTCGTAGGTCATGTGCTAGCTGCTGGCAGGGGGAATGGTGCATCCACCGATATATTGGGAGCAATCATGAGAACATAATCCGACTCGGGGGCTTGAGACGGGTTTGAGGACTTTGAGTTCGTGCTTCTTTGATCAGCCAGATAAATGGCCTATATAGCCGTATCCCGTAACATCCCCTCATAGTTTCTGTATCTACTCAGAAGACGAGGCTCTCGTTGGCCTTGTGCATGTATACCATCTTTTGTTCATTGCTGCACATTAATTGGCCACTGCATAGGTTCTCAGAAGACTCAAAGCAGTTCACATCAGAGCCTTTGAAACCAGCCCTACGATTTTGGATAGATTGCAGCGTTGTTCAAGAGGTCTTGGTCACCTCATGTAATTGTATAGAAGGCAGGATTCGTTGGCCAGTCTCGCTGGGCAGATATAACGTCTCGACGGCTTTGGTTCCGCAAACGATGCAGGTATCCACAATATTGGGAGTAATCAACACGGGCGCGAGAGCTAGTTGCCCGATCAACATTTGCTGTCGCGCTCTGTGCTCGCGACATGGGATGAAAAATAACCCAAGAAATAAAGGACAATAGAACAATAAGCTGGGGAGACAATAGAAAGGTGGATACTGCTGATAGTGGGTACTGGCTAAATTATTTAATTGGTCGCCTTGGGCGGTCAATGCTGTGCGCAGTGGACCGTGCGCACGCGGCTGTCAGTATATAATAGTGCTTCCAAACCGCAGCAGGACCCAGAACCTTTTCTCCCTCCTACCTTTTAACAAACAGTCATCCAATATGGCACGTCCAGACAAGAGAGAGAGGGCTCGTCGCTGCCTGGCAGCTGCGCAGGCAGAGGCCCAAGCCTAAGCCCAAGCCCAAGGTATCAGGGTAAGTTCGCAAACTTACTGCATCCAGCCTATGTGACATCTTTCCCTTCTCTCCTCCCCCCTCTCGGTTCCTCTTCTATCTCTCAATCATGAATCTTCTTTTCCCCTTTTCATTTCCCTTCTATTCACTGTATAATTGCACAATGCCGCTGCTGCCAACACACACTCTACATGGTCTAAAACCTTGGGGTCGCGATCACAAGGGGTGTGCAAATGCCTTCTGTCAATTCTCATTTGGACTTCATAATTGCCAGTCTGAGAAAGGAGTGAGCCATTCCTTGAAGCAACCTCATAACCTCTCTCGCCTTGGCGTGAGTTTCCATCCCTGGAGTGGATCTCTGAGCTGTCAGCCTAACCAATGGGGAGAACTGATCAAACTCCCCGTGGGATGACAAGTGATAACTTTGCCACCTCTTTCAACAAGGGGTGGTTCACCATTAGAGGGGCACTGATGGCGATTGTTGGCCTGATCATCCAGGGTGGTTCGTTGTCGTTTGGGGGCGGTGTGGTTTTATATCCTGGGGCCCCAGGCGGCCGTTCCTGGAGGGTCTTGTTGACTCGAGATGCGCGGTCGGGCAATCAATTCTTCTTGATGATCTTCATAGGGTTCTTACCGGTGGCATTGACCGCTGACTGGATGCAGATGCCGCAGATGCCCGCCGACAACAACGACAATCCCTCTCAGCCATCGGCCGCCACACCACATGGCACAGACGACAAGAACATGCCCTCAACCATCTGGACCGACCTCAACATCACTCAAGACCCAACCATCACAAACTTCTTGTCCTTCAATAGCCACGCCGAAGTCAACTCATGGGCTGAAGACTACACTGGAGAGTTGACTGCTGCAGGCACCGCTTCATCTGCGATTGAGCGTTCTGACGACCCAGCGGATTACATGACTCTGACGGCTGCCAGTATCGTGCGCACTGAGACGCTCGCCCGAGAGAATTTCAAGGATATCGGAACCCTCCAAGCCATTTCCAAAGTCACTGCGGACCGTGTCTAGGATACAGAGGACCGACTGGACTGTGGAGAGGGAACCGTCAGACGCCTCGACGCAAGCATCAAAGACCAGCAGGCGAGCATCAAACATGTACACACAATCATCAAAGACCAGGAGACGAGCATCAACAATCTCCAAGCAGCAAACAATGCCCTAGCCATCGAGATCTCACAGCTCAAACAGGACCTGGCCGAGGAGCTTACGCATAAAAAAAGATACCAGCATTGTACTTCAGGCGTTCAAAACCCTGGCCGAAACCCTCGGCCAGGATCCTGAGAAAGTAAGTTTTGCAGCGTGTCTAGACCTACAAGTCAGCAAGCACCATCTAACAATCGTCTTCCCCCCAGATCATCGACGCTGCCCGCCAGAACGCAGGTCTATTAAGGCAGAAATCTGTGGAGTTGTGGGAATAGGCTTTGTCATGTAACAAACGGCTGGGCAGCCCGTACGAGGAACGGAAGACTCGGAGAGTGCATGTGTGAATAATAGGGGCACTGGGATCATGAGTACATAAGTCAGTAATAGGCCGTTATCCAGGCACACTCAATTCGAACTCTGCTCGGTATGGTCTCTTCAAAATACATCTCGTGAGCAACTCAAGACGGATCAAAACTTTCGCCAAGCCGAACTATGTACGAGGCGTCCCTGTCACGCCCTCTCTCTTCTCAGCCGCACAAGAAGACCTTTCGAAAACAGGTAAAGGCGAGCAAAGGCAGCTAGCGTTGTAACGAATCACCTCCTGTATACACCTCCAATGAGTGTGATAATGCCCTTGTACGAAGTCACGCACATCGGTGTGACTGAATTGAACGCTTCTTTGGGAAAGCCAGTGTCATCACGGTGAGATCCAGGCTGGCTATCTAAGTTGCACTTTGGTCAGATCATGGAAGAGCTGAAGAATGATTGCTTGTTCAGACCCTCCAGGAGGACTTAAACTTGTATAACACCCTGCTTCTTCACGAGCAATTCTAGTGCTAGTCTGAACCTCGTGTCTACGAGTATGCTCTCGATAAGTGCCATGGCGTCAAAGCCACGGTCTGTAAGGGCGGGACGCCATGGCTGAAACCGAAAGCAACCCGTCGGCCGGCTGAACAATGTGGGCAGTAGAGAAGAAGCCTAGAGTCTAGGACTTACGGTCATCATACCCCAGGAGGTTTTGATAAATAGGAAGGCTCTTCGTAAGTCTCTTACCATTACCAGATGAATGACACGATACTACTCCATTCAATATACTTATAGCTTGGCACATGTTGCCTCGTCCATACTTTTACTTACTTAAGTACTCAGCTTTCGACGTGTTTTCAAGCAAAAATGTTCTCAAAGCTCCTTGGCTTGGCACTGTGGTCTCTAGTAGCCGTGGCGGCCGGCCTCGCATTGGAGAGAGGGGTAGTCGGTACTTATCAGAAGTGGTTTGCTCTCAACGGCGGCTCACTTGGTGAATCTAGTGCTCTGAGCCCTCGACAGCTTTTCTGGTGTGACTTTGGAGATACTCCATGTGGGGATGGATGTATGCCTTTGGGAGACGTTTGCTGCGGCATCATCAAGTATGTTGATCTCACAGGATGATTGTGTGGAGAGTGACCCATGTAAAGAATATTGCATGTTGATCTGTCTGAAACTAATATGATACTCTTAACGACAGCCCAGGCTATTGCCTTAAGGGATACACCTGCCTAGACAACGGATGCTGTCCTGTAAGTTGGATCCAAGCCAGACCCAAGCGCCCTCTTTCAAATGAGAGACTTCTTTCCTGACGCGCAGTCTTCCAAATAAATAGATTGGGGAGTTGTGTGTCGGTTCGCCAAAACCATGCCCTGCCGGCGAAGAGCCGTGCGGCCACGGGTGAGCAGAAACCTTGGTTCAAGCGCAATATTCTTGCGAGCAGTTCAGTGCTAACGTGGTCCCAGGTGCATGATCGCTGGACGCGTATGTTGCCCGAATGGTTTTAGCTGCTCCTCGTCGCAAAAGTGCACATCTGATGGCCATTGCGCCGACAAGGGTGTCCTCACCTTGTCGTTATCGATCACCTCGACAACGGCAACATCGAGCTCTGTTGGTAGTACGCAGTTGTCATCTATTGCAACGCAGAGCACGGCTCTTCTGTCCAGCACTATGAAGACTACGAGTGCTTTGAAGTCGACAAGCTCCGCTGTGAGCCTGCAGGCCTCGACGTCTATCAAGGCCACACAAACCGGACCGAAGATGAATAGCACTACAGCAATTCAAACCTGATGGACTGCAGGAGAAATTTCTGGTTTGATCTAGGGTACATGCCTTTTCAGTATGCGAACCGACACTCATTTTTGTATGCTTGCCCCCTAGATATCTGTTACAACGTGGCCCGGCATGATCAGTAAAAACTGGGCACGGGAATGGAAAGTCCGTTGGCATGTTTTCTCGTTTTGACATTAACGGTCTTATTTATTGAAATCCTGACTGTCGCCGAATGTGGCAATTTCCAATCATAATGCGTTTGTCATGCAGTCGGTGTGGGTGAAGTAGAAACTCGGAACGCAGTCCGTCATGCTATCTATATTCGTCTGCCAGTCTGGTTGGAAGTAGTCTGATCTGAGCAACGTTTCATCCAGGGCGGTGGCTCGATAATGTGCACTGAGGATTAACAACCTGAATCAGGTGGTCTCTTGGCATATGCGCGGGATCTACAATCGAGATAGTCTCGCATTCCAATGTTCCGTCTCGTCGCTTACAGAGCATTTAAGATCTACAATTCATTTCGTCCGCACTGCTTGTTCTCCTGGTGTTACCGTAGTGGAGTAGGCTGGGGTGTTCCTGGTCGGCCCCAAGCAGGAAACTCAATCTGACAAGGCTAGAAAATCCCCTATTCGCCAAAAGTAACCCCCCCCCTTCCATGCGGGCCGTTATTATGCATAATGAGTCTCTTCCCCGTCCGCTCTTTGATTACCATTTTTTGTCGTCGGCACAATCCGACAAAATACTCCTTCACCCACCCCAGCAATATATGTGGACTGTATAATTTCACCAAAGGAAACTTGCTTCATACAAGTACTCAACATGTGATACCGGCCGTCAGCGCGTGTATGACCTGGCGAGTATATCAAAGGACTGCATCGAGACCTCTCCTTATCCCTTTTCCATTCTCGAGGTGTGTATACCTCTGCGGTCAATGCATCCGCATGATGGCTCGTACTGCCTTTTAAAAATGATCGTCTTGAAGTTGTGACAGTCCCCACTTTCGGGAGCCGGATGATGGAGGCGGTTTTCTCTGATGTCCAGAGTAGCTGACGATCATAGCTGTCTCACATCAACAATTGATTACCATACAAGAACCCAGGAATTGTCAGCACACGTACGATACCTGAGAAAGAATGGGAGTTGAAAACTGGGGACTTAGCGTGGCGGGACAAGGCATAGGACGGTGCGCAAATGCGGGATGGAGGGTCCAAAGTACAAATGCCGAGACGAAACAGACCCCGTCGCAGCGAGCAGGACACACTTTGATGTAAAATGTCCGCGAGGTCGTCCCGGGAAGCGGGGCCTCCGTTGAAACTTGTGGAGTTGAATGCGTGTACCGGGCCCACCACTGCCAAGCACATCGTAGTAGCCAATCCGCACGTCCAAACAAAGCTGTTAGCATAATCGTGTACATCATGGAATATTGTATTTTTGGCCTGTCTTGTGCCCATCACAACATCCTGTTCGAGGTTGTGTTCGAGAAACACGGCTGTCAGGTCCGTCTGCGAAGATCACAGCTTTGCAATTCCTTGGCAACGCGAGCTGTGTTTCGGGTTTGTTGTTGTAGAAGAGTGCACTGTTAGAAGTGTGAAGCCTTCAATTGTTCGAAGGCTCAGAATTGTTCTTTAAAACAGTGTGCTTCAGCTGTTTGGATCTCATGGCATTCGTATTCTTCACCATTGTCTTCTTTTTTTCAGTGCTTTTTTTCTTTCTTGATTGACTTGAGTATCTGCATGTTTTCTTCTTTGATTTTTGTCTCTCCTTCTTGCCTCTACGCTGGGCGTCTGAGGCTTTTCAGTTGAACTTTAACTTGCATCTTCATAATATCTGTACCTGTACCTTGGTCGTCTATTGCACTTTTATCAATATGGGCTGGAACCCCATCCGAGGCGCAAGGAACTTTTTCCATGACATTCGCAATGCCCCCGAGGCCCAGTATGTCACCTCGACTACCGCCGAGACTCAATTTCCCAGCCAGCAGACCCTGGTGGTTCCCGAGAAGGTTTTCTACCTCGAGCGCAGCGCCACACTAGGGAAAGACTTCTCCCACAGTACATTCGACAACGATGAGCTCCCACCGCGCCCTTTGAAGACCAAGAAAAATGACGGCGGCCTTCTTAATACCATTGTGAACGCGGCTGGTTCGAGATGGTCTCTTGGCTTCGTCTTGCTTCTATTAGTTGCATGGGGTATCTGGGGCATCATCATCAACGCGACAGATACCTGGCAGGTGGTTCTGCAGGACGTCTCGTCCCTCCAGGCCTATTTCTCCGCAACCCTCCTCATGCGTCAACAGAACAACAATACCCGCGGTCTGCTAAGTCGTATCTGCGGCTTGATCTCCCGAAGCAAGTCCAATGAACGGATGATCCGATCCCTCACCACAGCAGAGAGAAGGACACTTGCGACCTCGACACACAAGATCAGGGAAGACGTTCTCGAGGGGCTACACACCAAGGAGGATGCCTTTGATAGGTTCTCAAACAGGGTCGCTAAAATCGTCGGCCACCTGATCTCTCTTGGTATATACACTGCGGCCATTATCGCTTGGGTTTTCCTCGGCATTCCCTCGCAGTTCTCAGATACATGGCAGCTTTGGGTCAACACTGGAACAGCTTTGGAAATCACCTTTGTAACCATGTTCTTGCAAAACATCCGCAGGCAGCACGAGATACACATGGAAAAGACGGTCAAGAGCATTGATCTTCTTGATAGGGAGCTCGAGATGCAGCTCCGCCGCATGACTGGAGACATAACTCCGAACCCGACCGTTGCCAGCACCTCTCCTCCACTGTCTGGATGGGTAAGGGCTATCGACATTTATGCCTTTATCATTGGTGGCTCGATCGGCCTTACAATTTCTGCCATTGTTCTGACCTTGTGGATTGCGGTTGGTGAGCCGATGAACTTCGACGACAATTGGTTCCTTATTATTGGCACCTATACTGGTCTAATTGGTTTCATCGACGGTTTCATCCTCAAAAATGTTGACTCGCGCGAGGCTCAGTTGGCAGAGAAACACTTCCGTGAGCTCCTCGACCAGGACGCAATGATCTTCTCGGCCATCGGAATTCAGATGCCATTGGATACCCAGATGAAGAAATTGTCTCTCAACCAGCGCCTCAGCGCCGCCATCGGTCGCGCATGCGGCAGCTGTCTGGCCAGCTACCTCGCCATCTTCACTGTCATCGCCCTCCTCATCGTCGCAACGGCGATGCAGTGGACCGAGACTGGCCAACTTCTCTGCAATACGCCGACCATGATTGTCGAGGGCTTCTTGCTGATTCTGCTGCTGCAGGCGCACAATATGGATGATGAAAAGAGGCGCATGACGTACGAAAATGTGCTTCACCGGCGCCTCATCCTCGATAAGCACCTGGCGGCTGGCAACGAAGAATCTGATGGCCTGAGCCTTGACGAGAAGGATGGGCTGATCATTCAGACCTTCACCATCAATGGTATTGATATAGAGATGGGCAAGGACATCTAAGATGATAACAGGAGATTGATGGAAGACACGGATTTTGGGTTCTGTCAAGGGCCTTAATGGAGATTTCGAACAGATGATGGATTCAAGTTAATATGATCGAGGTTGCAATAGCTGACTGCCTGATGTATTTCTTTATAAAAAAAATCGTGTGCTCCCCTTTTTGAAGATCAGATGCCCGAAGCTGTTACTGAAAAGTCTGCGCAGGGTCTGCCGTGACAGCTGGTAGTGCGACACGAGCAGCAAATTCATCACAGTGAGGGCAGCAGCCGTCATGTCGCTTGTTTGCGGTATGCAAGTAAATTAAGCTACTGAAGAGTCTGTAATCGATTGTGTCATTAGCAAGTACGTAGAGTATTTTACAAAGTGTTTAGGAAGGGATTAGGCTGTGGAATTCATCCTCCAGAAGCTACAATCCGCCAAAGTGCTTTCCTCGGCGGTGGAGTAACGGTGAAGTCACCGATCGCCCCAGGTGACGTCCCGTTCTTAGACGTCATCAAGCACCATTAACGGTATATTTAGACGAAGTCGCGACTGCGCATGACACGCAGAACAAGAAGACGTGGTTTCCTCAATAAAAAAAAACACGCGACAGCCAAAGGAAGGCACAATCAATCTTGTAGGAAGGAACATCGATTTCGTCAACATAATGTCGTCCGTTCGACAGTCTTCCCGAGCTCTGCTCAATTCCTTCTACACAACTTCCAGGAGTGCAAGACCGATTGCTTTGCACATCACCAGTCCCAAGAAATCTTCACAGACGAGTTCTTCTCTCCAATTCCAATCCTCAATTCATACATCCACCTCCAAGATGGCCCAATCCAAGGTCGACTCGCAGTTCATCCACGAGGTGACAAAGAAAGAAAACGAGCTCACCGGCCAGCCCGACCCGGTCAAGGGTGGGCCCACCGCTCAGGCCCAGAAGCACGTCGGCGAAAATGTCGACGGTGGTGTCGTCTCGGATATCACCAAGGGTGAGGCCAAGGTCACCCAAATGGGTGACATCATCGCTGGAGGACCTGCTGCCTTCGCCGAGAGCGTGGCTGCCAAAGCTGTCGGTAACCAAGTAGGTCCAACCATTTTTGCTGTGGGGGAACCTTGACACTAATTGCTCTTGTAACAGGCTCAGACCACCTCATCTACTCAGCAGGATGTAAAATCGGGCGTTCTCGACTCACAGACCATCTCTCGCATTACGCATGCGGAGTCTGAGCTTACGGGTCAGACCGAGCCGGTGAAGGGCGGCCCTACCGCTCAGGCGCAGAAGCACACTGGCGAGACCATCAACTCCCAGAACCTTCACGACATCACCGAAGGCGAGAAGAAGGTGACTGGTGGTGAACGTGTTAAGGGTGGCCCCACCTCTACGGCTCAGAGTGAGCTCGCCAAGAGTCGCTCCTAGGGTTGTATATCGTTACGTTGCCGCCCAAACCGAGGCAACATGGCACCCCATGTTTCTTCGATTTTCCTGGCGTTTGAGAGCAGCCTAGACAACGATGGGAACCTACTTTTAGTGGCTTCTGTGGGCGCCTTGTCGGAACTACATAACTAGGCATCTCGCACGTTCGGATGCAGCACATCACACATCTAATTGGCAGATGATGTATCCTCAGGCAGCTGAATTGTATGACTAGCGCGAATCAAACTTAGAAGGAAAGAACAGTTGCAATTTGATTTAATAACGAAGTTGGAGACATCTTCTCCTTCACGGCTCTTGATCGAAGTCATAACTGTTCCCGAATCCACGATCCAGATAGCCACCCTTGCCCAAAATCTTTTCAGTCGAACGCCAGTCAACGGCACTTACATCAAGCCCTAAGTTTCCCTCTGCCTCGAGCCTTTCAAAAACAGGCTTGATATCCTCGCCCAAGGTCAATCTCATCTTATTCCGGTACCACGGAGCAAAGTGAATCATGGCCAGCATAATTCGGACCTGATCACTCCTATTCGGCATCCCAGCATGCCACAGCCTTAAGTCCCGAATGACGATGCTACCTTTCTTCACCACAGGCTGACTCGGCCCTCTGCTCCCCTTCTCCCGCTCTGCCAACAGGGCTGGCTTGATCCGCCCGCTCGCCCGCTCGCCGTGTGCGCCCTCCTGCACGTCGACGCCGAAATGGTGCGTGCCCAGCCACAGCTCGGTGGAGCCGTTATCGGGCGTCATCGTGACGAGCGGGATGTTAATGACCAGCGCAAAAGGGTGGTCTGGGTGGGCGAAGTCTGCGTCGGAGTGTACAGGCTGTCGCTGAGGGGCGGAGCCGAGGAGAGGGGGCATGGCGGAGTTGGCGGAGCAAAAGGTCCATCTAGGCTTGGGGCCGAGGATGGCGGAAGTGATTTGCGTGGCGATGAGGTCTGTTGGGGCATGGTTAATGAGTATCATCAGGCAATATTGACTGGGGTGGGCATCAGGCGACGAGGAGAGCAATGCCTGACGTACTGATGAAGATGGACGACTGGAAGTATTCAGCCACAGGTGGAGCATCTTGCTGGAGGTTCCCCTGATTATAGTTGAACGGTCCATCCTTTCCGCGTGCTTGTAGAGTGCGGGCGTCCTGCACCATCTTCTCGTTGAGAAAGTCGAGGTGCTGGTGGGGGACGACGTCCTCGACTACTACCAGGCCGTCCTGATGAATATGTCGTACGGCCGCCTCAAGGTTCCTCGGGTCTAGTTTCTGAGATTTAACCTCCTGGATAGAAGGACGAACTGCAAAGGGCGTAGTAGGGAGTGGCTGCGATGGGCTGGTGAGTGAGGCAAGGGAACGGCGGGCGCCTATGCCCAACCTGCAGGCCGAAACTCCTGAGCGAGAAGCCAGTGCTCTGCTAAACATGATTGCAGGTATTACGTCTGAAGTTTGCAAAGTTATGTTTCTAGCATGTCTTTGTCGAGCGAATCCTGCTGTTTTATAGTCATGAGTCTCGACCTAGTCGTTTCCCACATCAATGCTTGAATCCCGAGCTCGGTATAAATCGCTAGCTTAGGAATGGCCTCAGAGGACACCACAGCCAAACACGATGGCAGCACCCACCGGCACCCCATGATGCACTTCAAGAGGCTTTCTTGCTCCTCGCCGAACAATATAGTACAGGTCCTTGCCCTGCTATATGCTAGACTTTTGGCTCTTTCCCCAGTCCTGTTGGAGGCTATCAATGGTCCTCTGCACCGGCCATCCTGTCATCGCTCTGCTCCCATAAAGCCGTCTAATCAATTCCTGCTGGCATGCTTCGTTCCTAATGAACTTTCCACCTGCAATACAACGTCAGCCGAAGGTAGTCCGTCCGCATTTCAGTGTCGCTCACAATAATGTATAGGGCCGAACGCGTTGACCAGAACAGCCGGGCTATCGTTGGTAAAGGCGATCCCGCAAACCTCAAGAGCCAGAACTTCAAGCCGATCTTGTATCGACATACTCTCATTCAATGATGAGGGCAGGTTAGGCAATTTCGATACGTCGTTGAGTTTCCCGGGCCGTGGCATTTTTGCTATGAGAATGATCACAGCGATGAGAAAATAATGCATAGTCGAGGCTGCCATAGATATGAGCTTCGTTGCTTAGGGAGTTGACTCGTCACTGAGACTCACTTACCATGACAAGCCTGCACCATCCAGACTGAAGGAATACAGTCAACAGATGATAATCCACTACCCAGTGCTCGCGAGAAGGCTTGAAAGCTGGTTGGTAGCGCCATACTCTGCTGGCGCAGCGTCGCTAAATTATGATCCCATTCATCGTCTGACACCACATCACCAAAACAGGCATTGACGACATTCCCAAGAAGTATGGACATCTGATTGAGATAGTCTGGCTGTGTGATCAAGACATGATCAGGTGTGTGTTTCAGGTCGGTCTTTAACTTGGAGCCGGTGAAGAGGCTGAAGGTGATATCCTCCCTCAGGTAGTTCCAGAACCCTGCATTCCAACAAAGACTGTCAGCGCAGAGACTTCGCTCCGATGCCAGCGAGTAGGCTCCATGAAGGTGACGATTGGGGTCTTGCTCCTCTGTGAAGAGTGTTGTAAGCATCTGTACATCGATCACAGCCTGGTCCGCCTCCCCCCCTCCCCCCCCCCAAAGAAAAAAAAGATTTGAGTCGTCTCACCAGCTAGAATCTCGTAGGAGCGCAGGAGGCACGTCGAAGCTAGAGCAACACCCGACTTTACACGCCTATCGCCTGGCTCCAACTCGATCAATGTCCTCACACAGTATCCGTGATAGAAGTCAGCCGCTGTTCGTGCCTTGGGCGCCGTTGTCTTGCTCAGGTGCACAGCGGACAGTGCGATGATGGCACCGAACAATAACGGTTCATCTAGGGCCTTGCTGGGGACCTCAGTGGCGAAGGTACATAGCTGATCGCTCAAGTCGTACCATGGTGCAATGGTCTTGATGTAGTGCTGGAAGTATTGTGCAATCCGAGAGGTTTCAAGTGCTTTACGGGGTGAATCAGGGGTCGGGAAGGAAGCGTTTGGATCCTCTTAAGTTGTATAACTCTCAGAATCTCAAAGAATGATACCGTGTTTAGGGCATTCTATGTTTCTTTTTTTTTTGGGGGGGGGGGGGGGGGGACGCTTGGCAGCTTACGGCTGATCTCAACTTGATCATGGCTTGGCGGCCGCCATGCCTGGATCGAGGCGGTGGTCCTCACAGAGCGGTCGCAGTATGCCTTGGACTTCATACACCTGTTGCATACTGGCTGACTTCCATCGCCTGCGCCAACGTCAGAGAAGGCAGAATCGACCTCAGCCTGCAGGTATCATACATTTCAATTTCCGCCGCCGACATGTATTACTGCAAGATCATTATTACCCTCAGAACGGATCCCTTCGGCGTCATGAAGGAGTGTCGAGGCTGCCTACCATGCTGTGACGTAAGACTGTAAGCGGGTCTATCTTATAAACAGTTGACGCACATGTCTGACTTCTTACTGGATTCTTTACGCCCTTTTGGCATACTCGATAGTATCCGCAGAAGGTCTGCTATCTCTGTTGTGATTTCGTGCTGTGGGTCCAGGCTGCAAGGTTGGTGACAATGATTGTCATGTTCCTGTTGAAAGAATGATCATATGCTTCACGGCCCGAGGTACAGCTATAGTGGAGCAAAATATCTGGCTCCGCTATCTAGGGGTCCTTAGGTACAAAGTACCGTACCTTTCCTCCTAGAGATCGCAGGATTCACATCTGATCCAGCAGGGGAGAAAATTGACACAGAAAATTCAAACCAGCTGCAGATTCTAGGTTAGTTTTGTGGCAAGTACAAAAGCCCGGGCGTGGAGAGGAAGCTAATTACTGAATTGAAATCCTCCCTTGGTAGTAAAGTTTTGATCATGGCCTGGAGCAGGATTTATAGGTTGACGCGAAATCCGTTGCGAGGCAGTAGGGCTGGCTGGTGATGATGCGATAACGACTCAAAGCGAATGCGACCCGTTCTGATGCCTGTTCTTTGCGACGCAAATCCAAATATCAAAGTCATAGTGAAGGGAGTTTCGGAGCAGGATCTTCAGTCAGACAATGGGAAGTCATCCCGCTGAAGGAATATTCTAGGACCAAAAAGTAAGCAGGGTGTATATTCAGCCTCTTTTCTTTCTTTCTTTTTTTCCCTCCCCCTCTGTTTTCTTCTTCTTTTCTAATCCCGCTTTGGCCTTGAAAAAGCTAACGCACATAGTTCACAAGCGCACCCGGCAAACGCCGAGGTTCCACGGAGACGAGTTTATTCCTAACGCGGCGACGAAACGCAAACGCCACAGTGCACAGAACAAAATTCTGACGATTATCAACCAAGAGCACTGGTATGCTGATCCCGGATCATCCGACCTTGTGCTGTCACCTGAACTTCGGACCCGACCTATTTATGCGATCTCTGCTTGGCCTAAGACCACTCCACCGCGGACCTCGGACTGTAAGCAATACCTAGCCTCTCCGTTCAACCTCGATTCCGATGGAGCCGAGTCAAAATATTTATCACACAAGAGTCAATTTTGTTGTGTGCATTCAGGCCCCATGAGCTGAACCTCTTCCATAGAATGCACATCTTGTGCACATTAAACCCAGGACTTTTTATGACCAAATTACTGTTTCGAGTCCGCGAGCTCGGCCACCATCGTCTCAGATCTAGGGAGCCCGGCGCCTCATGCTCAGTAGAGACAGGCGAGCACACGAACGATTAAATCATGTCAAGCAGCACATATTCTTCCCGAACACCCTCCTCTGAGGTGCCCCCTTTCTTGAGGAAACGCAGATCCACCAATTCGCAAGCTGCCAACCGCACCGTCTACGCGCTGGCATATCCTGCACCAGTTTTCACAGACAAGACGATATTCATCAAGCACCTACGGCCCAGACTCTATCTTCAGCTGCAGCGACGCTCCGCAGATGGACTACATTACGAGCCTTTCGTGGATGTGGTGTCTTTGGCACCACCAAAGGACCCACGACGCCTAGCGTCCATGGTGAAAAAGTACGTCAAGAAGCTGAAGACGCACGAGCGACATCTTCATTTCGACAAACGTGATGTTCTCCTGGTCTGCACGGCAGAAGATACATCCAGATTCGGCAATGTGCGCAATACAGGGATCGAAAGGGTCCTCTCACGCTTTGAGGATCTGACGGATCGGAAAGTGGCTGCCGTCCTGCGCACAAAGAATAGGATTGTGACAGAAGACGGACGGGCCTGGGTGGTATCAAAACGGACAAACGGGTCTTTCGAATTCTCTCACGTGAATGCGCACGGCGGCTTGGATGTCGCGAGATGGGTGCCCTCGAAGAACAACCGCTCATCGACAGGAGGCGCGAGTCAGCCTCGGACGCCCATGACCGCCCGCTTCCCTTTGGATTCAGATGATACCTTTCCCTCCTTCAATTTCAGCCTTATCGACCCGTCAATGCGGCGTCATGCTGTGCTGGCTACGCTGGACTCGTCCAGTCTGCAGATCAAAGATACTTACTATGAGCCGGTTACATCAACCTCGCGCAACCCTGAAGAGACGAGCGCGAAGGTGCTGGACGAGGCCACTAGAACCTTGATACTTGCCACTGCTGTCTGGCTTGATCTTCATCTCGGGTGGTCACCTTCCTATAAAGGATCTCTTAAATGCTGAATCCCTTTGTGGGGCGGCCTTTTTTTTTGGGGGGGGGGGGGGAATTTGGTGTAGATGAGGGTTTTTCTTTGATTTTAGGTGGCTGAAACATGAGAATTCAAGAGGTGCATGTCGATACCCATATACAGGATAGATTGAATACCAAGGTTCTTATCACAAATGATCTCACGAAAGTTTTATGGTACAAATTCATGTCGTGGAAGGCTCTGTACTTTAGTAGAAAGCCAAACCTGACCATTGTCTCGAAGATGCGAGTAAGTTGGGGAGGAGACATTCGCTACGACCGCTTCAAAGTTTGCTAATGTTCACTGCTTATACTATTCAAGAAAGAAAAAAGAAGGAAAAAAAGGAGGATCGCGTATAAGGCTTAGCACCTGAGAGAGGGAATAGTGCAGGTCTTCCTCGCCTACTTATGTATCTTACAGACCCGGGACAAAACATTGAGGACCAGTAAGAACTTCCGAGGTACGTCCACGGCAGCATAAGCATCTTCATATGCTTAAAATTCTTCTATTCATTACTTGAGTGGTGAGCCCGTATTTTTCTCCCCAACTTTCTTCTAAACGACCAGAAAGGGTTTAGGGTAGTCTTATCCCTGTGATTCTTCGAAGCCCATGTATCAATATCTCGATGTAATATCTCGATGAGGGCCGCATGAGTCCCTACCCTCGTCGACTACACATGAATTTTTTTTCCCTTGTTGGCCTTATGCCGTAGCCATATTCTCGTCTTCTGTATGAAGACATCAAGACATTACATGTTGGCCTCAGACCGCCCACGTCTAAAGGATGAGTCAACCGGCCTGCATGTAGATGTCAGCATACTAACAAGGCAGCCATGCCTCTTTCGCAACTTGAGTCATGCATTTATTGGCCTCATTGGATCGCCAAATACTCAGTGTTGGATTTTGAAAGGGCTTAAATATGGCCCGCACTTCTCACTATCAGTGACAAGATCCCTTTCTTACATTCAGCTTCCAGCAGCTTGAATCCTTTAGGCGGAGTTGATCTTTCAGATTCACGAAGGCGAGTCAACTCGTGGTATCACAATGTCTGTCTCGGAGCAAGCAGAGGCGCAAATGCCGCCAGATCCTTGGTTTCTCAGGTCTACTCACCCTGTCTTTCTCCCCGCTCACTCTGCCCTAGTTCTACCCGAGGATGAATTCGAAATATTCCTTCAGAAAGACCTCAAGTCAATGGAGGGTACCAGTGAAAGCAATGAAGCATACCAGCTTTCTGAGAAGACAGAATCCAGCGAAGACTCGGAGGCGGTCGTCGTGTCGGATGTATCGACAACGGCAGATGTCCGAGAAATCTTGGATGACATAAATATCGACGTCGATGATTCTGATTCGAAGGACGATGTATTCACCCCTCACGTCAACCCTTTCATGAAGGGCCTCGTGTCTTATTCTCATAATCACCCCGCACCGGCTGAGGCACCATCCGACATGCAGAACAAAATGCTCACTGAGAACGCTGATATCGCCTACCGCTCCACAACTGAACCGCTTGTGGACCTGTTCACCGAGCTGGAGGATGTGGTCTCTGGTCCTCGCCTGCTCGAGCTCCTGGAGAGAGCTTGGCGAGTCGATCCCGTGGTGACTCTAAAGATCATCTTCAATTCACGATCGATCCACCTGGGCAAGGCTTCTCGACATACCTTCTACAGATGTGCCGGCTGGTTGGCTAAGAAGCACCCTCGGACGCTGATTACCAACCTGCCCTGGCTCAATCGCCCACTTATCCAGAAGAAAGCCGAGAAAAAAGATGACAAGAGGAAGACTGACGATGACTATGACGACGAGTTGGTCATTGTCGAGGAGGACTTGGACGACAATGACCCTGCCCGCTTCGACGTCAAGAACGGCGTGGCCCATGGGTACTGGAAAGATCTGCTCAACATTCTGGCCTTGCACGTCAATGACAAACTCGACGTCCTGTCCAACCCACGGGATATCTTGAACATAGAGCGAGAAGAGGACAAACGTCTCTGGCCCAAGACCCAAGATGATGCCAACATTATTCGCCACGAAAAGAGGAACGCACGGCACGACGCCGCTATCAAGCACTTCAACAATGATTCCATCTACCGCGCTCTGCACCTGGCCGTGGCGCGCCTCTTTGCCACACAGCTCAAGGCCGATCTAAACCTCCTCAAAGGAGACGATGCTAGGGCGAGACGCAATATCTCGCTCTGTGGCAAGTGGGCTCCGTCTCTTGAGCGCTTCCACGACAAGCACACCTCCGTCGCCACGTCGATCGCCGAGATTCTCCATCCGCTGCCCGAGTTCACTGGCTTCGATACGTATGATCCGGAAAATATCGACCAGCGTACGCTGTACCTGCGCCATGCCCGCGAAGCCTACCGCAAAGACCTCGCAGCCCTTCGCAAGCACCTGGGGTGCGTAGAGCGAGACATCACTGCCAACACGTACAAGAACATCAAGTACGAGCGTGTCCCTTCGATTGCAATGAACAACTACGCCGCGTTGTTTGCCAGAAAAGACACGGACCGCTTCGAGCAGTATGTCGACCAGGTGGCCACAGGCAAGGCACGGATCTCGGGGGCCACTCTACTCCCGAGCACCCTGGTCAAGATGGTACGAGAATCACTGCGCACGCGGAAGAGATCGTTCAGCCAGCTGGCCGGCGATCGCAAGCACAAGGGGGCAAAGGACCTGGTCCAGGCCAAAATGGATGAGATAACCGCCAAGAGCCTCGACGGCCAGTGGAATACGCTTGTGCAGCGCACCAAGGACTCGGGGACGCTGCAGAACTGCATTGCTGTGGCCGATGTGTCGGGTTCCATGGAATCCCCAGCCTTCCCTGACAGGACCTGTCCCATGGACTCAGCCATCGGCCTGTCTCTCCTCATCGCCGAGGTGTGCAAGCCGCCATTTGGCGGCGCGTTCATCACCTTCAGCACGAATCCCAAGGTGGAGGAAGTCGATCTCGCCCAGACGTTCCAGGATAAGTACCTACAGCTCAAGCGAGCCGAGTGGGGCATGAGCACAGATTTTGAAGCCGTCTTCGAGAAGCTGATCCTGCCCATGGCGATCCGGGACAAGCTGAAGCCCGAGGACATGGTGAAGCGCATTTTTGTCTTCTCCGATATGCACTTCAACAACGCGGTTGATAGAACCGCATCTCCCTGGGCCACGTCCTACGAGCGCATCGAGAAACGCTTCCGCGATGCAGGCTATGATATGCCGGAGCTGGTGTTCTGGAACTTGGCCGGGGGTCGTGCTGGTTACATGGGCGGCCATTGGGGCTCTCAAGGGGACCCGACTGCCCCGAAGCCGGTCACAGCGGAACAGACCGGTACTGCGCTTGTCAGTGGCTATTCCCAGGGTATGCTGAAAGTTTTCTTGGACAACGGCACATTTGAGGATGAGGAAGAAGAGGAGGAGATTGTTGAAAAGATTGGCGATGATGGTGAAGTGATTATTGACAAGGCGAAGAAGCGGAAGCTGGACCCAATGAGTGTCCTCAACAAGGCTGTTCGTCATAAAGCGTACAGTATGTTGCGTGTTGTCGATTAAAATCTGGGAGTTGGTTTTGATTAAAGTAATGCTTGTGTTTCGAGATACCTCTCAAGTCTTTTTGTTCTCTCTGTTTTCCTTTCTTTTTAGGCAACAAGATTATATCATGGTAGGTAAATAAATACGAATGATGCCTAGGTACAATTTCTTCCTCGTAAGCTCGACCGACGCTGCGTTACCGTGACATGAATACTACTTACGACAATCTGCATCGTGATCACTATAATTAATAGTCGATATCGATGTAGTAGCATCTTGACAGAAACTGCGTTTTCCTATAATTAGTGCGAGCCCCCTGGTCCCCCCCCCCCCCCGCCACGACCTGCTCGGCACATTCTGCTTCTTATGTAGCGTGAAGGCTATTTCAGTCTTGTTTGTATGACTCTATATAGAATATATGTAGATATATATGGATATAAAAAGGTATCGTATGTCATTAATTATGCACAATTCCTGCAGACCATTCCTCAACGCCAGTGCCAGAACCGCTTTCGTGTCGAAGTTTCGCGGTCATCCTCCTCCTCCCGCCCAACAACCCTAAGAAAAACTTCGTCCAAGGTTGTGGGACTGACACTGTAGTACTCAATGTTCAGCTCGTCCCTATGAGCTTCGAACAGTTGGATGAGTCCAGGTGTATCCAACCTCTCGGCTGTCCCTGGAGCAGCAGCAGCCTCTGTCTTTCCAACCACATCATCCACCGATCCACCTGTGCTGCCCGTATCTTTGTCTCCCACCGAGCCGTCAGCATCCCTCTGTCCCATATCGACGCCAGCTTTCTCATTCTTCTTCTCCCTGTCAGCCACACCCTCGTTCCTCACCCTAAATCTCAACAACCCATGCGCACCGCCCCCAGCACCCCATTTCTCAAACTCACACCCCGCCACTCTCCTTGCCAACCACGACTTCACCCGGTCCATCTCTTCCTCCGTAGTGCTCGGGGCGCTCTTCAGCACAACCTGCACCACCACTCCCTCTCCCCACCGCTGGCCCAGCTCTTTTCCCGTGCCAAGCGCCAACATGCGCCTCTTCATGATGCCAACCCGCGTAGCAAGCCTGTCCGCCTCCTCCATAGAGTGCGTAGTAATCAGCAGCGCCCGTCCAGGAGCTGCAACCCCCAGCAAGGTCCGCCACATGGCCCTCTTGGCCGCAGCATCCATCCCGCTGCTGGGCTCGTCCAGCAACAGCACAGCAGGGTTCCCCATGAGCGCGATTCCCAGCGACAACTTCCGCTTGTTCCCGCCCGACAGCTTGTGCGCGAGCCGTTCCGAGAAGCGGCCCAGCCCTGTGGCGGCCAGGACAGCCTCAACATTGGCCTGGACGTCAGGAACACCCCTTGCCGAGGCGTAGAAGAAGAGATGTTCTCGCACCGTCATGCTGTCCATGGCGTCGAACTGGGGACACACGCCGAGGTGCTGACGGGCTGCGGCGCGCTGTGCAGAGATGGACAGGTCCGAGACTAGGACGTCGCCTGGGGGAAGGCCACCACCGGCTAGAAGTAATCCGCCTGCGGAGGAGGAGGGTCGGATGTCGCCGCGGATGAGGGAGATGGTGGTCGACTTGCCTGCGCCGTTGGGCCCCAGGAGGGCAAATACCTCTCCTCGCGGGACACCAAAGGTCATGTCTTGGACTGCGTGATTAGCACGGCCAAAGAACTTATTCAGGTGTCGGACGCGGAGGCTGTCAGTGTCTGGAGGGGTTTGGGCTTCTATGCGCTTTGTCTCGAGAGCTACGGCGGGGTCATTGATGGAGGAGGAGGAATCGGATAGGGCTGCTTCGTTCTCGGTGTCGAGATTCTTTGTGTGAGGAGGGTGATCGCTGTGGTCTCGGCGAAGACGCCGGGAGAGGGTGGTGAGGATGGATGGCTTGTATCCGCTGTCGAACCAGACGAGGATGGTGAAGAGTACCAAAGACTGGACGAGAAGATAGAGGATGGGACCACCGTAGATTGTGAGCTGTCCAGGATATGAGGCGATCGATGTGCCGTCACAGAGGAGTGAGAATTCGTTGAGTGTCAGGAGGAGAGATCGCAACAAGCTTCCTGCGGGCGTGATGATGGAATAGGCAAAGTGAGCTGTCGTCAGGTCCGAGGTGATGCGGTAGGCAGGCGTGTATGTGATGATGCTCATGTACATGATGAAGTACAAGAGGAACAGGACAGCCTGGCCACCTGCAGCGGTGGCAAAGCAGGCGAGTTGCGAAGGCGTGAAAAGAGAAATCACGTAGCACAACAGGATCGAAGCCATGCCGTACAAAAAGAAGACCACGAAGAGATATCCAGGCGCGTACCACACGCTTGAGGCTCCGACAAAAATTCCAGTAACGACGGCGCTGATGACCAGTACAAACAGAAAATCGAATATCAGATAGGCCAGCCACAAAGGCCCAGCTCGGATGCCGTTGCTGTAATGTAATGCTCGAACGTTCCTCAAACGTTCCACGCAGGGATACAACGCGAAGAAGGCCGGGTATACAGACATTGCTAGCCCGAAATACAGGATGAGCTGCAACGTCTTGCCCGCGCTCGGGGCAAAAGGGACGGCGAAGGACTGGAATGACGTCGTGATGGGAACCCCCTCGACAACGTTGGAGAGGGCATTAAGGGTGACGAGGCCAAAGCTGACATCGCCGTTACCAATATACGCCATGACGGCCTCGGGGTTCTGATTCGGCTGCAGGAAGAATCCGCCAGGTGTGACGTTTTGGAAATTTGTAGCAATGTAGTCGTTAAACTCATCGAGTGTATCGACGAGGTGAAAAGCGGTGGCGTTGAGCCCAGTGCGGTTAGTGAGGGTATCGATGCTTAACAGGCTCGAGGGTCCCAGAGGAACCAAGGGAGTTATGTCGAGAGAACTGAGATCATATGAGGTTGGGTTGCTGGCCTGGTCACCAGGATTGCACCCAACTGCTGAAAAGTCCCGCAAGAATAGAGTGACCAATCCACTCGTGATGACTGGCACAAGAAACGCAGCCAGGTATGGTAGATAGTTGCGTCGCAAAATCGTGAATCTTTTTCGGATGAGAATCAAAGTCTGTCTTGGGATGCTTGTGCCCTGTCCTTGGGTCATCCGCATGCCCTCGTCTTTTGTCGAGGAGGTCTCAGAATGGGCTGATGGCTTGTCGACTGGTTGTGCTTTGTTTGTGAGACGAACACCTGGTGACAACTCGTCTTCCAGTCCGCTCTCGCGGATCTCATCTGCCAAGGTTAGGAAGACGTCCTCCAGAGTCGGTCCCAGAATATCGTAATCCTGCACTTGACTGGAACTAAGTCTGCTGATGAATTTTGACACCTCGGCTGAGTTGGGAAGCCAATACACCACCTTGTCTTCCGTCTCGTCGTGGAGAACCGAGTCGTCGGCAGTGAACCCCTGTGCTTTTGGTACCGAAATGCGATAGCCAACATCCACCTCGTGCTTCAGCTGGACTGCGGTGCCTTTTGTCTTAAGGTAACCCTTTGACATGATGGCAACGTAATCAGACAAAACATCAGCCTCGTCAAGGAAGTGTGTAGTGAGAAGAAAGGTCCTCTCGCCACGCTCAGCCAGTAAGATATCCCAGATCTTTCGCCTAGACAAGGGATCCAGGCCCGACGAGACCTCATCGACGCAACAGACCTTGCTGCCACCAGTGAACATCATAGCCAGCTGAAGCTTTCTCTTCTGGCCACCAGAGAGCGTCTTGGATTTCGCCTTGATCTTGTGACCCAAATCGCACGCCCGTATGAGTTGTTCGATCTGATCTCTCTGGTCTCTCCCGCCTTTTGATGATGACTTTAACTGGTTGAAGATCTTGATATGCTCAAACACGGTGAGCTCGTCCCACAGGACATTCTTTTGAGGACACAGCCCGAGCCCTCCAGTTCCGTCGATCTCGATAGAGCCGCTGGTAATCGTGTTTAGACCAGAGATGGCGTCGAGCGTCGTGCTCTTGCCACTGCCGTTGGCCCCGAGAAGCACCAGGATTTGCCCGCGTCGAGCCTTGAGGTTGAGGTCGTTGACTGCGTAGACGGTTTCAGGTACTGTGAGGCCGAATTTTGCGAGCACTTTTCTCCGGAACCAACTCGGCACCCAGTGCTTTGAAAAGTTGGAAAGGACGATGGCATGGTCTAGAGACGATGTGGTGGTTTTCCTCTCTTTGGACACCGTACCATACAACCATCTCTCAACAAGCGCGCCGAGAAACGGGTAGACGATGATCTGTATTATCAACAAAACCCAGAAGACAATTCCAGGCAGAGTAGAAGGACCACTCGGTGCACCCTTTGCAAGATTGGCAGCAGTCGAGATCTTCTCGAACCGGGCTAGGTAGATGATAAAGAAGACATAATTCATCGAAGGAAAGATGAGGCTGAGGACGGCTGTGGCTCCTGTGGCGAAAGGTCCAGAGACCTGGGCGATGATGGCGAGAATGACACACACCATAGTCACGGTGATGCCGGAAAGCTGTGCCTTATTAAAGAGGCTGGCACCAAGGATGGAGAAGCTGGAGAGCGCCAGTCCCGCCAGGATGTGGTAGATGATAAGGATTCCCCAGCTCGTATGGATGAACGACAGGGCCCTCAGGATGGCACCCATGATGATCCATCCAGGAATGTAGATGATGTCGAACGCGAGGTGGTTTGAGAGCAGACGTGCTGCTTGGGTATGCCAGCGCCTTGTCGAGGGCGTCATAGCCTCCACCAGCTGCGAGATCCCAAGTTCCCTCTCGGAGGCCATCTGCCCCGTGAGCTGATAAGTGACTCCACATATACCAATAAAATAAGCCACAGCCAGAATATTGATGAGGGCCCCCATGTACAGTCGGCGGATGAGGGCATCTCGTTGTTTCGATGTCAAATCTGTAAAGGGGTACTCGTCGATGGTCCCCATTTGCGACAAAGCGGACGACGAACCATTGCCGGAGACGAACCCAATGGCCGAGTCGACCGCCCGCTGCAGAGGGAGAATATAGATCTCAACATCATTGTCCGTCTTGTCGACATAGATCTTCTCGCCAAAAGCCCCATCGGCCCGGAGTGTATAGTTCCAGACCCCTTGAGTCCCTTCATTCGGCGACGAGTTGAATACCACGGCACCATAGCAGGTTGTGGCGCCTCGCAAGGAGCTGGCACAGCTCGTGAGCAGGTCGTCTTCCTCCTGGACTACTTCCACAGTCTTTCCGGCCGCCTGGACCTGCGCAGAGATGTTGCTTATAACGCTCTCGATTTCTCCACCGGTGAAGCCGTTGTTTACAAAGACTACTTTGTTGTGATTGCCAGTCGACGCGGCGAGGGCATCGGAGAGACTTCGTATAGAAGTGGGTGAGCCGATACCGTATTGGGAGGGAGGGACGAAAAAGTTCTTAGCATAGGAAATTATAAACATCTGTTAGGTTTTCGGGGGACCGAGATAGTTAGCCATGAGCGACTTCGAAAGTACCGGTTCTTCCATGGCCCTCATCGGGTCGTCTCGAAACCAGAGAAATACCTACAAATACGATCGGGGCCAGAAATGCTCGGATGGTCGTGAAGAACCAGTGCCTTACAAAGACCACCAACAAGTTCTTCTTGGTCAGAGTCCATGCCTGGCGAAAGAGCGCCATCGGGGCGCTGTGTCACACCGCCTGTGCGACCAGACGGGCGTTGTGGGAATTCCGGCTCCCTGGAAAGCTCTAAACGGCGGGCGAACCCTAAATAAATGAATTAGGCTGTGACGTCGGAGCAGCCGGAGATGTCTCGAAAACTGTTATCGAGGAGAAGTTGCGAAAGATAACATGTTGCTTGCAAAAAGCAAGAAATTGCAGCGAGAGCAGTTTTGCGAATAATGAGGGAATACGATGAACAAGAGAAGAAGAAGAAGAAGAAGAAGACTTCCGAAACGAATACTGTTTTCCCTCGCACAGGCAGGCGACAACAGCGGTCGAACATTGCGCTCCGCGGATGATCGGCTTCGGCACCGGGAGCCCTAGAACCCGTCCCAAGTGCGGCCCCATCTTTCAAAGCCACCCCACAAGGGAGCAGTTGGGTTTCGATGACGCCTCAAGACCCTGTAGCGCGCCACTCAGATGGGGTTCTACCAGCATGTTATCCCTGTCTTTTACTCCATCCACTCAGGCTCCGGCATCACCGGTTCGGCCGATGCTCCGACGTGTTGCTGTGATATGAAGTCAACAACGATTTCTGTGTACATGTCAAGAAGTACTGTACTCTATGATGAAGTGCGCAACATCTCCAATGCGAGTCTCAATCATTCGAACGATCACTTATCCGGAGCAAAGAGTCCTGGCGATGCTCGTTCCATCCCAAGGCACCAACAAGCGAGTTCTTGCGACGGACGGAGTAGCACGCAGTTCCAAGACACACACTCTCGGTGGCTGTGTATCCATGCTTACGATCCCACGAGGCGTTCTTTGTCACTTCACGTTCTGGATTACACCCGAACCTTCGGCTACGAGGTTTGACAGGTTAATCTGCAACAATCAACACGAGGAGTGGTCTGACAACCTCAGTGGTCTCATGGAAGCCCCAATTTTATTTCATTATCTCTCCTCGAAGCGAGACTGTCGACAAGACTCTGCCGTCTTCAGCACTTTGAAAATTATACGAACCACACAGACCTCATCCTACTTGCTCGTCTGCAGCGGAAAGCCTGTCCATCGCCCCCAAGATCATGCAACGTGGTTGTTGACACTGCCGTATTCCGCTGGACGCGTGTCACATTCAAATTCAGCCCATTGAAAGACAGATCCAGCACAAGGTTTGTTTTATGCTTGAGTGTTGTCACACTTCTGCAATTAATTGCCCGAAGACAAAACTCTCAAATTTCTGCCATTACTTCTCGTGCACTTTGGCAATTGTAGGCAAGGAGGAATTGAGCTACAGTCATTAGCATGTCTAACTTGGCTCCGAGGATCCATTTACATTATGGTCAAAGCTTGTCTGGATGTGATTGTTCCGATTCCAAAGCATTGAAGAATGAAGAAAAGACCCGATCCTGTTTCATTAGTCTTCCTTTTCTTCCGTCTTTCCGTCCTTATAGTAGCTCCTACCATGGTCTTGACGCGCGCAAGCTGTTCTTGAAGTATACGAGGCCTGTATACCTTGCTCTCTATAAATGGCCATTTTGGTATTATTTCCATGCCTAATTTTCTGTTGAGATTCAATGTTGTGACTCCTCTCGTAGGTGCTGGCTCGCAGTCTGACTTGGCCAGCTGGCACAGTAGGGAGACAGCCCCACCTGCCAGCTGGCATTGACCTCAGCCAGTCCCAGAACCGGTTTTTGCCGGCTGATGAGCGCTTTCCTTTTCAGACGACTTCAGCCACTTCTCGATCGCCCTTGCAGCACCACAAATCGACACCTCATCCGGGCGTCATCTCAAAATTTGAAAAACCACCCAGCTGCGATGCTAGGTCGACGATGAACCCAAGCGACCCGGGACGCAGGGCCGGTGACGACGTCCTCGATCCATCGCTTGTCGGCGTGCTTCCTGTAATTCCACCAGAGTCCTCCGACAGGCAGCCACGCAACAATGCCGCCACTGCAGCCACCGCAGCCGGCGTGCGCGCCTTCACAGCGCAGGCCATTGCCTTCTACTTTCGTGCGCCGGCCAAGGCCTTCTTCAGGATGCGCGTGGACTACCTGGCTTATGCGCGAAATCTGCAGCAGCAGAACCACAGCTACATGGTCAACAACCTCCCTGGCACCGCCACCAACGGCAACGGGAAAGGCAACGGACAGGTTGCGAGGCAGACATGGTGGCAGTGGTGTCGGTCTGTTGTGAGCCGGACGACGCCTGGTGTGCTCGTCTCGGCGGTGCGGCACTCTGGATGGCGCGTGATTCCAGATCAGGTTCTGCCGCCTTTAATCGCCAACGTCAGCGTGGGAGCCGTGCTGTACACAAGCTATCTACAAATTCTCGGCCAGCTTCATGAAGATAGTGGCAAGGCAACGAAGAGGGTGTACCCGCCGCCACGGCCAAGTGAGACGTTCACGGCTGGTCTGCTCGCTGGTGCCCTGCAGAGTGTGATCGCCGCACCGCTAGATGCGATCCAGGCTCGTTTCGATCGAGGCGGCCAGGGGCCAGAGCTCATAAATGGCAGTGGCCGGCCTCAGAGCATGTGGTCGTTCAGCTATGCCAAGCTTCGAGAGATCGGGATGCGGGGCATCTTTGCTGGCTGGTCTCTGTCTCTGGCCAAGGACAGCCTCGGAAGTGCCGTATTCTTCAGCAGCTTTGAGTATGTCAAGGCCCAGAGCTACTATAGTTTCATTGCCTGGTACTATGGCGATCTCAGTGAGGATGTGGTCAATATTCTGTCGCGAAGACAGCCTGGCCAGGACAAAAGCGCCCACCACGCCAAGACGATCCAGCCTCATTACTCCATCGAACCCGCCTTCCTGATGCTTGCTGGAATCAGTGCCTCATTCGCTCAGCAGGTAGTCCTTCACCCCTTAGGCCACGTTCAGGTTGAACACTGGGAGCATCTCGAATACCTCGACGCGCAGGCTCGAAAGATTCGCAAGTACACCCAGGCCAACGCGCCCAAGTCCAAGTGGCAGTGGAAGATGATACATGCCTACTACCATGCGTACAGGGAGACGTGGGCACAATGCGTGGCACAGGCTAAAGTGCAGGAGGGCAGTGGACCTAATGCCATGAGGAGATGGCTGTACCGTGGATTCTGGTGGAGCACTATCCGGCAGGTTCCGAGCACCAGCGCCGGACTGGTTATATTTGAGCTGGTCCGACGGAAGTATGGGCTCGGCGGGGAACCGGTGAGGATCAACAAGGATGGCTATGACATTTTACTTGCTTAGATGGCGGGATCTTATCATCACGTCTAGACGGCGCGGCGTTGTGGACAATTTTCTTTTCTCCTGAACAAACAGCATTACCTCTCAATCCAAAGGCGTCTACAATTCGGGCTGCGTCATGAAAGATCATCATCCTACCAAAAGATGTGCGATAGGAGAGGATCTATTGCACGCCAGTCCCAAGACCAACATTACATATCAGAGATCCACTCCTCTATCAAGGTTCTAATTCCCATCTACAGTTTAGCCTTTCTCGTCTCGTCTTCAACGAATAACTCCTTCTTGCGCGTGTTATCTTTGTCCTGCAATTTCAAGACCCTGCGCAGCAATTTGCCACTGGGACCTTTGGGAATGCTCTCTGTGAACTCGATCTCCACGAGCCATTTGTACTTCACCTTCTTCTCCCGTACGTATTGCAGCAACCTTCGTCCCACCGTCTCACTCACAGGCACGCCCTGCTTCAGCACAACGAAAGCCTTGGGTCTCTCGCCCGCATACTCGTCCGGGATTCCTAGGACCGCACAGTCCTCTACCAGCTCGTGGCCCATCAACAGATCTTCCAGCTCTGCCGGTGGCACCTGTATCCCTTTCACCTTGATCATCTCCTTGATCCGGTCCTCGATATGAATGAATCCCTCCTCGTCAATATATCCTACATCCCCCGTGTGGAGGAAGCCCTCCTCATCAAACGACTCCGCCGTGGCCTCTTGGTTTCCCAGATACCCCATGGCGATCTGCGGTCCTCGAGCACAGATCTCCCCCGTCTCTCTCGGTCCCAGCATCTTCCTTGGGTCTGTCAAGTCAATGACCTTGGCGACAGTGTTGGCCACAAGGATCCCACCACTATTTGCATACTTGTAGTCAAAGTGCGTCGGCGGGTGACACGAGATACACGCCGTGCTCTCCGTCGCACCGTACCCCTGCCGGAACCCCGTGGCAGGGAACTTGTTCTGCAGCAGCCTCACCACCTCGGGACTCATCGGCGCCGCCCCTGTAGCGAACCGCTTGACCACCGCCCTGAGCTGGTCCAGATACTTGTCCACCACAGGGTCCCTCACCATCCTGATCAGGATGGGCGGGACAAAGATCAGCTCCTCGATCCTGTACCGGATGATGGCCTCCAGCATGACGTCCATCTTGAACGCAGGCAGCATGTAGCAGTGTCCGTTCACAAACGCCGGGTACGTGATGAACCGCACCAGGCCCGTGATGTGGAACAGCGGCATCACCGCCAGCGTGCGCCACCGCCCGTCGGACGGGAGGAGCTGCAGCTGGCGCAGCTGCAGGCACTGCGCGATGACGTTGTGGTGGGAGAGCATCACGGCCTTGGGGAAGCCCGTCGTGCCCGAGGAGAAGTTCAGGTACCCGCACTCGTCCTTGTTCGTCCTGGGCCTGGGGATGGTGTAGTGGGGCACGGTGGAGAGGCGGGAGCCGCGGCGGATGAGGTCCTGCTGGCTTTGGAAGCCCGGCGCTGTGCCCTCGAGGAGGAAGATGAGGGAGCGTGGTATGCCTGCTTCTTGTGCGGCGGCGGCGGCGACTTCGAGGGAGCTGGGGAGGGTAAAGAGGATTTTGGTGTTGGCTGTTTTCAGAGCGTGCGCCATCTCCTCGGCGTTATATGCCGGTGAGGCGCCGTTCACTCTGCCTCCTGTATATTGTCAGCTTTTGTGTTGTTCTGTGATGAGAGCTATTTGAACCAACGGAACGCGGTGCAGCTGAAGAATTTCTCCAAAGATGACCATTGCAAAGGCGGGATTTCCAGCCAAAATGCTTCAGATGGCATATCACATCACTCTTCACTTACCCACACGAATCGTCGCCCACAAAGCAACAGCATACCAGATCGTGTTGGTACTGAAAATCGAGACCGTCTGGCCCGGCTGCAGACCATAGTCTCTTGCCAAAGCCGTGCTCAGGGCCACGGCCTGTTCTCTCACCTGCGCCAGGTCCAGACTCTCGCTGGTGACGGCATTTTGGTATGTTCCAAGTACCCCTCTGGAACCTGTGCTAAAGGGAATGTATTGCTCAGTCTCGAAAAGCCATTCCCATGTTGTCACGTCCGTAGGGACTGCCGAGGAGCAAGTCAGTCACCGTGTATGCACATCTTAGCCGGGGGGCGGGGGAGGGCTGTGGGTGTGATTCGTCACTGACTCTCAAGGTCGGGATGCGGTGATCTCCAAAGGGTCATGTTAAATTATCACGCTTTTTCAATGCGTACTGCTATTGCTTTTGGTGGCCGGTGAGTGAATAGTAGGCAAGAAGAGTCTACCAAACTTGAGATGCAAAAGAACAAGACGAGAAGTGCCGTGGTTTTTTTTTCTTCAGAATGTGTCAGACGTGGGTTCACTTATTCTTTGACAGTAATTATATCCGTATGAAAAATCCCAGCCGCGCAAGTGCGGAGATCTCTATAGCGGGGGAAAGACTACAGCAAGAGGGGAGCGTGAGGAGGCCTTATGCGGATCAAATCATTACCTCGGCACAAGTCTCAAGCGATCAGCGATCAGCGGGCAGCGTTGTCAAGTTATGGCTTCAAGATGATGTGCGGAATTCAAATGCGTGCGTCTCGGGACAGACGAGAATTGCGTCTACCATGCATGCTTCTTGATCTAAAAGAGGGTTGCAATATTCTGGTTGCCCATCTCTGGATTGTAACTCTCGTAATCGGGAAGCGATAGTTAGAAAGTTTATGTGCTCTTCACGCGATCAAATTCTTGGTTCAAGAGTTTTATTTTGCGATTTGTCTCTACAATTGGTCGTGGTGGTCAATATCATTAACGTACAGTCTACAGGTCGACGACGGGTTCATCTGATGCGAACAGCCAAGAATCCTGGATGGGGAAAATACACCAGTGGCAGAGATCATATCACAGCTCCCTGTGAATGGAGAAGATGAAGAACTTTGGAGAAAAGGTTACAAAGAAAAGGAATAGTGACACTGGAGTGGATGTACATGAAAATAAAATAAAAATACAATCTTGTCCAACAACCGAAGACAGCATGTCTTGTGATGACGGCGTCCGTTCCTCAACTTCGTCTTTTCGGGGCATACAATCTTTTTCGACTTATTCACACCACAGAAGCATTCTGACTAGCAACGGTTCCATCCCCTGGCACGGGAGAATCGACCGCAGCCCCTTTATTAGACACAATACCGCCGTGTTGCCCGCTTCGAGACTCGCTGAAGTCAAGCTTCAACTTCGAGTAGCTCCACTTTCGTGCGAGGAGTATGAACGCAAAGATCCACACCGGAATCAGAAGCACGTCTAGAATGCCAAAGAAGATGAATCCACTGGTGACACTGATGTGGTTGCTACCGTCGCTCAAGCCGAACGCAACAGGATATAGCAACCACAACAGGTTGGCCCATCCCGACAGCATGATGTAGTGGCGCCCGACGCCCATGCGTGACGCGGCCTCATAGCTCTCATTGAGCGTGCTCATGGCGAGAATGGCCCACACCAACGTCCCAAAGGCGAAGAACCCCCACTTGTAAGTGGTGGTGGTGTATGCGGCCACAAGGTATGTGATGACCCAAAATATGGACATGAAGATGTTGGTGAAGATGGTCGTCCAGGATACGTCGGATAGCATTCCAAGCGCTAGGGAGACTGTTGGGAATGCGACAGCCCAGTTTATGTACTTTGCGTAAAAAACCTGATGGGTTGTGGCGTGTCCAACCTGCTCAACGGCGCTCCAGCCAAGATCAGAAGCCTGGGCGTAATAGGAGACGGAGCCGGCGAGAAGGGCGCATGTGAAGAGGTAATGGAAAACTCTGTCACTTTCACGAGTGGTGAAGCAGAAGACGACAAGACCGAGCTATATATCGAACGTGAAAGCACCATTGTCAGTGATTCATTGACGGAGAGATATAAAGGCTCGTGTAGTCTGGGAACGGGTGCATGACCTACAAAAGACATGATATAGATGGCCGTCACCGCCCAAAGCCAGTCAGACCCAGCTCGAGACAGGGCATCGTCCACTCCAGTCGGAGGACTGATACTGAGCGCATCGCCTCCTCGAGATGACAAGGCCATCGTGGTTCCGCGCTCCCAAAGAGCCAAGATAACTTTTGAAGGTGAAGGAAATTGGCAGGAAAGTTGGGACAAACTATGTTTGCAATCTGACAAGGAATGCGAGCAAGTCACCAAAAGTTCATGTTCGTGCGATTTCTTGGGTGATGAAAGTAGCAATGTTGCTCAAGGCAGATGATATTAACACAGAGTAGTTTGAGCGGAAATATCTCTCTTATAACAATGAAACTTAAGCCACATCAATCAATCTGTAGAAGATATCCATTATTTATTCCTCCTCCATCAGTATCCGAGCCTGAAACATCTGTCTAAAACCATTTCCACGACAGCGGAAGCAAAATAGTATGAAATCCGTTCGCCAAGTACTTAAGCACGCATCCCTGCACAAGATTGATGATGAATTGTCTATGGGATGATAAATTTTTAATAATACGGAATCAGGCGCGCACCCTTACTTTACTGCTCTGGCCAATAGAGGTTCCTGATGCATCTCACAGCGGATGCAAATCAAGCTGACATGCACCGACGGATCGCAACTTTTGCTTCCGCACAATGAGTCAGCATGCAAGTGGCACAGCACGACCAAGTATTAGAAGCCGCCTTCTTTACTTCCGCTTCTTTTTTTCGTATTTTGTGCTAGATACCTAGCGGATGCAAAATATCTCTCATGATAAACAATTCCTCGAGCAGTATGGATGCAGCTAAGACGACACAGGCGTTGCCTGCAGGGCCCCGAAGGATCCTTATCGTGAGTTCAGCGGTTGGATTGCATAGAATCTCCAGAATCTGATCTCCATCGCACAGGCATGCTCTCGTTGTAAAGCCCGTAAAATACGTTGCGACGGCGGTAAGCCAAAGTGTGGCCACTGTGTCACACGGTCTACAGAGTGTATCTACGCCGTTGTCCGGAACTACAGAGGGCCTGCGAAAAGGTAAGATGTATTTACATTAGTCCTCCCTTGAGGACATGGTCCATTGAAAAGCATCTGACATGGGCTTTAGTAAAAGTGCCATCGAGGGACGAGAACACTCCTTGACCGGAGAATCACTCGGTATTGACCACAACAGCAGCCAATACAACCCAATAATACCTCAGCCCTCCGACTCAAGGTCATCATCAGTAGAAGCTATTAATCCACACCCACGAGAGATAGCCTGTGTGGATAGCTCGGATGCGCCACAATACACTTCTTCTGTGAGCTCCTTTCAAAGTCGAAGCACCTTGGCCAGCCGCGCAACAATATTCCCCGACTTTCTGCACTCAGGCCCATTTGAGGAAAACATGAAGCGAGTCAACACAAACATCGACGACGCCAAAATCCATGGCAATTTCACAGCGCTCATACCCTACAATATATCAAATCGACTAATTCACCACTCCTTTGACGAAATCATGGCCGAGTACCAGCTCTTAGCCATGCCCAGCTTCTTGGCACTCCTGGATGCGCAGTATGCCGCCAGCGCAGCCGGCCCAGCCGGACAGCCAGCCCGATGGGGGCTCGTCAATGCCGTTCTTGCAACAGCTCTGCGTTCCAAGATAGCTCCAGGCGCCGAGGCTGAGCTGTCTGTAGTGGCCAATGCTTTCTATCGGAATGCAATCTCGGTCATTCAGGAGCTCATCCTCCAACAGCCGAGCCTGCTTTCAATTCAAGCGCTGCTGGCGATGGCCATTTTTGCCAAGGACATCCCGGACACCCAGGCCTATTACATGCTATCAACAAATGCGTCACGCCAGGTGGAATCCTTCGATATCAGCAGCTCAACGACGGATCCAGTAGACTTTCAACGATACAAGCAGGTGTACCAGATTGCCTATATGTTCAGCGCAGATGCCACTCAAAGGCTCAAAAATCGTCCTATGGGAAATAACGAGGGAGGGAGCGGTGGACATGGCGTATAGTGGCTACTCAAGCCACTGCTAACATAAAGTTGGTTCGTGAAGGCTGGGCCTAATGAGCATCAAGATGTTGTCCAACGGTGAACTTGATTCATGTACACAAACTCACACGTCCAGTCCTCACAGTCAGGTATGAACATACAAGAGGCCCAACATGTAGGGAAGAAGTTTTTATTATATATATACAGCACAAACTTCCCAAAGGTGAATATGTACCTAGAACGCAGTTTCACCCAACTACGTCTGCCGTATAACCACAACTATCTCGCAGTCACAGGCAACCGCAGTCCGTGTCCCTGTCCCTACTCGTACGTGCAGGTCACCGCGTCATTGGAGGTGGAGCACGAGGTGAGAACCTGGTTGTTTTGCCTGATATCAATGGTAGAGCCGGAGTCTGGGCTGAGTGTGCCGCCGCCTGCTGTAGCGGTCGCGCTGGAGAAGGCAACAGTGCCGAAATCAGCAAAGGCCACCAGAGAGCTGCCCTCTTCGAACTGACCGGGAGCGTTAGCATGAATTTATCTCATTCTTCGGTTTTAGATACTTTGAAGTCGCGCTTACATCTTCAACGATCCACTCGGCGTCAGTCCTGCAAAGGTCTCCCTGCACATTGCCGCTGAAAGTCTTGGTAACAGACTTTCCGGTGGTCTGGTTCTCGATGACCGCAGTGCCAGATGTGTCCGAGGTTGCAGTGACGCTCAACTTGAGAACATCGCCCTCGGACACGGTTAAGTCAAAGTCGTAAGAGTAGTCTGAGGCCAGTCAGCATAGGTCGACGACAACTTGGCGGTAAATTTGAGGAGGTGTTCAGTCTTGACTCACCAGGATACCACTCATACCAGGCATCATATGACGGGCTACCGTGCTCGTAACAGAAATCGACTCCAGTCTGGAGAATGGCAGTCTCACAGGAATTGCCGTCGATGCCCACCCAAGCAGATGCGCTGTTTCGCTGTCAGAAGACCATAATCCTTAATCCCTAGTTCCAAAGGGAATATCGAGAACATACCAATACTCTGAACTGCTGCTGCCGGAAGGGGCCGAGACGCTGGGCACTGTGATGATAGCCGTGACTTCAGAGACATCTGTGGTGGTGATGACGGCTCCAGCCCAGTTGTCCGAGTACGCGGTGTTCGTCGTGTTGGTAAGGCCGTCCACTCTCCTTGGTCCAGATGTGCGGGAGAGAGCGCGCTTTGCGTGGTTCTGGCGACGGTGTTGGGTGAGGCGAGCTCCCAGGACAGCCTCGGCGAACAGCAGGATAGAAATGGTCTTCATGTCTATTATTGTGATTTGGTAGAAGAAGGAAGACGGGATGTGGAAGGGAAGAAAAAAAAAATGGGTATAACGTAAATAGGCAAGTAAGAAAGGAAGTCTAAAATGGAGAGTAGGGAATTGTACTGTAGCAAAGCATTGTGCAAGAAGGAAAATTAAGCATTAAGGACTGATTATATATATACTTTTTTCGAGAGTGCCAAAGTGAAGATGCTTCTTCATAAGTGCTCACATGGTGGTGGATGCGAGCGCTAGTCACACCCAACCCCCACAAGTAGGTATTCCAGGCCATGTGGATATGGTTCATGGCGCCTCATTCCAAGTGCAAGGGTGCCTCAGCGTCAGTCCAATCAGGTCAGAGAAAATATATTGCCCTTCCTCCCTTGTCTTCAAGAAGGTGCTTAGACTAACTTCAATATTTTCTTTGACAAAGTCCTTTGCCACGCTCGCAAATGTGGCTGGTGGATAACGAATCACAATCCATTCGTTTCTCAGGGTTTTCCCCTGTACTTTGAGAGTCATCAAGGCTTTAATGCAAAAACATTTTTATACCAAACGTGACGGCGTATACAAGGAAACAATATACGCAGCATAAAGCCGCCAAGAGCCTTGGTAGTGACGCGTACTTTTAGAATGTTTCGTCCCGTTTCCACGTAGTGGTCATGGCTGAACCGAGGCTGTGTTTATTCCTCATGTTTCCATGTATTTTTGTGGCCGCGCGTTGGGAGGAGCAGCGATGGATTCTCCTCCTGTTCACACAAAACAACGGGAACCTCCCCTATCTTGCAATCAATCCGCGGCAACAGGCCAGGGGCAGCCCGGTCTGTCCCACAATAGCACTTCTGTCAGATCTGCATAACAGCCACACGTGCCACATAAACGAGCTACAGAGGCTAAAGGGGTTTAAGAGGCGGAGCCCCGGACAACGTTTCTCGATTTAGGCGCCGGCGTAGGCTCAGGGGTAACAACACTACATGAGGCTCAACTTGCTGCGATTTCTTTGACTAGGATCAGGACAATATACTAGCATTTCTTCATGGCGAATACCAGGAGTGGGGCCTAGTGACTTAGTATCAAGTAGATCGCGGGAGGCAGGACTTCGGTCGGTCACAATGCTGAGTGACGCTTTGTTTGGTGAAAAAAAACCCGAGTCAGTTGCCACGAAGTACCAATAGAAGGTATGAGACCCGAGAGCACAAAAGCGAAGTGGATGGTATGCAGTGATAAGGCTCAAGATATCAGACTTGCAGTATAGAAATATTGGGACATAGAATCATTCGTCGTTCATTCATCGTTCATTCATCAGTAGATGGCACCAAGGTTCATACAGACTTTAAGCTCGGAGGAGAAGGTTATGATCTAGACCATTCGCCATTCTTTCCAACCCTTGAAGGGCGGCATGGGCTGGACATAGTCAAAACAAGCATTGCCGAGGCGGGAAGATCAAGTCCAAGTGGGTGGTGGGCTGGATGGCGTTCACTAGAGTCGATATTCCGCGCAGCAAAAATCCCCGGAACAAGTAAGTCCAAATGGCTACTCCGTAGCGTTGCAATAATCACCATGGGTGGAGACGCTAGACTCACAAGTGATGTTCGCCCGGTCTCGTCAGTATATGAAGGTAAGTGTTCATACAAGTAGGTCACGGCAATAGGAGGGGAAAACAAAAGTAGTGATTTCGTTTCAAGTCTCCTGTATTGTGCCGAGTTGCTACAGCCAGGACTTTGGAGAACTCGTGACTAATAATTACAATGAACCATGGTTGTCAAATGGCATGGCATCAGGAGTTTCTGTGTATAATGAAATAGACTGCGACAGGGTGGCTAGGTTCTCATGAAATTAAGGCTGGTAGACATAATCACTGGCAAAGCGTCGTAATTAATAGTCTATGTTGAAATTGATAAACCAAAATTGTCCCTACAGCTGGGAGAAGTTACTTCTTGCGCCATCAGGATTAAATCGTTATGAATCCCTGGCGCCCATCAATGAGAGGGATATGCATAACTCAATGCACCAGCCCCTTCTCCATCCTCAACCTGACCTCGTTCCAGTATTTCACTCTCGACGCCTCCCTGAACTTCTTCCCGAACCTGATCATGACCAAGAACACCGAACACACCGCCAGTCCCACAAAGGCCACGCTGATGAAGCAGTTCTGATAACCCAGCGTGTCGAGCCATGGGGTGATCCCATAGCCAATCGCAAAGCTCATGGTGTTGCGAACGATGATACAGGAAGCCAGCGCGTCGCCTGCGATTTCTCGGTACGAGTCCACCAGGTAAGCCAGCGAAAGCGTCACACCGCACGCGTTGCACAGAGAGATCAGGAACATGGCGAAGAGCAGGCCGAACCAGTGCACGCCATGTGCGGCGCCGACACCCCAGAGGATAGAGCCTGCGGGGAGGATAATAGTGGCGGCGGCGAACAGCCACAGACGTTGCTCTGGCTCAAAGACGCCCTTGTTGCGTCTTGCCATGCGGATCACGAACCAGTCTGAGAACACGCCTGTGAAAATGGAGGCAATAGTAACGCCGATGATACACGAGAGGTAGGACAGGCCGACGATTGCCGCCGAAAAATTGTAAGGTGCCCCGCCGAGGATGATCGATGCCGTGGCATTGAGGATGTTGAACCAAACCAGATATGTTCCGTACGAGAACCCGGCATAGAAGATGACCGGCCAGGATAGGAGCTTGAGGATCTGCCAGGCTCGCCAGTGCATGACGAAGGGGCGTGGCTTGTCCCACAAGGCGAGTTTTTCCACGTACGTCTTGCGCTTGTATGGGGTGCTCGTACCCTCGACGGGGGTTGGCGAGGTGTTTGTGGCAGGGTTCGTGGCAGTCTTCTCTGGGACTGCTTTCGCATCGCTGGTTTCGTCCACAGCTTCAGCTTCAGGTTGCGACGGCCACTGGCTGTCTTCAACTACACCCACCGTCTTCCTGTCGTAGTTTGTCTCCTCTAAACAGAAGAATAAGAATATTGACACGACGCCACTGAGAAGAGTCTTGCGTCAGCATTGTATAAGCCAATTTCCCCTTTTTCTCTTTTTTGTTTTTCATCTTTGTAGTATATAACTAGGAAAAAGGAAACATACCAAAAGATCGCCTGTATGAAGAAGCACCATTTGTAACCAATACCATCATTGATAAATCCCGTGATAACCTGTGTTTGATATTTAACAAGCTGCTCAAAAGGTGTCTTTTGCAAGTCGAGAACATTCTTCCAGTCCTAAGGCTTTACATACCGGCGCAAAGAAGTTGGACGAGGCGAGGAACCACGCATACCAACCCATATAAGTCCCCCTTTCGTGTGCAAAGTATAGATCCGTTATGGTCGTCTCGGGCAATGCCTCAATCGGCGCGGCGAAGAAGCCAATGACAATGTTTCTTGCAATCCACTGGCCCTCGCCCTTGGCATAAGGGCTCCAGACACTGATAGCCTGTACAGAGGTGAGCGCAAGAACGAGGATAAGAGAATCAAGATGACCGTGTGGCCTTCCGTAACTACTTACGCAGAGAGCAACAAGTGACACAAGGTATGTTATGCGCTTTCCGTACTGCAATGCAAAAGGCTGCCAGAATAGAAGACCCCACCCACACAAGAGGAAGAAATAGCCAGTGCCGGCGTTGAGGTTCGACACTACGTTAATGTCAATTTTAAATGAACCAACCCCACTGATCGAACCATTCGGGATGAAGAACCTTACCGCTAACATCAAGAGCAACAGACAGTGAAGTCTCCACAGAGTATACCACAGACAGGGCCATGCCGTTGAACCAAGTATACCTGGCCACCAATGAGCTTCAGTCCTTCCAGTATGTAGTAAATACAAAAGACTTTGGTATGTCGGCTCAAGGAGAGACTCACGCCAGGACACTTGCAAGGGCAAGGCGTTTTCTGCCGGGCGACCAGTTCAGAGGGTCATCAGGGTCGCTCGACGGGGTAGGCACGAGGATGATATCCTTGTGTCCCTTGGCATGGCGGGTCGCGAGGTGTTCGTCGAGGTCGACCAGCTGGATGGTGCCCGGGACCTGGGACTCGTCAATGTCGCCCAGGCTGTGGACCCCGAGGTCTGGTGCTAACGGCATGACGGCTTTTTTTTTTTTTTTCTCTCTTCCTAATATTTTTAATGCTACCTGTTGGATACCAGAGAGCTTCTTTTGTTGACTGCACTTCTCGATGTGCACGTCAGCCACACGGTCGTATCAGGCATTTATTGAGAGAAAGGTTGTCGAACCTGCTTCGAGTAGAAGAGGAGAGCCCAACCGACCGTCCGTAGCGAAGCTTCCTGATCGTCGCCTTTATATCCGGATACCCTATACCGAAGATAAGCCGCCGACGTCGTCTGAGTTATGGCAGCTTATCAAGAGCGACGCAGTGACCCCCTCCCTCCTCTCCGGACCGGATGATCATCATACAGCTATCTAGCGTGGCTGCAGCTCGCATTTTGGCGAGGGCGGAAGGATTGCCGTTAGGTAGTGGTACCATAGTACCATAACTAGTACATACCGTCAGAGCTCTGAAAAATTTCAGACCGGCATAGTTTAAAATCTCAAGAGGGTGGTACACGACTTTGGGTAACAAGGTGAACAGGAGAGAAATACATTTTCAGTTTTTTCTCAACGCCCTCTACGTTCAGGAACAAATTACAGGATTCAAGACTTGTTCAGTAGATCGGCATCTCGAGTATATCCCGTACCAAACATACTGTATCTGTACATGGATCCACCTCTATCTGTGCGCGCAGGACAGCCAACCCCCCACATAAATACTAAGGTTTCCCGTTAGGAGAAGCAGAATGGTTCCTGGGGGGGAAAGATAAGACAGAAGAATTTCTTATTTAAACTCTGCGCTCCCCAACTCTCCTACCTGAAGAAAGACAGCCAAGGAATACCTTGAGAGGTGAAATAATCCTTGGAGAGAAGATAAGATAGAAGAGGCTCTATTGTAAGCTTTCTGGCCCTCTATTCTCTCTACAAATCAAGTAAATAGAGGGCATCATTGTAAGACTCCCCGGCACATGCTCAGCGGCGTGCGGTCCCGCTGACGTATCTATCAGTGGTCTCTTGTACATACATATCCCTCCACCCTCCCACAATGAGATATAAGCACCCGATTATGTGAACACGATATCAACAATCTATTTAGCACCACAACCCATTCCAGGCTCGACCATTCTAGTGACAGTCACATGCATCGCATGCACACGACCATCAGCCACACGGCCGTTTCTTGCGCAGCCCTTCATTGCCTATCAAGTTGCTGATGTGCCTAGCTCTGCATGTGAGAAACAAGTCTTGAGACAAGGTTCTTACGAGAAAACTTCCAAAACAGGAATTTATCTGCGACACTTACATTGATTGGTCCTATTTAGAGTTTTGGCGGACAAGAGAGAGAGGGAAAGAAAGAGAAGAGAGAGACAAGCGGTGCAGGGACTAGAGGGGAAATTAGTAGGGAAGGCAAACAATGAAGCTCTTCACAGCTCGTTTGAATGATTATCAGGTCTCGCTCCACTAAGTAGATTTTGTACACATTAAATCTATACAAAAAGGAGCTGAAAAGAATAGCATCTAAAACAAGTCTTGTCGTGTGTCTATCCCCCTCTGTAGCCCTTCACTCTACGCTGTATGCTTTAAATCGCCGGATGCATGTGGCTAGCTCATATCTTCCCATCCGCAGCTTTCACGCTCTCGCTCTTCTTACCGACACTCTCAGCCTCCAACTTCTTATAGGCTTCCGTCCCACCCACGTCCTTCTCAAAGACCGGACGGAGTAGCTCGATGCCCTCGACGGTGCGGCCGTAGGTAATGCCGCCCAATCTGCTCACCGGCCGGAGGACCTGTCAAGATAGATGATTTAGCACGTCGTCAGCCAGCCATATAAATAATTTGTTCATTTCACGTCTTTGCCCAAACAAAGAAAGGCAGTTCATGTAATCGACATACCGCAGGGTCAATGATATTCCTCTCCTCATTGATAGCATCCTCCCGCACCCAGAACCGCGTGCCCTCCAAGACAGCCATCGTGCCGCTCATCTCCCCCGGCCGGCTCCGGCTCGCAAACTCTCGCACGCTCTCCAGCTTGGCCTCGATGCTAAAGATGGCCTCCTTCACCCGCGCAGGCTTCACCGTCTCGCAGTCGTACCCGGGCGTCAGCCCACTCACAGCCCACTCGCTGGCCCCATATGGCGCATCCACGCTCGTGCTGTTGGCCGCCTCGACGTAGTGCTCCGAGATGATGTTGATCGTGCACTCGCCCGTGGCGTTGAGGTTGTGCAGGGTGTGCTTGGCCTGCGCGGCGCGTTCCAGCGAGCTGGCGAACCCGATGATGAACAGCGGCGGGTCGTGGTTGATGACTTGGAAGTACGAGAAGGGCGCCAGGTTGGTGGTGTTGCCGTCTGCCGAGACGGTCGACACGAAGGCGATGGGGCGGGGGACTACGGCGCTGATCAGGAGCTTGTAGTTGTGCACAGGCGCGCGGCCCTCGGCGTACGGGTCGATTGTGATGTGTTTGGCCGTCTTGGCCCCGGGCCCTTCTGCGGCGGGCGCGAGGTCGTTGGCGCCGCTGCCAAAAGACCACGAGGGGGCCGGCGTCTGGGTGTACTTGAAGGTGGCGTCGCGGTCCCAGGGTGGGCGAGAGGCTTCGACGGCCTTGAAATCGGGGTGCGGGTTGCGCTTGATCTCGGATTCTTTCATCTTGAGGGCGGCGGTCGTCGTGTGGAAGGGTCGAGAGGTCAAGGCAGAGGTGGGATTGAAGGAGGAGGAGGTTCGACAGGAGGGGAGGGGAAGTCTTGCTAGGAGGTTGAAGGGTCTCGGCAAGTATTTCTGTGGAAGCATCAAGGATTGGATGTTGTGGTGGTCATATATCTAGAGAGAAAAGAGGGGGAAAGGGGAGATGTCTTGACTAAGAGAATTTACTTGTTGGAGAGGGCCAGAGAGGGCATTTGAAATACAAAACCCCTCTATCGGGAAGCTCAATCCGTAAATTGTTTCCAGTGAGGTCATGCACTCTTTTCCCCCTGTCGATGATTAGTAGATTGGTGGCCCGACCCCTCACCACCATCTGAATAGCGCAGTACTAGGTACTAATCACCCCGCCGTTGCCCCCACCTGCTGTGGCCAACTGTACATAGTACGTACTGTACCATTGCCCCCACCAGATAGACTATATACCGTAGTACATTGTGATAAGAATGCCCATCCTCACCAATGTCAAATGCTAAACAATGCGCATCTGAATTAAATTTTTTTTTTTAAGAATTATTTTCGTTGCAATTCCCCCATGGTATCTCTATATATCCTTTACACTTTAGAACACACCTCGAGGCTCTTACAGTTACATAAGTACAGTACAGTATTGCTCCCCTTCTGCCTGTACAAACCACTCCCAGGTGATTTGACACATAACCCGCAGCCCTTTGCACATATCAAGACAGCAGGAACAAATAGAAGAGTGCTTTCCATCCCCGAAACCAGAAAAACCGACATACTCCTTGCTTTTTGAGGATCCAAGACACCAACAAGCGAGATGTCAAGGCCACATAGATGAGGTGCGCCTCTTCTTAGCTGTTGAAAAGAAGACGAGACAATCACAGCAGCAGGCTTTGCCCACTCTCCGAGATCACCCACTCACACCCCAGCGGTGTCTCCATGAATGACTCATGCTCCCTCAGCTCCTCGAGGATCGTGTCCCCTATGGGCGGATCATCGTCCAGCGTGTCCTTCATATGTATAACGACAACTTTGACGCCTGACAGCTGCGCAGGGTGATCTCGGGCCGCGAGAACGGGGCGGAGGGGTGCTTGCGACGCTGAAGTCGTCCCGGGACTTGGGCTCGAGGTCGTCGTATGGTGTCTGGCCAGGTTCCCGACAGAGAGCTGCACTGCGGGCGCCGATGAGGGCGGGGGCGACTCGGACGCGGTCTTGGCCTCCATCCGCCCGTGCGGTGGCTGGCCGCTCAGCCAAGAGGCCTTGATGGTTCTCGGGCTGACCGGCTCCTCGCTCGTGGTGCTCATGTTGCCCCAATCACGCGTCACCACCTTCGTCGCCCTGCGACGCCCCGCAATGGTGAGGTCGTCCATCATGTCACGTTTGCGCTTGCCCCCGCGCCGGAGGTCCTCTGGCTCCTTGGGCTCCGTGGCCTGTCGGGTCTTGAAGGCCCTCACCTCCTCGGCAAGAGCCGTCATCTCTTGGATCAAGAAGGAGGGCGTCAGGTGGCCGAACAGCCTGTCGGTGGGCCGGCTGTCGTCGTAGCTGCACTCGATGAGGATGGCCTTCAGCTTGCCCGCCGCGATCTTAGGCGCAGCTTCCTGCCAGATGAGCAGGTTCCGGGGGTGCATCGATATGCTGTCGGCCTCAACGTCGCCAAAAATGAGGACCTCGGCGCCAGTCTCCACGTCACGTATAAAGAAAGAGCTGCTGTCGTACACGCACGGTATCTCGGTCGGACTGTGCCCGCCACTCAGGCTCAACCCGGCGGGTCCACGTCCTCCCGACGGGGCTCCAGACCCTGGAAGGATGGACTGGGCGCGCTCGTGGGCGAGGCTCAGCTGGTGCTGCTGAAAGTAGTTGGCGAGCCCCGGGCTGGAGGTGTGGTGTGCTATCGATCTGGGGCTGAGCATCCCTGTGCCAAAGGCCAGAGGTCCCGACGATGCATCTAGGCTCCCATAGCGGGTGTTGCTACCGCTGCCACGGTGGGGCTGCCTTTCTATGAGATGGCCATGGCTCACGCTCCACGTCTTGACCGCGAGGCCTTCGTTAAACTCGAGGTAGCCGTCAAGGTTGCCCATGGCTGGCGACCCGCCCTCGTTCAGCCGCAGGTAGGTGAAGAGCCCGGCGCCGTGGTCTTCGTCTGACAGATTGGGCCAGATCACGTTGTTGAATATGTGCGTCTTGAGGGCCTGTATCGTCGCAGGCAGGCCGGCGAGCTTCTTTCGCCGCGGGCCTGCTAGCCCTGCCGTGTTGATGACGAATCCGGATATGTGGTCGAGATGAGGATGTGTGATGAGATATGTGTCCACCAGGTCGCCCTGTATCCTCGCGGCGTTTGTTTTCGCCGAGGCAGAGTGCACCTTCAGCCCAGCAAAGGGACCAGTCTGTAACACGAATGGCAGCGCAAACTCCTCCGTCTTGCCAAGATCCGGTGGTTGTGTCTCCTCGAGGATGCGGGTGATGGCGCCTAAGTGCACGCCGGCGTCGACGGCCATCAAAGAGCCCTTTCTCCATCCCGAGGCTAGCGACCGCACGAGAAAAGCAGTGCAGTTGGACTCCAGCGGTCCTCCCTGCGAGCCCTGTTGTGTGACATGTCAGCAGTGTGAACCGGTGCGGTGCGTGCGCAACCAATGTGCTACTAGTTTGGCACCGTTGAAGAATAGTATAGTGACCAGTCAACTTTGACCGTTACAATCACTCCACTTCAAGTGAGCAGTCGGCGTCTTGACCATATTGGATGAGGCTGAAACTGTGGAGTTCCGATCTGGTGACGGATCTCGGGGAAAGAGAGAGTGTGTGGGCCTGCTTGGCCTGCGCATGGGCTGCTGGCAGGGGCGTTTGGCGGGACGGAGGGTCTTCTGAAAGAGAGACAGACACACACACGCAGAGAGAGAGAGGAAGAGCTATGGTGATCCACACCCGCCCAGATTCCTGGGTCTGTGTAGCCCTGGCCTTTGTCCACCGAGCGCAGGTCTTCCAAGTATCTGCAACCAGCATGCAAGCCCACAGGAGCACCGTGCCTTTGTTTCCCTCAGAATGACCCATCATGATGCGAGCGGAGCCATTACTTGATTAGGTGGCGGAAGCCGGGGACCTCTCTTTCCCTCTCTCAGAGGCATTACTGTGGGCGGCTGGAAACTCAGAGAGAAAAGCAGCCCAAACTTCGCGAACGATTGGCTGGTCATGGTTGAGCCTCAAAGATGACAGATGGTGATTGATAATGTTTCTGAAGAACACTAATCAAGCAGGGAGCCGAGACCGGAATCTCCAACCTGACCCTGACATGATAGGACAAGAATTGGAAAGTTTTGGGGGGGGGGGGGGTGAAGCGTCAAAAGTCCGGGTCCAAGAAAGCTTCTAGAAGATGAATCTACCCGTGGGCTGGCGGTTTTGGCTTAAACAGGCGCCGAAACAGAGCCAATCAAGTTGGTATGCTCCTCGACCTCCTTATTCAGACCAAGAAGAGAAGAAGGCTCTCTCATGCGGCTCGAGCGTTGACAGAAGGGAGGATATTGTAGAAGGCAATTGGGCGCGCATTGGGAATAGGAAAAGAGGAAGGGAAAGAGTAAAAAGAAGAGGAATGGGGGGAGTGGGGATCGGAATGTCTGACATAGACAAGACTGCAGGTGGAAGGACACAAATATAGAGCAGAGGCACTTGAAGAAAGAAAGAACATTGTAACTGACCAGTATAATGATCTGCAGCGCAGCTTCAGGAGCTGTTGCAGCGACGGGTGCTGCACGCGTATGTGCATGTGCATGCGCATGCGCATGCGCCTGCACCGAGCCTGTCAACCCGTCGTCGGCGATTACCGGCCCTCCTCTCGCCTCGCCTGCCATCGTCGCCACGGGCGTCCCTCGATTCGCAGCAGCAGCGACGACACGCCGTGGCGGGTGAGGGCCGTAGATCTCGTCTTTATAGATGCCAATGGAGAGGCGCATGCATGCGCGTGAGGGCGATCCAAAGTAGGGTGTGTGGGTGTGGGTGTGGGTGTCTGGGTGGGTGAGTCGTTTTGCCCGTCGATTTTCGAGGGCAACGGGCGGGTTTCCGGGTCTATAGGGCTGGAACCACTAACGGGCCTGAAGGACTTGCTTGGGGGGGGGGGGCGCGCTCGCGTGTGTTGGAGTGTTGGAGTGTACTGTGTGAGTTGTGCTCCACTTGGCTGCTGCTGCCTTGTCTTATCGACCCCGTCGAGACGCAGGAGATCTGGTTCTGTGAGACCCAACCAGCCGCGACTCTGCCCTGTAATACTGCGGATTGGTTGTTCAGGGACGTAACCTGACGATCTGCCAAGCTAAGGCTGAGCCCCTCGGGTGTGTTTTGTGTGGGCTGTTTGTTGTCCAGCGACAATGCGCAACCGTGATTTTGACTGGGTATTGGAAAGGGAGGCGACGAAAAGGGTGGATGAGGAGGAGGAAAACAGAGACAGAGAGAGGGAGATGGGGATGGATAGTATGGGATCTGAAAGTGGAAGGTATACTTGTAAATCTTGGAAGCGAAGGGCAAGTTAGGGCGGGCGAGGATGACGAGAGGCAAAGATATGTGCGCGGTGCCAAGTTCCTCGTCTTGAAGATTGTTAGAGAAAATCCAGGAACCACACATCAAGTGCAAAGCCACAATTACACAGCAAACCACCAATGTGCACACACATACACACATACACACACACCTTACAGAAAAGAAAAAGTTGAAAAAAAGAAAAGTACAAGACCCCGAAAGAAGAAAAGAAGGAAGGGGGGAAAACCCACGCCAGTCAAAGGCCGGGAATGATGCTAGCGCTGATAATGCCGCCTGTGAGCCTAGCCTCCTTTCCCAAGATGCTCCCCAGGGATTCCCTCCCTTCCCTCGAGTTCTTTCTTTACCTCTCTGCTCTTTCCTTCCCTCTGTCCTTGTCAGGATACAAAAAGCACGCAAGCATCAAAGTTACAAAGGAATTGAGAGCCGGACTCACGGCAGGACGGCAATACCAAGGGCCCTTGTTTGTAAGATAGAAGAAAGGAAGGTAGAGACGCATGAAGGTATCTGATGAGTGAAAAGGCTGGGCGAGGGGTGAATGATGTCGCGCATATAACCAGCCAGCAGCGTTCAGCAAGTGTCGTGTATCGAGGTTTCGTCTAGCCTTACGGTCATTCCCCCCTGCCTTCCCCTTCCGAGGACAAGGTGATCTTTTATCCGTAGGCTCTGGTCTACAAAAACACACAGAAATGCTGATTCTGCCGCTCTTGAATTATATGATGTTGGCGGGCGTTTGAGTAATCGAGTTCAGTGTCTCGGAAGTTTTGTGGGGGGGGGGGAGAGGGGTTACAAGATTGGTTTATTCGGGGCATTGCCGCAACACATGACTGATGTCGAGTGGGTGTTGTTTGTCTTTGATGCAATTTTAATGGCTTGTCGCAAATAAAAATGAGAGAGGGAGGTGCAGAGAGAGAAAAGGCCCTGGGCTTGAGAGATCCTGGCTTGCACGTGGCGTTGTGTCTTTATCCGGGGGCAGAGATCAAAGAAAACAATAACGAGTCTCTGCCGACCGGACAAGAAAGCTGCAGAGGGACAAAAAAGACTCGAGTCCTTGTCTTTCCTTTATACGACTTGTTGTCGCTGATGATGGCACCCAGCTGGGGACACCCTCTCCCCTTCTTCCAATCCCACACGAGACAGAGGCGCGGTCCGAGGTTCGGGTCCAAAGTCAGACGGGCGTGCCGCATGCGGGCTGGTGACGTTCAACCTTTAGAACTGACACACCCACCCACCACGGAAGCGTTAAGAGGGTGTGGGGGGGAGGGGTTGGTACTGATCGTCGAAATAAGAAACAAAATGTCCGTGTATAGAAGCCCCGCGCGGATCAGGCTCTAGAGGGGATAGTGGTTGAGACACCAAGAAGGAGAGGGACAGAGGAAATGTAAATAAATTCATTGATACCTGCAATAGGTGCCTTTTCTGCCTCTGGGGCAATGAACCTTAATGCCCTGGACCCATGTCGGAGGACCCTCCTCCATTAATCCACTTGTTGATCTTGACTCTTTTCTTCTTCGTCCCTTCCTGCTTAGCTGTAGTCAAGAACAGCAATAGCCAAAATCTATGGAAAAGGATTTGTTTGTATTCTGGGAGGAGAGTTTGCTACAATGTACTATAGTGTATTATGTACGCATGTACTTGGATCTAGTAGTGTTCCACAGCCTGTTGGAACGCCGCATGCGCATGAATAACCGCAAGGCCAAGGAGGGTTGGCCCCCTCGGCCTGCCCGGTGCGTATGCAGCACCAAAATGTGGAGGGGGGGGGGGGGAAGGTGGCTGTTGGTGGCAGGATCCAGACCAATATTTTGGTGGGGCCCTGAACTGCAAGCAGGTGGCTGGTGGGATCATCCTGGCTGAAGCTCCAGTGACGTCTGTCTCTCCCTCGCGCGCCATCAGCTGCAAATGAATCAAATGAGGAGAAGACGTGCATTGATCCCGTCTGACGTGCATAAAGTTACGACACTGAGGTTTTAACAGGTACCTGATCGGACGTGACAATCCTACTTGGTTTGCGCGCGTGTACGCACGTAGTCGAATATCAAATCACGTCATGAGATTCTTTACTTCATATTTGCGCACGTGCTGGGTCAGGACAAACTGCCAGTCGTCCCCCTTCATCGGCTGTACCGGTTACATACATCTCGAGGACTGGCATCACAAGACCAACTTCCAGTCGGCACCGCCGAGACGCGGCTTGCTTGATTGGTTGATCATTGTGTTACTCACATTTCATGCGCACGATAAGATTCACTGAGGCTATTTGCTTATGTCCAGCTGATTTGGGTGTGAATTATCGTATCATTTAGGGTGTATCGTCAACAAATAAAGGCTACTCGCTACCTACCAGACCGTGCCAGCCGCATGCACCAAAGAAGTTTTAAAACAATGCTCTATCTTTTTGGGACATCAAAAGGATGGTTGTCTTTTTTTCCCTTTTCTCTCTGGTAAAAAAGACGAGAGAGAAAGGCGTGAGTACACTGGTACATAAACAATGGGCATAGATGGAGTATGGGAAAGACCCGAGTTGACCGGCAGGTCACTCAATCAGCGGCGCCATCCTGGCGAAGAGCGTCAAGAAGGAGAGCATCTAGGCTGTTCTCGCTCGTCTCCGACACCGCTGAGGCTCGTCTGGAAGGGCCCCGGCCAGCATCATTGGCAGAGCTTCTTCGTGTCTGGGAACCGTTGTCTGAGATCTTACCAGCCCGAATTCTCGGCGACCGACGCCTAGGTGACTTCCGAACGCCAGCCTGCGCCGCCCGATGTCTAGGGGTCTCGGCCTCCTGCGTTTGTGAAGCGCCCGCGCCCCGCCTGCCGGGATGACTGCCAGCGCGAGGGATGCTCACCTGTGTATCATCCCCCAGCTTAGGGTCTACAGCAACAAGAAATTGGTCGACGGGGGGGAGAGGCGGCATGGGCAGTTCAGCAAGCTCAGCTTCAACCAAAGGACCCAAGGGATAGTCTATGTAGGAACCTACCGGCATGTTGTCGCCCCGCTGCAGCGCATGATTGTGCTGCTGCGGCACGTAGTTGTCCTTGTATATAGCATGGTCATCAGCATAGCCGTCAAGGAGGTTTAACGGATATGCAGGCTGTGCCGCGGACGGCTGGGCCTGCAAAGGCTGAGCACGTGTGGGACCATGTGTGCGTATTCTCTTGCGGGGCGACTCGGGCGCGGGATCAGGCTCAGGCACAGCAGCCGGCGCGTTCTGACCTTGCTCTCGCTGGGCCCGCATCCGCTTATGTGTCTCGACCTGCTTACTGACATCACCCACGAACTGGTCCAGATGGTTGGTCAACTTACCGCCAGCTTTGAGCTTCCTCTTTCGCTGAATAATCTTTGTAGAGGGGTTCTCGAGATGAGCCGCTGTGAGACGATGGAACAAGTGATCCTTGTCGTCGAGCACGAAAGGCGGGCGCGTCACAGGGTCCGGATACGTTGCCGTGAAGGCATGCCACCTAGAACCGATCTCCTCAACCCATGCCTCTATAACACCCTGCTCCAGGTCGTTCAGGGCCATCGGGTTGTTGGCCTTCGGATTCGTGGTAGCAGGAGGCTCGTGGCCAAACTTGCGATCTTCAGGGACGACAACTACTTGAGGGTCGCGGAAGAGCTCAATTAGGTTGACCTGCTGCTCGAGGCAGTAGAGGTGCATGTAACCTGCATTGTGGTAAGGGTTCAGCCAGTCTCCGCTCTCATCCTCAAACTCCTGGATGCAGATGCGCACCTGGCCTTTCAGAATTGTCCCGCGTTTGTCAGGGCAGCCTTGAAAACGACACTTGAAGCTCTGGCCACCTCGAATATACCGATGGTTGGCCTGGGAGGGTTGGATCTGGATGCGCAGGATAGGACGACGGGTCTTGTCAGGCCGCTGTGCCGCATACTCAAGGTACTCCAGGAACTCGTTGGCCGTGAATCGCAGATTCGGCTCAAACTCGACCCCGCTGTAGTTGACTACTTTTCCGCTGTATGGCAAAGTGAGCGCAGGAAGATGACTGATGGAGTAATAGAAATCATTTGCAATTGTCGTATCCTTCATCCCGCGCTTGTCTGGTACGCGGCCGTGGTTCCGGGGAATGTGATGCGGGTTAACAAAAGGTGCGATAGTTGATGGTAGCGGTGGGCGGCCAGAATTGTCTGAGCGAGGGCCTGCGCCCTTGGGCGGAGCATTCGCTCTCGCCGTCGGGGGGGCTTGCCTGGCCGGTGAAGCCGTCGTTCGGGATCGGGGCCGCTGAAGATTCTGTGCACCTGATCCCATGTAGGCGTTAGTAGAAGATAGGGCCTGTGGAGCGGCTGGCGTCCCATATTGCTGAGCGCCCGGCGCAGGCGGGGTCTGATAAAGCATAGGGTCCACAGGAACAGGAGGAGCATGTGATTGTGGAAGCTGCCGGAGTGGCTGGTGCTCAAGAAGGTTCAGCAGAGGTGGTGAGGACGGCGCAGCAGCAACAGGTGTGAGGTATGGCTGGAATTCCTTAAGGTTATCAGACCAGGATGGTAATGCCAGACCATTGAGGCCAGGTGGGAGTGTCTGATGTTCAAGAAGGTCCGACAGAGTCGATATGCCTTGAAGCTGCGGAGTGTCCTTAGGAGTCGGAAGTGTAGCAGGTGGCAGGGCATCTAGAGGAGCGACAGGTCCTTGGGCCGGCAGCGGCAAGGCAGCGGCTTGCTGGTTCGCTGCGCTCTCGGCATTGAAGTCCTGGAGGAGAACATCCCAGGCAGAGTCCCAAATGATCTCCTTGGAACTCTTTCTGCCATTCTTGTCCTGGACAGTGATGGAAAGCCTGGACTGGTTTGAGCCAGCGCCGGAGCTACGGCGAATTGTTATTACAGAAGCATTGCTTCGTGGCTGGTCTGTGGGTGGTGACGGCTGAGTGAATGGCTGGCCAGCATCGAGGAGGGTGTTGGCCTCAAGAACATCTTTTAACCACTGAGGGATATCGGGGTCAGGTATGGCGTTGAAGTCCACACCCTCGAGACCATCCGCAGTGATTTGCAGATCAGGAAAGACCACCTCATCCGGGAGGTTAGGCTGCCGATCTTGTGACATGATTGCTGAGTCGCTGGGGTCGAAAGTTGAGTGGGCATGGAACCTTTTTTTTTTTTTTTTTTTTTTTTTTTTGGAAGGATGGAAGTATGGAATGACACGAAAATTTAAACGTCGAAAGAGCTCCAGCCGGACATGAGGAACAATCTGGTTGTTATAGGGCCGAGGACAAAGAACACACATTCATAGCAACAGTAAAGTTGCTATTATGTGCGAGAAACCAAGAAAGAAGTTGTTTCCAAAGCCTTGTGCCATAAATAGCCCAGATGCACAACGGTATTGTTGAAGCGAAATCTTTTGATCGTCAAAGGCGCGGGCTGGAGCATCTCATTGAGAGATATGAAGCTGTAAAGAAATAGTAAGTATCTGGGACGATACCAGAGGGGGCTGTCCAGATCCAATCATGTCATCCTCAAAGGAAAGGAAAAAGAAGAAGAAGAAAAGCCAGGGAAGAAAAGGAAACGGGAAAAGAGAGTGCTCCTCATGTTTTTGCCTATCATCAACATCAGCAGTGTTGCCAAAGATATAGCTGACGGATGGATAGAAATTAGATTGATGAAGCAAGGTGTCAGAGAAGAGAGCTCAATGCATTTTATCAACAGGGCAGTATTCAGAACAGGTCTGTGAATGCGAAATTTCTCATCATACGGGGTATGTTCAGATAGGGAGGGAGGTGATGTACTGACCATGATGAGACGCGGTTGCTGTCTTGGAGGCATCTCACGTGCCCCCCGTTAGCCATGATAGTGTATCACAGCATTGTTCTTTCGGGGACAAGACATTGCAAAGCCACATTGCAAAGCCACACCTGTCTTTGCTAGTGCCGTCAGATGTGCTAATCAAAGCATTAGTAGTATCCGTTGTTGGGGCCATGAGCTGATGGTAGTCATCGTGACCAAAGTCTGCAGAAAACTTCTTTCGTGGAAATGAACAGCTTTGACTTGCGTGAGGAATGCTCGAGCTGGACCTAGAAAATCGCACCACGATTTAACCAGGTGGGTGGGGCTCGTGTCTGGGGTTGATCTAACTGGATCGGGCGTTAGTATCATAAATACAAAGCAGTTTGGGCTCTGTGGAAAATCCCATAGCACGGACCGAATGCCCCGTTGTAGCACGGAGCACTTCGGTAAGTACTTAAGTATGCAGGTACGATGTACTATGGTAATCCGAGTGGCCATGCCACTTTCACCATCTCCGAACCTCCAGGTTTTCAGAGCTCGAAGCTCTCTATACACTTCTTCTCACGTATACAAACTACTATGGTACTGTTGTGTTGCTTTATTTAGAGCGCTACTGTCCAAATACCTGCGCGCATACACTTCCTTCTCTTAAATCAGCCCGGTCACCCGAGAAAGACCCCAATTTGGTGGGCCAAGCCGCACCGTCTAACCTGAGTTGGGCTCAATCCTTCAACTGCCCCTGAACAGTTAAGCCGAGAGAGACCTTGCATTGAGGTCAGGGAATTGGCGCTGAGAGGGGGGGGGCACAACACTTACGTCACGAGACAGCCATCAACTCTGGCTTTTACTTTTGACACCTCTTCAAATTCCCTGAAAGATACAACCCCGGACTCGAGGGCTTTGTATAAGGACTATTTCCCTGGTGACGGGCCCTGAGGAGAACTGAGCCACCTTCTGAGCCCACACACTCACTGGACCCCACTCAAATGGGCGATCAAGCAAGCACATTTGAGGTGAGGTTTGAACTGCAGTCCCAACCACCGACAGGTTCACAAACACAAACACATACGCAAAACAAGACCTGCCAGGTTCTGCACAACGTACACAGTCCAGCAGGCTCTCAGCTTGATCTTTGATACCTGTTGCCCTGTCCTGCCGCCACTGCAGGGTCTCCGAAGTCTGGGGACAAGGGCAGTCGGCCGACAGTAGTCTTTCTTTACTCGGCCTGCACCTCGACCTCCACCTGAACATTTCCCATCTCCAACCGCACACCACCACCACCGACTTTGTTTTGTCCTCCTTGCTCAAACCCCAATCAACCTCGATCACCACAGGCGCGCACACCCATGCACTGCCAGCTTGGCTTGTCAACCCTGCTCCCAGCAAACCGCTCTTTACACTACACTCTCGCTCCCGACCTGGCTCCCACAACATAGCCCACCATGGCGGCAGAGCTGGCTCCAGACCTGCAGGAGAGGTTGGACGAGCTAGAGAAAGAATTGGAGGTGAGTTCCAGGCTCTCGCTTTGGATGCCATCACGTTCGTCACGGCGGGTTCCTGGTCACTGCCGCCGCCCGCGCCCGACTCTCACGTCCGGACTGGACCTCGACGGGAATGTCGATCCCGCCCGCCGCCTTAGATTCTGCATTCCAGCGCTCTTCTCGCGAGACAGGACAAGCTAGCTAACCAATATGCTCTGCCACGCAGGAAGGCGATATTACTGAGAAGGGGTATGTCATTTCCTCTCGCCCCCCCCCCCCTCCATCTCCACCCGCTTGCCTCTCTACCGCCGAGGACTCTTGGGCGCGAGCTCGCAAACGCATTCGTAATCACAACCCTTCTGCAACGCGTGTTCACCGCTGACCGTCTTGAACCTCCTCGCCTTCCAGATATCACAAGCGGAGAACACAACTGCTCTCTCAGTACGGTGCCCTTCCGACAGAGTCTCAATCCGGCCTGCGCATACACTCTGCCGACAGCTCTTCGCATCCTTCCAACGATGGCACGAGAGCAGGTGCTCTGGCCGCTCTGAGTGCGAACTCTCCAAGCCCTGTCAGTCCATTGACACCAACCACCGACCTCACCTCCCCTGTCGGCGGCCGAGCGCCATCGCCCTTTTCGCAGCGGGCTCAGAGCCCTTATTCCATCCCTCCCGAACAACACCCGGCCAACTTGTTAGCCCCTGGCGGCTCCTTCGCCGACTCGCGCCCGGATATGCGACAGCGCAATTCGCTCTTCCTCATGCCGGGCCTCGACCAGGCGAGCGATGACCATACGCGGTCGCCCACGATGGCGTCAGCCGACTATGCTTTCAACCCTGAACGCCATGGCGACTACGGAGGACCCGAGCGGCGCAATACGTACGACAGCAGGACGGGCACCTTGCTCGACTCACAAGGCTACTTCTCCGACTTCGCTGGCCAACAGGCTTACGATCAGATGCCCTCGGAGCAGTATGGCGGACCCCAGCGCTACTCTGCCAGCGATGCCTTTTCCCCGACAGCCGCAATGGCTCCTCCAATGCTCTCGACGAACGACCTTCCCACCGACGAGATTCTCGAGTTTCTAATGCCCCTAGAGCCTCGCGAGGTCCCCTTTGCCATATCCGACCCGCACAATTCGCACGTCCAGATGTCTCAGTTCGACAACATAGCTGCCGTGCTGCGCCATCGGGGTCGCACATCAGCCAAGCTCCCTGCGTACTGGGTGCTCGACAGCCGCGGGAAAGAGACTGCATCTATAACCTGGGATAAGCTTGCTTCTAGGGCGGAGAAGGTGGCTCAGGTCATAAGAGACAAGAGTTCTTTGTACCGTGGGGACCGGGTCGCCCTGATATATCGCGACACTGAGGTCATCGACTTCGCCATCGCCTTGCTTGGGTGTTTTATCGCCGGCGTCGTGGCTGTGCCCATCAACGAGCTTCAAGACTACCAGAAACTGAACCTGATCCTGACCTCCACACAAGCACACCTTGCCTTGACGACCGACAACAACTTGAAGGCATTCCAGCGAGACATCACCGTACAGAAGCTCACGTGGCCCAAGGGCGTCGAGTGGTGGAAGACAAACGAGTTCGGCAGCTATCATCCCAAGAAGAAGGACGATACCCCGGCACTGTCCGTGCCAGACCTGGCCTATGTCGAGTTTTCCAGAGCCCCAACCGGCGACCTGAGAGGCGTGGTTCTGAGCCACCGGACCATCATGCACCAGATGGCTTGCCTGAGCGCCATTGTATCCCAAGTACCTGGCAACTCTCCCGGAGATACCTTCAGTCAATCTCTGCGCGACAAGAACGGACGGCTGATTGGCGGTAGCGCAGGCAGCGAGATCCTGCTCTCGTATTTGGATCCCCGTCAGGGCATAGGCATGATTCTCGGGGTCCTTCTCACTGTATACGGCGGACATACTACCGTCTGGGTCGAGAATAAGGCCGTCGAGGTGCCGGGTCTCTACGCGCATCTCATCACCAAATACAAGGCTACACTTATGGTGGCCGACTATCCTGGGCTCAAGCGGGCCGCCTACAACTACCAGCAGGATCCAATGACGACTCGGAACTTTAAGAAGGGAACCGAACCGAATTTCCAGTCGGTCAAGCTATGTCTGATAGATACCGTCACCGTTGACAGCGAGTTTCATGAGGTCTTGGCAGATCGATGGCTGCGGCCGCTGCGAAATCCGAGAGCGCGAGAAGTTGTGGCTCCCATGCTGTGCCTTCCTGAACATGGAGGCATGGTCATCAGCGTACGTGACTGGTTGGGGGGTGAGGAGCGCATGGGATGCCCCCTCAAGCTGGACGTAGACGACGATGAAGATTCTGAGGAGGAGAAGGTCCAGGAGGAGAAGGAAAAGCCGTCCAATGGCTTTGGAAGTCTCCTCAGTGGCGGCCCGACCAATGTCACAGAAGAGCGCGCCAAGAACGAGCTGAGCGAGGTACTGCTCGACAGGGAAGCATTGAAGTCCAACGAGGTTCTGGTCGTTGCCATAGGTGACGAGGCCCGAAAGAAGGCCAACGACCCGAGTACGGTCCGCGTTGGAGCCTTCGGATACCCGATACCTGACGCCACACTGGCCGTTGTCGATCCAGAGACAGGTCTGCTTTCCTCGCCGCATTCGATCGGTGAGATCTGGGTGGATTCTCCCTCTCTATCGGGTGGATTTTGGGCTTTGCCTAAGCATACAGAGCAGATCTTCCATGCCAGGCCTTTCAAGTTTGAACCAGGCAACCCCACACCGACTGCTGTCGAGCCTGAGTTCCTTCGAACCGGTCTTCTCGGCACTGTCATCGAGGGCAAAATCTTTGTTCTGGGGCTATACGAGGACCGCATCAGACAAAAGGTGGAGTGGGTCGAGCATGGACACGAAATTGCAGAGTACCGGTACTTCTTTGTTCAGCACATCGTTGTCAGCATCATGCGTAACATCCCCAAGATTTTCGACTGCTCAGCATTCGACATATTTGTCAACGAAGAGCATCTGCCCGTCGTGGTGCTCGAGTCGACAGCAGCGTCGACGGCACCTGCAACTTCCGGCGGCCCACCACGACAGCTGGATACGGCTCTTCTCGACTCCCTATCGGAGAGGTGCATGGAGATTTTAATGCAAGAACACCATTTGCGTGTTTACTGCGTATTGATCACCGCACCAAACTCGCTGCCCAGAGTCCAGAAGAACGGCCGTAGGGAGATCGGGAACATGCTCTGCCGCAAGGAATTTGACCTTGGTAACCTGCCTGCGGTTCACGTCAAGTTTGGTGTGGAACATGCCGTACAGAATCTGCCTGTTGGTGTCGACCCAATGGGTGGTATCTGGTCCCTCCTTGCTTCAGAGTCACGGGCCGACGTGCTAGGCCCTGTCGAGAGACAGTATTCTGGCATTGACCGTCGAGAAGTTGTCATCGACGACCGTACTTCGACTCCTCTCAACAATTTCAAGAGCATTACCGACCTCATCCAGTGGAGAGTAGCCAGGCAACCTGAAGAGTTGTCATACTGCACGATCGACGGCAAGGGCAAAGAGGGCAAGGGCATTACCTGGAAGAAATTCGATACCAGGGTGGCAGCAGTTGCCATGTATCTCAAGAATAAGGTTAAGATCCGGCCTCGAGATCATATCATTCTCATGTACACCCACTCGGAGGAATTTGTCTTCGCGGTACATGCATGCATCAACCTTGGCGCTATCGTCATTCCCTGCGCTCCGATGGATCAAAATCGTCTGCCCGAAGATGTGCCGGCTTTCCTCCATCTTGTCGGCGACTACAATGTCAGGGCTGTACTAGTCAACCAGGACGTTGACCATCTTCTGAAGATGAAGCCGGTAGCTCAGCATGTCAAGCAGTCTGCGTCCATCCTGAAGATAGGTGTGCCGCCTGTTTACAACACCACCAAGCCACCGAAGCAGAACAATGGACTAAGAGATCTGGGTATTACGGTGGACCCTTCATGGGTCCAGCCCGGCTACCCGGTCGTCATTTGGACGTACTGGACTCCCGATCAGCGAAGACTCGCTGTACAGCTGAGCCACGAGACGATCTTGGGCATGTGCAAGGTCCAGAAGGAGACGTGTCAGATGACTAGCTCCAGGCCTGTCTTGGGCTGTGTTCGGAGTACCACAGGCCTAGGCTTCATCCACACCTGCCTGATGGGCATCTATATTGGCACGCCCACCTACATATTATCGCCGGTGGAGTTCGCACAGAATCCCATGTCGCTATTCATGATCCTCTCCCGGTATAAGATCAAAGACACGTACGCGACGCCTCAGATGCTCGACCACGCGATGGCTCTGATGCCCGGAAAGGGGTTCACCCTGCATGAGCTGAAGAACATGATGATCACCGCGGAGGGCCGCCCACGTATCGACATCTTCCAGAAGGTTCGACTGCATTTCGCAGCAACTGGACTCGACCGCACAGCGATCAACACGGTCTACTCTCATGTGCTGAACCCGATGATTGCATCGCGTTCATACATGTGCATAGAGCCAATCGAGTTGTGGCTGGACACCAAGGCCCTCCGAAGAGGTCTTGTCATACCCACCGACGTCGATACCGATCCCAAGGCATTGCTCGTACAAGATTCCGGCATGGTTCCTGTATCAACACAGATAGCAATCGTCAACCCCGAGAGCCGACTTCTCTGCGGAGACGGCGAGTACGGTGAGGTATGGGTCGACTCGGAGGCCTGTGTCAAGGGCTTCTATGGCTCGAAAGACATATTTGATGCCGAACGGTTCGATGGCCGGACGATCGACGGCGATCCGAACATTAGCTATGTCCGTACTGGAGACCTCGGGTTTCTTCACAACGTCAGCAGACCCATCGGCCCAGGCGGTGCTCAGGTGGATATGCAGGTGCTATTTGTGCTGGGCAGCATCGGCGAGACATTCGAGATCAATGGGCTTAGCCATTTCCCCATGGATATCGAGGCTTCTGTAGAACGAAGTCATCGGAATATCATGACTGGCGGCTGGTAAGCAAAGCCCCACCCAGTGAGATTCGATTGAGTGACAAGTGGACTAACGAGAAATGTCGACAGCGCTGTGTTTCAAGCCGGTGGCCTCGTCGTGGTCATCGTCGAAGTAGGCCGCAAGGCTTATCTCGCATCCATTGTCCCTGTAATTGTCAATGCCATCCTCAACGAGCATCAGGTGGTCGTCGATATTGTTGCTTTTGTCCACAGGGGCGATTTTCCCCGCTCTCGCCTGGGTGAGAAGCAGAGAGGCAAAATCCTGGCTGGTTGGGTTTCCCGCAAGATGAGGACGATAGCACAGTTCGCCATCCGCGACACCTCCACCAACTTGGGGGCTGGCGAAGCTGAAGGTGCCCCAGACGGGCATAGGGCAAGCTACGGCAGCTTCAGAAGCAGTAGTGGCGCACAGATCGGCCTGGCGGCGGTGGGCAGTACGTTGCGCAACGTCGAACCGGCCCCTCAGATACTTGAGCAGAGAGAGCTGGAGCAACAGCTCGAGCACATGGGTGCCCTTCCACCTGAGGAAATGAGAACTGGACTTGCTCATGGCAGTGATTCTCACACGAACGGCCGTGACGAGATGACACCGACAGGGCCACGCGCCTCTCAGGATTCTCATGCTTTCGACCTTCCCGATTTCAACCAATTCGACTCAACCGATGTACCGCCAGGTGTTGGTCCCAAGCCGACCCAGCAGACCCCCGAGATCAGGCTGGCCGAATTCCAGGAAAGCGGGCAGATGGTTGATTGGCGGGGCCACCCTGTTTCACAGGACGGCGCAGGCGGCCACGCCCGCAATTCATCGATACAGAATGACGAAGACTGGGCCGCTGATGCCATCGCCGGAATGAATCTCGTCGATCGAAATGATATAGGCAGGGGCTACTAGGTGTGGCATCCTCTCAGACCGTGAAGGCTCGAGGTCGGTGGATGTAGCAGTATTTTTCCTTTTCCTCTTTTTGTTTCTCCTCACAGTTTTGTTGGAACGCGCTCTAACGCCCATCGGTGGAGCTGACTCTGTCTTCTTTCTCTTTTGACTTAATTATCTCGTTACATTGCTCGCATCCCGCATCTGCGTTCGACGCGGTTAGAGTAGCACAGCACCAAGGGGTTGGCTCGTCAGTTTCTGTGCGTTTTGCTGGATTGTATTTCTTATGATGATGGCACGACTTTCATTGCTAGGAGGAGCACATGGAAAATGGACGAGGCAGGATTTGTTCATGTGCACATATTCACGATAATTTATATATTGCACTGCGATAGATCATCAGCGTCTAGCTGAAAGAGACCAGGTGTGTCTAGCAGGACTTTTAGAACACAGCCGTACATCATACCCGCGTGACTTTTATTACGTTCTACCTCATGATCGCTCTGTATAAACAAGCTTGAATGCAAAAGACACACAGCAATGCTGTGGTTTCAATCATTGAAAGCAGTCGCTAGCCATGTTTTCTGATACCTGGTGACTGTGATTTCTCTACCTATTTGTTCATATCATCAAGTGGGGCACAGACTGCATTCATCAGTTTATCAATGTGCTGTGATCTCAGCCTCAACACACACCCTCTGAAAGTGGGGTCATGCAAGGCAACAGCAAGCACCACAGCCATCGCTCCCCTCCTCCGTTTGCTTCTTCGTCTGCTACTTCTTCTGCTACTTCATCCTGTTTTTTCTCATGACAAACACTGTTTCTTGACTCGAATGGGATGAGAACATCAGTTCCGGCTACTACCAAACTTGTCTAGCTAGGCTTTCAGGATGACTGCAGACTACGATGATGAAGATGTATGCCCAATTTGTCACAATCTTCTCCAGGATCCAGTCAAAACTTCTTGTGGTCACTCAACCTGCAGAGTCTGTCTCTTGACGTGGATATCATTTGCAAATGATGGCCCACAACGCATCGAGCAGTCCTTCCAGATACCAGCCAAGCCAACCATCGATGGGCTGAGCCTTACATGCACCCTTTGCAGAGCTGAGACAAAAGCATTTCCAGACACGACAAGACGATGCCAGCTACAACAAAGGTATCCTGCCGCATACCAAAAGCGTACTATGGAAGATAATGGTGGTGCCATCAATGACATGGTAATTCAGATCGGGAACAAGCACAAAACCGTCCCGCCTACCATCTCGCCGTTGTCTGGAATGGTCCGTACTCATTACTGGACGTTTTTTCTCGTCAGCTCCCAACCACAAGTAATTGAGTCTGTCGATATCATTCTACATGGAACTTTCCGAAATGCACGCTTCGTCACGCTGCGTAAGCCTCCCTTCACCAAGTCATCATTGGGCTGGGGCTATTTTGAACTCACTGCGTTGTAAGTGAACAAAAGCTTTGCTGGATCCCCGAACTCCAGCTCCGATGACAGGAACTGCCTAGAATTACTCAGCCAGGTCAAGGTGCTAATACAAGGGCTTGAAGCATCACACTGCGCGAGGGTTGGGAGTGGGTCAGCTCAGATGCCATATCCAGCACATCGAAAGGAGACAGGAGGGACAGACTGGCGATGAAGTGGATGCTTGACTTTGACAGGCACGGTAGCCAGTCGCTCATGATGGAGCAATTTCGAAGACGAGACTCTTGGGATGACATTGTGGAGTCATTACAAAACTTGTTCGTGGACGCCGAGTAGCTTAGACGTCTGAAATTCCTACCTAGTTCATTGCAAACTGGTTTCGCGACTATTCGGCCCATAATGTTCCTTCCTTTGCCTCTACAATGTATAATAGCCGGCCAACTGTCTGCCGTGAAACAGCCGCCGCTGTGAGCTCGACATCGAACTTCATATTCTGGTTCCACATTTCCCTTCAAAGAAAATTGTCGATGCTTTCTAGTGGTATGATAATCACTGAGCCGTCTGACCTGATTTGTCCTGCAAGATGGTAAAGTGACAGTCATCAGAGCACTAACTGAGCTTGTATCGTAATCGGTGAACTTCAATGTTGCGATTCCAAGTTTAGTAAGGCTAAATACATCCATCGTCATCCTTACGCGCTACATTGCTGCAGCTTGGGCATAGTCACAGGCCGGTTCTCATGCCAAGCATGCGCTCACTCTCATGATACAGCATCTGAGCGTTCTCGGCATCCTTCGCGTGGTCGGCAATGAAGTGGTCAGCAAGCTGACAGTCAGCCATATAGCCAAACACCTCGCCGCCGACATCGAGCTCGTCCAGCTTAGGATCAAATGCAGCCACGATTGTCGTCGCAGCTCCTTGGTCCAGGGTCTGCCACTCTTTCTCCGGAAGAGTGCTCTGAATCACGCCAAAGGCCTCTGCGTCCATGTCTCGGGATAGCCCTGTGTCTACGGAGCCCGGGTGGACGGACAGGGCCAGGATGTTGTCTCCATTCTTCTTGAGCCGGCGCGAGAGCTCCGTAGCATACAGGACGTTCGCAGTCTTGCTCTGACCGTAGCCGATGAAGCCCGGGTACGAGTCCTTGCCAAGCTTCAGCCAGCGCTCCGGAAGATCTCTGGGGGGCTTCTGGCTCTCTGGCACGCCGTCGTAAACGTAATGATAGATCTGGTAGTCATGGAAACGAACCGGCGAGAGCCGGTGACCGTGGCTGGTCACGTTCACGATCCGTGATGAGCCTTGGCCGGCACCACGCGACCTCGCCGCCGCACGAAGCTTGGGGAGGAGGAGGGACGTGAGGAGGAAGGGGCCCAGATGGTTGACAAAGAACTGCATGTCGACGAATGTGTCTCCAGGAGTCTGGATGGCGTCTCGGCTGAATGTGCAGAGACCGGCATTGTTGATCAGGACGTCGACGCGATCTACCAGATAATCTATCGTCGCGGCCGCCGCTCGGATTGAGTCCAGTGAGGTCAGGTCGAGAGGAACCTTGTGGACTGTCACGGATGGATGTTTCTGCTCGATATCCGCTGCCACGGCGTCGACCTTGGAAGCCGTGCGAGATGCCAGAATGAGAGCGCTGGGCTGCTGGGATGCTACAGCCAGTGCCATCGATTCACCTAGAGAATTCGGACTGATACCAGTGATGATCACTATGAATTGCAGAACGGCGTTAGGATGTGATCTGTGTCTCATAACCACACTTCCTGACGGTATGAATGGTTTGAGGGTCTTACACACCAACTCTGCCCTTGATCGTATCTTTGAGAGCCTCGGCAGCTTCAGTGCCGGTGGTTACCCTACCAAATGCTGCGTTCGAAGCCATGTTGTCTACAAACTGACGCCGTCTTTGTATTCTTTGTTCATACTGATTATTTCCGTATGTGCCAGGTTAGAATCGACGAAAACTACCGTGTGAGTTTTCAGAGAGTGGGAGAGTCGGATTAATTATAATTTTGGAGTGAGGGGAAATGGCCTGGCTTTCTCAATGATCCTCGGCATCTGGATAAAGTCAAGGTCCAACTGGTCGCCCAGACAATTATTGACACTTTGATACCATGGCTCCTGTGAATTTAAACCATGTCATTCACTGGCATCCATCCGCCATACTAGTAGGTAAGACTCTACTGAGCAAGAGGTTCAACTCAAAACTCTCATCAGAACAGAAACCGGGACGAAACTGGGCACTCATCATGAGATTCAAAGCACGACTACCCTAGGTTGAGAAGTAATGAAGCAACCTTAGGACCAAACGTGTGCAAAGAATTTCTGTCCTAATTGATTAATAACGCGAATTCTTTGTTCCGCTACTTGACCTTTTATTCTTCTTGGCGTTCTATCGTTTACTTGCAGGTCCACTCTCTCCCGCAAGTCAAATGCACCAAGCATTTGTATATCGTCAATCTAATTGTGTAGTCACATAGATAGTATTTTATCATCTTTGATACTGACTGCACATTGAGGATGAGGACAATCCACCTAAGGAGTCACTCAGCCTGTCAATCAAATAGCATTGCTGCATTCTGTTTCTCTCTGCACTACTTCACTTGAAAGGCATCGGGCATGTTCGAGGACAAAATACCACAGTGGGAATTATCAGTAAGTCCGTCATTTTATGAATACGAATAAGTCTTGGGAAAAAAAATCCAGAAAGGATGTTGAATTTTCTACCCAAAGCCCGTGATTCACAAGTTTGTTTATCTCTCAGCTCATGCGCATCTATCAGCCTACTTTCCTGCCGGAAAGCCTCATTTCATTTCCCTTTCGTCGCGACAAACACCCTGCCTCTTTTAGATTTTTCTATCTTGAATGCTACGCCCCCTGGCTTTTTACCTTGGCTGTAATCCTGTCATCTCGTACTTGGGGGGGGGAGTACAGTCGTCGTGAAGCCCGCTGCTTACCAACATCAATCATTCCCAGAACAGCGAGCTTATGCATGCGACTAAAGAGTCTTGATTTCAAAGTAATTATATTATGTGATGAGGACCCTTGTTTTTCTGACCGCTGCAACCTTCACGACAATTTGAACAGTGTCTTAATTCTCAGCTTGATGACCACTATTATGCATGGGTTCCTACTTATAGGCAGTTAAGGCAGCGATTTAAGCGAGTACTAGGGGGAGGCTGAGCCATCAGCACTAACTCCTTGGGCACATCATATCTCCCCCCCCCCACCCCGGGTTACTTAAACGACCGCGTTAAGGGCGCCTAGCATGTCGACCCCCTGATCCATATTTCAGCCGATGTTCTCCTAAACTCTCATCCAGGATCCAAAGCAATTCTGTGACCATGAATATCCACTCCGTACGTGTTGTGTTGTCAAATAATTATCAGGTTTTTTTTTCGGGTCACATGCTTCTTATTCCATCACATCTGCAGAATATATCCTAGGGAAAGAAAGGAAGAATTAAAATATGCCGAGGAAAGGCAGCATAAAAACCAAGACTGGATGTTTCACTTGCAAGTGAGTCCCGTACCTCGAATACCCCCCCCCCCAACGGGCGGCGGCGGCGCCAGATTAGAAGGACCTTTTGAGAGGCTCAACTTTAGAACACGATATTCTAGGGCACGAAAAGTCAAATGTGATGAGGCCAAGCCACATTGCCGGAGATGTTCAACAACGGGCCGCCCGTGTGCTTATCCGCCCCCACCGACAGGCCAGGCAGCGTACTCGTGGGACGAACTCCTCACGCTGGGGGTGTCGACCGCGATGACCCTCAAGCGGCGCACACCGATCGGGCTGTACGGAGCGGACCAGACAGAAAGGCGGGCCCTGGAGTTCTTCCGGCTGCAGGTCGCCCCCGTGCTCAGCAGACACTCCTCCGGCGGCGTCTGGAAGCAGCTGGCGTGTCAGGTCGGGCAGCAGGAGCCAGCTGTGCGGCACGCCCTGGCATGCATCAGCTCGCTGTACGAGGGGCTGAGCGACACCAGCTCCGGCTTCCTCAGGACCTCGCGGGAGAAGTTCGCCCTGACGCAGTACAACAAGGCGCTGAGCCTGGTGGCCGCGCCGAGGGTCGACCAGAATATTGTCCTCTTCGTGTGCCTGCTCTTCATCACGATCGAGACCATACTGGACAATTCCGACATGGGCCTGCAGCACTGTCGTCACGGGATCAACCTCTGCAATGCCCTGCCGGCGGAGGCTGGAGGGTGGGCCAAGGATGAGCTGCGGTCCATCTTTCTCCGCCTGGCCACGGTGCCATATTTCTTTGGCACGGAGGTTGGAGAATTTCCTGAACCGGTCGGGCTGATGCCTGATTTGGAGGAAGGAGACGGTGATGCTGCGGTCAAGAACTCAGCGTGGGAAGCGCTGGTTCATCGAGCTGTTCTTCTCATCCGAAGGGGCGCCGTCTACAGTCACCAGACGTTGATCAACGAGGTCGTCCCGGACTCCCTCCTTCAAGAGCAGCAATATGTCCTCAAGGCCTTGTCGAAATGGTGCCAGCGGTTCAAGGCACAGAGGGCTGGTCTGCTGCCTGGTTCTGAGGCATTCGAGACCCAGCTCTGGCACGAGATGCACTGTATTGTCGGCCGGGTCTGGGCCGCCTGTTGCATCAGCTACAGCCAGATGCTATACGACGAGTACGACGAACAGTTTGAGGAGATCCTGCAGCTCTCCGAGCAGATCATCGACGCAAGACGCACGGCCGCTGATTCCAGACCCAAGTTCATCTTCGAGATGGGCTTTATGCCGCTGCTCTACTTCGTCGCCAAGAGCTGCCGCCGCCTCGACCTGCGCCTCGCCGCCCTCCGCCACACGCTGGAGCTGGCGTGCGAGAGGGAAAGCTTCTTCAAGACACGGGCCATGTACAGCGCCGTGATCCGCTGTATCGAGGTGGAACACGGGATATTGCTCGACCCAGCACGGCCCGACCACCCCAACCCTTCTGCAGAACCGAGGCCGCCCGACGATGTACGCATCCGGCTTGCCGATCTCACAGACGAGGTGGAGAACAGAGTTGAGAGCGACGGGCAAGTCTACGAGTATAGAAAGGTCTGCTTTTTGGTCCGGCCGGGTGCTGTCGTCCCTGGCTTCGTGGAGTGGGTGAAAGTGAGACCTTGGCCCAACATGGCAGACTCACCTCTGCGGATAAGTTGGTCGGCCAGCAGCACGGCAACTCCTGAGCCTGAAGTCCCGATATAGGATTTGGCAGACCGCTTTGGAGAAGCGGTCGATACTGGCATCACAATGGCGTGCGAGTACAGCACGGCCTAAGGAACTTGTTTCAATCATGTAACCCCCCTTGGGATGTCCGAATCCACAGGATCTTCTAGTAAAGCAAAGAAATACTAGAATCCTCTGCTTGAACCACTGATTTAGCCGTATTCAGTCAAAGCTTTTCAACAGTATAATTTACTTAAATTAATCTGAAGTGGAATATTCTTTCCCAACCACCAGCGATGGATCTCGCTCACGTGTGCGACCAGGTTTAAGTCAAGGCACGGGCACCCGCCCACCCCTGAACTTCCATCTCTTCAGCGCATCTCACAACTACCAACCCATTCAACCTGCCACAATGCAGTCCTCGGAGACAGACAATCAACCTCTACCTTGGGCAAGGCGTCGCAGACCCTCCTTGACTGAGTGCACAATGGAGTTCAGCTTCCTGAACGACGAGCACTTTCATCCATCTACTAACAAAATCAGCCCAGGGCCCTGCCTCGAGGCCCGCTTCGCACGCTTTCCAGACCTTCCGATCGAGCTGCGTCTGAAGATCTGGGAGCTTGCCCTACCGCGCCAGCGACTTCTCACCCTGGACATCGTCGCCGCCGACCCCGCCTCAGGTCCCGTGCGGCAGGAGAGCACCCCGGCTACTTATCAGGCGCTCAATGCTCTCGGAAACGTGGTTAGCGGTGCTAACTATAGCTTGCGTATGCGCTCAACAGGATCTGTCACTCCATTGCTGCGCGTGAACCGTGACGCAAACATGGCTGTCTGTAGATTCTATCGCGTGTGCATGCCTATCAACGGGCGAGGGCTAGGGCTAGGTGGTGGTGGTGGCGGCGGCGGCGGCGGCACGCCGTGCTTGCGTTTCTGCCCCAAGACAGATACGATCCATCTCCAAATCGAGGACCACGGCCAGAATGCGTACTTTGCTGATGTTGTTCATGACGCATCAGCGTACGACCCCCTAGGCGTTGGGATCCTGCACATGGCTATTGGGGGCCACCTTGTGCCTGAGGAGATCCGGTTGCCTCTTGGTAGGTCCTATCTGGAAGCGGGGAATAGATCAGTCAAAAGCTTGAGCCAATGACTAAACAATGCGCTATCCCTAGACCCTTCCTCCCTCTATGCTTGTGCGCAGGCTGCAGTCTCTCGTACGCTGGGCAACTTGCACAGCATCAGCCTTCTTCATATCTCGAGGGGTGAGAGTCGCCGCATGTTCTCATCCCTGCTTTACAGCGATGTACGCTTCAACCGCTCTATGCCAGTGTGGTCAACTGCGTCCTCCTTCTCTATACTGCCGTCCGATCCGCGGCCTATCGACCAAGATGTCGAGAAGGTATGCCTCGGCTACGATCCCCGTATGCTAGTGTGCGCCTGGCGGGCTATGGAGGTTGCGTTCGCCGTCTCGCCAGTCCCAGCATCGAGAATGCGCATACTCGCCGCTGCACCGCCAATCGCGAGTCCCGACCCGCACGACATCGCCAGCAGAGAGGACGCGTGCCGCTTTCGAGCAACAGAGGAGGCTGCGTGGGAGCGGAACTTCAAACAAGGCGGGGTCTACCAAGAGTTCGGACATTTGAACCCCGATACAGAGAATAGCCTGGAGCGTGCAAGGACCATGAATGCGGTAGGGTTCTGGGTGCTTCCTCTCGAATTGATTGGCAACATATGCGAGGTGCAGAATAATCATCCGCATGAATGGGCTCAGCGGGTCATGGTGAACTTGACGGGCGTGCAGCCGCCGCTCGGATTGTTTGAAATGGCTGGAGAGACAAATTCTTCATAGAATATAGCGTCTGTTATTTCCTGTATCAATAAATCTCAGAGGTAAATAAGCAGTGGTTGAAAGGTGCAGTCAGCCTTGCGCACGCGTTTCCGTGCAGGCCATCAGACCAGACAAGTGAGCTAGTAGTGCGTGCATAACGTCATTTGCACGTGTGACTGAATGCCTTTCCGACAAAAGAATAGTACTTGATGTATTGGACAAATCTGGATGTGAGAGAAAGACGGCATGTGGTGGTTTGGGGAGCTGGGAGCTGACATGTCGCTGTGCGGTTTACTGAGGTGGTGGTGGTGTGCTAGGTGCAGGTGCATTATCATACGCACAGAAGGCACGACTGTACCTTACTGCTAGGGCGCTATACTATAGTAGCAGTACATAACGTGTAGTACTAGAGACTACTCTTAGTTCGTAGAGAGAGAGGTACGTACCCCGTGAGGGAGATGGACAAGGTTAGGGGGTCCAGGCGGGACGATTGCATCAACAGATCGAGCTTGTCACGAGGGCTGCTCAAGATCCGTCTCCAGTCAGCAACACTCTGGATTTTATTGTACCTAGTCATCTGCGATTTTCTTCCTTCTTCTTCTCCTCCTTTTTCATGAAATTCTCCTCTCATTTTGGGTGTTACAAAAAAAAAAAAAACCTGATTGTGTTGAATAGATACTTGATTAAATGGGACCAAGTCGGTCTGTGGGAAACATATTCTGATTGGCTTGGGAAAGGATTCCAAGGTTATGTATGTGAAGTAACAGCCCTAACTGGTCCGAGAATCAATGCCACCAAATTGAAATTGCCCTGTAAAGGCGCAAAATTGGGTCGTACCAGCCAAAAACCGCCCCTGTAGGCAAGGGGTTCGGCCAAGGTCTTCGCGCGGCAGGTTGATCTGGTACATATTACATAATCTTCCACACCTACCGAAATCGTACTTTCGTGCCGTCTTCAGTTGGTGTTAGAGCTTGATCCAGCTGTAAGTGAGGGCGCTGCAGGGTGGACCGTGCCCCTCCCTCAAACCCACGCCCACGCCCGCACCCGCCAAAAACTGGTCCTAGTCTGCCGCAAAAATTGCGTTGCCCAAAACCCCCCAGGCAAAGAGCTCACCACGTCCTCCCTTCTCCTCCAAACTTCGCACCACGAACTAGGTTGGGACATGTCTATTTAGGACCTTCCTACCTACCCTCAATCCTCAATCCTCCTCTACTTGATTTTGTCGTCGTTGATTTTACGCCTTGCTGAAAGGCGCAAAGCCAGGCGACAAGATGTCGGTCGCCTCAAAGGTCAGTCAGAGTTCGCTTCACCTTCCATCACACCTCGGTTCGATGTTATTTTTTGCCTCTTTTGCTGCTTCCTCCCCATGTTGGCTGCTGTGTTCGTCGGTGTCCCTGTGCCCCTCAATGCCAATGATTGACACCAGCGTCACTGCCCAAAAGCGCATGACGACTGTGTCGCGTTGAGCTTCTTCTCCGTACCATATACTCTTTCTATCTGCCTAGCTTGCGATCCGGGAGTGACCTTCTTGACGACGACGACATGTCGCTGACCTTGACCTGTTCTAGAACCTCTTCGACCTTCTCGGTATATCTGGCCCGATCCGCATCAGAACTGTTATTCCAATTGAGACCAGACCGGTATATTGACATTTCGGCTTCCAACCTCCAGGGAACGATGACGAGGGCTCCGAGACCCCCAAGGCGCCTGTGAAGACCGTCACCAAGTCGACCGTCTCCACTGCCAAGGCCAACACCGACGGCACCAAGCCCAGCCAGCAGAACCGTGCTGGGTTCAGCCGTACCCAGCTGGGTATGTGAAATCCTGCCCAAGGTATTGGCCATCCGTTTTTAGTGTCCATTGCGATTAACTTGATTCTCTACGCGCAGAATTCCGTGACAAGGGTGTCGGCCGTGCTGCCAACCAGACCAGATCCACTGAGGAGCGTACTGCTGATCGACCCCGAGGAGGCCGTGGTGCCCGTGGTCGTGGAGGTAGGTCACAGCTCAGACCCTCACACCAAAGAGGTCTTTAAAAGGGAAGACGAGAATTTGTATGCTGACCTCCATTTTCGTAGGCGCTGGTGCTACTCGCCACCGCAATGCTGACGACCGGCATACTAAGAACATTGCTCCGTACGTCTTTCATGCCTGACAACACAGTTTCTTCTTCCTTCCCGCCGGTGATCTAACAGACTACACAGCGGCTCCGAGAAGCAGGCTGCCCAGTCATGGGGCGCCAACGACGGCGATGCCGAGCTGAAGGACGAGCAGGCCGGCGAGGCCATCGCCGAGACCGAGAAGCAGGAGGCTGAGAACGAAGATGCTGAGGCCGAGGCTAAGGAGCCCGAGCCCAAGCAGGTTACCCTCGATGCTTACTATGCTGAGCGCGATGCCAACGCCCTGAACGAGGGCCTCAACATCCGCAAGGTGTCCAACGTTCCTGATGGTGTCCAGGTGCAGAAGGAGGAGCAGGAGGATTACTTTGCCGCTACCGGTGGCAAGTCCAAGAAGTCCAAGAACAAGAAGGTCAAGGAGACTCTCCTCTGGGAGGACTCTGGCCGTGAGGAGCGGGACAACACCCGCGGAGGCCGTGGCGGCGGCCCACGTGGTGACCGTGGCTCTCGGGGCGATGGTCCCCGTGGTGGCCGCGGTGGTCCCCGTGGCGGTCGTGGCGATGGTGCTCCCCGTGGCAGCTTCCCCCGCGGTGGTCCTCGCGGCGGTGCTCCTCGTGGTGGTCGTGGCGGTGCTTCCGCCCCCAACCTAAGCAGCGCTGCCGACTTCCCCAGCCTGGGTTAAAATGGGATCTTCCAGACCCCCAACCACACAACGATCACAGACTTGCCGTCTCGAGTTTCGAAACGCTTTGTCTAATCTATCAAAATTGCACAAACAAAGAGAGAGAAAAAATGGACATCAAACGACATGAGTGGCTGCAGGGTGCGATCGGCTTGTAGTTAAATCGATCTTGGCAGGGTTTTTGTCCCCTCTTATGGGTCAACTGGGTCTGGGGTCGTCCAATGTCTGGGATCTGATCGTTCTTGTCCACCAAAACAAAAAGCAATGATTCATTCTCATTTTTCTTCTAAAAACTTATGGAACAACGGTACATGATCGACGCTCCATCAGGCTGACACCTGGTTAATTGATACTTCTTTGATGACTGCATGTTTTATTATCCCGAGTATGGAGGCTAGATGTTCGTCCTCGATTGGGAACCAGGCTCCTCCAAAATGATCTCAGGAACTTTGTGTATTCTGTGTACTTCTCTGAAGTTCTGTGAAGGGGAAGTCTTTGATGATCTCTTTTCAACTCGCATGAGCTGCACCACCTACCAGCCACCCGTTGTTGACTTGGTATGCAGCAAGGCTTGTCACACAACTTACTCGCCATACAAGACTTCCCTCACTGTTCAGATGTACCGTCCAGATCAGTAAAAGGGATCCAGTTGTACGTTTTTCTCGATGTTGACACAGTCGATACCTCGCCTACCAAAACGCCTTTGTGGGTTACCAAGAAAAGAGAGCTCTCTTCAAGGAACTAAACATCCATCTATGCGTTCCAGCTTAAAGAACGTTTCCATCGCCTGCCCAACTTTGAATGACTGCAGCCGCCCTTTTCATAATAAATGTACAATGAGATCCCAAAAAACCTGAAGAAGGGTGCAAATAGTAGAGACTCCACACCAACGCTTACAATCTAGCCAATCTTCTTCGTACATCCATGTTATGCCGACCATCCTCAAGTGTGCTTGTGCCTGTGCTCCCTCGCCAGCCGCACGACACTCACTCCCAGCGTGGCCACGAGCAGGATGGCATTGAACAGAGCCATCATGTAGAACGGCGCCCCATGCGACCACGTGTCAAAGAGGAATCCACCCAACTTTGTCAGCAACAAGATCGCCGCACCGCCGCACCACGAGTAGACCCCTGCGATGGTGCCCTTGAGCAGCACCCGGGTGCACCTCGGTTGCGGCTTGGTCCCATCGTTGAGGAGGGAAGTGTCCTCGTTGGCCTCCACGCCGTCAACAACCTGATCGTCTGCTGGAGGCTGGGCCTTCTTGTGAGGGTCGGCGGCCAAGACGCCTTTGCCAAGAGAGCCCAGGCTGCAGACAATGGCACCGATCTGGCTGATCCCGATCAGCGCAACAAGAACAAACACAGTCGGTGAGCCGCCACGGCCATCAACGTTTTTGACCTCGGGACTGGCCAGGTGTGGGAAAATGATATAGCCAACGATGCCAAAGATTGTGGCCACAATGACCGGGTAATCGAAGCGTCCCCGGCGTCTCGACAGGTACCCGAAGATAGGCGCAAAGATCAGCGCAAACAGTTGTGCCACACCGGTCAGAATGGAAGCCAAGACATACGCCTTCCGCTGGTCCCCGTCAGAGATATGGTCGAGGAAGTAGATCTTGACAAATAGAGGGATAAACGCCGAGATGGCAACAGTCGAGGCACGGGCGACAAAACCACCCAGGTAGCCGAGACCGATCTGGGAGTCTGTCACCCCGAGCACGATAGCGTCACGGAGGAGCTGTCGGTACGGCAGGAAGCTCCGCCTCGGCGCCTCAGACCCGTCAGCCAGCCGTCTCTTCTTCAGACCGAACAACGTCCGGAAACCTTTGCCTTCCTCGCCCTTGAGCTTCCGCAGCCCGATGTACACAAAGGACGCAACAAGAATCGCGACCGCGCCGACGACGTAGTAAGAATACTGGACGGCTTCGCCGATCTCGACACCCTCGATCTTGCTGAACTGGCTGGGCAGAGGCAGGAAGACGACCAGAGAGACGAGGGCGCCGAGGCCGGTGAAGAGGCCAACATAGCCGGCGAGGATGGAAGGCTTTTCCCGTGCGTCATCGCTACCCTGCAGGTCTGATCCGTTGGAACGATAACGTTCTGGGGTGATGGTGAGTTCCGACTCGACGGAAAGGGCGACGCTGTCCCGGACATTGTGGCCAGGGACGAGAGTGGGCTGTTCCGTTTCGGGGTCCGAGGAATCAGAGTCGTCGGTCAGGCAGGGAAGGGTCGCCGTGACCATCGTGGCCCTTGAGAACATTGTCCTGTCAGTTCGGCCAGCTCATGAACGAGGGAGGATAGTACTCACGTAGCAGTGGCGCCAATGGCAAAGAGAATCCTCGCCAGGAGCAGCTGGGGGTAAACATTCGACGCCTGGACGAAGAGAAACAGAGAGAGGCCGATGACGGCATATCCGACCATAGCCACGAAGCGAACACCAAGGCGATCCGAGATCAAGCCCCAGAGAGGACAGGCGATCAAGGCCACCAGCTCGTCGACGAACCCGAGAGTGCCGACAATATCGCCCACGCCATCATGAACACCTATCAGATCGGTGATGACAAAAGAAATACTGCTGTTTAGGAAGACCAGGAAGGATATAGAGAAGAGCGCAACCCCGAGAAGGTAGCTAATAGCCTGCGCCGTGGTTGTGGACTCCGAGAAGGGCAGATGGCGCATCAAGATGTTGCGCGCCATGTTGTGAATTTGTTGTCGCTCGTTTGCGGACCAGGGCTGGAGTCAGTCGATACCGAGACAACAATTGTCTGAGGAGGACGAGCTCGAGCTTTCACATGCGCGCGACAAAATGCAGCAATAAGTAGAAACAAGGGAGAAACACAGGAAAGAGTCCCGAGGGAGGAGGTTCGGACAGATGATTGAAGCCTAATTGAGAGCCTGACGACCCGTTGGGATGATCTGGTCAAGCAGCATCCGTTTTTTTATCTCGCCCTGCTCTTTATCAAGCGTCTTAATTCGATAGCCTAAACCATGCAACCTATGGATGCTCTCCCCCAAAAAATATGTCGATGCCCTGTACCAGCGCAGGGGAAATAACACGCCAGGCCAGTGGTTGGTTGAGCAATGACGAGGCGAGGATGACATAAACATACATGCCATAGTACCACCTGCGCGCCATGACCTGGCAACCTCTCACTGGACCGATCCCTGCCAGGCCTTGCTGCCCCTCCTTTCTTCGGCACCTGGAGCCGAGCTCGGCGAGAGCTATCTCCCACCTGTCTCTATCTGCATCCTACAGCGCTAACTGAGGTGGTGTCTGCGAACTCAAGGAGCTAATAACTCGTCAACGGTTTGCGACGGGTCAGTCTCGTCAAAACTCCCTCCCCGCCCTCTCCTTTAACTCAGTTCACACGCGAGCACAACAGGCCAACGAATTGGCTGCTCGACTGACGCAGCCAGGTCCTCTTGGCTCGTCAGCTCTTCCGCCCTTCATCGCAACTTACAACCCTTGCTACGAGACCACGAGAACGCACACGACGCCCTCAAAGATGTCCGCCTCTTTACCAGGCAATCGGGAGCTGCCCGACTCGCAGTACGACCTCAGCACGTACTGGGGCCGCGTGAGGCAGACTGCTGGCATAGTGGATCCGAGGTGAGAGCATTGACAAGCACGCATCGAGAGAGTGGAAATGGTGTGGTACCTGCATCTTAGCAGTAAGCAGCCATAATCGTTCACCAAGGAATTCCCAAACCGCGAATACTAAGGAGGAGGAAGAACAGGGGCAGGTTCTCATTGTGCATCTCTGGCTAACTATTGTGGTGTTCCCCAGGACGCTCTTCGTGGGTAAGAAGGGACTCGAGCAGGCCAAACAGGCAATCACATCGTACAAGACGGGGCAGACGAAGGAGATGACTCCGGAGCTATGGCAGGCCAAAAAGATTGTCGATTCGACATTACATCCTGGTATGGTGGTCCTATAAGGTGTAGGCTCTGGCGGAGAGCATCGACTTATTTGAGGATCTGCAGACACCGGCGAACCAGTCTTGCTACCTTTCCGCATGTCCTGCTTTGTTCTCTCCAACCTAGTGGTGACAGCGGGCATGCTCACACCCGGACTCAAGGTATATACAGCCTTGCTCGCTCCTCGTTTCCGGTACTGTCGAATCACTGTCAACTGACTGAATCCTCCCACGGCAGAACACCGGTACCATACTCTGGCAGATAACCAATCAATCTCTCAACGTTGCCATCAACAACGCAAACGCAAACAAATCTACCCCCCTCTCCTGGTCCATGATCGCTCAGTCCTATTTCCTGGCCGTCGGCGCCTCGTGCTCCGTCGCCGTGGGCCTGAACAGTATCGTCCCCCGCCTCTCTCGCCTCCAACCCCAGACCCGCCTTATTCTTGGCCGCCTGGTTCCCTTCGCGGCCGTTGCCTCCGCCGGCGCGCTGAATGTGTTCCTCATGCGCGGCGAGGAGATGCGCACCGGTATCGATGTCTACCCCGTCCTGTCAGAGACGGACAAGCAGAGGCTCGCGGCCGAAGGCAAGGCGGAGAACGACGTCCCCAGCCTGGGCAAGAGTAAGAAGGCTGCGACACTGGCGGTGGGCGAGACGGCACTGTCGAGGGTGCTGAATAGCAGTCCAATTATGGTGCTCCCGCCCTTAATATTGGTGCGGCTGCAGAAGACGGAGTGGTTGAAGCGCAACCCGCGGTTAACCACACCTGTAAACCTGGGGCTCATTCTAGCCACAAGCTACTTGGCCCTACCATTGGCGCTGGCGGCGTTCCCGCAGAGGCAGAGGGTGAATGCGGCGAGTCTAGAGGAGGAGTTCCACGGCAGGGGAGGGGAGGGCGGTTTGGTCGTGTTTAACCGTGGCATCTAAGTTGCGCGGCAAAGGGCCCAGGAAAGCTGGCCATCATTTGAAAGGCGCTGGGAAAGGGCTTTTTTGGTAGGTGAGGGGTGGGAGGGGCGCAAAATATCACAGAGGCTTCACAAATATCACAAGTACTGCATTTCCCAATATAAAAATGTCCCGTCGTGTGCTGACGAGCCAAAAGCTGCCATAGCCCAACAGACGTGCCAGCCGAGATGGCCAGCACAAAAATTGACCTACAAAGGTCGTCCAAACAGGCCTCTTGTATTTCTCCTTCCCCCTATCTTGCATACTACCTGCGCAACTTGGCATCCTCTCGTCTCTGTGTAGATCTCGCAGATCCCAGTGTCATAGCACCACCGTGACCATGACCGTATTCAGACGCATGATCGCCGGCCCTAACAAACGACCAGCAACGCAGTCGTAGTAGAGTTCAAGGCAAAACCCCTACCACCACGAGGCCAGCGCCGGGATACTGGTGTTTCACAAGGGGTGTCCCTTGTCCTTCAGGTTGATTAACGACCCGGAGCCATTGCGAGCGGACTGATGGGCGAAACAATAATAGAGCAACCAGGGTGCGTGAGGGGGCCGATGATAATGATGGCGGAGTAGCCTCCTCCTCGGTGGGAATTAGTGTTGCAGAAGGTTAGGAAGTAGTAGTATGCTGCTGAGTTAGATGGAGTTTGGATTTTGTGGTGGTGGCATGGGTCGGTGTGCAATTTGGGCACGTCATGTGCCAGGACGGAGGTGTTGTATCGAACCGAATGAAGAACTACATGTGCATGCCACTTGCGAACGTACCAGGCTGAGCAGAAACTCTGTCTTCAGTTGAAAAGATCCAGAGGTGAGAAAATCTAGGGGAATTTAACAACTCCTCCGTCCTGGCCTAGGGTAAGTATAGTTTGATCAAGTATAGAAGAGCTCGCCAATCCGCTTTCATATACATCTACCATCACATAACAATCTTCAATTCATACCAATGTATGGAAAGGCCATGGAGGGACAGACATCCTTCAAGTCACACTCACCTGATCATGGTGTCATGATGGTGATGTCGACATCAAGGGACCACGCCCGCCAACGCATGGTCCGAGATTGCAAGAAGCCCCCCCCCCCCGTGCCATGTGCCAGCGACGATTGATCTGCCTATTTTCTTTCTCTTCTTCTTCACTGCATACTCCATACAGGTATATGTAATACACAGACTGTATACTATAGTACAGTAGTAGATACCATACCTACTTGAAAAATCTGAGGAATGGAGCATTTGATTGTTGTGGACTGCGGAGGGGAAATCACCTTGTCTCTTTCCCACGTGGTAATCACTAAATTCCCACCTGGCCCTAGTGGTACTCATGTATTGTTGCTGGGTCAGCGGGTCACAGCGCTTGTTACCTGCAGTACCATGTCGCTGGCGCCCAGTGGGGATTCCAGAGGACCAGCTCGGAAAAGAGTATCTTCGCCTGTAGCCTTCTCATTTTTATTTTATTTTGTTTTGGTTCGAGGGTGCCCTGCCGCGGCCCGGGCGGGGGGTCCGGTGCTGGAAGGGGGCGGGGGTGCATCGCTTACGAAACGGTACGCCTCGTCTCAGCTAGAGTCGCGTCTGGTCCAACAGAGCAGACCAAACCAACCCGCTGATCTTGTGAATTAGGCAAATGAAAGTTGCCGAGAAGAGGAGGGAACGTTTCGACTGGGTGCGCAGCCGAACAGATTGGTCTTTTGCCCACCACATGGCTGAGCAACGAAACCATCACCCTTTGTTGCATCAGGGAACGCCACGAGCAGCTAAGAATGGCAACCCGAGCACGGGAGGGCGTCTGCTGTGTTGTGGGGAAGGGGGAGCTGACCTGCCAGCCTGCTTTCCTGGCTGGCACTAAATAGTATGTACTGTACCATAGTAACGTATGAACTGAAGGCTATTATAGCACTGCCCCCCCCCCCCCTCCTCCTACAATTCAGTCCCCAGGGCGAGACAAAATGCGACGCGAAGTCTGTCCAGCATGACTCGGAATTCCGGTGTTTCTTTTCCTCGTTCAGGCTTGTCTTGGAGGGACAAAAGAGATCCGAGAGAGAGGCAAAGAGGGGGTGTCCCACATGTTTGTCGGCTTCGGTTCCTGTTCTTTGAGGATCCGGGCACTGGGCCAAGGTAGGTGGCAATAGAAAGGAAAAGGATACCTTGGCAGTCTGAGAGGCTGGAAGGGGGAAGGAGAGAATAGTGGTTGCAGTAGTCTCCCCTCTGGATCCTTCCTGGGGGGCCGGTTGCCCTTTGACCCCAGGGTTCGATACGATGGGTCTCTTTTCTCCCCATAACAACCCCTGGCCCCTGTGAATGAACTTTCCCGGCGGGGGTGCTGCAAGGCTGATTGATGGGTGTGGGACTGCGGATCTTCCGTCGCGTTCTGAAAGAAAGAGACAGAAAGAGAGAGGGAGGAAAAGAAGGAGCGAGAGACTATGCCAACTGCCATTTTTTTGTGAGAATCGTGAGAAGCCGAGGCTGGTTGGTAAAACATGTCCACAAGTGTGTGCTCCAAGAGAACAACGTTTCCCAATGACGGCAGTGAAGGAATCCCTACCAAGCCTGTGTGAGCATTTTTGTGTGTGCCAAGGATTTAGACGCTGTTCGATCTACTTGTTTATCCTGCGTCAGGGTCTGATAGGAACGATCGGAAGCTAGGCCAGTTCCATTTGGGGGATGGTGTGTGACGCTGTCCGCTTATGTATGGTAACTTGGGGGATGAAGGAGGGAGGGAAGGGCCCTGAAGATGGCCTGAGGAAATTCCCTCGACAATGAGAAATCTGGTCTGTCTTCTTGTCTGGTTTGTCATCTGTCTGGCCCTTGAACTGATGAGCGCCTGCACGGCCAAATTTCCCATTCCTCAACTTGGAAATCAGCAGGAGAGCGGGGTACAGTCCCAACATTAAGCCACGAAGGAACAGGCGATGGAACGGGAATGGACCGCGGGTCCATCATGAAGAAATATTATGACTCTGTGCACGTCAACAAATAATTAGCAATGTATAGTTGTTTCTTTCTTATTTATTTTGTTTTATCTTTGTCTGAATTACCCACGGTAGGCATTCACGCTGAAATCACCAATCATTCACACAGAGACAGCAGTCATCTGTCTTGTCAGCTAACCAATGCACGCGTTCTTCGTTCAGGTAACATGTGTGTTCCTTGAGAGAAGGGACAAGGGGACCCTTTTTTCTTCTTTTTTTCTTGCCCTTCATAGTTGCCAATTTGATCCATACGGAGTAAGTAAAAGCACCGGCCAAAAAGTACCGAAGCCTACACGTCTGCCCGTACACTGCCATCGTAGCAGGTGTATTTGCAGGCCCAAGACGCTGGGGCCTAAAGTTTAAATAATAATGGAATCGTGCTGTATCCGTGAGTGATGACTGACTGGGGAAGGACGGGAGATTTCGACACAAAACCATGCCTCGGACAAGATTACCTTACCAGGGGGCCAGGCGAGCATAGACGATAAAATAATTTTGTCCTTTGATTTTATTTCTTGAAACGAGATCTTGGGGTCTTTTATCTTGCTCTCTTGGATCGTAATCTTGGACACCGCTCATCCTTAATCAGTCCCGAGGGGCGAGGAGGGTGTTTTGGTTTTTGGTTTATGAATGTTCTTCCAGGAAGACGGGACTTTTCTCGAATGGCCGTTTCGGGCCAGACGGGTGGCGAGGTTCCTCCTTCAAAGAAGCCTCCAGTCCCACCCTTCCTTGTCGCTCACATTTATTGTCAAGCCAGTGAGTGACTCGGTGACTGACTGCCCGCCTCAAGGTCTATCTCCTCCTGTTTGGTAGCAAGTGAAGGTATCGATCATTCAGTGTGGACGCTTTGATCGTTAAGCTGGGATGGATATCACAATAGTAGCTCTCCTCGCACTCTCCCCCTCTCTCTTAAAAAACAATGGTAAAAAGTGCCCGGAATATTCCAAGGCCTTGGACTTCCGGCTTCTCAAAGACGTCAGCCAAAATCCAATTTATGTGCCCGGTTGCGAGTACGAAGAGGGAAGACCCGGCAACGTGCACTCATTTCTGACAGGCGGGTGCCCACCTAAGACAAGCCCCGAAGCTCAACAGCCTTTAGGCGGGTTACAGTGGGTGGACCGCTAGCTTGGCGTCATTCACACGCCTGTGCGTGCCCTGTGTCTGTGACTGGACGTTTTGTGGGGAGTTGGGTTCGGTTGGAGCGCTGCCCCCCGCCCCCCCCCCCCAAAAACACGACTGACCTCACTGAGAGACCACTCTTCGTCATCTTGTCTCCTTTGCAACCCGCGTCGCATAGCATACCACCAAGTTTGTTATCCCCCCCCCTGCCACGCCCCCCGGCTTGCCGAGAGGAACAACCACAGCGGCACATTGATGGGCGCATTGGCCGCTGGGAGACACACTGGTCGGGGCCAATCTCACGCTGTCCCCAATCCGATCGTCATTCTCCATTCTTTCGATCACGACCCCCATCACAACCACGATTGAGGGAAGGTCGTTCGACTTTCCAATCCGAACCTCTCTCTCCCCATCGCAATACTCGCCAGAAGAAGAAAAAAACCGCCGCCTCAGTCTGAGACGTGTGCGTGTGTCTCGTTGAGCGACCGATCTGGACTTGAGAACCGAATCAGTACCAATAGTCTCCCACCCCCCCTCAAGAAGCAGCAGCCAGCCACAAGGAGGCGAGCGGAACAAGCGCGCGAGCGAGCAAGCCTGACGTACCCTGCCCTGTTGCCCTGGCCAGAGGAGCCTCACCAGATCCCACGCACGACTGGCTTTTTGTCTCGTCCCCCAGAGAAGGCAGTCGCTGTTTCTTCTCTTTTCCGAGGAAGGGAGGAAAAGTCACCTACACGGCGAGTAATATCAAGACTGCTACTGCCATTGCATCGCTATTGTTTCGCCTTGGTCTCCCCGGCGGCAGTGGTACTGAGCAGCCAGCCAGGCGTCCGTTGAGGGCTCCCTGTCAGCAATTTCTCCGCCTCCTCTTCCCTCGCACTTCAACTGCACTGCACTGCAACACATCACACACTCTTGCTGCTGCAACCAAAGGCCTGCCTCTCCTGTGCTGGCCCATCCTGTCCTGCATTGCATTGCATACCACGGCTTCTTTCCCTGCAGTTTCTTTGTGCTGCCCTCTCTTCTTCACCCCCACAGACCCGTTTTCCTAATCGAAACCACTCGATTCCCGTTAGCCAACAAGAGAGGAGGGACCAATCGACTACTGCTACCAACGCAGTAACGCTGAGACGGGGAACTAAGGACTGCTGCTGCAACAACACCCAACCACAGAAATCCAAGTTTCCCCGACCTGGATCGATGAACTTGGCCTGACCTCAAGCACACAACACAAGACACTCGAGGGCCTGTCCTCCTCCTCTCCTCAAACGGGTCAATAGCAGATCAAGTCAGAAACATGTCGACTCCCACAACTGCGACTGCTACAATTCCGCATTCACATTACCACCACCCGTCGCATTCACACCACTTCCCCTACTACCCGACGAACACCTCCTCCACTGCCTTCCGATCGACCGCTACCCAGCTCCTCCCCACCCCCAGCCGGCTCGGTGCCTCGTCGTATCCCACATCGGCGTTGACTTCGAACTACGCTCCCTCGTCGAGTACACAGGCCTCCTCCGGCACCATTAATGGGTCTTCATTCTCCAGCAACTCCTCCTCCTTGGCCCGTTCCCAGCGGCAAGAGTTAGGCGACCTGCGGGCCATCGTCGAGCAAGACTACACTGCCATGGCCCCCTCGACTACTGCTGCGTCTTCTCAGGCACAGTCCTCGTCCAACAAGAAGAGGAGACGAGACAGCCCTGTCGACTGGAAGAAGTTCTATGGCGGCCAGCCGCCCAAAGAGATCATCGTCATTGACGACACCCCCGAACCCGACAGTGCCACGGTCTCTACCGTCTCCAACTCACAACAGACGCTGCTCAATGTCAGTGCAATGACAACAGCACCCTACGCCTACGCAAACGGCGCCACCAACTCCACCACCACCACCAATGGCGGCGCCCCCGTGAGTGCCAATACATCTGCTGCTCGGCATGCCCCCAAACGGCGGAAGCGAGACGATGATGTCCCCACGACCTTGGGCACCCGTTATGATCCTGTCCACCACAGCAAGCTCAACGGTTCGGCCACAACCCCTCGGCAGCAAAACGGGACCCCTTCAGGTTCGACCATTTCCTCCAGCGGCCGCACTGACTCGGCCATTCACACCACCGCTGCCACCTCGCTCGGGTCTCTGTCATCAAATGGTCAATATGACTATGATGGTCAGCCAGGTCAGAAGAGGAAGCGGACTCGACAGCAGGTTGCCAATGAGGTCAAACGTAGGGAGAACGCCATCGTCGGCCACAACTTCCCCAGCTACCAACCTCCACCGTACCCACCCAAGAAGGCTGGCGAGGTGAACGTCCGAGTCATTCCAGACGTAAGTAATCGATTTCCCCTCCGGAACATCTGGGTAAAGAACAGCCCCGCTGATCATGGACTTCATCTTTCATAGTCGTACAAGAGTGGAAATGTCGACGACAACGACGGCCACTATATCGTCGTTCCCGACGCGCCGTTGACTGATAACTGTAAGCTGCCTTCTTGTTTCCTGCGCTCCGTTCTGCACGACCGTGTCTTACTTACTGACCCCGCTCTCCACTGTAGACCAAATGATGAAGATGCTTGGTCAAGGCACCTTCGGTAAGGTTGTTCAGGCTCGCGACCAAAGGCGCAACGAGCTGGTTGCCGTGAAGATCATTCGCTCCGTCCAAAAGTATAGAGATGCGTCGAGGATCGAGCTGCGAGTTCTGGCGACCCTGAAGGCCAACGACCCAGACAATCGCAACCGGTGCATACACCTTCGCGATTGTTTTGACTACCGAGGTCACATCTGCATCGTGATGGACCTGCTGGGGCAGAGTGTCTTTGATTTTCTCAAGGGCAATTCCTTCGTCCCGTTCCCCAACAGCCAGATACAGAGTTTTGCTCGTCAGCTCCTCACAAGCGTGGCTTGTAAGTTGCACCGGGCCGCTCGCCCTTTTCCTCGTGATGTGTTCTGATCATATTTAGTCCTCCACGACCTGAACCTTATACATACGGATCTCAAGCCCGAGAACATCCTGTTGTACGACAGTGCATATCAGACATTCACATACAACCGCAAGATTCCATCGTCCTCGACCTCGGTCAACAGGAACGCCACACAACGGCGTGTCCTTCTGGACACGGAAATCCGGCTCATCGACTTTGGATCCGCAACCTTCCAGGATGAGTACCACTCGTCCGTGGTATCGACTCGGCACTATCGAGCGCCTGAGATCATCCTCGGCCTTGGATGGTCGTTCCCTTGTGACATTTGGAGTATCGGATGTATCCTCGTCGAGTTCTTCACAGGTGATGCGCTTTTCCAGACGCATGAAAATCTGGAACACCTGGCCATGATGGAGAACGTCGTTGGTACCCGGATTGATTCGTACCTCGTTACCCGAGTCAACAGGATGACCAGGAACGGTGGCAATCCAGCCTCGAAGTACGTCATGCCCTCACTGTTCCTTTCTTTCCCTTTTTTCTTTCTTTATGTCTCTCCTTTCCTCTTCTCGGGTGTAATCAAGGCTTTAGCTGACATGCAATCAGATATTTCAAGAGAGGCAAGCTGGACTATCCACAACAAGAGACCACCAGAGCGTCGCGACGATTCGTCAAGGCTATGAAGAAGTTGGATGTAAGTTGATAGGCAGCTCCTTTGTTTCTTTCTCTTGTTCAACCAGGAAGCAACGGGTTGCTGACTGAACGTCTCTCTGCAGGACATTATTCCTAGCAATACGGCTTTTTTGAAGAACTTCAAGGATCTTCTCAAGAAGATCTTCGTCTACGATCCACAACATCGTATCACAGCGAAGCAAGCCTTACAGCACCCCTGGTTCAAGGAGACGGCCCACCCTGATGACGGCACCGAGGCTGCCAAAATAAAAATGGAGAGGATGCGGACTCAAGGGGTGCACGCAGCTCGCAGCGCACATGGCTGAAGGGGAACAGCATCGAGGCATTCAAACATACTTAATCTGGGATTACATCGGGATGACTAGGCTAGTGGCTAGGTGCTCGGAACGGTCGGCGCATTTTGAGATCCCATCTACATCGTCCTGTTCGACAGATTGCGATTTCTCTTATGGGATTGGGAAGGATATGGGCACCAAACGGATTACTATTATTACCAGCTGAGCGAACGCAAGCATGCATGCACGGGCATACATTGACACGGCGAACCTCAAATCTATCTAGCCTTCTGCACCATCCACCGTCTCCCTCTCTCTGGCGGCCGACTACGACTGAAATGAGTAGAGCAGGGTGTGTCTTCAAGGGCCCTGCCAACGATCCACATTCATTCATATGCTTGTCACAGCGTGTGGCACCGGCGACGCTCGACACCGATCGAACCATCGAACCTTCTTTGCCCTTGTTGAGAGGTGCAGGGCAACGACACACTTCTCCTCATTAGCATACAGCAATTATTTTTTTTTTTTTTTTTTTTTTGTTCATGAAAGGCTCTCGTCCTATTCAGAATGATCTATTCGAAACCAAAGCACCAGAGCCACCGATGGAAATTGAGCCATCAGAGGGATCTTTTCGGCCGGCAGTGGCGTCGGAGTCCACTGAAACCAGCATTTCGTCCAAAGGGAGTGACGGATCATTTTCACAATGGTATTCAGGATCCTGCGACGGTTTTGTAGACAATGCCCTTGTTGAGAAGTGAAAGCACATAGATGCTAGCCTTATTGTCTAAGGAGCATCAGGAAGGACAAAGACCAAGGTTCATGCTTTGCCTAGGGAAGAGGGGGAATAAGACAACAGCACGAGATTGACAGTCTTGTCAAAGGAAATCAAAGTGAGAACAAGTCTCTACTTGTCTAATATTCCGAGTTGTCAATTGTTCTGTCTTGAAGGCATTGTTTGAGACTCCTAGGCATAGAACATCATGACGCTGGCGTTTGTTCCCAGGGGGAATCGATATATTGTCCCATCTCTCTCTCTGTCTCTCTCTTGTCCGGTCGCAACATCTATTGCCTGTTGAGCCCTCGACTTGATCCTGCTAACGGACCAGACTCAAGTATACACAACAAGGCAGGGTAAACTGAACCAACAACAACACCTTACCACGACATCACATTCTGTGCCTGCACGAAAGAAGAAAAAGGAAGGAAAAAAGGAGGAACAACTCTTCATTTTCCCACTACCCGAGAGGACATCTCGTCGATCAAGCTGTCAAGATGGTCTATCACCACCGTCGCCTCTCTTCTCTCTCCTCAAAAGAGGTAACCGCCCTCGCAAGCCTCCTGTCCCTCCCCGTCCGCCTCCTAGATCCAACCACCGGTGTCCCCAGCGACCTCTGGCTGGCCAGCCAAGCCCGCAACATCACCACCAACCTCCCCAAACCCCTCCTCCGGCCCCACAACCTCCTCTCGCGCTTGTACATGTCCGCCAACAGACACCTCCACCTCACGCTCGAGGACGTGATCCCGGAGTGCGCGGTGCTCTGCCCTGCGCACCACGACCTCAACCCCTGGGTGGTGCGGCAGGTGTTTTTGCTTGTCACGGAGGAGGTCACTTCGGGGCTTGTCTCGCTGGAGAAGTACCTTGTGCGGCCTGGGCGGTATAACAACGACAAGGATCACAGTAACAGCAACAGCAGCAAGAAGCGGCTGGATAGTGACACGGTGGCCGAGATCAGGGACTTTGTCGACCGCATGCATGCGCTGCTGAACCTGTCGACGGGCTCCGAGGTCCTGGACAGGGTCGGGTGTCCTGACGGGGCGAGGGTGCTCCCGAGGATTCAGGGCGGGTGCGAGGCCTGTGTGGTGGCTGTCATAGGCGCCAGCGCGGGCGCGCTCTGTGACTTGCAGGCAGGTTTGTGTGGGCGGTCGCATAGAAAAGGGGAGCCGGCGCTGTTGAGGCTGGTGCAGGCGTGGATCTCGAACCTCCCTCGGGAGAATGACGAGGTTGGGAGGGAGGAGGAGATGACGAAGGAAAAAGTCATGCGGCAAAGCGAGAGGCTGGCGAGGACGATAAAGAGGGTTCGGCGTCTTGTGTGCAAGAAGAAACACCGGCGTGCCGTTGAGGGTTGGACGCGGGGTGGTCATCGGTCTGGATCGCGCCACGGCGGCATGATTTCAGGTGAACATGGCTCTGGTGCCAGCAGGGGCGAGCTGTCACTCGATGTTCAGCGCTCGAGGGACCGTGTTCACGAGGGTGCATTTTCCGAGGCCGCTTGGCCGAGCGAGCCCAAAGGATCTGGCGCCCTCAGCACCGGTAAGCAAAAGCAGCTTTCTTCACCTTCCAAAACTCTCTCTGCGTCAACTACTACAATCGCACCATCCGGGCCTCGTGGTCGCCATCGTAGCCATAGTCACAACAGTGGTAAAGACACCACCTCTCATCCTCACCGCACTGGTCGTCATATCCAGCAGCACCACCCTTCTACTGCTCCTTCATCCCATCATCGCTCCGCCGCGCGTGCTCACACCGCCTTGTCGTACGCTGACACCATCGAGCAACTTATAGATTGCTACCACATCGAAGAGGAGAGCGACGACAACGATCACGACCAAAACGACGACGACTGTCTCGAGAGGTCCGAAGTGGCGGGCCTGGAGGCCGCCCGAGCCTCGCAGAGGTGGTGGGAGGCCTTTAGTGATGTGGGTGAGCAGCAGCATCCTGCTTTCAGGAGCCAGGTTGCCGCGTCGGCGGTGCCCTCGCCGCTGGACGTGAACAGAGAGGGCGATGGAGGTGAGGAGGTGTTTGACCCTACCCAGTGGACAGACATCTCTGTGCACACAACCGCCACGCCGCCGCTCGCGACAACAACGAAGACGAGGAGGACCGAGAAACCACCACCACATGTGCCCACGATCCCGCCACAACATCGTTTCCCGCTCTTGGGTGGTGATGATGATGATGATGATGATGATGACGATGAAGACGACGACGTTGATGACCAGAGACAGAGTGCAGCTTGGTACCCTAGGGCAGTCATGGCCTCCAGCGTCTACAGCAACGACTGGACGGTACGGCCTCATCCAACCCCCGCGCGGGCTGTGGTCCAATCCAACGTTCGGGCTGCGATGCCGAGCAGGGCGGACAACAGCAGTAACTTCATGAGCCCCGGGGTGGCTCCTTGTGCTCCTCGTCTGGCATCGCAGGTTGTCGCCGAGCACAGCTCCGAGTCCAAGTCGTCGAGAATCACGGCCTGGCCTGCGTATCCTCGCGCCGAACAAATCACCACTGACAGGCCGAAAAGAAGAAGAGGCAACAGCCGTCATCATCACCAACACCAACACCGCCAAGTCTCGACCACAAAAACCGTAGACAAGTCGTCGTCCAAGCAGAACAACAAGTCCACCGCAACCATAGACGGCCCCCAGCCACTTACCCCCCAAGAGTTCCGGACCGCCCTCACCAGCATCAACAGGTTTTCCTCCTCCTCCTCAGACAACAACAGGTCCTACTCCCACGCCGGCTTCTTTGTGTTTGAGGGAGACATCCCCGAGGGCACCGTCTTGCCAGGAGAGTCTGCCTCGAATATTGGGAATCGGGAGTATGTTTGGGCTTTGCAGAATGGAGAGCTGGAGCGGGCCAGGGCTATGTTTGGTGGGGAGGAGTAAGGGGCCGTATTGCGATTTGTCAAGCGCTGTGGAAGATTGCGAGGAGAGGCCTCATCGTTACTTGCCTTGAAATGCGTCTGTTCCTGCTGGCCTCGGCTATACCAATTGATCGATAGCCTTGAGGGCATTAAAAATAGGCAATAGTCACTTCTCATACCACATTCATTACCTCGACAAATGTCTTGCATTTTTGTTTTTCCTTTGTCCACAGCGTGGAGGCCACTTTCCATACCTCAACTGAACAAAGAATCATTTCTTTTCATTTTTTTCCATAGCTTAAAGTAATTTCGGTGGTTTATTTATCTCCTCTCTTAACAAAGAGGCCGACACTAATGCGTCTTATCAAAGACTCTTCCCACACATTTGCTTTGCATGCCACGTTTCCAGATATTCTATTGAAGTCAAGAGCTCACGCGTGTGATTCAAACGAATAGCCAAAAGAGGATTACATCGGCTGCTGATGCCACTCACTAATTGGATGACTACGCATCAATCTGCATCCTCGTCGCTCTCCACCAGCATCTTCCTCAGCGCAGGCAGAAACAGCTCCGCCTTCCTGAAATCACCCAGCTTGACACGCATCATATCAAACGCCATGAGCACCACCTGGTCAGTAGGGCGGTTGCGCTTGCTCCGCCCGTCTGCGGTGAACGAGTTCCCAATCTTGGGATAGCGCTGCGAAAAGTGCGTGAGCAGTACCCGCCTGGCCTGCATGCGCCGCGCCACGTCCAGCGCCTCGCTCATGGTGCAGTGCTTCTTGGCGTACGCGTCGTCCCGCAGCTCGTCGTCTAGCGTGCTCTCGTGCAGCAGCAGCGTGCAGCCACGCCCGATCCGCACAAGCCCATCTGACGGGCGGCAGTCGCCCGAGTATGCCACCTTGAGCCCTGAAGGCCAGGTGAAGACGCACGCCAGCGCGCCGTAACAGTGGTCTACGCGGCAGGCGTCGATCCGCGCCAAGCCCGTGTCCCTGCCGGCCAACGAGGTTGCGTCGAAGATGACGGGGTCCTGGATAGCCTCGCGCTGTTGGGGTCCTCGGATGCTGATCAGGCGGAGGCGGTCGAAGCCAAAGTCCTCGACGTCGGCATACTCGCGCAGCCAGTCGAGCATGTACGGGGTGGAAACGACGGTCAGGCGGGGGGTGGGCTCGGCGGTGATATTCTGAGTCATGTTGGTGGTGGTCACTTCATTCCAGGCTCTGATGACGCTCGCAGTGCCGAGGTGGTGGTCTGCGTGGAGGTGGCTGATCCAGATCACCTTGAGGTCGCCGAGGATCTCGTCGGCCTTGTCGTAGCCGTACATGCGGCGAAGCTGGCCGAGCGTGTTCTCGCCGCAGTCAAAGAGATAGGAGCCGTAGCCTGGAACGCGGATGAGGGTGGCTGACACGTTGCGGTATTTCGAGGGCAGTGCGGAGCCTGTGCCAAGCGCAATAACCTCGAGGTCGCGGTTTGGAATGTCCTTTTCGGCTGCTTCGATTTCAGCTAGCAGAGCTGGGTCTTCCGACTTAGCCTTGGCTTTGTCTGCCATCTCGATGACCTTGGGGTCGATACTTTGCACGGCCCCTAATAAGTCCATGGGTTGAAGGATCTCGTCGTCCTTGACTTCCACACGCGGTGATTGTATCAGCTTGGCTCCGACCTGAGCCACTTGAAGGGCTTTAGTGGCGGGGCCCTTGGGTTTGTTGTCAAAGACAGGCAGACCAAACCGATCAGGATCTATCCTGTGCATCCTGACCATGCTGTTGGCGGCGCCGTGCATGGCAATACCGTTGGGGTTCGTGTCTGGCGAAAAGACTGTGTGCGTCATGTCCCCGCGCGCTTCCATAAACTCTTTGATTCGTTCGTCGTGCTGAACACCGCGTCCCAGATTCCAGTACATAACGTCGAGCGTCCCCATGAGCGAGTCGTCGCTCCATTCAGGACGTGCCAAGAACTCGCTGATGTACGATGCGTCAGGGAGATCGATAAAAGCAAATCCGCGGCCTTCAACAGCCGGCGCAAGGACCATATCAGGTGTCACGTCCATGTCGTCCTTGCCCTTGACCGTCTTGCCACTGGTGAGTAATTTATAGTCCCACCTCTGCACACCGAGCCTCTCAGCTGCCTGAACATCGAACTTTCCTCGCCTGGCCTGTCCTTTGACAATGTAACAGAGGGATTGTGTTGAGGGCGAGGTACGAGGGAGTTCCGCAATCCTTACTGCCGGCCAGGGTCTCCGGGTGAAAACCTGTATGTCAGGGACTGCTTCGTCGTCGCCAGGCATGGGACCCTCGTATTTCTTCATCTGGCCGTCCTCGCCCTTGACGAAGATTGCCGCCGGCAGCTTGACCTGGTACAGCGTGCTCTCCTCCAGAGCGTCTAATTCCCATTCCGAGTCGAACATATTGTCCACCACAGACTTGACCAGCTCTCGGGCAGCCTGCTTCTTCTCCGCATCCTGCATCGGGCTCACCTGACCTTGGCCTTGTGTACCCTCGGCGACCATATCGTCGTGGCTCCTCTTGCGGCCGTGGGGTTTGGTGGTCTCGGCAGCAGGCTTCAGAGACACATACCACACCCGTACATTCGCATCCTCAAAGTCAGGTTTCCTACCCTGCTGGTGGTCCCTGGCAGACTCATGCGGTATCTCATGTAACCTCAGAGGCAACCCTTTGCGGAAGATGAACCGCCGCGAGGTAGCAACCATGTGTGCGATGTTTTCGGCGCCATAGATCTTCAGGCTTGCGATCGTGGACAGGTTCCCTTCGGCCTTTTTTTTCTTCTTCTTGTTGCTCTCGTCAGGCAGCTTCTGGGTGGCGACGACATCGGCAATGGTGAGGATCATGCCCAACAGCCCGCCGACGTTCTTCCACGTGGTGGGGCCGGAGAGGAAGACCTCGTCGAGCTTGGACAGGGCGACCCGCCGCTGCGCCATGATGCGCTGCATGCCCTCGGACATGTGCCCAAAGACATAGCGGCGGGAGTCAAAGTGCAGCAGCACGCACGGCCCCGGCGAGTCCGCCGTCGGGACGGAGATGATCTGGACGTACTGGAGCATCGGGCTTTGGAAGCCAGCACCTGGGACGTCGACAAGGCACTCGATGGGCGACGGTGGCTCGAGGCCGTGCTTGCGGTAGAGGAGGAGCGAGTGGGCGTTTTTCCGCCAGATGCCGGGAGGAAGCTTGTGGATCTGGGTCGGAGGGGGACGCAATCTGTCGGAGAGGCTCAACGCGAGGGAATCTGGTGCCGGCGTGGCTGCAGAGGAGTCGTTCTCCTCGGGTTCAACCCTGGCGAAGCTGAGCCGGGTCGGCAGGGTATGGTTCGCTCGCCGTTGCTGCGGTGGTGAGTATCGCAGTGTGGTGATCGCCGCGGTTCCTCGTATTCTGGGAAGATGCGCGACAGCTTTCATTTCCCTTCCTCCTCAGCGCCTCTTTTGTGTCCCAAAACGTGGACTGCGAGGTTTGTCTTTGGGCGAGTACAGGCAGCCTCGCCGAATGACTTGACTACATACAGGGAGGTGTACTGCACAAGCATTTGCCCAGAAAATTTCTTATCTTATCGGAAGTACCTTTGTACTGTACTTATGCTGATGTAATCAATTTTAGGTATACACTTTCTGCGTACCATAGTATCTGGGAAGGCACACAAAGTAGCAAGTACCTCCTTCCGGGGTCGCAACACACGACCAAGCATCAGCACACGTCCCTGACAAGCCCCTCACTCAGACATATACTCCGTGGAACGATGCATTGTAACTCAACCTTCGGTTCAAAATACATAAGCCAGTATTTTGCCATGCTCCATGAATACTCTCGTCGTCTTCACCATCTCTGACCATCATCTGGTCAGCATCAACTTGAGGACTGGGGACTCTCGTGCGCACCAATTCTTAAGTCGCTGTTGTCACTCAGAAACAGCTTGTATATAAAACGTTGGCTGGGTGAGATGAGATTCGATATTTAAGACGGCAGGAGGAACTCTGTCTGTCGAGCCCCCTTCCTTCAGTGCTGAGCCCAGATGCTCCAGCCTCGTAGACCAAAGCAGCCTTTTCAAATCAACCAAACTTGCTGAGTACTTTACTTAGAGCCAGCCCCTATCTTGTCTCGAGGTGTCCTTGGAAGAATGTGCCTCTAGGTCCGGCCCTCGCGTCACCCAGAGGAAAGAGAGCATGCGATCGGTCTCGGTATTCACATTACACGGAGAACGAAAGGATTTCAAGGCAAAATTGTCTTTTATTTTGTATAATTATCCAAAAAATATGTCGAAGTTGAGGTTACTCCCTCAGCTTTTTATGGATAGCAGTCCACCGCCCACCGACCAGTTTCGGCCTCTTAGTAGCCGGCGGATCCATTGGTTTGATTTTGAAATTTTTTTTTTTTGGTGCCCCTCCCCTTCTTGACGCCCTCAAATGCAACAGAAGGGGTGTGTTATGTACACAGTATGCTATAGCCAGTAGAGATCCATGCCGCCGCAGTGGGCGTTGGCTTGTTCCAAGAACGCACAAGACCCAACGTCATTCAAACGGCGTTACAGCGCGTGCCCGAAAAGGCTTTTCTTCACTTTGTCTCTGGCCGTTCTCGTCCATGATGCTTTTCCCGGTGAAAAATATTCCTTCCCGCCGTATTGATGCAGCTCAGTTGCGTTTCCCGGGGGTATCGAATATTTGAAACAAAAAAATATGAAAAGGATATGAAAAAAGAAAAACAAGAAACTTTTTTTGGTGGTCCTCCCTATGATCATTCTGAAGGCTGCGCGCAGAATTCGTTGGGCCAGTCTGTAACTCCATGTTCCCCCATCTTTTCTATGCGCCGCCGCGAAGACCTACTAATAATATCAAAAAGACCTGGCCGACGCTTGTTATACCAAAAAGTAGACCAGCGCCGCCTTTGAAATGGAATCATCATCTCATATTACTCGTGTCAAACGAGAAGGAGGACGGGAACGCCATGCTCGCGCTGAGACCGAAAGGATCCCAGTCCATCGAAGGGTCTAGGAGATGTGTCATCGACATGCCTTGCTGTTGTTGTTGTTGCTGCTGCTGCTGCTGTTGCTGTCCTGTCACGGCATTTGGTTCCATGGGCCCACCAGTCGTCGGACTCATCTGCTGCTGGGCAGCGTGAGCGGCATAACTAGTCCCTGGATACGGACCTGGTCCCGAAACAGCATCTTCGTTCTCGGTTCCCTCCTCCATCATATCTGCGGCTGCATCGTATTCTTGTTCTGCGAGGTTGTCAGTCTCCTGAGAAATAATTATGGGCTATAGACACGGCCTGTAGAGTCGACCAGGTGGAAGATTGCTTTACCTAGCTGCTCAAGATGGTTTTGATATGCTGGTGTCTGGTAAAAGGGCGCGCCGCTGGCATTTCCCATTCTGGCCGCGGGCGGGACATGGCCAGATGGCTGGCCCAAGCCCCCTTGCATCGGCGGCATCATCCTAGAGGGGCCTGGCATAGGGCCCATCGGGTTTGCCGGCGGCTTCATCCCAGTAGACGCCATCCCCGGTCGCATCGAGCCCGACGTGTTCTCTGAGGATGCTGGTGAGACTCCGAATCCCTCAGTCGTGGCCGGTGAGGCCGCATGAGAAGACGCCATGGTCCGCGACTTGGGTGATGATGCGGGTAGATTGCCGGCGTGGATAGGAGGAAGGGTGCTAAACCCGGGCTCGACCTTGGGGGCAATGCTGGATGTCGATCGTCGGTTATGGTGCCTGTTAAGCAGTGTCCTCGATATTGGAGGCGGTTGTATCATTGCTGGCATGTGGGTAGGGCCAAAGTTAGGGCTGCCATGTTTGGCCTGAAGTTCGGCCTGCACATCGATCCCTGGATAGACACGTCAGTATGGTGTTGAAAGAGGGCACTGACGACTGTCAGAGCCATTATAAGAGGCGCAGCTTGTCGTATACCTTTTTCAAGAAGTATGCGTTCCAGCAGGGAGTTTTTGTATCTCAGCATGAGACACTCATCCGCCGCCGTGCGGTGAGCCGCATTGAGGTTGGCCAACGTCTGCTCCTGCACGCTGATGGTCTGCTCGAGCTGCTTGATATACTCTGTACGCCGCTCTCGGAAGGCAGCCTGAGCCTGTCGGTTCCGCTGCTTTCTCTCCTCTGTGGTAGCATAAATCTACTCCTGTTAGATCCTATCCAAGAACGAAAACCATGATTGGCACGACCAGGTAAAGAGAGACAAGAAAAACACATAAAGGCTTGCAACATACCGGCTTGCGGCCTCCCTTCCTCTTGGGCGCCTGCTCCGGTGTCGGGTTGGCCTGGCCGTCACCTGGCTCTCCATCGCCGTCGCCGTCGAGGCTCGAGCCTAGTGGGGACTCTTCGCTATCCTGCTTGATAGGATCTCTCTTTTCATCTGAAGGAAGCTTGTCTGATGCCATTACCCTTTGAGTAGAGGTGGTGGAGCCGTTTGCCGCAGAAGGGGCGACAAAGCGCCACACAATTCCTTTCCTACGGTATAGTAAGAAACCTCCTCGTCCACCCGAGCTGGCAGCGCAGAGGCGGCCGATAGGCACACCAGATAATTACCAACGGCAAGTACGTTGACTGCAACTGCTAAGCCCTTCTTCTTTTCTTCTTCCTCTGGGAGGGGCGCGCGCGCCGGATCTAACCGAGAGCCTGTCTACCGGCTGTCTGGGACGACTGGGGGGTGCCCAATTGACAGGCCTGTCAGTGACCAGAAACCGTTACTGGTTGCGTAGCCTACAGCGAGGCGCGCCGTTATCTCTGAGGGAACGAGATAGGGCTGAGAATTGTAGATAGGCTCGTAGCGGTGTCAACGTCCCGGAAAAGCTGGGGGTAAAATGCCCGATCAGTGATACGGTCCGGGGAAGTTTCAGGGACAATCTGGGGGTGGCGCCAATCAGGGCACCAGGCCTTGCCGCAGGGCAGCTGCATACCCGGCAGTTTGGGCCTCGCAGTGGCACTCGTCCCTGATTGACATACAGAATAGGCGGGTCCTTACCGGGGAGGGTAGGAAGATCAGGCGGCTGCAGGATCAGAGCGTGGTCGTGGGTGATAGATTGTCGAGGTCAATCTTGGATGGCCTAGAGATAAGCAAATTGACGGTGACAGGGCGCAGAGTTTGTGTGTGTAAAGAAAAGGCAGACGGCCGCCGGTTTATACGTAATTGAAATGGATCGTCGGGACAATCGTAGTGGGGGAACGAGGTCGGAACGCAATGCCTGTCAGGGCTAACGTCGCAGGCAAGGAAAGAAAGGGAAAAAAAGAAAAAAGAAGAAAAAAAAGGGCCTGGACACCAACTTTGCAGCCGGCGCAGCGTCTGCTAGTGGGGTGCGCCTTCTCCTGTAGGGGTCCCCTCACAGCGCGTGATTGCCCGTCACCTGCTAGACAGGTCTCGACTTGCTGATTGCGGAGTGGACTTCTTTTTAGGTAACGTTGACCAAATCTTTGCAACGGTCCACTGAGTGCTGAGTCGAGCGGAATAAGTTGGTCGTCGGGTATAAAAGTCGCCTTGAGCCCTGCTGACCCGTTGAACAACTGGTTCAAACAAAGTTGAGAACTTGAGCCGTGCTATGTCCAGTCTGCCAGGTGGTGTCGACGAAAGCTGAGATGTGACCAGAGACCCAAGGTAGTCAGTCCGTCGCAAGAAAAGAAAATGACTTTTCGCCCCTCCGAACTTCGATGCCTCTCTCTCTGTTCTCTCTCTTTCTTTCTTTCTTTCTTTCTCTCTCTCTCTCTCTCCCCTCTCCCCCTTTGAATGACCTCTCACACAAGATTCGCCGGAAAAGAGTCTCTTTATGACTACTCGTGATCCTGCAGTCCAGTGCCTCGCTATGGGGGTGGCTGGTCCCGCCTCCACGACAGTAGTCGATCTGAGAGCACTGACTTGGCAGACGATGAATCGTTGGCTGAAGCAGACCTTGGCCGCAGGAACTGGCCGCTCAAACGTCCTGAAGGGGTGTATGTCGAGGCGGCTTCGCTGTGTCTGTTGAGACTCGTTTGGTGGCGGGATGTCTCAACTTTTTCTGTGATGTTTGCGTGCTTTTGTCTTCTGGAACGACCTGCAGGCTGTTTTGTTCATGGACGAGAGCAAGATTCAAGAAAAAGATCCAACACGAGCGAAAATTTTTGTCAAAGAGACCACGCGAGACTTGCCAATAAGGCACGGAGGACTATTCAGGACGAAGGCCTTGCGAGCGGAGTCTGCAAAAATTTGGGGCGGGCGGATTTTTCCTCGCGCTCGAGTCGGTACTTGCGGTGCAAGTCTCTTGCAGCGACGACATCCGTATTGCTGCAGACCTGCCTGCCCCCTCCCTAGGTCGCACCACCCTAATGCTGTCAATATACATAGTCCTCCCCTTCCTATAGTCTCCTCAAAGACTATATCACGGCTGCATGACATCCCAAGCGAGAAATGGCAGTTTACATCGTTCGTTGGTTTACCGATCGTTCCGTCTACGATTCTACTCTTGCTTTCAAACGGGTATATCCTGGTCCTTTGGAGCAGGGCTTGGCTGCAGGACGCGACTGGTATCGAGACTGGCTGTTTGTGCTTTTCATCATACTTTGGCCTCTTGTCATCCCACGCGATCATCGCCGTCACATCCATCAAGACATCGGTGCGTCTTGTCACAAAGGATGCAGGCCAATTCCTCGGGTCTCGCGGTCTCTATTTCGTATCATGCTGCACTAACGTCGAGCAACAGCAGTAGGTGCCAGCAGGAACCAGTTCTCAAGAGACGAGGAGTCGATGCACTCCCCTGAATTGAGGGCCCAGTTCTTCCAGGGCTGCAGTCGATGAAGCCCGCCATTGAAGTGGAAAGCGGGGAGGGGGGCGTGTGGCAGCCTAGTACAGTGGATGGGAAGCGATCTCTTGGCTGGAGAGAATACGGGGCTGTGGATTCTGCGTGGTTATGCAAAGGGGAGGGGGGCTTCCCTTCTGCTCTGGACATTGATGAGGTTGATCACGTACTATAGTATATGTTCTCATCCACACAGGTCAAGACAAATGAGTGTCCGCCTGGGCGTGACGTTGTCCAAAGGGCTCAGCACCATGTCCCTCCGTCTCTCATCTCAGGAACTCATCTCCATCTGTGGTTCTCGATCTTCGGTATTTGATGGGGTGCCCGACCCGCAAGTCGCGTCCAATGAGCCTCGGCCATCGTCCAACAAGCAAAAGCTCGTCTGTTGTCTTAGGGCGATTTGACGTCATTGTGATTGCTGGGTGATCTGAGTTCAGCGGTGCTGTACGTATACGGTTTGTGTGACTGAGAGGAACGAACTCTGCAGTGTGCTCAATCCGGAACCAGACTGCCCAGGGTCGTTCGTCAGAATGGCAGGTTACAATGAGCTGTGGTGGTACTATGGTATAAATCGGAGCTCGCCGATAAACGGCGAAGGAAGGTCCGTCATCGCAAAGTTGCAGGCGCCCTGGTCACAGCTTGTATTGCCCATGGCATTTGTCCAAAATCACGTCGACCTTTGCATTCCACCGGGCTGATGAACTCTGTGGTTTTCTTGCGATCAATAGATATCCAATGCGAGTCTTCATTGCATAAAAACAAGAAGGAAAAAAGAAGAAATTTATTTCTGGTTATGTCGTCTGCGAAATAGTCTTATTCGTCATTGCGAGATTGAAAGGGGCAGTCTTGAAAAAGATCGAAGCAGTAATCCCAGACCCGGAGTGGGTCTGAACAGCGATATCGGTGGGGTGTTTCGCTCAGCCACGGTCCAAGAAGGAGGATTCCGCAAGCGGCCAGCTCTCTTTCTCTCATCAGGCGTGCGCTAGAAGGAATCAGGGCTCCAAAAAGATTTTTTTGACAGTGTGCAAGCCGTGCCAAGGGGTGTGTCCAAGATGAAAAGGGTCTGCGCCCAGAGAGAGATACATGCGGGCCAGGTATCTCACCGTCGTCGCAGAAGTACGTGACCCGGCCAAGGACCGCAACAACCCATCCTGGAGCAGGCATGGCTGGCGTTTGCATGCTGGCATGCTGATCAGTCGGTCCGTCTCCGTTTTGTGGGATGTGACGAACATTGTTTTACTAGAGAATTACCCGAAATCTATATCTGCCCAGGGGGTCCTCCACAAGCCTCGCGCCATTTGTGGTGTGCCTGTCGAGACGCCATCGTCGAGGTTCATGTAGACCAAGATGTCACAAACAGTGCTGTAACTCCAGTGTTGCATGCATAACGTGCTGGCCTCAACCCGTTGAGTTGGTCCCTCGGCCCCCGGCCCAGCTTGATGAGCTACCCAGAGCTGTCGACGGAGCGGTCTGTCCATCCTTGGTCATGGCCATGATCCAGTCGCCAGCTGGAAGTGGTTGGTGAGCCGTGGCCCGTGACCTGCCCGCCGCCCCTCCCCCTTCTTCCCCCTCAGAGCCAACGCCGCGATGCGGTCCCTAGAAGGAGAAGGTCACTACTCAATGTATCATCCTTACTGGGGTGTCGTCCAGTAGCTGGCTTCCAACACACATCATGTGTGTGGCCTGGGCTCTTGGGGTAGATGCCAGGCTAGACCGTCCTCTTACAGGTGCTCAGAGGCTGTCGAGTCCTGGAGATGCACGTTTCATTGCCTTACCCGCCTCCAGCCGCTGGATGGGCTGTGCTCCTCGGTGACTGAATCTGTGCAAGTGCCGCGCTCCGCTTGGTTGATGAGCTGGTTTTGCTTGCTATGAGCAAAGCCCGAACTGCCCACCTCTTGAAAAGGTGTGTGTTCTCCTCCTCACTCCGCCATACTGCTGCGGGAGGTGCATTTCCTCGGAGGCCAGGGCGGGGTTTTCTTCAGGGGTGGCGTCTTCATAGAGAGTAAGTTCTCAGGGGGGCTGGCCCCTCGGGACCAGTACAGGTGGGGCGCACCCTCAGGTCCTCACAGGTCCTGTAGCACACTACGGCAGTAGCTAGATGGGTGATCGATGCTAGCGCTCTGGGCTATACCCCCTCCGGCAAGTCCAGCCTCGACCAATTGGCGCGAGATCCATCGCTCTGGACCCCTCGAGCTTGCCTAATTTCAACATCCCAAAGGTCCTGGACCATGTACAGAGTGCCATGGGAAGTTCCAAGTGGCATCAACTGCGTGCGCCTTGTCGACAAAAGACGGGTACCCCGCGTCTTCAACAGCCTTCCACCAAGACATACAGCCAAGTCATCGGTAGATCTAGAGGCAGGGACTTACTCCGTCGTCACTCTCCCCCAGATCTGCCATGCGTTAAAACGTAGCTAGCCGTGCAGCAGGCCCCGCACTGCCTGCAGCCCGAGCCGCATGACTACGGCCCCCCTGACCCATTATTGTGTCGTACTATTATGCAGTACGCAGTACGGAGACAAGATCGCCCGCCTACCAAAAGTCAGGACTGGTGGTGCGTGACATGCGCCACAGGATACCGACCGGGGAGCACCAACAGCTGCAGAGCAACTACTC